AATGTCCTGATGTTGGTGTTGGAAAGCCAGATCCTCCAGCGCGAGTTTATCGCAATGTTCCTCATTGAAAAAATGTGTGGTTGATTCGAAATTACGATCAGATACATCCAATGCGATTACGATTTTGTCAAAAATCAAATATCACGAGCAGTTACATACTTTTTGAACAAGTAAATGTCCAAAAGTAGCGATGACCAGCGTGAACCTGCAATAATACCGTTATAAATTTCGTTATTATCAAATTTCTGAAGCAAAAAACCTACGAAAAGCTTAATTTTCTTCTCTCCCATCATATTCGAATCATTTTATATCCAAACAAGCATCAGAAAACAGTTCAACGCACCACTGGTAACATCCATCGATTCATATGAAAATAAATCTGTCGTCGTTAAAATTGGTCCAAATCTATCCCATTTCATCCCAAATGTGGTCCTCGTATCCCAAAAAGTTCGAAAAATGTGTATTCTTCACTTTCTGGTGACACCCAAAAAAACCTGAAAAACGAACGAAAATCTTTAAAATTTTTGAACGGCATTATGGCGTTACTTTATGAAACGATCTATACATGAAAATGTTCTCTGACATTCATAGAATAGGAAATCGTTCATGAAATTAAGAAAAAACAACAATAACAATGAGTAAAAACAAGAAAAAGTTGAAAAATCGGCAAAAAATTCGATTTTTCCATTGAAAAAAGACAAACGAGCAAACGCGCTCTACCGAAACGAGAGATTTTTCGAAAAGAGACGCAGAAACGTCGTCTTGTGGACACTGTGATTAGAGATTTCTGTCACGAAAAAATCGATAAGAATTTGATGATTCAGACGGTTACTGTAGATCTTTATTTTTTGCACGTTTTGAAAAATTGATAGATCAGAAATCTGGCGCGGTACAAAATAGTATTTCACGTAGAATTGGCTAGTGTATGTTTGCAGTCTGAGAATTAGAGAAGCAGAAATACCTCTCTATGTTTCTTCTCACTTATCTCTGGCACTCTCTTCATTTCCTATGCTCTCTATCTTCTCTGGTTTCTTTGTTCCTCTCGATCTCTACCCTCTTTTTATCCCTCACAATCTCTAATCACTAGAACTTCCAACCATCGAAACACGCTTCATATTTTCAACAATTTCCTTTTTTCCCTCAATTTTTGTGCACTTCGACTTCCTTGTTTCCACTTCTGTCTGAATAGAAAATAATAGAAAAATATCAGATGTGAAATAAATAAATAAATATAATAACTTCTTCTTCTTCTTTTTGCTGTCTTGAAGAGCCTAAGAAAATATCAATTAAGTCTTCGTTTTCCAAATAATTACCCAAGGGGACAAACGGAAATTGTTTTCATATTTCTTCTTCTCCTCAAGCATTTTATAAAGAAGACTTGTTTTTGATATTTTCACATTTTTCCTTGAGAAAATATTATTATTTTATCTTAAAATTGAGGGTTCTCCAGAATAATAAACCAATGTAACTTCTGAGATGAAATATTTTGTGCAAGTCTAATCCGCGAAGTGACTGGTCGCTGAAGCAGTAGATAATTTTCCTACATTGAAGCTAGCGGATACCGATTCAAGTTTCCTTGAAAATCTTCGTTTTCTAGTCTTGACTACCGTAGTTTTTGTCTCATCTCTCGCTCGATTTTCTTCTCCTTTTTTCAAATACACAAACACTAAGAGAAACGGCAATTCGAGAGCATCGAATTACCAAACAGGTATATTTATATATTTATTATATACAAAATGAATGCATCATCTTTTTAGTAGAAGAAGAAGAAGAGCAGAATATGGATGGAAGAAGGGCAAAGAATATTTTTGGAATCTGAACAGGCTTCTGACACGAGATTTTTCAGACTTTTAAATATTTGTTTCGGAAACCACGTGGTTTAAAAAAATTTGTTCCATAAGAACTTCTTAAGCCCTGTTCAGATTCTCAGGTAGCAAATCCTCGAATTGTATCCTTTATAATATGAGCAATGTTCACTCACCGAAATCTTTGCCCCAAAATTTTTATCCACGCCATGAGGATTGTACAGCTGAGTATTCCCTTATGAGATATCCTTATTAGCTATAATATGAGCAAGGTCTCACAATTTTCTTGCAAAAGATTTTTCCTCATCCCTATCTCACGAACTCTGTTCAAACTCTTTCCCTATTTGTACCATTTTCTTCTCTCGTTCTTCTTCTTTCCACCCACCCACACCAAAAACAGGTGTTTTAACAAAAAATCTTCGTCGCCTGTCCCAATTCTCAAATTTTTTGTTTATTCAAGGAAGATTGATGCGAATTCTTTATTTGTTTGGGAAAAATCGAAGACTATATCAAATTAATTATAAACAAAATGAGTAGAAAAAACGACACCTGAGAACGAGATGATTCGGAGTAAACATTTATCAAAAAAATGAAAATGAAAACGGGGATGTTTATTTTTCATTGCTCAGGTTAATCAAATTTTCTTCCAATAGTTCAATGGAGCGCATTTTCGAACCTGAGCAATTAAAATATTCCAATTCAAATTTTCTGAAAAATCGATAATTCCCCAGAGCGCACTTGCAAACCGTATTCCAGCTGTCAACATTTTTCTATAATCTGAGCAATCCTCCTCTCTCTCTCTCTCTTCAAAAAAATCCATTCCGCTTGCTTGATACAAATCAAATCCTTGTTGTTATTTTTTAATGACACCCGCCAATTATGCTCTACCTACAGTACTAGCCTATTTACTTTCTTCTCTGACCTTGTCCCTTTCTTTTCTTTTCTCACCTGTAGTCTTCTGTTTTTGTCCAAACCTCAGCTCAGCTCATTCAATTTGTCTAGCTGCTGCGGCTGCTGTTCCTTTAATTGTTTTCGGCTCTTTTTTGTCGGGAGAAAAAGGGATTCATTTATAATACAAAAAAGGAGAGAAGAAAGGCATGGATGTGTGAAATTTTTCGTGTTTTTCTAATGAGCCCAGAAGATGTTGGAAAGGTTAAAGGAACATAGGAGACAGGTGGAGGCACAAGTCTAAACCATAAGCTCAAAGTGATTTTTGAACCTAAACTTTGAACAAATCTGAACATTCTGAGCCTTGAAGCTTCTATGCCACGTAACCGTGCCTAGAAAGTTCAATTGTCAAGTATCAACGCCTGGAGATTCACTCTGACAAGGAGTAGCGCCTTGAGATCCTGGTTGTCAAGTAGCCACGCCTAGAAAATATGATCGTCTAGGACACACGCCTCGAGATCTACTCTGGCAAGAATCCACGTCTTCACAGCTTCTACACCTAGAAAACTTTTTTTGTACTGAAGTAGCTACGCCTAGAAAATTGAATTCGTAAGGATCAGCGCCTAGTGAGCCTAATTTTCAACCAAAAAATAATGTAGATCGAATTCAGAATCTTTGAAAAAGCAGCAAAAATATTCTCAAAATTCCCCGTGACATTCTAGAACTTTTAAACCTTTTCAAGCTAAATTTGAAATCCCTATGGAAATTCTTTTATTATTCCCAATCCAACACAATTCTCTATTATTATTAGTGACACATTGAAAAATTTAATCTCAAATATTTTTGTGCCTGCAAACAATCACACACAATGGGTGGTCCTTTAATGAAAAAAATCCACGTAGATTGATATTTCCCTCCTTTTTCGCCCCGATTCCATTTTCTTTGTATTTCGCGAATCTTGCTATTCGCCGACTCCTCCCATTTTTTCTTCTATGCTCCGCCCATTTTTTCTTTCTTTTCGAATAAGAAAAAAAGAAGAAAACACTTTTCTTTTTCTTTGTGTTGGAAAAATATGAAGGTGGATATGTTAATTCATCTTCATAAATTTTTAATTTTTGAATTCGAATAAGAATTTTTTCAATTTTTTGGGGAGGGTTCAAGAAATTTTTGCAAAAAATAAAAGTCCCAAGGTGGAATAGAATCCGCGATCGAAAACCTGCGCTATTTGAGGAATTTTTGATTTCTTTGATTTTCATAGACTAAAATTTATTTGATAAAAAGTTCCAAGGTGGAATCGAACCCGCGCGCAAAACTTCTAATATTCCACCTAACCACCTGCGCCACTTCAACATTATTTTTCTGAGAAACGTCAATTTTATAGACTATAAAACATCGGTTTGCAGCTAATTACAGTATTCTTTCTCTTCTTTTTTCTTTCGAATTTCTCTCAAGAAAGCATTTGCGAGCTCCTCAGAGAGCCATTATCCAAATTGTTTCTTTTCTCACCATTCTCCCATATGTGTACATTTTAACTAACTAATGACTTAGAAGCCGTCCTGTCTATCTCTTCAATATCCTCTAAAAAGCCATTATTTTATTTCGAGACAAATTTTTGTGGAAATGGCTTTTTTCTTTTTGATTGAGATTGCTTTTGAGAAGAAGAAGAATTTGTGGAGAAATTTCGGAAAAGGGGTTTTTTCTCAAATTTTTATCCGAAAATTCATTTTTTCTAACCTGGAAGGGTGACTGTAGAGAGTTGCTGTTTTTTCTCTAAACAATTTAGAAATCCACGTGGCAGGATTCTCCAACCCTCTTTAAATATTTTTTTCAAACAATTCTCCCCATACACTCAAGTTTACTGTACTTCCTACTCCCTGTCTGTGTCATTTTCTTGTGCAACTTTCTCAAAACACCTCATTCATTCAGATTATGTAAATTAGCCCTAACTCTTCTTCTCTCAAACACTTGTCATAATAAAATAATATATAATTTCGCTACTTATCATAATCCTTTTCGTCAGAAACAATATGCTAATTTTCTAGACTCGAAAAAACTTTTCTTTTTCTTTTTTGATGGAAAAAAATCAAAGTGGGACTTACATTTTCTTATGTGGCACTTGTTCATTTGTTGTTTAGAAAAAGAGTCCAAGATTTTCGTGCCGACTTTTTTAAGTTAATGTGGATTTTTTCACGAAGAGGTCTAATGATATTTCACAGTTATCCACAAAAAAAAAAGTTAAAAAAACATTATTTTTTTCTGAATCACCCTTGTTTATTTTTCGCTCAAAAAATCGATATTTGTTCTAGAATGTCTACTAGTCTACCAGTTGCCACGTCATCTCCACCATCTCCCCCACAAATTCCTCAATCCGCCCAAAATCCGTCATCATTTCCCACACCATTCCCACACTTTGGTTATTTATTCGCCGCCGGAAATCCGATGGCGAATCCATTTTTGGCAGCAGCCGCAGCGACGCAACCTGCGACACCTGCGGCAGTTGCGGCAGCTGCAGCCGCCGCTGCTGCAGCTCAACAACAACATCAGAATCGATTCAAGATTAAAAGACATCGACAAAGAGTGGATGCGGGAGAGCCGAGAAATACATATCAGGTTTGTAAAAGGGGCATTTTTAATTTAACACCGAAATACTGAGCTTGGCGGAAGCTTGCGAATTGGAAACTAAAAAACTGACGCAAAGATAGATCAGATGTGGTAGATCAAGTTTCAAACCCTTTCGCAACGACAACAACAAAATATTTGAGAGACGGTTAAAGAAAAAACATTTGTCAATAGGGCGAACATGCGTTGTTTAATAAAATAGTGACCTCAAACTCGCTTACCAGCGCTTAATCGGGAAAAAGTAACAAGTTTTGCTTTTAAAAAATTTTTTAAATAATGTTAAAAAACTCACTTTTCCTCCAGTTCTCCTCGTTTTTGAAAATCATCCAACCAAAATTCGCTTCATTTTGTTTCGATATTTCCATCATTTTGCTGACGTTTTTCCTGTAAAATAGAATTGAGTGAAATCTAATTGTAAATAAGATAACTGAGAAAAAATTCAAGAGTGTATAAATTTTTTAAAAACCACTTTTCAAGCACCAGTTCTCGTATAAAACTATCGAAAATCAACTAAACTTGTGTTACTTGTATTAGGAACAAAGGAAAATATGAATTTTACAACAAGTTTCATTCAAATTCATGGAAAACAACAAAAAATACGTGAATGACAAATCCAAAAACCTATGAAAGAACGAGAAAAATAAGTGTGTGACAACACCGACTGCCCGCAAACACTAAATCCTACGCGCAATCTTATGAAAATAAAATAACGACACTCCGCTCAGACAGTATGTGAAAATTACTCAGCAATCCGCCCCGTAATTACATTGTACGATTTCTGTAATCACATTGTTGCGTTTCTGTAACGAGACTAGGGTTCCAATGTAAACTCAGTTCTCCAACAATGTAATTACAGTTTCGTGTTATTCGCGAGCAGCGCTTTTACAATGTAATTACAGTTTTGTGTGTGTCGCGAGCGCGGGCCTTACGATGTAATTACAGTTTTCCCTCCCCTCTCCCATGCATTTTCGAAATGTTTCGAATAAATCAAGAATTTATTTATCAGAAAAAAAACAACAAAAGTAAATTATATAAATCCAGACTTCCTTGACAAATAGGCTGGCCTCTTAACGATTCTCGTTCAATATTGATTGTTGTCGTTGTTGAGAAGATGAAGCGTTTGAATGATGGGAAGTTGGGCTGGTGTAGTTTGTTGTTGTAGATTGTTGTTTTAGACCTGAAAAGTTCAATTTAAGTATGAATTCCTATAAGAATAATGAGAAAATTTCTCAACACTGTGAGAAAGTAGAAGAAATCCAGAAAACATATTTTTACAGCAGCTTTTCTATTCTGAGAGGGTTTCTGAATAGAGTTTCTTCACTTTCCCAACGTTGAAAAATTAACTTATTGGTCAAAAAACCACTTACTTTCAAAACATCTCCGGTATTCGATTTCGAATGAGTTCCTTCTGATAAATTTCTGCGAAATCTGAAAAGAAATAATGTTCTAGTTTGAATAGAAATTGAATCACTAAGTCACTAACCATAATTTTTCTCTTGTTGTATCCATCAGACGGTGATCGTAGAAGCGATTGGTCGAAAACCCAAGTCCCGGCAAATCTGAAATATCAAAAATTAGAATTTATCAGAAAAAATCATAAAAATTTGTCATATTTCACTCACCCGCACACTTTTCCATTGTTATATTGATTGCATGAAACTGTCTGAATTTGATTTGACCTGAAAATTGAGCATAAATCACTGAAATAGGGAAAAACTTGGAAAAAAAACAAGAAAATTGTTTCGAAATGAACAGCAGCGCGTCGCTTGAGCGTCTTCGCAACGAGACCCACGTTACAAAGAAATTACAAAATGTGTTCGATGTAATTACAGTTCCACCCAAAATTGTAAAGAGTGTGGAAATACAATGTGATTACAATTTTGCAAAATTCAACTTTGTATTTACGTTGTAACATCAATGTAATCACAACTCACTCCAATTTACAATGTAATTACGGGGCGGATTGCTGAGTAGACAACAGGCAAGCCGAGTGTAGTTTTCCGAAAAACAAAAATCGTTGCTTTTTTCAGGGTGTGAGTTTTTTTTTTCAACACTTTTCGATACTGAAATTTTGCCACGTAATAAGCAAAGCAAAAAATTAATGATTTTTTACGTGATAGTATTGTTGCCCTAATAATTCTAGAAAATGTCAACCTCCTGAAAAATTTAATTTCAAAATTGGATTTCAAAAATCCATAAAGAAAAAAATTTTACATAGTTTTTTGGGTCTACTCTTTTCACAATTCAATTTTCACACTTTTTTTAAATACACGTGGCTGAGCAATATATTGATTTTTGCAGGGAACAGTAAAATCTCGAAATTCGACTGCTACAACATCATCCTCTTCTACATCTTCAACCACAACAATTCTTTCACAACCGCCTCAAATTCCAAATCTTCTACAATTGAATCTCGAATCACTTTGGCCAAAAATCAATAATATTTCATCAGAAGAAACATCAATTGAACAAGAAGAAATTGAAGAAGAAAAATCAGGACAAGAAACGGAAGAAGAAGAGGAAGAAGGAGCAAGAAGCACACCAAGTAGTACATCTGGAACTGGATCAGATCCATCGGGTTCAAGATCAGAACAAGGATCAGGGAAATCGAAAAGGAAAAGTTTTCAACCGAAAAAATTGGAGCCAGATCAAGAAGAAGAAGAAGAGGAAGATGTATCATGTGGAGAAGAAACAACACAACAACAACAACAACAAACAAATCAGAATAACTCATTTTTGGAGGCTCATCGAAAAATATATTCAGCATTTTTGGAACAGCAAAGAAGTCGAATTATTGGAAATTTGGCACAACAACAAAAAGGAGATCAAGTAGATCAACAACAAAATAAAAAAGAAATGAATGTTGAACAATTGGTTGAAAGTTTGAAATCGGAAATTTATGATAATATGCAAGAAAAGGTACGGTTTTGGATCTGAATTGAAGATTTTGGGTTAAGGTGCACCTGAAAACTTTAAGGGTGAATTTTAGAAAAAAACTAATGTTTTTTGAGAAAAATTCAGATGCTCACATCGAGATTCTCACATTTTAGAGGTTAGAAAGAAGCTTGTCAATTTTTGAGAAAGCTTAACATTTTAGGATGAAACTAAAGTTTTTAGGATGAAGCTTTAATAAATCTTAGAGAAGAGCTCGAATGTTCAATGAAAAACTTAGATTTATTTTTGCAGAAACCCGCTTCCAAACCAATGTTGCCACCTGGTGTCCCTCCAATTTTCCACCATCCAATGTTTGCTGCTTTGGCAGCCGCTCAAAATAATCAAATTTTCGGAGCTCCTCAACAAGGTAACCTATAAAAACCTTCTTTTCGACCTCTAATCTCTCAAATTTTCAGCAATTGGTGGCGGAATCTTTCCCCCATTCAATGCTTTCCAAGCTTTTCAAAATGCGATGCTCCGTCGAAATTTGGAAAATGAAGAACCGCGAAAAAAACGCATGAAATTGGAACCTTTTCCACCAACAATGGTTGGACATCCAATGTTTGGAACAGATCGCGAAAATTCGCCGAGTAATTCTGATGATGGAGATTTTGGATGTTATGATGGATGTGGAAATGGTGGAGGAGGAGCTAATTCAACATTAACTCCAATGCATTTAAGAAAAGCTAAATTGATGTTTTTCTATACGAGATATCCGAATTCGAATTTGCTGAAATCATATTTCCCGGATATTCGATTTAATAAAAATAATACTGCTCAACTTGTCAAATGGTTCAGTAATTTTAGGTGAGTGAAATTAGGAAATCGATCGCAAAAACAGAAATTTAGCTTTTTTTCTCTACACATTCGTTTTTGTAGTTTGAGTATCGAAAAAATGTAGACTAGAAAATCCACATGGCAAAATCCTTGCTTAGCTTCCACGTGGCAAGGCCTCCAATTTTTATACAAAATCTTCTGCACATTGTGTTTTTCAAAAAAAAATTCACATTTGACCTGAAAACCTCTTAGTAAAATCTTAGTTCCGGCCGAAAAACTCCTACTATTTTCTAATCCTTTCCTCCCAGCGGCGGAAAGAAAAAAAAAACGAAAATTCCATTATTAATAACCTTGAAGGATTTTATGAAATATGAACACGTTTAACAATAGAAATGTCTTCTTTAGATGGTCATGGCTCGTTGATTATCTTCTTCTTTTTCTTCTACGTTTTCTTTATTATTATTGAATTATTATTATTATGTTTGAGAAAAATAAAGGGAATTTTTGTCAGAAGAAGAAACATAGGAAGTGAAATCAAACGCGCTCTAGTGCACATCACGAGTTTTTTGAAAACTTTCAAAATTTCAGTTTGCTTATTTATCAAGCGCGCTCTATAGTAACCCCCTTCTTTTCTTGAAAACCTCCAAATTTTCCAGAGAATTCTACTACATTCAAATGGAAAAGTTTGGTCGTCAACTTCTTGCTGAAGGAGTTCGATCTCGAGATGAAATTTATGTGACAAAAGATAGTGAATTGTTCAAAGTTCTAAATACCCATTATAATCGAAATAATCATATCAAAGCACCTGATAATCTATTATTTGTTGTTCAAGAAACACTTCGAGAATTTTATGATGCAATTCGATTGGGAAAAGATGTTGAACCATCGTGGAAGAAAACTATTTATAAGGTAAGATGTTTTGGAAGGGATTTTTAGAATTTGGGAATCGAAACGGACGATCGTTTAAGTTTTGAAAAGAAATCTCATCACAAAACCTCTGTAATTGCAGATAATCAATCGAATGGATGACCAAATTCCCGAGTTTTTCAAAGAACCTAATTTTTTGGATCGATTAGAAGGATAATAATTTATTTTTTATATATATGTGCCTCAGTTTTTTTCTTGATTTGATACTTTTATTTTTTATGCATAAAATTTCTATTTTTGAAAGAAGATATGGTAATTTTTCGAAAAGAGAATCAAATGTTCTGTATTTTTGCGTGAAATTTCCACGCACATTTCAAAAATATAATTTTCAAAATATTTCTCAAAACAGTGGGGAAAACCCAAATTTTCCCAAGAATTCCAGAAAATCCCCACAATCAATTGTTTTTCCCAAAAAAAAACAAAACAAGTAATACGATTTTCCATTATGAAGAAAATGATTCATCTTGCAACTATCTGTGGATAAGAGAATGAATGTTTCCTTATTTCATCTTGTTAATAAAAAACCGGTTAATGTTTTTGGCTTGGCAGCCAAAAAGTCATCTTATCTACCAGTTTTGGACATTTTTGTGGCGAAACGCAAAATTTTTGCCCCAATTTTATTTACTTATCATCATTCAGAAACCATTTTCTCTTCATTCGAAAGCCAACATAAATATGAAATTTACCCGATGGGCGCTCGTGGCTTCCGTAGCGCAGTAGGCAGCGCGTCAGTCTCATAATCTGAAGGTCGTGAGTTCGAGCCTCACCGGGAGCATTTTTTGTTTTTTTTTTTGAATTATTACATTTTTTCTCCAAATCACTAGATAATTTGTGTTTTGACCCAATTTTCGATTGCATTGTTTCTTCTTTTTTCTCATTTTCCTTTCTATTGTTTTTCGTAATCTTTTTCTTCGTTTCTTTTGTCATCGGTTTCACCTACTAACAAAAAATAAGTTAGTCATTTTGTGGTTCAAAAGTTTTGTCTAGCCAATTATAAGGTTATCCGGGACAAGTTTCCTTTTTCTAGAGAAATACAGGATCCATAAAAAGTATTTATGATTTTCTTTGCTGCCTCCAATTTAATATATATTTATTATAGTTTGAACGAATTCCATTCCTTGGCCATTTATGACCTTGGAGAAGGACAAAACGACGAGGAAAAGTGGCTAACGACTTTTTTGTATTTAAGTTTTTTATTGTTGGTTTTTTTCTGTTTGGGAATTCTAGCTAGACTTTTTTGTTAAAATATTGATTTTTCTGTGTTTTGTGCGCAAAATTTAGTGTGAAGTTGAAAATGAGAATTTTTGAAATGAAATTCCACATTTCAACCTTATTTTTATCATTTATGAAAACACAATTAACATTTTTTCTGATTTAATTTTTAAATTAAAATGAAAAATCTGCATATTTCGGTGAAATTTATTGTGGAAATCTGAATTTATCATTTTCAAACATTAAAATTAACATTTTCTCTTTAATCTGGCATTTAAAATAACAGTGTTATTATTTCATTTACCTCTTTCTCGTATAATTTCTCAATTTCTCGAAATCTTGATCTTCAATCTCTATTCAATTTTTCTCGATCCATTTTCCATATACCATTTTCCCTCTTCATTTTCTCACAGATGGCAGTAATCGCTTCAACATCCGACGATTATTACGCAAACTACGCATTTAATTCATCGGATCCATCAAATTCAACGATTCGTGTTCCAAAAAATTCGACCGAAAATCGTCGATTGAAATATGGGCATGCCGAAGATGACAATTCCGATATCGCTTATTTGAATTTTTCGATTTTAATTCCATCGATTTTATTCACAACAATATCGGTTGCTTGTTTCATTGGTGAGTCTAAAAAAACTATTTTTATTTCAAAATAAAAAAAACTTTTTTGAAAAAATAAAAGTAAAACAACGATACTCCGCATTGACATATCATGTTTTTCAGCCGCGGTTGCATTTTCTTTGAAAACCGATTATTTACCGAATGAACAAGAGTTGGCACGTGGATTTATTGTTTCTTATGGAAGTAGTCGATTCAGGTGTAATGTGAGTTTTTTGGGGATTATCTAAAAAAAACGTTGACAAGGGTTGCTACGTAGCAAAATTCTAAAACTTTGTCAAAAAACCCACGTGACCTAGTGTTTTTTGAAGTTTAAAAAACAATATGATTTTTTTCCTTCAGAACACTCTTCCAATTCCTTCAAATGGTCTTCCATCAATTCTAAATCTCTTTGAATTAAATGTCATCGGAAATGTTTTATTTCGATATTCCACGTGTATTCCAATTATTATTCGAATTTTCCACAGTTTCACCATAAAAAATTTGGTGCAACACGATTTTGGAGCCGAATTTTCGAGTGTTCATAAATTGCTAGCCGATTCAATGCCAATGTTTTGCGGTTTGGAAGCGTTGACTCTGGCACTTTTCAGTATTATTACTGTTCATGAGGATTTTCCAGGTTTGGTTTTGGGAAAAACATTAATAAGCGATGTGGTATTGCTCATGTTAGACTGTAGAATTTTGATGAAAAAATTACCAAAACATCGAATGTTTTTTGCAGAAGCCAATCGGTTATTCAAAATAATTTTCTCAATGTCTTCAATTGTCAATATGCTTTCAACAACAATTGTAATATTTCCATTTTCCTCAAAAAGTCCAGCAAAAATCGATAATTTCTCAATTTGCCTCAAAATTTGTGCCACTTTTTTATATTCCTATTTTATGCCACAATATATTCAATATCATCAAGCTTCAATTACTTTTCCAATTTGTCATTCTTATTGTGAGTTTTTTTTTGGGGTTTTGGAGGATCTTTATGTTGAATACTTTCCACGTGGAAAATAATCTAGACCACTCTAAACAATTCACAGTAAGTCGCTTTATTCAAGAAAATGTTCTTATCATAAAAAATGACTGATTTCTGCAAAAAATATTTCACAATAATTTCGAATATGAAAAATTACAAAAAATGATTATTCAACCTGGGGAGCTCCCGCATATGGCAACAAAAAATCGAATAAAAACAGCTTTATTTTCCGCAATATCAATCCATTGTTCAAATTCTCTCAAACTCGTTCCACCAACCAAATTTTGAATCGAAACCGCCAACATTTTTCGTTGTTCAATTTGAAGATTTTCATAAATTCTCATATAATCGATAAATTCTTCTCGATTTTGTTGAATTGCAAATTGTGCAACCAATCCAGCCAAAATTCCAAATGGTCCAAATAATATTCCACCACCCAAACCCCAAAAAATTGTTTGGCGATTGAATGGAAGTTGAAAACCACGCTGGAAAATTCGATTTTTGGCAGAATTTCTCACATTTTGAATCGCATTTATTTTTAAACCCTTTTTTTTTTAAACCCATCCAGACTTTTCGGGAAAAATTATTTTTTCATCAAAATACTGACCTGAAATTCTTCTTCATTTTGAACATGTCTTAGAACGCTGTGTAAATATTCTTGAAGCATTTTTCTAAATATTTAAAAAATGATAATCAAATTTTTGAGATTCTTTTTATGGGGAATTTTTTTTTTTGGAAATATGACTAATTTGAGATAAGAACAAACTATTTTTTAATCAAATTTTTAATTCGAAAAAGAAAAGTTGGAAAATGAGAAAGTTTTTCTCTTAAGTTTTCATGCTAAAATTCTACTTTTTTAATAAAATCCACGTGGTTCTGTAATATTCCCACCAAATTATATTTTCTTTTTCCAGTGCCTCGCGCCTTTGCCTATATGGAATACACAATAATCCTTTCCTATGCCATTTTCCATCTTTCAACCCTAATCGATCTTCGCCACATTTCATTCATTTGTTATCCGCGAAGTTCAAGCGGTGAATGTGAACCATTGGACCCAAAAAACTTCGAAATCGGTGCAAAATATCAACATTGTCGAGCTTTCGAATTCAATCAAAGACGAATTATGAGTTTGTAAACATTTTTATTTTATTAAATTTTTTTGCATTTAAAACTTTTTCTCTCAAAAAAAACAAAATCGCATTCAAAACAAGAAAAAAAACAGAAAAAAGGTTATCATATCGGGAAAAAAGAAACTCGTAAAAATCACACATTTTTTGTTGGGGTTTTTGATTTAAAAAAAAAGGAATTAATATTACAAATCATCATCAGACATATCTTCAATTTCCATCGGACCAGTTGGTAGTAGATCAAAACTGATATGGTCCAATTTTGAGGTTACTGTAGGTCGAATTGAAGAAGAAGAAGTTGTCGATGGTTTTGTTAGATTGTTTTCGTCGTTGTCTTCGAGATCGAATACTGAGATCATGCGGGGAGCTGCAAAAATTGATATAAAGAGGGGTTTTGAGGATTTTCGTATATTTTCTAATGTTTTTGAGCCACGTGGCACAGTAGTCCGGCCCGCCCCAAAAGCCCGCAATAAAATACTCACCAGGTGTAGTTCCAGAACTCGGTGTTCCTCCAATCACTTTCTTAGTCGCAGTTGTTGCAGCAGATGCAGCCGCTCGACAAATCGCTTCATCTTCATCTTCCGACATATCCGAAAACACAGGTTCCGTATTGTGATTTGCCAAATCTTTGTTACCAATCAATGAAACAATTGGTGACGGGGCTTTTGGAAGAGTCGAAATTATTGGAGTCGGTGCAGCTGGAACTAGTGGAACAGCTGCAATCGGAGTTGTTGCAACTAGAGGCGCAACAGAAACTGTAGGTGGTACAGGAGGTGGAATTGAAACTGTCGCAGTTGCCGGAATATTTGCGGCTGTTGTGATTACTGTAGATGATGCAGCAGCAGCAGGAGAAGGTGCTTGGAATGCGGAAGTTGTCGGAATAGGTCTTGCAATTTCCGGAGGTGGACGAATCAAATTGAATTGTTCATACATATCAGGTTTTCCAATTTGCGGAGTTGGTCGACGAATTTTTGATTGTGGTGGAACAGACGCGGGTTGTACCGGCGCGGCTTGCGTTGTTATCGGTTGCGGTGTTGCAGTCGGTTGAACTCCACTCTCAAATACAACCATACAATCATCCGAATGATTTGTGTTGGCAGGCGATGGAACCAATGATGCAACAGCTTGTGCTTGTTGTTGCACTTGTTGTTGTTGTTGCGCTTGTTGCGCCTGAGCTTGCGCTTGTAACACTGCATATGCTTGCGGAAGATTTCCAGAAAACAATTGTTGACATAGAGCCAAGTAATTTTGCTGTTGTTGTTGTTGTTGTTTGGATACAGCTTGCTGATTTCCTTGCGCCGCCGCCACATTTGCTTGTGTTGTTGCGACTTGCGCAGCAGCCGCAGCAAGTTGCATTTGATAAGCTTGTTGGATGAGTTGCTGCAAAAAAACCAATAGATTGGAATTATGATATTTTCAGTATGCCTGGGAATATTTTTCTATATTATGGTAGGTTGAAGAAAAAATTAGTGAAAAAGCATAACTACAGTAACCTCGAAGATGTTTCAGGGCTACTGTAGACCTTCCAAAAACATAGAAAAAGAAAGTAATCTGAATACTGTTATACAGGACTAAATTTTTTATTTTTCTGAACTATTCTTTCAGAGAGAAATTCTACAGTAATCAAAAACTACAGTGATCTGTTCAGATAATACTATAGTTATAAGAAAAAATCTAGAGCTCCAGAATTTTGATAGAAAATTTAAAAAAACTGAATTGACTTCAAAATTACTGCGATTCAGAAAAATATTACAGTAACCCAAAAATTACAGTAGTTCTTGAGAAAAAAATTCTGGACTACTGTACTTCAAAAAATTCTGAAAAATCTTTGTACGATATTTATATTCTCCGATTTTTGCTATATTTTTTACTTTGGACATAGCATTAAGAAATACTGTAGTCAAAGAAATTCGCTAATATCTGGAGAAATTCTAGTTAAAAACCAAATTTCAATAATTTCCCACTAAATGTTCCCCCGAATGTCTTACCATTTGCTGTGCTTGTGCTTGTTGTTGAGCCACTTGTTGTTGTTGTTTTTGTGCAGCCGAAACCTGTACTTGCACTTGCGTCTGCGCTTGTCCACTCGTTCCAGCCACAATACTTCTAGCAGTTGGTCTCGCAGCCATTTGCATATGTTTTTGTTGTTGCGGTGCAGCAGCCGCTGCTTGATGCAATCCAGAAATTGTTTCATATCCCGATTTTCGTTTAGTTTGTTCCGGTTGCGCAGTTTGCTGCTGCTGTTGTTGTTGTTGCGCAGCTTGCGCAGCCGCCGCCGCTTTTGATTGTTGTTGCTGATTATGATAATATTGCATTGCATTATTCATTTGGGATAATTGAAGAGTTCTTTCATTGTACTCATTTACTGCTTTTTGATATTGTTGAAGTAATACTGGATCTTTGTTGTTTGTCTGCAAAAATTAGATTGTGGCAAGCGGGGAATTCAAAATCAAAACTTTTTCAAAAATGATATTTTCAGCTTTCAAAAAATTTCAGATCCGAAATTCATATTTCTAGATTTTTTTCAGAGCTCCAAACAATTAATTAGGGACACCATAGGATAAATACAACCAAGGGAAAAGCTTTCTTTGCTGCCACGTGGCTTCTCAAACTTAGGCTTGAATAAATAAATGAAATGCTCACTAGTTGTTCCTGCATTTTCATCATTTTTTCCAACATTTTCTTCTGATCCGCCATGAATAATTGATGTTGAACATGTAATTGTGAATAAGTTTCGGCATCGAATTTTGGTTGTGGATTTAGTTTTTGTTGGATTTGGTGAATTTGTTGAGTAGAAATTGGTGCAATTTGTTGTTGTTGTTGTTTTTGTGTTTGTTGAGGATACTGTAATAGGGAGAAGGTGAAGAAAGGAAAAAGAACAGAAAAAAGCTATTTGAGGGTTAGATAAAACACAAAATCGTGCAAAAATCAGGGGTCAGAATAGGAAAACTTACAGGCTGTTTAATTCCAATCACAGATTTAGCCGAACTTGAAGAACTTGATGCTTTTTGATGATGAAGATTTGAATTAGCCGGTGAAGCAGTGATTGGCTGGAAATAAGAGAAGGTTTGAAATTTTGAAACTTACGTTTCCAAAAATAAATTAAATTTTGAAAACGTTCAAATTTTTTAAAAATGATGAAATGTCAGAGCATTCCCATGAATATCCAAAATTGTATACGTTTCAAAAAATGGAGAAATTTGTAATAATTTTGAATTTTTCGATTTACATTTTTTAATCTATTTCAAAAAAAATGAACAAAATTTGATGTACCCCAGAAAATCTTTTCAGAAAAAACTAACCCTCTGAAACTGTTGTTGCTGAACTTGTTGCTGAACCTGTGCCTGTTGTTGTATTTGTTGAATAAGCGTCTCTCTTGTCTTAATATTCTCCCGAATTGCAACAATACTTTTGGCAACTTCCGTTTGTTTTTCAGTCAATGTTGCTTTTTCATGATGCGCTTTTTTCAAATCATTATGATTTTGGTTCAATGTGATGTGCAAAGCATTCGAATTTGGTTGAACATTTTCTCGAAACATTGCTGAATATGTCGAATCCAATTCTCGTTTTCTACTCTCCAACAACATAATTTCTCGAGTTTTTAACTCAATCAACTCATTTCTTCTTTGATATTCTTGTTCCACTCTATTTTGTTCAGTTTTCAATTGATACAATTCTCCTTGTTGAACTAATAAAGCAGATTGATTTTGATTCTGAACTTGTGCCTGAGCTTGAACCTGTGGTTGGCTTTTTTGCGGCATAGTTGCTGCTCGATTTCTTGGCTGAGGTTGTTGTACTGGAGGTGTTGCATGTCTCAATTGTTGCTGCTGCTGCTGTTGTTGTTGTTGAAACTTGAACATATAATCAGTCAAATAATTCAAAATCGGCTGATTATTCACTCCAGAATTCGGTTGAGTTATACTGCTGATATACATGCTCAAATAATTTTGGAATTCAGGATTCGATTGACACAAAAGTTGCATTTGTTGTGGATTCTGAAGAGGATGCAAAAACATTTGAAAATGCCCAATGAATAATGATTTGGGGGAGAAAATGAAAGGGGAGGAGAGAAAAGCGGAAAAATATCGGGCATAAAATGATCAAAACTTTAGGGGTAGATCAAAAAGTTTAAGATGTTCGAAATTGACTAACTTGGGATCTTTGGGCGAAAAAACTACAGTGTAATTTCAAATTTTGAAGCAAAATAATTTGAAGTTCTACAGTAACCCAATTTAGTAATTATTTATTAATTTCTACAGTAATCAAACGGAACATTTTTACAAAAACAAGTTTCCCTTTATATTTAGCTACAGTAACTTTGATAACAAAATTGTTCTACCGTAATCCTACAGTTTTTTCACCTAACTCCTATTTTTTGTGAAAACTATGCAAAAACTCTACAGAATTGTCGCTAAAAGAAGTCTACAGTAATCCTGAAACCCTAATACATATTTCGCCATGAACAGTGTCAAATATGTTATCCTAGAAAGCCTAGTCTTTGTCAAGTATCAGCGCCTAGAGATCTACTCTAGCAAGGAGCCGCGCCTATAAATTCACCCAATTTTTTCCTTCCGAAAAAAAACCAACCTGACAAAGATCGAGAACAGCTTGATATTGTACTTGATGAATTTGCTGCTGCTGAAGTTGTTGCTGTTGCTGCTGATCTTGTCTAACTTGTTCATCAATCGTATTATTTTGTTGTTGTTGTGTGACTCGTGCAAACGGTGTTCCAGTTGTCAAACTTCCAACAATTGGTCGAATCGGTTCCGGATGATGTAATTTAGGTGTCGAAGATGATGAAAGTGCAGATGAAATGAATTGTTGTTGTTGTTGGGGAGTTGGTCGAATTGGTTGAGGTGTGGCGACTTTTGGAGGCGGAAGCAACTGTTGTTGTTGTTGAGCTAGAAGATTTGGCGAAACTGGTGGCCGTTTTGCCGGTGGCTCCAAACTCGATTCTTTTGATTCGCGCGGTTTTGCAATTGATATGATTGGAATCGGAGCTGATTGTGAAGGTGGAGTTGCGATTGCAATTGGTGCAACCATTGGTGGATTAGCTGGTGGCGGTTGAAGAGTTTGTTGAATTGGTGGAGTGTTGATGAGAGATGGTCCAGGTTTCTGAAAAACATAGATGTTTGAGCTTGAACTTGAGGTTTCAGGTCAGCTAATTGTCACCCAATGATTTTTCAATTTTTTTTTCATTATGAATCCCATTAACATGGAAAAAGAAGATTTTCAGCTCAAGAATCATACTTTTTGGAGTTCTAGGAGGTATTGAATTTTAAGATGTTTAGGCTAAAAAATTTGATTTTGTTTTCGTTAAAAATCTAGAGTTTGGCTTCTGAATATATATTTCAGTCCAGGTTAATTTTCAAGACCCCGTCCCTCTGTAAATTCCTTACCATAATATCTTGTTGCTTCTCAATAATTTCATCTTCATTTTGTATATCATCCTTTTCAATTTCTTCTTCTTCATTCTCTTCTTCATTTTCCTTTTCATTTTCTTTTTCATCTCCATCTTTTTCTCCTCCTCCTCCATCATCCTCATCTTTTTCTTGTTCATTTTCTTCTTCTTCTTCTCCTTCAATTTCTTCTTTTTTCTCTTCTTCTCCTTCCATTTCTTCTACTTTTTCTTTTTCTTTCTTTTCTTCTGGTTTTTCTTCATCTTCTTCATGTTTCATTCCATTCAATTTTTCATATTGTCTTCTACATTCCATTGCAGTTCTTTGTTCTTTCATTCCTTTCGAAATTGCTGGCCAATTTTGAACTCCAAATTTATTGATTAATTTCGTCAATTTTTCAATCTCTTTTTCTGTCCATTGAACTTGTCCAACATATTTATTCAATTCTTCAGTCAATTCAGAATCACCGTTTTTCAGCTGAAAAAAAATGAAATCAAAAAATTATCATTTTCTCATATTTTTCTCATGTGATTAAATGTTATGGTGATCGTTTTGTCACCAAAAAAACTATGAATCACGAAATTTTTAATGTGAAAATTTTTATTGATATTTTTTCGATCATAAAAAAAATTCCCAAAAAATTGTTATGACGTAGCAAAAACCCCAAATTTTTTGACACGTTGAATTTTTCAACCATAAAATCTCTTCCACAAAAAATTGAGTTATGACGTGGCAAGTACACACTTCTTTTTGATTTTATTTGGTTTCAGCTTAAAATTGAAGATAAGCCTGGATAAATAGGTTCAAAATTACAATTTCATAGTTTATCAAAATAATCTTGTTCTCAAAAATCAAATTCAAAATTAAGAGTTAGTTATGACGTGGCAGATTGTTGGCGTCAATTACTTTATTACACCAAAAAAATGACTTTTTGCAATTAACGTTTGTTCGTTTTACACAACATTAATATCATTTTTTGGTTGCTTGGGAAAATTGAATTTTTAAAGACTCTTGAAAATCAAAACTTCAGGGAAAAAGACTCAAAATCCCTGCATCTTCCAATTTCTGGTTTCTAACCTCTTCTCCCAATTCATCCAATCCATTTGGATGCGACATTTGATAATAAAACTTATAATGAACCATATTTCAAAAATGAAATGAAGATGATGTGAGTCGAGAAAAAAACAATGAGAGCTCTAAAAGCAGGCTATTTAGGCTATTAAAAGCGAAGAAAGAAATCCGTCGTCAACGATGAGAAAAAAGGAGAAAATGAGTACGAAAAAAAGGAATATATGTATATAGATCTCAAAAAAAAACTATGTATTATGGTTTAAAAAAAAGGAAAAAAATTTATGTTCGAAAGTTACGTTCAGCTTCAGAGTTTCATGAATAAAACTGCGAAAAATTCAAAAATTACACCTAATATCCTGTGGCCAGAGAGACATTTAAATTTTCAAAAAAAAAAAACGGGTTTAAAAAAAATTCTGAATCGGACCACTTTCTGAAAAGTTTCATATTCAAAAACTAAAATTGTTGGAAAATTCGGAGCTGATTAGATTCCTAAGAACAATTTGGCCACCCTGGTTCAATTCAGAAATCTTCAAAACATATTTTTGTTTTCTGCCCGAATCACCCGAGTAGGAAAAAGCTAGGAGAAACAAAAACAGAAAAACCTTTCATAAAAATTCGTCACATCACCCAAAAAATCAATCGATAAATGCACTTTTTTGGCGCAACAGATTTTTATGAAAAGAAAAGGAAATATGCACTTTTTTGCTTCTTCGATGATGAAAAAATGGGGAAAAAAGAAAAGGCGACCACAAAAAAAACGAATGTGCAAAATCATCTAATAAAAAACATTACATTTACATTATATATTTCTCGCCTTATATTATATGTTTTTGAGAAATAACAAAAAAAATAGGATGAAGATGTAAAATGGGCGGAGCTTAGGACCCAAAAAACTACTGTACTTTTTCTTTTTTTTTTCTGGGGAGAGAAAGAAAAACTCAATTTTCCTACAAATTTTTACTTGAAAACGACATTTTTTGTATTTTTAATCCTTTTTTATTATATAACCTGAAGTGTGAAACGAAATTAGGGGGTTTCGGTGCAAAAAAATCTGGCGAGAAAGGGATTTTGCTCCGGCCTAACAAATTTAGAGCAAAAAATTACAAAAATTTTGATCTTTGAAAGCTCATGAAAACATACATTGTATTCGAAATCTCTTAAACCTAACGCTTTTTTCTTCAAGCTCCTAAAATGTTTACATTAAAACTTCAGATATTGAAGACCTCAAAACTACTGTAGTTTTTTTAAAAAGATTTTTTGGCTCAAAAGCCTTTATCACAAAGTTTCTAAAATTGAAGTTTAAAAATTGACCATTTCAAAATTTTGCGCTAAAAAATCCAATTTTCCCAAGCAACAAAATGGTTTTGTGTAAAACAAACAAACGCTAATTGCAAAAAAAGTCATTTTTTGGTGTAATAAAATAATTGGCGACGAAAATTTGAACTTTTTTGCAGCTTACAAGATTTTTAAAGCTTCATATCAGAATGATTTTTGGCCACGAAAACTATAAAAATCCGAAATACTTTGTAGTTTTTCACCTACTTATAAGCTCAACTTTGAATTTCACCACAATTTTTGACGTTGAAAATCAAAACACAGATTTTTTTCAAATCTTGTAATGAAATTTTTGCCACGTAATAGCTCGTTAGGAAAATATCAATTTTGTAAAAAAAACATTATTGTTTATTGCCAATAAAAATCATTTTTGATGGAAAATTGTGAAAATTTTGAAAAATAAGAAATGCCACGTCATAACTAACAATATTTCAAATGAAAATAATTTTTAAACGCCTGGGAAATAATTGATGAAAATTGTGGGAAACTTGAGAAAATTTTCACTAATCGTCTAGAAAATTCAAAATTTCAAAGTCAAAAATTATTTCGAGGCGTCGAAATTTTGCGACTCGAAAATCATCATTTTTCAAAAATTTCACGGAGAAACCTATAATTTTAGATACCAAAGATTTTGAAATTTTTAACGGAAAAAAAACAAAATTTCAAGGGTTTCAGGTTCAATTTCGTTAAATTTTCACAAAAAACATTGAATTTGTTTTCCGATTTTCAAAAAATTGCCACGTCATAACTATTCTCGTAAAAACGTTTTCTGTTCAGAAAATTATTTGAAAATTATTTTCCAAAGTTTTGAAATATTAAAAAAAACCCTCCCCAAAAAAACTAACCGAATCAACAAGTTTCGAAAATCTCTTGAAACACGTGGCACAAAACTTCAAACAAGCTCTTGGCGCATCAATTTTATCAAATAAAAATGCACGTTGTTTGAGATTGAGATCTTTCAAAGTTGCCGGCAAACATTTGGATGGTTTCATTTTTTTCTTCGACGCACACAAATCACCGTGACATTTGGAATTTCTCAATTTCAGCGCTTCTTCTCGACATTTATAACAAACAGCTTCTGCGTGTTCACTCGAAAGTTGAAATAAATCAAAAGCTTCTCTCGGAATACCAGTTCCATTTGTTTCAATTCCATCAATTTGTCGACAACAACAAAAACAGATTTTCGGTCGAATTTCGAGATATTCAATAGATGTTGTTGATATTTGAGGCATCATTCGATATAATGCAAGTTCTTCATTATTTGGCATTTGTCCAGGTCGATATTTATTTGAATATCTTTTCTTTTTCTTAATGAACAAATTCTTATAAAACTCCTCATTTTTGGATAAATAATAAAATGCGACACAATCCGATGGTGTTTTATCATAGAAATATTCAGACATTGCTCCAAAATTTTTAATATGATCTGGTATACGAGTTTTGAATAACTTCCTTTCTTCAATTGTCCATTTATCTTTTTGTTCAGCAATTGATGCAAAATGTTCAACTTCTAAATCATCAATAATAGCTCCTTCTCGTTCAATAAATACATCTTTTGCTTGTTCAGCTCGATTATAAAGTGGTGGTATAACAGCTCGAGAATGTAGTAATTTATCCTCATATGTTTTCTGTAAAAATAATGATTTTGTGGATATTTCTGGTGATAAATTATTATCAAAAATATCCCCCGAAAATGTCGCTTACCCTCGCTGCAACTGCCGCCGCATCTTCTCCTCTCAATCGATCTCCTCTCGCTTGTCTTTCTCGATCTTCTCTTTCTTTTCGAACTTCCGGAAATGTTTTCTCAACTATTTCACGAACTCGAGCCTCCAATTCTCTGCAAAAACAACATTTTTAGATAAGTTTCAAACTTTTTTGAACATAAAATTTCGATTTCAATAATCGAATTATTAAAAATTCAAAAATAGTCTTACATTCTCTCACTACTTTTCTCCCAATTTTCCAATTTCTTCATATATTCTTCTCTTTGTTGTTGATAAACTTGCAAATATTTGACTCTTGCAACAGCTTCTCGGTTATCAAATTTTTCTCGAAAATTTGCACGAATTTGTTTTTCCATTCGAATCATTTCTAAGTTTTTTCTCGGAATTATTCCAAATCCTTCAATTTCTTCCATTTCATTCGCTTTTTCCAAACATTTCGCATAATTTTTCAGCCTTTTTGTCGCCAAATTTTTGCTTTCATTCATCATTTTTTGAGAAATTGGAATTTCTTCATTGAAATCTTCGAATGGTTCTTCGATTTCTTCTTCTTCTTTCACTTCTTGCTGGAAAAAACGCCATTGGAAAAGAAATTTGAATTCGTGGATTCAACAGTTTTAATAGGAAAAAAAATGTTGCCACGTGGATTCGCATTTTTTGAATGTTTAATTTTATAATTTTGAAGAGAAATGAAATTCGTAATGAAATTTTCAGAACTCCGAATTAAACAAAAATGTGCCACGTGAATTTTGTGTTTGAGAATAAAATTTAACATTTCAAATTTGGCTTGAAAAATCCACATAGAAAAGCGAGTTTTTGTTCTAATTTTGTCAAGTGAATTTCAAAATTTAATTAATTTTTCTTGATTTAAAAAATATTCCAAACCTTTTTCTCGGCCAATTTTTGCATAGCATCACAATTCGTATCGCCAATCTTTTTCTCTTTCTCAACATATTCCAAATCATCCATAATTTTCTTTTTTCGTCCACGCTGAAAATAGAAAAGAGTTAAAAATCTGAATTTTTCGGGGGATGCTCTCACAATATTATTCATAGCCTCATTTGCTCCTTTCATTCGTTCTTTTGTGTGTGAATACAATCCTTCTGTATGTGATTTTTCGACATTTTTCGATGGATCCGAAGATTTCTGAAAGATCAAAATGAATGTAATCTTTAAAAAACGAGTTATGATAACTTTTATGAGCCAATTTTCAAGAGAGAAAACATAAAGATATTACAAATTCTAAAATGTCCTTTGGCCTTCGGATTTTTCAAGTTTTCATAACTTGTCTCATAATTTACTTCAACAACTTGAAAATCCCACCTTTTCCAATTTCGATTTTCCATTCCGTTTTTTCGTCCAAAATTCTTCAGTTTTCGATTTTTTCATCGAATTTTTCAAAATTTCCTCTTTAGATTCATCATTTTCTTCATTTTTCACAACAATTTTCTCCATTTTCTCATTCAATGATTTCCATTCAATTGGTGGTTCTGATCGACATTTTTTATATCGATTAAAATCTGTTTCATTTGATAACTTTGCTCGAGATGTACTTGGTGGACATTCCAAAGCACCAGATGACAATAAATATTGATCTTTTTTCGATAATAATGATGAGTTTTTGAAGAATTTTGAGAAAGATTCAGATGATAATTTTGCATCTTTCAGGGCCAAATCGAAAGTCTGCAAAATAATCTGGTTATTGTGGAAGTTTCAGATCTAATGGACCTATGATTAAAATATTTTTTAAATTAAAATTTCTGAAATATATTTTTTTTCAAAGAGACAACATAAATTTGAGAGAGCGCAGACAATAAATTAGTTTTTTGAACAAAAATACAAGATACTGATTTTCTGTCTACTTCAAATCTGGCCTAGGTCACAATTTTGTTCCGTATTCTTTCTCAAATCAGAGCTTTTCCTATCATAGCCTGACTTTCGAGTCCAGTCTCCATCTATGTCAAACTAACCCTTCTAGCAGATGCTCGATTTACTGTAGCCGGATAACCAGTCGATGTCGATGGTCCGTATCCATATCTTGAATATTCTACGCCAGCCTGCAAAAATTGTACTTTTAATCCATTTTCTTTTTGTTTTTCGCGACAAAAAATTGTATCTCCATTTTTTCCACCTGCTTTTTTCCTTTTCCTTTTTCTTTTTTTGCTAGCAGCTGGCCAAAAAACACGGGGATTATTATATATTTATATGTAATAACTAAATCTAGATATGGGAAATTAGAAATGCGACAAGATCTTTGGAGATAAAAATCTGTACTTTGGCAAGAAAAAAAAACGGAAATTTAATGGTTTTTAGTTCAGAACTTAGGTTAACTTTAGACAATTTTGAAATTCTCTCTCTTATAAACATTTGGAAGAAAGTTGGAACTCACAAATTTTGCAGTAGTTTTCTGAATTAGAAAATAATGAAAATAAGCAAAAATGTGATTTAAAAAAATGAAAAATGTTACACGTTCAAAAAGTTCACGTGGAAAATACGAGGATATGAAATTTTGTAGATTTTTTTAAATGGTTCGATAGAGCGAATTTGTAACCTTAGAAAATATGTTTCTAGGCCATGAAAAACTAGATCAACTCTAAAAATTGAAATACTGTAAATTTGAAAGCCTGGCCGAGTTTTCCGTATTATTTTTTAGGCCATGGGTCATTCTTGACACAGAAATTTTAATTTTCACGATTTTTAATTCGAAAACATAAGTTTTTATCATTTTTTCAGCAATTTTCTTATCTCAAAATTCTAAAACAATACATTTTTGCAGTCCTCTTAAATAAGTATTATTTATATATTAAAAATTTTCCCCCTTCTTCTTCTCCTTTTTTCCCCTTCTCAATTCTTCTCCATTTCCAATTCAACCAAGCCAAGCACACATACACGGCCTCACAAAACTAACCAAATACTCTCTCTCTCCTCTCACTCTAGACACACACTATTTCACTGTCTATCTTTTTTTCTCTGCACTCTCGCACACTCTCTCGTCCATAGCGACACAAAAAGAAAGGAGATTTTCAAAGAAGAAGAAGAAGAACGGGGAAATGGGAAGAAGAAAAACTTACAACTGGTGAAGCGGGTGGTTTTTTGGGTGGCGGATTGTAAATTCGTTTTCGGGTATAAACAAGATGATGAGAAGATGGTCCGGGTCTGGAAAAATATTGGATTTTCACAGTTTCGCCTAAAAATTCAAGGAAAATTGAGATTTTTTTAATTTAAAATGTTCTTTGGAAATTCGTGAAATCTTGGGAGAAAATTTAAAATTCGAAAAACCAAAATTAGAATCAAAACTCAAGGGCAAAGCCCGAATTAAAAGTTCAAGGACAAAAAACCCGCGCGGAATTTGAAATTTGAACAATTTTGAGCATCAAAAATCACCATTTTCACTCAAACCCTCTAATTATAGCCAAAATGACATTCGGCCCCCAAAAAATGCTTACGTTTCCATTAATTCCAGCTTCTCATATTCGTCTTCTCTCTTTTCTATTTTTATAAATTGAACATCTTCATCTGATTCTTCTTCTGATTCTGTTTCTACTTTTGTTTCTTCTTTGATTTCCTCTTCTTCATCCTCAATTTTTGAATCATTATTTTGCTCAGAATTCGGTGAGTTTTCAGGTCCATGTTTTGGTGAAGATGAAGGTGATGGTGCCATATATCTAATCTTTTTTGTTGCGAAGATTTTTAAATTAATTAATTAATAACAGATAATTAGGATAACAAGAAGCGGTGAATTTTGCTGAAAAAAAACATTTTTGTGCGAAAAAACAAAAAGGAATGGGTTATTACGTCATCAATGGTTTGTTGGCACGCTGCCAAAAAAACTAAAAATTTGAAAATCACATGGTTTTTGGTGTTTTTCGATAGAGAATTTTACAAGGAACATCATAAAACTATTTATTTTTCCTAAAAACAATTTTAGCTAATTAAAGTCCCCAAAAAACTAATTAAACTTTAGGGACCTCCTAAAATCTCCGGTTTTTCGAGAAAAATTAAACAGCTTTGCCTCGTGGTTTCTAACACCCTTAAGAACATCGAAACAAAATTTGACAAAATTTTGACCGTTAGATTTTCAGAAATATCGATTTTTCTGAAAATTTCTTCCCGGTTAGTTTTTAAGAGTCCTAAATAAAATAAAATAGAGGTTTTGGGTTCTGCGGGTTCTTTATAGACCTATCTAGAAGACTGATAGAAAATTATAATGATTTACAAATTTCAGCGCGAGATTTTTGAAATTTCAGAAAAAATTCTGGAAAAATCTATAACATTTTACCCGATTGAGATTTCTTTCTGAAACTTTTCATACAGTTTTAGATAGGTTTAAAGAAGCAATTGACAAAGTTTCCACGTTTTTTGCAAAACGGGAACTGAAAAAATCAATAATTTCAAAAAAATTTCGAAGGCGATTTTCACCCTTTCAACTATCTCTAAAAACTTGGAAATTTTGACTAGGGCTTCTTTAACCACTTAAAAACATTATGCAATTACCAGACCTTGAAAAATTTTCAGAAAATTGAACTTAAATCAAAGAACAAATTTCGAAAGTACCTAAAAATGTAAGCGAACTCGATAAAAGTTACACTATAATGTAGAGAATTTTATGACGAGAAGAATGGTACAAAAATGAAAAGATTTGAACAATGTTGGACACGTGAAACAACGTAAAAAACAAAAAATATCAAAGGAGCGAAGATGGTGAAAGTGAATTGCTAAAGAGCGGGCAGTGTCATCGCGGAGGCGTGTAGTTTGTTGAAGAGGGGGAAAAGATGTGAGACAGAAAATTGGACGGCGGCTGCTGCGAAACACTACTTATTTACTACTTTTTATGTTCTTTTCGTTGATTTCACAGGTCACTTTTGTTCCAGAACACCTTCAATTTGAACTTATTTGTATTCTTGAGATAATTAATAAAGAAACCTTAACTTTTGACCTGGAATTATTTGTATTCACATGAAGAATAAAAATTTAAGATTTTGTAAATAGTAACAATTTTATAACAAGGAATTTATAAACAGAATCACGCAATGATTTCGAAACGAAGTGGAGCGAGGAGTTCTGGGGTGTTATCCTTGGTGGTTACGGTGTGGGCAGCGCGTGGAGCGACTGGAAGTCTCTTCAAAACTGGAACTGGCTTGTTGGCGGCCTTAGCAGCTTGTCTTTGTTGATCGTTTGACTTGACGCGGTTCAAGAAATCGAAACGGCACTTGGATGGCTTGATGTGTTCGACGCGGAGGTTGATTCTTTTTGGAAGGATGTTTCCTCTGAAAAAATCATGGTTTGAATAATAAATTTCAAGGATTACAGAATTTTCTATCTAAACTTAAAGAGTATCAATCAGTAATCTCTGATCTAGATAATTTTGGTAAGACAATAAAAATGAGAAACTAGTTTTGTGGAAAATCATAAATTTTTCTGTCTTAAAAATATCAGTTCCTTCGAATAAAAACACAAATGCCATTGGAAAAAATGTCTAAAACCTCAAGACTCACTATTGTTTCATAAACACAATAGTGAGATAGAGTCGAAGAATCACTATCGACGGTAGATTTACGCGAATGATATTTTTGAAATCGACAAGGCTTGAAAATTTGGAAGATGTTTTGATTTTCCGATTTCAGACGTACTCTCACTATTCTACCAGTCAACAAATACTTCTAATTTATTCTCAAAACTTTTAAAACGAAAAAACACCAACCTGACTCTCTTGTTAACAATAACTCCAACAGCGCTCTTGGTGACGTTAAAAATACGTCCGGTTCTTCCGTGGTAAACCTTGAATGGCATACCCTTTTGGAAGGCTCCATTTGTCTTGATATCGACGAGATCTCCACGTTTGTATTGGGTGTAGTATGTGGAAAGGTGCTCAACTCCGTGCTTGCGGAATTCGCGAGCGAACATGTAACGCGTTCCGCGTCTTGTACCCTTGGAGTTGGTCATTGCTGCTAACCCTGAAACAAAATAAAGTTTAAACAGAAAAAATCGCAAATTCACAAGACGAAAAAATTTAATATCGATTTTTCGAAGATTTACGGATTAAAACCATCAAAACGGAGATTAACAAAGACTTCACTACTAGAAAACATTTCCAAAAACTTTTTGAAAAGACAAAAATTTGAAAAACCGCCTCACGGAAGGAAAAACGTGAAAAAAAGCTTGAAAATTTCTTTAGGCCATGTATTAAAAAACGAAATTAAAGGCACATCAACAAGGAGAAAACTACGGTCACACACACTGGGCTGTGTCACACCTCCCTTTCGCTCGCGACAAGACCCATTTCTCTTTCTCTCACGTCTCTTCATAAACACACATCTCTCGTCACGATTTTTATTTTCTTTTTTTCATGTTTTTTTACGGGAAAACTCGCGTTTTACGCAGATTTCGAAAATTTTCCGAGTGTTTCTAGTTTGTAATGAAAGCTATTGATTTGTTTGAACCTATAACTACTGATTTTTCAGTGTAATTACTTATATTTACAATAAAAATTGGTTTTTAAGAATGTCTTTGGGTTCCATCGTCTACCACAACGTCACCAAGCGTTTTTCAACAGTCCTTCTCGCCTCAGCTGTTGGAGCATACGTCTTCAATTACAGTTTGGATGGACTCACCAACTTCTACTGGGATTCAGTAAGTTTTTTAATTTTTCTTGTAAAAATCAAAATTGTCATGTTTTCACTTTGAAAAAAAATCAAAAATTTGCAGAACAACCGAAACAAGCAATGGAAAGATGTTAAGAAGACAATCGCTCAAGAATAAACGACTTGTTTTTTGATACGAGAAAAAACAAAAAATGTGTTTAGACAACTAAATATTTTATTTCTTCTTCTAAAAAGGTAGATAAATTTTTCTCAATTTCCCCACAGTTTTTATTTTTCTTTTCCGTTTCGCTCTGTTGATTCATCATCAAAAGATATTTAGAATAATCCCTCGGAAAAATGCGAAGAAAAAGGAACTATCTCCTTACTTTACTCGATAAATATTTGACTTTGTCTAACTGTCCTGGCAAAAGGGCACACAAATATATGAGTGAAGAAAGAAAGGAGAGAGCAGAGGAATTCGAGAGATTTGGCGAGTTTGCACAAATTGACCGTACCAAATGGTACCGGCTCTTTTTTTGTGCAAAGAAATGAGCCGCGCGCACCGGTTGATTTTTGAGTTAGTTAGTTTAGTTTAAATAAGAAGTTTGGCATCGGAAAGGTTGGTTTCTTTTTTCTTGAATATTTTTGTTGCGATTTTTTTTTGAAAAAAAAATTAAAAATGAAGGGAATTAAAAATTACGTGACCTGATATAAGTACACGTGTACTTATTTCGAGCGTAGAAAAATTGTCCATTTCAAAATTTATTTAGCATAAAAAATGTGACGTGGCAGATTTCGAGACGAAACTGGCCAGTTTGAACTTAAAGCCGAAGGTATTTTCAGAAGAATCTCTTATGTGGGGTTTTGAATTTTGTTCTAGAAATCCACATGGCAAATTTGAGAATTTTAAATTCTAAATTTTAAAACTTCTTCAATTTTTCATCCAAAAAGTTTGATATTTTCTAAATTTTCACCAAATTTTGAGCATTCAACAATCATTTTTCCGATATTTTTGCCACGCGGCACAATTTCCTCATTTGAAAATTTTTCATTTTCCCGCCATAAAACAAACATTCTTGACCTAGTCAAGTAAATAACTATCTATCCTTATTAATATTATTAATCCACAAGCGAAAAAAGTAAGGTTTCTTTGCCTAACTCCGCCCATTTACTCTGCGTCTCTCATAGAATTTGAACTCTCTCGTCGACCTGTGAACACAAAAAAAAAGATAATTTGAAATACTGTGACACGTATACTTCTTGTTTTTATTCGTTTTTTCTTGAGTTTTCTTTTTGACAAAGTAATTTTCAGGTAATGAGGAATTTCCATTCAGTTTTTGTGCTACTGACAATATTGTTTGTCAGCGGATTTGCAGCAGAATCTGAAGAAGAATTGAATTATGAAATGGATGAAGGAGTTGTTGTATTAACTGACAAGAATTTCGATGATTTTTTGAAGAAAAATCCGAGTGTTTTGGTGAAATTCTATGCTCCATGGTGTGGACATTGTAAAACATTGGCACCAGAATATGAAAAAGCATCGGGAAAAGTATCGATTCCATTGGCAAAAGTTGATGCGACTGTTGAAACTGAATTAGGAAAACGATTCGAGATTAGCGGATTCCCGACATTGAAATTCTGGAAAGATGGAGAAGGACCGGTGGATTATGATGGAGGAAGAGATGAAATTGGTAAGCAGATAGGGAAAATTAGAATAATCCATAAATTTTGAAGATGTTTTTTGGAAAATGTCTTACCATGTGAAAATTTAGGATAACAAATGAATTTTTCCACAGTTGTGGGTTAAAAATTCGGGATTTCTTTCAATTTTGAGTTTTGACGCGAGAAATTCCTAGAAAAAGTTTTGAATTACAGGTATTGCCACGTAAAAATTACATGAAAATGTTTCTTAAAAGCCACGTCGAATTTTATGTCAAAAATTGGAAATTCCAAAATTAATCCCCAATTCATTTTTTTTTCCAGGAATCGTAACTTGGGTTGAATCACGTGTCGATCCAAATTACAAACCACCACCAGAGGAAGTTGTCACTTTAACAACTGAAAATTTCGATGATTTTATTGGAAATAATGAGCTTGTTTTAGTTGAATTCTATGCTCCATGGTGTGGACATTGTAAGAAATTAGCACCAGAATATGAAAAAGCTGCACAAGAATTAGCTGCAAAAGGATCAAAAATTAAATTAGGAAAAGTTGATGCAACAATCGAAAAAGATCTTGGAACAAAATATGGAGTTAGCGGATATCCAACTTTGAAAGTTATTCGAAATGGAAAACGATTTGAATATAATGGACCAAGAACATCTTATGGTATTGTAAAATATATGACTGAACAAGAACAACCAGCAGCAAAGAAATTAGGAAAATTGAAAGAAATTGAAAGATTTATGTCGAAAGATGATGTAACTATTGTTGGTTTCTTTGCAACACAAGATTCAACAGCATTTGAAGCATTTTCTGAAGCTGCTGAATTATTGAGAGAAGAATTCAAGACAATGGGATATACTTCTGATCCAAATGCTTTCAAGAAATATGATGCTAAACCAAATGATATTATCATTTTCTATCCAACACTTTTCCATAGTAAATTCGAACCAAAATCAAGAACATTCAATAAAGCATCGGCAACTTCTGAAGATCTTTTGGCATTTTTGCGTGAACATTCGGCACCTTTGGTTGGAAAAATGACAAAGAAAAATGCGGCGACAAGATATTCAAAACATCCATTGGTTGTTGTTTATTATAATGCTGATTTTTCAATTCAATATAGAGAAGGAAGTGAATATTGGAGACAAAAAGTTTTGAACATTGCACAAAGAGTATGTTTCAATTTTTTTTTCTAGTTTTTCGGGGAAAAACGAAACTTTTAGCTCAATATTTTGAGAAAATCTGAAAAAAAATATTGTGGCAAATTTTACCGTATTTTATTTTCAAAAATCTTGAATTTACTGAATTTTTCGATTGAAAACATTTTTGAAAAAAAATCAATTTTTTGGAATTTTTTCGAAAACGGTTCATAGTCAACAAACCCCAAAAAAAATGTTAATTTTAATTTAAAGACACAAGAAACACTGGAAAAAACAGATTTCCCGCGTTTATTTTCAAACGATAAAACCAGCATGTGCGCTCTAGCGACACACTGTGTGCACACACTTTCGAAATTTCCGTCGGCTGAGCGCATTCAAAAACAATTATTTTATTTTTTCACTTTTGCTAGACTCAACATTTTTTCTCGATTTTCATGAATTTCGATTACTTGAAAGGTGTTATGAATGAATAACAAACTCATTTTCTGCTCATTTCTAGGTGCTCTTGTGTCTTTAAAAATCAAAAGAAAAAATGTATTCTAAATTGCTACGTTATAGGTCACGTCAAAATGAAAAGAAACATTTTTGAATTTAAATAAAACACGCAATTGTTTCTACAACATTTTCACTATAAATTCAAAAATTCGTATTTTTTCAGTATCAAAAAGACAAATATCGATTTGCTGTAGCTGACGAAGAAGAATTTGCCGCTGAACTCGCAGCTGTTGGTCTCGGTGATTCAGCTCTCGAACATAATGTAATTGTATTCGGATATGATGGCAAAAAATATCCAATGAATCCAGAAGAATTCGATGGAGATCTTGATGAAAATCTCGAAGAATTTATGAAAAGAATTAGTAGCGGAAAAGCGAAACCACATGTCAAATCAGCAAAAGCACCGAAAAACGAAAAAAGCGCATTGAAAACTGTGGTTGGCGATAATTTCAACAAAATTGTAAATGATGAATCGAAAGATGTTTTGATTGAATTTTATGCTCCATGGTGTGGACATTGCAAGAAATTCGAACCAATTTATAAAGATATGGCTGAAAAATTATTGGCTGAAAAAGAGACGAATTTGGTGTTGGCGAAAATGGATGCAACTGCAAATGATGCACCAACTGAATTTGCTGTCGAAGGATTTCCAACCATTTATTTTGCACCAAGTGGCAAAAAATCTGAGCCGATTAAATATAATGGAAATCGTGATCCAGCTGATCTTCGCAAATTTATGCAAAAACATGCTGTCAAATCGTTCCAAAACAAGAAAAAAATCTGAACTTTAAATTTAATTGTTTCTAAAGTATTTCTCTAAATAACACTCAAGTTTCTTTTACGTGTATTTTCGAAAGAAATATATTTTTTGATGAGATAAATAAAATCTTTTTTATCTATTTACACTGGATTTGGCACTTGAGATTTTTCTGTTTATTTGAACATAGACAATGTCAAGTTGGACAATTTGATCGATTGATTTTAACGCCCGAAACAAATCAGAATTCAACCAACTTAACAGATCTCTTCATTCCACGTGAATGTTTCCAATAAAAAAGTTACCAGATATTTAGCCACGTGGATTTGATTGTTGAAAAAATTTCCGAATTAAATTAAATTTATTTTTGAAAAAAAATTGAATAACTTTTCTCTCAGACAAACAAACACATGTGGCAAAATAAAAGGTTGGGAATATGAAATTTCGAATTCCGGAGAGTCACATCAAAAATCCACATGTCGGCGAAATTTATTTGATGTGTGAAAGCTACGTGGCACAAATTGTGACAAATTTTCTGAATCCAAATCCACGTGGAAATTTGGTACTAATTTTTCAAAACGAAAATTTTAAATAATTGAAAAACTTACAAATCTTTCTGATTGTGAACTTTTTTATGGGAAAAATCCACGTGACATCAAGGTATCTGAGAATTTGGTAAATTTCAATCTCCATGTGTCAAATTAAGCCACGTAATTTTGAAATGTGAATTTTCAGAGCAACCGAACGAAATAAAAAAGGACCCATACTTGTTCGGTGGATATCTTCGCTAGAATTTCTCTCTCAAAATCACAGAGCTTTTAGTACGATTTTGTATTTCTTATCTCGAGCTCGGAAAATAGAAAATTGTTTGTTTCAATATCTCTATATTCCCTATTCCCTATCCTATATTTATATTTGTCAGAGGTCAATGCTCTTTTCTTTTTCTTTCTATACAGTTTTGTCGTCAAATTCTTAGAAGCTCTCATCTCATCCGTTCAATAAATGGATAAACGACGAGACGCAGATCTCTAGAGCCACCACAAATATTTTGTTGTGTGTTTCAAAAAGTCTTGAGAGCTCCGAGCTCCGCCCGCGAGGAGCACTTTTACACACACACAAATATCCTATCCCGAGCACCACAAGTTTTATTATTAGTTTCGTTTGTGGCGCGCAGAAGCAGCAACAGATGCGCTTTTATTCAACTCTCATATGTTTTTGATCGTTGATCCGCTTTGTAATGTAAATTAAACTAGACTAGACTATAGTTTCAGAACCGCAAAAATGTCCGCAATCGAAGTTACCGCTGATGCCGCTTCCACCTGGGATTGGCCACTTCAACACAACGACGGAGTTGTCAAGGTTAGCTTATTTTTGAGAAATGTTTTCTAGATTCTAGAAATTTCAAGAATTTTTTATGGCTTTCGATGAAATTAGAGCTTCTTAGAATTTAACAAAAACTTTTTAAAAATAATATTTTCCGAGCTCGAAATAAGAAATATTCACAGAATCTTACCGAAGCTCTAGGATTTTTGTGAAAGAAATTTGGGCTAACAATAAGAAAGCCACGGGGCAAATGTAGAATCCTATTTTAGAAATATGATCCGTGAAATTGCTCTCTAAGAATTCAAATTTCAAAATTCCGTGGCTGAATTTGACACGTGGATTTTCAGAACTTTCAACAGTATTTTTTGAAATTTAGATGAAACTTTTGGGATCATAATGATTGAGCTCTCTTTTCTCAACAATTTTGAGTCACGAAGATTTTGGGAACCGGGAGAATGAAGAATTTATCTCATGATACTAAAGTACAACTTCAGGTCCACAACAACAAGGAAAAATTCGAAGTCGGACTTGATGTCCAATTCTTCACCCCAAAAGAGATCGAAGTTAAAGTATCGGGACAAGAATTGTTGATTCATTGCCGTCACGAAACTCGCTCCGATTCTCACGGAACAATTGCTCGCGAAATCAACCGCGCCTACAAATTGCCGGATGACGTCGATGTCACCACTGTCAAATCGCATTTGGGAACTCGCGGAGTTTTGACAATCACCGCCTCAAAGAAGGCTTAAGAATAAGACCTTTTTTATTTTTGCAGGGAAATATATGAACTTTATTGCTTTTTCTGATTGTAAATGGAAATAAAATACTTTATCTGCAGATGATAATTATTTCAGGCGGTACAACAAACAAAATCAAGATTATTTGGTTGATTAGATCGACCAAAACACATATTGAATAAATTAAATCTTTGAGGCAAAGTCATTTTCGGGCAACAACCTCGTAAAATTTGACGAAAACTACATGAATTACACGGTATACAAACAGTTAAACATGAGCAATCTCTCATTTTAAATTGTTCATCAATTAGCTCACTTTGCTTGAATAATTTTGGATTGAAAATTAGGATTAGAAGCGCGATAATTGCCACAATCAAGAACCAGATAAAAATAGTAGCGATGAAAAATATAGCAATTAGATATTCAGTTTGCAAAGAAGTTTCAGAGGTCATATTCCAAAAAAATGCAACTTTTCCAAGAACTATGGAATGGTTACTATGGAAACCATTGATTTTCCTTTTTCTTCTTCTTATTTCTTACTCCATCTACATCAAAACACCTGCTAGTTCTGTTCACTTTTTCTCTATCTCATTAATATTTTTGTATCAAAAATACAACAACAAAACCCCATTTTTCTTAGAACCCTTGAAAAGTGAAAATTGAGAAAAAAAAAGTAAATTTCTTGTCTGCACTTGTGCGTCGCGGTGTTTGAAGATCGCACATTTTATCCGACGCCAGTCTCGTTTTTTTGTTTGGCGTTTTTTCGATTGCGTGTTTCGCTTGGTTTCCCCTATTTTTCATTTCTTATCAGTCTTGTTTTTTGTTGGAAATTGTTGGAAATCACGTTTTCCAGCAAGAAATTTCAGAAAATTGTAGTATTCACTGCTGAAATTAATGCTGTGATTTTTTCCAAAAAAAATCGATTTTTTTGTTTCAGAAAAGAAAATGTCAGCAACTCGTCGCCTACAAAAAGAGTTAGGCGACTTGAAATCTTGTGGTGTAAAAGCCTACGAAAATGTGGATTGTGAAGAGTCAAATTTATTGAAATGGACAGTTTTATTAGTGCCTGTAAGTAATGTCATCATTTTTTAATTGTATATGAATTAATTAAACATTAATTTTTTAGGACAAAGAACCATACAATAAAGGAGCCTTTAAAGTTGGCATCACCTTTCCAGTTGATTATCCGTTCAAACCACCAAAGGTGCTTTTCGAGACAAAAATCTATCATCCAAATATTGATGAGGAGGGCAAATTTTGTTTGCCAATTGTGGCCAGAGAAAATTGGAAACCAGCGACAAAAACTGAACAAGGTGAGCTATGACGTGGCAATTTGAATGTTGTTGTTTATGTCCCAAAATGAGACAATCCCCTATGTCTGAGCTTCAGATAAAAATAATTTTCGAAACTATCGTGGTCTCTGCTTTTTTCCCCACTTTTTAGCCAGGAATCCCTCATTTCCCTCTCCTCAAAAAAATCATTTTTTTTTCAGTAATGATGGCTCTTCTCTCACTTATCAACGAACCCGAACCATCACATCCAATTCGTGCCGACGTAGCCGAAGAATATCAAAAAGATCGCAAAAAATTCCTGAAAACCGCCGAAGAATTTACGAAAAAACACGCCGAAAAACGACCGGAATAATTCAGATCCCAATTGCCCATTTCTTTTTTTTTACCTAAAATTTTTGAATTTCCCACCAACCAATTTTTTATGTAAAAATCTCTTCCCTTTCCCAAAAATTCGTTTTTTTTTAAATTTTCAACCGGGTTGTGTCCCTCTTCCCAATTTTTGCCCTGTCGATATAAAATATTTATTTTATTTTATTTTTGAGGGGTTTTTTGAATTGATTCAAAAATGTTCAGCTGTGCCAACATTTCATTCGTTATCTCTGCGTCTCTCACTCTCTCCTCTCGCTTTTGACGACCGCAAAAAACGTGGCATAATTTTATTTGTACATATTTGGTCATTTTTACTTCGTTTATTAGTGGTTTTCAGTGAAAAATTTGAAGTTTAGGCTTGATTTTCCACGTAGCGTATGTTCGGAGTGTCGTTTATCTTTCAGAGAAATTTGATACGTAGCGAAATTTTGAAGTTTCGTCTTTTTCCACGTGGCGTGATTCTGGAGTATCCACTTTTTCGAAAAAGCTCATTTTGCCACGTGGAGCATCGTAGTTTTTCACACGATGTTTTGACACGTCGAAAAAAAACGAATTGAAACGACACTCCAAATTTACGCCACGTAGAAATTTGAAAAAAACAACGACACTCCAAAATTCTATTCTGAGACATCGTAGTTTTTCCTTTTTTTCGGTTACAGTTAGAGTTTCTAACTACGATGCTCCGCAATTACACCAACTCATTTTTCAGGTAAAATGACACAAAAAGTGATTCTAGTCACTGGTGGAACAGGTCTCGTTGGGAGCGCCATCAAACAGGTAAGTACGGTAGAAATGTTTATTGTTTTTTTTTCAAAAAAAGATTATAGATTGTTGAAAGTGAAGAGAGACGAGACGACGAGAGATGGGTTTTCTTGGGAAGTCGTGATTGCGATTTGACGAGTCTTGAAGCGACAAGGTATGTTCGTTTAGAAATTTGGGTTGTGAAGACACATGTCTATGAAAAAATTTATTTTTGTAGAAAATTGTTCGAAGAGCTGAAACCAACACATGTAATTCATTTGGCAGCAATGGTTGGAGGACTTTTTCACAATTTGGCGCATAATTTGCAATTCTTCAGGAAAAATATGGTGGGTTTTTTGGAGAGAGGATTTTTGATTTTTTGAACAAAGTTTTAAGCAGGAATATTTATTGGGTTACTGTAATTTTTTAGTCGAAAAATTTGGATTTTCGAATTGGATCAGATTTCTGTAGATAAAAATATGTAATATTAAAAACATTTCGAGCTACAGTAATCTGGAAGTTATTAAAAGATTACTGTAAAAAGCTTTATGAAAACTTTTTGAAATAGCAGCTAATACTTTTTCATCGCGAAATTTTCGTCAGCCCTGGTCAGGAATCTGATTTTTTCACAAATATGTCACAATTTACATTTTTTCAGGCCATCAATGATAATGTATTGGCACTTTGCCATGAATTCGATGTTATCAAATGTGTTTCCTGCCTTTCCACATGTATTTTCCCTGATCAAACTACATATCCAATTGATGAAACAATGGTTCATAAAGGACCACCACATGATTCAAATTTTGGATATTCTTATGCTAAAAGAATGATTGATGTATTAAATCGTGGATATTCACAAGAACACGGTCGAAAATATACATCTGTTGTACCGTGTAATGTATTTGGACCAAATGATAATTATAATTTGCAAGCTGGACATGTTTTACCAGCATTGATTCATAAAACATATGTGGCAAAGAAAAATGGAAAAGATTTGCAAGTATTTGGATCTGGAAAACCATTGAGACAATTTATATATTCATTAGATTTGGCCAGATTATTTATCAGAGTTTTGCGAGAATATGATGATATTGAGCCAATTATTCTATCAGTTGATGAAAAAGATGAAGTTTCAATTGGTGATGCTGTTAAATCAGTTGTGAAGGCGATGGATTTCAAAGGAGAAATATTGTATGATACAACAAAAGCTGATGGACAATATAAGAAGACTGCATCAAATAAGAAATTGAGAGAATTGTTCCCCGATTTCGAATTTACTCCATTTGATGTGGCAATTCGCGAAAGTGTTGAATGGTTTAATGAGAATTATGAGAATTGTAGAAAATAATTTGATTTGGGGTAGAATATTTAATAATTTATGTATTAGAGCATGTGTTTTTTGGATATTAAACTTGGTTTTTTGAAATGAAGATTGTATTGAAAAATAAGGAGAGAATAGGAGAAAAGGTTTCTAGGAATTTTCGTGTTCAAGTCACTCGAAAAACTTGTACGTGTCATTGCTCATGTTAACATTTGATGATTCATTTGACCAAACCAAACCAAAAAAAGCCAAATCGTTGTAACATTTTTTGGCGATGACGAATCGCGGACAGAATTTTCTAGAACATTTATTTTTTCTCGGCTCCGCCCATTTTTCCCTCAAAGAGCCAGAATTGATCATTTATGATTTATATTTTCGCCAACAACTTGGATTATTGTATCTAGACTACAGTAATATTTTTGTTCATTTATTATTTTTGGATAATGGCGGGATCAATGTTCTACTGTTGAATATTTATGAAGGAAATGGTGTGGAGAGGTGAGAAAAAATTTTGAAAAAAATCTAGGTGATCCGTAAGAATCTGACCTCTTACTACACTTTCATTGCAATTGGTAAGAGTCCCTAAATAAATTTAAATTGTTCACCCAGTTTTTTTTGAAAATTGTGTATTCTGGAGGAATCGAAAACCAATAGAAATCAATATTTTCCAGATCAACAATGTCGGTGAAATCAAAAAGTCCTATCAAACGTGGAAAAAATTTCGAGGAGAAATATATCAATTCAGGAGTACTGTATCTAAACTACAGTAATCTTATCGATCAATCAATATTTACATAATCTGTTGGAACGGTAAGAGACATTTCAAATTTTTATTTTTGGAACCAATTTTGTTACAGACGGGAGCTGTTTTTGGCAACAAGATATTTTCAAAAGTTGAAAATTAATCATAATTCCAACCTCATATAAAGAGGAGCGCACGCACTTTTGAGAAAAAAGTATGTTTTATTTGGAAATTTAATGAACTCCAATTCAATTTATTTATTTACAGAAAAATGTAACAACTTCATGAGAACTGTAGCTAAACTACAGTAATTATTTCGATCAATATGTGTAATATGAAAAAGAGCAGATATGAACACTTAGGTAATAACATTTTGACAATTGTTGATCTTGATCTTCGGAACCAATTTTTTTCAGGTTATAACAATTTTTGACGACATGAGAAATACTATGGTGTTAAAAGAATTGGAAAATTCCTATCAAATATTCAAAAAGAGGCCAAAGAGGAAAATATAACAAAACACAAGTACTGTATCTAGACTACAGTTATATTTCCGATTAATTTTTGTAGCTGGAAATAAGACTCAATATGGCTTAGCGGTAAAACTTGAGATTCAATTCTTTGAAACCAAGCTATTTTCCAGACGACAGCAGTTTTTGGCAACACGATATTTTCAAATGTTGAAAATTCGTTATAATTTCAAGCTCGTATGCAGAAGAACGCACACACTTTTGAAAAAAGTAAGTTTAATTTTGAAAAAAAATTAAATGAACTTCAATTTTATTTTATTTTCAGAAAGTGTAACAACACATGACTACTGTATCTAAACTACAGTAATATTTTTTTCAAAATTGCTATACAAAATGCGTCTTCTAATTTCACAAAATTGAAAAAACAAATTATTTCAGATTGACAACACAACTTGAATATGGTTTTTGTACAATAAAATCTTTTTTTCGAAAAAAAGTCCAAAATCTATTGAAAAAGAGGTATTTCATGATTTTAATGAAACTCTTTGTGTTTGGAGTCAAGCTTCTGGAAATTTTTCTTTTTTTTTCAAATTTTTCTGAATATATTTCATCATAGTCACAATATTCGCAATCGTACGTGCCATTGCTCATTCTAACATTTTCCTTCCCCATCTCAGCCCAATTATCAACGATGATTCATAAGTCAACCCTTTCTAGAAAATGTTTTTTGGCTCCTCCCATCTTTAACATTTGGACTATGCCTGTAGATACAAAACATGTTTTGAATAGATAATCCAAATGCCTCTCCAGATGTCTATTTTTATTTTTTTGACCATCAAGAGAGATCTCTTCCCTTTTCACTTCTATTTATTTTTTAACACAATTTTTCACATTTAGGAATTTTTGCGTGACCTAAAAATCGTCTTTTTTTTCTGTCCAGCTCATCTTGTCCCAATTTTCGAATCATTCTCGTTATTTCTATTTTTATAAGATTTCCAAAAAATAAAATGTCAACAAAAAGTCCAACGAAAATTGTTTGCGAGAATAGTAACGAGGTGATGAAAAAAGAGAAAGAAATACCGAAAGTGTTGATTGATACGTGGATTTCGATTGCGGCAAGGATTTTTGAGTGAGTTTGAGGAAGCGGAATGGGAGGGAAGAGGCATACATCAGTATCCCCGGATTTTCGTCCGGAGGGGGTCTGGCTAACTTTGGAAAAAAGGGGTGGGGACCGGCTAACTTTTTGAAAAAATACCAATTTACCCCCCAAAAACCAAGTTTTTTCTCTTTTTTTTTTGAGGGGTCTGGCTAATTTTTGTATTTTCACATTCCGGGGGTGGCTAATTTTGAGACCCTGACCGGGAGAAACCGATGTATGGGGAGAGAATTTAGATCTTGGGATCTCTACTCACAGCTCTACATTGTGTCTCTCTTCCCAGCTAAAGTTACCTCTCTGAATTCCGAAATTTTCGAAACCCTCAAATTTGGGGCCCTAAATCCAGACCACCTAATCTGAACTAACAAATATGAACTTCAAGATCCGGTCAGAACCTAATCAAAACTATTTTCAGTCGAATGTGTGAAAAAGTCGATTCACCATTCTTCGTCAGTTTTCCACAAATCATATCAAATCTCGCATTTTTGATATCAACTTGTGAAGCAGAAAATACAATCGGATTGCGAAAAGAGTTCAATGCGATAACTGGTCAAAATATTTCGAATATTCAAACGAGAGAACTAATTGATACCACACTCGATTTTGTGAGAAGTTGGAATACGGAACTATTTAATGTGTCAAAACCTGGATATCATAAAGCGGCGAAAAGAGTGATTTGTCATCCAAAACATGCAAAAAGTTATACGTTCAATACTTTCAAAACTTTGAGAAGATTTGAAGTCGAATTGAAGATTTTTGAAGGTTAGTTATGACGTAGGAAAACATCAGACTCTTGGAAGGACTAGAATGTCTACTGTCTCTTCGGAATTCCACGTCAAATACATGTTTCCAGGCTCTCAAGAGATTTGTAATTGGCTTGACAAACATTTGAAATTCGAAGAACCTACTGGAAATCGTGTTCTCACACTTTGGTCAAACGAAGATGTCATCGAAAATCAAGCGGTTGTCAAGAAATCCAGCAAGAAATTGCTGAAAATGCAAAGTAATTCTATTTTAAAAATTTTCCATCCTTTCCTTTTCCGCATTGCTCTTACTATATTTTCAGATGAGCAAGGAATGCAATTTCTCGAAAATTCGGCACATAATCGACAAGAATTGAAAGCGGAGAAGAAAACACCGATTTTGGTATGGGCCGCCCATTTGATGATTGCGATTCATCCAGAAGTTATGGATTCAAGTGCGATCTATAAGATCAATCGACGTGAATATTTGAAATTGCAAGAAACGAGAACGAGAAGAATTAAATTGGTGCATGTCGTGCAACCGGAAAATGGTGGGTTTTTGGGGCGATCATAGTAGCCTTTTGAACAGAAAAATGAAGAGAAAAGAAAGAAAAAATGAGGGAACTTGATTTTTTCTTTGGAAAATAATAAAAATCGATTTTTTGTTGGTTTTCTAGGCGACAAAACCACGAAAAACACAAAAAACCAGAAAAATTCGAAAAAAAAAACAAGAGGGACTAGAATTTCCATGATGCGAAACCTAGTCCCTCTATTTTTTTTCATTTTTACACGCCTGTTTTTTTGCGACGGTGAAAAATTTCACTACGGTACGCAATTGGTGCATTTGTGCGTCGCGGTGTTTACACACTAGATAGTGATTTCAGAGCATTTTCAGCATGTTAGAGGCATTTTCAGAAAACGCTGAATATACCATTTGGTTCGTCTCGTCGACACTTCGTTTCAACCCTGTGTTGAGACGAACAAATAGAGAAACCGCAGCGCAGACAAAAAAGAACCCGGTAAATATGAATCGTTTAAAGGAACATGGACCATCGCTTCAGGACCCATCAGTTGGCTGGTTGCCAGCCTTATAAAATTTCGCGGTTTCTTTCGCACTCTGCATGCTCTCTCTGTCTCTATTTGTTCGCCCTGAAACGAAGTGTCGAGATGAGCCAGGAAAACTATTTATTTTTTTTTCTTGTTTTTGAAACGCATTCTCAAAAAAGTTATGGGCTAAAAATCAAATTCTGAGCAAATCAAAGGCGCACACATCTTTCGAAAGAGTGAGGTCTCGCAGCGATTCCAGTTTTTCACGTTTTTCTACGTGAAAACGCCATTATTAAGGCTTCTACTATACTTATTCGAAGAGAAGAGATGAAATTACGTATGTATGAATGTTTTGAAATTTTTCTGGGGCCCCCAAGATATAAAACGCGGCGCCGCCAAATGGAGACCTATTTTTTTGACGTCCTATTACTGTACCGACGAATTTTGTTCAGGCAAAACAGGCGTGTTTTCCCGCGCGCGAACGCCGGCGAAAAAAAATAGGTTTTTTTGTGTTTTTCGTGGTAATATTGTCACCTAGAAAACCAACAAAAAATTCGATTTGTTATTTTTCAAAGAAAAACTCAACTTCCCTCATTTTTTTCTTAAATTTCTCCTCATTTTTTTTTCTGTTCAAAAAGCTATGACATGTCATTATCCGTTAGAAGCTTTTTTCACTCTTTCCTCATAATTAGCACCCATTAAAACTAATATTTTCAGCTTCTTTTTTTTTTACATAAAACGTCATCTTTTTCTTAAATATAATTTTCAGACTGGAACACTTTGATCATACCGACAGCTCAAAAATCGCTTCAAATTGCCATTTTTTATAATGATGATCGAAATTCGAAAAATCGACCGAATTTGGAGAAAATTCGAGAAATTATGAAAAAATTGGACGAAAACAAACAATTTTGTCTTTTCACCACGAAAAAACGACAAGAAAACGGGCGAATTCGAGATATTTATTTGCCATATTGGAATTCATCGCATTTTCGAGGAATGAATTTGGCTGAACATTTTTTGGTAAGAAACTTTTTGGAAATTGAAGAAAACATATATCTGGGGGATTTTTGGCGGCTTTTCTAAGAGATTTTATGAAAAATTGCCGGTGGTTTTGAAATATTACGGTGAACTTTTTGCCTAGGAACGCGATTTATGTCTGGAATAAAAAATTTAGAGGAATATGACGTTGAAAACTACGAAACTTTGGTTTTGTAGGTCATAAAAATATGGGATATAATTTCGAAAAAAAAACTCGCTTCAAAACTTATAGTTAAAGTCAAATATCTATATTTCCCCCAATTTTGTAGGCTTGTCTCGAAATGAATTCAATATTTTACGCTGGCGGATTTGGTGATCTCGCAGCTCCAGATGCAGAACCATCAGCTTCATCTTTTCCAAATCGTGTTCATCATATTCAACATCATTCAGTTGTCACAATTGTCAATGCTCCACCACATACAGCTCTCAAGTTAGTTTCTACTGAAACTTTCGAAATTTGTTGATTCAGATGAGAACACTAGTCTGATCCAAATTTTTCTCAAATTTTCAATATTTCAGAATTGATCCGACACCGTCTGCATCACCGAAATCTCGTCAAACTCGTCGACTTTTGCACCGAAGTTTATCGCGTTCGAAATCATCGCAAAAATCCGAACAAACTACGAAATCAGTGGCGAATTCGTCGATTTCTGTGACATCTGCGACTGCTACGAGTCTCAAAAGTGCAGTTGAAATGCAATGTGAGTTTTTTTTTGAAGATTTTGGCGGCCAAAATCTTTTTCTCTCAAGTTAGTTTCCACTGAAAATTTTGAAATAATTTTTTTTTTGGGATTCCTGAGGTTCAGAAATATGTATGAATTCAATTCTGTTTCAAAATTAAGAGAGTTTTGAATTTTTGATTGTTGTCGAGTTTCCCAAGAAGGCTTTTATTTCTGATTTTCTAGGGGCATCAAAAATCCCATATTTCTAATTGTAGACGACGAAATCATCACGGAACCATTCATTTTAATTGTTTGGGACAAAACCAAAGAACAACCAGTATTTATTGGAAAAATGACTGAAAATCGAGAAAATGTATCGGATTCAGCAAAAAAGACGAAATTTGAACAACGCGATTGGTGTAGTATTTGTTAGATAAATAGTTTTTCTAACTTTATTGGTCTCACAATCAATTTACACGTTGAATCTCTCACAAGTTTCTCAGCGTTCCAGGAATAATCCGAGGCTCCGCCCATTTTGGCTCAAAAAGAGGCGTGGCCTCTCTTCTTTCCCTTTTTGCTGAAGCATTCGCATTTTTTCGCATAGCGAGTTATTTTGAGCGCGAAGCTGAATTTTTGTGGAATTATATCGTTTGATTTTCAATCGCCAAGTTTTCTATGTTTAACTTTGAAGAATTTTATGCTGCTCGAAAAATCCCGATTTTTAAAGTTTTCAGGAAATTTTTGAGGAAAAGTTCAAACATCTTTTCCTTTTAGGTGTTAGTTTTCACAAAGTTGTTCTAAATTTGGCGCACAATATGCACAAAAATTCTGCCAATTAAAAATTCTGTTTTTTTTTTTGCAAGTCTAGTTTTTTGAGCTGTTTAATATCAACATATGTTTCATCGAGACCACCCACGAAGTCTCACTTCCTAATTTTTTCCAGAAAATGTATCACCGCTGGATTTTCATATTTTTGATGTTATTCAATTTCATATTTTGCCAACAAGAAAATGATCCAGCTCCGCCAATGAAATCCGATAAATTTTTCGAATATGCCACCCAACCACCAACAACAAAAACACCAATTATGTGAGTTTTTCGGGCGGCAAATTTGATTAGATTTGATTTTTTCTGAATGGGGTTCGTTTAGATTTCAATTTCAACTTCTTCAAGTTGATGAGAGATCATAAAAAACATAACATCCACCTATTTTTCTGCGAATAAAAAAATAAAAGAACAAAAAAACCATATGTCAAATCGAATAAGTCATTTTCGATAAATATGAATATTTATGATGTATAGGAAAAAAGTAAAGGATATTTTTTGAGACGTATTTTTTCCTGCTCATGGGTTAAAATTTCCAAACGCCCTATGATCATAGTTAGAAAAAGTTCGAAAAAACACAAACACACACTAATCTTTTTATCATTACCAATTCAGCTTTTCTTCTTCGGTTTTGGCCTTTTTTTTTGTTAGGTGTTTGATCAGAAATTAGTTTTTTTTTCGTTTGTTCGTCTTTGGACAATGATGGAACCCTGTGGTGAGAGCAAAGTTGTTGAAACAATGTGAAACACAAGTTTTGAATGAAATAAGGAAATCGGAAATAGAGTACGAAAAACGGGAGGGGTACGGTGGATATTTTGACGTAAAAATGAGATGTGGAAAAGCTGGAGTGTCGTTTGAACTGCCTGTTCAAATTCCAATTTTAGATCAAAATTCAAATTTTCTGATTTTTCTTTCCTTCCAACTCTAATTAATTAAATGAATTCCTCACTCGCTTGCAAAAAATAAAAATTCCAACTAATTTTCTCCCTTTCTCTGATCTGAAAAACAAGACTTTTCTCATTTCAAAAATGAAAAGAAAAAGTTTTTTTTTTGAATAATAAATCCTTCTTCTCATATCCCTTCCTATTTTGTATATATTTAATAAAAAGATAGGAAAAAAAGAAAAATTATTTTTTTTGCTTGCTCCGAGAAAAGAAGAAAAACAACCCTTTTGATGATTTGAATTGAAATTAAAAATAAAATAAGAGAGAGAGAGCTGAAAAGAAGAAGATATTTCTTAACTGACTCAGGAAAAAAGGGACCAACCAAATATGTATCTGTGTTGTTTTCTTCTCCAAAAGAAGTACACAAATGAGGCTTATTGGATTAATTATATAACAAATATCTATAAACAAATTACTTCGATATTCTTCTCTCTCTCTTTTTTTTTCTGTGTTTTTTTGTTGCTCAGAAAAACAATCAGGCAAAAAAAAGAAAATACTTACACTTTTTTGGAGAAAAAAGTCCTTGAGACCCTTTGATAATTGGAGAAGCGAAGAAAACGGAAAGACGACACAATTTTTCGTGTGTTTTTGTTTTTTTTTTTGAGGAGGAGGAGGGGAAGGAAATTGGGGGAAGCGTGATTTGGCGCGAGAAATCCACGTGGGTTTCGAGAAAATTTAAAAGCGGTAAAACAGCTAGTTCGGTTGACCGAGACCACCCACGAAGCCTCTGACTTACAAAACTGCTCTAAACTTGAATAAATCCAAAGATAGATTATGAAAGTTCAAATCCTACTGTACGCAAAAAAGCGGTTGCATTTTCGGATTTCATTTTCAAACTTTTTCACAAAATTTAAACGTGGACTCGCCGAAAATTACCGAACAAAATAATAGTTTTTTTTCAGAAACACTGATCGAATTTTGGAATACAATGTTAGTCAATTGTTATCGAAACTTGTGGCAAGTCATGATCGAAGAATTCGACCAAATTATGGAGGTGACTATCTTTTTTCATTTTAATTTCAAAATTCAAATTTCTCGCGCGAGCTCCAAAAATAGATAGATCAAATGGAATTTTTTATGGCTCCAAATTGTTTTTTTTATCACTTCTCTTCTCCAAACTTTTTTATGCGCATCACAACTGAGGTCAAAAATTGAATTTATTCCGCTCCGCCGTCGTTTTTTTGGCTTTTTTTGACGAGTTATGCAACTTTTTTCCTGAAAAAACATTTTTGAAAGAATGGGGGAAAAAGGCGGGGGAGATTTAGATTTGAAAAGTTTTATTGTCAGTCAATTTTTGTTTGAAAAGGGAGAAAAATTGAAAAAAAAAGAAAAAGAATGTGGTTTGATGTGAGATCAAAAAGGGTGCAAAATTTGAAGGGGCGGCAAAATTAGGGATTTTTAAAATAGATTTAATCTAAATAGGGCTGATTCACGAACGAAAAAAATGTTTAAAAATGTTTTTTTAACATCGAAAGATCAATTCACGAAAAGTCAAAAAATGTCGAAAAAACATTGTAGGTCAAAATTAGTTTTTCGAGTTTTTCAGCCAAAAATGATGACAAATCAATATTTTTCAAGCTTCTGGTGTGATTTCTGATGAAAATTGACCTTGGAATTCACTTTCCAGAAGGTTTTGCTGATTTTTCGTAAAATAAAAAATTTTAAATTTTGATGAATTTCGAAAAAATTCATAAAATAAAGCAAAATAGGGTTCTCGAAGCTTATTTTCATCAGAAATTACTCCAGAAGCTTAAAAAATCTCGATTTGTCATCATTTTTGGCTGAAAAACTCAAAAAACTAATTTTGACCTACAATGTTTTTTCGACATTTTTTGACTTTTCGTGAATTGATCTTTCAATGTTAAAAAAACATTTTTTTCGTTCGTGAATCAGCCCTAATCATCCATTTAGGTTTAAAATGAGGAGGACCAGAAATTACGAGTTTTGGGCTGACCAGAAGTTTCAAAATCAGGATTCAAATTCAGCTACAGTATCCCATAGAGTAGTTGTTGTGATACCTTAAGATGATTTCTAAATACGATATGGTTACTGTAAAAAAAAGCGTGAGTGTAAATCGAATTTAAAGGGACATAGTGTACTTTTGAATCAAGCTACAATACTTGCTCGTTCCGCTCAATAAAAAATCTAGACTCAAAAAACATCATAAAGATTCACAGATATGTTTTATGTAACTATGTACGTGGAATTTTCAATCTTCAAATTTTTTTCTCATTTTCCAGGTCCACCAATCGAAGTGAATATAACAGCTCACGTGACAACAATCAGTGCAGTTTCGGAAGTTTCAATGGATTATACACTCGATTTATATCTTCGACAAATTTGGAAAGATCCCAGATTATCTTGGGAATCTGATGTTGAAGATTCGCTGACAATTGGTATTGAAATGGTCAAATCCATCTGGACACCTGACACTTTTTTTCCGAATGAGAAAAAATCATTTTTTCACGAAGCGACTTCGCATAACTCATTTTTGAGAATTGATAGTCATGGAAATGTTTTGAGAAGTATTCGATTGACTGTAACTGCTAATTGTCCGATGAGTTTGCATACGGTAAGTGGAATTGGGTCAAAAGAACATGGGATACTGTAGCTGAATTTAAAAGCTGCTCTCAAACCGAATTTTCGGATTTTTGATCTACTCATAAAAAATTAGAGAAATAGAAAAACTAGAAGACAATATTGAAGCCAAGTTCTTTCCCCACTTTAAGACCTTTCCTATTCACTTTTTATTTTTTTCAGTTTCCATTGGACAAACAAGAATGTGCATTGGAAATCGAAAGTTATGGTTATTCAACTCGTGATATAATCTATCATTGGCATCAAGAAAATGCGGTGACAATTGATGAAAATGTGCATTTAGCACATTTCACAATTGGAGAACACAAAATTGTTGAGCGAGTTATCTCATTATCAACTGGAAATTATTCGAGACTCACCGCTTTTTTCACTTTCAAAAGGAATATTGGTTTTTATTTGATTCAAATCTATTTTCCGTCGAGTTTGATTGTTGTTATTTCGTGGGTTTCGTTTTGGTTGAATCGAGAAGCTGTTCAAGCGAGAGTTGCGATTGGTAAGTTGAAAAAATGGGCTGGATGGTGTTAGGCTCAAAATCTTTTTCAAAAATTAAAAGACTGAAATTCTGCAAAACCTTTTTTTTGCATTTTTTGATGCCACAAAATTATTTGATCCATCAAAAAATGTGAACACTAAATGAATAATTCAACCCCTAATACATAATTACATCTATCAAAGTGCGAATATTCACAGACTTATGTCACGAACACGAACATTTATATTTTTGACGCCAAAAATATTAATTAGGGGATTTTTAGAGCTGGAATGTCCATCTGGAAAATTGAGATTTTGGGATTGAGAAATTGAAGAAGAAGGTATCGAAAAAAAATCATACAAATTAGAAAATACAGAAATTTTGAAACAGTGAAGTTTTTTTGAGAAGAAATATTTTTCAAGTACCAAATTTCGTCACGTGGCACAGATTTTAGAAAAATTACCAACATTTTGAAACGTATTTTTTTGGACAAAAATTATTTGAATTGAACTTCCGGTGAAAAGTTATTTATTGCATCACAAATGGTGTACAACAAATAAGTATTAGAAATTAACAAAAAGATAAATGAATAATTCGAACACAGTTTAACTCGAAGTTATTTTTTTAATATCCAAATTACCACCCAAAAATTACGTCAAATATCTTTTCAATAATAGAAGGGGTGTTAGTTGGGGCCACAATCATAGCTACACTGCTCCACAAAAAGATAACCTCACCCCTCATTTTTCAAAAAAATCGAAAATTTGAATTTTTCGAAAAAAGTTTGTTTTTGAAAAACATGTCAAATTCGGATACTAATTCATCCCTGAAAACAAATTTCAGATTTGGTAAGCGCTGAAAAAAAAATTGAGAATTTTCAAAAAAGCCGATTTGCCAATCCACATAATGATAACCTCACCCCATGTTTTTTGACGAATTCGGACTTTTTAGTCGGAGTTAGTCACCCAAAATGTGTTAATGTGTGGTTGGTGAGTTTTTAATCTTAAAAAACCCAGTGCCACGTTTCCAACAAGTTGTGAGCATCAGATTTGGAGCATTGCGATGTAAATAGCATTTTTCAAACATTTTATACAGATGTTGCTATTTTTTCATTTTTTTTTCAATGTTTGACGTTCAAGACGATCCAAATGATCTGTTTTAAGCTCATTATGGTAAAAAAATTGGAAAACATTGAAAAAAAAGAAGAAAACAATCGAGATGCGAATTTTGAATTTCGCGCTGATTGAATATTTGGAGCACCCACGACGTAAACTTTTGAAAATTACTGTTTTTTTTTGTTTTTCAAATTGTTTTCTAATGATCAATACTTTTCTAACATCCCACATCAAATTTTCATCCAAAATGCCGCGAGGAAAGCCTCTCTCTGATTTTGAAAAAGGGCAAATTACAGCCAAAAAAGATCAACGACTTTCAAATCGACAAATCGCAAGAAATTTAGGCCGTAGTCCACGAGTTATCAATAATTATGTTAACGATCCGCGAAATTATGGCACCGGAAAATGTCCTGGTCGTCTGAGCTTTCGATTTGTCGATTTGAAAGTCGTTGATCTTTTTTGGCTGTAATTTGCCCTTTTTCAAAATCAGAGAGAGGCTTTCCTCGCGGCATTTTGGATGAAAATTTGATGTGGGATGTTAGAAAAGTATTGATCATTAGAAAACAATTTGAAAAACAAAAAAAAACAGTAATTTTCAAAAGTTTACGTCGTGGGTGCTCCAAATATTCAATCAGCGCGAAATTCAAAATTCGCATCTCGATTGTTTTCTTCTTTTTTTCAATGTTTTCCAATTTTTTTACCATAATGAGCTTAAAACAGATCATTTGGATCGTCTTGAACGTCAAACATTGAAAAAAAATGAAAAAATAGCAACATCTGTATAAAATGTTTGAAAAATGCTATTTACATCGCAATGCTCCAAATCTGATGCTCACAACTTGTTGGAAACGTGGCACTGGGTTTTTTAAGATTAAAAACTCACCAACCACACATTAACACATTTTGGGTGACTAACTCCGACTAAAAAGTCCGAATTCGTCAAAAAACATGGGGTGAGGTTATCATTATGTGGATTGGCAAATCGGCTTTTTTTGAAAATTCTCAATTTTTTTCAGCGCTTACCAAATCTGAAATTTGTTTTCAGGGATGAATTAGTATCCGAATTTGACATGTTTTTCAAAAACAAACTTTTTTCGAAAAATTCAAATTTTCGATTTTTTTGAAAAATGAGGGGTGAGGTTATCTTTTTGTGGAGCAGTGTAGCTGAGAATATTTAGATTCAGATTGAAATTTTTCTTTTGGAGTCGAGTATTTATATCAATTAAAAATGAGAAATATTACATATTCTTATCAAAAGTGGCACAATAAATGTCAATTGGTCATAAGGGTTTTCCAAAACAGAAATATTTCATAAGAAAGATGTATGCTTTTGATTTTTGAAAAAAAAGAATTCCGGTCCAAAAAATGCCACGTGTCTATTTTTTCAGGTGTTACAACAGTTTTAACAATGACAACTCTGATGACAAGCACAAATGCAAGTTTGCCGAAAGTTAGTTATGTCAAAAGTTTGGACATTTTTCTTGGTGTCTGCTTTTTTATTGGTGAGTTTGCACCATTTTTTTGCGCCAATACAAATATAATTATTTCTTCAGTTTTCGCCTCACTTTTGGAATATGCTGCAATTGGATATTTGATGAAACGAAATCGAAATGTTCCAGAAGCCTCTCCGGTACAGTACTACGAGACAGGTACGGTATTGAAAGTTTTAAACTACAGTAAAGTACAGTACACCCTTTGTAGAAGAGTTTTTCGAACTCGAAAAACATCCGAATTTTATTCGGGGTTTTGTGGATTTTTGTGAGTTTCTCATTTCAATGCCTTTGCTGCTTTATTCGGTTTTTTCCCAGCCAGTCCCAAGAAAATGCCACGTGGAAAAAAATTGAAAAAAATATTTAAAAATTATTTTTGCAGGCGATGGTGTTTTGAAACGAGAAGCGAGTGAAAAAGGTGGAAGAAAGAGGAGTCGAAATCGAAGACAAAGTTTGAAGGTGGGTACTTTTTGCCACGTGGCAGAACATTTTTGAATAAGCTTAAAATTGTAATTTTTTGAAATTATATGGGGATTCAATCTTACTGAAAATTTATTTTACGAATAAAAAAAATCTGAAATATAGTTTTTATGAATTTTCGTAAGTTTTGATGAAAGAAACGTTCACTAGATGAATTGTGTACTTTTAAATTCAGACACAGTATCCCATGCTCCTTTAAATTACTGTAGATTGGTGCGATATCTTGAGAAGATCATTTTGAGTCTAAATACCATAGGGTTACTGTAGCGACATCGGTTCACGCGGAGCGAGTGTATGTCCCTTTAACTTTGCCTACAGTATCCCACATTGCCACGTGGAATTTCGGCACTGAAAATCCTTGTTTTTTTTCTGTTTCTGGCGCCAAAAGTACATTGCCGGTGGACGAGAATTTCTCACTTTCTCATTTTCTCTCTTGGGAACAAAAAAAAACCGCCCGAAAAAAACAATGTTTTTTTGATGTTTTAAAAATAGCTCGTGCAATTCGAACATTTTTTGGGGGAACGAAAAAAATTTTTTTTAAGTGAATAAAACAAGTTCACACGGTTCTTGAGTTACTTAGTTGTTTCACGCGAGTGGCTAGAAATTGATATTTTGAAACAAAAGAAGTCTGGGGTCAAAAAATAAGGGATTATTAACAGCTCCCTTTAAATTCCGGCTACAGTATACCATGTTTTATAGAGTACTGTAGATTGTTGCGAGACCTTGAAATAGGGATACTATTAATAATTTCTAGCGCGAATGTAGATCGAAAATTCCGCAGAGCGGGTGTATGTCCCATTGAGTCTAGATACAGTATCTCATGTTCCTTCAAATTCCACGTGGCAGGGATGTTAAAAATGCTATTTTTAGCGCAAAAATTTGAACCACGTCATCACATTTGTATTGTTGGCTCTCAAAAAACTGACCACTCCAACTCTGTTCATTTTTTCGTTGGATTTTTCCCAAGGGAACACATAATTCTTTCTTTTTTTTCGCTCTGAAAACAACAACACCATCCATTTTTTGCCGACTTTAGAAATTAGAAATCATGGGGATTTTTATTGGGAAAATTGGAAACAAAAAACAAAATGCTGGAGAAAAACAAGATAGATTTTATAATTGAGTTACAAGAAGATAAACAGTGTTTTTTGGCGTCAAAATAATTGGAGGGATTTTTGGTGTGGGAATTTGAGGGGCGCCAAAAATGACTTGATAGATTGAAATTTATATTGTAGCTGAACTTAAAGGAACATACCCCTCGAAGATTGAAAACAGTTACAGTTCTTTTTAGGAACAGTGTATGTTTCTTTAAATTCAACTACAGTATCGTGATGCCACGTGGAAATATGTATTTTCAAAAATTTCAGAAATCTTTTTTTCGATCATCAATCATTTTTTTCGTTCCAAAAATAACAGAATTTTTAATTTTCTGCCAAAATTTTTTGGAAAAATAACTCAATTTTCTTTGAATTAGTCAAAAAAAAAGTTTGAAGAGCACTTGGAAAATTTGAAATTAAGTGCAACACAGCAAAAAGGGATTTGGCTAAAAATAGAATTTGTATTTTCAGAATTACACGCAAAATAATAATGGAACACATCGACGTGGAAGTTCGAGTGAACAAATTGATCAAAGAATTCCATTGTTATCAATGGTTGCAATGCCACCAATTCCATTTAAACCGAGAAAAGTTTGGGGATTTTTCAGGCCTGCGCAGGTTAGTTAAGGAATTTGAATTAATGAATTGCTCAGATTAAGACGATCATTTTGACACTTTAAAAAACTCTGAAATAATTTCTATCAAAAATCATAAGTTGCAAAAGTACATTCAAAGTTCACATAAAAATCCCACCAAAAATGTCAAACCTCTCTTATATATTTTTTTTCCAGGTCGATTTATTCTCACGATTTGCATTTCCAATCTTTTTTGTCATATTTCATATCATTTATTGGACCTATTATATCAATCAATAATTTTTTGAATATTTATATTTTTTTTTTTTTTTGAATTCGGGTATTTGTTTTTGTGCCTTTGTGAAATTGAACCTAAATTTGAATATAAAAAATATTTGTTTTTCTAATATAGAAACTTTATTGAAATTAATTACCAAAAGAATGTTATACCAAAATATTTCAGGCTTTTTGATATCTAGCTGGACATGGACAATATCCAGCATCAATTCCAGGTTCCCCAGGTGGCGCGTGTTCTCCACAATGTCCACTTTTACCCGGTGTTCCTGGTTGTCCTGGAATTCCTGGATGTCCAACAGCTCCTTGTTGACCTGGTTGTCCATCTCCTCCTGGTGGACCTGGTGGTCCAGTTGGCCCTCGAGGACCTGGTGGACCAATTCGACCTGGTTGTCCTGGACGATATTGTGTTCCTGGTTGTCCGCGTTGTCCTGGTGGACCTGGTCGACCGTTTTGTCCAGGTCTTCCAGCATCTCCAGGTTCTCCGGGACCACCAAGTCCTCCTGGCGGACCTGGTTGTCCTGGTCTTCCTGCATCTCCTGGTAGTCCTGCACTTCCAGGTCCTCCGGGTGATCCACGTGGACCTGGACGACCTGGTGGGCAGCGAATACATCCTCCAGGAAGATCATGAGTAATCGCGACCAATACACCCGGTGCTCCTGGTTGCCCATCATCTCCTGGATTTCCAGGTTCACCTGGTGCTCCAGGACTTCCTGGTTCTCCAGGTGGTCCAGCTGGACAATCTCGACTACGTTCTCCACAATTACATTGCTCAGGATATTGATTGATTTGACGGGTGGCACGAACTCGAAGTTTGACAAGAGTTCGGAAATGAAGAGTGGCTGGAGTTGTAGAAGTGGATGACATTAGTGAGGGATCTGAATGTTTGCTGACAAGACGTTTCCACGTGTCTTGTGTGATAACCTGGAAAAAAGAGGAAGGAAGTTAGTAATAAATAAGAGGTTTTAGGCGTCGGCTTCAAATCACTTGAAATTCAACGAGAAAATCAACGTGACACAACTTGAATTAAAAAGAATGTGTCCCTTTAAATCCAGCTACAGTATCCCATATTTCTTTAAAAATTCCACGCGTGATAAAGTATCCCATTAGAACTCACTCTAAATTGCACCAATTCACTTTCAAAATCATCCTTGAAACTCTCAATTTCATTTTTCATCACCAAAACCGTGTACAAAGTTGTCAGAATAAATACTAAAACAGCGGCCGAACCGCCGAAAATCACAAAATTTCCCATTTTTTGGGATGGGCCTTGATTTTCTGGAAACAATTCGCGACCAATTTTTGATTGTGTTTGGTTTCAGTTTATATAGCAAAAACATTGTCAGATAAGAAGACAAGAAAAAAGCGGAACCGTTTTTTTCCGTGATTTTTTGAAAACCGGTTTTTAAATAGCGGGAAAATGTGGATTGATTCTGTGTCTGATTTTTGGTGGTTTTGTTATTGCCACGTGGCATGGTGAAAAATATTTGCGCTAAAAGTTAAAATTTTCAACTTTTAAATAATGAAACTTCAGAACTCTTGTAATCAAATTTTCCGAATTTTGAATTTTTTATTTTCGCGCCAAAATTCCACGTGGCTCAAAAATTTCATTTTTTTTCGAATTTCCCTCTAATTTTCTTCATTTCTCATTTTTTTCCAATTTCCTCACCTCGCCCAAAAAATCCATTTTCTCATTTTTTTTTTCTCTTTTCAATCTGAAAATGTCATTTTTCAATCTGTTTTCGACATTTTCTAATCTTTTCTCTGCGTCTCTTTCAATTTCAAAAAGAATCGATCAAACTATATAAATTTACCCGGTTTTAATAAAATTAAATGGATGTGCTGCTCTTTTTTCGCTCTGTTTTTGGCCTGCCAAAAATGTCATCTTTTTCTCTGTCCTCTCCCGATTCCTCACAATCTTTCATCTTTTCTCTGCTTCTCTGCACTCTCTTTTCTCTCGTTTTTTCTTTATTTACCACGAAGACAAAACCGAAAACATTGAAGAATTTCCGGTCGATTTTTGTGGTGCTTGAAAAATGGCACTACTTTTCGATCCGAGTTTTCAAATTTTACGAGAAGATCAAAGTGTCAAGGTTTTCAATGCGATTTTATGTGCATCGCAGATTTTTGGTGAGTTTTTTTTTGTAGATTTGATTTGAGGTCAAAAGTACAACCCTCGGAAACCAACCCTCGAATGTTTAACCCTCGTCATTTTGTACAACCCTCGTGTGTTTAACCCTCGACGTTTTCTGATTTACCCTCGTCATTTCAAAAAAAAATTTTTTTCAATTTCAGTTGTCATTTTTTGAGGCGAGGAATCCTCGGATCTAGTTGTTAGGAAAAACTTTAAATTTTCACACGATGTCAGAAATACTTGTTTTTTTCATATGAAACATCGAATTTTGTTGAAAAAACATTTTTCTTGGGCGTTCACTAAGCCTAAGCTTTATAAAGAGAAATGAAGTTTTTTCCGAAAAAAATCATTTCGAAAATGAAAAAATTAATTTTTGAAATGACGAGGGTAAATTTGGAAATTTCGAGGGTTGAACACACGAGGGTTGTACAAAATGCCGAGGGTTAAACATTCGAGGGTTGGTTGCCGAGGGTTGTACTTATGACCTTGATTTGAGGGTTGGGGTGGCATTTTACAGACCTATAAAGGTATTTTGAAATTTTTAGCTTCGACTTAAACTTGCGGGATTCTTTTTTTCAAAAAGAAAAAAATATTATGAAAATTTTGAAACAGTGAAAAAATTAAATTCAGAAAATATTTTAAAGATGCTTTAAAAGCTGAAATCCACGTGGCACTATTGAAAACTTTCAAAAAATTTCATTTCATTTCATTTTTGATTCCAAATTACATGAAGAAACTACAGTGTCTACATTTTTTTTCTAATTTTGAAATAGTGAATTTTAGTTGAAATTTTCAGCACTTTCATAAATTACTTTTTCACACTTTTTCCTTCCTCAAATATTCTTCCATATTTTCAGGTGGTTTGGCAGTTGGCCTAGTTGCAATTTGGATGTCAGCTTATGAAGATGGTTATGCATGGAATGAAAATCCGGACAAAGAATTTAATTATCATCCAACTTTTATGATAATGGGAATGGTATTTTTGTATGGTGAAGCGATTTTGGTATACCGTGTATTTAGAAATGAACGGAAGAAGTTTAGCAAAACATTGCACGTCGTTTTACATTCCGTCATTTTAGTTTTTATGTTCACCGCGTTGAAAGCTGTTTTTGATTATCATAATTTGCATAAAGATGCTGATGGAAAACCAGCTCCAATTGTTAATTTGGTTTCATTACATTCTTGGATTGGAATGGCTGTTGTTATTAGTTTTTGTATGCAGGTTAACATTTTTTTAAAATTTTTTTCAAGTAGATAAACTTAAAGCAATCCTCTTTTTTTAGTACGTCATTGGTTTCGTCACCTATTTTTTCCCTGGTCTTCCAATTCCAATTCGTCAACTTTTAATGCCATTTCATCAATTGATCGGAGTTATTATTTTTATTTTTGTTTCGATTACTGTTGGAATGGGAATATCTGAAAGAGCTGCATGGAAACATACGTGAGTTTTGAATATTGTTTTAAAAAACCCCCAAATTTTTTTGCAGTTGTTGGACAAAAAAAGGTGAAATGTGTGGTCAACAAGCCACGTCATCATTCGTCGGAGTTTTCACATTCCTCTATACAATTTGTGTTCTTTTATTGGTTTTGAATCCACGTTGGAAAAGACATCCACTTCCAGAAGAAGAAGGATTATCACATTTGACATCATCAACACATGATATGACTGATTGATTGAAAGATCTCGATATGACTTGGTAACTTGCCACGTCATAACTAATTATTGTAACTAACTAAATTATTTTCAAGAAAAATGTGAATAAAAGCATTTTGTGTTAAAACAGTTTGCTATTTCAATAATAATTACACAAAAAATGAAATAAAACAAATACTAGAAAGAAATACAAAAAAATAAAATGAATACTGTGAGATCTCAAATGTGGATACTGTATGTACCTTTAAATTGCGCCGATAAATGACAAAAATGCGGCTTCGTTTGATTGATTGAAAAATGTGGCGATTGGTGGATGATTTGTGACTGAAAAGATTGAATAAGGCGAGTTTTAATGCTGAAAATCCACGTGGAAAATTTTGAAGCTAAATTTCTCCACACAGTCTGCCACGTGGTATCAGTTTAATTTTTGTCTCATAACTTTAGTTTTGAAATCCCCCTTTCGGAACATTTTTCAAAGAAATTATCACTTTTTAAATCTTTTTTGCAATTCCCAATTTTCCCCTCAAAAAATGCTCACCATTTTCGACTTTTTCCTTTTCATTACAATTATCATCGATAGTAATTTTTGCTCTTTTTTGTTCCATCAATTTATTCCAACAAATTCGATATTTATTTTCACCATATTCATATTTTTCAATATCAATTTTCGAATTTGGATCCATATTTTCCGATATGACGTCATCAGGCAACATTTCAATCGATTTTTGTTTTCGTCGACTTAGCTGGAAAAATAAAGGGATTGAAAGAATTGGAAAATTAACACGACGTGGATTTTTTAGGCTATTTCTTGATCTCAAAGTTGAATTCAACTGAGAGTTATTTTGAATTTCAAACAATTTCAAATATAATCTCTCACCGCCATTTTAGTTGTCATAACAACTCGATCCAATTCTGTCAATATTCCTTGATGTTTTACTCGACTTCGATGTGCATCAGTCTTTTCATGTTCATACATTTGTTGCACTGTTTTTCCACAAAATTGACAATAAGTTTCTTCATCTTCCAATTTGTAATTCAACTTTTTCGCTGGTTGAAAATCGCCGCGCAGAAATTGATCAAAATCTCGAGTTCGTCTTTCAGTCAAAGAAGGATCAGCTTGACGAAATACACTAAATCCAGCATCATTTCCAGTATAAAATTGGGAAAATAAGCATTTATCGATTATCTGCAAAAAATATGGGGAATTATTGAAAGTGAAAAATGGAGGGAAAACTCTGAATTCTATGGATTGAGCTAGAACTAACACACAAAAATTTTAGAAAAATTTTCTGACTTACCCTAACATCGGGTCTTTTTCTTGGAACATCAATTCGAACAAAACTTTTTGAGGATGAAGAAGATTTTCGATTATTTGCATTTGTTGTTGTTGATATATTACAACTTCTTCTTTTCAAATATTCTTTTTGCTGGTGTAATTCCGGAGTGTTGTTTACCACTTTTGTCGTTGTATTTTGTGTGATAGGTAATCTTGAAATAGCTTTCATTGTTCCAGTTGAATTTGTTGCTGATGCTGTTTTTGTTTTTCCTTTTGCCCAACGTGTTATTTGTTTCATAAATGTTTCGACTGTTCGAATCTGCAAAAAATAGACAATTTAGAATTTTAGATTGAAAGTGGACCGTTTTTTCAAAAAATTAGACGATTCTGAGGGAACACCTTGAAAAATTAATTTTGTGTTCGAAAAATAAAAAAAATTTTCAACTTTTTCAATTTTTTCTGGAGAAATATTGGTAATTTTAAAGTATTTCAAATGTTTTTCTCAAAAAATCTCACCTTAATTTTTCTCTGAACAGCTTCTCTCAATAACGACGGCAACGCTTTTAACATCTGAAAAGATAAACCACTTATTTTAACAATTTCAAGAAAAAACTCACTTTTTCACTCGGATTCTCAATGTCCACTTTTTTCTGCTCAATTTTCAAGGCCCATGCATGATCAGAAACAACTACCTAAAAATTGAAATTAGTAATTTTAAAAATCTTGAATTTCTATCAAAACATCTACTTACCCATGGTAATTTTTCCTCATGATAAGTTACAACAATTTCTCCTCCATGTTTTCGAATTGCTGAAGATACGGTATTTCGATTTTGACGATTATCGATTTCGAGAAGAAATCCACGACCCTGCAAAACCAAATTTTGAGTCAAAAATGCTGGATTATTGAGGAAGTGTAGGATTTTATAGAAAACTTCGAAATTTTCATGAAAAATAACTTCTAGAGCTGGAACTTTGTGATTTTCCTTGAATTTTATATATAAAATTACGTTTTCAAAGTTGGTTCCGTAGTTTTTTTCAAATTGAATACTAGAATTCTCATTCAAAAGTTATGTAATATTCTAAATTTTTTAAGAGAAAAATGGGAATTTTACATTAAATCTTCAGAAAATTAAAATGTATACAAAAATTCCTTTTTTTTTCGTAATGTTCTCCAAAAAAACTCACATTCAAGCTAAAATTGGCGGCTGAACTTGTGCTCGCAAAATTATTCGAGTTCCTCGAACTCGAACTCGCCACGTGGCTTTGTCTCCTCGAATCGCTTGCCATTCAAACGAAAAACTAGAAAAAATAATAAAATTCGTTTCCCGCGGCGAAAATCTGCAAACACCAAATTTGACGACATTTTTCTAAAAAAAAATTCCTAGCGAATACCGAAACAGAAAATAGGCACTTTTGGGGTCAAAATACACCAGATTTTTCGAATTTTATTCATGAGGTTAAAAAAAGATAATTTTTAATTATTTAAAAAAAACATAAAGAAAGAAAAAAGAAAACAAATTCAGAATGCAATCAACAAGGAGCAGGAGAGGGGTATTTTGAGACAGGGTAATAAGAAAAACAACAAATTCTCTATGGCTTAGGCTTATTTTGATTTTGAGCATATAAAATTCCAGGGAAAAAGAAAACAAAAAAGAAAGAATAACTCTAATTAGTATCTAAATATACACCTTTTTAACAAATAAAAAAACAAGAAAAAACATTAGTTCTACATTTCCTAAATATCCTAAATTTAAATTTTCAACTAATTTACTCTAATTTCTAAATGCTATTTAATCTAGGGTTTCAGTTTCAAGTTGATTGGCTAGAATTGATTTTTGATCGGAATTTTCGACGGCAGAATTTGTGGCGATTTGAGAAGGAGCAACAAGATTTTGTGTGGAGATGATGAGAATACCATTAATTATATTGAGAACATCGAAAATTGATTTGACACTTGGAGTTTTGACCTGAAATTTTGGACATTTTTAATGATCTTCCTTTTTTCACAGGAAAGTCTGTTTTTTCCCGAAATTTTGAACGATGTTTTGACTTCGTGTAGCTTTCCGAATATGTCAAATAAAGAAAACCCTTTGCATTTTACACCGGGATGCCGTTTTTATCACATTTTTTTTTGAAACACTAACGATTCAACTCAATTTTTTCAATAAAAACTATATAAAAAAAACTTACATGAATCAATTCACTGATAGTTGTCTTATTATTTGCATCCATCATTTTCTTTTGGAAAGTAACAGCTTGTTGTGTCAAAGTTCTCAAATATTCTCCAGATTCTTGTGTTCGATAATGGTTTTCTCCATACAATTCCTTGAATGTCGCATATGTTTCTTTTTCAGCAACCAAAGCCGGTCGGAAATCTCCTCTCATTGCCAAAGTTCTTGCAATCAAATTAGTGATCAATCCAGATTTCAATTTCTTTGGTTCACCAATTTGTTTCGAAATTCGATCGGCTGAATGCAAGAATTTGAGAGCTGTTTCGTAGTCTTGCATTGTGAACAATATAGTTCCAATATTAGCATCAATTTGAGCCATCAATGGATGTTTTTCACCAAAAACAACATTCAACAAATATCTAGCTCTGTAGAGTGGTTTCAATGATTCAGGGAACAACAAAGATGTGAATGCATAATGAGCCAAACTGATCTGAAAAACAATAATATTGAGGATTTTCCATCAGTTTCCTTTCAAAAACTAACATATTCAACAATAGTTGCTCCAGCATCTAATCCAATCAATCTTTCACTCATAATTGTTGCTCGATATTGTTGATGCAAAGCTTCGGCAGATTCTCCCATAACATGTGACAAACGAGCCAAAGCATGTAATGGTTGTGGCATATCTTGATGCATAATACCGTATACAGCAGTCATTAGGCTGATTGATTCACCAACACATTCGAATGCATCACGTGGAGAACCCATTGACATTGCATGTTGTCCACGAACCATCATTTTCTTGGCATCAGCGGTGAATGGCTGCAAGGAGGAAAATAGGGCTAGGTTGTTTCAGTATTGCAGTTACATTTGTTTTCAGAAATAAAAAAGGTTTTCATAACTTCACATGAAATTTTTTGAAACTTTCAATGGTTTTTTCGCAGCTGACAAATTGTTTTCCTCGATTTTCCTATAGTTTTTACAGATGATACGCTTTCAGGTTTTTTCTCGAAACTTCATATTTTTAATTCACAACTCTCACCTGTTGATGTTTAATAACTGGATAAACATTGATAATATCATCATCAGTGAAAACAAGTTTCTTTCCATTTGAATTATCCAATGAATAATCTCTTGCTGCAATTTGAAGACCCAAAACACGACAAATTCGACGAAGCAAAGCGGTTTTTTGAATATCATGAAGTTCACAGAATTGTTCCAAACTTTCAGATTCAATTGGATAACCATAATAAGATGTTGATTCTTCAACAATATTTGCCCAAAGTGATTGAGTTGTTAATGTTGACCAAGCTGAGCCCGAACGTTTTTTGCCATTTTTCTTCGAGTTCTGAAAATTAAAACATGTATGAAAATGATACGTTTGAAAATAGCGCCATTCTAACCTTCTTATTAGCCGCTCCTTGTGTTGGTGAAACATCAACAGTCACTGAACCAAACAAGCAATTCAAAATATGCGCCAAACTTGTTGCCAATTGTTCCGAACTTGTTTGAACATTAATTTTGCGAAGAACGTGTTTAGCAGATCTTGCAATCAATTCCGAAAGAACAAGTGGTCGAGCAAATGAATTTGTTGTGTCAACGTGTTTTGCAACATCTCCCAAATATCGAATATTAATTCCTTTCATATGCATATTATCCGACAAACCCTCTCCATCAATTGGCATCAAAGAACACTCGAGCAATGATTTGGCGAGTTCAGGAATTTGAGTTGTCAAAACAAATTCAGCGGCTTCAATAACCAATTGTCTTTGTTTTTCAAGATTCTCTGATGGCGCATGTTTAATCAATGGAGAAAAACAATCTGGATTGAATTTAATCTCATATTGATCATCTTTCAATGAATGAATTTCAGCATATGCTTTCAACAAAGCTTTTTCCAAAATCGAATTATTCTCAAAAGTGACTGGTTTATCTTCACTGATATCAACAAATGCTTGAGATAAAAGATTTTCAGCTTCTCCCAACAATTTGATTCTTTCCTCATTTTTCGATTCATTCGCTTCAATAACTTCGTTTCTAATAAATCCAGCAGATGATTTGATGAATTCAACGAATTTCGATTCGCAGAACAAATCAATCAATTCTCTTCGAAGAGCTGCGAGTTTATGCGGGAATTTTCTTGGGAACCCGTGCTTTTTCGAAATCTCCGATACTCCAGCATCTTCCAAGAAATGAACATCTGGTGGCATTGTTCGCAATAAATCGAGAACATATTTTCGACCATCATTTCCAATTATTCCTTTTGTTTCATAACTTGTGAACAATTTCAATTCTTTTTCTTCGCCATCTTTTGTTGTAAGAACATTATGAGGAAGAATTTTGAGTTGTTTTCCAACATCAGCCAATAATTCATGATATGATTCATCAGACACAATAGTTTTACCAAAATCAATTGATCCATAGATCACTGATTGTTCTTGTTCACGTTCCAAAATTCCTGGAATAATACTTTGAGCAGTTACTCGATATCCACGATAATCAAAGATTGCCATTCCAAGAACATTGAGTTTTGGATCTTCCAAACTTGCAATTGCACGAACACCTTGTAAATCAGCTGAAGTTGCAGCAAATGCAGCTGCATCTCCTCCCAATTCTTTATAATGATCTTTGACATCAAAACCGAGACTGAAGAAAATATTGTTCCAAATGTACATGTGTGTTTTTCTTTCATCTCCTGGATTGATTGCAACAATATTTCCATCGATAATTGCTTGTGCTCCTTTTGCTGCCGCATTTACGAAATCCGCATGGATTTTATAATAACTTCTATCGCGAACAGCTCTCTCGTTCAAATTTCCTCTTGGCATTTCGTAGGTTGTTTGAAGTTCCTCATTCCAATCGCGAAGAAGTCCTGGCATATTATCTGGAAAAATGGAAATAGGGGATAGGTTATTTGGGTTATTTTTCGGATCGAAATTTATCCTGGAATTTTTTCAAAAAAAATAATACCGCGGCTAAGTTTTCAGTTTTTCAAAAGAATAAATTTCCAGAAAAGCTTAGCAGTTCTCATTATATTTTTAGTTCATAAATTACCTTCAAATCCAACTCTAAATGGTTCAGTCAATTCTTCAGCACGAATTGGATCTTCGGTAAAAGTATCAATTCGATTTGTTGGTGCAATCCACGAAGCAGTCGGATAACTTGTTGGAATCTTTTCAACCATAGTTTTCTCATTTCTTCTTTTCATCAACAATGGATAATTCTTTTTGAAAATTGGACTAACATTTTGCAAAAGTTCGACAAGACTGTGATGAACAGTTTTATGAGCGTTTGATTGTGTTGGATCAAATTTGGAGTCTTGTGAATTATTGATATAGAATCCTTTTGTTGCACATGTCACATGATAAGTGCGATTCTCAGCAGTAACAATATCAATATACAAAACATCTCCTCGCAATTTTCTTGGTCCCGGTGGTGGATTAAATGGTGAAACACTGACACTTTTCACTGCAATGATTGGTTTTTGTGGTGGGACAAGAATATGAGCAAATGATCTTTCTTTGCTCAATGGCAAAATATGATCAGGTGGAAGAAAATCGTTTTTCCATTCTCCCAATCGATTTGATGGATCAGATTGCAAATTGACAGTTGGCAAAAATGTTGGAGAACCATCAGTGTTGCAAGCTGGATCATGTGGATCTTGGTTGAGTCCAACTTTGAGAATTTCACGAAGTTGGCGGAGATGAAGACGAGCTTCGCGGACAGTGTATGGTTCTAAAAATTGAATGGCATTTATTTATTTATAGAGAAGACTGGATTTTCTTACCATCTACAACAGAAATAGTGCAACCATCAACGAATCCAGGAACATTTCGAACTTCGGAATAATTATCAATTTGATTTCCATTAATAGCCAATGAAAAACATGTTCGATGACAAGTTTGTTCGCGATCGAGTAATGTTTGAAACAATTCTTGAACCAATTCCGTGTCGTGAACCTTTAATTTTAAAATATATTAGAAATGACCAAAAAATAGGTTAATCACACTTTTAAATACACCCCACGTCAACTCTCAAAAAGATTTTAAAATTAAAAACAAAAATAAACGTACATTGAGATCAAAGGGTTCTCCGACAGTCGGTTGGACAGTTACAGTGAGCATTTTGTCGGTGGTTTGAGCGTTTTCGAGATCCGATTCGGGTGTGTTCACCGATGAATGACCAGAATCATTGTCCTCTGCTTTGGAAAGACTCTCAATCACTGCTGGTTGCGCAACTTCCAACTCGGAACCCAAAGTCATCTGGAAAAAAATAGAGAATAATAAAGAGAGAAAGAAAGTATCTAGAGAGAAGAATAGAAAACAATGAGAAGAAAAGATAAGATAATAGCAATAGGAGAGCCGGGAATGGTCCTTTGATCTTTGACATCCTGGATTTTTATGAACTTAGGTTAATTCAGGATGTCACTGAACAATTAGAATTACGCTTTTCAAATGGAATAAAACATTAAAATTCAATTTTCTAATAAAAAACATTACGGTTCCCTTAAAACAGCATTCTCGAGATCTAAGAATCTATTTTTTATAGTGGCATTTTTTTCTTAGGTACTCCTACTTAATTTTTATTTTGAAAAAACGAACATATAAAATGAACTTAATTCAAATTTTTCACACAGAACATCAATTATCAAAAATTGATCAGATCCTTCAAAACTATGATGCAAATTTATAGTTTTATCGAAATTAACGATCAAAAAGCTCAAAATTTCAAAGTTCGGACCTGTTTCCATTCCAGATTTAATTATTCTTTATGAGAGCTCGAAGCTCTTCATTCCGCTAGCTCAAAATTTGAACCAAAAGGTATCTCCACGATTTTTAAAGATTCCGAATTTCTGTCTGATTTCCCTAGTATTTAGAAGAAAACTAAATACACCTAGACTATTTTTCATGGACATTTCGAATTTTCACATTTATAAGTCTTAAAATTAAACAGAAAATCTTAAAATCCTCATCAAAAACCCAAAAACTAGGGAAAAAGTGAAAATGAAAAAGTTTAAAGTACCAGGGATGCGTCAATCGCCGAGGTTGGCGTCTTTCTCGTTTTGCTGACGCACAAAATGTAGCTAACGCTGAAAAGAAAACCAAACAAAAAAAGATAACTAATTTCAAGCACGTGAAAAATATGACGTAAGTACGTGGTGTCGAGTTTCACGTGAAACTCACGTTTTTCGTGGCGCTGAAACTAGAACCGCCCATATTGAAATGCACCTTTAACTCGCATCTCGAAACGACGACTCTTCGCTGCGAGACCCAAAGTAAGTGTTTTTTTTTTCAGTTTTGTTTTCTTTCACTTTCGAAAACCTTATTCAATCAAAACAATTTTCAGATATTTGAAATTGAAATGTCGGAGGAAATTCAGCTTAAAGTGCCGAAACTTGAAGAAATTATTGAAGTGAAGGAGAAACCGAAGAAAATCATGTTTATGATTAAAGATGGTGTGAAAATTCAAGTGAAACCAAAATCCGAACAACAATCACAACAACTTCCAAAACCAAAACCATTGTTCAATCTTCAAGCATCTCCATCAACATCAGCAAGTGTGAATATCACAAATGCGAAGCCAATTGATCTCACAGCAATATTGGCGAGAAATAAAGTGATACCAACACCGAAGCTTGGCAAATTCTCATTTTCATTTACCAGCAAACCGAAACCTGCAGCTACTCCAGAACCAGAAGAAAAACCAAAAAGGGCATTGAAAAGACCAGCAAGATATATGGAAGAAGGAGAAGTCGATGAAAAACAATTGAATTTAGCTGAAGAAATGTTGAAAATTGTGCCAAGTTCTTCTACTTCAAGTTCAACAAAAAGTCCAACTGAATCATCAGAAAAATGCGGATGTTCACAAGCGATACCAGAAGTTGTAAAGTATGTTATTCTCTATACTCTATAGAAAACCTAACATAACTTGTAATTTTCAGCCAAATCCGTCGAATTTCATCTCGTCTTGATGTTCTTACTCGAATCATGCAATCCGCAATCAATGCGCCACATCGAGAAGCTGAATTGAAAGCTGAAAATACTCGTCTGAAATTGTTATTGGCTGCAAAAACGGGAAAATTATGAAATTTAATACTTGAATAAACTTGTTTCGCTTTAAAAATATGATTTGTAGATGAGATTGAAAATGAGGTTCATAGACCTTGAAATATTTTGTTTTTGATGAGAAAAATTAGTCAAAATGAAATATGATGGTTTTCATGAAGTAGGTCAACTTCAGGTCAAAAATCCACGTGTCAATTGAAATTTTGTTGCAGTATTGAAACGATTGTCTAATTTTATAATTTTAGTTGCAAAAAATGATTTATGACACGTCGATTTTTGACCGGAATTTGACCTTCTCACCAAAATTTCCCAATTTTTTCAAGAAAAAATTCAAACTGTTATTTCAGCTCCTCGAACCAAAAATGGAACCACCTCTGAAGTTCGCCAAACTCGAAGAAGAAAATGAGCGATGTTTAGAAATCGGAATCCGAATCAGCGACCTCGAATCCTCCGAATTCCCGAAATTTCGAAATCCCCAAAACAGCGATGAAATTCTAATGAATATCATGAAATTTTGCGCGTTTTTCAAAAAACGAATGGGAAAATCGACAAATGACACGATATTTGCAAATATCACTGATTTGATAATTCTGATGACTGGTGTTGAAAGAAGAACTGTTATTGAGAAAATGAGCGAATTTCAATTATTGGATTGGGTTACAAATTATGAGCCGGGTCGAATTGAATCTCCAGCTCAACCAAAAATTCCAACACAAATTGAAATGCCAAGTGGATCTCCAACAAATTATGAAACAATTGATGATTATCCCTCAACATCTATCCAATCTTCATCTTCTTCCTCATATTTAATGCAACAACCATCAACATCTTCTCGTGTTTTTGTTGCTCAAATTGTCAAAAAACCTGCACCTCCTCTTATTTCTCATCCTCCAGCCGCAATTATTCAAAGAAATCCAACACGATGTGTTATGAAGCAAGCACATCATATCATCAATAAATTGATTCTACAATATCCTTATTCGATTTTCACGTGGGAAAGTTTTTTGTTGGATATTCCGTCGAATATGAGCAGTTTTCCGACGAAATTGGTGAACACGGCATTTTCTCAACTCAAAGAACAGAAATTAATTTATCAATGTGATAGTAGAAGAAGTGAACAAACATTGTATATTGTAAAGGAAACGGTTAGTTTTTTTTGTAGAAAATGGGGTGAAATTGAAGATTTTGATGAAAAATGGGTTGAAGTGCATATTTTAATGAATTTTGGTTGAAAAAATATTTTTTGTCAAATGTTTGTATTGAAAAAAACAACTCAATTTTATATTTTTATGAAGTCCCCTAGCATTTTTAATCCCAAAAATTCAAAATGTTCTGTAAAACCGAAAATTCATCAATAGAGCGCATTTGTAAATTTCAGACGTTAGAAATACAATTTTGAACCAAAAATATTCAAATATTTCATATTATTGTCAATTTTTAAACCAACTTTCAATCTCACATTAAAAATTCAAATTTTCTTCAAAGCCCAATTTTTTTCATTAGAGCGCGTTTTCACAAAATGCTTCTTTTCTATAATATGTTTTTTTTCAGCGACCCCATTGTTTGAATCCTTTATATCTTTATGGTTATTCAGTCGAAGATTATATCGAAAATATGGTAATTCATTGCAAAACGCCATTATTCGACCAACTTCGAAACTTCGACGAAATTTTCCGACCAAATCCTGAAAATCCCAATTATTTTCCAATGTTGATGAATACTTTTGCATTGGCAATTATGCAATTTCCGAATTTGACAATGGATTTGAGTGGCTTGGAAATGTCGAAAACTGATATGGTGAGAGATTTTGGAGTGAAACATTAATTTTAATTTAATTATTAAATATTATAGGCTGTTCGCGCATTGGCATTCCTTGAAGCACATAATATTATAACAATTTGTGTTGAAAATAATGGAGTGAAAATTCAAAAATTGACAAATATTGGTTTGATTGAAGAACATTTGAAGAATTATGGATTGACCAAGGAATTATTCATGAAAATGTTAAAGAAATCAATAGAAATGACACAGGATTCGAATATTGGACGAGGTTTTGATGAATTTGGAAATGGTTAGTTCATATTTTTATTTATCATGGTATAGAAAACTCGGCTAGTCCCTCTTCTATTTAACTTCAAAAATTTTCCAGGTTCTCCACTTGATTATTTTCCACTAATGTCCGAAGATCAAATAAAAACAGAAATTGACGATTTTGTTGTAGTTAAACAAGAAATTGAAGAAGAAGAAGAAGGTGCTCCATGAATTTGAATATATTGCCAACGGGTTTTTTCTACTTATTAAATGTATTTATATCTCACTTTATATGTACTCATAATTACAACAACTATAAAGTTGTTCTTTTATATTTCAATCATATTTAGTCACACACAAATGAAATAGCATGGTACACTTGGAGAAAACAGAGAAAATCAAGAAATAGTGATCGAGAGACGCAGAAATGAGAGAGTCTGGAATTTGAAGAGAGTGACAGAGAAGGAGAGATGCGTTTTCTTTACGCTCTCGCTGTTTATTTCATTCTTTTCGTGTTTTGGCGATCAGTTTTTGTCACGTCGAATTATGGGTGATGGTGAGTTTTTTTTTGAATTTGAACAGTTTCCAGAAAATTGTTATGAAAACTCATGAATTCTGAATTTTCCTGTTCGATTTCCAAACTTATGTTTGGAGTAGACTTAACGCAAAAATGCAGAAAATTCAAATTTTATTCTGAAAATTCAACGTTTATTTGCGCTTTTTTTTAAACTACGGTAGCTCGCAAAGTACGTATTTTGAAAAATTGAGGTCTTCACGCAAAAATGCAGAAAATATTTTTCATCTTCCCAAACTTGAAAATTATTCCAGAAACACGTTTCGCAAATCTCACTTCAGAAGAACGAAAATGGCTTGAAATTGGAGAATGTATTTGTGAATTCAACACGCAAAATTTTCCGCGTTGCGACAAATCATATTTAGATGTTTCGCGTCGCGGCGAAGTTATTCTAATGAATATGATTCGTGGATTGAGTTATATTCAAAAGAATTTGGGTGTGGAATTGGCGAAAGGCACGATTTTTGAGAAAATTCCAGAATTAACGAGTGTTTTGAGTGGAATTACTACATATACAATTGGATTGAAAATTGAGGAAATGGAAGTGAAAAATGGAAAAAGACAGGTTAGACTGAAAAATATTCAAAAACAAAACATTTACTTGAGAGTTGAAACTATTTTTTAAAAAGTTCGAAAAAAATTTCAAAAACTTTATTTTCCACAGAAAAATCAAAATATCTCGCCACGAAAATTTTTAGATGGAGAAAAGTTCAAAATTGAAATTTCGCTGCAAAAAATCCTCAAAATCTCAAATTTTTTTCATTCCAGGCAGCCAAAGAATATTGGACGCAGCGAAATAATATTCGAAAACGAAGAGCCGCCGAAAAATTGTTGACCGAAGAATATTTGACTGCTCCGAGCACAAGTAATGCTCATTTTTATCAAGATGAAGAACAAGTTGTTCTTGAAAATCAAGAAGAAGAAGAAGAAGAAGAAGAAGAAGCTGTAGTGGAAAATGAAGAGTCAGGAGACATTGAAGAGAATAATGAAATACTTTTGAATGTTAAAGAAGAGGAGGGCGAATTATTTAATATTGAACATCAAATTATGATTGAACCTGGCAGGTGAGATTTTGAATTCGGAGGGGAAAAAGGGAACAATCCGGCTCTAAATCCACGAATTTTTTCTACATGACAAAAATCCATTGTCCGATGAGGAAAAAGAAAACCATTTAAAAATATCGGAAGCTTTATTGTACATAAGAATTATACATATTTTACAAGATCTAATACGAATTATTTCAAAAATCAAAAAAGGAGAAAGAACATAAATAAATAATTACAGAAAAATAAAACAACTAGAACAATCATGAAATTGTTGTGAATTGTATATTTTTCAATCAATTGCTTGCTTCGAATTCCGTCTTTTTCTATCCTTTTCTTCAAAAATGCTATTTCCCTTTTGTTGCTCTTATCTGAATATTCCTGATCGAGTTCCAATTTCTGATTGGCTTCTTCCAGTTCTTCTATTTTCTCTTCTTTTTCTCTCAATTCCTCTTCTTTTTCTTTCAATTCCATTTGCAATCTTTCCGCTCGTTTTTGATAATATATCTGAAAAAACGACATTTTCTAATTACTACAAATCTTGAAACTTACATTTTTCAAATTGTTTTCTGGAATTGAAACCGAATCCATAATGTGAGTATCAGTAAATAATAAAGAATCAGTATTTCGAGCTATAAATAATGTTGCAAAAAATATATTTTAGAACATTGAAAAAAAATTCACGAGCGGAAAAATAACTGGTCAAGAAAATAGAGTAGATCAAAATTTGGTAAAGATCAAGTCGAAAAAAAATATTTTTTATTTTTTGAGTGGAAAAAATGCCGAAAAATAGGAAAACAAATTTTATTAATTATTTTCGACTTGAATAAATTATTTCAAAGCGAAATTTCAAGTCTACAAAGTTTTAATTTTCCACGTGGCAATCTTCTAATTTGTGAAAAACATTGATTTTTTCTTAATTTTAAGACAACATCAAATTTTTTTCTGTAAAATAATTTGCTCAACAAATCCAAACTTCAAAATTCAAATTTTTGCAGCGATGAAACCATCATATCATCGGATCAATATTTGTTGATCTCAACAATTCTTCAATATCCACGTGTCATTTTTTGTTGGGGCGATTTTTTGCGCGACAATTCGGAATGCAAACAATTTGATGGAGAATTTCAGAGACAAGCGTTGATTTTTTTGGAAACAACTGGATTAGTGACATTGACAAAACAGGAGACATTAGACAAATTGGAAATGACTTCGATTTTTGTCAAAGAAACGGTAAGTTTCGGAAGGGTTATGACGTGGCAATTTTTTTTTGTTGGAAAATTCAGAGTACTTGTCGGTGGGTGAAAAAGATTAAAACATTTTGAACAAAAATTTACGAATTCGGAAATGTCAAAACTTTTTTTGCAATTTTTTTTTCGCTGCGGGAATTTTTTTTTAATTTAATTTAATTTTAATTTATTTACGACATTGGAAGAACACCGTCAGAAAGAAGAAGACAAATTACAAATGTAATTTCAAAAACGTAGATAATTATATGACACAGTTTGTTGCTGACTATAAATGTTAGCTTGAGCAAAAATTAGAAAATAGAAGAAAAAAAAAAGTGAGATCATGCGAAAAGGTAGTAGAGATTTTAAAATAAAAAAGGAAGGGGGGGGGGGGTGTGCACAACATGCCAAACAGCAATCGGTGAGAGTGAAAGAGACGAAAAGATATTGAAATCGCGCGTGATCTACAGCGATTTACATTTGTGGGTCTAGGATTTGTGAAATTTAGAAATAGACTTCAGCTTGACTTTTGAGAATTCATTCTTGAACTTTCAGTGTGCCAAGCGACTAAAAGTCATCCTCAATTGTTTTCGAAACAAAATATGTTTAGCAACGGCAATTTCAAAAATTATGGATTTTCAGACCCACAAATTTTTAATGTACCTTTGATCTATTTTTCTCTAAGTCTTCTTCACTCTCACCGATTGCCAATTTTCATTGGGCTGACATGATGTGTGTGAGGAGTATAAATAGAAACAAAACAGAACAAAAATATGACGGATATGTTGGGTGGACTAGGTTTAGTTGCTTGTTGATTGAAAAAAAAAAATGTAAAAGGTTTGAATTTGTTATAGATATTTGGATTTGCTAAAAGACTACGATCCCAATCCATTGAAAAGGTTGGAATGTGAAAATTTCAGTTAAATGTGTTAGAAACCCAAGAACCCGAAACCAATACGAGAGCTAGAAAGAGCTGGATTTTGATATTTTTATTTGTTTTTATTTTTAATATTTTGGTTGGTTATGGTGGACAGAAAATGGAAAGAAAAAATAAAAAATTTAATGAATATAACATTATCCGATTTGACTATGATTCAACAATTCGGGCAAGTATCCCAAGAACACATCAGAATGTTTCTGAATGTTCCTCAAAAAATCAGGAACAGTTCGCATGGTGAAAAAACTTCCCCGAACTTTCTTATTTGGTTTTTTATACATGATATTGAATTTGGATCTTGATCTGGTCTTCACCACTTGAAACAATGAGTTTTTATCCACTTTGGATTTACCTGTCAATATTGCTTCGAATAGCTTCATATCCAGTTTTTTCCTCCTCGTTGAGAGATCTTCCAGATCAAATATTTCCAATCTCTCCTCATAATTTTTGTAGTCTCGGTCAGATTTGGCAATAAATCTACCATTGATTTTTTGTCAGAAAATATTTGTAATAATTTTTTTTTGACTTTAATCACCCTCAACTTTTCCACGTCATAACTTTTTTCTCAGATAATTTCTAATAACTCAAAATTATCCATTTTCCAGCGCGAATCTCTTTGTATATCAATCTATTCATTTGGTCTAACTTTTGAAGAATATCTAAAAATCCATTTTCTTCATCCACATCCAAATCGTCGTCCACTTTCTGAACAAATTCTTCTATTTGATCGAAATTTCGGGATCACATTAGATTCTCGAAATACGGAAAAACTTGAGAATATTATGGCATTGGCTATCATTCAATTGGAAACAGCCTTAGTTACTCCAAGTCGAGTTAAAGTCAAAAATTTGAAAATGATTGATGATGTTTTTAATCGAATGCAAGCGACTGGATTATTGAAAGCTTTTAATACAACTTATGCTGATGCACAAGATTGGGAATTTAAGAAACAATTGGTGAGTGATTTATAAGGCATCGTAAACTAATTTGTCTCCCAAAAATTCAATTTTTCTAGTGCGGTGAGGATTTGGAAGAACGTCTCAAAATCTACGGTCTCAATAGTTCATTTTTCTTTGTCACAAGTCTTTTGGATATTTCAATGATGATGAAAGAACAACAACAAAAACAAAAGAATGAACAAATGGGAAATCAGAGAAATACGATATTTCTTCAAAATGAAGTAAAACCATTTGAACAATGAAATCATTCGGGTTGATTTTTTAATTTTCTTTTTTTAACATTTCAAATTTTTTATGTTTTTTTTTCTTTAAAATAAAATAAATTTTTGATGATAAACGAAAAAGTCGTAAAAAACATTTTGTGACACTTTTTTTGATATCAAAAGTTCCGCCCCAGAATTTCATTTCTATTTTTTTTCATGAAAAAAGGGATGAAATGGATTACAGCCAAATATATTGTGCAATAGTTTTCGCTTTTATTTTTTTCATTTTGTTTTTGAAGACAATTTCGAAAAAGAGAAAAGATGTGAAAATTGTGGAAACCAAGAGAAATCGGTAAGTTTTAGTTTGACTTTTTGTTTTCGAGCATTTGAAATAGATCGCGAAAAGTTCTTTTTTAATTTTATTGTGATATTATTTTAGAAAAATCAATTTTTACTTTTAGATAATGATCGACACTTTTCTGAAAAAACTTATCAATTTTCAGAAACTTGTTTCATCATTGACAGACCTCGAATTTTTTGAGTTTTTGAATTCTTTGTTATATAACAATATCTGATTCATATCCACATGGTTTTTTCTGAAAAAATGTTAAATCCCAATTTTTAGTTCCGAATCTACACTCTCTACTGGAAATTTCCACGAATTTGAAACTTTACGACATTTGTCAATTTTACAACTCGAAAAATACAATGCTAAATATTGGAAATTGACAGATCGATATTGGCGCGAGATTTTTAGAAGACAGTAAGATATTTTTCAATATTTTCAGACTTCCAATTTTTTAATCAAATTTAATTCAAGGAATCAAAATCATCATCCTGATCATATAAATGTTTCTCGCCTTCAAACTGCAAATATTCTGACAGCTTTAGACGAACATTTACCGCCTGGAAAAATGCACGAAGTTACGATAACAGGTTGGTGGAATTTTTCTCTCTCTAAAATATATTCAAGTTTTTTTCAGGATATACTCCAAAACCATTTCGAAAATGCGAAATAATGCGATATCTTCGAGATCGAATTGCAAACCAAAATTTCGAGTTGGTTCTTCAACCGAAATTTGAGAAAATTCGAATACTACCTATTTTGGATTAATCTATCGATTGATTTATGAAATACATATTACATGTGAAACGAAGCCGATAAAAAATTTGAAAAATGAGAAAAACTTTACTGAGCTTGATTTTGTGTGAATCCTGTTGGTTGTTGTTGTTGTTGTTGAGGAATCGAATTTGTTGGAAGTTGGGCTGGTTGTGCATTGAGTTTCAGACGATTTTCAACCATTGCAGCTTGTTCAACAAGTCCTATCGATCTGGAAAAACGGGATAATAGTGGATTTTAGTGCGAAAAATTATAATAGCAAACCTATAATAAGCAGCCCATTGCAATGAATAATCCGGTGCACCAGTATTTGGATTCATAATTGGAGCTGTTCTATCAGCAGCTATTTGTTGAGGTTGAACAATTGGTTGCTGTTGGAAAGCGACTTGTGAAATTTGTGGGGTTTGTTGTTGTTGAATTGCTCCCCACATTTGTGGCTGTTGTTGAACTAGAAATTAAAATTAAAAAATAGAGCTAACACATTTCTCGATTGAAATATGTAACTATGTTCTTACCTGGTTGCATAAATTGCTGTGGTTGTTGCGGCATCGAAGTTGTATATGGATTATACATATTCGGCTGAGGTTGCTGTTGTGTCATAAATGACTGATATTGTTGTTGCTGTGGTTGCTGCATTTGTTGTTGAACCATATTTCCACTTCCACCACTCATTGGAGGAACAGGTGTATTTGGTGGAATATCTCCAACTTTGATTCGGATCAAATGCTGAGCATGATGAATTTGTTGAGGATTTCCGCGAATCTCAAAAACTCGTTCATCATTCTTCGTCTCCTTGTCTCTTGCCAATTCACAATGCGCATAAGATTCAGCGTTGATTTGTTTGATAGTTTCTCCGCCTTTTCCAATAACCAATCCACATTTATCGGCTGGCACATGCATATAAAATTTCTCTTGATTGGTTCCTCCTCCACCGAGGCTACGATTAACGATTTCGGTGATACGTTCTGTGGCAGCATAGATTTGTTCACGAGTTCCCATTATAACAGCACATCGCTCGGCAGAATCTGGATTTTCTGCAAGAATTTTGAGATCAAATTTTGAAAATAACATCATCTAAAGAAAACTATACCATCTGGCTTGAATTGAATCTTAGTACCAGTTTCTTGCGCCAATCGTCGAATAACATCTCCTCCTTTTCCAATAATCAAACCAGCCGAATCACGTGGAACAATAACTTCACCTTTTGCCTGATCGCCACTTGCATAATGACTTGTTGGTCTGCTATTTGAAATAGTATTCATCATATTTGTATTTGTCAAAATATTGTTTACAAGCGCTTTAGCAGTTTCGACCTGTAATTTTACAATGGGAACTTTGCGATTTTTAATTGTAGAAAAATACCGCATCTGGTGTTCCAGTTATTCTCAAAGGTTTTGGTTGACCTGTGATAGATTGCGAAGCTTGAACAATATTCATACGACAGCCAGATTGTTCCTGAAGCAATTTGATATTATCTCCAGCTCTTCCAATAACCCATCCACATCTTTCAGCTGGAATCATCATTTCAATAGTTATATCTGCTGATGATGGAACATGCATTTGTTTGTTCATTGTGTTATTATTGTTGTAACGAGCAATAACTTGATTAATGAGTTGTTTCGCAGCATTGATTTGTTCAGCATTTCCTTCCAATGTACATCCTCTTTTTCCATCTCTCGTTGTACCGTCTGGATCCATTTGAACACGAGCGCAAGACATTTGCTGAATGTTTCGAATTTCGGAACCAGATTTACCAATAACTAGGCCAACATAGTTTTCCGGAATGTCGTAGGTTTCGACATAACGCTCATCGGCAAATGTTGCTGCTTCAGGCGCTTTCTTTGCTGGAATCATCCCATCGTTTTCCAGTTCCAATGACCGTTTGATCCCGGCAGATTGCGAAAAATCGCTGACTTGTTGTTGTTGTTGACACTGAAAAATTATGTTTTTGTATGACTGAAAAGGTTCAAAAATTATGATATCGAATATTTCGGACAATGAATGAAAAATCAAACAAAACCAAAAAATAGAAGAAAGTTGAGAAATTTATAATATTCCACCTGAGATTGTTGCTCCATTTTTAGAGTCGCCAATTAGACCACAAGTCGAAATGAGAGGAGCAAGAAAATACCCTGAAATAGAGACAAAATATTAAAAGAAAAATAATACAAAAAGTTGGGGCTCTATTTCTGAAATATAATAATACTTTACTGAAAAATAAAACATATAATCATTTCTTTATTCGACATAAATTATAATTAGGCAAAATACACTTCATGCAATTTCAAAAACAAACTATTGGAATTTATTTGATCAAATTATAAAAAATCAATAAACATTGAGCAAAAACTATAAAAACAATTGATTCTGATGAACATTTCAAAATAACAATTTTCTCGGGAAAAAATTAAACTTCAATAAATATATCAACAACAAACTTTACTTTCTTAAGTTTTCACGAGAAATACTAAAAAAAAAAGAAGAAAAATGTCTTTCAAACTCTTTTTTCATAAATTTTTCTCGAAAAAAAATGCTGAAATTCCAGTTTTCAGCCGAAAAAAAACCAAAAAATCATAAACGCGCGGCCTAAAAAACGATTACGGTATGTCACAAGATGTGCAAAATAGCGTGAGCGTGTTTGCACAGATCGTCGCGAGACCAGACGGAAGAGCGGAGCAACGTTGTTTTGTACTTCTCTCGAACTTCTTTTCAATTTAAAAAAAAAAGAAGCTTTTTCTAGAAGCTCAAAAACGAGAATAAAAATAAAAGCACAACTAAAACGAGGTTTATTCTAGTCTAGTAAAATGTTCACAAATTCTCAAAAATTGCCGATAGTTGGTCCAAATCATTGTAAAGTTCTTTACGATTCAGTTTGTCGGCTCGGCAATCATTGATTTTGTTTTGTGACGATTTCAGAAGTTTACGCATTTTCGAACTGTTGAGACCAAGTGGAACCGATTCTTCGTAAACCCATTTACGAACGAAGCACTTGTTCTCAACGAATCTGAAAAACAATTTGGGATTTTTGTGGATTTATAAGGAAATCAGGTAGAAAAAACATGTTTGAAAATTTTTTTCCGGACTAAAAAATATAGAATTTTCAGGTGATTTTCGGATTTTCATAAAATTTTCTGAACGTGGAATTTTCAAAAACTATTTTCAGAATCCCCTAAAAATACTTACTGCAGGATTTCAAATCTCTGCGATGGGAACATATCCAAGCTCTCCGATTTTTTCGTCGCCACAATTTTGTCCGGTTTTTCCTCGCTCGGTGGTGCCAAATCCTCTTTTTTGATATTGTTATTGTTGTCATCAGCAATTCTTCCATTCTTATTTTGTTCATTTTCCCCATCATTATTATTATCTAATTTTTGTGGTTGTGGTGGAACCAAAGTCACTTTTCCATTTTGCTCTTCTTCTTTATCTTTCAATATTTCAGCCTCTTTCTTTTCACGCAAACTCTTCTTTTTCTCTTTAATACTTGCTAATTTCTTTTCACGAGTACTTGCTTTCTTTTCTCTTTTCGATTTCTGACTTTTTTGCAATGATTCTTTTGATCTACGCGATTTTTGACTTTTTGGTTGTCTTAATTCTCGTTTCGATTTCATTTTCGAATTATTTCCAGCTCTTCTTCCACCTCTTTGACCTGGTCCACGATGAACTCTTTGTCTTTTTTCCTTCTTTTTACAACATCCCAAAAGACCTCCTTTTTTGCCACTTCTTGCACTTTTTGAACGACTTCTTCTTCTTGACTTTCTGCGAGTGCTTTTCTTCGAACGACTTCGTGAGCGACTACTCTTCTGAACAATAAACAGATTTGATTATTTGTTCTGAAATTGTGATAACTCACTCTGAGACTTGCCATGCTCAATCAGTAGACTATTTTTTCCAGTAGTCAAAAACTAAAACTGAATTTTTCTGAAAAACCAAACCTTTTATAGCGGTTCTTTATCTGATTAGAACAACACGTTCTCGTTTATTTAATTAAAAGAAAATTCATTATTTAAAGTCGTAAAAAAAATTAAAATTTAGGGAAAACCGATTGTTCGGCTTCAGTTGTCATTCCAGGAATAACATCGCTAATTGCGACTCCATTTATTTCTTTGAAAATTTCGGGGAATGTTGTTTTGCAGATGCGACGAACTTCTTCAATATATCTTTGGTTGCTGAAAAAACACATTTAATTTGAGATGAACTTGAATTTTTGGGGAAAAAACTCACACATTATCAATAAAAATATTTTCAATAATCTGTGTTGGGTGCTCCAATTTCAAATGCTCTTCGCATTCTTTCAATAATGAATATTTTGTGTGACATAATTGGCATTCAAATCGTTTACTGAAAAAAACCGATTTTGTTTCGCACAAAAACAAGTTACAAAAACTCACTATTTACAGTGCTCTTCGATAATATGTTGTCTGATTTGCTCGTTTTTTCCAACTTCCAATTGGATCAAACACTTTTCGCATTCGACACTGTCAAACAAGAAAGAAGAATAGCTGGTAGATTTGTATTTTTTTGTTGGAATTGGACACGAATCATTGGAATAAAACGAATCATCTGGTTCTGATTTCACTGAGACAAATGAAATATCTCCATTGCAAGGAATTTTGACAAGAGTTTCCGGATCTACACGATTTTTGAGGAGAAGTTCTGGAGGAATTACTTCTTCCTCTTCTTCTTCATCGCTTTTTTCAGCGTCACTTTCTTCTGCATCACTTTCTTTTTCTTCTTCGTCACTTTCTTCTTCATCGCTTTGTTGTCCATCACTGACTTCTTCGTTTTGTTGTTCTTCAGTCATTTCATCTGCTTCTCTATTTTCTTGAATCACAACAACTTCAGTTTGAACTTCCATATCTTTTCCAATATATTTATCAGTTTCAACTTCTTTATTCAATACTTCGATTCCATCTGTTTGGGATTGTGTAGATTCCTTGAGAATATCCGATTGATCGATAATTCTGAAATGAATTTTGGCCAACTCTTCAATCGAATCATGCGTCAACCATCTGACTTTTCCCGAAGTGCAAACTGTTTCTCTCAATCTTCTATAATCATCATCTTTTAAAATAAAACAAAACGTTTTATTGCAAAGATTGTTTGTGCATCGCAAAGCACTTCTATCTACCATATAATTATTGAAATTGTACAATTTCTGAAAAAAATTCTAATTTTCGAAGATAAAAAACAACACGCAAACTTACGAAAAGCCCCATCAAATGCTCATTTTCTTCGTGACAGTCGCTTGTTTCTTTATGACTTATCATTATGTAACGTGCCATTTTTGCCTGGAACTTGTTTCAGTTGAAAAACGCGTACTTCACTTTTTTTTTTGAAAACGAAAAAAAAGTAAATTCCGTGGTCCGCAAACACTTTGACGAAATTTCACAGAAAAGTTCAAAGGTACAGCATCTCCGCTGCGAGACCTCGATAGTGACGCGCATTTGGCGATTCATTTTTTCATTTCCGTTTTTTTCTCACCAACCATGGTTGCAATCGTGAATCCGTGTAAAGTAGAGTTTTCATATGAATTGATGGTACTTAATCAAAGAATGCATTTCATGTTCCTCTTCTCAAAAACTACTCTGATAAATATTTTCCGATTGAAAATAGTTCCGAAACTTCACTTCAAAGTGTTCTTTCTCAAATTAGATCTTTTAGAACCACCGTTCTGTTCTTCTTTTCCTTATTACGTCATAAAGTTCCCTCCTCTTTCTTTTCTCTTTGCCTAGACATTTTCAAACAGTTGTCTAGTCGAACATCTGCGCTCTGTTGAGAAGAGGCGCGTCCAGTTATTTGAATTTTTCATTTTTCCTTGTTTCGCAATTTTCCTCGTTTTTTTTCGAAAATAATCTATAAACTCACGTTTTTCAGATAATGGCGATTGATGTTTCTGCATTGTCTGATGCCGAATTGCGTTCCGAGCTAATTTCGCGCGGGATGAAAATCGGTCCGGTTACTGGAACAACTCGAGCACTTTTCGAGAAGAAATTGAAGGGACTTCTTGAAAATAAAACAAAAGCAACACCAGCGAAATCAACTCCAGCGAAACCGACTCCAACAAAAACTGCTGTTGTTAAACCAAACACATCTGTCACTAAGAAATCACCATCTCCAGCAAGATCTGCGAAAAATGTCACAACAACATCATCGACAAGAAGAAGTATTGTACAAACTGCGAATAAATCGCAAATTGAGGAAGAAGAATCGGATGATGATATTGAAGAATTTATTCCAGTTGTCACAAAAACTACTTTGAAATCTCCAGGAAGACCGAAATTGAACGATTCGATTTCTTCTGTCAAATCAAGCACTGTGAAAACACCAAATTACACCAAAAGAATTTCATCTTTTGATGAAGCGATCCACGTGCCAAATTTGATAACATCATTTGAACCAGATTATTCAATCACAGATCGCCCTGGTTTGACACCACCGAGAGCTTCAAAAGCACCAAGTTCAACACTCCGGCAATCATCTATCAGAACTACAACAACAACAACTCCAAGACTTTTCAGTTAGTTTTTTTTTTCAAAGTCGAGATTCATGAATTAATGTGTGAATATTTTGTAGAATCGAATTTCAACGATCTTGGCGCAACAACAGGTGAAGAAGATAATGAAGACGATGATGACGGTCTCGAATCAAGTCGAGTTGTTTATTCCTCAAAGAATTCAAATTCCGGAGGACGTGGATTGGTTGGCAGAGCTTGGGATAAAGTTCTCGGATATGATGTGAGTTTTGAGTTTTCAAAAGATTTCCTAACAAAAAATGGAAAAATTCACCTAGAAAGTGCAAGTTTTCAAAAACCAATTTTCAGTTCAAAGCATCTCCATCGGTTGGTAAAAGTTATGATTTCCGTGCTGGAAACACTCGAACTCGCGTTGTCCGCGATAAGAGGACTGGAAAACTGGTGGTTGAACAAACCAGCGTTTTCGGGTATGTTTTTCAAAATGCTTTTAAAAGAATCTCTTATAAATGTTCCAAATCCTAAAAAGTTTCAGAGAGGCACTCAATTTGGCATTGTATGTCCTCGTCATTTTGTTTGTTGTCCTTTCGATCGGATATTTTATCAGCAGCACTGATAAATCGACAGTTACTGGAACTGTTTCGCTTTTGACTAGTGAGTTTATCATTTTAAAAATTTCGGAAGAAAAATTGTAACAGAATGTCATTTTCAGAGTCAATCCGTGATTCGATCAACTTTGTTTATCGTTATGCCATTGTTCCAGTTGTCACAATTCTTGCTAGTGAGTTTTACAAACAAACAAAGACATTTTTCTGAAATTCAGAAAATTGAGATTTAGAAAAATAAATAAATTTTCAAACTAAAGTTGAATTTATAATTTCACAACAAAAAAGCTTCAGAACTCTAATTCACCTCCATTTTTTCAGTTGCTGTAATTGGTGCTGGATCATATTATGGCCACAAGAAATACAAAGAAACAGTCGATCGCGAAGAAGCTGCCACATTTGATCTGATCGAGAAAATCATTGAATTGATTCGCGAAGCCGCTGTCGAAGGTGAAGCTTACGTCTCCCAACCACACATTCGTGATGTTATTTTCCCACCAGCAAAACGTCGCGGTGCTGAATTATCGCGTTGGGAACGCGCCGTCGCATTCATTGATGCCAACGAATCGCGTGTCGCAACTGAAATCCGTGTTTTGCCATCCGGAAACGAATGCGCAATCTGGAGATGGATTGGACACACTCAAAACAAAAGAAATTGGTAAAACATTGCATTTCTTCCTGCCCAACAAATCAAACCAAATCAATCTGTTGAATATACATATTATTTTTTATTGTAACAAACTCTCCTGTTCCCATTCATTTCATTCAAATTCCATTTTGTAACATTTCATTTTTCTAATACTAAATAAATTTTCCAAAAAAAGCAATTACTTTGGTCCAAGCATATTCTCTGGCTTAACCCATTGATCAAATTGTTCAGCTGTAAGAATGCCCAATTTGATTGCTTCTTCTTTCAAAGTTGTTCCATTTTTATGAGCAGTCTTGGCAATCTTTGCAGCATTATCATATCCAATGTGTGGATTCAAAGCGGTGACAAGCATAAGAGATTCACGCATGATCTGAAAATAAGGTTATTTTAGTGTGTAATTTTGAAAATAATAATTTTTATTTTTGCAAATTTTTAGATTATTCTTTGAAATTTAGAAAAAAAAAACATTTGAAACACTGTTAATTTTCTAGTTTTTAATTGTAAGTTTATTTTTATTATTGAATTTCTATTATTCAAAAGGAAAGACTGTTAATGTTACCTCAAGGAAAACAATGATTTTTATACCGTGTCAATGTCATATAGGAAAAACTATCTGATCCCCAAAATAATACAAATAGCATACCTTAGCAATATTATCCTTATTTGCTTCAATTCCAACAACACAATGATCAGTAAATGAAACAGCTGAGTCAGCCAATAATCTCGTTGATTGCAAAACATTTCGAACAATTAATGGTTTGAATACATTCAATTCAAAATGTCCATTTGATCCACCAACTGAAACAGCAACTTGATTTCCCATAACTTGTGCAGCAACCATTGTAATTGCTTCGCATTGTGTTGGATTCACTTTTCCTGGCATAATTGAACTTCCCGGTTCATTTTCTGGCAATGATAATTCTCCCAATCCACATCTTGGTCCAGATCCGAGGAATCTGATGTCGTTTCCGATTTTCATGAATGAAACAGCGATGGTGTTCAATGCACCGTGAACTTCGACAAGAGCATCGTGAGCTGCGAGTGATTCGAATTTATTTGGAGATGTCACAAATGGAAGACCGGTGATTTGGGCAACTTTGCTGCAAAAACAATTGAATTGGAATAGGTCAGGGATCATTTTAAATTTAAATCACTGATTGCTCATTAATATATTTTATGGGCTATGAAAGCTAACAAATGAGCAATTAAAAATCAATCAAAATACAGTAAGCCGTGAGAAAATTAGTTCCATTGGGAAATTTGAGAGCTTATAACCAAAAAAACAAAAATCCATATTTTGAGAAATTCTATGAGAAGCTAGAAAAAATTATAAAAGTTCCTGAAAGCCTGAAAAAATTCTGATGAATCTACATGAAGAAAGCCGAAATCGCGGGAAAAATTTGAAAAATTCAAAGAAAAATTCTGACGTAAATTAAAAAAAAAATTTCAATTTCTGGTTTTCACCTTAATTTTTGAATTTGAAAATTTCAAAGACATTTTTTGAAGTTTTGAATAATTTGTATAATTTCCATGATTGTTAGGTGAATTTTTGAAATTTCATTTCAGATTCTGAAAAGTTCAGAACTTTCCCAGAATTTTTAATTCAAAAAAATTATTTTAAAGGTTGGGAGCTTCATTATAAACGTTCAAAATTTGCTTGAAAAACGTTCAGGTTGAACTCGAGAATTTTTTAAGAGGGTTTCAAGTAGAATTTCGTGGAATCTAAGGTTTTCAGCTCAATCCCGCTACAAATCCCTCTCCTCCTCATAATAGATAAATTTTCAGGTTGAACTCGAGAATTTTTCAAGTAAAATTTCGTGGCATTCTAGATTTTCAGCTTGATCAGCTCGCTAAATACACCCTCAAAATCTAACCTTGCAACACCTTCAGCAAATCCAATTCTTGTATTCAAACCAGTTCCAACAGCAGTTCCACCAGCCGCCAATTCATATAATCTTGGCAAAGTTGCTTCAATTCTAGCAATCGAATTATCAACTTGTTGAACATATGCCGAAAATTCTTGTCCAAGTGTAAGTGGAACAGCATCTTGTGTATGAGTTCTTCCAATCTTGATAATATCCTTAAATTCGACAGCTTTATCATTCAAAGCTCCACGAAGTTTTTTCAATGCTGGCAAAAAGTCTCGAATTGATTTCTCTTCCAACTGCAATATGCATTGCTGTTGGGAAAGTGTCATTTGATGATTGTGACATATTTACGTGATCATTTGGATGAACTGGCTTTTTTGATCCAAGTTCACCTCCGAGAATTTCGATGGCGCGATTTGAGATAACTTCATTTACATTCATGTTTGATTGAGTTCCTGAACCAGTTTGCCAAACAACAAGTGGGAAATGATCATCGAGTTTTCCAGCAGTTACTTCTTCAGCAGCCTAGAAACATTTGAAATCAGAATTCTAGATATTCTGAGTTTATTTGTGGAATTTTTGATGTTTCGATAATACAAATTCTTGCTCGAATTCTCCAAACTCAGAGTCAGATCCCCCTCCCCCAGAGATTCACAAACCTGCGAGATAGCATCCGCCAATTTCTTATCCAATCCAAATTCGGTGTTGACCAAAGCAGCCGCCTTTTTCAAGATTCCAAAAGCATGAATAACTGGGAGTGGCATATGTTCTTCGGGTCCACCAATTTTGAAGTTCATTTGAGAACGAGCAGTTTGGGCACCGTAATATTTATCAGCCGGAACATCGAGTTCACCGAAGGTATCACGTTCTTTACGAATCTGCAAAAAACCAATATGAAATGTGGATTGAAAATGGAAAATTTGGTGGTTTTGCAAAACCTTGGACATTTTGTAGATAGGAAAAATGGAAATGAAGAGATTATTTTTTAGAAAAATGAAAAAGGTCACACTTCAAAATTTTAGTTTACACTCTCTTCTCAAACTACACTCTAGTTTTATTTACTTACTCCAGCCATTGAAATTGAACTACGCGAAACGTGTCGAACAGCAATTCGAGAAAGCATCTGCAAAAATCGAATGTTGTTTTTGGGCAAAAAATGGGCGGAGCGAGAGGCTCAGACATGAAAAGAGAATGAGAGAAAGGGTTATCAAAAGAGAGTGCAGACAATCAGAGATATTTTGGACGGATTATTTGAAACCGTTGAATCGAAACGAAAAGATCAATTATTTTTGATGAAAAATGTTTTTTTGAATTTAAATACAAACTATGTAAATACAAATTATGACAATTATGGAATGTATTATTGGAAAATGTTGAAAACTAGAGTCTAGTTTGGCTATTTACAGATTTAATTTTGATAGATTTCAATGTATCCGATGAGTCGTTGAACTGAATTCATTGTGTGATTTAGGCGGCGGAGAATCTGGAAAAATATATTGAGTTTGATAGGAAGAGAAGGGATTTTCAAAATTTCTGGGAAGGTTTACAAATTTTTAGCAAATAATAAAAAATCTCTAGTTATTAGCTCCCAATTTCCGGATTCCGGAAGTTTTAGATCCAAATTTCAATGATTCCATAAAAATAAAATTTAGAGTTATTTAGTTTTAAGTCGACAACATAAACTTTTTATTTATAAAAAAATTACCTCATCTAAATATGGCAATCTACATTCAGCCATAAAAACAGATAATCCTTGTGGATGTACAGTTTTTGGAACCATTTGATAACTTGCACAGACTAATCGACAACTTGAAATATAAAATGATAATAATTGATCTTGTGGGAGTTGTGGCACAAATTTCCGAGTTGGCGGAAAATAGCATAATTCTAATAAACTCCTCTTTCTTGGTAATTGAATTGAAGCTCTTGCTAAACATAATTCATTTTTGATTTGTCTCAAATCTTCGAGAACTCGTTTTCCGGAATCATTTGTATATACAGACATATGAGTTAATTGATCTTTCAAATCACAAAATGCGATTGTTACTCTTGAAATATAATTGCCTAAATCTTGAAGTTGTTGAAGTTTCCATTGAACATCTGGTTGAGCAACAGCTCGAAAATATCCACCTCCAGCTTTTGGATATTTTATTGATACTTCTGCTTGTATTACATTATCATCTAATAATGTAACGGATGCTTTCAATGTATCTTGTGCTCCTTGGCGTGGAGTTAGGCTATATTTTTCAGTTGTTGTTTGTAAAACTGGAATTTGCAATCTTTCATCGCATTTCGAACCAAGATTCAGTTTTGCACAACAATGTTTGAGATTTTCCAACGATTCATCGATTAACATAACAACTCTTTTCTCTTGCACCCAACTAAGCTCATTTTCTCGCAATTTTCGAATCTCATCCTTTGCCGCCTCCTCTTCTTCCTCATTTTTATCAGCATTTTGAGGTTTCAAATAACTTGACGTCACTGTTAATTGCGACATCTTCTGGAAAAATCGGTTTTTTGAGACAAAAGAAGAGCAGGGTAAAGCAAAAGTTTGAAAAAACGCAAAAGAGAAGAAAAACGTGCATGCAACAAAAATAAATTGTTGTGAAGAAGAGAAGAAAAAATGTTAGGCGGAAAATAAATTTTGGCATTGGAGCGAGGTTTCACCGAACAAAACAAACAAATTTCGTCATGTGTGAGGGTTTTTGATGAAATATTTAAAAAATAGGAGAAAAAATCCATTTTTTCTTGAGAACTCCATTTTTTTCAAGTTTTTTTTTCGAGAAACTGTTTATTGGCTTTTCAAGAAGAACGCTTAGCCGTCAAAACTTCTTTTAAAGAGCATTTCCGAGGTTTAAAAATGTTTAATTTGAAATTCTTAGTTCTAGAAATAAGGTTATCTCATAAGTTTACCTCACGCATGAAAAATCAGATATTTCATCAATTCTCACATCTGAAATCACTCCACATTCCTTGAAAACCCTGAAAAACACGGCTAAAAAAATAAAAATTTTCAAAAATCGTGATCCCGTCATCCTGGAGAACTACACAAAACCGCAAATCCCCTCAAGACCTATCCCAATAAATCGATGCGCCTTTATTTTATTTTTTCATTTTTTCGCAGAATAACAACTTTTTTCACTTTTCAGCTCGAAAAATGTCGTTCGCCGGGCTTCTTGATTTTGCTCGAAAGGATATCGATATTCCAGCAAGTTCTCCAAGAAATCTACTCAAAGATGTGCATTCCCAATTCATTCATCAATATCAAGCTGATCATAATAGTTATGTAAGTGTATATTTGAAAAATCACTGATTCAGAATTAATAAATTGCAGATGTATATAATGTCTGAACATTTACGAGTAAGCGGAATATATTGGTGTGTAAATGCGATGGATTTGAGCAAAGATTTGGAGAAAATGCCCTCGCAGGAGATCATAGAATATGTGAAAACATGCAGAAATTCTGATGGTGGATATGGACCAGCTCCCGGACATGATAGTCATATTTTACATACATTATGTGCGGTGCAAACTTTATTGATTTTTGGAGAAACAATAGATTCTGAAACAAGCAATGAAATCGCGAGTTATGTAAAATCTCTTCAACAAGAAGATGGAAGTTTTGTAGGTGATATTGCTGGAGAAATAGATACTCGTTTCACAATGTGTTCACTTGCCACGTGTCATCTTATAAACCGCCCAAATACCTTGAATATTCAAAAAGCGATCGAATTTATAATGCGATGTTATAATACAGATGGTGGTTTTGGAACACGTCCAGGATCAGAAAGTCATGCTGGACAAGTTTATTGTTGTGTTGGAAGTTTAGCAATAACAGGTAGATTAGAAGAAATAAATCGAGATCGAACAGCTGAATGGTTGGCATTTCGACAATGTGAAAGTGGTGGATTGAATGGAAGACCTGAAAAATTACCGGATGTTTGTTATTCTTGGTGGGTTTTGGCGAGTTTGGCAATTCTGGGAAGACTTGATTTTATTGATGAAAAGAAGATGAAACGATTTATTTTTGCGTGTCAAGATGATGAAACTGGTGGATTTGCAGACAGACCAGGAGATTGTGTAAGTCGCTATTAAAAAAATATTCTGAAATTCAACAAAATTCCAGGCTGATCCATTTCACACAGTTTTCGGGATTGCTGCTCTCTCACTTTTTGGCGACGAAACTTTGGAACCAGTTGATCCGATATTTTGTATGACGAAAAGAAGTCTTGGCAAATTATCGATTTTGTGATATTTTTGTGCGTGTGTGTTTATTAATTAATTTATTGAAACTTATGAAAAATGTGATTGCTCATGTCAGAATTGTTGTATGTATTCAAATATTTGATTTTCGATGGATGGATCAATGCGAATTTTGGCGGGTAGGAATTCTGGGAAATTTTTATAAACTGTTCAGAGGGAATTATGTTTTGAAATTTTGCGTCAACATTATTTTACCGAAGAAAACAATTCAAAGAAACATTCTGGACCAAATACATACAGAATTTTCAAAAATTCTATTCTTTGTCTTCGAAAATCCTCGTGGATTTTTTAAATTCAAATTTTCTGAACCAAAATTAGCAATTTCAATGTGAGATCTCAAAATGTAAAACAAAAATATATAAAAATTTTCCGAAAAATAAAATCCACGCGGTTTTCAATGTGAAACTTTTAAGCCGAATTCAAGAAATTTCATTTGTAAATTGTCAAAAGTTTAAAAAAAATCCACGTGAAACTTTCAAAATAAAAATTTTGAGTTTGGAAAATTCACGTGTATTTAGTGTGAAAATCTCAAATTCCCGCTCAAACATCTCACTAATCCGAAAATCTAACATGAAAAAAAACATTACAATATAAAAACCTGTATAAATTAAAATAGTGTCGAAAAACTTGAATTCCTCTGCGGCTCTTCACTTTTCGTCCTTCTTTTTCTATTCAAATTTTCCACAATCACTCGATTCTTTTTCTCTTTGATATTCTTTTGTCTCGTCTTTTCCTTCTCCCAATTTTCCTTATTTTTTCGCACCAAAAATTCAATCAAAGCAGTCAACATACTCAAAACCATTCCACCCATTAAAATATAAAATATTCCAGCGACTTTTGATAAATTCAAACTCGAACTATTTCCACCATCAGACATTCCATTATCACATTGTCCTCTATCATACCACCATTTATTTTCCAATTTTTTCAATTCTCCTTTTTCTTGAAGATATAAAATTGCTAGATTTAGACTAACTCTCAAAGGATTTCCAATTTTCGTTGCAATTCCATATCCCAAAGTATTCAAATTTTGTCCAACTTTCATTGTATCACAAGGTCTTCTTCCACTTTCATAATTATTTGTTGTTTCTTCGAGTAAAAATGCATATTTTCCTTTACTTGTTCTAACTTTTTCAATTCCATCTGCATAAGAACTAACAAATGTTTTTGAAATTGTTGTATTTCCAGATGTTGAATCAGCATGTCTTTGATGTGTACTTGCCATAAAATTCCACATTTTCTTGTAAAGTGGAACTATTGAATCTTCGAAAAATGCAGCTGTTGAACCGCCTTCAACAACTCCATAAAGAATTTTATCTTGATTTGCCAAATCATCAACACTTTCAATTGGTGGAGTCATTCTTTCTGTAAAATTAAATTGGGAATTTTGAGGAGGAGAAGATCCACGTGTAAACTTTGATTTGGAATTTTCATAATTAATTTTTTTTTGTTGAAAAATCTGTGAAAAATTCAATTTTCGAAGCCGACACCCCGATTTTCCCCGAATTTCCTCGAATCCCAAAACCATACCAAGTGTCAAAAAAGCGGCCAAATTAGCAGTATAAGATGATACAATAATAAGTGTAAAAAACCACCAACAAGATGATGCAATTCGACCAGAAACAGCTCGAGGTAATATATCAGTTCCTTGTTGCATAAATGCAGCCAAAGTAAACCATAAAGAATTGTAGAGCGTGAATTCATTGGTGACTGAAAGAGAAAACATATTGTGAGTTATGACGTGGCATTTTTCAATATTTTAGTAGTTACATTCAAATTTGTTGTTTCAGATTTTTTTACTTTCAATAAATTTTATTTTTGAAAAAATTCAGTAGCAAAAAAAGATTACTGTTTCAAAATTTCATTTAAAGAAACTCTGTTTTGTATAGACATTTCAGTTTCTTGAAAATTTTGAAAAAAAATTATTTTGGACTCAAAGTATTTCCCTCAAAAATTTCCGAAAAATCTACGTTTCAAAATTCCATTATATAAATTGAGAGTTCTAATCGAGTGATCGAAAAAATGAACGCTCAAGTACCTGTGAATTCTCCGCGTTTAAATTCAATTCGTTTTTCATACGGTGAAAACCAAGAAACCAAAAAAATGGTCAAAGAAACTCCAAAATAACTCGAAAGTGTAAATATCCAAATAGTCATTCCAAGTGGTTCCATAAATGAAAATATATTAAATTCTTGTTTTTCTGGTTTCTTTATCATAATTGATATTCCAGTTGTCATAAATGGTTTCGAAAAATCAACAGCTCTTTCTCTTTCTTGTGTTATTGTTAAAGGTGCAACTGCCACGTCAGCAGTTTCATTTAATAAATATCCCAACATTCCATCCCAACTTCCATCAGCTTGTCGTGCACCATATTTATTACCTTCTGATATAAATACATCATAATGGAAACCTGTTATATTATTGGCTAATAAATTCAGAAGATCAATGCAATATCCTTCGAATCTATCGTTTCCTGAAAAAATTATTATTGGGTTTTTGGGATTTGATAATGAAAAGTAATTCATTTTTGGTTCGGTTTCTGAAAATTTTAGATTTTTTCATGATTTTAAGAATTCGGAACTTGAAAATCTGCAATTTCAATGTTGGGCACTTGGAAATTTATTCATTTTTAACTTTCCTCATCAATTTTTTCTACATTAAAAAACTACAGTAATCCAATCCCATGCCTCCTCTTTTTATTCCTCCCCTTTTCAAAGTTACCTTTCAATTCTGGATCTTTTGGATTTCTCCTTTTCAACATCACAAATGGTTTAACCAATACAGTAACCACATTAAATCGAAGTTTCCAAGGTTTCGATGGCAAAATGCCTTTTCTAATTTGTTGCGAATCTTTTTTCTTTTCCACGTGTACATGATTATCACCGCCAAGAAGAAAACCAAAACCTTCAGACCAACGAAAACGCTGCAAAAATAATTGAGGAATAAATATGCTTGGATTAATAAAATATTTCCAAACCTCCCAAACACTATTCAAACTACTAGTTCCTGGTCGAATTTCAATGACAGAAGCTGAGAAATTCTTTCTCGCCCCATTTTTTGCATCAAATTGTATTTTTCCAGTCAAAGTTCCATCATTTTCATCGATTACAACTTTCGAAATTGCTTTTGCGATTGTTTTTCCGAATTCAAATGTTTCAAATTGTCGATTTTCATTGATATCTTCGTGTGGTCGACAATATAATCCTTTTTGATTTCGATTTAAAAGTTGATGGCGATTAAAAGCACTGCAAAAATAAAACTGGAAACGTTTCCAGATTTACAAATTTTGATTTAAAATAGAGGTTCTTTTGAAAAAGTATGTAATCAAAATTAAAAGTGCCACATGGATTATAAACTAAAAAATTCAAGAAAATATGCAATATTTTTAACAATTGCCACGTGGCCTTTGAGCGCCAAATTGTTCACCAATTTTTTTCAGCTTACAAATTTTTTTAAAATAATTTGTTCCACCAAAAAACTCTTCCCCCAAACTAACTTATCAAAAATCTTCCGATTATCCTCAATCACCAATTCCAATGCTTTCGCTGCCACCAAAATCGCATCATGTGCAAAAGCTGCCATTGGTGGAATATTTTCAGCCAACGGCAAACCGCCACGATATAAATCTTTGAATTCCGCACGATTTTGTCTGAAATTTTAGTATTTGAAAAAGTTTCCTCATATTTTTCTCCGGGAAAAAACTCACAAAAATTTCTTATTTGTCTTGTCGAAAACTTGAAAAATGGTTACATTAATCAACGAGAAATGAAATCCGCTCAAATCATTTTCATCGATTTGAAAATTCGAAAAAACATAATGATATTCTCGTTTGACTAAAACACTTTCTTCGAGAGCTCGAAGAAATGCACGATTTCGATAACTTCCTTCAAGATCGACAACCACGTTGACACTTCTGCAAAAAAAAATGAGGGAGGGTGGGGTGCAAAAAAAACAAAAATGTATTTTTTTGAAAATTCTAAATGTTGATTCTAATGTAATCTAGCATTTTAGCAGTCAAGTTTCATTTTTGAGGTGAAAATTTCAGTGATCCAAAATTATTTTTATCTACTAAAATTCAAAAATTACCAGTTTTTCGCGAAATATTAGAAGCCACGTGGAATTCTGTGTTTTTTTTTTAATTTCGTAGAAAATCACAGTGAACCTAGCGGGAAATGAATTCAAATTGTGTCTGATAGACTTCTCCTCCCAAATTTCAATTTTAACTAAATTTTTTGGGCCCGATACAGTAATCCAGAATATGAACCATTTTCAATTCATTCTTAATAATGATAAATAAATTACAGTACACCCGAACCATCGTAGAAATTCTCTGAATTCTGAAATTTCTACAGTAATTTACAACCCCTTCCTCTAACCCCGAAAAACTAACATAATTTCATCAATTTCCTCCGAACTTTCATTAGTTTTCAAATTTTGTTGTGTCGATAATCTTCGATGAAATTGATTCAAAAATTCTCGAAACATTTCCTCATCATTTGGTGCCGCATAATTTTCAACAAAAAGTTGATAATTTGGTGATTTTTGATGAAGATATGAAAACATTGAACGAAGTCGACGATCGGCTGAAAAATGAAACATGTTCGGGACCCAAAAATCTCAAACTAACCATCATTATCATCATGAATATATACGAAATTTCTCCATCCTTTATATTGAATATAATCAATAACTAATTGTTCTGTTGGTGGATTTATTGAGAAAATCATTGGAATTTCTGCCGATTTTTTATTTTTATCATTTCTCTCGATTTTTGGTGATTCCCAATCGATTAATGGCATTTGCATGTGATTTGAAATATCTTCGTAAACTCCAAAATTTTTGAATGTTGTTCCTGCGAGCATTATCATGAAACCAAGTTTCATTTCATCGCAGACTGCAAAAAATAGTTGATGGAGGAATATTTTATGAATTAATTTACTTAATTTGATCCAATTTTTTGTGATAAATTTAGAATTTTTGAATATTTTTTGTACTTTTGTACTTTTTGTAATAAAATACTTTTGTAGAAAGTACTTAGAATCTTGATTTTTCAATTTCAAAAAAGTTGACAGAAAAATTATGAGGTTTTTTTATAATTCTAAAAATCTTGAATAAAAGTCAGATCAGTTTTTGAACATTTGAAACTTCGAATTTCTATTTTGAAACAATTTTTGTCAAGAAGTTTTGAAAAAAAAAGAAGAAAATATTGAAATCAAAAAAATTCCAAAAATTTTTCAAGCTGCCCAATTTTCCACGTGGATTTTTTAAACTCCCTCCCCTTTCCCAAAAAAAACCAAACTAATTCGATTCAAATTCCACATCATCATTGCTTTTTCCATTGGCGGCAAATCTCGAGTTCCCAACAAAACATCAAAATCCACGTCAGTTCGACCATTATGCAACATTTCAGCCAAACGAAGCATCTGAAAAAATATAAAAATATGGCCACGTGGCGTTTTGGCACTATTTTTTTGTTACCTCAATAATAGCATGTGCTGAATCATTGTCAGTGTCCGAAGAATCCACAAAAGCTCCTGAAAAATAATAATTTTTTTGGGCAAGAAATTTTCAATTTGAAGAATTTTTGAGTTCTGAAAATTTTCAAAATTCACTTTTTTTTTGAGAAAAAATATGAACTTTTCGGGAAATTTGTTGAATTTGAATTTGCATATTCAATTTTTGTTGCCGAAAAGAAAAAGTGAAATGAAAAAATGTCTGATTTTTTGGTTGAAAATAAAAGTTCACAAATTTTGAAAGTTTTCTTGAAATTCAAAAAATGAGTTTTAAAATTTTCTGAAAATTAGAGAAATTTTAAAAACTCAAATTTCAACTGAAATTTCCAGCTCCCCAAGAAAAAACTCACTAATCGGAAACTTCTTCGACGATTCTCCAAATTTCGAAAAAATCACCAAAACTCCCACCAAAATTTGCCAAAACATCTCAAATTTCTCCGGAAAATGAAGATTGACAGGATGGAAAGAAGGTTTGGGAGGGGCGAAGAAGAAAAAAAAAGATGACTTCCTCTAAATTGCTTTTTTCTCCTTCGTTTTACTTCTCCGCGAAAAAAAAAGAAGGGAGAACCCAATTTCGGGAAAGAAGAAGAAGAAGAAGTGTTTAAAAAAGTAGGCAGATGGAAACAATTTTCGAGGGGTATAATTTGCACATGTTCCTTTAAAGCGTACTGTAGTTAATCCAATTTTGAAAATATAATTTTCATCAATAAATAAATAAAAGTTTTCAAAAAACGGGACCCATGAACACAATAAAAATCGGGGGAAAAAGCTCGGGGAAAAGGAGAATAAGACATGAAAAATTGGGGGGATTGTCTAAAGCAAAATTATGTCTGGCGATAAGTTTCAAACAAATAGAATAAAAAAAATATGAGAAAAAACAAAGAAGAACACGGCTAGTATAAGAAGGAAAAAATACGGGGAGAGAAAAACATTGAAAATTTAATTCTTTTTGAGTGATTTGTAGAGATTATCAAGTGTTGATTGATAGGCATTTTGAATTGGTTTTCTTTTCAATTTCAATGCTTCTGTCAATAATCCAGTATCTGGAGCCCAAACTTCAGGGCAAAGGTGGATTGCAGAGGGAATTTCAACACGGCTCAGTTTGCCTGGAAAAAATAACATTTATGAAGGCGTCAAAAGTTTGAAGTGAACAAATTTAAAGTTTTTTCTTGAAAATTTCTTTGACAAATAATTTTTTTTTAATTTGCAGAATTTTTTTTTTTGAATTCTCAGACAGAAAAATACAGTATTTTACATGGAAAATATTTTTCTGTCAAAAATCAGGAAATCAGAATTTCCAGTTTTTTAAATTGATTTTTTACGTCAAAAATCCAGTATCTTCAAATAATTTTTCCAAAAAATTGAGAAAAACTCACTCTTTGTGGAATGAGCATCCAATTGTTTTTTGAATGCTGCAACAACTTTCGGATGTTCGCACATTGTTTTCAAATCTTTGCTATCAACACCTTCTTCTTCAGCAATTTTTTCCAAATGTTTTTGATTTGGAACAACCAATGCAACAACACTATCTTCTAAACCACTTCCATAAACACAAATATTATCAACAATTGGACAATTGAGAAGAGCACATTCGACCTGGAAAAATATAAACGATTTGAAGGAGTTCAGCACAACATGTCAAACAGCAATCGGTGAGAGTGAAAGAGACGAAAAGATATTGAAATCGCGCGTGATCTACAGCGATTTAGGCGATGATCCAGATTAGTTTCTCCCCCGAGCTAATTGAGGAGAAAGAGGAGAAACGTGTTGCACGTGGAGGCAAAACAGTGCATTTTTTGAATTTCGCCCCATTTCTCCTCATTTCTCCTCGGAGGAGAAACTCATTTGCAACATCGCCTTACATTTGCGGGTCTAGGATTTGTGAAAATTAGAAATAGGCTTCAGCTTGACTTTTGAGAATTCATTTTTGAACTTTCAGTGTGCCAAGCGACTAAAAGTCATCCTCAATTTTTTTCGAAACAAAATATGGTTACACAGGGATTTTTTCACTACCGAGTCAATGCAAAATTGTAATCGAGCAAATAGGCTCCGCCCATCTTTTTCCGCACAGACATGTGGGCGGAGCTTAGGTTTTCAGATTTTCAAAAAGAAAATTGAAAACCCTTTGGCTCAAAAGACACACAAATAAAAAGAAAAAGTCGGGCTATATGTGTGTTTGCAGCGACCGACATCTCGCGAGGCCGGCCACACGCTATTGTTTTTTTTTGTCGGCCACGTAGCGTGCTGTTTGCGGAGATTTTTTGTCGTCAGATAAAATGTTTTGTACGTGATTAATTCTCGGTAGTGAAAAAACCCCTGTGATGGTTAGCAACCGCAATTTCAAAAATTATGGATTTTCAGACCCACAAATTTTTAATGTACCTTTGATCTATTTTTCTCTAAGTCTTCTTCACTCTCACCGATTGCCAATTTTCATTGGGCCGACATGATGTGTCAGAGGAGATTTCAATTTCGTGGTTTCAAAAATTTCAAACAAAAACAAAAACTTATTTCTTTCGTGAGAAAAATTCCATATAGAAAACTATGTTGAGAACATTTCAGAAACTGATTTGAGGGGTGGGACTTTCAGAGAAATCCAGATTTTTTCAATGAAACTTCAGTCAGAAAGTTGAACCTTCCATAGATTCGAAATTTAGAGGATTTTTGAAAGATTTTTTTTTTCGAAATTTGTCAAGGGTGTCAGCGAAAAATCAGATTCAGAGTTTTCCACAAAATTCTCACCTTAGCCAAAGAAACATATTCTCCATGTTGCAATTTAACAAGATCCTTCTTTCTATCAATAACCAACAATGATCCATCATCTCTTTTTTGTCCAATATCTCCAGTCGCAAAATATCTTTTTCCTTTATACATAATAAAATCTTCGGCAGTTTTTTCTGGTTGTTTCCAATAACCAAGCGACACATTTTCTCCACTAATCAAAATTTCACCTTGTGGTGGATCATTGAATGGTGAATATCCACCTTCTGGCCATTCTCTTAATGCAATATCCGAACATCTAACTGGTGGTCCAACAGTTCCTGTGCTCATATCATTAATATCAGCAACACATGCAGCTCCACAAGTTTCAGTTAATCCATATCCTTGAACAACTGGGCAACACATACAAATATTCATAAATCGTTGAGTTTCCGCATTTAATGGTGCTCCTCCTGATAAAACTCCCTTCAATTTTCCACCTAAAAGCCGGCGAATTTTCTTGAAAACAATTCGATCAAGGAATGGACTGCAATATCCTTCCAAATATCTTGCTCGTTTTCTTTCGTAATTCAATTTGAACAATTCTTGCATAAATCTTGGAGATGCTGCAACTTCTTCCGAAACCGCTTTGAAGATTCGATCCATAATGGCTGGAACAGCAGCCATTAAAGTTGGTCGAAGTGCGTGACAATCTCCGTGGGTTCCTTTTTGAATTTTACTTGCTCGATCATGCAAAGTCAATGGGGAAGAATATCCAACTTTGGCTCCTCTTGTCATACAAGTCAATTCAGCATCAAGTTCAAGAATGTGAGCAAGTGGAAGGTATCCGATATAGGTGTCAGTGTTTCTGAAAAATAATTCCATATTTCAAGATGTTAAAAGAGTTCCACTTTTTTTCAGGATAAAAATCAAATTGTTCAGCATGGTTGGATTATATTTCCAACAAGTTGCCGTGAAAATTCAGTTTGCAAATTATCGTATTTGTTAATTTTCCAAAAAAAAAAACCAATGCTTACCCTATAATTCCAACACCATGTCCTTGTCCACAAAGTGATGCAACAACATTTTCATGTGACAAAATAACTCCTTTTGGTTGTCCAGTGGTTCCAGATGTGTACATAATAAGAGCAATGTCTGATTTGACGGCGGTTGATTCTTCTGAAAAAGAATACCCCTTATTTTCTTTCCATCAAAATATTTTGAACTCACTCAAAATTTCCTTGTTTCTTGTCAACAATCCATTCAACGATAAAACATGTTTGAATTGTTCTCTAAATGGTGCCAAATCTGGTGCAGCCGCTTTCGCGTTGACTTGTTGGAAATAAACCAATGACTTGAGTGTTGGACATTTCTTTCCAAGAGTGACAATCTTTGACAATAATTCAGATGTGGTTACAATAGTTGTGGCTTCAGTTTCATTTATAGCATGAGCAATGGCTTCTTCTCCAAGAGTTGCATAAACTGTGACAATTGTAACATTTGCGCGGAAACAAGCCAATGCAGAGATCAACCAATCAGCACGAGTATCGGCAAAAATAACAACTTTTGCTGATTTTTCCTCATCAGCCAAATCTTTGAAACCAGATGCAAGTCTTCCAACTTGATTTTCAACTTCGCGATAACTTTGCCACGTGTATTCTCCAAGATGCCATTTCTCGAAAATTCTACCACCTGGTTGTTGATCTTCGATAACTTCAATCAATTGACGTGTTCCCAAACATGGTGATTCATCATAAAGTTCAACACAATGTCTCCAAACTTTGTCAATAGTATCTTTTCCAGGGAATGATTCACTAGCATGTCCATCAATATTACGAATTGGTCCATCTCTTTCGTCAACCCATTTGGCCTACAAAATGTGTTTTTTTGTGGTTTCTTTCTCCCATCATTTTTTCGCGACACAAAAAAATGTGTTATAATATAGAAATGTAACATTTATCAAATGATAAGCAAACAAGACAAATGATGATAGATGATTGACAACAAAATGATGCCACTAATCATCTTCACACGCTGTTTTTATTTTTAGTTCCGGAAAAGTGCAACTTACCTTAACTCTTTCAGATTTTCTCAATTTTTCAGTTGGTGAATTAAATAATTGATATGGCAAATAGTTCAAACAATCATAGATAAAGAACCAAATACGAAGAATTGACATAACAATACGAATCCATAATGGTGATTCACCTTTCACCAATTGTTTGAGAGTTTTGTCTTTCGACGAATCGTATACCGAAGTTTTTCGTTTCATCTGAAAAATTGCAACAATTGGGAGGAAAAGAGAAGAGAAAGGGCAATTTATTATCAAATAAATTTTTTTGAGGAGGTGGAGGAGAAAAAAAAACAAAAATAATTCGATTATTTGCAGGTGGTTTTTGAAGACAAGAAACTTGGGAAAATTCAATCAATCTGAATTGTCTTGCATAAATCAATTAGGAACAAGGACTTTCTATTTACAAAAAACAACAAAAAATAGTTTTTGAATCGAACTCGACTTTGAAAATATCTGAATTTGGCCAAAGTGACCAATTTTTAAAAATAGGAATCGCGCCAGGTTCAATTTTCAGCTTAGAATGTTCCTCACAAAATCGGAATGGTTATCTTTGTTTCTGCTGGTCCAATTCCTATTTAAATAGAGGTCACTCTGGTCCAATTCAAAAACCCTTAAAATCGGGCTGAATTCAAAAAATCCAAAATTAATTCATTTTGTTGTTTGAAAGTAAAATAACCTCGTACCTAATTTATTCATACTCGAGAAATCCGCATGACTGATTTTTATAATTTTTGAAAATCGGGGTTTCTTGAGGTTTGATAAACAAATTTGATAAGAAAACAAACAGCTGCTCGAAAACATAAGAAATAATCACACACTTATTATCAGTATGAAAACAACAACCAACTTTCTCCCTTTCAAAGAGTGGAACACGAGAGGTTAAAAATTGGCGAACTGCACACACAAAAAAAGTATCGAGAGAGAAGAAAAAGACGCAGCGTCAAATGAGTTGGAGGTGGAGGGGAAAAAGAGAAGAGAAAGAGGAGAAAGAAAATGGCGCCATCTACCAACAAATATGTACGAGAGGGAAAAAGAGGCGCGGAAAAAACACAAGAGGCGAACACAGAAGAGAAAAGGAAGAAGAAGAAAAACAACTCGGTTGAATTTTTTCGCTTGCTTTTTAGGGACACGTCAGCGTAAGAAATGAATCATGATGAAATAACATGTTGTGAAACCTGTGCGAAAACAACACATATTTTTGATGATCAGAAGTTTTCAAAATAAAAAAAATGATTATGACTCATGATGCAATATGAAGCACACAACTAAACTATGTATGAAAAGCAAATATTTGAAAAGTAGTTCTTCTCACAAAATATTTCTCATCTCAAGAAAGGAAGACCTGTATTAGATAGATAATCATCTAGGAATTTTATATTTTGAAACGCACTTTTTGTCCTCAACCGGATCGTAAAATGACAGAAAACCGAAATGACGAGAAACATTCCTAAAATGAAGAGAAGCCCGGAAAATGTCACGTTTTCCTACTTTGCCTTCTTGATAAAAAACGTAAATTTCGCTTTTTTCGCTCTTATCACAGAATGTTCACACCTTATAAGGAATTCATGTGACGTGTTTTTAGTTGAATTAATCGAATGATTTTCATGGGAACATTATGTTGAAATTTATATTTCCGGAATAATGTGATTGTACTTTGAACATGGGCATCAAATTATGATGGGGACAAACTTTGAAACATCAGATTTTGAAGCGAGAAACGTGGAAGACAAATAAAAAAAATGAAAATAAAAAATCAAGGCACATGGGCTTTTGTCTGTGGGTCTCACAGCGAACTGAAAACCAGCGCGTTGCGGCTGTGCAACGCGGCATCATTTCCTTTTAAAAATTTTTTGTTCGGTTTTTGTGGTTCAAATTCTTTGACGTCTAAAGCTGAATACGGCAAGTTTTTATTCGTAAACGTGTAATCAGGCAACACTTAAATTATCCCAGTAAGAAATTCCGAAATTGCCAGTTCCGATGAGGAAAAATTTCCCATTCCGCGAAGTTGGCTGAAAATTAAATGTGCATAAATATTTACATTAGAAAAACTTATTTCAAATCAAAATGTATTTCTCACCGATTTCAGAACAATTGTTTTTCTTAAATTGTCAAGTGTTATTTGAATTCTCGACGTTGACAGGGATTCCAGAGAAATTTGGTGAAATATTCCGAATTTCAATGGGACTTCGAAACGTGTCAAATTCTTTCGTTTTACAAACTTTGAAAAAACATCTGCCCTCTGATTAATATAGTCGAATTCGACATATAATCCTTCACAGTTCTTTTGTGGGATGTCGCAGCCACTGCAATTCGAAAACAGCCCCAAGATGATCGAATTAGCGGTTGAGTTTTCGGGAAGTTTGACATCTCCCGAAATCTTTCTTGATTTATTGCCAAATCTACAATGAAACATTGAACCTAAAAGTTAAAATAGAAACCTTACGCCATAACTGCATACGGTGTATTGATTTCAAAAGTGCACCAACTTATAGGTGGCTCGATAGTTTTCTGTATAGCCACACCATTTCTAACTTCCCATGCGCCTTTTTGAGGCATCCAAAAACGGGGTTCATCTCCATTTTCATAAGAATCTGTGAAGTTGTCGAAATAATTTTCTGGTAATTTTTGAACTTTGACCATTTGCTTTCTAGGAACCGTGATAGGCAATGTTGTTATAACACCAAAGGAATCTGATTTTATCGCAAACTCAATGAAGCCAGATGGATCTTTTCTAATAAATTGTGGGCTATCATAATTCAAAGAGATATTCATTCCTTGGCACTTTTGAGGTAATTTGAATCGAATGATTTGCAATTTTCTAACTTTGTAAGGTTTCGGAGAGGAGTATTCACAAAGTGAAGATTTATGGCTCATGGTTTCTATCACTATTGATAAATCTTTCCTGTTTGTGTAACTAACGTAGGTTCCACCATAAGTCAGATTTCCACTTCCATTCCCATGTGACAATATTTTCCAACCTCGTTTCACATGTCCAGTTGTATATCGTAGCACATCAAAAGCTAAGTCTGTTTCGAATGCTTTTTCAGTAAGAAACGATAATCCACAACGCCACCAAGCTATTTGAGGATAAAATGCAGAAATCATATGCCAAGTCAACATTCTGAAAATTAAGAAAATTTCAAATCATTTTCTGAAAACAAAAAGCTCGCCCTGTAATATTTCCATGTACATAATTCCAATTTATTGTTCTTGCCATACAACCTTCTCCAGTTTTTCGATTATCTGTGCTGTAATCTTCGCTAGCCCATAGAGTTTTACCAGATTTCTGTACATAATCTGGTATATTTCCACCAGGATAATGAGCTCCGATAATGTCATAAGAATTAATGAAATCCTTGTCAAGAAGTCTCGGATAACTTTCATCCATTTCAAATCCTTCTCCTGCAACGATTTTAACCTTTTGAAAACCGGATTCGTCTAAGATATGACGGAGAGTTTTCACATAAATTTCTGAGAAATTTCTTTCGTTCCAAACACCAATGCAGTACACTTCAAAATTATAAATTTTTCTTCCAATTCTCAACCATTCAACAACATAATTCGCAGTCTCACTAACATTTTGATAGGGATTTTGATTCCCAAGCCAACCTGGGAAAGCCCAAGGCAATGCACAAATCCGAATCTTGGGATTAATTTTTCTAGTCTCGTAAATCAGTTGAAATTCATAGTTTCTAGGCGAGATTTTATTTCTTTGCGACATATGTGAACTTTCTGATCCTTCAGTGCTTTGATCATCTCCGCCCATTTCTACTTTTAGCATTTGTAAACCATTTTCTTTCTGAAATAATATTCAAGATTTGTTAGGTAGAATAAACGATGAAACAAACATTAAAGAGAATTTCCAAAATTGGTTTGCGATCTTCCTGTTTCGGAAAATAAGTGAATAAAAGTTTAGAAGTTGCACCACCTCCACTGATCGCACCAATTCCATCGAATGTTTGATAGGCAGATTCGATGTTTATCTCGTAGTCAAATGATCTCACAGAGTTGAATACGAGAATTATCAAAACTCCACAAAGCATACACATTTTAGTAGAATATTTGTTTATTTTTTGTTCGCGAATTCGATACTTTTTTCTGTCTCGATCAAACTGTTAATATATATTTTTTCCAGTGAGTACAAATGAACAAACAAAAGTCGTCAATGAAAAAAGGGCCCCAAACTGCGAAAGGCGATGAAGCCAACAAACGTGTAAAGTTTGCGGTTCCTGTAACATCTCGAATCGGAACTCCACCAGCCCCAAAAAATAGTGGTGAAAAAAGAGCAGCTGGAAATGCTGAAACCGCAGCGAAGCCACAGAAAAAGAGCAAAACATCGGAATCGACAGATTGTTTTCAACTTGCAAGCGAGCAAAAGAAAATTGAGGAAGATTTGAGTGAGACTGAATCGAATATATTTTCAACTATCACTGATGTTCGAATTATTGCCAATAAAATGATTGGAGGAATTCAGACTGTCTCAAGCGCTTCTTCGAAACTCAAAGCATCCGAAGATTTTTTGCTGAAATCGCCAGATTTGGTAGAATCGATCAAGATAAAATCAAATGAGTTTGCTGAGAAATCAAAGACCAAGTGTGATTACATTGAAAAGGTTGGCTCGTTGGTATTTTTTGATAAAAAATATATTTTCAATTTTTAGAGCATCGCTGCCAAATCCAATTACAACAACATCATCTCCAATTTGGATACCTATCTCGAAACTGTCAAAATCCCTGAAGACATTCTTGAATACGAAGTGGATTTCGAAAAAGTTAGGGAAATTTTCAATAATCTTGTGAATATAATCGAAATCATGTGAATATACAATGTTAAATTCTGTAAGTTTCCATAAATTTGTTATTCTTTTTTGTTGCACCTTTTTCCTGTTTGTGTATTAACGACACATGTGTGTGTATTAACGACACTCCGCCAATGACGCGTACTTTTTGAATTTCCCGCCGCTTTTTTGTTTTTGGTTGTGCACTTCTAATTTTCTGTAGATTTCTCAAAATGGCTCAAAAAACCGCATTCAACACATTCAAAAATATTATTTCGGAACTGAAAAAAGTTGATAAGGTATGTTGATATTGATGAAATCTAAATAGAGAGAAAAACCAGAATTTTTCAGACATTTTCGCCGAAATCTCAACAATATCAATATTTGATGGAACAAATGCGAGCGGATCAAGTGACAACTCAAAGATATTCAAAAGCTGCAAATGAATCGGAAAGTGTTGCTAAATTATATTTGAGCTATGTTCAGAGGTAAGACAATTTTTGAAAAATATTTTGTTTTGAAAAAAAAAGAGATTTTTCAATTCTAAATACTGTATTAAAATTATAGAATTGTCTTCTTTAAATTATTTAAAGTGACCATATTTTTGAATCCAAATTTTGCAGCACTCGCCGACTCAATGTTCTTCAAGAACGATATGCTGGAAATGAGAAAACAGTGGAAGAAAGTGCACGACTTGTTGGATTAAAACTTCCAGAGAGAAAATATTAGAATTTATCAAGTAGTGATATAATAAAGTTTAGGTTTTGAATAACTTGTTTTTTCTTTCCAATTCGAACTTGGTTTTTAACCAGTTATTTTCATATTTTGTTTTACAAGCCTACCCCTTTTTTCCTGACAAAACAGCCTTTTTCAGATTTTTTGAGTGATGACAACAAAAAAGAAAAATACAAATGAGGAAGGAGCTGATAAATGGGCATATTTGCTGAAACCTGCAAAAGATTTGACAGACAATTTTTCGATTGATTTGCTATCATATCTAAACGAATATTTAGATGTTATTAGACATCGAAATGAAGAAGAAGATCAAGAACAATCATTTGATGTTGAAAGCAATTATAAATTATTTAACTTTGCTCAAGCTTGTTTAGTTATTCAAGGATCGACAATGGTTTATGCGAAAAAGGTGGATTTCATCTTCGAAGAAGTTTATGGTGTTTGGGGTTTGGTTGAAAATGCAAAAGAAGGTGAAAATGGACCGGGAGGAGCATCGAAAAAAGGAAGAAAAAGGAAAATTGATATTGGATCGACGGCCAATTTCGAATTGTTGGATATGAAAGCGGTGAAAACTGAGATATTGAAAAATGCAACGAAATTTGAAAAAGAAGAAAAGATTGCTGTTGATAATTTGAGATTGGTTGATAATGCCGAATTTGCTGAAATGTGTTATGAGAGGAAAAATGTGAGAGCAGTGAGACCGACACAATTTATGTTTGGAAGAAATTCGTGTCAGTTTATGAGAACAGATGTGAGTGGTTTTGAGGGATTCTAGCGGGACTGAAAACGTTGCAGAAACATTACGCTCAACAATTTTGAGTCTAATGGACCTATGTAGATGAATATTCTTCAATAAAATTTAACAGAAGAGGAAAATAAACAGAATATAATTTTGATTAGAGATGACGTAAAATTGAGAGAATCTAGACAAAAATTAGTTTCCTGTTTCCATTATTCGAAAAACTAACTTTTGTCTACACTCTCAATTTTACGTCGTCACCATAATATTCTGTATGTTTCGGAATTAATTTATCTAAAAAATTTTCTAGGAACAATTCTACAACGCGAAGACACGTCCAGAAGTCGTTGGAAAAGTTCGAGATTTTGATGTCAAAAAATCGGAGATTCTACACGATCATGTTAGTTTTCCCCCCATCAAATGCCTCCTTTCAACTAATTTTTGTTTCAGGAAATGTTGATCCTCCATGATTCTTATCGACGAAATGTTGATCAATTCAATTTACCCGGCGCCAAATGGATTCCAGATAATAAAGAACTTGCCGCGAATTTCGGAGTGGCTGAAATTGAAGCAGAACTCGATTTGGAACAAAGAGATAATCGACGAATAACTGCTCATGGACCATTTAAAGATCCACTTTCTGGAAGAGAAATTGTTGCACCACCAAAATGGTATATTGAACAAGAAGTTGTAAAACAACAGGAAACAATTGCAAGAAGTGCATCAGCTGCAACAAATTATGCAACAATTCGAGATTCGCAAGGAGGTTCACAGAAATTTGGAGGAGGATCACAAGTAACTAGAATGTCTCAACCATTTTTCGAAAAACAACGAAATAGTTTGAATCAATTTGTGTCGTTTGTTGAAGGAAGATTGAATAAAAATCGGTTAGTTTTTCAATAAAATACATCAAATTCAAAGTTTTTATCCAAATCTGAAATTTTCAGAGCAAGCACTCATTTGAATACACATCTTGTTGATATGTTTGTTGAGAATTATGGTGGTGAAAAAGAGAACCATCAACCTTTTGAACCAATGGATTATGATGATGGAGATTATGGAGGAGGCGAAGGTGGAATGGATGAAAATGAGGAAGAAGAAGATGATTATATTGATGGATTACGGAAAAATCGAGAAAGGCGACAAATTGCACCATGGGATGAAACAGAAAATGATTTGATGAGAGGATTGGTTTATGGTGAAAATGAGGATGTTAGGAAAAATCATCGAGAAGTTCGAATAATTCAAAAAGAACCAACAACTTCACTTAGTATTCTAGCAAAGAAAACAAGGAAAAATGAGAAGATGGGCGAAAATCGAAGGGATAAATTCATGAGAACACAGGATTATTTGCAAAATCATTATTATTGGAGAAGTTCGGCGAGATTGAATCCGACAAATGATTGGAAAATTGATGCATTAAGAACGCATATTTTGAAAGAGCAAAAAAGGCGAGCAAGAGAAAGAACGGCGAAAATTCGAGGAGCGAGAAGTATGAGAGTTGGAAGAAGTCAGAATAGAAATATTGGACAGGCACAATTTGAACAGGCTTTTGATGGATTATTGGATGGAGAAAATGAAATTGGAGGAGAAGGAATTGGGGAAGAAAATAGGGAAAAGGGAAATCGAAGAACACTTGGAGCTGAATGTAAGTTTTCGATTGGAAATTGTGAAAATCTGAACAAAATAGGTTTTTTTTGGGAATTTTCAGATTTTTTCTGAAATTCAAAAAAATATAGAAAATTGTACAGAAAACCTAAAATTCTTCACAATTTTTTGAATTTTTAAAGAAATTTTTAATTCTCAGTTTGTCATAATTTTATGGAAAAAATCTTCTGAATTTTGTGAAAAGTTTTTCAATTTCATCTCAGAAATTTTTTTTAGAAATCATTATTTTTATATTTAATTTTCTGATTTTTGAATTCGCCGTAAAGTTTTGTAAGTGCTGGAAATTTTAATTCAATTCCAAATTTCCACTCGACTCCTTCTCTCAATATCTCGTTTTTCAGACGATGACATTGCCGATGAAGATCTTGCGGCTGAAGTTGAGATCTCAATGTTGGGCGGAGCTTATGACGATGATTTTGATGATATTGCACCATTTGGTGAAACAGTTCCACCAATTCCTGGCGGTTCTCAAGATCCAACAATTCCTTCTCATCCACAAATCGAAACTATTCACGAACCTCAACAACTTCATCAAGGTCTCACATTTAATGCAATTGATGATGCTGAACTTGCGAATATTTTCAATTTACCTGGTGATTTGTTCGTTTCACGGGCTCTTCCATTGCTCAAAAAGTTTGCCGAAAATCGAACAGATCGAGAACAAATGGCATATGAAATGGCAAAAGCATATGAAAATGTTGATGTGGCAACTTCGAGATTACAACAACAAGTTGATGAATGGCAAGAAAAATTGGAACCGATTTTAGATGAGGGAGAAACTAGAAAAGAATACAAGGTTTGTATGAAAATTCGATTTGGAGTTTAAACAAATATATTTTCTGAAAATCCACGTATGATTTTTCAAACATTCTCAACATTTTCCAGGTTCACGAATACGGTGGCTATGTTCTGGATCAATTTGGCGATGAACCGGGTGAAACTAAAACTCTTGCAGAATTATGCGCCGGAAAATGCTGGTTTGAAATTAGTCGATATTTTTTGTCGTGTTTATTGATGTCGAATACCAAAAAATCTTATGGTAAGGTGTTTTTATTAACTTTCACATTCCAAATTTTAATCCTAACTTTTCCAGGTAACCGAAGACAAAACAAGTGAGGATTTGGAAAAAAGAATAAACACAATGACAATTTCGCTGATCTCGAAAAGAAAACATCACGAAGTATTTGAGCAGGATGGAGCTCTTTAAAAAAATAATTCAAAAATTTTTATGATTGTCTTGTTCATTTATTTGTTTTACTATCCAAGATATTGGAAGTATTTGTATTCTCACTGTATTCGTGTACCATTAATTTTCACTTTTCTTTTTTTAAATAAAATTTTTCGTGATTTTTGGGAAAATAGCTGCTAAAAATGGACCTGAAAGCCAGTTTTATTTTTTGAAAAAACAAATTATTTTGATAGCTTTATTTTGTTATTTATGTACATTGATTGGTTTTACGAGGTTTAAAACTAAAATCATGAATTTTTTTGGCTCTAAAACTATAGTAATCACATAACCTACAATAATCTACAGTACCCCTCACCTACTGTATTCCAGCTCTCCTTCTCTTCGACAAAAAACATTTCAAAATGCACATTTATTTTCTGAAGCGTCAAAAAATGATGACGTGACCCAGCCACATCAGATCAGATAAGAAAACGTGTATAAAAAGAGCTCGGCTCATAACAGTTTTCATAGTTGTCTACCGGGAGCTCTTGTTCAAAAAGCTACCGTAGGAATCGTGTGTGTGTGATACTCATCTGATCTACCTCTCTCCACTACAACAACAATGCCAAATCCGCCGCCAAAAGAAGACACGTGGGCATTTCAACCAATCGGTTCGCCATTTCCACCATCGCCTGTCAAATGTATGGGTGAACAGAATATGTATGTGGCATTGTGGTATAAACACGGTAAACCAATTCATGGAAGATCGTGGAATAACGGTGGAGTTGTTGAATGCTCATTTCCATACAAATCTGCTGAATTGACAACAAAAGCACAATTGGAGGGACAAATTCAAGTATTGCAATATTTGGGTGACCATAATAGTCAAGGTTAGTTGCGAATACTGTAGTTACTGTAACTGGTACCTCCCTTTAAAATAGGGATACTGTAGTTATTTAGACGTTTAGACCTTTAGGGTTAAATTTAGCCAAGGCTTTGATCTTACTGTAGAAGTGTAAGAAAAAGCTTCCAACCATTAGCGTCCTTCGGGATTACGGTAGGAGAGGATTACTGTAGCTAGATACTGTAACTAGGTATATTTCTGGATACCTTTTTTTTCGAATTTCAATCAGATTTTGAGGTACTGTAGCTTTCAGATTGAGGTTTAGGATACTGTAGATAGGTTACTGTAACAAATTGAAATGCTGTGTTTATACTCAAATTGGTCCAAATTTCTAGAGCTACAGTAATCCAAATCAAATTAGGGTTCAAAAATCTGCAAATTTTCCAAATTTTGATTTACCACCTCTCCCCCTACAGTAACCCAAACTACATCAAATTCAAATGTGCATTATTTTCTTGTAGGATTCTGGTATGAATGGATCAAATACAAGGATCGTCTCGAAAAATTGGACGACAAACATCAATTGGTGCGTTGTGGTGATTCGTTCCCAATCTTCTGGAAACGTCCCGAAGGAAATCTTCTCGGCTACGTTGACAACAAAACCGAAGAAGCGCTCTTCTCATTCAACGGAAAAGTGTACAGCAAAAAGGGTGGAGAACTTTCGGACATGTATATCATTACCCGAAACTGTGTCGGTGGTCCACCACATTGTGGTTGTGCTGCTTGCGGTGCCGCTCCACCACCACCAAAACCACCACCGAAGGTTGTTATTGATGAATGGATGGATATTCGTGAGGGTGATCCATGGCCAACAAGACCGTTGGTTCGTGCGCTCGACAAGAGTTTGGACACTTTGCCAGGAGTTCCTGCCGATCAATACGTTGGTTTGTGGTACATGCAAGGTGAACCAGTTATGGGTCGTGTTTGGAATGAGAATGGAAAAGTTGCTGCATCATTCTCGTGGTTCAATAATGAATATGCGAAGAATGTTGGTTCAATTCAATTGTTGGTTCATTTGGCCGAAAATGTTAGAGGTAATGATTATTGAATTTTGGATTGCTCATAATAATCTCAATTTTTCCAGGATTTGACTACGGTTGGATTCCGTTCCCAGAAGCTGCCAAATTTGACAGTGGAAAGGAATGGCTTCCAGTTCATGTCAATAACCACAAGGGTGATATTTCGGTTGGTGTTGTCAATTTGCCAGGTGGAAAGCAAATTTTGGCAAAGGTATGTGTGCATTTTGATATCAAATAAGCTTAGGAAAAATTTATGTGCTGAGAATCACTATTTCCATAGATTTCAGCGCGAAATTTTAGACGATCAATCCAATTTTCTCCTAATTTTCACCCAAATCCACCAAAATCCATCAAAATTAAATTCAGGTTGACGTGCGTAACGAGAAGTACGGTTACGGACACGGTGGAAAGGAGCATTCGGCTTCTGCCAAGGCTTGCGCTGATTCGACTATTGTTTTGTGCCGCAAAGCAAAACCGGGCTACAAATTGGACGGATAAATTAGACCCTCCACGCATTCTTTGCCAATTGTCTTTTGAAATGTCTGATTATTTTTGTGCAATGAAAAATTGTGTAGAAAATTTGTGATTTTTTTCGGCTAACTGGCTTGGGTTTGAAAATTTGGAGCATTTTGAGCACAAATAAGCCCTCAAATAAGAATGTTTGGCGCAACATAAAATTTTCAAGCGAGAAAATCGCTATCCTCTTTGACCAATACAACAAAACTATACAATTTTGTGGACAGGATTTTCTTTGCTCTAACATATTTTCAGCAGTCAGCTGATAAAAAACAACACACACACAGCCATTTTATTAGTCAGTTGGAAGAAACTTGAGATTACTTTTTGCTTGTCATTTTTTTTGCTGTGCCGGAAAAATTTTCCCGTTTTTTTCTCGCCCGTTTTTCTGGTGGTTAATTCAAATATTTGTATAATACTTAGAGCGCGTAATTTTTTTTTGATGTAGATCAAGAGCCACGCATTTTTAGAGCTTGATAATTTTTGGATTTTTTAATTTTGCATTATTCAGGCTAAACTCTTTAAACTGACATCATTTTTTAAAATTTTCCAAAAAACATTATTTATCACAAAAAATCAATGATCACCCGACGATCGAATTTGTTGATGACGTGGTGAAGTTGGATGCTGAAAACATCAGAATCTCAAGAAAATAAGTTTCAGCGAATAAAAACCAACCCGATAAGTTTCCACGTTTTGTTCGCCAATAATTTCGGCTAAAATATCATCAGGTGCAAATGAAGCAAAAAGAATTGCTTGCCAAATTTGAAGTGGAAGAGTTATATTCAGACATAGTTGAACCCAATTATCAAATGAGCTGCAAATTTCTGATTTGAAATTTTTTTTTAAAGTTGTTATTTTGAGTTTTTCGGAAATATCGAGATTTCAGGTCATCAAAACTAAAAGTGTTGGATTCTAGGACACGAAAATCGTTGTTTCAGATTTTTAATCCAAAAAATAGGAAATTCGGTTTTCTAGGCCATCAAAAACAGGCTACCTATAGGTTTCTTAGGTCAACCATTCAAATTTTTTAGTCCCTCCCAACCAACCTTATAATATACGCATAAACACAAAAATCAATGAAAACGAGTGCAAAAATCCAGGAGCATAGTTTATCCGAAAATCCAAAGTACATAACTTATCTTATTTTTATTATTATTTCTTTTTGGCTGCTCCCAATTTCCGGCCAATGAAAAATGAATTGAAGAAGATGTTTTCCTCAATTTCAATTTCGAATTGCGAACAATATATTTATTTTTTTATTTAGAAATGAGAAATTTCCACGCGGAAAAATGGGAAATATGTTTTTTTTCGAAAAAAATATGAGGAAACCCTTCGTATTTAGTACACTCTTTTATCACATGAGAATAATTTTTTCGTGGGATTTTTGGAGGGAAGCCAAGAAAAACATGAGAAATTTGTGTTGGCATATGGAAACAAGATAGCTATTTCTTGTTAGGAGGACTTGAAAAATAAGAGAAAATGGTCTAGAAAACCACAAACAACAACGTCGTGTATTCAGTGTTTGATAAACGATAATCTAACATGAGTCAGGCTTCCAGAAGCGATTTTTTGAAAATGTTTGACTCTTCGCTGATTATTCAATTATTCGGAGAGTCGTTTGGCAAAAACCGATGTTGAAAATACCATTACGTGACCTAGAAATTCCATTTTTGTAGAAATCCAAAAACAACTTTTCTGGTAAACTGAAAAACCAATTCTTTTTGGCCTAGAAAACCAAAAAACGTTCAAAAAGCTGATTTTGCGAACTCGTTGTTTCACAAAATGTCAGTTGTTCCTTCCCGTTTTGCTCCTCAAACATCATGTGCTTTATTTTTTTTCAAAAAAAAATGAGAATGTATACATTTTTTGCCCCAAAAATCCTATGATTGCCACATTTTTCTCGCTTTCTTTATTTATTCATTTTCGAGAGCAAATACAATAACTTATTGTTATAAATGCTCAATTAGAATAAAACATGCGAAAAAAACAAACTTTATAGACTCCGTTTTTTTCTAATATGAGTCATGTGAATAAATACATCTGTCAACCGGAAAAATGTATCAATTCCGAGGTTTTCACGTGTTAGTTTAACAAGTGAGAGAGTATTCAGCCGGAGGGAGCGAAACCAGATTTTTTGCGGAGCTCCGCCCTTTTTTTACGGAGTTATTCATGCTATTTGGTTAAATAGGTTAAACGGGAGTTTCATTTTCCCTCATTTTTCCCAGTGGGTTTTTAATGGCCTAGAAACCCAAATCACCCCATTTTCAAGTGCTTTTATGTCTGTACTCGATCTCTTGAAACACTCGTCAAACATTGTTGAGAAAACTGACCAAACCGAGCCGAACCGTTGTTTTTTTTTGCCTCTGTTGCCTTGTTCTTGTTTGCACTCATTTTTTGACGCCAAAAAGACAAAAGTATTGGGTTTCCCAGGGCGCCAAATTTGACATGGCGGATTTCTGGGCCGGTTTTCTAGGACTCTAGAGTTTTGTAACAATTTTGAATGTTTATAGCCAACTTTCTGTTTTTATTGTCCAATTTGCAGTTTGTAGCCTCCTAACAAAATTGTACGACAATTTTCGGGTTTGGGATTTTCAGGTTTTGTGGAGTTCTATTTAGACGATTTGTTTTAAAACCACTTTTTGTTTATTTCCTAACCAAATTCATGTTATTCGTCATTTCCTAGATCTCCAGATCAATTTTTTGGGTTCTGAGTCAATTTCGAATCATTTTCGATTTCTTGATCGTTGAATTCTTCTCCTTCGTCATATTTTCTGTTTTTTCAGCCTTTTAGTTTATTTTCAAATGTTCTTTAGCTTCATCGCATTTCGCATTTCCAAACTACACACATTTTCCATCAAATAAAAAATTATAATTAAATAATCATCCCAGAACAATGTAAATATTTGCTCATAACTTCTCCATGTATACATTTTTTTGATAAGAGATCAAAATTCCGGATTTCCCATTTTTTCGCTCATCAAAAATTATCCATCTATTTATTTCTTGATTGCAGGGGAATTTGAGAAGAAGTGGCTCAAAATGATGGCGGCGTCGAATTGCACGACGGCGTTTTGTATGCAATTTTTGGCGCAATTGGCGAATGTTGTTGTTGATAATAATCATCATCATCACAGTGCACATTCATCAATTCGTTATCGTCCAACAGGTCCTTCAGCTCCCGCTATCAGTCCACTTCGTTTCAATTCCTATTCCTCAATTGGTTCAAATATCCATGGTTTAAATTCTTTAATGTTGCATCCTGGATCAATCGAACCACCACTAACACCAGGAAATTATCGATTATATAGCATGCGATTCTGTCCGTACGCCCAACGAGTTTTGATCTATTTAACCAAGAAAAATATACCTGTAGAAGTTGTTAATGTGAATCCGGATCGTAGTCCAAATTGGTATTTGGCGAAATCACCACTTGGAAGAGTTCCAGCACTTGAAATTAATGGAAAAGTTGTTTGGGAATCGAATGTTATTGTTGAATATTTGGATGAATTGTTCCCTTCGAATAGTATTTTGCCAAGAGATGCGTATGAAAAAGCGCATCAGAAGATTCTTGTTGAAAGATTATCACCAGTGAGTTTTTGAGAATGAGATTTGGGAGAGAGTGGGCATTTTAAATTAGAAAATAATTCAGTTTTTTTTCTGAACGATGTTCGGAAGAGCACAATAATGACCCAAGCCATAAATGTTCAAAAAAAACAGTTGTTTAACACTTCTGACATTTGTATCACTATTCGGCTCTTCGGAGAGTCGTTCAGCAAAAACTGAAAATATATCACATACTTATCTCGTTAGAAAATCAAATGAAAGATTGAAAGAATCAATCGACAGAATGAATTTTGAAAACTTAGAAAAACAAAACAAAAATCAAAAAATAATATTTGCAGCTAATGAATGCGTTGTTCGAATTCTACTCATCATCCAGCAATCACAATGCTCAACGTCAAAACGACGCCAACGTTCATTCGGCATTGAGAAACGCCGAGAATCTGCTACGCGACACATTTTATGGCGGACGTCAACCAGGTTTCGCCGACTATCTTATTTGGCCATTTATTGAACGTCTTCAATTATTAACTTTGACTCAAACTAGCACACAATTTCGATATTTTCCCGGGCTACACTATCCAAAAATGGGTGCTTATATTGCGAGAATGCAAAATCAGCCAGAGATTAAATTCACATCTCGACCATTATCGCATCACAAAGCCTATATGGACAGTTTTTCCACCGGTATGCCCAATTATGATTTTGGCATTTTTAATTGATCTCGTCCTAATATATTAATTAATTTACTAATTTACTAACTTAATATGAGAAACTATAAATAAATATTTCGATTCAAAATGAATTTTCATTATTTTTTAGGCGAAAAAAAAAATAAAATCAATAAATACACAGTACTGTAGCTGAAAATATGTGCATTTGCGCGTGACGGTGTTTTGTCTGATTCTCCACGATTTGTGCGCTCTCTCGCTCTCTCCCGCTCATTTTAATTTTCTGTTTTTTTGTTTTTCGCCAAAATCATTTTTCGAAATCAATCGAACTATGAAGGTTAATGAAAAAAGTTACAGGAATATGCCAAATCACATCGATTCAGCTGAAATTGCAAGTCTCAAACAAGAAATAGCTGAAATGTATAAAACTCTCAAACTTCAAAGAGAGCCTATTTCGAAATGCACGAAAGATTTGATTGCGTGAGTTTTTCATTATTTTTCAAAAACAACAATCTGGTTAGAAACTGAACTGTTTTTTATAGATATTGTGACGATCATCTCAAAGAAGACTTTATTGTCAAAACAATGATTCAATCTCCCGACTTACCAGCAAATCCTTATATACCTCGCAAATGCAATCTTATTTGAATTGCCCACTCGGTCACCTTCAAAATTTCCCAATTTATGTATGTTTTGTATTTTTCGAATCCATATGAAAACCATTTATTCGTAATTAATCAATTACATATTCAATTATAACATGAAACCAAAATAACGAACGAATTATAACATTTGTTAGAGAGGATTGCGTGGATGTGGGACAACTTGACTTGTTCGACTTTGACTTCTTCTCGGACTTCTGTCCCAACACTTTAATAATTTGCATAAACGCCAACTGTCAGATTCCGGTATGCTGTATGAAAAAAAAGTTGAATATTTCTATTCGTTTTGAAAACTAACGTTGCTGGACTGATGGGTGCCGCAGGTCTTTGAAGCGGCTGTGATTTATTCAATGGTATTTGTTGATTTTCTCGTGGTATATTTTTGTAAACACTCGACTGGCGACGATTTGTTCTCTAAAATTAGACATCTTGATTATTTTTTTTTAGAAAATTTTTTGAACTAACCTCCTTGCTAGTTGTATTTTCTTTCGAAGATACTCCTGTCACTTTTGCCATTTCGGGATCATATTTATAACTATCAGGCTGAAAGATTTTCAAAGATTAAAATGTTAAAAATTTAATTTTAAATGGAATAACTTTACCACGTTTGGAACTTGTTGAGCTGTGCTTGAACTTGGAGCATTTGGCTGAAACAGTTTGTATTTACTGAAAATCTACCAATTTCTCAAAGTGTTCCAGACTTACATCAAATCCCTCTCCTTCCGTCTCCTTCTGATTTTCTTCTCTCCCAAATTCCACATCATCCTCATTTATTCCTTCGATATTTTCTCGTTCAATTTTTCGATCTTTTTTCGGATCCAATGATTCTTCAACTTTTCCATTTTTAATTGTCATTGGTCCACACATTTCCTCCATTTTCGGACGTTTCAATGACACATTTTTGACCTCTGCCGAATTTTTTTCAGCTTCCGAGCTTGTAGATGATCTTTGTTGAATGCTTTGAGCCTGAAAAGTTAGGTAATTTCGGATGAAAATCGTTTTGTTTTGAGAAAAAACTCACATCTTTTTCAGATTCTTGATCTGGACTTGGACTTCTTGTAGCAGGCATTTTCGAAACTTTTCGATACAAAAACGAAAAGTGATGATATTTTCGAAAAAAAAATCGATTCGAATTTTTTAAAGCGAAAACTAAAGTTGAAATTTCGCGGATAGATCAAAAATATATTTGAGTATTCGAATTCAAGAATTTGTAGGATTTTTATCTGGGTTTTCATTTTTCTGCAGCAAAATATCAGCATGAAGAAAAAGCTGAAGGAAAGTGTCAGCTATTTCGCCGCAGAAATGCGTGTTTTTGCGAGAATCCTACACTCCTTTCTCTGAGAGGAACATCTAAAAACTAAATTGCACCCTCTGCGTAGAGTTCACCAGTTTTCTTTTTGAAAATTCTTCACGAAATACGAAACATTGTTGTAAGTCTTCAATCCTTGTTTTTCTTTTCTTTTGATATAAAAAATGAATTCTGTACTTTTTGAAATTGATTTTCAGAAATTCATTGGAAGAAAAATAAATATAGCAAATTTTCAATGTATGATTTGTATTTTAAAAGTTTAAATGAAAACCATTTATCCGTAATTAATAAATTACATAGTGAATTAAAATATGAAACCAATATTACGAATTTGCAATTCTACACTTCGGATTCTTCCGTTCCTGGATGTATAGAATTCGACCGACTTAATTTATTTGTTATTTCTACTGTTTTCTTCACACAATGACATAAATTCAATAAAAAGTGACAAAAAGAACATTTTGCGTGTTGTGTGTCTGCATCACTGTAAAAAAATATTATTGAATATTTCAATTTGAAATATTTCGAAACTAACTCTGCTATTTCCACGCGACTTGATTCACTTGGAAGTGTTGATGGATTTAATTCGAGTTCTCGATTATTTAACTGTAAAAATAATTATCGTTGATGGCTTATTTGAATATAAATTTACCAAATTAGAAAAATTATTAGCTTGTGGTTGAGCTGTGCTTGAACTTGGAGCATCTGGCTGGAAAAATGTGTTTTACTGAAAATCTAGCTATTTTTCAAAATGTTCCAAACTTACATCAGATCCCTCTTCTGTCTCCCCCTCTTCCTTCGGATTTTCTTCTCTCTCAAATTCCACATCATCCTCATTTATTCCTTTCTTATTTTCTCGTTCAATTTTTCGATCTTTTTTCGGATCCAACGATTCTTCAACCGTTCCATTTTTATCTGTCAATGGTCCACACATTTCCTGAAGTTTCCCAGGTTTTTCAGAAAAATTTTTGAGCTCTGCTCCAATCTTTTCAGCTTCAGAACTTGTGAATGATCGTTGTTGGACGCTTTTGGCCTGAAAATTGGGATATTTTGGATGAGATAAAAAGTTTTTGAGAAAAAGAAACCTACATCTTTTTCATATTCTTCAGCTGGACTTGGACTTCTTGTTTCAGGCATTTTCGAAACTTTTCAAAACAAAAGCGGAAAGTGATGAAATTTTCGAAAAAAAATCGATTTGAATAAAAATAAAAGCAGAGCACTTGAAATTTCGCGGGTAGATCAAAAACAAAACTTTTTTGAGTTCTAGCTGAGCGATCAATCGTCTGAATTGATTTAGTTCAGGCGAAAAATCGTGCAGCTCACTTGACTAATCGATTAATCGCCCATCTTGTCTGAGAAACCCCTATTTTCTAGTTTATTCAAAAAAGGAAACTTTATTATTTATTATTGAGAAACAAAATAAAAATTATTACTGTGAATTTTCAAAAAAAAAGTGGGGGATATATTAAAAAAAAATCAAAAATTTTATCAATTCTCATAAATTACAAAACCGAATCTTTCAATGGATCAGCAACAACTCTCGAAAATCTCCTTCCATTTCTTCTTGACATCAATTTTTCGGACAAAATTCCCAAAACACCTCCAGTATCAAATACTTGAGTTACAACATCTTGCGCTTCTTCTTGACTTTTATTCATCAAATTCAATTGTGCTTTGAGAAGTCTCAAGTTCCATGTGAAATTTTCAGCAGCTCTTGTTGCTTTTTGACCTTTTAGACCAGCTTCAGAACAGAGTTTGGTTAATTCTTCGTGACATTCCGAGATTTTTCGAATCGAATCTTCGATCTGAAAATATATGTCTGAAATTGCAAATTTCTGGGGGCAGCTCCGAAATTTCGATTCAGAATGTTTCTCCGATTCAGAAATCCTGAAAATCAGGTATTTCTGAATCGGCTAATTTTGAATCGGACCATGGTAAACATTTTTCAATAGGAATCGGTCCAGATTCAAAAAACCCTCAAAATCAGACCTGGCCCGATTCCTATGGTCCGATTCAAAATCTGCCAAATCCGGCCCCTTCAAATTCAAACCAACCTTAGTCAATAAATAATCCGCTTGCGACAAAGTTGTAACACAATGTTGAATCAAAACTTTCAATTTTTGGAATGTTCTTTGCAATTGTTCCGGCAAATTTCCACCAGTCAAAATAAGTGGGAACTAGAAAAATACTTTTTTTTTTCAAATTCTGACGATTGTGAATTAAAATCTCTTACCCCATGTTCATCACTATCAATAATAAAAGACGGTGCATCCGAATTTTTTCCGTTTTCCAAATTCGACGATGGCGAAGGTGGAGGCGAGGCTGAAATTGGAAAATTTCAGATAGATATTTTAAAAGGGGAGGGGGAGAAAGAAGAGTTGGTTAAGATGGAAAACAACTAAAGGGGCGTCTAAAAATTACTAAAATATGGCACTATTGGAATTGACCATCGATGACGTTTTGGATATCCTGGAAGATTTAAGGAGGTCAAAAAAATTGGAGAGATGAAGGAATTTCAAAAATTTTTAGCAACCAAAATTTTTTCCAAATTTTCAAATTCAAATCCAATAATTTTCCACTCAAAATTTCCATCTAGAAAATTCTGACATTTTTCCAAAAAATTTAGATTCCCGGTTACTGTAGAAAATTGTGCCAAAAAGTTCCAAAAATTCCTATTTTGATTGTGAGTTGAAAAAGGGAAGTTCAAATTTTCTGGATTTCTCGACTTCAAAAGTTCAATTGAAAATTCGAATTTTTGCAAACCCCGCCCTAAAAAAATAAGCGCGAAACTTGAATATACAACCCCCCCCCTTCCCAAATATGTGTTCATTTATCTTCTCACCATTAACAGCCAACGTAATCATTCTCGAATGTATCAATCGAATACCTTGTCGAATAGTTCCAGCCGGACTTAATCCACATTCTTCTTGCCAATCAATCATTGATGATTCTAATCGATTTCTCATTGCAATTGATTCTCCCAATGGTGCAACTGCCACTTTGAATTGATCATCGACGAATTTGATGCCAACCAATTTCATTCCGGATGAAATTCGCGAATTTTTTCGCTTTACTGACATTCCACGCTTTTTCGCTTTCTGAAATAGCAAAGAAAATTGGGGGAATTTGATTAGAAGACAAATAAAAGTGGGCGGGGTTTCAGGAAAAACATTTGGAAGATGCTTTTTTGGATAAGCCTTTAAATTTTTGAAGTTAAAAATGCCTTAACAAGGCACAGACTTTTTTAGAAAGAGATTTTTCGATGAAAAAATTGAGCAGAGTTTGTCAGAAATATCGAAGTTTTTGTTCAAACTAACCCCTCCACCTCTTCGATTTGTAATTGCAACATGAACAAAAAGCGTTGCATTTTCCAATGGATCTCCTTCATTATTCAATAGATAAATATGTCGATAACCCGGTTGTAAACAATCAAATGGAATTGTGTATTGTCCAATAAAATCATCACCAATATAATCATCGTCTAAAACAAGAAAACGAACAAGTGCCAATTCAGGAACACAAACTTGAAATTGAAATGATTCGTCGAATGATGGATTTGTGCCTGAAAAAAAAGGAAAATATGTTTATAAAGATTGAAAAAAGTTGAAAACACAGCTGAAATAGTGCTACAGTATACCTCTATCATTTCCTTGTTTTTCGTAAAATTTCGTACTTTTCTCATTGTCAGGAAAAACACTTATTAGATTTTCCATTTTTATTTCGAAATCAGCTGATTTTCCTCCAATAAAAAGTGAGAAAAACAAAAATAACCAAATTATCGAAAAAAAAGTCAAAGTTTTCCTTTTTCCCCCCGAAAATCAAAACTAACTATCATTTCTTATTGTTCTTGTCCTTTCTTCAGCACAATCACCAGGTAATCCAAATATTTCAACAACAACAAATGGATCAGCCGAATCTCCTTTTGCATTTGATCCACGTGGACGTGGCAATTGTTGACCAGAAAGTATTCGAAGATGAAGAATTTGTGGAGCAGCTGGAAGTTTGTCGCCGGGGACAAATATTTCATCTTGCATTATTGCTGGTTTCAAAACATAACCACAACCGCCATTTTCAGAGAATTTTCCTTCCTGTGGAAACAAATGGGATTATTGATTGAACTTCTGGGAGAAAATTTTGCCAAATAAATCTACAGTAACCTTCAGAATATTTTAAATTACAGGAAAATTAGATCCCGAATTTGATTACTGATGAATCTCAAAAAATTATGAAGTTGATAAATTTCTGCCCCAAAAATTTCAAATTTTTTGAATTCTCAACAAATTACAAGATTTTTGGAACAGCTTCTTGAGCAATCTACAGTGATTAAGAAATCTTGAAAGCAAAAAACTACTGTGTCGAAAAATCAAGAAAAACATTTAAAATGTAATTTTTGGCGCTGAAACTTTTCAAAATTCCTCTCTCTATTTTTTCTTGCTTTTTTTCACTAACTTGCAAATCCATCATTAATCCAGGTGTTTGATAATTCAAACAAACCATCTGAACTCCATTATTCCAAAATTCTTGCGGATTCAAATTCGACGAATCAATTCTTGAAGCATTCGGCGAAACTCGAACACAAAAATCTCTTGTCGCTTGTCCAAATTCCGATGCATAAGTATGCATTAATCTGAGACACGTTGATTCGCTAACCGATGCCACATTTTTTCTCGCCGACATTGTTTGTGAACCAGGAGCTGTTGCCATTAAATCATTCAATATTTTTATATTGAAAAATGGTGGAACCAAATCTGATAATTCTTTTGTTAGTCGAATTTTTCTTCCTTTTCTTTTCGAAGATTGTGCAACTCCATCATCTTCTTCTGAAACTTCGCCACTTTCCAATTCTGGATTTTCCAGTTTTTTGCCAATAATTAGAATTCGATTTTGGAAATCCCATGGACTTGGAATATTTTTTTCATCTGACCAATTTGTTGGATCCGATGTTGGAAGATAAAGCTGCAAAATTGGAGGAAATTTTAAATTTTTCATGACCACACGGATTTCTAATATCAAATTATTATTTTTACCTTGGTTCCCAAATGTGTAACAATCAATTTCGCCGCCACTTTTTGCCAATCAATTGTGCAATGAACAGATAAATGTAGAAGAAGTGGATATCGACTTCTTTCAAATGCACATTCTCGAATTATTTTCAAAGCCTGCGAAATTGGCAATTTACTGTTTGCAATTGGACCATTTTGAACCATCGGCTCTTTTTCGCCTTCATTTTCCTTCGGATCCCAAATATCCACTGCAAAAATACAGATTTGAATATATATTTTTGAGAAAAAAAACAATCAACTAACTTTCAATAAGTCGACAATTCCGTTTGAGCGCCGATGAAAATCCATCAGGTGATGCTGGTCCTTGTTGATCTTCAACCAAATATGTTTTCTGCGAACACGATATAAAATATCTTGAAAATGGCTGTTTCATATCCATTGTAACAAATCGATGATTCGGATCAAATACTGTGCAATCATGTGAGAAAAGAAAAGCAGTGAAACCATCGACTGTCATCAATGAATTGTCTTTTGCTTCTGGAGATGGTTCATATTGTTCGATTAGTCGCTCACAATGATCTGTTGTTACTCCAATCATCTACAAAAATATTGATTGATTTTTGGAATTGGATTTGTCTCATACATACTTTTTGAAATTCCGGACATTTTTGATTGTTGGAAAATTGAGAAATGAATAATTTGAAAATAATGAAATTTGAACGAAAAAATTAGGGAAAATAGGTCACGTTTGAAATTTTGGGAAATCAAGATTATTTTTATTGGGATCTTATAGGCACTGTATATTTTAGCTTCTTAAACTAACCCCTTGTTCAGTTTCCAAAAACAATCTCAAATCTTGACACGATAAATAATCCTTATTCGCATATCGAACCATCAAAAAATAAACTTCCGGCCTTGTTCCAATTTCTTTATATAATTCAACAAATTCATTTTTCATAATTTTTCCTCTTTCCGATTCTTCTGCTCCAACTGTGACTTCTTTCAATCGATTTTTGATTCGATGATGAGAAAGACGTGGATTTATATGTCGAATCGCATTAAATGCCACTTTTTCATCAATCCAATTTTGTTTCAAAGTATCGAATTCGTCAAAAATTGATTCGATCCATCTTTCTCGAAGTGTTGCCCATTGAGATGATGATGGCTTATTGCAATCATCTGAAATAAATTATCGATTTTTGGAATACAACTTTTTGAAATGCGCCATTAAAAACTAACACTTATTAGAAGTCAATGCCATTAGTCCAGTTATCCAAATATTTGCATCATCTCCTGTTGCAGCTATCAAATCCAAAGTATCGTATTCTTCACCGTAGATTATTGAGAACAGACATTCGTCCTGGAAAATTGAGAATTAAAAAAATAAAAACCTTGGAACAGAACCGAAATGGCCTACAAAACCAAGGCTACAGTAGACTTCGCAAAAATTTGGAATCTATTTGAAAAATAAAATCGTCATTTTTAGTCTACTGTACGTGAGCGGTGATTCAAACAGGGGATCTTCTATTTGAGAAGAAAGTTTGAAAAAAATGAGAATTTCATGCTTCAACTAAAAAAAACGTAAGATTGAACACCAAACTAAAACATGTCTACTTTTTTCGAACTTTTAAATTCCAATCCTCACCTGCAAATCACTCAACGCATCATCAGAACTTCTCAAAACATCTGTATTTTTTCCGATTCGAATTTCTCTAATATCCTCAATTGCAATTCTTGCTTTATGTGGTTTCTTATTTGTCGGAGTCCATCGAATATTTGCCAAATCCGCGTCCAAACTAAAAAACCTTCGAAATTGTCGATTTGTTCCACGAAGTTTGACGAATTCACTTCCATTTTGCATGAAAATCCAGCAATCATTCACATTCGAAATTTTCGTCGTCTCATTGTTTTTCGATGAAAATGAGACAGTTTTTCGTGATGAAGCTGGACTTTTTGCAGTTCGACCACCGTGTTTTATTATTGAGGAACGAAGGGTTTTGCTGGAAAAAATTAATAATTATTCAGGACCAAAACTATTTTTTCAACTCACCAAATTCCATCCATTTTTTTTCAAAATAAAAAGTTTATTTGAATCTTTCTTTTGTATATATTTTTCCAAAAGGGGATTTTCAGGACTTAGAAAAACTTGAAAATTATAAACAGATTTTTTTTCCAAAAAAAAAAAAATAAGAAAAAATGTTTGGAAAAGAAGTGCGTAGGAAGCAAAAAAGGGCAGGTGATTTTTAGATTCTGTGTGTTATGTTAGCCTAGATTTTCACCCCGAAAATTACCCTAACTTAGCCTAACTTCGATGCAAAAAGGAAGTGTTTTCAAATAAATAATTAACTTTATTTTGTGGTTTGTAAAACAAAAATGATGTCACTTGTATGCACTTTCCAAAATTTATTTCTGGGATTTTTTTAGGAAAAATTTCAAATTCGGGAGACAAATCAAAGTTGTTTTTCTGGGAACCCGAAAAAAACACAACAAATCCTAATTGAATATTTTTTGGGTAGCGGAAAAAAAACAACTGAAAAACAACAAGAAACTTTATTGGCGTGTCAAATTTTCTGATTTTTTTTGAGAACGAAAATATGAAAAATAAGAAATTTCAGAAAAATAGGATTTTGGAAGCAAAACATGAAATTTAAGCTTTATTTTCGAGCTTGACTTGAAAGTTCAAAATGTTTTGATTTCTTTTCTGCATGGACTAATTTTCATCCCGATAGTAAAAATCCACGTGGTACAAGTTTTTCAAAAGAAAATTTGGCTCAGAATTGAGGGCAGGTTTTAGGATATGTGTTAAGGTTTTTATAAAACTTATGTCAATTGACTTATGTTGACCTAATGTCCTAGAAAGTTGATGAAACATTCGATAATCCACGTGTGAAAAATTTACGTGTCCCAAAATTTAACCCCCTCTCTTCTCCCCAAAATGTCACCTACCGATTAGCAAATGGTACATCCAAACTTCTTGGCGTATCTTCAGCATCACTTTCAGCCATTGTCATTTTGTTCTCATCTCATTTCAAAAAATAAAACTTTCTTGTTTTTCTTGTCTCTTTTTCTTCTTCTTGTTTTCTTCTTCCTCTTGTAACTCTGAAATATTTCCCATAGGGTTCCTTTTCAGTCAAAAAAAAGCAATGGCATGCAGAAAAAAAGAGTTCCAACCAACAAAAAAAGAGACTAACCGAAATAGAATAAATAAATAAATAAATTCAATAAAAAGAAAACACTGACTGACATTTTTTGCCGTTTTTTTGAGAGAAAAAGAGAAGACAACTAAATATACATAAATTGGCATCAATTTTCAGTTTTTTTCGCTTTTTTTTTTTGAAAAATAAATTATAAACGTTTTCAATTTTCACATCTGAAAATCGAGTGAAATTTAGAAAATCGGGATTGTTTTTTGAATTTCAGAAATATCTATTCAAAAATTGGTTTTTCTATCCTAACATAATTTTTTCCAAAAGGTCAATTTCTATTTCAAACCAAAAATCAGAGCTCGAGATAAATCAAATTTTTCTGAGGCTCCAAAAAATAAATTAGATTTTTCTTTTTTTTTTCCAATAAATTTTCTAGTTGATTTTTGGCGCGAAAATTAATTTCAATTTTATTCAGAGTTTTAATTTACTGGTTGAATTAGATTGAAAATTATCAAGAAGAAGTTGAGAATCTGGAATTGAAGCATTTTCAAATCTGATTATTTCTTTATAATTTTGAGATCTGAAAAAAAATTTAATAAACCACGTTATTTTGAATTTCGAATCTTGCCACGTGACTTTTTTCAGAATAATTCTCAAATTTTTGAGATAAAACATTACAACTTTTCTGAGAAATTGGCTCTAAAAACACACACTTTAAAGTTTAAATTTCAAGTCGGAAAATGTAAAAAAAGGGCTATTTTTGGCTCCAAATTTTTGAACGAAATCCAATATTTTTTGAAACGCAAAAATGTAATAAATATGTGTCAAACATGAAACAAAATGAAATTTTTTTTGAAATAAAAAAAGATATATTAAATTTCGGTCAAAAAATCAAACAATTTTGTCTGAAAAAAACAAAAATCTTGCTTTTTTCAGTTGACGGATTTTTCTAATCGATGACGAACGAAAATGAGAAAAAAAGGATTAGGATTAAAAAATCTTTGAGAAAAAATATTATTTATGAAATTATTAAATGTCGAAAATCGTGATGTGATTTGGAATTTTCAAATCTCAAACAATTCTTCGCAACTCGAAAAAAAGGAGAAGAAAAAGAATAAGATGTTTATATATTTTGTGTAGTGTTGAAATGAAGTTAGGGCAAATACAACAACCAGAAAAAAACGAAGAAGAATTGAATTGAATTGGGCAAAAAAAGAGAAGGAGAAGAGGAAAGTTAGAAGATTGAACAAGAAAAAAAAGAAGATTTTTTGATTTTTGACTCTGATTCAGATTTTTGACGAATTCTTCGATTTAGCTAGAAAAGCCACGAATTAATTAAAAAATATTGGTAGACAGCTGTTAATTATCTGTCTGTCTGTCTGTGTCTTTCAAAGTGCCGTTAAATTCTTAAGCCAAAAATTACAGGTTTAAAAAAACTGTGCCAGGTGGAGCCAAAAAACCCGAAATTTTTAATTAAAAAGATCGAAATACACAATTCTCATGACAAAAAAAAACAATTTGCAAATCTCGTACTCGAAAACTCATCGAAATTTCAAGTTCTAAACTTTTATAAATACGAAAACCACATGAAACACAAAGTGTTTTTACTACCCGAAAAGTTTCGCGCATTTTTTGAGACCTGATACGAGAGATTTAGAGAAAAAATATTTTTGATCTACCAGAAATTTTTTTTGAAAAATTTGGAGGTTTAGAGGTTTGAGGTTGTGAAATACACACTGTGTGAAAGTCAGAATCACTAAATTTCAGTTCAAAAATCCACGTGTCTACTCAAATGTTGACCTCTACTCTAACTTGAAACCTATCCGGAAAATCACATGAAACAGCGAAAAATAAAAAAGTGCCACAAAAAACCTCTCAAATTTCCAAAAAATGTGGGAAAAAGTCAAGTTTTTCTTTTTTTTTTCGAAAAAAAAGAAATATGAGAACAATTAGTGCATTTTTTCAACAAAGAAAAAATAAATGAAAAAAGTCATCTGTTAAGTTTTGAGAAAAACCAGTGATTGACACCTTGGAAAAAATGAAAAATGAAGAAATAAAAGAGATTTTTTGAGAAACTTTTTTTTGGGCCAGTTAAAAATAGAACTTTTTCGAGGTTTGAAGAAATAAAAATCAAAAATGCAAAACTTCCAAGTTTCTTTTTTTTTCGAAAAAAAAAACTTTTTGAATAAAGTTGAGAAAAGTTGGTGGGTGCGAGAAAAAAGAAATAATTATAAATAAGTAGAAACATTTTCGCGAGAGAGAGACATTTGAAATTAAAAAATGTGACTTTTTTCTTTTTATTTTTGCAAAAAAAAAATTCTGACGAGGAACTTCTTACTTCCTTCAAAACCGAATGCAGATATGAAGCAAAATGGACTTTTATAATCTGATTTTCTCATTTCTCGCGGGATTTTATGATTTTTGGTGCTAAAATAGATTTGCTCAAAATTCCACGTGGCATTTAATTTCAGGATTCACAAAAACCCATGAAAAGTTATATATTTATCATTAAAAATCCACGTGTCGTTTTTTCTTTTAGAAAATTGCCACGTGGCACAATTTTGAACACCCAAAAAAATTCGGATTTTTCGAATTTAAAATTCCACGTGGTTAAAAATTGCCAGGTTGATTTTTGATTTGAAAATACAAAAATTAAATTTTAAATTTTTTCGGGTTCTAAAAATGCCACGTAGAACTCATGTTACTACGCACAGAAAATGTGTGAAAATTTCCATATTCCTTGAAATCCCCCAGAGATTTTTTCTGTCGTCAAAAATTCTTTTTTTGGTTTGAGCGAGATTAAGTAGATGTACTTATGAAAACTTGAGTTTTTCTTGGCGCCAAAAATCTCGCTGAAAACGGCTAGAAACTCGAAAAAAAACACATTCACTTCCAACACAAATAAAAACAACACCAAAATTTTTATAAATCCCCAGAGCCCAAAAATTGAGTTTATTTTTTTTTGTTGAAATTTTTCTGGGGGAAATTCTGGAGCCAGTAAAAATGACACACAAAATGAGCAAAATCTGGGGCTAAATTAGGGCTATTCAAAAAAAAACATGCGAAAATGAAAAGAGGAGGAAGGGTTGTTGCTTTTTGTGTGTGACACACAAAAAAATGGCCAAAAATGTATGTAGAGAGAAAAAAGTGCACATCTTTTAGCCAAGCGGCTAAAAAGCAAAAAAAACACATAGAAGAAGAAGAAAACTTTGTCGATTTTTTCTTCAAAATATGGAAAACGCATTTGACTTTTTGATATGAAAATGTTCGGAAAATGAGAGAAACAACAAGTAATTTATTTACCCGGGAAAAAGTGAGATGTTTTGCAAAAAAAAAGAGTAAATTAGAAAAAAAAAAGAGAAAAAATTATGACAATTTTTCAAAAAGTTTGCGCAAGCTCGAAATGTCGTGTTGATCGTCTTCGTTGAAATTTTCAAGAAGTTTTAGAGATTCTTTGATGCTTGTTTTGTTGTACCAATCTTTTCGTCCACGTAATTCCATAAGAGCTACAGTTGTCTGAAAAAAATTGGGAATAAAATTATTGGAACTATCTGACAATGAGAAACATTTTTTCTAACGAAAATCTCGGAGAATGAAATTTTGAAAATGTGAAAATCATTTGACAAAAAATGTAATTTCTCCTGATGTTTATAAGTTTTTTTCTTCTAAAAAATTCCTGAATTTTTGAGTTAAAATTGATTGAAAATGCAATCTTGCTCTTTTAATTTTTGTACATGTTTTTCTGAAAATCATTGCTCACCTCAATACAAACAATTTTCCAAGCATCTCTTCTCTGAACTTCTCTCATTCTTGCCAAAAATTTGACAGCAATCAATGGAACTCTTTCATCCAAAACCTTCAAATCATCCATTTTCTCGAACAATTCCTCGTATAATCTCGAAACATCTTGAATATTTTCATAATCATCGACAATTCTCAAAGCTTCGGTCAAAATCAATTTATCGATTTGTTCTCGCTGTTTTTCGTCAGCAATTTCGAGTTCACCGCGAGAAAGCAAGAAAATTGTGAATGTGAAAAGATTCAACAGAACTTCATCAGCTAATTTGATTGAAGTATTTGTAACTTCGATCCAGAATAAAAGAATGTATCGGACACCAGAACCAACCTGCAAAAAAATGAATTTCGAATTGAAACTTCTTCAAAATATACTGTTCTTTGTTATTTTACATGATTTCATTTCTAATTGTAAAAACCCTAGAGGATTCATGTTATTAGTACAATTTTTTGAGGTACATAAATATCGCTATCCACGCACGCGATTTTCTAGCTATTCTCAAGAGAAGTTTTATAATTGTGTGATCTAGGATATATAATCTGCCCCCTTTACCTCCTCGTCCACTTTTGTCAAAAAACAAAAATTGCTGAATTTTGATGGCTTTCCATATATCGATTTTTCACACCTGGATTCCTAGGATTTTCAGTGGAACATCTGTTATTTTCAACATTCTTTTCATAACTCTTGTTCGATTGAAAACATCAACATCAATTGGAAAGTATAAATATTTGTTGATTTCATTTTCTTGCATGAATTTATTAACAAGTATTTTCGAATCATTAGTTCCTTTATCTTCCGATGGTTTTAATTATCATTTTATTGTTTTTGCACCACATGGTATACTTTTCGAATATATTGGTTTTGCTCAATTTTGTATTGCTGTTAGATGTTCGATGTGTGCATATACTTATGGTATACTTATTGTTCATTTCATCTATCGATATTTCGCCATTTGCAAGTAAGTTAATAAATTAAAATTAATGATCTACTTCAATTTCATAGACCTCAATATACTATTGCTTTCTTCAAACCTCGATTCCTTACATTAGTTATCTTCTTCACATTCTCATATGGAACTATGTGGATGGGAATAATTTATCAATGGCTTTGGCCAACTGACTCCTCTCGATCTATCGTTGATCAGGGATTCAAAGATACTTACAATGAATCAAGTTATAATATTCCAATGATTCTAGCGAATTATGAATGGCCAATTGAAAATTGGAAAACAAATGGACTTGTTGGAATGGGTTTAATAACTCTAAATTCAGTCGTTGCTTTAGCAATAGATTCAGTATTGGCTTGGAAAATTCATTCAGCATTGAACATTGTTACGTTGAGCAATGTTATCAAAAAACTGCATCGTAACTTATTGATTACGCTTATAGCTCAAACTTTTGTACCGATCGCTGCGACTTTTATTCCAAGTTTGATAGCTTGGTATTATCCATTTTTCGGCTTAAAATGGGGATATTTCAATAATTCGTTTTTGATTCCATTTATCAGTTTCTATCCAGCAATTGATCCAATTGTTATTACTTTTGCATTAACAGATTATCGTAATGTTATTCTTTCATTTTTGGTTGATAGATGTGAATCGGAACAAACAAGAACTCGATTGAGAAGCACATTTCATATCGAATGTTGAATTCGAATAAAAACCATTTAACCAAATATTGAAAAACAATTCAATATTTCTGCACAATATTCTCTATTTTTATTAATTAATCAAATGAACTCCCAAATTCAATTTCCTGTTTTCAACAATGCGTTCTTGTACTTCGGAACGCAAAGAATCATTCTAATTTTGTTGAACCAACATAAAAATGTTCTTTATCAGTATTTTTCACACGTGGATTCCAAGAATTTTCACAACTCTTTCCATAATTTTCAATTTACTTTTCATAACTCTGGTTTTTCTCAGAACTACAGGATCAATTGGAAAATATAAATATTTGTTAATTTCATTTTCTTGCATGAATTTATTAACAAGTATTTTCGAATCATTAGTTCCTTTATCTTCCGATGGTTTTAATTATCATTTTATTGTTTTTGCACCACATGGTATACTTTTTGAGTATATTAATTTGGCACAATTTTGTATTGCTGTTAGATGTTCGATGTGTGCTTATACTTATGGTATTTTAATTGTTCATTTCGTCTATCGATATTTTGCAATTTGCCAGTGAGGTTTGAATGAGCAAGATCATAGCCTAATTATTAATTTTTAAAGCATCGAATACACTGTTAATTTTTTCAAACCCCAATTCCTCATATTAATTATCTTCTTCACATTCTCATATGGAACTATGTGGATGGCTATTATATTTCAATGGCTTTGGCCAAATGATTCTTCTCGATATTTAGTAGATCAAGGATTCAGAGAAACTTATGGTGAATCAAGTTATAATATTCCAATGATTCTAACGAATTATGAATGGCCAATTGAAAATTGGAAAACAAATGGACTTGTTGGAATGGGTTTAGCAACCTTGAATTCGGTGGTTGCATTATCTATTGATGCTATTCTTGCCTGGAAAATCCACTCAGCATTGAAAATCTTCAATATAAGTCCAGTTATTCGTAAACTTCATCGTAACTTATTAATAACTCTTATAACTCAAACCACAATTCCAACTATTGCTACATTTGTTCCTTGTATGATTGCCTGGTATTATCCATTTTTCGGCTTAAAATGGGGATATTTCAATAATTCGTTTTTGATTCCATTTATTAGTTTCTATCCTGCAATTGATCCAATTGTAATTACTTTGTCGATTACAAATTATCGAAATGTTTTGGTTTCATTTTTTATAAACCGACTTGAAACTGAAGATATGCGAACAAGATGGAGAAGTATTTTTCGTATCGATGGATAGATAAACATAGCTTCATAATAAGAAATGTTCTTCAAAAGTTCTTTGATTTGGAGGAAATTGATTTTCTAAAAATATTCCATTTTCTACCAAATTGTACTATTGATCTTTTTTTAGTATTCTTCTTTCTACTCATCATCATACGGTTTGAATAATGGTATTTCACATAAGTTTCTCTCACACCTGGATACCAAGGATTTTCAGTACAGTTTCCATAACATCTAACACTTTCTTCATTTTATTAGTATGTACAAAGACATCAACATCAATTGGAAAATATAAATATTTGTTGATTTCATTTTCTTGCATGAATTTATTAACAAGTATTTTCGAATCATTAGTTCCTTTATCTTCCGATGGTTTTTTGTTAGATGTTCGATGTGTGCATATACTTATGGTATTTTAATTGTTCATTTCATCTATCGATATTTCGCCATTTGCAAGTAAGGTTTCAGCTAAGTTACGGCTCTTTTGAAAATCATTTCAGACCATATTTCATAACCAAATTTTTTAAACCTCGAGTTCTGACAATAATTGTTATTTTCACATTCTCATATGGAACTATGTGGATGGCGATAATTTATCAATGGCTTTGGCCAAATGATTCTTCTAGATATTTAGTAGATCAAGGATTCAGAGAAACTTATGGTGAATCAAGTTATAATATTCCAATGATTCTAGCGAATTATGAATGGCCAATCGAAAATTGGAAAACAAATGGACTTGTTGGAATGGGTTTGATTACAATCAATTCAGTCGTTGCTCTTGTTATTGATTCTGTTTTGGCTTGGAAAATACACAGTGCGTTGAGAAGTTACAACTTGAGTTCAATGATTCGAAAATTTCATCACAATCTATTGATCACTTTGATAGCTCAGACAGTTGTCCCAATAGCCGCAACTTTTATTCCAAGTTTGATAGCTTGGTATTATCCATTTTTCGGCTTAAAATGGGGATATTTCAATAATTCGTTTTTGATTCCATTTATTAGTTTCTATCCAGCAATTGATCCAATTGTTATTACTTTTGCATTAACAGATTATCGCACTGTCATAATTTCGTATTTTATAGATAGATGCGAAACAGAGGAAATGAAGACAATATTGAGAAGTACATTTCATATCGATGCGTAAAATTCGGAAATAAACTAACAGTAAATCATTTTTTGATAATGTGTTTTTTTTAATATAAACGTGAACATCTCATTTTTTTTTCAATAAATTTTTGACTCATTTCTATATTTTTTTACTGAATGAAAATAAAACTCACCGCCAAACAAACATCGTTCAAAGTTCCACCTTCTGTGAAAATCTCCTCATCATTGATTGCACTCACAAAAACTTCGAGAATTCTCAAATGTCTCGCGAATTTGACAACATCAATAGAATCAGCTGTATGAAGAGCCATGTTTATTTCGACGGTATTCATTTGAGCGACAATTTTAGCAAAATTCTCGTCCAAAGAAAACCAATCGGGACCCATTAATCTGGAAACTGATCCAATTATATCCCAAATTCCAATAATTATGGTTTCGCTCATTTTTTCGGTTTTCTCTTTGATTAAATTGCGAATTATTGAGAGAATTCCAACTGGCCAAACACGAGTATCGATTGTTGAAGCTGAAAAAACGTTTATTTTATGTGGAAAGATATTTTCTAATTGAATTACCGTCATCTCCGACGTTGATCAATGAGAAGATTTTTGATAGAAGAAGTTTTGAAATCGACAAGAAAACTTCAACTTCGAGTTTTTCTCCTTGATTTATGAAATAACTAGTAGTATTTCGCAAGAAATCATAAATGCATTTTCGATCATCCGACATGTAAGTGACAATAATTGTGATATCATTTAATGTTGAAGTAGTTAGAGGGCCATTTTTTGGTGTCGAAAGTTTGACAATGTTAGCAATTACTGGTTTGAACTTCATGTGAGTTGTTGGTGAGGTCATTTGACAGCAAAATGAGAGAATATGAGCAATGAGAGGTTTGCCACTGAAATAAATACGAGACTTGAATATATTTACAGAATTCATTCAACTTACTCCTGAAATTGCCGATCTTCTGAATTCAAAACACAATCAAAAACTTCTACGGGGGCTGAGGTGAAAAGTTTTTCACATCTTTCAGTAGTCAATTCTTGAACGGTGAAGATTCTTGGAATCGTCAAAATTGTCGAAATCTTTCTGCGCAACTCGACATCTGGATCTTCAAGAGTTTCACAGACTTCTTCAAGTCTTTCGTCGGCGCTCATTTTTCGAGATTCTTTTCAGTTTCTGAATTCAAAATTTCGAAAAATGAAATATTTTTTGAACTGCTACAGGGCATGTTTGCTCAATTTGCACGAGACTGTGTGTGTTTCGACGAGACGCAGAGATTGATAAACGAAGGAGGGAGAAAGTGCGCTCCATCGAACGAGGAAATTTTTATTTTTTTTGTTTTTTGGGCTTCCTACTTTTTAGCGTTTCACTATTTTTCCGTTGTTTTACTATGTTTTGAGTTGGATAATAATTTTCTCCACATCCTATTGCATAGTTCGAATGTATTTTTACTCGCGTTTTAATAGTTTTCCATGAAATACACGTGGAAGTTTAAAAAATGCTATTTTTTGTAGGAAATGAGTCGGAAAGGGCCATTAGCCAAGGCTTCGGCCGAAACCGATGTTCCACTTCGTATTGCCATTGTTGAAAAAGATCGATGCAAGCCAAAAAATTGCGGTTTGGCTTGTAAAAGAGCGTGTCCGGTTGTTCGACAAGGAAAAATGTGTATTGTTGTTGAAGCAACATCAACAATCTCGCAAATTTCCGAAGTTTTGTGTATTGGTTGTGGTATTTGTGTGAAGAAGTGTCCATACGACGCGATCAAAATCATCAATTTGCCAGCCAATTTGGCTAACGAAACAACTCATCGTTATTCGCAAAACTCGTTCAAATTGCATCGTTTGCCAACCCCAAGATGTGGAGAAGTTCTTGGTTTAGTCGGAACGAATGGAATCGGAAAATCGACTGCGCTCAAAATTCTTGCCGGAAAGCAAAAACCAAATTTGGGAAACTTTGAGAAAGAACAAGAGTGGACCACGATTATCAATTATTTCCGTGGTTCTGAATTACAAAATTATTTCACTCGAATTCTTGAGGATACTCTCAAATGTGTTATCAAACCACAATACGTTGATCAAATTCCAAGAGCTGCAAAAGGAACTGTTGAAATGAATTTGAAAAAACGACATGATAATGATAATTTGGATTCTGTAATTGATCAAATGGAATTGAGAGGATTGTTAACAAGAACAATTGATCAATTATCTGGTGGAGAATTGCAAAGATTCGCAATTGCAATGTGTTGTGTTCAAAAATCGGATGTTTATATGTTCGATGAACCATCTTCTTATTTAGATGTCAAACAAAGATTGAAGGCTGCTGCAATTATTCGAGAAAGAATCAGTGATTCGAATTATGTTGTTGTTGTTGAACACGATTTGGCTGTTCTTGATTATCTTTCTGATTTTATTTGTTGTCTTTATGGAGTTCCAGGAGTTTATGGTGTTGTTACACTTCCATCTGGTGTTAGAGAAGGTATTAATATGTTCCTTGATGGATTTATTCGAACTGAAAATATGAGATTCCGGTAAGCTATTGAAACTCAAAGAAGCCTCATTCATAACTTGATTTTTTAGTGAATCAAAACTCTCATTCAAAACTTCTGAACAACAAGAAGATATCAAGAGAACTGGAAATATCACCTATCCAGCAATGTCGAAAAACTTGGGAAATTTCAAATTGCACGTAGAAGCTGGAGATTTTTCAGATTCTGAAATTATTGTTATGTTGGGAGAAAATGGAACTGGAAAAACAACAATGATTCGAATGATGGCTGGAAGTTTGAAACCGGAAGATGAAGATACCGAATTGCCACATGTTAGCATCTCATACAAACCACAAAAAATCTCGCCAAAATCTGAAACTTCAGTCAGATATATGCTTCATGAAAAGATTCCAAATATGTATCAACATCCACAATTCAAAACTGATGTAATGAATCCACTTATGATGGAACAATTATTGGATAGAAATGTGACTGAATTATCTGGAGGAGAATTGCAAAGAGTTGCTTTGGCACTTTGTTTGGGAAAAACTGCTAGTTTATATTTGATTGATGAACCATCGGCTTATTTGGATTCTGAACAACGTTTGCATGCTGCTAAAGTTATCAAGAGGTAGTTTAGCTTTCAGAATCTTTGTTAATTTTAAAAGTCATTCTCAGATTCATCATGCACGCCAAGAAAACCGCATTCGTCGTCGAACACGATTTCATTATGGCAACTTATTTGGCTGATAGAGTTATTGTTTTTGAAGGACAACCTTCTGTTGAAACAACCGCTTGCAAGTGAGTTTTGGACACATTTTGGGTTTCGGTATATTTTTTGTCAAAAAATTTCTAATTTTGAATGATTTTATATTATCCACGTAGTATTTTGAAACCCCAAAATCCTGAAAAAAGTTATGTATCAATAAAAACTTTTTTGAAGTTCACCAAGGGACCCATAACAATTCTCATTTCTAATATGAAACTCACACAAAGAAAACACTTCTGGGCTTCGGAGACGCGCTTTGAGCTTAAATGGTCTATGAAATTGAAATAACTCTTCTCAATTCTTGATTCAGAACAAATTTATAAGAAAAAAAATTTGATAGGGTTTTTCTAGGATACATTTTTGGACTGATAGCTTTTCTAAAATTTTGTGAATTTTTGAATGTTTCCCGCCAGAGATTCGAGAAGTTTAAATTTAAAAACTTTTTTCTCAGACCTCAACCACTTCTCGAAGGAATGAACCGATTCTTAAAAATGTTGGACATCACATTCCGTCGTGATTCGGAAACTTATCGACCGCGTATCAACAAAAAAGATTCGGTAAAAGATGTCGATCAAAAACGATCCGGTCAATTCTTTTTCCTCGATGAAAATTAGGTGTTTTTCTTCTGTTTTTTCACTGTTTCTTTCTTCCCTATTTCCCCTATCATTTTTCTCCAGAATCTTGTAATTTATTCTTTTTTTCTATTTAATTTTTATTGGGTAAGATTGGCTTTTGCCATTCTTGGGTTTCCCCCGGTTTTCTCTTTTCTCTGTTGACTGTTTTTCTTTTATTATGAATTTTCTGGATGTTTTTTTTTTATTTTTGGAACTCGTGCCAAAACATTTTTTCTTGAGGTGTTAAAAAAACAGCTGTTGGCAACTACAAAAAATGATGGAAAATGTTCCAATTTTCTAGAGCACTACTACTATTTTTTGTTTTGTTTTCACAAGGTTCTTTTTTTTTCGAAAAAAAAGCGTTCCATGGCGACTTGAAAAATATGACCTTCACACTAATTTTTGTCAATCTCGATTTGTTTTTTGTGTTTGCCGCAATTTTTTGCGGTTTTTATCTTGTTTTTTTTTCAAATTGGAGTGGGAAGATTTGCTTAGCACCAAAAATTCGCCACGTGGTTATTTTCCTGATCTTTCGAATATCTGAAACTTGGACCCCAAAAATTTTCGTGCTGAAATTTTTGCCACGTGGATTTTTATAATTGAAATTTTGAATTTTTCAAATGAAATTTCATTGCCACGTGGCTTTTTTCCGAAAATTCAAATTTTAATTTTAAAAATTGTTCAAAAGCTTTTCTTTAAAAATTCCAACAAATTTCAAATTTTCTTTTATTTATTTTTCAAAAACAAATATACAAAATCGTAAAAATTTCCACGTTTCTATAACAAAAATTCTGTCCGTTTTTTCTTTTTTCTTTCCGTCGTTTTTTTCTCCAAAAAAATCCCATATTTTTCTCTGAAGTACACTTTTTTGTGTTTTATACATTTTTTTTCTATTATAAACAAAACAAAAAATGTACGAAAAAATGGCGATTTTTTCTGTTTTTGAGCGGATTATTCAATTTTTATCGCAATTTTTTTACTCAAAAATATTTCGACAACTTATTTTTACATAGTTTTTTAACTACTAGTAGTATTTACTGAATAAAAGAAAAATTGTGTCAAGGACTTTTTTAGATATGTGTGTAGGGTTTTTTGGTAGAAGAAGGCTGCTGATCGAGAATTAGTTAGCCCAGAAAAAAATCTTGTTTATTTACTTAATTTTTAATGAGGGAGTACTGTAGGTTTAGGAAATTGGGTTTTAAATTTTTGGCGGTACTCAAAAATCCACGTATTTTTGTGCTGAAATGTCTTTAAAAAGTGATCTGTTTAATTTCGCTCTAGATTTTTCCAATAAAATTCTGAAATTAAAATTTTCACATCTAAATTTGAAATATAAACTTACAAAAAAGTTTACCTTTTTCAGAATCCTTAAACTTTTCATAATTTTCGAAATAAAAAAAATTCAAAATACACAAAAAACTTTTTTTCAAATAAAAATCAAATTTCCGGTTCAGTGAAAGTGTTTTTTTTTTGCAAACTCAAAACAAAACACATTTCACGTTTCGACATTTTCCACGTGATCCACATATTATTTTTCTAACTTCCCACCTTTTCTCATTTTCACACTCATTTCTTTCTTTTTATTTTTTCCCACCAAAGAAAACAAATCAAAACACGTTCATTTCGGTCACTTTTTTCTGTTGCTGCTGTGTTGAAAGGCTAACAAACCAAAGTAAGTATTTCGGCGGGTTTTCGCGAGGTGGCCATTTAAGATTGTCGGTCAATATTTACCGTATTTTTTGTCCGCGCGGTGGCTTCCTCGAAACGATGAGAGAGTATGCGGAAATGAGAGAGTTTGACAGAGATATTGCACGATTTCAATTCAGTTCATTCAAAAATTACTCGATGTTTTGACAAAAGTTGTTTGAATATGTGTGTGGTTTTTTTTGTGATTGAATTGAATAAATCGAGACTGGTTTAGGGTTGATGTATCCTAGAAATCCGATTATTTTTTGTTTTTTTTTTTGAGTCATTGAAAAAAATATCATATTATTTTGAGGGCTTATGATTTTAAGGTCATTTCTCGACGATTTTGGATTTCTAGCCCAAGACTTTGTAACTCTAGGGTTTTTCTAGACCAACCTGATTTTTAAGATTTCCAAGATTCGGCGATGTTTTTTTTTCAAATTTCTAAGCCCTCTTTCAAATTGTCCATGTCAATTTTTGATTTTCCATGTTTTCTGATGTTCAGGTTTTTTATGTCAAGAATATTTTTTCTTCAAAAAATCCAATTTCAGATAAAAATCTTTTTTCTCGCGAATAACAAAAAATCGCCCCAAACACTTTTTTGTTTAACAAAGATTTTTATCGAAACTTTTCAGTTTTACTTACGATGCAATTCATTTTTCTTTCAAGAAAATTGTCTAGAACCGCTCAAAAATCAGCCAATTTTTGTTCATGAAGTACTTACCTCAAAAAAAGTAATTATCGTAGCCCGTTATGTCAGAAGAAAATGAATGGAATGGGAGAGGGATAATAGAGGGTACTTCCGAAAATTTGCCTCGCTACCGAATTTTTTTCGTTTTTGGAGGAGGGCTGCCAATTTTTGAACCGGTTTAGTTTTTCTGGAGAAAATGATTTATGACGCTTTTTGTGTTGTTTTCATATTATTCTTTTATTTAAAAGTTTTGAGTGCAAAATGTTGCGAATCTATTTTAAATTAGATAAGTTTTAGTTTCTTGTTGCTGAAAATTTAGGATCTAGGCTTTTTTATAATGAACCTAGGCAGATTAATATTTTCTAGTGAAATGTGACAATAATTATTATATTTTGTTATTTTTTTTAAATTTTCTGCACATGAAAGAATTAATTTTTGTTACATTTTTCGATTTTTTCTTTGAAAAAGTGCAAAAAGTTTGGTCAGAGCCGAAAAAACACGAATTAATTTTAAATTAGATACATTTTAGTTTTTTTTTTGAAATTTAGGTTTTCGGCCATTTTTGAAAATGATTCTTCTGCTCTCCGGCCACACCTACACTCTAAAGACAATATACAAATATTTTTAAATATGTTGATAAAACTTCATCCCCTCTCCCGGGCTGACGTGGTTTTTTTCTCGTTCGAATTATTTTGATTGGTCATCAACAAACTGCCTGCTTCTCCTCCAAATATATACTCTTTTTCATCTCTGCGTCTCTTTCATTTCATATACTATCTCTCCATTTTTCTTGTCGCGGTTCGAAATTATACAGGCAAAGCATTGTTTCTCTCCACTCTTCTCGTTTTCCCCCACTTTTTTTTGTTTTGTCTTGGTGATTTTCTCACATTTTGTGGGATGCTTATATCTTTCAGTAGCTGGTTTTCGAGGGAATTTCCTCCGGAAACCTGAAAATTTGGGTTTTTTTTTGGTGAAAAAAATAATTAAAAATAATTATTGAAAAAAATACAGTAGTTTGTTTCAAGGCGCACACTGAACATTGAAAAAGTCTCGTAGCGATTTGATTTACATTAGAGCGATATTGCATTTCTACTTTATTTTCGAATATTTTTTTTCAAAAAAAAAGTTCGTGTTCGGTTCCCGTGGTCATTGAATTGAATAACATAACAGTTCAACGTCATATTTGTTCAACCTCTTATCAATATTATATTTCCCCCGCTTTTGAGCATTTTTGTCCTTCAAATTTTCATTTGTTTTTACTCCAACTAAAAAATAGAACAATTAAAATTAAAACCATATGCCAACATCTGAACAAATAACTACATATAAACGTGGATTTTTTTTATTATGTTATGCCTATTTCACAAGCTTTTCCTCTTCCTTCACTTTTTTCCTCTTTTTTTCTCGCGCACTATTTCTGATAGAGAATTAGAGAAAAATGCAAAACTTTTTTCTTGATTTTTGAAGCTATTCATTTATTTATTTTCTTTTTGTTTCAGATAAATAACGGGTATGGTGTTTATAAAGAAAAAAGTGATATTAAAAATTTTGCTATTGGTACCGGTTGTTTGGTTTTGCTCGTTGATTTATTTTGCAGCAACATCATCGAATAATAATATAAATAGTAATAATGTGAGTTTTTATTGTTTTTTATGGTTATTTGGGGGTGTAAAAATGATGATTGAATTAGGGCGAAATTGAGAGAAGAAAATAGAAAAAAAATGCTAATTTTGAATTAGAATGATTATAATCAGATCACACCTCGGCTAATCTTTTCTGGGAGAGCAAAATGTTTGATATACAAATTCAAAATTATATATAATTCAAAATTTAAAGTTCCCTGGAGATGTTCAAAAGTTACAATAACAAATTGCAGGGTTTTAATTTGTGGAAAAATTTTAAAGCAAACCCCAAAAATTTCGAAGTTCTGGTGTCTGAAAAATTTAATTTTTCGGAGTTCAAAAAATCGAAATGGTCGAAACTTCTAATACACTGGGTTCCCGCTTTGAATTAATCTAACCTTTTTAAATGATGAAAATCTATAAATAATTGTTGGTCAATATTTAAAAAAAACAAAATTTTTTTTATAGATTGACAATGATATACGTGCTCAAGCAGCTTTACAACATCAAAATGCAAATCCAAAACATTTACCACAACAACAACCAACAGTAATACAAGGTTTTGGACGGCCTCTACCTCCTGCGGAACCCGAAAAAACTGAAGAAGAAGCAGAAGAAGAGCCGAAAAAAGCTGTTGAAGAAGAAAATGATATTGGAGGAAATATTGCAAAACCCAAATTTGTCGTTGATCCAAATGATCCAATTTATAAAAAAGGCGATAAAACACAAGCTGGAGAACTTGGAAAAGCTGTGAACATTGATAAAAATGTACGGTTTTCTGGGGTATTTTTTCAAGTATTGGGTTGTTTTTTCAGAAATTATCGTTTGAGGAGAAAAAGATTTTCGACAAAGGAATGTTGAATAATGCATTCAATCAATATGCTTCTGATATGATTTCGGTGCATAGAAGTTTGCCCGAAAATGTTGATGCTGAGTGGGTTTTTTTTCAGAAGAATTAAGGGGAGGGGGGAGGGGATTTGGTAGTTTTCTTATGAAATTTGGGGATTTTTGACACCCATATTCGTGTGGTTTTGTCGAAACTGTGAAAAATCAAAAAAAAAATCACCTTGAGAATTTTCGAAATTTGTCAGAACTCCTCTAATTTGAACGAGAAGCAAAAAAATGCCGGAAAGTCCTATGGAAACCTTTTTCAAATTCAAAAAATTCCGTTCATCAATTTTTTCATTTACATCAACATTTTGCTTTTTTCCAGATGCAAAACTGAAAAATACAATTCAAATTTGCCGGCCACTTCTGTAATTGTCTGTTTTCATAATGAAGCATGGAGTGTTCTTCTTCGAACAGTTCATTCAGTTTTAGAAAGAACACCAGATAATTTATTGACTGAAATCATATTAGTCGATGATTTTTCGGATATGGAACACACAAAAACGCCATTAGAAGAATATATGTCACAATTTAATGGAAAAGTTCGAATTTTGCGAATGGAAAAAAGAGAAGGATTAATTCGAGCAAGATTACGAGGAGCTGCAATTGCAAAAGGAGAAGTATTAACATATTTAGATTCACATTGTGAATGTATGGAAGGATGGATTGAACCATTATTAGATCGAATTAAAAGAGATCCAACAACTGTTGTTTGTCCAGTTATTGATGTAATTGATGATAATACATTTGAATATCATTATTCAAAAGCATATTTTACAAATGTTGGTGGTTTTGATTGGGGATTACAATTTAATTGGCATTCAATTCCTGAAAGAGATCGAAAAAATCGAACACGAGCTATTGATCCGGTTCGAAGTCCAACAATGGCTGGTGGATTATTTTCGATTGATCGAAAATATTTTGAAAAATTAGGAACTTATGATCCTGGTTTTGATATTTGGGGAGGCGAAAATTTGGAATTATCATTCAAAATTTGGATGTGTGGAGGAACACTTGAAATAGTTCCATGTTCTCATGTTGGACATGTTTTCCGAAAAAGATCACCTTATAAATGGAGAACTGGTGTGAATGTTTTGAAAAGGAATTCGATTCGATTGGCTGAAGTTTGGTTGGATGAATATAAACAATATTATTATGAAAGAATTAATAATCAATTGGTAAGAGTTTTTGAGCGGGTAGAGAGGGGTTTGAACTGAAAAACTTTATTGAAAATTCCAGATATTTTTTAAAATGTTTGAATTTGAAATTCGTTTTTTGAAAGTTTTCCTAGCGAGACCCAAACTGTAGAAATTTTTATATGGGTATCTTAATACACCAAAAATTCGTTGTTAACTTTAAAATCATCTCTAAAATTATCAAAAAGTTCTATAAATCAATATCTGAAGTTTTATAATTTTTGAAAATTTCAACCCGAAGATCATAGGAGTTTTTCATGATTATAATCATGATCTTTGAATTCTCCAGGATTTTTCGTGATTTTAGACACCCATATTGATAAGGTTTCGAGAATATATATATTTTGGGACTCGCCAAGAATTTTTTTTTGAATTCAGAATCTCAATACAATTTAAATTAAATCTTCAAATCTCGCGATTTTCGATTAACAATTTTTTTCATTAAAAAATTACGAGCTGGGAATCCTCAGTCAAAAAAAACTTACAGGGTGATTTCGGAGATGTTAGTGGCCGTAAGAAACTTCGCGAAAACTTGGGATGTAAATCGTTCCGCTGGTATTTGGATAATATTTTCCCGGAACTTTTTGTACCAGGAGATGCAATTGCGAAAGGAGAGGTTAGTTCTTTTATATTTCTTTGCTTTTTCATCCCCCAACTTCTAAAATTTAATATTTCCAAATTTTTCTTTAATCATTGTGAAAACGTGTTTGTGTCGAAAAAACTGTTCTTTTCTAACTTTTTTTTGGACGCATGATTTTTATTTTATCCTCATTTAATTTAATTTCTTATCACTAATGCTTTTGGGTTCTTTTTTTTTGAAAAAAAAATATTTTAAAATATCAAGAGATTGCCGCTGAAACTGACAAAGGTATGTGCTGAAAATGGAAAAATGGAAAACTAGTTTTGTTGTTGTGTTCTTTTGCACCAGATTTGTATAGATAGAGCATGAGAAAATAGATTTTTGGCTGAAAATTGCACCCTATTCCCCACCCAATCCACCCTGCACGATATTTTAATTTAATAGTTTTTATCACCGAAAAGAGTGTGTTTTTTGACGACGACTAACAGCCACGTTTTTCACATTTTTGTGATTTTCACAGCATTTCAAGAAGTGTTTTTTTAATAAATAAAATTTCGACTCTAATTTAGCGCTCATGAAAATCTGAAATTTTTAAATAAAAAAGTTTCTGTCAAAATTAAAGGTGATTTTTTCATCGCCTCATTCAAAAATTAAATTTTGGAAAAAAAATCACCAGAATTTTGAACTGATTTTGAACCTAAAAATCTATTTGTTGAGTAGCTACTAATTCATTTTCGGAATTTTCAGACAAATTTTCATTCCTAACTAACTTCAAAAATGTCCCTTTTAATCACCCACCAACAAAGTTTTTTACAAACTTCTTCTTCTTGTGTCATTTTCTCTCTTGATGTGTTTTGTTGTGTTTTAAAGGTTCGCAATAATGCGGTGAAACCTGCACGATGTCTCGATTGCATGGTCGGAAGACACAAAAAGAACCAACCAGTCAGCACATATCAGTGTCATGGTCAAGGCGGCAATCAGGTAAACAAACACTTTTCTATTTTTCTTTCCATTCTAGTTACGACAACTCAAATCGGCACAATGTTTGGATAGCGCAGTTGGAGATGAAGTTGAGAATAAGGCGATTTCGCCTTATCCTTGTCATGATCAGGGTGGAAATCAGGTTTGGAATTTGCAATTGGAAAAATGATAAAACGATGATGGAATATGGAAAAAGTGGAGGAAAAGAGGAATGATATATGCACTCTTTAAAAACTGCTAAAACCCAAATCTGAAATTTAGAAACTTTTATGTGTGCCAAAATCATTAAATTTCATAACAATTCTGAAAATCAGTACTAGAACCCATTGAAATTTAGAAAACCCAGAATCTGATATTTTTGAACCGCTGAAAATTTCAAATCACAATTCCCAGGCGTTTTCAAATGTTCTTACTATGATTTTCGAACTCCCTGTAATTTTTTGATGATTTTGAACACCCATATTAATGTGGTTTCAAGAACTTTCGAAAATTGGGTCCCACCACGTAAATTCTAAAAATCATCAGAACTATATCAATATGGGTGTCTAAAATCATCAAATGTCATGTAGACCCTGAAAATTAGCACTAGAACAAATAAAATATTTTAGAACCTGCTATCTGAAAGTATTTCAACAAAAAAATCAATATAATTCACATTTTCTTGTTGTTTGAGCACATTGTTGTCAGGTGGTTGGATCATATTTATTTATTTGTAATAACTTCTAATTTATATCATTTTACTATATGTCAAAACATCTATGTTTATCTCATATTCATTTTTACTCCGAAAATAGTCCCAATTTATATCCCCCACCTGACCCTTCCCCTTTTTCTCAATCTGCTCTCTCTTAGTTGCGAAATGCTGGCGGCGGTTCTCGTCAATGTGTCGATTTTAAAAGTGGTGGCAAAATTGGAATGTATGAATGTCATAATCAGGGTGGAAATCAGGTATTTTCCCACTTTTCCTTCATTTTTTTTCCAAATTTTATTCCGGAGTTTCAAGAATCAGGATGAGTTTTTTATCGATGGAAATTGGAATTTTCTTTAAAAAATTTCAAGATTTAGAAACAATATGAAATTTTTTTGATTTTTAGTATTGGATGTTGTCAAAAGATGGAGAGATTCGTCGAGATGAATCTTGTGTTGATTATGCTGGAAATGATGTTATGATATTCCCGTGTCACGGAATGAAAGGAAATCAAGAATGGTTGTATGATCATGAGGTATGAGACAGGAAGAGAAAGGTTTTGGGAAATGGTTTTTATTTCAAAAGGGAATAAAACTAGAAAAAACCTTTGAAATTAAGAAAAAAAAAATTGAAATTCAGATTTTTCGTTTCAAATTTTGAAAACTTCAGAATTTCGGAATTTTTATCTGACAACATTTGATTTTTGTGAACATTTGATTTTATCTCAAACTTGAACCTTCAGAGATTTCGAGCAAATTTTCACGAAATAAATTAACTAAATTTTAGTGTTTAGAAAAAATTCATATCTGGAGTTTTTCTCAAAAGCTTGGAAGTTCGGAAGTTTGTTTTTCATATTTATTTTTTCAAACAAATTATTCACATTTTAAATTCACCGAAAAAATAAAAACAAAATTTCAGACGGGTCGAGTGCAACACGCAGTTTCCCAAAAATGCCTAAGCATGACACACGATGGGGCAAAACTTCAAATGTCTCAATGTTCATCTGATGATTTATATCAAAAATGGAAATTCAAAGAATATTCAGATGAAAAAGCACGAGAATATAATGCCAAAAAACCATCTCGATAGAATTATCAAATAGTTTTTTTAATGATTTTTAATAGCACGGAATAATTTATGGGTATCTTCTTCAAAAGTATTTGTTTTTTGTTTTTTATTGCATTTTTTCTGTTCCTCTTCTTTTCAGTTCTTTTTTGATGCTTTAATTTAAGGTTTTGTTTTGTGATATTTATTGTTTTTATTTCACTTGGGTTTATTCGTGTATCTTATTTTCTTTTTACAAAATGAACAGATTTCTAGATTTTTTCGGCTATTGCGATTGCTCCTTTACAACCGGTTTGAATGATCCATTTGAGAGCATCGTAGGCCGGAGCCTAAACAGAGAATTTGGAGTTTTCACCTCGCACCAAAAAAAAAACTAACTTTTTCTCCGTCGTGTTCAATTCCAGTATCATGATGATGTAATTCTTCATCTCGCAACCTTGTCAAAATTTCAAGTAATTCTTTATGAGCTTCTGGATCATCGGCTAAAAGTTCTTTCAATTGATCATTATAATGTTGACCAATAAGTTCTTCAACAGCAACTGTGCAAGCCATTGCGCCTTCTTTTCCCAAAAGAGCTGATCCAACACCTGAATAAATATTATAGTATTGGGAATTGGAGAGCAATTTAGTTGGACATGACAAGGGACTCCATTTTGGGCAAATTTTGAGTTAGAAAAAAATTACCATATCTAATTGTAATTTTTTAAAAAAAGTGAGAATTTTTCTCTAAAAAATTTCTCAAACTACAAAAATTTTTAATGGAATTTTTATTTGAAAATTAAATTAAAAATCTTGATAAAATTTTCTGAAAAATTTTTTCGGCCCAAATCTTCAGTCGGAAAAGTTCAATTAATATTTTCAAGGCTGAATTTCTAAACTTCACTTACCCAACGCATAAGCAGCCAATCCAAAAACGGGCGATAAAATTGTATGTGAAACATCGTGTTTTGCAGCCAATCTTTCCATTGTATCCAAATGTTCTTTTTCCTCATCCCACATTTTTTTGATAATTGAACCGATTGATGAGCCTTTAAAAAATTAAAAATTAGAATGCCCATTCAGAAATTCTGAATCAGAATCTGAAACTGACAAAAAGGCTAAAAAATTTTGATGGGAAATTTTTCAGAGCTGAATTTTAGGAAACGTTTACTGATTTTGATTCGGAATTTAATTTCCTGGAATAAATATTTGTTATGTTCAAGTTTCTAATTTTCAGTCAAAAATCATATAGCATTCGCACCCAAACCCTTCTTCCTCCCCCAAAAAACGTTTCTCACCACTCAAAACTGCCATTTGTCCGGCATAAATTCGATCAGCTCCCAATTCTCCAGCATGATCAACTCGAATTATTTTTTCAATCATTGCTTTTCGCGTCGCCGCTGTATGCGCATTTCGCACCAGTATTTTTAGCATTTTCCTAGAAATTCTTAATAGAGTTCCAAAACTGAAGAAAAAACTATAAGTAATTTTCCTGGAAGTCTTGCCATTTTTAATAATGATTCAATAACCCAAAAAAGGTAAAATACTTATATTATCATCATATCACAATTGAATATATTTACAGACAAAAAAGAAAAGGATTCCCCGCTTGACTATGAAACTAGAAGTGATTATTAAACATAGAAAAAAACAACCAGAAAAAAAACAAGGAAAATAAATAAATAAATTATTATATCTAGTGATAAGTTACACCGTCATGTGAATGACCGTGTTGATTTCCAGAATCGTGTGAATGTCTGTGATTTTGAGAAGAAGATGTTTGAAGTTGGCTTTGATGTTGATGTTGTGGTGCGATATCGTGGTGCGAATGTGAATGACCGTGATCGTCTGGAATTCAATTTTTTGAGGTTCTAGACCAGGGATTTTTGCGTTCCACTGTTTTTACACGATTTCGAGCTCAATTTTTGACTGTTCCATATTTGCAACCAATGGCAAAAATTACAAAGATTTATTTATCGTATCTTTAATTTCAATGAAAGTTCGATAGAAGAAATATTCAGTATTAGATCGTTTAAACTTGAATTTCTAAAACTATTTCTAACTTTATATAGAATATGAAACTTGAACTCATTTATCAAAGTCTTAAGATTTGTCAAATATTTAATGCTAGAATTCGATTTACTATAAATTTATGGGAGAAAAATTTATGAATTTGCAAAAGTGGTGTGAGTGATTTTCTCCGAACCATTATTTTCAGAAAATTTTCAATTATTTTTCTAACCCAATTTCGAGCTGTCAAGCGTAATCAAACATTTTTAAAATTGAAAAACATTCTCACCATGTGCATTATGACTATGCCCATGTCCTTCATCGTGACTATGTCCATGACTTGAGTGTTCGTGTGAAGAAGCAGCCGAAATGTGTGTCGGATAATTATTCGATTCTCCTCCAGCTGACCAAGCTGCATCTTTCACAACTTGCACTGACAAAACTGTGATAACTGATGAGAATTTCTCAGTAACATGAGCCAACACATTTTGTTCATCAGCATCTCGTCGAACTCGAACATCTACACTTCCAACGAGTTGATTAAAATCGAGTTGCCAAAATCTTCCTCCTTTTAATTCTAAAACTCCATCAATTGTTGATGCTTCGGAAATGCATCGATCGATTTGATTGATTAAATGTGGAGGAGTTGTTTGGAGAAGAATCATTCCAGTATAAGTGGATAATGGCCACATTGTAGAAAAAACAGCGATTGAAAGAATTAGACAACATACAGGATCAGCCCATGTGAAATCGTGTCTGAAAATGGGATATTTGAAATTGTGTAGGTTGAATTGAAATAATACACGTGTTATTTTGGTTTCAATTTATCAAGATCAATTTCTGCGTAAAAATGGAATTTATTAAAATGAAAATAAAATTTATTTGACCCTTATTTTTGAACGTGGACTTGGGATTATTATTTCAAAATAAAACTCATTTTGCTCTCATTTCGAATTATTTCAAAATAAAACTCATTTTGCTCTCATTTCGAAAATGAGCAGAACATTTGAAAAAAGAAAAATTCCCGAAAAAGAACTCACTTGAAATGTTCACATAAAATTAGAAGTGTGCTTGTTGTTCCAGCCAACAATACCATTGAATTAATTCGAGGTAAGAGCAATCTTGAGAGCCCTGGAATTACCCAGCAAATTGCAGTTGATAAATCGGATGCGTGTTCTTGCAGACTTGAAGCTGTTGCTGATGTCAAAACATGTTGAAATGGTGAATTTTTTAAAGCATACGCAGATAATAAAAGAGCAATTGAACTCGCAGCGGAGCCAACAAAATATGGCCATCCTCCAATTTCTTCAGCTTCGTGTTCATGAGCTGCTTGATTTGCGTCGTGTGTTCCGTGATGATCAGGTGCCAAAATATGTTCGAATGATTCCTTTGATAAGAAAATTGAAAAAAGTTGGGCTAAAACTGTTGTACTGAACACTGCTAGAACAGGAACTCTTGCTAAACCATAACTATATTTTTGAGTTGGTTTATTTGTAATTGACATCGAATAAAGCGATGCGAATTGTGAGCAGAACGCGAATATTGTTATCCATAATGTCGACATTAAAACTATCGAATGACTAGTTGATACACAATATGCCAATATTCCTACACATCCTAGGCAAATTGCAGACGAAATGAGACCACGAGAGCCTTGCGGATGGCTTAATGCTGCAGAAACCCATTTGAAACCAATCATTCCAAGAATGTAGAAGTCTGGAATGTGATAAAATCTGTTGAAAAGTGAAAGTTTTGGAAAGGAACAGAAATAAAAATAAGTTGACACGTTGCCAAGAATAAAGGCGCATCGAATTTGTGTGTTGGGTCTTGGAGCGAACGCTTTTCTTTTCTCGAATTTTTGAATTTTCGCTTGTTTGTTTTCAGGTTTTCCAACGGTTTTTGCACGATCTTTGATGTTTTTCATGATTTTAACGTTGTGGAGCATATTTTAAAGTCTATTCCAACAAAAATTTTCTTAAAATGTCATCGGAAACCGTTGAAAATAGGCTGTTTCGAAATCTGACTTTCTGTTGTTTTTTTTGTCGAGAATGTTCTTTTGTACATGTAAATTTCCCTCTCTCATAGTAACGTTTTGATTAGATTCTCATTATCAGTCTGTTAGGGGTTTTCAATCTAGAAATTTTCAAAATCCTATTAGGCACCTATGCATGCGCAAAAACTCTACTCTGTTTCCGTATTCTGATTTCTATCCATTTGGCTTTTTCTCCTCCTCCTTCTCATTTATAATTTAATGTGTTAAATAAATATCCTTCGCTAGTTCACGTGGTAACCATGGAGATCACAGCAAAATATAGAAATTTAAACCTTCATAATCCAGTTCGAAAATATCTTTCGCCTTTCGTGTTTTTGCGTCATAGAAACCATAGCATAAATAGTTCGTTTTTTGCAGAAAAACCTCGACAAAAATGGCAAAACAACCACAAGTTACATGGGCTCAACGCGAAAGTTTCGTGTATGTCACTTTGGAAGTTGATGATGCCAAAATTGACGAATTGAAGGCTGAAGGATCCAAGCTTCATTTCGCGTAAGTATTTTTTGTGGTTTATGACACATTCAACAGTTTTAAATATTTTGTTGTTTTTCAGTGGCAGCAGCAACACTGAAAAGTATGAAACAACCATCGAATTCTACGAAGAAATCGAGAATGATTCAGTTACTAGAATCGGAACCAGCACTCGTGTCATCGAATTGACAATTCGCAAAGCGTCTCCAGGATGGTGGCCAAGATTGTTGAAACAAAAAGGAAAGGTCCATTGGCTTAAAGTTGACTTCTCGAAATGGAAGGATGAGGATGACGAAGAAGTTGAAGAAGATGCTGGAGGCGCTGCTGCTGGACTTGGAAATGGTTTCGACATCAATCAATACATGTCGCAACTCGGAAATGGAGCCGGAGGAGCTGATTTCGGAGGACTCGAAGATGACGAGGAGGAAGATGGTGAGTAATAAATTTTTATTGATTTTCATATGTAATGATATCCCATAATTTCAGATATGCCTGAACTCGAGGATAACGAAGAAGAGGAAGGAAAACAAGAAATCAAAGCCTAATTTATATTTTTCTCGAAAATAATCCTTTTCTCCAAGTTGTGCGGTTTTCTCTTTATTTTTCTTTTCCCCAATCGTTTTTTTATATAACCCAGTGTTTGCACCCGATTTTTTCCTGTTCAAGAATCTCAGAACATTTATTCTTCTATTTATTTTTCCCACATTCGTTTTGGTAATGAACTCTATAAGTATTTCTCACGTTTTGTTTTTTGAAGAACTAGGAAAACGTGAAAAACCATTCATTTTTTGATTATTGAATTGTGTGAAATGTCTTCAAGATCTGTATCGGGAAAAGTGGAAGATTTGGAAAATGCCGTGTTTATTGGAGCTGTGACGAAACAAAAAGCTGAACAACGAATTGGAAATCGAAGTTTTGTAATTTATTATCGTCTACCGGATGATGGAACTATTCCATATTCAATGGAATTATTTTTGGTTTATTATTCGAGTAATGGAAAATTCTATCATTTTTCGATAAGTCAAAGAAAACAAATTGATGGAATGGGAAAAATATGCAAAGATTTGTTCAAAGTTGAATGCGGTGATTCATTGGATGTGAGTTTCTTTCTATTTGTAAAAAAAATTGGCTGAAATTAAAATCAATATTTCGCAGTTTCTATCGCTAGAATCTCTAATCCGCCACTATGAAACCTTTGTTTATCACGATATTTCAACTGGTGCAATGGAAACATTTCCAGTTGGTTCAAAAGAAGGATCAATTTATGATGTTTACAAGTGAATGCTTAATCTACAATATAAAATAGTAACTTGGCATCCAAATACTCAATATTATTCAATTTTTAGTGATTATTATTAGTTTTTTCTCCTCGTGGGAATTAAATTCACTTCTTCGATGGTCTTGGTGGTTTTTGTTGCTTGAATCGGGAGTGAGAAGTTCCTCCTCGTCAGCATCGCCATCATCTTCCGGAGCAGCAGAAGTTGAATTAAGGCGACTTGATTTGCGTTGCGGTTTCGGCTTGACGTCCGGTTTCTTCGGCGAACTCGAACCAGAACCCGAACTTTTTCGCGCGATTTTCGCCACCGCTGGTGATGATGACAATCTTTTATTTGGCGATGGTCCCTCTTTTCGTCGATGTCTATATTGATGAAGACGATGAGATGGTCCAGCCAAATCCTCTTCATCATCTCCTTCTCCGCCGGTTGTGGTTGGTGCAAATTCATCCTGTGGTGTTAAATCATCTGGCAACTCATCATCTTTGCTGGTTTTTGATTTGGTTCGACACAAAGATTTTGGTTTACTGGGTCCCTGAAAATTCGAAAGAGTTGGGATGAATCGTAGAAAAGGCCAGAGTTGTATATTGATATTTTCACGCAAGTGAAGTATTCTCATTTGCGTGAAATGTCTTATCCGACTCAGCCAAAAATTAGTAAAAAAAAAAACAAAACTCACAGCTCTATTTGGAGAAGGTTCTCGAGAAAGTATTTTTCCAGTCGGATTATACAAATCTTCCGCTGTTAAATCGTTTCCCATAAACTCTTCTTCTTTTTTCTCGTTTTGTAACGTGGCTTCATCCAATAATCGAAGTTCAACGTCTTCGATACTTGTGACGTCATCTGGTACTGAGACTCGTGGCCGCGAAGTCTGTCTTATAACAGGACTTTGTTTAGTGGTCTTCGATTTAGAGTTCTTTCTTTCCATTGTTGAAGTGCACTTGGTGTTCGACGAGAAGAAGAAGAATGATCAATTTCATCGCTTTTTTCGGGTGACACCCGCCTCCGATCGATATTTTCGTTGAAAAACTTTTCGCGCGCGCGGAATATTTTTTGATCTACAGGCTGGAAATTAGGGAAAATTGAAATTTTATGATTTTTTTTGCAAAAAATAATTCGTTCACAAGAAGACAACAATTTGGAATGCGAATCCGAAAAAAATATTTTTCTGAAATTATTTTCAGTCACGAGTACAAGACAAAAGTGCAACGGAGTGTCGTTTACGCAATTTTTTTGAGTAAAAAATAGTAGAAAATATTTTCAAAGATTATTGAAGATGTGAATTTTTTTCTCAAATTTGGGTTTCATTGAAATGAAATAACTTGAAAAACGTTTTTTCGGACTTTTCCACTACGGTAGATCTGTTTATGTGAATTTGTGTGTCACAGTTTTGCAGACTACAAAATTATTTTATTTTTCAAAATTTCATAGACTTTTCAGCAAGTTAGGGAAAGTTTCAAATAATTCTGAATATATAATCTGATTAGTTTCGTCGAGATGAAAATAACTAATTTAAATTTCTGGGAGTAATAATTTTTCAGAAAATTTAGAAGCAGAAAATCGAAACTGCAGAGATTTAGAATTTTTCAGAGAATTTTACAAATAGTAGAAAGTATTTTTAATATCTGAAATTCCCTTATGAACTGAATCCCCAAATATTTTTCCAAAATATTTTGATCTACCCGGGAAATCCCGAATTAATTCAAGATCTCCAACCGAAAAAATGAGCGGCGTCCAAAAATCGTCAGTTCTGCGAGTTGACGATGACTAAAAAAGGGCTTCAAAGATCTCGATCAATTTCACCAAATGTGAGTTTTTGTGTTCAATTTCTTGAATTTTAAAAATTATTATTTCCAGCCAACTCCTAGAGAAGATCCGAAAGATGCGAAAAAGAAAGATGAAAAGGAAGATAAAAATGAGAGAAAAACATCGGATGAATTGAGACGAGTCAAATCAACGGGAGCATTGCCTAGAACTTCAAATACACAAGTTGAACGAATTTCGAAGTCATCAGGAACGTCGCCAGGAAATGCCCAAGTGGTTCCTTATGTAAATGATGCGAGATCGACAAATTTGCGGACAGGATTCAGATTTCCATCATTTCGTAGAGCATCTCAAAGACCACCATCACCTGAAAAATGGGCTACTATATTGAAGCCACCAAGTGCATCGTTTGTTCCTCGACCCAGTGAACCACTTATTATTGAAGAATATGATGGACCATCGACTTCAGCTCAATCAAGTAGCACAAATGTTCGACCAGAAATTGTGATTCATTCCGAACCTGATAGAGAAGATCGAGATCGAGATGTTGAAGCTGGTCCTGGACCATCGAATACTTCTCGTCGAGTTGCAGTTGAATCTTCAACAAGACAACTTCCGCCACTTCGAATTCAACGAGAAAATGAAACTGTTGCGAGGCGGAGTGTTCCGATCAATGTTCTGCCAATTACAAGTCATACCGAAGTCGCTCAGGTCAGTATTCATTACTTTTCTCTGTATAGTTGAAAGTTAAATAAAAACCACAAAGGGTGATTATTCCAAGTAATCCTAGGGCGCAAAAATCGCAGATCAACCTTGCTGAGAAACGCTGAGAAACGCTGTGAAATCAGATTTCAAACGTATTGGTTTTGAAACTAATTACAGTACGCCAAGTCCGAATTTCAGCTAAAATGCTAGTTTTTCCACGCCATAACTATATTTTGACACCCTAATGTTTTGAAATACTTATCCTTAGGAGTTTTCTTTTAACTTCCAAAGTTACAGGAGCAGTTTCATTTTTTCAAATCTTTAAAATTGTATTTTTCAGCAAACAAGTCCAACTTCTCGATCTGTTCCGCGCAATGTTCCAAATAGAGTAAGTTACTTATAATTACATTAAATTTCATATTTACATGTACGATTTTTGCAGTATATGCCTCGTGATGTTCTTCCTGGTGCTGTACCATTACCAGATTTGGTATGTTTTTGATTTTATTCCAACATTTCATCTATACAAAAATTAAAATTTTTTCAGCCAAGTCCAACTCCTCCCTTGAGTCCAAGTCGTACAATTCCAGAACGAGCAGAAACACCATTACCAATAATAGTAGTACCAGCTCAACCATCAACACCGCCTGCCACGCCACGTGGATTTTTTCGCAGATTTCTCAATGCGCTTCATGCGGGATACATGGCATTCCGGCGATGGTATTTTAGTTGAAAAATAAATATCGCTCATTATTTTGACTCTATTTATAACTATTTTCTATGTTTGTTTGTGAATAATATTAATAAAAGTAATAAACTTTTTTTGGAATTCTTCAAAGCGGTTATGACGTGGCAAATTGATTGCACCACGTAATTTTTCATCTATTTGTTCTCATTATACTTTTTGTAGCATAGCAACCAGCTGCACTTTGTTTGAAAAAATAAAATAAAATGGAAACCATTTTGTTTCCCTTTTGTTTATTATTTTCCTCGTTTATCAAAAAACTAGATATCATTTTCGTAAAGTATTCGAATTTCGAAGAAATTCGAAAAAATTGTAGTTAAAATACAAAAAGTTACAAAAATCCCCAAGCTCAATTTTATCTCGAAAATATTTTTCTCAAAATTTTCATTTCGATCGCTCGAAAACATGTTGAAGAGAGCTGGTAAGTTTTTTTGGGCGCGAAAATTTTAGAAGGAAAAAATTCTTGGAACTTTTCCAATTTTTCCGAAAATCCTTGGATTATCTGAAAATCTCGAGAGATCTATCCTGAACTTCCTTCCTCTCAAAAATCATTTTGTCTGAAATTGGCCCTAGAAAACATGAGACTGAAATTTATTTATGAACTGACGAAAAATGGTGGGTTTTTGTAATTTTATTTAACTGAAAATTTTTTAGAAGCTTCTCACAAAAAGAGAAGTCTATAAAATTGAACTTGTTTCAAAAAGAACGTTGGCAGTTAAAAGAAAACCCCAAGGGACATTTTTTTTCCAAAAAAGCCTAGAGTGCAAAATTTGTTCAAAATGAAGTGATGACGTGACTTTTCGAATACTGTAATTAGTTTCGGAAGCAACATTTTTGAATTCTGATTTCGCAGATTTGTTCGGGACAATCGAAACAGTACCCGAAAATGCCGATTTTTGGCCAAAATGAAAACTTTGCAACGTCATAACTATATTTTGGGTAAGTTTTGCACCGTAGTATATTTGGAATAAATATCTTTTGGGATGTTCTTTTAACTGCCAAAATCAGATAAATTTTTTCGGTGACTTTGTCGGGTGAAACTTTTCAGTTTTTCAACCCAATTCTATATAGAAAAACACTTTTCCCGTTAAGAAAATGTCAAACATTACTTTCCACATATTTTCAAAGAAAAATCAGCATTTTATGCTACTAAAAGTTTTCGCTGGGAAAGAAGAAAACATATGGGTTATTTGACATTTTTGAATCATCGAATCTCATTTTTTAAATAGAAAAATGATAAACTATTGTTTTTTTTCATTTAAAAATGTTTAAAACTTTTTTATTTGAATCACAAATTGTAAGTATGCTCATCCCTTTTATCGAAAAAATCGATACAAAGTTTCTTATCATAAAGTACACAAAAAGTATACTTTTGGTACAAAAAGTATATTATTCAAACATTGAATAATCATAATTTTATTGATGCTATTCGTTATTTTATTTTAATCGAAAACCTTGAAATATTCCAGAAGCTCAACATTCAACGCAAAAAACTTTCAAGAAAGGTTTGTTTTAAAATGTTAACCACTATTTCTTAGACGTAGGGAAAAATTGTCACCAAGAACAATTCGGGTTTTAACGTGAACCTATCCGACCTTCGATTTCCACGTAAATCCAATACAGGGTGACAACAAATTATAGATTCAGGCTGTTGTCACCATGTCAGAGGCCAACATGAGGCCACGATTTCCACGCCTTATTTCTCATTTACCAAATTAAGAAAATAGGATTTCGTTTAGAATCGCCTTATCGATTCGATTATTACGAGCAATTGTTGGCTACGCCTCCGATGAGAATTTCGTCGAAAAAAACCAACATCACTAATCGGATCATCTACGCTTTTATCATTTTTGCGTCCATTACTTTGTTGTGTAAGTCTAAAAGCCGAAAATAAGCTGGAATCTCACTATGGAATTTTTCAGTTGTTTGAGAATTTGAAAATTCTTTCAAGTTGGATTGTGAGAAACTACAAAAGATTCCTTATCAGTAAACAAACTATTTAAATTACAGTATGGAATCAAAGTGCCCCTCTTCTCACCGAATCCGAACGTCAATGCATTCTCGACGAGACCTATCCACGTGGCAATATCTCGTCAGCTGATCTTGGAGAATCGTTTCGCATCGCTTTCTATGATGTTCAAAAGACATTCAAGATTCTACAATTGCCAAATGTTTCATGCGATTTTGCAGAACATTCAACTTCGACAACTGTTTTAATGATGATTCAAACAAGAGCCAAAAGTTTTACTCGTCGAAATGTTCTTCGTGAAACCGTTATCAGCGCTAAAAACTCGAAAATCGTTGAAGATGGAAATATGAAATTTATCTTCGTCACCGGGCAAAATGAAGAGGATGAAAAAGTGAATGAAATTTTGGAAAATGAATCTAGATTATATGGAGATCTTCTTATAACTGACATGCATGATAATTATACTAATTTACCATTCAAAGCTCTTCAATCAATTCTCTTTGCTTCTTCTCGTTGCAAAAATGTGGATTTGATTGGAAAAATCGACGAGGATGTGATTTTCTATCCAGATCAATTGGCAAAACTTTTGCCTGGATTGAGAATCGAAGCCGATACAAATTTAATATTGGGAGATTTGTGGAGAGAAGGAGTTATGGTTAATCATGAACCAGATACTAAATGGTATATTCCAAAAGAAGCTTATCGCTGCAACAGATTCCCGCAATATGCTGCAGGACCTTTGTATTTTATGACAAGACAAGCAGCAAAAGATATATTGAAAGTTTCCAATGGCAGAAAATTCATCACGGTAATTCAACTAAACTTTTCAAAAAAATTACGAAACTAAAACATATTTAAATTTTAGGTGGAAGATTCCCTCATCACTGGACTTTACTCAGTCGACATAAATGCCGAAAATATTCATCTTCCAATGATGTACTACCATCACGGACAAACAACTGATCTCAGCCGCCGTCAACTTCTCTCGTGGCATAACAAGAAAAACGACGAGCAATTCAGAATGTCATTCTTCTACATGCTTTCAACCAGATGTTTGCCATGTAAAAAGTTCTGATTCGAGAACTTTCTGACATTTCATTTCATTTTTCAACGACTTAATTTATTTTTCTTGTGATATATAAAGACTGATTTGCATGCAAACAAACACTTGAAAAAGAAAGGAAAAACAAATTAAAAAACGTGCGCGTCGAATAAAAGGCATTGTGTGCAATGTGTGCAGACACCGCCTGCGAACTACAGTAATGCAATTATTTATTTTTTTCGAAATTTTTATTCCTGTTCCAACAAAAACCGTCTACAAGGTTCACAGCGTGTTTCTATCATTTCAAAAAAAGCACTTTTCAATTCCACGTCATTTTTCTTATTATGCCACGTTAAAAGCGGTGTAGTTTCGGTGTTTTTAGTTGCATAATCAGCGAAAAACATATTAGGTAGTTTAATTAGTTTGGCGCCAATATCCATTCCGTAGAGACCCGTGATAAGACAGTCCTCAACCTAAAAATAAGTTTTTGATTTCAAGTTAAACCGGAGACAACTTACACTTTGAAAATTTCGATGTTTCGTTATTGCCAGAATATTTTGCGCCGCAATTTTCGTCATAAAATAAATAGGACCAGAAATATATTCAGCGTAATAATCACATTTATAACTACTTTTTGATACGAAATATGGACTTGAAATATTTCGATTTACAACCACATTCCAGTCATAAAAATCACCCCAAATAACTGGTTTCGAAAATAAAATTGGATCTTTTCTAAAATTCTCGAAATATGCGGAAAAATGATCAGGATAGAATAGAACATCTTCATCATATTTTGCAATAATTTCAGCCTTTTCAAAACGAGTTGTTGCTAGAAGTAGAGCGCTAAGAACCTGAATTTTTAAGATAAATTGGTTGAGGTTTTTTTTCTAGAAAAATAATTTGACTTGCCTTATAAGGTAAATGAACATACGAATCTAAGAATTCTGTAATTAGAATATCACCAAAAGTATCAGCCTCCTTTTTTAATTCCAAATTCACATTTTCATCCAAACTTCTCCCACACACGAAAACGAATCGCATTGCGCCATTCATAATAACTCTAGAATATTTAGGCGATGCGATTGAATCACGAAATACTCGGCGACGTCCTGAATTCTCTGGTCGAACTAGAACCATCATAATATATTTCGATTTTTTATCGAGTTGTTCTTTTCCTTTGAATAAAGGTTCTGCTATCCATTTTGAAACATTTTGTTGATCGAAAAATGCGATTCGAAATGTTCCATCGCCATTATCACGACTTGCCTCGATGTTTTCGGCATTTTGCCGAAATTCGTCGCGCATACATTGAAAATCTTCCGGTGTTAGCTTTGTACGAGAACTATATTTAACTATAAAAACGATATTTGGTTTTATAAAACTTCAATTCTTATTCTATTCTTCTATTTTTTTTAGTGGTTGAAGTTTTTTAATAAAATTCTTATTTCAGATATTGCACTAAACGATTTGGAAATAATGAAATCAATTATTATGTAGTTGACGGTTCGGAAGATTCAAATAATGTTCTGATTCGAGCTGGATTTGGCATTTATCAGGTATGGAGATTTCAGAGATAAGCATTAAAAATTGTAATTTTCAAAAAATTATAAACTAAGCGCTTGAAGCGATTATTTCGCTGTATTTGTTTCAATTTTTTCATTCATTTTTGTTTTTTGTTTTTAATGTGATTTTTCGTAATCCTCTGATATGTATGTTATCCAAAAATCGAAAGCTTTGTTGCGCTTTTTTTGACAGAAATATAATATTTTCTCAAAAAATTGAAGAGAAAAATCTTACAACGTGTCATTTTCACGTGAAACGTGGCAATCAGATAAGAATTACTATAAAAAGGGCCCTTAGCTCACACAAAACTCATAATTTTTGTTCCTTCACCTTTCAATCGACGAAAAATCGTTTCGCAATGCATTTAAAAGTGCTTGTTCTCATAGCGGTAAGTTCCATCTACAGATCTCTCGATTATTTCCAGCACTATGTTTTTTCTAGATACTACATCAATATGTCAATGGAGCTCAAGTTGGGAATGATGTGTTGAAAACCGAAGTACGCGCAGATTTTGATGTTTTTGCTGGAACTTGGAATCCAGGAGGCTTTCAGTGAGTAGTTATATTTAGAAAAACGAAAGCAAGTAAAATAATCATAAAATTTACAGATACGGTAATCCAACAATTATCAATATGGTTCAAGTGAGAGAATCCACCGAAAGTGTTTCCTTCGAGTTTTTTCCCCACGAGTACTGTCAAGCATTACTGGTTTGCTCATCACCGTACACCGACTTTTCTGGAGACAATCCATTAAAAGTTACGGAAGATATGTGTACCGATAATTTCTTTTATGTGCCAGCATCTGGCCAATTCAAGTTGATCCAGGGAAACGCGGAAATCAAAGGATATGTTGATAAATTGACATTCGAAGGAATGGAAGATAAACATCAAATCAAAGTATCAAAAGAACCATTCTATAAATCTTCGATTTATCAGACAGAAATCAAAGACACGTCAATTTTGACAAATAAGGTGTTGTTGGTTTTGTCGAATTCGAGACAATGTCAAACAAATGTTATTGTCGATGGAAAAGTTATAACCAACGATTTTTTGGTAAAAGAGTGAGTTTTAGAATTGTTTTGGGACAAAAAGTGGTGTAAGACCATCAAAAATAATTTTCCCTCAAAAGTTAGGGTGTCTTTTGAGTAGTAAACCACAGGATATTTTACAATTCAGGTGGTATTTCAAGAAGAAACAATAAAAATTTGATTCACCAATTTTCAAAACAAAATTTCCCATTATTATTATTTCAATTATTTCATTAATTATTATTTTCAGCCGCATCACAAACGAATTGCCAAAATCTTTCCAATATAGTGGAAATCAAGCGGAGACACGAACATTTTATACTGATACTCATTCCAGTGCAATACGAACACAAGATGTTTTCCCACAAATCAAATCATGGACTCAGAAAAATGACAAATTGAAAAACATCAAATTTTCATGTCATGTTGCTGGCGGAAAAGTTACAAGTGGTTCTTTGATTGTCAAACCATCGGTTTTGCATATTAAAAAACAACAAAACACTGACTCTGGAGGAGGATCTAGAATTTGGAGAACTTCGATTGATACTGGAGATTGTCATTGGATGCGTTTGTGGATTACGAAAAAAAGCACAACATGGGAGGATTATCCGACTAGAATCGACGGAGAACTTTCCCAAACTATTGATTTTTTGTTTGAAGCTGGTCTTGTATTCCTTCCTGATCGTGAAAATGCTGTTTCTTTGCCTGGTTCTGCCAAACAAATTCGTAAAATTTTCCTCAATCGCTACGCAGACGGAATTGCTGAACTTGCATTTGGACATATCGGAAATCGTTTGATCAATACAATTAGTTTCAAAATGGACATTTTGAAGGTGGATGATCTTGAATTTTTCTTGATTCGCTCGGGATCGTGTGATGCAAGATTTGGCGCAGATGGTATTGTCGGAGGAATTTTGGGAGCTGGATCGTCTTCGAATGTTCCAAACGAGGTTTCATTGTCTGATTGTAAAGCATATTCGCTTGAACCAGCAGCAGCACCAGCACCGGGACCATGATCAACATCATAAAGTGAATAGCATTGAAAATGTATTGAAATGAATGATTTTTGAAAATTTGTTGATTTTTTTTTGAAACCGTTAAACTAAAAATGACTAATAATATTATCCGGGAAACTTTTGAGGACATGTTTCTTATCAGAAAATTCCAAAAATTACGGACCTGTGCATTTTATAATCAAAAATTTGATTAAGCAAAATTCCTCAATTTTCAGCTGACTGTTCTTTTTTTGCAAACTAACTTCTCAAAAAAAAACTTACAAATAATTCCGAAAACCAAAATGAATATAACAATAGAAATAATAAATTTTTTTGAGTTCCTAGAAAATAATAATACTATCCTTTTTCGCATTTTTATTTGATTTCAATAAAAACTATAATAAATTCATCAAAGAATATAGCAATAAAACAAAAACAACAAAAATAAAGAAATAATAATCTGATCGGAATAAGGAATAGGTTTTTTTTAATGTTCTTTTTATCCGGGAATTTTTTTTTTTTTGAAAAAAAGATACAAGGGAAATATATGAGAAAAGTGTTCCATGTAATGTTTTATTATCAAAGTATGAGGAGTACAAATGTTGACTGATAAGAAACAATGATTTTCTGATGAATTAAATAGAGCAGGTGAATAGAAAGTTAGGATATCTGATGATCATTGAGATGCCACGTGGCAGGAAATACAATAATTTTGAAGTTTTTATGAAAAAATGATACTTTTTTGGGGAAAGAAAAAATGATAAAATTTCATGAATTTTTTTCGCGAAAATTTTAACGGGGTGATTCAGATTTTCTATCTTTTTAAAAGAAACATGTTATCTATTTAAAAGAAACATGTTAAAAAACGTTTTTTTTTTTGACAAAAAATTTTGATTCAGCAAGTGTAAAAAAAAACTATATTTTTTTCCTATTTTTTGAGATTTTTTTCCACACAAAAAATGAAGATATCTCGCAGCGAAAATGTTTCGATGAAAAAACATGTCAAATAATATAGTTTATATATAAATATAACATGTTTTTCTACCATTACTGGAATCTTTACCATTAAAAATTCATATGTTTCGAAAAATTAATAAATTTCAAAACGTGTTCTAGAAAAAACGTGTGTTTTTTTTTCAAGCCAGACACAAAATGAAAATCTCAATCAGTTTCTATTTATTTGTATTCCGTTTCTAAACCATTTCAAAATATTATAAGCGGACAAAACCAAAAACCCCAGAAGATAGAAAAATATGGATGATCACGAAGATGAAGAGCATAAAAATGAGCAACAAATGCATGATATCATTGTATATTTTGCATTGTTCACTGGAATTGTTCTAATTTGGATAAGATATAGTTGGGGAGCATTTTATGGATGTATTCCCAAAATTCCAGTTCGTCAAAAATGGCCACCGTTTCTGTTTGCTTTTTTGATGTGCATTATTATTGGTTTATTTATTTCATGTTTAGTTTTGGAGATTTCGATGCAAAATAAACGAGATAAAATTGCAAATACGGAAGAAAGTCCAGTCACCAAAACGTTGAACCGTGAGTTTGGTTCTGTTAGTCCATAAAAAACGATGAGGTACAATTTTCAGATGTCTCCAATCAAGTTAATGCTTCACTTCAAGCATTATATGCAGTCAGAACACTTCAAGAGTCCGAGTTTCGTTTTCCAAATGCTACTGATATTGTGTCAAAATTATCTGCTAGAACGAAATTTAATGATATTGCAAAGGTTCGTTGAGATATTGATGTTATCTATTCAAATATTTATATTATTTTTTTAGTTGAATCTAATTGGAATCGATATGACCAAATTAGGCGATGCTCTTAACGAAGTCAAAAAAAATTGCCCAAATGAAGAAAAAACTGTGGATTCCATCAAAAAAGATGCTGAACGTTTCAATGTTTATCTCTATGAAATTAATGGTTTCAAAGAGCTTGTTTCTAATATATCAAAAGGTGGTAAATTTGAAGGAATCGATTCTTATGCACCTGAAAAGGAGTTTAATGATGACATAACATCAATTCATGAACATCTGATGAGAGTTGAAAGATTTTTCGAGAATTTCTTGAAATCTTTGGATGAATCAAAGTCATTTTTGAAGGAGATATACGATAGAAAAACTGCTTATCAACGAGATAAATTGTGGAAAGGAATTATCAAAATCTATATTCCTCTTGCATTTATTCTACCAACTGTATGTTTTTCAATATTTATCCATCTTTATTATCGAAATTCACCAGTTGACAACAAAATTCTATCTTTTCTCGTATCTGCTTCATTCTTTTTGGTCGCATTTTTTGTTATTTATCTTGCAATTGTTCATATTTATTTTGAACATGCAGAAGAAACAATTTGCTCGAAATCTGAATATAAATTGTTTGAACAAGTGATGTTGCCGCATTTTGGTTCAAGAATGGAAGACAAATTGAATGACGAGTTTGTGAAATGTGCGAAAAAGAATGAAAAGTTTGATGTGAAAGTTATGTTGATAACAAGTGGAAGATTTTTGAGAGGTTATGGAGATGGGATATTGAAAATTGTTCGAAAAGTTGTTTTGAATAGAGTTGCAGCTTTGCCCAACGATAATTTTGTAACAAATGCCACGGAAAGAATCAATAAATTCAAAACAACTGGTCTAAACTGTTCGAAAAACTATGCTCCGTTTCACACACACTTGGAATCTTTGTCCAAATTTTTCAACAAGGCCCATGAATTTCGAGAAAAAATGGAGTTCGGAACACTGAAAGAGATGTCAGTTTCGGCGATTGAAGGCAGTTTGAAATCAATTGTTGAACAATCTGAAAAATGGGTTAAACAGATAAATGTAAGAAATATTTTAGTCTACTGGCTGGAAACAGCAGAATGACTATTTCCAGTCGGTAACAACATTTTTAAAAAATAAAATATTTCAGGATGCACTCTTTCATATTGATTTCAATTGCGATGATGTCTATAGTTTGGTCAAACCATGCGACAAAGATACGGTAGATGGATTGGAAATCGATTTGGATTCGATAATGACTGCCTGCTCCGTCTGTTTTATCATTTTGCACATGTTGGCGTTTAGGAGAAATGGTGAGTTTTAAAAATTATTCTTCTAACCTGAAAGCTGGTTTGAAACGGGGAATCACGTGGCAAAGTTGTCATCATTTCTCAAAAAATAAAAATTCGTGATTCTAAACGATTCTTGTCGAGAAAATTTTTTTAAACATTTTTCTAAACACATTTTCCCAATTATAAAATGAAATCTTGCTACCAGAAGTCTCCCTTTAAATTGCCAATTTCGTTCAGATCTCTCTCAATTTTCAAATGATAATCGTCAACGTTGGATTCGGAAAATGAATAAAAATCCAATTTCAATGATTGAAATTTATAATGAAAAATTGAAGGATTATATTTCACCAAAAGCAAGTTTTGATTATTTCGAAGCAAATAAACAAAATAATCGATATCCAAATATCCCGTGCAATGATGAACATCGGGTTGTTTTGAATGGTTGGAATCATTATATTCACGCAAATTGGATTCGTATTCCAAAACATCTCATCGATCCACTAACACATCGTGCAATGCCTGGAAAAGTACGACAATATATTGTGACACAGGCGCCGATTGATGATACTTGTGCTGATTTTTGGTCGATGTGTTGGCAGGAAAATGTTGGAATTGTATTGATGTTGTGTGGATTTGTTGAAAATGGACACGAAAAATGTGCAGAATATTTGCCGGGAAAAATTGGCGAGACATTGGAGTTCAAAAAGGATCGAAGATTATCGGTGAAATGTGTTGATGTTAGAAATCACTCGTTGAAGGTGGGATTGGGAGTAGCTTCCGCGAAATGAAACTGTATAATTCTAAAATTTCAGGGGGTTGAACATCGTATTCTTGAAGTTCGCGTTGAAGATGAACTTTATGGTTCGGCAAAAACTGTAAATCATTTGATTGTAAATTGGTGGCCAGATAAAGGTGTTCCCGATGATGTTCATCAATTAATTGATTTATATAATTGGGTCAAAAAGAAGTCGACAAAATTGAAGAAAAAGGCAGCAAAAGAGCAATTATCATCTGCAATTTGTGTTCATTCGAGTTCTGGAATCGGAAGAGCTGCCACTTTTGTCGCATTTGATTATTGCTATGCACGAATTTTTGAAGATGCTTGTTTTGATACGGCGGAACTTGTGAGAGAAATGAGAGCATATAGATTTGGAGCTGTTGAAAATGCAGAACAATATATTTATTTGAATGTCGCGCTTCTTGAATACATGTCTATTGAAGGAATTTGTGATACCGAACTTGGTCTTAAACTAATTGATGATTATGAAAATTTTTTGAGAGGTGGAGGATCAGCCACAACCGCAGCAACTACAAATACAACTGCAACTTATTGAGAATCGAGAAATTAGAATTATTTTTTATGAAGAATTTTATTGAAAGTTTTGGTAGAATTTTTTATTAAAAAACGAAAAAGAAAATTCCAAATTTTTTGAAAAAAAAATATATTGAAAGACTGAGGGTGTTTTTTTTTAAAGAAAGAACCATAATCCATTTTTTTTTTGGTTCTAATCAATCATTGTTTCTTTTTCCTTCTGTATAAAACCCAAATATCCTCCAACAAAAATTGAAAAATTAAAAATGTTTGCTAAATTTTTGATATTTTCTCTTTTGTTCATTTCTCAATTGAATGCCGCCACCGAATATTGTTGGTTCGGAAATTGTTCAGGAGGAAAACAATGTTTTTTTTCACTTGTCGTAATTAGATTGAGTTGAAAAACAAATAAATATTGAATCATTTGAATATTTTATTAGTGATATCGATTAGATTCGGATTCTGTAAAACGATTCCAGTGATTCCGACTTCACGAAGTAATTGGAATTCGTGAATAGCACTTGTTTCATCTTTGAATTTGCATGTTCTTGCGGCGACTGGTTTCATATTTGATTCGATTGAACGACGAATTGCAGAAAGAAGGCGACTATTGTATAAAATATCAGTTTCCTACAAAACTTTAGATAATATTGAGTGAAAATGAGAAATGATGAGAAAAATCAAAAAGGATCTTGTGTCTCAGATTTTCATTTTGACTTTACTCACATTCACAGTATGATACGAGATAATTGTGTGCGAATATCGATTTTCTTTGAAATTCCACAATAATGTGAACATTGTTCGCGGTAAATCCACATGGAAATCATCTTCATTGCCGTATTTTTCGACAGCCGTCGAACTTCGAATTGCGTGGCCTAAATTTAAAACAAATGTACTTTTGTTTCAAAAAAAATATCTGAAGAGATTCTGTAGAAAAAGGCTACCTTCAATGATTGGATATATTTCGAGGCCTTTAATCCATGGATTTGGCGGATGTGTGATGACAGGATCGACTAGAATACGTGGCAACGGGAATTTGCTGAAAATCACGGGGTGAAACTAGAGAAGCGCAGAGAAAACGAGAGATTTCGAAAAGTTTCAAGTTTGCCACGACATAGACATACCTGGTCAAAACACTATTGATCGATTTGATTTTGTAGTCATCGCTAAATTCCTTTCTTTCAATATCAATTAGAAGTGCGTCGGCTTTTGCGCATCGATTCATAAAATAAATATCCGATCTGAAATATTTCGGGAGTTGAACTCGCATTATTGAACGCATTTTTTCGGATTAGTTGTGTTAGCACAGTTAGTAGAGAGAAGGTTAGTAAAAATAAGCATTTTTGGGATTTCATTTGTTTTTTTGGTTGGAATTGGGTCACGTTTAAAATGCGGGAAATTTGAAATTTTAAATATTTTTGACAATATTTTGGATGCCTCAATTTTCGTGATAATTTTTAAAAATTTTCTATCAAATATTGGCTGGTTATCTAAAACATTAGATACTCACAACTCACGATCAGCTAAAGTGCCCAGTAACTTCCCTTTAAAATCTTCATACTGTAAATTGCTCCTCATCTTGTTTTCTTTCCAGACTCGCTCTTTATTTTTGAATGTTTGATCTTTGTGTCGCGTGGCACTTTTGCCAACTTGTAGAAATAAGAACAAAAAATCTTTTCTCATTTTTTCCACGTCATTTCGGCTTTTTCTTTGTGAGTAAAACGGTGAGTTTTTTCTTTGTTTTTTTGGTGACAAAAACTTTTCTTTTTTTGTTGGATAGAAATCTTTGAGATACAATCAAATAATATTGTTTTTTCTCCAAAAGTAGATAGATTGAAATGTCTGATTTTTCTAGTTTTCTACAGCTTTTTTTTTTCAAAAAAGTTTCGGGCCCTTTTTTCATCCACGAAAAAGCTTTTTCTCATTGGAGCATGTTTGCATCATCAAATCAGCAACATTTTCCGCTAACTTTTTTTTCAAAAAAAAAAAGATAAAAGTTCTCTAAGCTCCGCCCAAAAAGTATCTTTTTTATATAATTTACAAAGTAAAAAGGGGTTTCCCATATCAAATCTTATCAATGGTCAATTTTTAGTGTTAAAATATTTTTTCGTTGACTTTCTGATCAAACAGTCAAAAATCGTAGAGATAAGAAAGAAACACGTGAGAAGAACTGATTTTTGCTAAAATGGAAAACTAGTCAAGGTTTTGTCTGTGGGTTTTTGGGAGTTTTCCAAGCTCGTTATCGTCAAACCAAATTCCTAATTTTTTGCTTTTTAATCAAAATTTTCTATCTAAATCATGTTTGACCTGACTCTATCTTTTCTGATAACACTTTTGCACAAATATTTTTCATCAAAATTTCACAAGGTTTTAGCAGAAATTCAAATTTCCCGTAAAACTTTGAGAATTTTTTGGCACAATATTTTCATAAAAATTGTTATATTGCTCATTTTCCCAAGGCTGTAAAATTTTTCAATCAAAAAAGTGTCCACCAAATCATATTTGATTTGACCCTATCTTCTTTTGATTAAAAATTTTTACAACGGGAGAAAGTTTGCACAAAAATCTGTTTTTATTAAAAGTTACACACATTTTTTTGAGAAAAAAACTGTTCATTGCTCATTTTAATGGAATTGTCTGACACAAAGTTTTCTGTTAGTTTTCTAGCTGAAGAAATTCGCGAGTTCTCTCAATTTTTCAAATAAAAAAACTAGGAAATATTTTTATCGCCGAAAGTGCCACGTTTCACTGCTCTACCAAGTCATAACTCATGGCATAACTAAAATTCTGCTGAAAATTATTTTATTTGGTGCCACCTCTCTCTTCTCAATTAATTCATTGCTCATTTTATATTTCTTTCCGCCGCTGTTAAAATCCCTATTCTTTCCAGCCATGCTTTCTTCAATTTCCCGCCAAATCTCCAAAATCTCAACCCGCTCAATAACTTCTCAACAAATTTTCGATCGAGAGAAGAAATTCGGCTGTCATAATTACAAGCCGCTTCCAGTCGCATTGGAAAAAGGATCGGGTTGTTTTGTTTGGGATGTGGAAGGAAAACGATATTTTGATTTTTTGGCCGCTTATTCGGCTGTTAATCAAGGACATTGTCATCCAAAATTATTGAAGGTATCGAGTTTTGGGGCGAAAAAACAGGGTGAAAAGTTGAAAATAGGTCATCTTAAAATTGGAATTGGATTTATAGTCCGTCGTGATTGATTCTCCATATTTCTTTTTTCCCGAAATTTCTTTTTTAACCCACAAGGTATAAATTCAGATGGAAAAAAAATCTGAAAATTGAAATTTTTTTTTCAAATTGCCACGTCATAGGTCACGTTTTATCTTATTTTCTTATCAATTGTGGCATGAAAATTACAAATTATTATTTTTTGGAACAAAAATCAATTTCAAAATTCAAGAAACGTTCTCCAACTTTTCTAAAAAGTCATCATTTTAATTGCAGACCCTTCAAGATCAAGCTCAAATTCTAACTCTAACATCTCGCGCATTTTACAACAATGTTTTGGGAGAATACGAAGAATATATCACAAAATTGTTCAAATATGATAAGGTTTTGCCAATGAATACTGGAGTTGAAGCATGTGAATCGGCTGTGAAATTGGCAAGAAGATGGGCATATGATGTGAAAGGTGTCAAGGATAATGAGGCTGTTGTGAGTTATTGTTTTTTTTAGGATTTGCTTTGCCATGTGAATTTACTGAGTTACCAAAAATCTAATTTTTTGCAGGTTGTATTTGCCAACGATAATTTCTGGGGTCGTTCAATTGCTGCAATTTCGGCATCAACAGATCCCGATTCATATGCCCGCTTCGGTCCATTTGTTCCTGGATTCCAAACTGTTCCATACAATGATTTGAAAGCTGTCGAAGAAGCCATCAAAAATCCAAATGTAGCCGCTTTTATGGTTGAACCAATTCAAGGAGAAGCTGGAGTTGTATTACCAGATAATGGATATTTGAAAGGAGTTGAACAATTATGCAAAAAATATAATGTTCTTTTTATTACTGATGAAGTTCAAACTGGATTAGGAAGAACTGGAAAGTAAGTGTTTCTAGGAAAAAATAATCGGAATATTTTCAAATATTCCAGACTTCTCGCTCATTATCATGACAATGTTCGACCTGATATTGTTGTATTAGGAAAAGCGCTTTCTGGTGGAATTTATCCAGTTTCTGCTGTTTTATGTGATGATGCAGTTATGATGAATATTAAACCAGGACAACATGGCTCAACTTATGGTGGAAATCCATTGGCCGCTAAAATTGCAATCTCAGCGCTCGAGATTTTGCAAGAAGAAAAATTGGTGGAAAATTCGGCGGAAATGGGAGAGATTTTGATGAATAAATTGAGAACATTGCCAAAAGAAGTTGTTTCGACAGTTAGAGGAAAAGGACTTTTCTGCGCTATTGTTATTAATAAAAGTAGGGATTTCATAGAATGATTTCAAATTTTAATCCCATCATCTTTGCAGAATACGATGCTTGGCAAGTTTGCCTAAAACTCAAAGAAAACGGATTGTTGGCGAAAAACACACATGGTGATATTATTCGATTTGCTCCACCACTTTGTATAAATAAACAACAAGTCGAAGAAGCCGCTGATATTATCATTAAAACAATTACCGATTTTAGTAGAAATAATTAGATAACTAACCAACTTAAACTAACTTTTGAACTTTATAAGTTCACATTTTTCTGTTTTTAAAATTAATGCATTTTTCATAAAACCTTCGTTCGTAGACTAGAATTTTTGGCTGTAAAATACACCGTTTCCTACGTCTTGAACTTCAAATTACAAACTTCCTTGAAGCTTGCACACTAACTTTGTAAAATTAAAATTCATACCAAATATAAAAAATGCATTATTTACAGATTTACCTGAAATTAAAATTTACCACGTTTTGCAGACGGCCCGATTTCGATTATATCATCATCATCATCCTCTTCTATCTCATTTTCTTCTTTATTTTCAGAAATTGGATCTTTCCATTCTCCAACTTCTCCAGTAAATGATGTATCAGGAGTTTTCTCAAAATATTCAGCCACACTTGGTTGATTAACATCCGTAAAACGTAGATGTGTTTTATCAGCAGTTCGAAAAGTATCACTTGATAGATTAACTTGTCCCAAAACATCCAATTTTTGTTGTACCATATTCCACATTACATCATCTGATGTCTTTTTTGCGATCAAATATTGTACAAAAACACTATCTTTTTGTCCAACTCGATGTGCTCGATCTTCTGCTTGAACTAAAATACCAGGATTAAAATGAATTTCAGCGAAAACGACGACAGATGCAGCAGTCAATGTTATTCCGATTCCAGCTGCTGTTAGACTTAGAATTGCAACTCGAACTTCATCGTCATTTTGAAATGAATCACAAAGGCCAGTTCGAACTGAAGACGGTGTTTTTCCATCGATTCGAATTGCTTTCAATTTTCTTTTCATAACTTCATTTTGAATTGTATCCAAAACTATTTGATGATGCGCAAAAATCAATACTTTTCTTGGCGGTGCATCAGTATAGAAATAGTTTTCCAAAATATGTTCGCAAACTGCAGCCGCTTTTACAATTCCAGTCAAATTATAATATTCCAAAAGACAATCATGTGATCGATTTCCGAAATCTGATGAATTTATTGAATCATAGGCTGCTTTGGCTTTCTGTAAATCTTCCATTCGAGATTCGATTGTTGGACCAGAAATGTAGACAACCTGCAAACAAGAGATTTGAAAATAGGAATATATTTCTATCAAGAAATTCTATGTTTTTAAAATAAAATGATTTTGTTTTAATTATTTACTAACCTCTCTCCGTTTTTCCGGCAAATCTTTCAAAACGTCACATTTCAATCGTCGAATCATTAATCTCTTGAACATAATCGCAGCCAATTCTTCGCTATTCGAACAACCTTTTGCCTAAAAAATCAGGATTTAGCAACAAAAAAGAGGCCTGAAACCTGAAAAAAATAAATTTTTGAAAAATTTTTCTCACTCACCTCTAACCCAAATCTTCCTTGTTTTCCATCACAATATCTCAACGCAAAATCCTGAAAATTCGTGAACAATTTCGAATCAATAATTCGAATTTGTGTGAATAATTCAGCTGGTCGAGATAATGCTGGAGTTCCAGATAAAAGAACAACATGCAGTGCAATTTTCGATAATTCCGTTGCAACTTTTGTTCGACGAGCTTTTGAATCTTTTAACATATGACTTTCATCAAAAATATATGTTAAATATCTTTGTTTTTTCAAGAATTCATGTTTGAGAACCATTTGTTCATAACTCATAATAAGCACAGTATTTGATGTTCGAACATCGGGAAGTGCATCTGTTCCTTTATCGATTATAAATATTCGATGAATTATTGGGAAAAATGTATTGATTTGTTTTTTCCATGAACCTTTTACGGAAGCTGGACAAATTATAACCAATGGCCAATCGGATCTAGAAAAATGTGAAGATAATGTAAAGCTAGTTTTGCCACGTCATAATATATTTTCTCTAAAAATGACTTACTTATAATATCTAGCAATAGTCAATGCTTGCACAGATTTTCCCAATCCCATTTCATCAGCCAATAGAATTCGACCATCTCTTTCCAATGCAAATCGAATTCCGTCTTTTTGATATCCGAATAACTTTTTAATTAGTTCTGGATCCATAACTTGTGATAAATCAAAAGGAGCTGGTTTTGGTTTGAAATCCAAAAGATGTAAAACATTCAAGGGAATTGTTTCGATATTTACATTTGCTACTTTTACAGTTTTCAAACATTCTGTCAATTTTTTGATATCTTCGAATGTGCACGACCAGATTTTTAGATTTGGATCCCATGATCGACTTGGAACATTTTTGATAGCTTCGACGATTGCACTGTGGAAAGGATAGAATTCGATCTGAAATATTGATTTTGTTCGAATTTTTTAATGTTCGTATAGTTTCTGAAATTTTTTATGATGTCTGGAAAAAGCTTCAAAAAATTCTATATTTTTTCATTTCAGAACAACATGAAAACGCTTACATTTTTTCTAGTTTTTCTCTTTTATTTATCATTTATAAACTGTGTTTTTCAAAGTAATCTAACAATTTTCAAATTTTGAAAAGTAAATGGGAGTTTCAGGAATTTGCCGACATGTGATTGAATCACAGAAAATGAAAATAATGCGAGGACCTAAAAAAGTTTGTCAAAAAGAATATTTTCGTGGGAAATATAAAGGAGAAGATGCTGTTTTTGTTAAATACAATTGTAGTTTGGTTGAATGAAAATCTGAAAAGCCATATGGCGGAAAAATCTGCGCTATGACTTATGAGGCTTCAAAAAATCCCCAGTGTTTTATTAAATTCAGAATTGCAGATATTTCAAAATCCACGTGGCGTCTAAGACTCCAAATTGTTTCCCGCATATGTTGTCTTTCCTCAAAATCCACGTTCTCACCTTAATCCGATTACCCGTCCAACATTTCAATTTCACATCAATATTCGGATTTTTTGATCGATTTTCCACGGGTTTTTGTATATAATTTATCATTGCCTCTTGTTGTTTCGATAATTGTTTTTGTTGAAAATTATTAGTGCGCGGTGCGAAAATTGGAGCAGTTTTTGGCGGAATTTTGAGCGGTGGTTGTGAAGGGACATTTTGGTTGGAAGTTTGTGATGGTTGAGGAGGAGGACGAGGAATTGGAGCAGAAGAATGAGTAGATACAGAAGATGATGATGTGGATGATGTAGAGGGTTGTGATTGTTTCTGGAAAAATCTTACAATTAGCTAAAACTCGAAAAATTGGATTTTTTGTATTCCTGAACTGAAAAATTTTCAAACATTGATAGGATAATTGTTTCAGAATCTTTACAAAATTTTTTTAAAGAATTAAATTTTGAAACATGTCAAAGTATTTAGTTTCAGAATTTCAGAAATATTGTTGATTGTGAGGAAAAGTTTCAACTTCCTTATTTTCTGAAGATTCGAGAATGCTTAGAAAAACTCAATTGAAATTTTAGAATAATTCCAAATTTTACGAAAAGGTAAATGTTTTGGTTACTGAATCGGAAAATTTTCAAAAATTGGATTCAGATCTTTTCTCAAAAATCCGATTCCCTTCCAATTTCAAACCACCGAAAAATCTCACCATCTGATTTTCCTTATAAAGTGCCGCTCTTCTCAATGCCTCTTCTCGATTTTTCGCAATCCTTGCTCTTTGTTCATCAGTTAACACCATGTTTTCTAAAAATCTCTGAAATTTTCATTTTTTTTGCGCTAAAATTCTCGATAAAATAAGCCACACAGCATTCAAAAAATAGAAGAAGAAAATAAGAAGAAAAAGAAGAAGAAAGTGAAATATTAGAAGTATTTTATACAATATTCACAGCAAACGGACAATACTTGTTTATTATTTGAGAATCGTTGTTGAGAAGATGCGGATTATTGAGATTTGAGGAGGAAGAGGAGGTAATTTCGATGATTCGAGCACGTTCCAATGAGGCAAACTGCAAAAATTGGGATATTGAGACACAGTATGGATGGATTGCAGTTCGCAAAATCATCGCGAACTTCAGAGTTCAAGATACAAAACCCTTCGGTTTTCGAAATACAGCAATATTTTTAGTTCGGAATAACCAGAATTCTCATATACCCCAAGCCAAACTTACATTTTTAGCATATTTATTCAATTGCATAATAAATCCAACATTCGGATTCACTTGTTTCCTTCGTTTCCTAACAAATTGCAAACAAGTTGGACCATCTAATTCATAAAAAGTAGCCAAATATGCACAAATAACAGTAGCACTTCTCGATTGTCCCATTAAACAATGAACTAAAACAGGTTCATCTCTAATTCTTGCCTCATGTATAAATTGAACAGCTTCACCGAAAACATCCGAAATATTCGCATCAGCTGAATCGGATATTTTGATAAATTTATAATTCAAAAAATCGAATCGATGTTCTTCTTTTCGATCATGAATTGCTAGAATTCGACAAATTCCATTTTTTCGAATTTCTTCTTTGTTTGTTGAATTTAATCGTGAACCAAGAAATAAATTGGGTAGAATTTCAGACATTTCCGAATGGCGGATTTTTCGAATTTTCTGGATTTTTTCCTCGATCGACATATTGATATTCACATTTTGAGGTGAATGGAAACAAGAGATCTGAAAATCAAGTTATTAAACTGATTGTGAATTGAATTCTCGAAGCTCAAACTTTTTTCAGATAAACATGGAATTTTCAACCATTTCAACAATTCAAATACAAATTCCACAAAAAAAACTTTTCAATTCAATAATAACGAAAAATCAACAACAAAGTATATAAAAAAAACAAACAAATAAACAACAAAAACAGCAAAAAAACAGACAATTTAAATCGATTCCGAAACTGATTGTAAATATTTTTCAGCTTTCGATTTGACTAATTCAATTGATTGCGGATCTCCATATTTATTCTCAATTTCCAGCCATTTTTTGTAAAGTGGTCGCATCTTGTGGAGAGATGGATTTTGGGTGGAGGAAACTGAGCGATCGAGGATTTTTCTGGAAAAAAATGAGATCTCACAATAAAGCCCAAATTATCAATTTTCAATGTTATTTTTAATTACGGAATTCTCAAATTTAATATTTTCTGGGAAAATTGATTTGATCAATTATTTAAAAATAGAACTTTCGCTCTAAAAATCGCCTCAGAAAACTCCAAAACATTTCCAATTTTGTCAACCCTCTTCCCAAAAAAGACTACAAACCTTGCTTGTTCGATTCCTAAATGTTTAACAGCAGCATCAGCATAAACAAGCCATAAATCATTCTTTTTCGGATGCGCAGTTACTAATCCTTCAAATAATGTTGTTCCTCTTTCACTGTCACCGAAATTGAATTCGAGTTGAGCAAATTTAGAAATCAGTTGGGTGTCTGAAAAAATAACATGAAAATAAAGTTGAAAAAAGACTCAAGTCCCTCTGGACTTCAGAAAAAAACACTCACGTTTCTCTTTTTGCACACTACTCAATGCTCTTTGCAACAAATCTCTCGCCGATTTCAAATCCGTTTCATTTTTCATCAAATGTTCAGCCAACAAACTCCAAACTTCGATGTGTTGAGCGCGGAATTTCTTGATCATAGTCTCCAAAACTTGGCGAGCTTCAGCGTGTTTTTTCGAGTTCTGATAGATTTGGGCCAATTGATGATGCATTGTGTAGGAATCCGCGTTTTTGCACGATCTTTCAAAGACTTTTTGAACTGTTGATTGATCTCCATACGCTACTTCCATATTCAAATAAGCTGTCCACATATTTCGAAGTTCAGCAGATTCGCTGGAAAAAAATGCGATGTTTTTTGATTTTTGAGTTTTATTTTAGTTTTTCGGAAAAATCGGAACAGTCTCAAGAGATTAGTGGGGAAACTCTGATTTTTGAATTTTTCATAAAAAACAAATCAGGGGTTATATCAAATTTAGGAATAAAGAATTCAAAAATTTAATTTTAAGCTCACAAATTAAGCCATGTGGATTTTTTGAGTGAACATCTTCATTTTTTGACAATAAAATGTTTCCCAACAAAATTTCAAAAAATCTCCTATTGATAGAAAATTCGATTTTTCGTGTGAAAATTGAAAATTCCTAGATTTTTCAATCTAGAATTTCAGTTTATTTATTTTATTTATTTATTCATATCACATTTTAAATTTACAAGAAATTGGAAGAAAGAAGAAGATACATCTTTAAGCCAAAATAAATATTTAAATAAAAGAAGGAGATTGGAAAATATAAGATGACAAGATTTTTGAGGTTAGTGATTTAGAATATAAGATGGACTTTTGTACCCGCAAGAGTACGGTAGTCCAAATGTGCAGTGTGAGATTTATGATTAGAGAAAATGGTTAGATGGCAGAGACTTCAGATGTGGAATTATATTATGAGGGAGACGAGAATGGGTTAGTGTTTTTGAGGTTTTATTCCAGAGAGAAATGTGTTTGTGCAGAAATGAGTTGTTTTTGCGAGAACCAATACATTTTAGGTGGAGGGGGTAGCGCTGAGAGGTGGAAGATGTAACAAATAGGGGGAGGGAGGGGAAATGACTAGAGTTAGTTAGGATTTTATAATACATATTTGTGATAAAAATGAGTTGCCTATGTTGGGTAGTGATTAGATTGAATTGGGAGAGACGGTTTTGGTATGATGAGTAGGATAAATTGCATCTTTGGAAAACGCGCCGAGAAAACAATTGAAGGGGTTTTTCCAGTTTTTGGATTTGTGAAATTGAGGAGGGATGGTAGATCTCGCAACCATAATCTAATAAGGGCATGACATAAGAATAAAACAATTTAAACAAAAAATTTGGGTTTCTAGATTTGAAAGAATACAATAATTGGCGACATTTTAAAAGGGCAATATTAGTGATGTGGGAAATGTGGTATTCAAAATTTAGGTCATTATCTATAAAAACACCAAGATCCTTGGTTCGATTTGTGGGGGAAATAGGGAGGGTATTGACATGATATTTGAAGCTTGGATTTTTCTTGCCAAAATGGAGAACACTGGTTTTGTTCTCAGCAAGTTTCAGTTTCCAAACACCACACCAATTACAAATAATTTCGATACTTTTCTGGAGGGATTGAGGGTTTGTACTGTAAATTTTGAGGTCATCGGCAAAAACAGAAAAATGAACATCAGGGGGGAATAGGGTGAGTAAATCGGCCAATACTGAATGGGTCCCACTGAAAGGGACCGGTGTCAAAAAAAGGGACCGGTTTTAGTAGAGTCTGAAAGGGACCGAACAATAGAAAAATGAATGACTGAATGGGACCGATAAAATAAAGGGACCGGGATAAGAAAATAGGAAAAACTGAAAGGGACCGGGGAAAAAAGGGACCCGTTCATTATTTTTGAAAATAAAATAATTCTGCTGAATGGGACCGAAGTAAAAAAGGGACCCGATTGAATTTCAATGAAATCTGAAAGGGACCGGCGAACAATTATGATAACTACTCTGAGTTCAAGTTAATTTTTTCATGATTTTTTAACAATGTTTTTGAAACAAAGTTCTGTTTTGAAGTAATTAAGAGCGATGAGTAGAGTTCATTTTGAAAACTTATTACATACTTGTGGCTCAGCGTTATTCCTCTTGGTTGTTCGTTTCAACCCTTTACATCAGTTACGTTTTCGATGAGATTCCCCAGCAAAATTATAATATTTCATCACGAGTTCTGACAGTTTTCTCTATGAAATTTTAAAATGTAAAAAACTGATTTCTGATAGCATTTCCGACTTTTTTGCCGAAACTTCCCAAAAGTCTGCTCTGCGTATGCAAAAAAGACATTCTATTTCACAGCTGACGCGGTTTTTTGACATGTGTAAGGTGCGAAAAAAATTCGAAAGGTGCGAAAAAAATTTGAAAGGTGCGAAAATCTATTAAAGTTGCCATATTTCTCCGAGCTGAATTTTGGTAAATTTTCAAATTTGGCGCCAAGAATATCTAGGGGAAATCAACGCAAAGCTAAGCAAATGTCCTAATTTTTTCTCAAGTGATGACCCCTCCACGGGTCGATTATCTCTGGTGACGTATGAATTCAAGAATAAATGTTTTTGAAAATGATCCATGAAAAAGAAAAAATGCATGAAATGAACTCTACTCATCGCTCTTAATTACTTCAAAACAGAACTTTGTTTCAAAAACATTGTTAAAAAATCATGAAAAAATTAACTTGAACTCAGAGTAGTTATCATAATTGTTCGCCGGTCCCTTTCAGATTTCATTGAAATTCAATCGGGTCCCTTTTTTACTTCGGTCCCATTCAGCAGAATTATTTTATTTTCAAAAATAATGAACGGGTCCCTTTTTTCCCCGGTCCCTTTCAGTTTTTCCTATTTTCTTATCCCGGTCCCTTTATTTTATCGGTCCCATTCAGTCATTCATTTTTCTATTGTTCGGTCCCTTTCAGACTCTACTAAAACCGGTCCCTTTTTTTGACACCGGTCCCTTTCAGTGGGACCCATTCAGTATTGGCCGAGTAAATCATTTATGTACACAAGAAATAGGAAGGGACCTGAGACGGTTCCTTGAAGGACACCCGAGATAATTGGAAAACTGTTAGGAGATACATAATCTTCAATTTTAATGTGGGATTTACGGTTAGTTAGAAAAGATGAAAAATATTTACATAAGCGATCGTCAAAACCAAAATTAGATAATTTACAGATTAAGAGATTATGGGGAACTGAGTCAAAAGCCTTACAAAAATCGAAACATATACAATCAACAAATTTGTTTTCTGATAGGTATTTTTGGGTTATGGATATGAATTCTAGATTAGCCAAGGTGCAGGAGCGGGAATTTAGGAAGCCGTATTGGAAAATAGAGAAATTTTTGGCAAAAACAGGACGTAATTGATCAATGATTACTCTTTCCATTATTCTAGAAAGGGGATGGGTTAGGGTTATGGGGCGATAGTTTTTGGGGTCGGATTTAGATCCTTTTTTATGAAGGGGGATTACATATGAAGATTTCCAGGATTCTGGAAAGGTTTCAGCAAAATAAGACTCGGAGAAAATAATGGAGAGCGGGATGGTAATAGAATCTGAGCATTTTTTGACAACATAATAAGAAATATTATCACCAGAAAATCCTAACTTACATGGGATTTTAGATATGATTTGGGAGTTGATCTTTACTAATCCAAAAAATTTCAATTTTTTGGAAAAAAAACTATGACAATTTCAGATTTTCAGGCTTCCTTCGTGCTTTAAAAATTTCCCAAAAACCAACCGATAATTGATGGTTTCAATAGCTCTATCAGCAGTTTTTCTGGCTGCAACCAAATCGGATTTTTCCAAAAACATGCTCATATATTTGATCCATAGAATCGCCGAATTTGGATCATTTCGAATTTGTTTCGAGATTTCTTCTTCAGTCATTTCCTCCTCTTCCTCTTTTTCTCCTTCTGATTCTTCTTCATCTTCATCTCCAGATTCCTCATCACCTTCTTCATTTTCTTCTTCTTCATCCTTTTCTTCATCTTCTTTATTCTCATCTTCCAATGTCAATTTTCCAACTTTTGCCAAATCTTCATTTCTAAATCCTTGATTTGTCCAATCAAATCCAGGATCTTCTCCCTGTTCAACTTCTTTTGTTTCCTCTTCATAAACCACAACTTTCTTCGGAACATCTCCAATATTTCCATCTCCTTTTCGTTTTCTATCCGAATTTTTGGCAAACTTTCGAATCAAAATACTTTCCAAATTCAACAAAATCATCGACTTTTCTGCGTCAACTTTTTCAACTTCAACACTAACAACACTATTTTGACCGATTTCGAGGATTTCCGCATTTTCTTCCGTAACTGGGATTTTTCCAGATATTCCAGGACCGAGTTCAATATAAAGAGCAGTTTTAGCAGAAGAACGAACAATTCCATCAAACTGCAAACAAAAAAGAAATTGATTTTTTAAGGATTTTTGAAGAAGGTTATACAAAAATTATTAGACTACAAAAAATGATGAAATATTTTTTTATCCGAAAATTTCGATTTACTAAAAAAATGAAAAATGCTTTTGGAAATGTATGGAATAAATCAAAGTTGCAACCCGCTCCCATTTTTCATTGAAAAATTCAACTAACCTTATCTCCCTTTTCAATTCCTTCAAAATCAACATAAAGTTGTCGATTTGACGCATTTGCAAGATCATCAAATCGTTCTGGTAAAACCACGAAAAATCTTCTCGGATTTTCGGTGAAATTTGCGCAAATAACATCAACGAGCTATAAAACAAAACAAAATTAATTAATTTTTGTTATCTCTAATACCTTTCCAACATCAAATTTCTTGACAACAATTTCTTCCAAATTCTCAAACTTCGCCGAAATTCCAGTTGGTGGTAAAATAGCTTGTTGTCCACATGATAATTTCAAAAGTACTGTAGTTCCTTGAATTGAGAATACTCTTCCAGTAACTTTTGATCCAATCAAATAATCATTCGAACTTCCAGTTTGAGAATCATTCAATGAAAGTGTCAAAATCTTCTTCTTTTTATCAATTCCAACAACTTTTGCATATCTCATTTCTCCTTTTTTGATTGATAAATCTCCCGAAATTTCGCCATCTTTTTCAGTTATTTTTAAATCTTCCGATAGATTTTCTCGTGGAATTGTTCCTGTCCAAAGACCACTGATTTCAACTTTGATATTATCTGATGAAGCATTTGAAGCAGAACCAAAACATCGAACTGTATCACCAATCTGAAATTGAGTTAAGAAATTAAGAATTTTTGAAATTTTAATTTTTCCACAAATTCACGTTTGCCACGTGTATTTTCAGAATTATCGTAAAATTTTAACACAGAAAAATTATTGGACAAACAAGTTTTAAAGCTATAATTTTATTAGAATTATGAAAATCCACGTGGCAAGCGCTGAAAATCCCTCAAAAAAATTCCCCAAAATATCTCTAACATTATAATTAGCTTGATAATTCAATTCAGCTGCTCTAATTTTTCCAGTCGTCGCCAATTTCTCTTTTTTTCAAACTCAATTCCGCAATTTTATCATTCTTTCCACTTTTTGTCAATCCAATAACCCGGAAAACAAGCGATTTTTTCGCATTTCTTTGCAAAAATACATCCATTGGTGTTTCTTCTCCGTTGAAAGTTGATGATAAAATAGTTTCGGGCAATTCAGAAACATGAATTTTTCCAATATTTCCTCCAGGAAGTGCAACTTTTGCATAAAGTGTGAAATTCTGTCCATTTGAAGATGGATATTCTCCAATTACAGTACCCGTATATTTCATCAAATTCTTAATAGTTTTTTCGCGAGTTACTTGAACTTTTTCATCATCTTCTACTTCTTCAATTTTAACTCCAACAAAATCCAAAAGAACTTTCGAAATTCTTTGTTCCTCATTGTTTCTAACAGCAATTCGAACATTTCCAAAACTTTCAATCTTTGAAATTTCCAATATTTGTCCAATTTTCAAATCTTTTTCAATATTCGGAAGATGATTGAAATGAAGTCGAGTTGGAAGATAAATAAGACCTTCTGAATCAATTGCACAAAGATAATCACGTCGAATTGAAATAAGTGTTGGTTTTTCAGTTTTTCTTGCCAAAACAACTTCATTTGTTGAATGATTTACATCAATCAAAATGAATTCTTCTCCATTTTTCGATTGTTTCGGAATATTTTGATCTTCGATTTTATGAACAATTCCAGATATTTTCTTTCCATCATTTTCAAATTCAACCAATGTCAAATCATCCAATTCTTTTCCGATTTTTGCATTGATAAGTGTTCCGGGAATTGGGATTTTTGTCTTTTCAGCAAGCCAAGCAGTCTGGAAAGATTGAGTTAAAAATTTGGAAGTTTTAGAGTTGAAAACATTATCTAGAAAAATGTTATGACGTAGAAAAGAGTATTTTTTGTGACGAAAAAAACAGAAATATTATTTGTTTCGGAAGTTTTCGACAAAAATCATTTCATTCCAAAAAAATACGTTTCAAAATTTTCATTTCAATTTTCTTTTCAATTTTTGAAAATCATTGAGAACTCCAATTTATGTGTCTTCTGAACTTTTGTTGATAAATTTTTTTTCTAAATCCTTAACTTTTTTGCATAAAATCCTACCTCTTCAACAATATTTTTCAAAATCGTCATCGAATATTCGAAATGTTTCTGTTTCTTGTCAAAATCAACAACTGCATCCAACAAAAATGTCGATTTTTCCTTATCGAAATGCACAATTTTAGCCACAATAATTTGTCCAATTTCAAACATTTCACTTGCCATTTTTCCATTTCTTCTCTCAAATACTTTTCCAATTAAACCACTTCCACCCAGAATTTCGACAAAAACTCCAGTATTTGATAGAATTTGTGTGACAATTCCGAAAACTATTTTTCCGTCTTTCAAATCATCGGCACTTTTTGGGATATTCTTCGCGTTTTCTCGAATGTAATTTGCAACTGATCTTTTAATGGTTGATCGATTTATTGCTGAAAGTACTCCAAGTGGTGAAATTCTATCAATATTTTCAGGGTTTTCTGCGAGAATTCTTTTGATTAATCCAACTGGAGCATCCAAAAGATCAGAAACAAACGAATCTTCAATAATCGATGCAATTTCCTGGAAAAAAATAAAGTTTTGATTTTTCATTCGAAAAAAGTTTTTGTTAGATATTCACTCGCTAATATCGATACAGTTGTCAAAACTTTTTATCTAAATTTACAAACCTTTCCATCTTCTCCAACAAATTTCGCAAATAATCGATCATTTTCCGAATTCACACTTCCTTCATGAACTTTTCCAATTTCAACAATATTCTTATCAGCAATTTTTGGTTTTTGAATAAGTTTCTTATCAGAAATCGGTCCTTCCAATGCTTTAGTTTTCGAAATTGATGAAGTATCAGCCAAAACAAATACAATTCTGTTGTTTGCTTCAATTTGTTCAACATTCGCTTCAATATAATCATATAATTTGACATTTCCCAATTTTTTGGCTTCTTCCAATTTGAGAACTCCGAAAATATTATTATACGTTCGTACAAGAATAACACCAGATTCGAAGATCTTTTTAATAATGCATGGATAAGTTTGTCCAATTTTCAAACTTTCCGCATGATTTCCAGTTCCCGATTTCAAAGCCACCATTTTTTCGCGACACGAAACAATAATTTGTTTTCGTTTTTCAAGAACTTCCCAAATTCGACATTTCACAGTTGTTCCAATTTGGAAACCTCTTTTCTTTTGTCCCAAAATAATTGGTTTATCGGATAACAAATTGAGTGGTGCAAAAGCTCGAACAAATGAGCAAATTGAGAAATGAACTCCGGATTTTGAAACATGCACAACTTTTCCTTCAACAATATCTCCACAAATCGCGTCTTTATAACTTGTGATTTTTTGTTTGATGATATCTTGGCGAGTTGAGACAACTAGACTTCTTTCAGCGTATTTGTAGCCAATTACTCTGCACAATTTCTCTTCGCCGATTGAATATTCCTCGACTGAAAAATATGAATTTGAAGGTATTAGGAACGGGGTTTGAATTGGAATTGAAGAAAAAAATAAAATAAAAAATGGTGTAAAGAATCTTCCAACCAAAAAAAACTCACCAATTCTATCAGGTTTTTCCAAAAATCCTTTCGAACAAATGGCAGTAACAAGTGATTTTTTGCCATCTTCACTATCCGGCAAACCAAAATAAACAATATTTTTGGAAACAATCGAATCAACAACTCGAACTCGAATCTTATCACCAATCGAAAATCCTTCGAAATTCACACGCTTCTCAATTTTACTAACAGCCACAATATCAGGATGTGCATTCAAAACAAGAAGTTTGTTATTTTGTTGACAAAACATGACAACAGCTCGAAGAACTTTTGTGAGTTTTTCTGGATTTTCGCGAAGTCTTGGTGGTAATAATCTTCTTGGAAGTAATCCTTTCAACCCGTTACCAATTGTAACAAAAACTCCATTTTCAACAGGTTCATCTCCAGTTGGTTCACATTCAATAATTGTTCCTGGCATTAATTGATTTAATTGGAGTTTTTCGCAAGTTGCAATATTCAAATTATCTTGTTCAACAAATGATGTTACTTGAATAACTCTTCCAGTTGTTGATTTAACAATTCTAACCAACAAAGGTTGTCCAACTTTCAAACCTTCTGCTGGTTGTTGAGATTTCTCGATAAATCCGCTTACTTGATCTAATCCAATATCCAAAACAGCACCTTTTTCTTCAATACTTTGAACAGCTGAATGAATTGTTAAACCAGCAACAAGCATATTTGGTGAGAGATGTTTATTGAGTTTTGCTGGATTGCAAGTCGCGTGAACACTTCCCTTTTTCACTAAAAAAAATTTGATTTATATTTTCTTACACTTTTGCCCTCAACTTACATGTATCTTTCTTACTCAATACTCTGAATGGAACCATTTGTCCAATTTTGAATGCTGTTTTCATATTAATTTTCTCTTGATTGAAAATTTCGGCGAATTTTTTCGAAACTTCTGACACATCAATTCTGACATTTTGTGATGCCGAAGTGTGCAAAATAACACCATCCTCATAAATCTCCGAAACAACACCACATCCCATTAATCCTTCAATGAATCCCTCACTTTCAACTTTACAATTCCAACTCGACTCTTCACGTGCTTTTTTCACTTTGCCATGCGAATCGTCAGCCTTTCTCTGAAAATGAAATATTTATTTATTTTTAAGACTACTTATTCACTATGATAAAAATAGGAGATAACTCACTTTTTGCCCTTTTTTATCCGGAAAACTGCCTTTCTCCTTGTTGAACTTTGGTTTTTCCGATCCTCCACCTCTTGGGAAATATGTTTCTGTCGTTTCCGGTTTAACCATTTTTCTGAAATCTCTAATTATGGGAATTAGATTCGTAAAAGGCTTTCGAAAAATTAAAAAACGCAAAAAAACAAAAGTAAATCCTACTGTGTGTCAACACGGCGACGCAAAAGGGAACACAATTCGCGTGACCGTAGTCTATTTTTTTCTTTTTTTTCATTTCAGTTTTTTTCGTTTTTGAGAAGGAGAAGATAAGAAATCGAGCATTTGAAACGAAAATGTCGACGATTTACGACTTTTCGGTCAAAAATGCTGCTGGCGAAATGGTTTCCATGGATAAATACAGGTATTTAGATGAATTTTACAAGTGTAAAACAACAATTTGGATTTTCAGAGGGCTTGTTGTTATAATCGTAAATGTTGCATCATATTGCGGTTTTACGAATTCAAATTATCGAGAATTGAAAGAATTAAGCGGAAAATATTACAAAAAAGGTCTTCGGGTGGCCGCTTTTCCTTGTAATCAATTCGGATATCAAGAACCATCTTGTGAAGTTGATATTTCAAATTTCATCAACGAAAAATTCGAATTTGAGCCAGATCTTTATGAGAAAATCGAAGTGAATAAACCAATTTTCGGAGGAGGAAATGTCTCACCACTTTGGGAATTTTTGAAAAAAGAGCAACCTGGAACATTGACAAATGCAATCAAATGGAATTTCACTAAATTTTTGGTGGATCGAAAAGGTCGAGTTGTTGCTCGTTTCGCACCAACAACTAATCCAAGCAGTTTTGAAGAAGAAATCAAGGAATTATTGGGCGAAGAATGACTTGTGAAAAATTACATGTACCATAAATTTATGCTCCTTAAAATGAATTTAAATAAATAGAAAATATCACAAAACTCGCAATAAATAAATACAATTTTTTTACATAGAATATTGTTGTCCAGGATATCCTGCTTGTTGGCCGTATTGTTGTTGTTGTTGTTGTGGAGGAGCTCCGCCATAAGCATTATAAGGTGATCCCTGTTGTGGAGCACCATATTGTGGCTGTTGAGATTGTTGAGGTGCACCATATGGTGAAGCTTGTTGTTGCTGCTGTTGATAAGGATTGGCGCCATAAGCTTGAGAACCTCCAGAACTCTGAAATTTTTTGATTCGAGTACATTCAAGTGCACACAAAAAAACCACATTTTTTCAAACAAAATGTTAACAATTGCCGTAGTGATTTATCCAATCAATTATGGATCAATTCATTTGACGAAAAAATGAATTTCGCGACATTTTTTGTCGCGAAATTGCAATTCGTGAAACGACACGAAATAAACACAAAAATAAAGGAGAAACATTAAAGGGACACGTAATCGCTGCGAGACCCAACACACGAAAAAAGGATTTCCTCTTTCATTTTATTAATTTCGTGTCGTTTCGCGAATTGCAATTTCGCGACAAAAAATGTCGCGAAATTCATTTTTTCTTCAGATGAATTGATCCATAAGATATGTGAGAACCAAGTGAAACGTAAAAATTTCAGGTCATTGAAAAAATCGAAATTTGAAGAAAATTGAATTCGGAATAGATTTTTCGGTGAAAAACATTTTTAGAGAGGATTAATATTTCTAGGACGGTTGAAATAGTTTTCTTAATCAAAGAACTAAATTTCAATACCATAAAAAAACTCACAGTAATTGATGGATCAATAGGTCTTCTTCTCATATTCGCCAATCGATTTGGTGTTTCCGCAGCTCCTCCACCAATTTTTGGCAATGGTGGTGGATCATTCCATCCGGGTGTTACTGTAGGTGGTAACACTGCCTGATAACTTTCATGTGTATTTTCAGGGTGATTTGGGGGTTGTTGATTTTGAGCTTGTGGTTGAAATTGGGTATACGGTTGATATTGTTGAGTTTGTGGCTGGACTTGGGGTTGTTGTTGATAAGTTTGTGGTTGATATTGTTGTTGAGGTTGATATCCTTGTTGTTGTTGTGGTGCTCCTTGATAATAAGGTGCTGACATTCTAAAATGAAAACTACAGTAATCTTATCCGGAATTAAAAATTGAATCTTATGAAAGTATTTAAAGTGAACGTAACACTAAAAGATTTCACAACACTAAACAAAAAAAATAAAACGTTTTCTCTTTATTCCAACACAAAAAGGGGCGGAGCCTTTCGGCAAAGTCTCGCACACATTTTATGCAATTTCAGCCTCCAAACGAATAAGACGATTACTTTGTTCAGCAATTTCATTAATTGAAACACGACCCCGTTGATTGATAAATTTGGCAACTAAAAAAATAAAGATAGATAAAAAGTTCAATAGAAAAAATGATTGTTACCTGCCACAAATTCTTCTTCAGAAATATAAATAAATTTTCCTCTATCATCCATAACTCCTTGCAATAAACCTTCTTCGATAAAATGTTTCAAGCGATTCACAGATTCATCGGATTTCAATCCAAAATGAGCGGATAATTCATCAATGTTTACTACTTTATTATTTTTTACATATTCGACGAAATCTCGGATCAGATTTTCAGCTTCTTCTCCTTCGACAACATCATTTCCTTCTTCTTCAACAGCAAATGATGCTTTTAGCTGCAACAAAAATGTGTTTTAAATATAATTTTCATAAAATTTTCTCAAAAATTTGTAGACCAGAAAAGAACCCATGAACCAAATATGAATTCATAAAGGGTCAAAAGCTAAGTAGGCTTAGCTAACCTCAAATAGCGCAGATCTAAATCTTCGCCTGGTCAAAAAAAGAATCGAAGTTTTTTTTAGTCTAAAATTATTATTCCCCAAAAATTCAAAAATTCCCTAACTAACCGCCAAATATTCCTCATGTTCTCTTCTCTCTTTCTCCTCTTTTTCTTTTCTCTTTCTCTCTTCCTCTTCTTCTTCCTCTAATCTCTCTCGTTCTCTTTCTTCCTCTCGTTTCTTTTCCTTCTCTGCTTCTCGTCTTTTTCTCTCTTCTCTCTCTTGCAATTCCCATTCTCTTTGTGCTCTTTTTTCTTCTTTCGCTGCTAATTTTGCAGCTTTTCTTTTTCCAATTTTCTTTCCATTTTCATCATATTCAAATCCTCCTCCATCTTCATCTCCTTCATATTCATCTTGTTCAATTCCTCCTTCAGCAGCCATCATATGATCAACAAATCCAGCTGAATCATCTCCATCTCGATTTACTCTTCTTCTCGCATTTCTTCTCATTCCTCCAGCAACTTCAGCTCCACGATTTTGTCGATTTCCAGCATTTTCAGCTTCATTCATTGCCATCATCATTTCAACACGTCGTTTTGCATCTTTTTCATCCCATTGAAGTTTTAAAAGTCGCCAAATGATAAAAGTCAGGCTGAAAGAAAAGGAATTTTATGAATTACAGATCTGAATCACACTTCAGCCAAAATCGTGGTTTTCAAAATAAAAAATTGTACGCTAACTTATTACAATATGAAAATTTTGATTTTTTCAGTTTTTGTCTTCTAAAAATTGTGATTTTCTCAATTTTTGACCTCTAAAAACTGCAATTCAGAATTTTTCAAAAATTGTACATTGGCCGAGGTGTGATCTGAATATAATATTTGTTTGAAAAATAATTTTTCAAACCTGAATCAGTCACTAAAAATTCAAATTTTCCAAGAAATGAACAAAAAATAGCACGTGGCCAATAAATGTTTCGCAAAAATTAATTTTCATTTCGCAACTTTCATTATTATTTAGTTTAAAAAAAACTCACGCTGCTAATAAAAGTCCAACAGATCCCAATAATAATGGATCAATTCCATCTTTCTGTGTTTTAAATGGCGCTTCAGCTGCCATTTTCCCTGCAAAAAACTGAATAAAAATCGACGAAACGGGAAAAAAATAAAAATTCTCCAAATCTCCCCTGTTCGCCGGAGCGCACTTTCTTCTTTTGCGAGAAAAATTGTTGGAAAATAGCCAATTTTTGACTGAAAAATTACCATTACAAGTGTTTCAAGAAAATATTCATTAATAAAATTAATCTTCAAATAAAAACTGACTAAAACATCAGATTAGCGAGGAAGGGACAACCAAAAATCAAGAGACCAGTGCAATAAAAACACATTGAAATTTGAAAAAACGGGGAGAATGGGGGCGATGAGAGGGAAACGGGGATAAATAATAACGGGTACAAAATAATTTAAATAATCACTTAATCAACATCCATTTCAGCTTGTGGTTGATCTCCGCCAGCAGCTTGAGCTGGATTTGGCGATGCTTCTTCAGTCTTTTTTGGAGCTGGTGGTGGAGCCGGCTTCTTTTTGTTAAGAATTGGTTGAACAATGTTTTCGAAAGCCTGCAAATTTTAATCATTATTGAAATTAAAAAGGTCCCAAAAATTCATTTAAATTGAAAACGTGAACTAGATAATAAGTCTAAAATATTTCCATCTGTTATTTCTGATTGTTTAATTTTTTTAAAGCTAGAACTATGATTATTCAACAAAAATGGTGAGCTTCTAATTTATCCATATTTCAGTAAACTTACAGTTTTCTGCTGTTGAATTTCTTCAACAAAAACAACAGGTGTTTCAGTCTTCGATCGATTTTCTTGTTTATGTCGAACATCATCCAACCATTTCTTCTTCTCTTCGATCGCATTTATAACTTTTTCCATTTCTTTGCTATCCAAATGAGCATAGGTTTCCCCTCCGGCAACATAGTCTTCGTATGCTTTTCGGATTCGGAAAATGGCTTGATCGAATGAATCGAAAGCTGGTTTACGGGCTTCGAATTCGCGGAATCTTTCAACAACTGGAGTTCCAGTCACTTTCAATTCAGCCAATCGTTTTTCATAAACAACTTGTTCGGCATCCTCTCCATCCTCGTACAACCAATTTTCAGTGGCTGTCAAAACCGAACCAAAATCTTCAGCTGCTGCAGGAGAAATGAATTCTTGATATTGGTCAGAAATCTTATCTCTCATCTCATAAACATATTCTTCCAAACTATTTTTAGCATCAGCCTTTTGTCTTTCTTTCTCGTCAGCTCTTTGCATTTCGATTTCAATTTGAGCGTATTTGGCAACATCATAGTGAACTGGAACAATTTCAGTGATTGGCAATTCAATCGCTGTTGTCTTTGTTTTTGGCTTTGGTGGTTCTTGTTCAGCTGTAGCTGGATCTGCTGCTGGTTCGGTTTCCATTGGTTCTTCTTCGATTACGGTAGTTTCGTAAATGGTGGCAGTGTTGACGGCGAAAACTCCATTTGGATTGACACGAACTTTCACCTTAACTTTGCGAGCTTCACCATCAGCTGTTGGTTTGACATTTGTGACTTGCCATGTTCCTAAAATGATTTTTTTGGGTTTGAATCAAGCTTGTGTCGGAAATTTTCCGAATTCACCAATTTTCAAACTTACCGAGATGAGTTTGTGTGTGTGGAACAGTGTTTGGAAGCGAATAATTGGCATCAATCTTGAAAGCGTCCGAACGGAACAATGTGACCATTTTCGAGAATGGGAATTCATCTCCTTCCACGAATGCGTCAGATTCACTGAAAAAAGTTTCCTATTTTTTTCGGGGATCAAAAACCGCCCCTTGAAAAAAAAAATGTTTTGATCGTTTGTGTAAACACATTCAGGTATGTTCGTTTCGCCTGCTGACCGGACGGCACGGCTGCCGTTGGGGGCGTGGCCTTGCTGTTTCCGGCCGTTTAGCCGAGGAACAAAACAGCAAAAAACGGCAGCCGCGGATGCCGGCAGGCATTTCGGCATTATTTCGAACAATTTTATGAAATGACATTTTCATTTATAAAATAACTTATTTTTTTCAATTTAAACATGATTTATAGCAAACAAGAATTCAATATAATATGAAAATAAAACACATTCTAGAGTTCATGAAAAAACAGAAGTGAATATATAAAAGTGTGAACAATAAAATCTCTAATTAGTTCTGGAAAGTTCGTAACAGATAAACAGCTTCTCCAACAAATTGCACTCTAATTTTCTACGATTTTCTCTATATATATTTCGAAGTAAACTGAAACTTCTTTCTGTTGAGCTTTCGGAGGCTACTATTCCCATCACTTTTCGAGCTATATTATATAATTGTGGGAAATTATGTTCATTAGTTGGCCAAAATTCTTCGACTTCCAGATGACTTTGTACAGTCAAGAAGTGATTGTATTCAATTTGTAACGACATTTTGGGAGATTCCCGTCGCAAACATTTGGCCAAAAACGAGTCAGGCGAATCATAGCGAGGTCTTGATGGTGGATTGCCATTCATCGAAATGTTTAAAATGTTGGCGAGTTTTTCGAGAGCATTTTGTGCACGACTTTTCAAATCAAGATCAACCTAAGTAAAAAATTTGATTAACTGTCAAAAATTCAGAAATTTTCGGAAAATCACCTTGAGTGCATCAATATCAGCCTGTAAAGTTTGCGGCCTCCGTGGATCTAGCATATATCCTAGACAATGAAAGTCGGTTAAATCGTGCATGTTGAAGCGCAGTGCTTCGACAGCAGCGCTGGCTAAACTTCGGAGTGTTTCATCATTCGACAACTTTTGCGCTTCAAAATGTTTCAGCATTCCTATAACACATGGCACAACAACATGGATTTGTATTGAATCGCTCTGAAAAATGCATAAATAATCAATATTTAGATATTTTTGAGGTCTTACTTGGAAAAATACACAAAGTTCGTCGAAAATTTTCAATGTGCTAGTTATTGACCGTAAAGTTTTCATATTTTGCGAAACTTTAGTTACATCATCCGCCAAATCGGGTTCCATCATATATTTGAATTTCAACAAAACATCTGCATTTTCAATTACACTATCAACAACTTTTTTATAAGATAGAAAACGTGTTTCGACATGTGTTTGAACTTGCTTTGGAAGTTGGGAGCGGATCTGTACTCGTTTTTTCTTCTTTAAACAACTGCAATCAAGAACTTACATAAAACTTTTTCTTGATATTCTTCATCAATTCATTACAATCTTTCAATGTTGATCGAACATCACATAATTTACTTTTATCCTCACTGCTAAGTTTTGATTTTGAATATGGAACTGTTGTACGATCTGCAATTATATTCATCATATGTGCGGCACAGCGTATGACTGAAAACAAGAGTTGAAATTTTTTTTCAATGGTTTTCTCTTACATGTGATAAAATGATCTTCTCCAGCCTTCCGATTATAAGCAGCTGCATCAGCTATCAAAAAATAATCATTCAAATTCACATTTGTGATTTCCATGTTCTTCAACTGTTCTTGAATAAGTTTTGCTACCTGGAAAATGTTCATGCAATGTTTAAAAAGTGAAAAGTATACTTACAAAAACAGATGTTTTTGACGACTCATTCACCACTTGCATACACATGGGATAAATTTTCATTTCCCAACTCTTTCTATTTGTGTTTTGATCGGTCACAATTTGCACGAAGCTAGACTTCAAACAGAAAAAATCTGTGTGATTTCTACCGAAATCACAAGAAAATGACGCCATCTTTGACAGGATCTCAGGCTTCAAAACATCTCTAACTGCCTTTATAGCCGCAGTCGCCTCCTTCTCCACAAGATCTCGAATTGACTTTCGTTTAGGCATTATCTTCTCGAAGCAGTCTTCCGATAAATTATAATTGATATTTAACAAATCAAACACTAAATCTTGGAATGCATCATTTTCCACAACATTGAGCGCAACTCCACTTTTCAAAATATATTTTGTTATAATATGCTGAATGGTAGATTTTTCTAATTTTCCTTTCGAACATTCACCAATCAAAGTTTCGCCCATCGAATCAGTATTATTTTTCTTCTTATCCATTTCTTTTATTTCACACTCTCTTCTGTGAACTCTGAAAACAAAAAATAATCTAATTGTAACGAAAAACTGGAATATAACTCACGATGCTTGTCCTCCATTTTTCGAATAAATTTTATAGCAAAATCGACAAAACACATATTTTGTAGTGATTAAACTTTTTCCATCAGTTAAACATAAGTCCGGCATGGAGTCAAAGTTGGCAGGATTTCGCGCCTAAATTTGAAAATAGAGGGAAAAATGTCATAAAGTCACTGACCACACGATATCCATTAACAGGTTGTCCAGGAGTCTCATCATTTCCTAACATCATAATCATGTGATGTTTTTGCAAATCACCAATTTCGCATTCCACCCAAATTCCGGAATCTGAAACACTTGGCGCATCGAACAATTCATTGGTTGACGGACTCGGGCAGTTTGACATTTCTAGAAAACAATTTAGACTATATATCATAGTGAAATACACGGGAAAATATGAGAATAATAGTTGAAAATCGATATGATGTATGACACCGAACTACCAATCGATCAAGTTTTATCAGAAAATGAATTATTTTACTGGAAAAACAAGGAAAATGGTTTTTATCGACTTTTCAAAAAAACAAAAACAAAAGGAAAAAATAATTATCATCATCTCTGCGTTTGTTCGTCATTTCTGGTGTTTGTTGCGTATTTGATTGAACACAGTAGTCTGAAAACTGAAAAGAAAGTGAGAAAACATATAATTTCCATAGAAATTACTGAATTAGCAAAACGGCAAAGCCGGCATTTTGGCACGGCAGCCGCGGCAAGCTGTTTAGTGTTGTTTTTTCAAAACGGCAGCGGCTGCCGTTGCCGTTTTTGAAACGGCGAACGGCCAGCATTGCCGGCGAAATGATCATACCTGAACACATTCTCGCACTTTTTTTCGATCAACTTTTTTAAATGAAAAAAATTTCGCACAAAAAATCAAATAAATAACTCACCCTCCTTCAGCAGCTCCGCCACTCCATGTAATCTTGATGCGATATGGTTGAGAATCCTTGATCGAGAATTCACGAACTCTGAATGTTGGCGACAAAATGGCGCATTGCATAGCGGCTCCGCGAGCAACAGCTTCATCTTGATTCATTGTTGTTTTTGGATCTTTTGCGAACAAATCATTAACGATTTTGCGGATCATTGGAATTCTTGAAGATCCTCCGACAATTTCGATTTCGTCAACATCTTCTGGTTTGACATCGATTCCTTCGAAAAGTGAAACAAGTGTTTGTCTGATTCTTGCGAAAATTGGAGCAGCCAAGTCTTCGAATTCTTGTCTTTGCATTTTTCCAGAAACATCTTTGTCTTCCATGAAACATTCGATGTTAATTGGAATGGGTGTTTGATTTGCAGACATTTGTTTCTTGACTTTTTCACATTCATCAAGAAGACGAAGCCATGGCCGTGGAGATGTTGAGGCATCAATTCCATATTTGGTTTTGAATTCATTCTTGAAATGTTCACGGATCAAGGCATCAAACCACAAACCTCCAGATTCCAAGTCATAGGAAGTTTTGAGCATCTAAAAACATTAATTAACAAACTATCATTTCGAACAAAAACAAAACAAAAAATCCAACTCACGGTAAGTTTTCCCTTGTTGAAAGCAACCAATGAAGCTTGTGTGGAAGCGTGTCCAATATCCAAGAAAACAACATGTTTGGCTTTGGTTCCTTCTTCTGGCAAATCTTGTTTGTAAATACCGTAAGCCAAAGCAATTGCAGTTGTTTCGTTGACAATTCTAAGAGCATTCAATCCAGAATATTGGATTGCGGCTTGAACTGCGCGACGTTGAACATCAGTGAAGTAAGCTGGAACTCCGACAACGCAGTCAGATACTTTTTTGACGTCAGATAATTGACTTTCGACAGTTGTACGCAATTTGGTGAGCAATGCGGCGAAAACTTGTTCTGGTGTGAAGGTGGTTTGGTTGTCCAAGTAGTTGACCTAGAAATATTTTTATAGTTATTTGCTGAAAAACATTTTTGTAAAAAAAACATACCTGAAGTCCGATCTCATCATTGGCCAATTGAACAACTTTGCATGGAACAAATGGGATGAATTTTTGAGCAATTGGATCAGAGAATTTACGTCCGATCAAGTGCTTGAAATTAATGATGGTGTTTTTGAGATTGGTGTTGACAGCTTGACGAGCTGCAACTCCCATTGAACGATCGCGAGATCCGAAGGAAACGCAGGCTCTGAAAATAATTCACAAAAAAAAATTTTTTCTAAAATTACGAAATTTTTTGAACTAAAAAAATAACTCACGGTGTTGCATGCAATGAATAATCATTTGTGATGACTTCGATTCCTCCTTGACGCGCAACGCCAATGTAGCAATTCAGATTACCAATGTCGAATCCAAGAACCGACATCTTTGCAGGCTTGACAACTGAAAAAGGGCATTTGTTCTGTTAGTTTATTTATTTTTGGGCGTTACCCCTAGGCGAGAGAAAAGTAGACACAAAAAAATCAATGTAAACGAATAAGGACACTGAAAATGAAAAGTTGGGGTATTAAAATATTTACATATTTATTTGGAACAGATTATTTTTCTTTGTGAAGGGAATGATTATTAAAAGTATCAGATTTCTGGATGTTTATAGACAGCAGTTCAATAAACACAAATTTTTGAAAATCATATTTAATGTGAACTTGGAAAAAGAAGAAATAAAACTAAACCTACAATTACCATAGAAATTGTATTCTGTAATTTTCATTTTTCAAAGAAAACATTTTCTACTTCAAAATAAAAGAGAGTAAAACTAAAATTTCAACAAAAAACACTTTTTTTTTCATCGAAACTCTATATTAGTGTTCGAATACTTTTAAACGTGGAATCAAATAAGTATCATTTTTATCGTATGAAACTGTTTCAAAAATTTGCTAATAATAAAAACTTCTCGAAAACTCGAATTTCTTTGGAAAATCATAAGTTTTCAAGTCTTCAAATATAACAAAATTGTTCTTCCTAGCAACAACGCTACGAGAAAAACAACAAAAACACTCAAAATACCTGAAAACGCATGGAAAAGCTGAAAACAAACTGAAAAAGTTTGAAAATTTCAAAATCCTTTTTAAAGGGGCGCGGAATATTCTCGAAAATTCCACAAAATCGTTGCGAAACCAGTTTATTTCATGGAGTGCGACAGAGCGCGTTTGCGCTTGCAAATCTTGAAATCATCATTTTTTGTTGTTTTTTCAAGGTTTTCTTGAGTTGTTCGGTGTGAACTGGCTTAAAATCATATTTTCAGGTGGAAAAGATGCCACCAATGGCTGCCGCTGCTGTTGAGAAAATGGAGGTTGATGAAAAAGAAGCCAGAAGTTGTAGCAGAACCACCAAAAGATGTGAATGCTATTGCAGTCGAAAATATCAGAGAACAATTGTCTTTGTTGGATAAAGCTGAGGCTCATTTGATTGGCAGAGTTTTACAAACTATCCCAAAGTTCCGGAAAACTTTGAATAACCAAGTGTTAAACAAACTCGTTCTTACTCAAATCAGCCATAACGCAATTTTCGCAGAACAAGTTTTGAAATATGTACCATACACTGCTCCACCAACTCCAATTGTTGTGGATAACACTCCTCAACCAATGGATACAACACCATCAAAACCATCCAAAGCTTATAAGAAATCATTGAAGCCAATCTATTCAAGCACCGAATCAGACAGTTTCTTGCGACTTTTGATCATTATTCATTTGTACTCGCAAAACAAATATGCTGAGGCTTTAGAGCTTTGCGATTTGCAAATTAAGATCTGTAAGTGCATTTCTTGATGAAAGTTAGGAATTCTTCATTGTTTCAGGCGACAAACAAGACAAACGCAATTTGGATCATTTCGCAGCTAAAACAATCTATTATCTTTGTGTGATTTATGAAAAACAAGGAAGACTTTTCGAACTTCAAGGATTCCTCAATTCTCGTTTGAGAACTGCAACTCTCCGTCATTTCACAGAATCACAAGCTGTTTTAATCTACTCACTTCTTCGTTGTTATTTGATCAATCGTCAATATCAATCAGCAGCTCATCTTGTCTCAAAAGTTGCTTTCCCAGAAAACGCATCAAACAATGATTTGGCTCGCTACATGTATTATCAAGGACGTATAAAAGCTCTTCAATTGGATTATACCGCCGCTGCTGGATATTTTCTTCAAGCTCAACGAAAAGCGCCACAAGAAGGAGCGATTGGATTCAAACAAACTGTTCAAAAATGGGTTGTTGTTATTAGTTTGTTGCAAGGAGAAATTCCAGAAAGAAATGTTTTCCGTCAACCAATTTATCGCAAATGTTTGGCCGCCTATTTGGATTTGACACATGCTGTTAGATTGGGAGATATTGTGAGATTTAATAAAGTTTTGGAACAATCAGCCAAAGTTGTAAGTTTTCCTCTAAATTGATTTCGCTTTTATATATATATTTTTGAAAATTTTCAGTTTGAAGCTGATGATACTTTGACTTTGATTGTCCGACTTCGTCAAAATGTTATCAAAACTGCAATCAAACAAATTTCATTGGCTTATTCAAAAATCTTTATCAAAGATATTGCCAAGAAGTTATTGATGGATAATGAAACCGAAACTGAATATATTGTTGCAAAATCAATTGCTGACGGTGCAATTGATGCTGTTATCACAAGCGAAACAAAAGACAGTCCAAGATATATGCAAAGTAGTGAAACTGCGGATATTTATCGAACTGCTGAACCACAAGGACATTTCGATTCGAGAATTCGCTATTGTCTTGAATTGCACAATCAAGCGGTTAAAGCATTGAGATATCCACCAAAAAACAAGATATCTTTCGAAAATATTGAACAGCAACGTGAAAGAGAACAACAAGAACTTGAATTGGCAAAAGAATTGGCCGAAGATGATGATGAGGATTTCTAAATGCCAATGCCCCCAAAGAATTTTTAACTTATTTTTTATTGTATTTTTGTGAACCCGGATGAAACAAATTCTCTTATTTTTTAAAATTTTTGGTTTTTTTTTTAAATTGATGACAAAAAGTTGGAAAACTTTAAACATATTTTTAATATCAGATTCGGTATTTTACAGTGAAATTATGTGTCAAAAAAAGCTCCAATTATTTTCAAAAAAACAAATTGAGAATTGCTCAGTTTTAACCAGATTTAGAGCTCAAGAACTTTTTTTTAAACATGAGATTTTTTCCAAAAATGATAATTTCGAGGAAAAAAATTCTTCTGAATTTTTCAGGAGCTCCAGAAGTTTTAAATATTAGTAGAAACTTATAAAAGCCAGCTTCAAAAAAATTTCTCCATCTCAAAAATCTATGATATTTTTTCAGAAAAATGCTTGAAAAGCTTCTCTGGATTTTGGGAAGAAGACCACCACTCGATTTCGCATTGGCTACAGTACCTCAAGCAGCCGTTGCAAGACCCAGAATCACCTATGAAAGTGTGAAGGAGATGATTGAGGATTTTTCAGTGGTTTTGGGAGTACCGAAATATAGGACAAGTAAACGTAAGCGATTTTTGAAGGAGTTTCATTCATGTTTTTTTTTATTAGAAAACTGTCTGAAAATAACATAAAATATTTTCAGCAAAGAAAGTTACGCGAAAATTCTCATTTTCTCGACTTTTACAACCAATCGATAATTTGGTAACATGTCCATCTTGTTCAAATATTCATCCATCGGATTCGATTTGTGATAAATGTTATGAAAAAGTTCGAAGTGTTACGAATGAGATCAAAAAGAAAATGATGGAATATAATCCATATGTTGGAGATAAACAAGACAAAGAGATATTTGTGAAGTTCAAAGGAGAAGAAATCGAAAAAGATGAAGTTGTTAATGGAAAACGGGTTATTGAATTGGAAAAAAGAGCGACCGAGTTGGTTTAAGAAATTGACTTTGAAATAGTCATTTTGTTTTTAGACTTTTCTAGATAATCCAGGTTAGATCATTGTTTTTCTTTTCGTTGTTACATATTTTTCATAAAATTTATTTCCTCAAAAAATTAGTTACGATAAGTTATCTTGAGATACCAAAAATATAAAACTCTTGCTACAAATGGCCAAGTAAAGGCGAAGATTAAAAATTGGAAATTTTTGAAAAATCGAAAAATAATTGATAGCCAAGATTGTCTAGGTTTTGATAAACGATGAAGAAGATGCATTATAACTTTGAGTTGTAAACCATTTGTTGCTTCGATTTCATTCAATTGGCGAGTTATTTCCATTAATTGTTCATTTAATTGAACAAGCAGAGGATAATGAGCCATTTCTTGGAACTGAAATTAGGAAATTCGGCATTTTTTGTGGAATTTTTAGAGATAATTAGCAAATTCTACAATAACCTAGAGTAAATATTAGAATATAAAACTACCGTAATTTTTTTGGTTGAATATTCTTGAAAAAGGGTCAGAAATCTACAGTACCCATCTTTTTGGCAAGATCCACGTAGATTAATAAACTACAGTAATCCTTCCTTCACCCAATTATATGATTACTGTAGACCCAGAAATAAGAATTCTACCTTTCCCTAGATTTTGAAAATAACTTCTTTATAAATGAAAAATACAGTAATTCTTTTAAAAATATTGGCAAGAATTTCAACATGACCAAAAAGGATTTAAAAAAATCTACAGTAACCGTAGAAGTACATGAATTGAACAATTTTGCACGTTTCTACAGTATCTCTGATTAGGAAGATTAATTTTTGACTCATAAACTACCCAGGCTTGCGAAAAATTGATAATAAATGAAATAATTTTCTACAGTAACCCACATATTGCATTAGGAACTTCAGAATGGAAAAACCCTGTTCAAGAGATAAACAATTTTCGGTTAAAATTATTTTTTGTTCAAACTCAAGTCCGAACTTCTTAGGTCCCAACTCCAAAACTCACAGCATGATTCAAAAGTCGCCAATCACTATGATCGCTATCACTTCCACCACCATTATTCCTTTTTCTCATTGCTGCTGTATTTCTTCGCGATCTCATTTCTCCGGGTTCTAAAAATCAAAACAATTGATCTGAAGCTTATGAAAATCCAGGAAAACTCACGAAGTTTTTCAATGCTTGAATGATCGCTACTCGAAGATCGATATTTGACAACTTGAGGAGGAGCTCGTGGTTGTTTTGAGATTTTCCGCTCATTCTTGAGGCGCCTAGAAGAGATAAATATACATTTTTGAAAATTTTCAAGTTTTCAAGGTAATCTTTCTACGAAAAATTTGAATTCCACCTCAAAATCTCACGTTTTATGAACCAAATGACTCTTCAGAGATGTGCATAATTTATTCAATTCTTCTTCGCTGTCCACTGCATCTTCATAATCCGAAAAATTTTGCTCATCAATTTTTTGTGGAATATCAGAAGATGTTGAGGGTAGCATCTAATTTATTTTAATAATAATAATGAGAAAAATCAATATTTTTTGTCAAACAAAGGTGAAAAAAATTGAGACAAAGAAGAGGTGAAATGAGAATGATAGATTGTAGTCTTATCATCCAAAAAAAAAGAACACACAAAAATGTTTTATTATTTTTATTGTATTGAATAAAAAATAACAACGCAGAGGAAAAAGTGCAATTATCGAATAGTTACAGACATTTTACGGCAAATACGAAATGGTTTTTCAAAATGGATCTTGCAACGATCTACAGTACTTTTCAAAAATATGGGTTATTGTAGTTACATTTAAAAATGCTCAAGCGAAGCTATGCCCCTTCAAATTGAACTAACTACAGTAACACTCTGTTTCTTACGGACCCATTTTAGAAACCCATTCCTCATTTGCCACACATTTTTAAATTTACAAAAACTCCCTAAACTCTTGGGATTGATTTAGTAAGAGTCGAGAATTGTTGAGCCAATTGAATCAATTCGTTTTGCTCCAAAAATCCATCGGAATTCTTATCCAACATTTCGAATATTTCATCAACTTCATTTTTTGACACTTTGTTTGTCGATGTTTTTTGTGAAAAATTGAAGAGTTCCAATTTGTCTAATCTATTATCTCCATTATAATCAATAAAAGCCAACAATTGATTTGCAGTATCTCTTTGCTCATTTACTGGTTTTGGTTGTTCTCCAGATAAATGTCCTTTGAATTCTTCATATGTTAATTGTCCATCTCTGTTAATATCAGCAATTGCTAGAATTCCATCAATAATTCGATCATTGCTTTCTTGTCTTAATTTTTGAACTTCGTTTTTGTCAACAATTCCATCGTCATTCAGATCCATTTTTTTGTAGAATTCATAATCCAAATCAACTGGTCTACGGCTCATTTCATAAACTAATGGCACAAATTCAGAAATATCAAGATGTCCATTACGATCCAAATCGAAGCGAGCAAAGAATTCTGGAAACATTTTGATATAGTTTTTGGTATTTTAACTTGAAATTACGGAATATCTAATTTAAAAAAAAGCGACAAATCTAGATTTTCTTGAAAATGAAAATTTTGAAAAAAAAAACAATTTTTTAAACGTGAACTCTGTGGAGATTTGGGAATTAATTCCAGATTTTTTTCGAATTATAAATTTTTTTTTGAAAAATTAGAATCATTGATGGAACTTTTACTATAGAAAAAAAATGTGTCTGAAAACCATTTATTTGGAATTCTCATGTTTTCTTATTATGAAACTTTTTTCAAAAATTTCAAAAAATGTAGAAACATTCTCAACTTTACAAACATCTAAAATTTGTATTCCTTCAAAAACTACCGTATACCTTTTCCATCTCTTCTTCCTCGTTTTCTCATAAAAGTGACTAATTCATTTTCGGACAACTTTCCATCATTATTTGAATCGACCAAATCAAATGAATCATCCGCTGGTTTTTGTGGAATTTGTGCATTTGCAACAAAAACCACGCCGAACAAAATCACCAAAATTACGTAAGAAAATGAAGGCGACGAATAAGATAGCATAACTTGATTGGATTCAAATGATGGCAGGCAGCAGAGAAAAGACAACCCAATACGAAAAAAAGCAAAAGTTTTTTAGCTGATCGAGAAGAGATTGAAAGGATTTGAGAGACACAGAGAAAACGGGTTTTTGTACGAAAAAAAAGGAGAAAAGTGAGAAGCTTGTTTTGGAATAAAAAAAGCGTTGGATGGATTACGTAAGGGGACAATTTGACAATGATACTATGAATAAAAGATGAAGAAAAATGGAAAATAAGAAGAATAGAAAAGAGGGAATACTGTAGATAGACAATTATTGATCAAATTATTTAAAGATGTGTTCATACATAGTTACAGTGTAATAAGATTAGTCATGATTTTTTACAATGTATAATTTATTTGGAAAATTTTTGAATCGGGCGCGTTGAGATGGGATTCATGTCTAAAAAGTGGAATTGAAAACGGCTGATTTATATCTGATTTTGATAAAAGTGTTTAAAAATGTTATACTTTTTTTGTTGGCGCGAAAATTGCAAAGTTAAACATTTTTGAAATTTGGCGCCACAACTTACAGTATTCCTAGGTAGAATTTTCTTAATTTTGGAAAAAAAAACGTCTGACGATGCTGGTGCTACTCCGACATCAGAAAAATTTGATCTGAAATATCGGACTCTCGACTTCTCATTTGCCGTAAAAGTTTTGTTCCCCAGTTTTTTGTCAACAACTTCTTCTGAATCCAGACTTTTTCGATTCCTCAAAAACATTTTTCTGTTTCCTGTTATCAATGAAAAATTTCTAAACACCAAAACTCCAGTTTTTTCCTCGTGGTCAGTTTCTCATTTTCCAGGGTTTCAAAGTACACAATCTTCAGAAAAATGAGCCCATTTCCCAACAATTCTTGCCTGCAGCCAGCAATGAAAAAAAAAACATTTTTCTCAAGACGAAGTTCATTTTTTCTTTTTCTTTCTGTGTTATCAGAAGAAGAAGAAACGATGGTTGGACAGAAATAGTGTGAAATATTTGGAGAGTATTGACAAACCATATCAGCTCCACTACTTTGTTGCGCGCTGTGGAAAGAAAAAAAACAGTATTTTATTTTTTTGTGTTTTGTTATTCTACAGACTGAAATATTCAAAAATAAATAAATAAATAAATGGTTTCACCTTCAAAAGAAAAAGAACAAGCTGGTTCGAGATGTTTAATTTGCTCAGCTCAAGCGACTGGATTTCATTTTGAGGCGCAAAGTTGTTCGGCTTGTGCTGCATTTTTTCGAAGAACTGTGGCACTCAATAAAAGTTTCACGTGTATTACAGCCAGAGATGATTGTCAGGTAAGGATTTTTTGAGAATTGCAGTTTCTGAATCTGATAACTTGAATCCAAACTCGCTCCGCGTGAGCCGATAAATTTTGAACTACACTTGCATTTTTGTGCTCGCCATTTCTACAGTAACCCAGACTTGTTCAGATTCAGATAGATCTACTTCGAGTTACTATACTCAAAAATGGAAGTACTGTACTTAACTTAATAGTTTGACTCAAAGGGATATCCCAGCTCAACAATTTACTAAGAAAACCTGATTGCTAAAAAAATTATTACCAAATTTCCAGGTTCATTACACAATGCATCAAATTTGTCGAAGTTGTCGATTCAAAAAATGCCTAAAAATCGGAATGAAACAATCTGGTGTTCAACCAAAGCGACCGACTTTGGAACAAGGAAGAGCATTTTTCACAAAAAGTGGGCTCAAGAGAAACAAAAAATTTGCAAATATTGCGCCAATGAATGAAGATGAGCTAAGACAAGCTTCGAAGCAACAAAATCTGGAAGAAGAATTGGAAATTGATGTGGTAGCGAATGGAGATGGTGAAAGTGAAATGAAGAGGCGAAAATTCTCAGATATTCCAAGTTCTAGTCAAACACCAACTTCTTGTAATACACCAATTCCAAGAGTAGAGTTAACGTAAGTCTGAAATAATTCTTTTAAAAAGTTACCAGAGATTTTAGGGCAAGTCAAGATGTTCTTCGATGGTTGGTCAAAGAGGAGATGAAGCTTGGAGAAAGGAGGAGAATTATGTTTTGTGAGAGACCTGTTGAGAAATTATTAGGGCAAAATTATAATTGCGTAAGTTGTGGGGATTTTTGATGTTTGAAGTGGAATGAGATGAGAGATCAAATGATTTGAAAAAAAAACATTTTTAGTATAACTATAGAGTTAGAGGCGCAGAGAAATCTCATTGAAAAATTGCAGCCGTATACCAAAGAAGATATCAAACCTTTGTCATTCCGTGCATTCAGAAAATCAATCCGAACTCATATTCTACTAATTTATGAATGGCTTCAAGCTTGGCCTGATTATCAAGAATTGGATAACAATGACAAAGTATCATTTCTCAGAAAATGTGTTTTATTTCACACAATTCTTGATCCAGTTTATATTTCAATTCAAATCGGATATCCAGATAAATTTGTAATGCAAAATGGTGGATATGTTTCATGTTTAGAAAATTGTGATGATGGTTGGGAAGATGAAAAGGAAATAACTGGAAGGACAAAAAGATTGATATATCAACCATTATTAAAAAGGATTATGGAAGAAATTATTCCGCCAATGATTGAATTGAATTTATCATTTGAAGAGTTTGTGGCTTTAAAAGCACTTGTTAGTTGGCAAGGAGCAATTCCAAATGTTAGTGTTTCGAAAAGAGATATTATGAGAAAACAATTGGATGCTATTACAATAAGTCTACATGATCATTATATGCAAATTGGAAAAATTGAAGTGGCAGAGAGACTTGGATCTATTATTTTATTATTGAGCAATATTTTTGTGAGTTTTGAGAATCGCGGAAATTACGGTATTTTTTCTGGTGGGATTTTCATTCCAGCAATTTTTCTGACAGTACATCTTTGTCTCTTACTTAGAAGACTAGCTGTGGTTTTCTAGATCAGAAAAAAATGTTCCTATAATGTTGAGTTCAGGATACTGTAGTAAGTTCCAAAAAATATTTTCCACGTCATAACATGTTTCTTTTGTGTAATTTTTCAGAATCACAAACATTATATTTTTCTAAAACCCCTATATTTTTCAGTCAACTGGCCTTGATTTTGTTGTGAGTCATCGACAAATCGAATTTTTCGACCTATGGAACTTGGATTCTCTACTTCTCCAGCTTCTAAATTTGGACACAATTCTTGAAGATAATGAACAGAAACAAAATAAAGATGAGGAATAAAATATTTATTTCCTTTTCCAAATTAAAACAAATTTAATATCAATTCAAACAATCTCTAGTCTCTCCACTGAATTTTCCAGCCAATTGCAATGTTCCGAAATCGAAAATCTTCTTTGGCTCTTTTCCACTTGAAATATATTGAGATGGAATATAGATTGTGATTTTTCTTTGACATGGTTTAATTCCATCGTCGCAATCGTGGTAGATATTGATTTTTGGTTCGATTGAAGTGAATTCATCAGCACTGCCTTTGAGATCGAATTTTCCGCTTGAATCAGTTTTTCCAGCAACCATCAACTCATCAGGAGATACTACAAAAAATATGGGATAAATGCAGTCACTTATAAGTTATGCAAATATTTTTCAAAACAAAAAAAAAACTTACATTTATCCTCATCATAAATCTTGATCTTCACACCGGCTGCTGGTTTATCCTCACAGATTAATTGTCCTCGAACTCCAACACTTTGAGTTCGTCCAATTGCCAATGTTAGGCTAACAAAACAACACGAAACGATTAGAAGAGTTTTCATCATTTCGTTCTGAATGAATGAAAAAAATGAAGTTAGGGGAAGAGACAAAAAGTGACCATGAAAAATGGAAAGAAAAACAAAAAATAAAATTTTCTTTGTGTAAACTAAAACTGCATTGATAAAATAATACTGTGAAAGGAAGAAGGAAGAAATAAATGACCTATCACAAAAGACAAAAATACTTGATTTGATTTCTTTTTCTATGTAGTTTTTTATGCTGAAAATGAAGTGATTTTTGAAAATTGTTTTTGAGATATTTGATTTTCACGGGACACACCGTATTCGAATTCAAAGATTTTAACGCCAGATTTTCGAAAATTCAAAAGTGTGTATTTCTGAGCCAAAATTTAACGCATTTTGTTCCCGAATTTAAATATGATTACTGTAAGTTTTAGTGCGAAACTGCTTACACAAAAAAAAATCAAAAATTTCCTATGATAAAACCGAAGTTTTTTCTCAATATTTTATAGGGAAACCCAATCTTTTCAACGGAAATGATAAGAGTTTCAAAACAAGTTCGTCTAACTTTGAATTAGTCATCCTCCAGGTTATTTTTATTTTCATACTTTTTTCATATCAAAAGAATCAAAGTTTATCGGAAGTTGATATAAAAGTAAAGAAATATTTCCAGTTCTCTCAATTTCTCATTTTCTTCTCACTTTTACTGTAAACAAGTTACGTTAACTTACTTTTCAAATATTTTATTGATTATTGAATAGACGAAAATGGTCACCAAAATCCAAATCGTATTTTTGCTTGGCGTCGTTTCTTTCGTGCATTGCATTGGTTTCAAACAATCAGTGGCTGTAAAAGGAAAATTGATTTGCAACGATAAACCGGCGACTGATGTTAGAATTAAGATGTACGATAAAGATGTTTGTGAGTTTTCTAGAAATGAGAAATGAAATTCCACGTTTCAAGAGTTCACTTCACGTTAAATAATTATTTAATTTTTTTTTCTTGAAAAAAAAATCATTTCTAAATTTTCCAGTGGTCGATACAAAACTTGATGACAAAACATCTGATAGTAATGGTGAATTCTACTTGAGTGGTGGAGATAATGAGGTTGGTTTAAAAAAATTCCAAAATTGGATGAAACTTGCTGGAGTCATCAATTCAACCATTCTGAAAACGATCCCAAATTCAGAAATTGTCAAAACAATTTTCGAATTCGGGATCATTTTTAAAATTTCAGAACATTGTTCACTAAAAAAAATGCCATTTTCAGATCTCATCAATCGATCCCCGTGTCAATATTTATCATGATTGTGATGATGGTTGGACTCCGTGTCAAAGACGCTTAACAATTGGAGTTCCAGACAAATATATTTCAAATGGTGATAAGCCAAGCAAGGTTTTCGATTTGGGAACAATTCAATTGGCTGGAAAATGGGTTGGAGAGACAAGAGATTGTATTCATCGTCATTAATTTTGTACTTTTAATGAATAGTTTACTTTTCCATTATTAATTTCTTCTCAAAAAGCATTGAAAAATATATTTGAAGATAACAACCTTGAAGAAAAAAAAACAAAAAAATCGAATATTCAAACCGCCGCCTTCGTGTGTGGCCAGCCGTTAACTGAGTATCCTATTTTTACACACACGATGTACGCAGCCAAAGTAGTGCCGCGCTGCTGCACTCAAAACGGGGACACATGTCGATTTTTGTCATTCTTTCTCTTCGCTCTCTCGATTGAAAGTGTTGTTTCTTTGATTTTTCCGTGTTATCAGCTTCTTTGGGTGGATTCAGAGAGACGAAATGTTTTGATTTACACGGTTGAATGTCGAGAAATTCGATTATATCAATGTTTTTGTAGGAGAAAATGATTTTATTTGTCTGGGAATTCCTTTTTCTCACACTGCCCATTCAAATAGTTTATGAATTATATTGTTTATTCAAATTTTTCGCATAGTTTCGTTTATTTTGTATGATTCAAAATTTGCAATAACGATTTTCTAGATCTCGGTAACGAAATCAATTCAACATGAGTGCAACTGATTCGCAAATAGTACCAGCACAAAGCAACGACGAAGGCTGGAAGACGGCGCTTAACTTGCCACCAAAAGACCGTCGCTTCAAAACTGCTGATGTTACTGATACCAAGGGAGTTGAGTTTGAGGACTTCTGTCTCAGCCGCGATCTTTTGATGGGAATTTTTGAGAAAGGATGGGAGAAACCATCGCCAATTCAAGAAGCTTCGATCGGAGTCGCTCTTTCTGGACAAGATATTCTTGCGAGAGCTAAGAACGGAACCGGAAAGACTGGAGCCTATTGTATCCCAGTCATTGAGAAGATTCAACCAGCCCTCAAAGCTATCCAAGCCATGATCATTGTTCCAACTCGTGAATTGGCTCTTCAAACTTCGCAAATCTGCGTCGAATTGTCGAAACACATTCAACTCAAGGTAATCATTTATCACAACTCCTATCCCACCTATTAACAAAATTATTCATACATATTTCGTAAATTTCAGGTCATGGTTACCACCGGAGGAACTGATCTTCGTGACGATATTATGCGTTTGAACGGAACTGTTCATTTGGTTATTGCCACTCCAGGAAGAATTCTCGATTTGATGGAGAAGGGAGTCGCCAAGATGGATGACTGCAAAACCATTGTTCTCGACGAAGCTGACAAACTTCTCAGTCAAGACTTCCAAGGAATCTTGGACAGACTCATCAACTTCCTTCCAAAAGAACGTCAAGTCATGCTCTACTCTGCTACATTCCCACAAACTGTCACTCAATTCATGGCCAAACACATGCACAAGCCATACGAGATCAACCTTATGGAAGAGCTCACATTGCTTGGAGTCACTCAATACTACGCTTTCGTTCAAGAAAAACAAAAGGTTCACTGCTTGAACACTTTGTTCCGCAAGGTAATTTTATATTGTCTTGTGTTGCAATCGATTTATTCTTGCTTTTCAGCTCCAAATTAACCAATCCATCATTTTCTGTAACTCGACTCAACGTGTTGAGCTTCTTGCCAAGAAAATCACAGAAATTGGCTACTCCTGCTACTACATTCACTCCAAGATGGCTCAAAACCACAGAAACCGTGTTTTCCACGACTTCCGTCAAGGAAACTGCAGAAACTTGGTCTGTTCTGATCTCCTCACCCGTGGTAAGTTGTTTATTCATTCACGGGGGTGCGATGAGGATCACCTTACACACCTCCTAATTTCTATGAGGAATACTAGAACGGATATCTGAGCACAGAATAGATTTGCAAAACTTTGCAGCGAAAGTTTACCTTTAATTATAAAACTAAACATTCATAATTTTTCTTTTCAGGTATCGATATCCAAGCTGTCAATGTTGTCATCAACTTTGACTTCCCACGTAACGCCGAAACTTACTTGCACAGAATCGGTCGTTCTGGACGTTTCGGTCACCTCGGAGTTGCTATCAACCTCATCACCTACGAAGATCGTCACACCCTTCGCCGCATCGAACAAGAGTTGCGCACACGTATCGAGCCAATTCCAAAGACTGTTGACCCGAAATTGTACGTCGCTGAGCAACAACTTGTCGATACCGAAAACGAGGTGGTCTCCGCCTAAACTCAACCGGTTGCCTTTTTTCGTGATCTCATATATTGTGATGTGAGCACCATTATCCTATCAAAATTTTCTTTAATATGCTCTATTTTTGTGTAATTTCTAATTGCATAGTTTCTGTTATAATTAAATTCCCCCTACCCAACCCAGTTCCCTACAAATTTTTGTCCCACCCCTTCCAAAAACGGTGTAAAAATTCCCCCAGATCATTTTAGTATGTGCATTGTTTTCTCTCCCCCACCCACCCATCGATTGTCAAAATCTGGAACCCCACATAGTCATTTATTTTGAAAACCACCCACCTAATGGGAATTTTGTAACTTACGGGCATTGTTGACGTGTTTATACATTGAATGGGTTCGTAAAGGGTAGATGTTTTCATCTCTGAAACATCCAAATCTTTCGAATTCAAATTAATTTGTTCATATACATTCTTTTTAAAATATTCCACCATCTGTCCCGCGGTTTTCCCCACTCCAAACATCTGTAGGGTTTTATTTTCATCCGCTTTTTTTTCCAGTGCATTTTGATAACATCCCGGAGATCAACCCAAAACACTTTCCTAATTTGATTATTATATATTTTTCTCATGTCAAATGGTCCCCCTTTCCCACACACACCACAAGCAATTCTTTCCGACTTTATAGTCGATGGAATAGGCTCCGGCTGGCCATGTGTCTCGCCTACAGCTTATTTCTCTTTTCCCCCAAAATCCCACATTCTTTCTAGTTTTTTGTCCCCTGAAACAACCATTTGTGATTGTCTCTTGTTTATTGTATAATTGTTATAAGTTGATCTTTAAAAATGCACTTTCGATTCGTTTTTTCAATACCATCAAATAAACGATTTCGAATCGGAATTCTTGTTTTTTTTTTGTATTTCACATTTGCCAAAAACTTTGAATAATCAACCTGAACCGGTCTTCTTTGCCAAATCCCATCAAAATGCTTCCTTTATTCTCACTTTCTCTAACTTTGACTTTGGAACACCCTTTTTCTACTTTTAAAACCAAATTGTGTCCATTTTCAAATCATCTAGAATTCCAGTTTTTTCACCCTAATTAAAATACTGTCTACAATTTCTTTCTTGAAGGTTTTTTTCTAATGGACAACCAACAAACTAAAGTTGTTCCTTTGAAACAATTTCTTCCAATTTGCCGCACTGAACTTAATCTTCCGAAATACTGAGGATAAATGAGAGAGATTAGAGATATCGAAGAATAATAATAATTTCTTATTATATTATTTATGTGTTTTTGGTTGGTTGTATTATAATAAATACAATCACTGAAGAGAACCTGTCCAACATTTCATTTCTGAAAATTTCTCCTTTTTTTGAAGTTTGAAATTTTTATGTTTTTTTTCGGTGGAACTTTTTTTGAGGCAAACTTTCGCTAACTTTCTCACACGTTTCAATGAACAATTTAAATAAAATAAATAAATTGTCATTTTCCCTCAATTTTGTTTCTTATGTCCCTTTAAAAGTATTATTTTCCCCTTTTTTTCCGAAAAAAAGAAAATGAGAAGCCTAATGATCACTCACTAATTAATCAAATCATAAACATTTGAAATTACGTAACACTGGAGAAAAACTGGATTTCTTTTTGGAGATAATATACTTTTGAGGATAAATGTTATCAATTATTTGGCCTTTCACTTTTTTGTTTCGAAATGAATATGTTTGGCGTCAAAAAACATTGCCACGTTTTGAGATCTGGAAATTTAAAAAAATTCGGATTTAAAAATTATTAGAGTCAAAACACAACATTTCCAACTTTATTTGACAGACTATTTTTTTGCCACGTGTCGAAAGTTTTTCGAAGCTAAATATTTCGAATTTTTAAAATCGGAAATTTCACGTGGCTTATTACCCGAAATTAAAAATGAATCTCAAAAGCTTCTTCTGGCACAAAACATGTTTTTTTGCAAAAATTGTTGAATTTTTTGTCACTGTATGTTTCTAATTTTCACATTTTGATACTTCTTGAGCTTTCTATTCTTTTTCATTGAAAAATATAATTGCGCAATTATTCTGTCGGTTATGTAACACTTCTCCTTTTTTTTTTGATATCAACATCGATGATTAGGGGAGAAAGTTCTGTTTTTTCCCTTTTTTTCGACCAAAAAAAAGCGAAAAAATAAACGATATTCCAGTTGGTCAAACAAAATATATCTATAAAAACAAGCATTTTTCAGACAAAAAAAGTTTTTTTTTTCTTTTTGGAAAATGTGTTGTAACACTATGTATTTTTGATATATGTTTTGATATATATTTTATTGTTATTTCATGATTCAGTCAGTCAGTGATTTATTTATTATGTAGATCAGAAAAATAATCTTCTACAGTACTTAATCTTTGAAAGAAAAAAGCTTCCATTATGAGATGATTCAGCACTACTATTGTAGTACGGTCACAGTTTTTTCAGATGTGCTTTTCTCAATTTCTATGTCAGCCCTAGAACAATATATCTGAAATAAAGTCATATTCTTCAAATTTTTCAAAACTATAGTTTTTCGAAATGGAATTCTTGCAACAAAAAATTTGCAATTGAAAACTTAACTGCAAAGTTTTTTAAAACCTTTATTTTTCTCTTTTCCTGCATCACCTCCAGATCCTGATGAAATAATCTCTACAGTAACCCTCAAGAAAAATGTTCCATTAGTGATTTACATGAATTTCTTTCTTTTTTTTTACAACAACAATATTATTTTTAGATGTTTCGAAATGTTTTTTCCTCACTTTTTCTCCTTTTTTTTCACTTTTCACCGATTTCATGCTAATTCGCATTTAGTGAATTCCTCGATTTAATAAATGTGGGAATACTGTTTTTTGGCGGAGGGAGGTTACTGTACTACAAAATGAGGTTTGATTAGTTTTTTTCTTGAAAAATTGGTATTTGTGGATCAAAAACAGGAACCTCTTGAAATAACCTAGAAAATATTGTTGAAATTTTAAACTCACTGAAACGATGACATAAATGTGGATTTCTTCTCCCGTGAAGCAATAATTATTTTTTTTTGAAATGATTTCTCGATTGCAATAATATACGTATACAGATTTTTTTAGTTCACGCTAAAAATATTTTTTGCCAAAAAATTAAAACTGATTTTTAAACTTTTCTAATTAATTTTCACTTTGAATTTCAAGCATAAAACTTATCAAAATTTGAAGATTTGAGAAATCAAAGTGAACCTCTTGAAATTTTCCAAATCAAACTTTCCCAGTCTTTTCGAGTAGCGTAATTTTTATTCTAAAAAATTTACAAATTCATTTTCAAAATAAAATTCAGAATCCTGATTTGATTTTCAGATTTCACTCCTGCCAGTTTCCAAAAAGATCCCTTCATTTATTTATCATTTTTCAAAAAAAAAACATGTTGAAATCTGATCACCTAAAATGAAAGAACCACACCCTTTTAGTCATTTTTTGAGAGGAAAACTTTTTTTCAAATTTTATTTTGCAAAAAAAAGTGAAACAGAGATTTACCGGTTTCAAATATTCTCGACAAAAATTTATATTTTTTGTAAGCCGAGTTTTTTCCCATAAAATCTAAAGTATATCTGATTGGGTGTATCTACGTTCAGAGTATTTTGGGTGTTTCCAGTTACCTTCAAAAAACCACACCCAAAAATATATTATCATCCATTTTTGGGAAAGTGGGCGGGGCGGGGTTGCGATGATTTTCCGCGCGCGCAACAATTACACTTTTCGCCCTCCGAACAGTTATATGCATAATTGGACACAAATCTGGTTACTTTTTCTTTTTTTTGCGGCAACATTTTTTTGGACAAAAATTAGCCTTTTTCTTTTCTTTTCTTATCATTTCATTTATTTTTTTCCGAAAAGATAATTTCGCGGAACTTGATTTCTGAAATCAATTCCTTTTCCCAATTTCATATCAGTGTGTTTTTAGTGGAACCTGATTTCTTCCCAAATTTTTCCTTGATTTCCTAAATTTTATTTTTGCAGGCAGAATGGTGGAAAGGTGGACACCAATTTTGGTGTTGCTACTTCCAATTTTGGTAACTGCCGCTAATTATCAGCAAAGGCATACTTATTGTGAGTTTTATTTTTTTTGGGAAAAGGGGGAGGGTTTTTGGATTTTTGAGAAAAATTGAGGGTCTCAAAATATAACGGATAGATTTGAGAGCAAGTTGAAAATGTTTCAAAAAATAATTTATTTTTAATTTTATTTCAGTTTTTATTCCCGTTTCAGTTTCAGATTTTATTTTATTTAAAATGATGTTCTTAACTTTTGAACCTAAGGAAATTTTTTTCTAAATCAAAATTCTCAAAAAAATGCAGTTCAAAATTTTCACGTGTTTTTTTGGTCCAAAAAAACTTTTCGAAACTTTTTTCCATCAGATCGAAATTCGAATTTTAAAAATCCTCGTGTAAAATTAGCCTGCTTCCAAATTTTTTGAGGGAAAATCGAGCGGGTTTCATTTTTCAAAATTCTCAAAGCCACGTTTCATAATGTTCTAAAAATTGGATTTGCAATATACCACGTGGTTAATCAGTTGAAACGTGAATTTATGAAATTTATCTGAAAAAGTTAAATTTTTTAAAGCCACGTGAGCTTTTTTCCTAGAAAAAATCAAAAATTTAATTTTCCAAATAAAAATTAATTTTTAAATTTCTGCGCTTCAAAATTAGGCTAATTTCTTTTTCTATTGTAATTTTCAATTTTTGAATCGTTCCAAATCTTTTGTCAACACAATTTTTGAAACACCGTGTTGACCACAATCTATTATTATTATTATTACACAATAGAGACATCAGAAGAAAATCCCACGAAAATGTTTTTTTCTTCTTTTTTGGCTGCTGCCTGCCAATGATGAGATTTAGTGTAAAAAGGTGTGTCTTTTAGTCGGTGACAAAAATGGGCAATTTTTGGGTGTGTCTTCAATTTCTTCCCTTCGTTTTTAGTTTCTTCTTCTGAAACTAATGTGACCTTGAATAGTTTAGTTGTTGTTGTGGTAAATAAATATAAAATAAAATAAATCGAAAATGAAAAGAGAAAGAATTGGCGAGAGAAAAAAGAAGAGAAAAAAGGAATGAGAAGGAGATAATGAAAATCGTATAGTTAATGAATGAATGAGTAAGGGATTGCCATTGATAAATAGTTTAAGATTTTTTTTTTGAAAAAAGAACTTCTGGAAAATGAAGACTTCCAAAAAAGGGCAAAAAGTTAAAAATAAGCTTTTTTTGCAGCTAGTCTTCAATGTCGAGTCAATGATCCACTTTCGTGTAATCAAGAAAAGAGCGAGGTAAATTTTGAAATCTGAAAATTAGTTATGACGTGGCAAGATTTGAACTGTGAGCAAAAGTGATAGTTTTTTTCAATTTTGTATTTTTTCAAAAGAAAAACTTTTTCGATTCTGGAAAATATCAAAACTTTTTAGAAATTCAAAATTTGAAATTTTCTGAAAATGTAATTTGCCACGTCATAATTTGAATATTCTTCTCCTAGGTTTGTGTATTTGTAAATGGTCAATATCGATGTGAATGTCCAGTTGGAGTATCTCGATTACCCGATGGCCGATGTCTTATGGTAAATGAATGTGCTCGACCATCTTTAAATGCCTGTCATAAAGATGCCGCTTGTATAGATCTTGCAGAAGGTTATACTTGTCGATGTAACACAGGATTTGCTGATGTTTCACCAGACAAAGTTAATAAACCAGGAAGAATGTGTCAAAAAACAGCAAATGAATGTGGACAAAAATCAACTTATGGTGTAGATTGCGATGAAAATGCAGCATGTGTTGATACACCAGAAGGATTTCAATGTGTTTGTCAACCAGGATTTGTTGATGTTTCAACTTCAATCGCCAAATTACCTGGAAGAAAATGTGTTGAAAGTGTTAATGAATGTACAAATGGTCAAGCTGATTGTTCAAAAGATGCTGATTGTTTTGATCGAGCTGATGGATATGAATGTAAATGTCGACCTGGTTTTGTAGATGCTTCACCAAATAATGATAAATATCCAGGAAGAGTTTGTAATAAACCAAAATCACCAGAATATTATGGTCAACAAAGTAGACAACCTCAATGCTCAGATGCTTCTCCTTGCGGACCAAATGAAGAATGTCGATTCAATCCAGCCGGCGAAAAAGTTTGTCAATGTAGAAGAGGATCTGTTCAACAATCAAACGGTGTTTGCAAAGTTTTTAGTCAATGTGAACAGAATAATGAATGTGATAAGAATGCATTCTGTTCAAATACTTATGACGGAGCAAAATGTCAATGTAAAGCGGGATATTTGGATGTGAGTCCAGATGTTGTTAAATTGCCGGGAAGAAAATGTCAACAAGTTGTGAATGAATGTGCCGATGGAAGTCATGATTGTTCACATAATGCAGATTGTCAAGATACACCAACGGGATATTTGTGCTCGTGTAAAAAAGGTTGTATTGATGTGTCATCAAGATATGATTTATTGCCAGGAAGAAAATGCAGTGTTGGTGAGTGAAATTTGGAAAATTAGCAAGTGTGATTTAACTTCACTCTAACTTTTTAACAATTTGACGAGAGTGTGTTTTAGAAATACAATGGAAATGGTCTTGGATTTGAAAAAAACCATAGATTTTTTGAATTGTAGTCTGATTAGAAACATTGAAGATCATTATTTTTGAAAAATGTAGTCTAAAATTGAACGCTCAAAATCAGGAAGTGCATAATTTAAAAATCTTCCAGTAAATAATATCGGTTTTAAAAAATCTCCATCTTTATCTTCAAAACTTTTTCGATTGACATTTTAATAACCCTCTAACATTTTCACCATATAACCCATTTCAGCCGATTCCCAGAATCCATATCAACCAGGTAAGTTACTGTATGCTTCTCCTCATTTTTTCAAATTTTATTTTGCTATCCCGCATCCGCATGTACAATACAAGCTTCTCCATCCTACTAGCTCAATAAAATCAATAGAAAACCTATTTTTTTCAGCCGCCAATCAATGTTCTGATAAATCTTTGAATAGCTGTGATGAGAATGCAGATTGTGTTCAATTACCAGATGGATATACTTGTAAATGTTTTGCTGGATATGTTGATGTCTCTTCAAATGCCAATCTACCTTCAGGAAGAGTTTGTACACTTTCAACCGCTTGTCCAGCTCAACCAACAGATCTTGTTTTCCTTATCGATGGATCGGGATCAATTGGAAGTTATGTGTTCCAAACTGAAGTTTTGAGATTCCTCAAAGAATTCACCGAACTTTTCGATATTTCTCCACAAAAAACAAGAGTATCAGTTGTTCAATATTCTGATCAAATTCGTCACGAATTCGGTTTGGATAATTATAATGATCGAAAATCTTTGCAAAATGCTATTACAAATATCGAATATCTTACTGGATTAACTAGAACTGGAGCAGCTATTGAACATGTTGCAAACGAAGCATTCAGTGAAAGAAGAGGAGCTCGACCAGTTGGACAAGTTAGCAGAGTTGCTATTGTTATTACTGATGGAAGATCACAAGATAATGTAACTCGACCAGCAAATATTGCAAGATCTCAAGATATTCAAATTTTCGCAGTTGGTGTTACAAATCATGTTTTGGATACTGAATTGGAAGAGATTTCTGGAGCTAAAGATAGAACTTTCCATGTTTCTGGTTTCGAAGATCTCAATACCAGATTAAGAAGTGCAATTCAACGTGTTGCTTGTCCACATCAAAGTAATGAAGATACATTTAACAAGGGACCATGTGATCCAAACAATCATAATGGTTGTGATAGATCTTTGAATCAAGTATGCACTTTGGTAAATGGTAAACCAGTTTGTGGTTGTCCACCAGGATTCGATATTCATCCAGTTACAAAAGTTTGTGGTGGAGATGTTTGTAATCCAGAAATTGCAACATCTTGTCCAGATCCGGAAATTTGCGAGAAAACACCTTTTGGAAACTGGAGATGTACTTGTCCAGCTGATTTGGGATGGAGAGATCGATTGACTGGAGTTTGCAGTTAGTTTTTTTTTATTTGTATGGGGATTTTGTAAACAGCGCAAACATTTTTAGAAAAAAATTAAGACGTGGCAGATTTGTAATTTGAATTTTTAAAAATGTTGCATTCTGAACCCTGGAAAATTCTAGCTCACGACAGCGCAAAATCACCCTACAAATTTTCAAAATTTCTCAAAAGTTCTGAAACCGAAATTCAATTATCTATCAAATAGAATTTCATGCAAAACCTCCTGATATTAAAAACTTTTAATTTTCAGAAATCGGAGAGAAACCAACAACATCAGATTCAACTGATGAATGTCATCCAAATGATATTCATAGTTGCCCACCAAATTCTAAATGCGAAAAAGGAGCCGGAGGAGAATTCATTTGTAAATGTGATGATGGATTTGTTAGAAACGGACAATCGAACAAATGCGAAGCTCCAGGAACATGTGATCCAAGAATTCCAGATTCATGCGATGCTCGCAAAAAAGAAAAATGTTTGCCAAATCTTCTCGGTGGATTCTCTTGTCAATGTGATCGTTTCCACAAAAGACATCCAGTCACTGATATTTGTTTGATTGATGAATGTTCAGCTGGAACACACGATTGTGATCAAAATGCAAAATGTACCGATACAGATGAATCATATCTTTGTAATTGTAATGTTGGTTTCCTTGATAAATCACCAGAACAACATAAGAAACCAGGAAGAGTTTGTTCAAAACAACGAAATGAATGTCTTGATGGAACACATAATTGTTCAATGAATGCTGATTGTATTGATCATCCTGATGGATTCCTTTGTCGATGTCGCGAAGATTTTGTGGATATTTCACCAAATCCACATGCTTTCGGAGGAGTTGATTGTCGTGCTTTGGTAAATGAATGTCTTCTTCCTGGAGCAACAACTTGCAGTGAAAATGCGATTTGTATCGATACTCGTGATTCTTACAAATGTCAATGTAAAGAAGGATTTGTGGATCATGATGAACTTCGAAATCCTGGCAGAACTTGTAAGAAATTGAATCAAATTTGTGAAAGTGGAAAACATGATTGTGACAAAAATGCACGATGTGTTGAAAAGGGAGCAAATGATTATGAATGTGTTTGTAATTCTGGATTCATTGATAAATCACCACTTCCAAGTAGAACTGGAAGAAAATGTGTTGAACCAATTTGTTCGGATGAAACAAAACACACTTGTCATTCAGCAGCAATTTGTGAAGAAAATGATGAAGTCGAAGATAAATACACTTGTAAATGCCGTGATGGATATATTGATATTGGAGACAAAAAAGATGGAAGAAATTGTAAAGAACTTGTGAATGAATGTTTGGATGCTTCATTGAATTCTTGTGATGCGGCAGCAACTTGTATTGATTTGGATGATGGATATACTTGTAAATGTCCACTTGGATCAAAAGATGAATCAGCTGATTTGGAAAAATTGCCAGGAAGAAATTGTAAGGGATTGGTTAATGAGTGTAATATTCCACATTTGAATAATTGCTCGCATTTTGCCACGTGTCACGATTTGGAAGAAGGATATGAGTGTAAATGTAAACCAGAATATCATGATCAAAAACCAGAACAACCCGGAACTGTTTGCAAATTCAGTGAGTTAAAAAACAATTCTTCTCCCTCCAAACCATACAAAATTTTCAGTCATAAATGAATGCCTCGCTGAAAATCTCAACGACTGCAGTGTAAATGCTGAATGTATCGATAAAATCGACGATTATGAATGTAAATGCAAATCACCACATCAAGATATGCTTTTGTCGAGTCCAGGAAGAGTTTGTCGATTCAATGAATGTTCGGATCCAAAATACAATGATTGTCACAAAGATGCGAATTGTATTGATACCGATGATAGTTATACTTGTCAATGTAAAGAAGGATATTTCGATGAAATCGCAGATATCAATCGACCAGGAAGAACTTGTATTGAAGTTGGATTAATTATTGAACAACCAAATCAACACGAGCCAGAAACTACACCAGATCCAAATTTGGTGAAATGTGGAAATGATAAATGTCGATTGGATTTGGGAGAAGTTTGTGTTGGTGGATCGAAATGTGAATGTCGACCGGGAGAAAGTCGCGATTCAGATGATGAAAAATGTGTGCCTGTTACAACAATTCCACTTGTTGTTAAAGTCGAAGAAATTGACGGTGAACCAATTCATTACACAACTGATTATTCAAAACCAGAATCTCGTCATCATGTTGAAATTTCTGATGCTGTTAACAAAGCAGTTCGAAAGATTATTCCAAGAACTGATGTTGCTCCAAGATTTGTTACCACCGATGTCAAATATGTTACAAATCCAAAAGTTGTTGATAGTGATTGGGATAAAGGAGTTCTTGTTAATTCAACAATTAAACTTGCTGGCAAAGAAGAAATCGATAAATGCAAATTATACAAACAAATAACTGATATTGTCAAAGAAATGGGTGGAAGAGTTGATAGAGTTACATTAGGAGATAGTGATAAATTAGATCCATGTGGAACACAAGATGATGATAATAATAAAAAGAATGGAATTCGATGTGGAGATACATTCTGTTCTCCAGACCTTGGCGAAGAATGTATTGCTGGAAAGATTTGTGGATGTCCAAAAGGAATGAAACGAAAGGATTCAAGTAGTCCATGTAGAAATGTTGAATCGTGGAATCTTCCACTTTATGTTATTCGAGATGGTCATGAAAAGATCACTTATTCTCCAAATCTTGCAAATCCATTGGATGATAATTATAAATCATTGGTTTCGAGATTCGAAAAAGGAGTTGGAGAAAGTTATGATAAAACACCATTGAAATCTGGATTCGTTACTGCTGAAGTAAATGAGATTGAAAAACCAGAAACAAGAAAGAAGATTTGGGGAGATAATGGAATTCTTTACAATTTCACAACTCATTTTGTTCGAGGAACTGTTGGAGAACCATCAACTGTTTTCACTGATCTTATTGAATATATTACGAAAAAGAATGATTTCGAAGTTGGAACATCAAAACTTTATATTTCACCAGATCAATTGAATCCATTCTCAAGTTGTTATAAATCCGATTGTCATCCAGATGCAATTTGCAAAGAAGATGGAAAAGGATATACTTGCTCTTGTCCAGACGGATTCCGTGATTTGAATCCAATCAAACCCGGAAGAAATTGTTTGAGTTATCGAGGAGTAAATGAATGCGAAAAACCAGAATTGAATGAATGTTCACCACATGCAAGATGTATTGATATGGATTATTTATACAAATGTGAATGTATTAAACCATATGTCAATTCTGCTGAAAAAGATGCACTTCCTGGATCAGTTTGTTCAATCGATTATTGTTCCGATGTCAATTTCTGCCCATTGAATTCAACTTGTGTTAATGTTGATGAACAGGTAATTGAGGGACCGTGTAAAAGGAAGAGGGGTGAGGAATTATCAGGTTTAGTTCAAACTTTAAAAAACTTTGAGAAACACCACCCTTCTCTCAATGCTCGAAATTTCCAAATTAATAAGATAAAGTTTAATCCTGATATCCCTCCCCTTCTCGTTTCAGAATCCCCGCAATTCCAACTTCTATCTTTTCTATCCTAGCCCATCTCCTCAAATTCTTCTATATCTAATTTTCAATTTCAAAACTAACCTCTTCTTAGAACACCTTTCTATCTACCCATTTTCAAAGACTTATAATTCACAGGCAAAATGCGATTGCAAAGCTGGATTCGTTGATATTCGAAAATCCGATCATTTATCCGATGCTGGACTTGGCGATGCAATTTGTTTGCGATCATCTGATGTTGATGAGTGTGCTTTAGGTCTTCATAATTGTAGTGCAGCTGCTTTATGTATTGATAAGAAAATTGGATATGATTGTAAATGTCAAGATGGTTATGAAGATGGTAATCCATCACTTCCTGGAAGAATTTGTGCTGCTTCACTTTGTGGTCTTTGTAATGGACATGGTGATTGTATCCACGATTCTCATTCATCAAATGTTACTTGTGCTTGTCTCGATGGTTATACTGGAGAATTCTGTGAAACCGCGCCATCAAATGCTGGTTTGATTTTGATGACAATTCTTGCACTTCTCTTCCTTCTTCTTACTCTTCTTTGTTGTCTTTACATGTGTGCAAGATGTAGATGTTTTGGTGCCAGAGGAAAACATTCAAGTGGATTAGGAAGTGAGATTCTCGAACCAACTTATATACCAAGGCCGACTTATATCAAGGGAAATACTGCTGATTATGGTCAAATTGTTCATCCAGGAAACCTTGATGGATATCTCGATGGTTTGTCAATGTCTTCCGATGGAAGTTCGATCGAAGAAATTGAGAGAAGAGTTACAACTGATGTTACAACAAGAGAAGTTCGAACAACAACAGTTCGAGATGAAAGTGGAAATATTGTTAGTCAAACAATTTCTCATAGTAATGGAGCATCTGGAGCAGCTGGTGGAGCAGCCGCTAGTAGTTATGCAGCTGGAGAAACTGAAACTGAACAATATGGAATGATATCATCTGATCATTATAAAACATCAGCTTCGGAAGCAATGGATGCTGCTATGTCAGCATCTGCATCACAATCAAGAGGAGCATATAATCAAAGTTATCAAAATAGAAGTTATGAACATGGATATGATTCGGATTCTTCTGCTGACACTGATGCCGGACATGCGACATACGATAGAACAACTAGATCGAACACGGTGAGTTAAAAAATATTGAAGCTGTGCACAGTCATCAAAACTTTTGAAAAAAATATACAATATAATTTTTAGGCGCATGACTTCGAACCCGGAACAGATCCTCGAACTGGAGTTGAGAGAACTAAGCGTGAATTTGTAACAACAACAAAGGCTGAAGAAGTCAATTATTTCTAGATTTCCAACTAAATACTTTTATAGATCATAATTCGGTGCATTTTATCCCCTATTTCTCCCTCAAATAATTTCCCCTATTTCCCAAATAAATACGAAGTAATTTACGCTAGCTAACATTGTAAATAAGTATATTCTTTGTTTTTTTTTTCCAATTTTTGATTTGCTCAACGAAACCCTTCAGTTACTTTCAAACCTTGAAACAAACTGCCATTTTTTGTATTTATTTCTCAACCAATGAAAATTTTCAGTTTTTTTTGTTTCTTGATAAAAATAAACTTTCAGGATTTCTACATTATTCAAACGTACCTTTTTTTCGTCGTTCACAATCCCAGAATTCCTTCAGCTAGCTGACGATTACTTCTTGAACTGCTTCTTCTTCTAGCCCAAGTGTTGATAAAACTCATAGGATATCTGAAAATTACAAGAGTTGGAGGGTTTTTGCTAGCTTTCAAATTTCAAAAATTCAAAAACAAAAAAATTAGGAGAGCACAGAGAAAAAGATGAAAGTGCGCTCTAGCGGACAGTGGCGGCATTTTTCTTTTTCAAATCTTTGTTTTATTTTTTTTTTCGCGCAATTTTTTTCTCGCCGAAAAACTCAACCAACTCTTGTTATTTTCAGGTATCCTATGAGTTTTATCGAAACTCATCAAGCTATAAAATCATTTCAAGAAGGAATCGCCTGCTCAGAATGCGAAACTTCAAAGAAAGATTTGCAATTTCTTGGAATCTCGTGTAAACATGCATTTTGCTGGGATTGTATCAATAAAATGACAGGAGACACCAAGAAATCAAAGGCAAAAACACTTTGTAGAAGATGTGCGATGGAATTGAATTTGAATAAAATCAGTGGAGCTACGATTTTGAACAATTGTCATAATCTTCTCGGAGAACTTCAGGAATATTTGGAGAAATATGAGAAAAACAAAAAGACAATGACAAAAGAAAGTTTGGCTTGCACACAAAGGATGATGGAAAATTTCGATTTGAACGCTGGGCAAAAGCAAAGAACCGTTGATGAATTTTTGATGACCCAAGCTGCGTTTCCCGACGATGCGAGTTCGACAGACGATGATGGTCCTAGAACTTCTTCACTTAGCCCAGAACTTGATGCTTTTACTGAGTATACAAATCCGAAGCTAGTGAAAAGTGTTGAAAGACCAAGAAGAAGTTCAGTTAAACGACAAGCATCGCCAAAAGAAAATATAGCAAAACGGGCAATGAATTTCGATTTGTTTAGTTCGCAAATTCCTGAAAAACCATCAAGTCTTTTAACACCGTTTGTAAATGTAAGTTTTTGTCAAGCTCATGAAAACTCAAAGAAATTCATAATAATTTCAGCGCCGAAAAACAGAATCTGCCGCAAGTTCTGCTTCAAATCTCGGACCTGTCGCACTTTTTGCAGACCCTCTGAAATCCTCGAAAAAAGATGATTTATTCTCGAAAAAAGTCTCGCAACCAAGAAGAACAATTTCATCAAAAATGGATGAATCATCTGAGAATTCAACATCTTCTCGATTTTCAACAGGAAGATTAAGATCAGAAAGTCCAGCAAGTTTCGATAAGATTAGTGGAAACAATCGTCGTAGCTCATTCGGAACTCGTCGCGGTGAAGTTGTCATCATAAACTCAATTCTTCAAAATCTTCTCCCCCAACTAAGATCTGCTATCGAAGCCGGAACTTGTGTGAACGAACGAGACTCCGGTAAAACGCCTCTTTATATTGCAGTTCAACAGGAAAATTTGGAGGCTGTGAAGATTTTGGTGGAAGCTGGAGCTATTATAAATGCGAATTGTGATGTGACTTTTGAGACTGTTTTACATGAAGCTGTTAGAAGGAAGAATTATGAAATTGTTGATTTTTTATTGTCAAAAGGAGCAAGTATCAAGGTAGGAGAATAAAAAAAACAACTGTTTTTAATCACTAAAAGCCTATGACGTGGCAATTCTCAGTCCCCTTTTTCAATTTCCTCATTTTTCCCCCAATATATTTCAGGCTAAAAATAGTTGGCAAAAAACACCGGAAGATCTAATTTCGAAGGATGATTTGAAAATGCGAAAAATATTCGATCGATTCCGAAACAAACACATGCTTCAGCCAGGTAAAAATTCCCTGAAAACATTTTTTTTTCCTTATAAAAAATTATGAAAATGTTTGCAGTGATTCCACCGCGCCGCCCGAAAATCTCATTCGTTCAATTGACTGACGAAACAATGTTGACAGACATCGAAAAGGCAAAAGTTCCCGGAAAAATTAATCTTGTCTCAAAAGAAATGGACGGTGTTAGTCACTATGTTGTCAGAATTGATGCGCGGACAAAAGTTCTTCGACTCACCAAAGATTTTTTGGGGCCGATTTTGAAGGCGATTATTCGACCGGGTTTGGTGGTTAGTTTGGAGTGGATTTTTGCGTGTATTTCGAATGAGAAAAAAGTGGATGATGATCGAAATTATATGGTGAAAAAGGTTCGATGGATGGATGGTCCGATAATTGAAGGATCGATTCAGGAATGGAAAAAAACTGATGATCGAATGACACCAAAATTATTTGCTGGTTGTAAATTCTTCTTTCTTCGCGCAAAATATTCATTTTTAGGTAAATGTTTCTGGGAAAATTGTGGGGTTTAAAAATCTAAAAACTGAAGGTCTAAATTATTAAAAATTCCTAATTTTCCCCCATTTTTAAGACCGTGTGACCCTTGTGGATATTTGTCGCGCTGGCGGTGGACAAGTTTTTTCGCGTGAACCACTCGTTGACAAAAACGACCCGCCACCGTTTCACAATTCAAATTTGGCACCAATTTTCGTGGTTTATAGTCTGAACCATGATGTGCCGGAAAAATATCGTGATTCCACAAAATTTACACTTATTTGCGATCAATGGATAATTGAAGCGATTTTGGCTTTTTCATTGGCCGCGAATCCATATTAAACACAAAACCTCAATTATTTTTTCCTGTGAATAGTATAATAAAATTTTTATCCCCTTCTTTTTCTCATTTTGAAAAACATTCCACTAGAATTTGAAAAAAAAATTGCCTGATCTCGGGCGGGCTCGAACCGCCGGCCTTCTGTGTGTTAGACAGATGTGATAACCACTACACCACGAGATCGCATGAGAAACTTATTTTGCAAGGTTGTTTTATTATCGCTCTCTTCTTTTTTGGTTTTCATTTTTTTTTTGCCAAACAACAACGAGTCATTAACAATTCTATTGGGAATGAAAAGACAATTGCTCCTTCGCTTCACTAATTATTCGAAATTTAAGATTTTTCGGATCGGATACTGTAGATTATTCTAAATTTAGATCGAAACATGTTCGTTTAGAATACGGTGGGCGTAATACTTGAACCAAAAAAAAGATGAAAATGCTTGAGGGATTTAATGAGAAAAATCGTGTTCTCTGGAAAAAATGAGGGGATTTATGTTGTTATTTTTTGACGACGACAAGATGAGCCAAATGGGAAAATCTAAAGGAATTTTGATTGAAAAGCTGATTTTTGTGAGCTAAGAGTGTTTCTTGAATCTCGAGGTCACGCAGAATAGCGCGCAATTTTTAAAAATACGGTAGCTTCCATAGAACGTGAAAAGTCGGATATTGTAGTAATGCAAAACTAAATTAGCACAGATTTATCAGATTTTTGAAATAAAAATCTGAAACTTATTGTCCTAACTCCCATTTTTGTTGTTATAAACTGATTTTGTTCCGAGCAAAATACGAGATTTTTTTGCAAAGAAAAAATCTAATCGGATTTCCTGATAAAACACCCTCTCATATATATTTTCAGCCAAATATCATTCTACGTCACAACACACTCATTTCTTCTCTATTTTCTGACTTTTTCTCTGCGTCTCATTCTCCGCCCAATTTCCCATATCTTCTTCGAGCAAGACAAATAAGGCAGAGCTTCTTCTTCTTCTTCTTTTTCTCTTCTTTTTCGTCTCGCCGCCGCCGCGAGCCAAAACCGCCAATTTTTATTTTATTTATATTTATTTCGAAGAAGCTTTGAGCAACAAAAATAATTTCAGATGGAAAAAACCAATTTTGACACGCTGCCACAACAAGACTATGAGTTAACAGATGTCGAGATTCAACAATTGAAGGTAAGCGATTTTTTTAGATGGGTGGAGGGGATTTAAATTTATAGGGGTTTTTTTTACTACCGAAAATTATAATAACGTACTAAGCATTTAATCTGACGACAACTCAGCCGCCCTCAAACAAACTATGGCAAGTGCCAAGACCCGTTCAATGTCGGTTGCAGAAAACTTATACAAAGCCCGAAATCTCCAAATTCAAAAGAAATGGTTACGATTCATTTTTGAAAACTTGAAATTCTATGCTCTACGGAGCTCATTTTCTCGATAACAATTGTTTCGGTAGCGAAAACCCGATGCGTATAAATTTTTTCCAAAAAAAACCTATCAATTTTTTATTACCTACCCTCAATTTTAAATATAATATATGTTTCCCCACGAAAATCCAATCAAATTCATCATTCGACATCACATAAAATATACAATTTCAACCCGGGAAAAATCCATATATTCTACTCGTTTTTTGTGGTCCCCAGAGCGTATTTAGTTATTCATTGGAGATGGCACAAAAAAGTGTCGTTTTTCGCAAAAAATGCCACTTTTTCGGCACAAAACACAGAAAAGAAATTTAGACAAAAGTTTTCTAAATACAGTTTTTTTCGAAAAAAAAACTATTGTTTCTTTTTTTGGTTGTGAATAAATCACGAAGAGAATTTCATTGCCACGTCATAGGGCCGAGATATCGAATTAAAAATTAGCAAGAAAAAATTCCGAGAAAAATCTCGCAAGATGAATTATTCATATTATGAATAATTTATCTGAAATTCTAATTTGTGATCGATAAAAACTTTCAGACAAGGTACCTAACTTAAAATATCTTACAATAAGTCTTGAAAGGCTTGAAATAGTTTTGGATATGGGATTAAGTTGAGATTGTCTGGGCTCAAAATTCGTCAAATTTCAAGCACATTTTAGTTTTCACTTTTCCACCACAGCTAATCCTAACCCAACCTAAAAACAATTGAAAAACTCCATTTTTTTAGGATCACAATCAAAAACGAGTGAAACGTGTTGTTGGTTATGTTGCAGTCGTAATGACAATTTTATCATTGGCTCTTGTCGCATTTTCGTTGGCTCTTGGAAGAAAAATCGATTTAATGGGTGAGTTTGAAATTTGAGAAACAAAAAAGAGGAACTTCTGATCCTGATCCTATATTGAATTTCAAATCAAGTTTTTTTTTTGAAATTCGAGAATTCTGAGAAACCGGAAACTGAAAGAAGTTATTTTCAGTGGAGCAAAAAGTCGAGGAACGAATGGAAAATTTTAACCAACAAATGACATATCTCAATTTAACGGAAACACGTCGAAATAATTCTTGATCTACAGTAACACAATCCAAATAATACTGTAGTTTGTTGGTTTTTATTACGGGTTTTCCTTTTCTTCAAAATTCCATGTAAATATGTATTTTGTATGTTTTTTTTCGACGATAAAAAGGGATTATTCATAAATATTTTGTTGGTGGTATTTTTTGTACTTTTGTTATTTTCGTATAATGTCAAGAACATTGGTTAGTTTAAAGATGTTCGTTTGGATTTTTGTGATAAAAATTTGACATGCTAATCAACGTGATGTATTCGAAAAATATCAGCGCTCGACTACAGTAACGTCTGCGATGTTGCTCATGTTATCTTACTTATGTAAACCAATTTGGAGAGATCTACAGTACCTCAAAAAAAGCGTATATCTTACGGGTTGCACGTATTAATTCGCAGGTGCGAAGGGAGCAACAGTACCTCTCGGAAAAATCATTGCTCATTTTAGCTAGCTAACACAGAATGTTAAAAAAGATCTCCAAATATCCCAAAACTCACCGAAAAATCGTTCAAAAGTCTTCGCACAAAGTTCACATAGAAAGCATAGGATTAGGATTATTTTCAGACCGATTAGCAAATACTAAACATCAAGAAATGACTGAAAAATGAGTGACCTGCCTGATAAAAAAAAAATAAAAACGTGAACATTAATTTTTTCAAAAAATCTTTATTCAAAAAAAAAAACCCGTGAAAAATAGGAATCGTAACGAAATATTTGTTTTGTTTTCTTTTCAAAGAAACAATCTGTGATAAAATAAAAAGAAACAGAAAATGAATTACACCATTTTAGGTTCAGGTTCAGGTTTGAACAAAAACGCGCAAACCGAATCTTTGTGCACTTTTTGTTTTTTTCTCAACATTGCTCGTGGATCATCATTGAATGCACCTTCCGAACTTCTCATTGCTTTCAAATCTCCACTTTCTGGTTTTTTCACTTTATTATCTTCAGCTGGCATATCTTCGATATAATATGATGAATTTTGTGAGGTTGATGGCTCTTTTTCAGCTTCATCGCTGGAATTAAAACTTTTTTTTATTAAAAAAGATGTGCGTGGGAAATTAAAGACATTTTTAATTGATAAAAATAATTTGATTTCCCTAAATAATAAATTCCAAAATATCATCATCATCATCCACAATTTTTTTTCCTGAAAATAATCGCCCACCAGCTTCAAAATATGATTCTGAAAAATAATCAGGATTACAAAGTTCAGTTTTGGGCTCAATTTTGTTTCATGACATTTTTCGATGTTATTTTTCTCAAATTTTTTTGGATAATTTTTTGAGTCAATCTGGAATTCAGAAAATGAGATCTTTGTTGAAACATATTTTTCGTCAGAATTTCCGATTGAAATTTCCAATTCTAAGTATAAAAACTGAATAAATGTGAGAAATTTATTTATAAATCTCAAACCAAGAACCAATATTTTTCAAAAAAAGAGGGTTCCAGATTAATTTATGAAAATTTATAAATTATTTCTAAACACTCTGGGGGTCACATTTCGAGTTTTTTTAATTATTGAAATCCATTTAAAAATTTCACCCTATTAGAAAAACTCACTCAATATCACTTGGATCTAATGGATCTGGTGGTCCGGCAAAACATCCTTCTTCAGCTTGAATTTCGTAAACTCTTTTTGAATGCATAACAACATTGTTATAAGGGTTATTTGATCCTGCAAAAAACGATTTGAATTTTTATTAAAAATGAAAACTCGGATCAGAAATGGCCAAAAAAGAAATATATTTGTTTCTAGAGGCATCTTTGCTATAATTATATCGGAGATAATAAAAAAAAATTTTTCTAGAAATAAAAAAAAACTCATTAAAATACGTTTCAAAATTTACAGATATTGTTAATCGAACGAAATATCTCTGATTTTTAACATTGACTTTTTTTAAATCAAACAATATTCAGAATTTAGATTATCTCAATGTCAATAGCTACTTGAAACGATTTCTAGGAAATTTTTAAAAATTAAACTTATTTCAAGCTTTTAAATGTAGTGTGTGTTTGTTCTTCAAAAATTATCCGCTTACTCATAACATCCTTCGAATCATCTCTTGATAGAGCGCGATGCATAAATCGCATAATCAAATAACATCCGAAAAAAATCACGATAACAGCTGTGAGCACAATTGTGAGCACAATTAATCCGGTTAGACTGAAAATAAATTGAATTTGAAATTCTTTGCGCAAAATTGATTGGACTTTTTTGGGAAATTTTGGCTATACCTTAAAATATCATGCTTGACATCATAGTTTGAATGTTTTGGAACTGATGGGAAAATCATTTCTGCATTTTTTGCAGGCCGAAAAAATGGAAGGAGAAAAGGAAAAGTAAAGTTAACGTTAAAGTTGATTTTCTTGAGCGAAAATGAGAAAAATTGATGAGTTTTCTGTGTTTTTTCTCATCTCATTTCCTTGTCTTTACTTTTACTTTTTTGGGGAAAAAATTAGTTTTTTTTTGTATTTTACCTGACAGGAACATATTCCTCAAAAACCCAATGTTCGTCCGAAATTGGTGGCATAATTAGCTAGGAAAATAGAGAAATAAAGTCACGAAAATCTCGAAAATTCAGAAACAAATTTTCAGCAAAAATTGATGGCGTAACTAAGAAAAATAATTTTTCAGATTTGCAGATAAAACAAATGTTTTCTGTCAAATTTAGAAAACTGATAAGAAGGGGATTTTGAGAGATTTGTAAAATGCCGTGAGTCAGGAAGATTAGATAGTGTGGGAAAATGAGAGAGACAGAGAAAAACTAAAGAAAAAATAAACAAGGAAGTTGATAAGCTATGGAATATTTGAGAGTAAATCACATGATATTTTTTGGAAAAAGGTTACTAGACTTTTTAGAAGTAATTCTGGGAAGGGAAATTGAGATTCCCAAAAATTGATATTCAAAAGTGAAAAAAATTAATTTCAGGATTATTGTTTTCAAAATCAATAATTTTTTTTCGAAAAAAAATAAAAAGTACATCAGTTGATTATAGGCTACAAAAAAGGAGAGTAAAACACATAATTTTTTCAAAAGGTTACTAGAAAAAAGATTACACAGGGATTTTTAAACCTAAAAATATTTATTCTGAAATGAATTTTATTAAGAAAAAAATTCTCCCAGAAAAAGTTAATTTAAGGACGGTTAGAAAAAATGTCAAAATAATATTTCGAAAATCAAGATTTTTTTTCCAAAAAAAATTCAAACAAAAAATCAATGTTTTTTCGCGCCAAAATGTTTGCTGTTTCAGTTTCTCCTTTCATATTTTGTCATGACTACAAATCTTTTTTCCTCGCTGCTCCGCCTTTTTCTGCCATTAATCCCTAAGATAAAAATTATCAAAATAGATAAATTGCATGGTTTTTGATTTTTGAGATCCTATTTTCATTTTTCTGGAAAAAAATTCCAAAAAAAGAGAAAAGTATGAATATTTCATTGAGGGTTGTTTATTTCAAATTTTGAAAAAGGAAAAAAAATCGATTTTCTTCCTTTTTCTAAAAAAAACTAAAATTTAAAATGCAACTTTCTAAAATATGAGAAATGTGTCCCTTGGAACTTGGCCAAAAAGTTCCGTCACATGCCAATCTTTTTGATCTACGGAACAAGAAAACATAGGAAAAAATAGGAGAGGAAGAATAAAACTAACTTGTTTGAAAATCCCCATCCACTTTTTTTGTCAAAAAGATTTGTTCGATCATCCGGCCGAAATGCTGACAAATCTGCATTTTCCAATTCGTCGCGATTCAACATTGTCATCTGCAAATTTTGAACATTATTTTTGAATGGAACTTTGGGGGATTTTTTTCAGAAACAAAAATCTGCGCAGGCGGCGGGGCTCGAACCCGGGTCTTGTGCACGCTTTGCAAAAGTGAAAACCACTTGACCACGCGACCATTTCTTGGCGCATATTAAATTTGAAATATAAAATGAGTAGAAATAGAAAAAAATCAATATTTCTGTCAGGTGAAAAGAAACCCTATCTTAGGAGAGCTCGAAAATAACATAACATACAAATTCTAATCACAATGGTATTATAGCTAATTGTTATTTTTTGGCTGAAAATAGAAAAATGGGAAAAGCGAAAAATATTTATGATATCAGTTTTTCAGATATTTTTTTTTATTTACCGTTGGATAATCGTCTTCTTCGTCATATAGACTATTTGATAAATGTTGCATATAAGTTAGAGGAAAAAAAGAGATTATATTGAGCAAAAAAAACTAATTTCATTTGACACATTTGAAACGGAAATGTCTTTCGAGAAATTTATATTAAATTTCAGTTTGAAACTTAACTTGAATCCAAAAGCCATCGAAAAAGCGCAACTTTTTTGGAAATTGAAGAAAAAAGGAAAAGTTTTTAGTTTTTTGAAAAGGTGGAAAATTAGATTTTACTTTTTACTTCTTTAACAAAATTCTCAAAAGACGGATTCTCAAAGTGCTATGGAGTCGCTAAAAACGACGATGCCGCAAAAATTAAAAACAATTCTCTACAAAACATTAATGCAAGTCCCTTGTGAAATCTAAAACCTAAAACTCACCGGTTTTTCTTCATCATAAAAGATGAATAATTCCTCAAGTTTTTTGCCTCCCATTAGAAACTTTCAAAAAAAACTTGTCAAAAAATCAACATGACAATAAAAAAAAACGTTTTTTTTTTGAATAAATTATGGTCTCTTCAGGCGAAAAAATATGATAGGAAAAATAGGAAAATCGACACAAAAAACAAGATAATCTTCTTTAACTGTTTTTCAGTCTTCTCGGAAAAATTAGAGTTATAGCCAACAAGATTTTTCTGCTTTCTAAGTAGATTTTTAGAGAAATATTTTTTCGTTGGGAAAAAAATTCAAGAGGTTTTTTGTACTTCTTGTTTTTTTTCGGGTAAACACAAAAAAGGTAGTAAGCAAAAAATCGAAAAATATAAAAAATCTACGGTAGCTTTTTTTTCGTCATAGGACCAAGAAAAACCATGCTACAAATTTGCAGAAAAATAGAAATGGTCTCTGGAAAATGGGCGGAGCCTCGAGAAATCATGCAGCTGAATTAAAGGCGATCTCACCGCGAAGAGCCAAACTACTGTAGAAAATTATTCTCCGCTTCAATTTTCATGTTTTTTCCAAAGCATTGAAATTAAATAAAAATAAAGAAAAACGAACCCATAAATGTGCCATATCTAGATTTTTTTCGTCATAAATAAATAAATTCTAACACAAAACAGCGAAAAAAAAAACAAAAACCCAAGAAGAAAAAAAGAAGAAGAAGATAATGAGATGTTCTAAAGAGAAATATATTGGTTTTTCCTTTTTTCTTCCATTTTTTTTTGAAAAAAAATAGGAAAAAATAGAGGATTTTTATTTGCAAACAAAAAACTCACATCATTTTTTTTATAATGAATTTCGTTTTTCAAAAATTTGAATTTTCTGTAATTTAAATTAATTAATTTGAAGGAAAAAAATTCATGAGGAAAAAGTTTTGAAATTTAAACTTCGCGCGAAAATCTCGTTGCTAAATTTTGAAAATTTTAATTTTTGAAACCCACGTGGCGAACTACTGTAATTAAAATTGATCTAAGCCCCGCCCACTTTATTATAGATATTGGGATTTCAGCAATTTTGTGGCATTGTTTGTTCAAGGAATTTTTTAAACAAAAACTCACATCATTTCGAAGAAATTCCATTTCTCATTAAGTTATTAGCGCAAAATTATTTCGAAAAAAAAGAAAAATGAAGAGAGAGATGGGTAAATTTTCACATGAGTGGTTTTTTTTAAACAACCAAACCGAAATCGTCAATAATTCATAATTTCCGGGAGTAAAAAATTGTGCACAAATGTTTTTTTTTTCGAAGATTTTTTTGCCCCGAGCGAGCGAGTTTTTCCAGATGACTTCACAAAACATTTTTTCCACTTACCGGATCCATTTTTTCTAGAAATCTAAAAATAAATAGAAAGCGGAGGAAAAAGTTTCTAGGAAAAGGAAAAAAGACAATTTTTGGAGTGGGATAAGAAATAAAAAAAAACTTAACGAACTTCGTGGAAACTTTATGATCTAATTAGCGCAAGCCTACTTTTTTGAGCGTAAAACTTGGTTTTCTATTTTTCCCAGAAACTTACAGCACAACGTTTCAGACACATTTCGAAGTAAAATGAGATTTTTGGTGAAAAAAATCAGCTGCCTTTTATTTTCATGAATATGAATAATTTTCAGATGAAGAATCAAAAATCTCAAAATCCATGCCGAAAAATTGCACAGAGAAAATTGAGCCAGTGTTTAAAAAAGTTGGTTCTTATACAGTAAATAGCTCACAAAGTAACTGATTTTTAGATGGAAACGCGCAAAAATCAGAACATTAAAATTTGACCACGTGGATTTTTAGCGCAAAAATTATAGTTTTGAAATTTTGCTGCGTGGAATTTCGGCACGAATATTTGAAATTCAAAATGTCTCAAAATTGCAAAATTTTAGCTTGTTCATTATTTTCATATGAAAAATCAAAAACCTTTTTTTTTCAGAAAAAAAATATCTTCAGCAAAGCAAAATTGAGCTTGATGAAATGAAGAAATAATTGTCTGGTAAACACAATTTTCTTTTTTATTTTTAACCAACCTTTCCAGATTTTTTCAATGCTAACATTCTTTGCTGCAAAGACGTCATTTTGTCAGCTGCTGAAATTAATTTTGAAAAAAAAACAAAAGAGAAAATGAATAATTACGAAATAAAAAAAAGAGCTCAGCAAAGTATCTAAATTAATTCACCATTAGCCAGAAAAAAGTGTGAAAATAATTATTTTTTCTAAATATTTTTCTTTGGAAAGTATACTTTTTCCTGAAAAAAAAGAAAAGAAATCGAAATTTTTTGTAGTTTTTTTACGAAGATTTCTCAGATTGTACTAAAAGTATGAAAAAATAAAAATGAAGAAGGAAGAAAAAAGGAAAAAAAGAGTAAAATTTTAATGAATGTGTTTTTTTTTGCCAACAAGCAGCAAAAGGGAAAAAACGAGCAAAATTCAATAAAAAATCTGACAAGAATCGAATTACATATTTTTCATTTGTTCCAGGAACAAAAAAATAAACAAGAAAAAATTTTGAAGAACAAAAATGAAACAGGTGATTGTTGGAACATAATTCTGAACTTGATGAAAAAATTCAAAGTTTTCATAAAAAATTGTGAGCAAGGTTAATCCATTCAGGGAGGTCACTTTAAGTGTGTTGATTTAGAAAAATTCATAACTCTTCTAAAACTAAATTTTTTTTTAATTTAAATTTTTTGTCAGAGTTTGGTTCGAAAAAAATACTTAAAAATATGTGTTTTCAGTTTTTTGGCTAAAATTTGGGCTCTGCACAGTATACGGTAGGGGAAGATTGATTGGATTTTTAAATTGAAATCAACTCAACCAAGTCTGAAAGCCTAATCCGAATTTTTTAAAGTTACAACTTGCAAAAACATTTTTTTCGAGCTCGGAAAACACAAAAGGCTGCAAACCACTCCACCTAATAAATAATAACAAATAAAAAACAATAGGCTCTCTCTCTCGTCCCACAAAAAAGTTATAAAAATTCTCGGAAAAAAAACAAGCATGAAAATATTTGGCGCGAATTAGAGGAAAATAAGCAGCTTTTCCATTTTCAATTCAATTCAAATAAAAAAACTGACCTGTGTTTCCCAAATAATCGTCTGATTTCTCAAATGTTCTTCGATTTCCGTTCGATTTCGAAATTTTTTCATTTTCATCTGAAACAAAAAAAATGAAACAATTATTGATTTGTTGACAATTAAATAAATATTTTGATAACCTTAGTTAATAAAAAAATCTGGTTTTTCATTTTTTCGAAGTTCGAAAAAACAAAGCATCAAAAAACAATTTCTATCGGGGTTAGAATTTTTCTGAAGAAGGTAAAAAAAAGAAATAAAATGAAATGAAAACGTTTCTTGTTTTCACTTTGAAAAATGAAAAAAAAACAACAAAAAAAATCTGATATCGATTCTCGTCGAGATCACGTAATTTGATAAGCACGAATGTTCTCTCAATTTGTTCCTCGAAAAATGGAAATCTTGAGTTTTTTAAAATATTTAAAATAAGAAAACACCCCAAACCATGTACGTTTGATTAAATTTTTAACATTTTTTGGGTTTTCAAATTTCTCACTGAAAATGTTTTTGAAAACTAGAAAAATTGACTTGTGACGCACAAGGATTAGAAATGCTTTCAGTTGAAAAAAGAACATATTACAGTCGTTCATTAAAAGTAAAATCGTATGTGAAAAAATCAAGAAAAAAAATAACGGCAGGATTTTTGATCATTTTCTCTCAAAGCTACATAATATCAGAATTTAAAAAACGGATCAAGTGAAAAGGTTTGGAAGTATTTGAATTATAGGGATTTGGCAATAAACTATTTTTGATAGAAAAACCAGAAAATTGTTTTCAAGATTTTCCCTGAAAAAAATTTTTTTTGCGCGCAAGGGTAAAAAGGGTACGCATTTTCCTATCGGCAGCAATTTGTAGATCAAAAAATTTTGCGAGTCTTGAAATTACAAATTTTCCGAGAATTTCTAAACTTGCCCTCGAAACTCATAATTATTGAATTTCTAGTAACTTGATAACGACAAAATTATTTTCGAAAGCCAAATTTGTACGAAAATCTTGAAATTTTAAACTTTTTGTGAGTCTCAGACTCATAATATTTTTTATCTACTCATAAAAAGCGTGCGCAACATTGCCATTTTGGTCCAACCCTCCAACTTTGAGCGAGAGTTGAATTTTTTCTGCGGCAGCGTTCTTGCATTGGGAAAGATTCCGTTTTTGTGCACGTGAGCTCATGAGCGCACAACAAAAATTCAAAAAAATAAAAATAAAGGCGCAACTGAAAAATGTTCTGTTGGGTCTCACAGCGAAAACATGTTAGCAACATTACTGTATCCCATTTCGAATTTTTTTTTTCGGATGCAGTTTTTTCTCCTTTTTTTGCGAAAACTAATCGAAGGCTACGCGCGCGCATAAGCACTATTCTACTTAATTAGAGCAGTTAAATACTGTGTCGAGTGTTGAGCTAAAAAAAACTGGGTGTTCAGTTCAGCAACGCATTTTTTGCAAAATTTTAGGACTCGATTGATTTCTACTTCGAAAATTTTAATTTTTTGATTTCACTTTTTCCTATGTTAACCTTCTGATATTCTATTTGTTTATTGAGATTTTCTGACAAGATTCAAACGAAACACTACGCGACACCTGTGTGCTTTGTTATTGATAGATATATTAATTAATCTGCACCCTTATTTTTCAGAAAAAAATGTCTTATAATTTATGGCATGACACCTATGATCTAGCTTTTCGTATGTACAACGATTCGGTTGCAACTCACCGATCTGATTTAGATGTGCTGGACATAAGTGTAGCAGACAAAAGCGCCCAATTAATTGGATTCGATCCATTTACAGGTTATTTTTGTGAAGTCATGTATTTGTCTGTAATTAAGCTAATGTTTTATCCTAGGATATCCTTGTATCTTTTTTGCTCTTATTGAATTATTTTTTGCAGGAAACTACGAACTTTTGATCATGCAAGCTGATCTAAACACACCAATCAATTCTCTTGTACGCGATTTGGCGGAATGTGACATCGAAGAAATCAGGAAGAATCAAAAACTTGCGAATGGCAATCATCCGAAAGTAATCACCGTTAAACTTTTGCACGCTCTTCCTCCATTAGGTCTGATTATATTCAACTGTGAATACAAAAAATCCATTGATCTCGAGAAAGAGTTGCAGTAAGTTTTTCCATGGAGTTTTTTCAATATCTTACGATTGATTAATTCATTTGACCCGGTTCATAGCAATTAATTTTTCAGAAATCATGCGAATAAGCTCAAACCAGCTCTCATAGGAGATATATTTCCGGGTGCAATTCTTCTTCGAAAACAAAATGATAAATTATATCGTGTAATGATAGTTGGCCAAGTTGGTGATATATACAACATTATATTGGTTGACCACGCAATGAAAGGATTCAGTAGACTCGAAAAGTTGTTTTTGTTAAATCCGGAACTTGATTTATCTAATTTTCCATGTGCACTTATGATTTGTCGAATTCGTGGTTTCCGAAAGCTCAATAAGTCGGCATTCAACAAATTCAAAAATGATATTGATAAGCATGGTCCAAAGGAAAGAGTGAAAGCAGTGGTTTTCAAGCAAGATGAGGTTTGATAGGAAAATTTTTATTCAAACCCAAAAGTATATTATTGTAGGATAACAACATGGTGATCGACTTCGGAGCAGTATCAGGCGCAGAATTAACTGCAAGTGAAGAACTATCGATTTATATGAATGACGACGGAGATGAAAATGATCCAGAATTGATATCATTGAGTGATATACAAAACATGCAAAACTCGTCGATAGCTGATGTTCAAATGGATACAGAAACTTCCAATAATCCGTTAGTTCAGAAATCGGTCTTCATATTCTGTTTTACAACATTTCAATATTTTCCAGAGCTCGCGTATTCGATCCGCCAACTCAGCCAACTCGCCCGGCTTCAGTTTCATCAATAATTGGTACAAAACTTCGTCTTCCACCACCATCTCCTGATATGAACTCTTCAAATGCTCCAAAACCGAAAGTTTTATTTGGAATACAATCGATCTCGAATTTCACAAAGGATAATCTTTTTCCAAAGAAAACATCGGTTTTTGGTATTCAATCGGAGAAACCTTCTGGTTTTGATTTTGTTGCAAAACATAGTTTTCCTCCAAAACCATTACCATTATTTTCAAATTCTGTAAAAGTGAGTCAAAACCCACAAAAATGATGTTACAAGATGAAAATTGTTAGATAAAAATTTGAGAAATGGCGTGGTTAATGCTAATCTGTTTGATTTCAGGATCCTTCAAACACGGAATATGACTTTTCCGCAAAATCGAACACGAAGTCTGGTTTTTGTGCGGAATTGAATACGGAATCTGGATTTGGAGCGACGTCGACGACACAAAGTTCATTTGGCACGAAAAACAACACAGAAGCTGGATTTGCCGCAAAATTGAACACGGAATCTGAATGTGGTGCGAAATCAAAAATTGTTACATTCTCAAATGAGGTTTGTTACGAGATCACAATAAGCTTGTAAGTTTCCCGAGGATTCCAGATTGTTGAATCGAGCCCAAGTAATGTTCACAGTTCAATCGATCTCGATGAATCGCCTTCAATGTCACCGAAAGAAAATGAACTTGTAAGTTTTTTTCTTGATATTTGGAAGTTAATCATCAAATTGATGACATCAATTAATTGTTTAGAATCTCTCAATGTCTTGTCCAAATGGAGTCGCAAGAATAGAACAACTTCTCACATTCCATTCTTCTGGTGTTCCAACTTCTGTTCCCGTTTTACAGGTTTGTTGAAATGTTGAATTTTCTCAGGGAATTTGAATTTTTGCAGCAGCCAGTTGGCTATGATGAAGGAGACGAGAGCGATACCGAATTATTAGTGGACATCAAAGAGGTAAGAAAAATTAAAATTGTGATCAAGCAATGAAATTCATTTTTTTCAGACAACAAACGAGAACAGCACGAGAGCTGGTATGGAATCGGAAAAAATCGTGAGTTATTTTGAATGTTTTATTATTTTCCATTAGAAATTTTCAAGCTGTCATAGCTCAGTTGCTGACTTCTAGTAATCAACGAAAAAATGTTTTTTTTTCAGCCTATCTCCGAAGAACAAGACAGCATTGAAAGATCAATGAGTATTCCGGAATTGCATTCGCCTACGCGTTCTGCAGATCAATCTTATATCCCGAATGTTTCCTCCGACCTTTCGCCATTTGAAACACATGATGGGGTTCCTGATCTCCAAAAAGATGACTTCAAAGTTTTGGGAAATCATTCGATTGTAAAAAGTGTATGTTTTTCTATATTTAGTTCTTGATTGGTTTAAAATTCATTTTTTGCAGCCTTCTGACGAAGATACTGTGCAAGAACCGGAATCATCTGAGATAATTGAGAAGAAGGAAGAGTCAGTTAAAGTTGAACAAGTTTGTCCAATCAGAAATTTGAAAGAGATCGTTGAAGAAGCAATCAGAAATCACGATCATTGGAACTTCTATATGAATATGTTGACTATTCTTAAGGTAAGTTAAAGTGTAAAACAGATGTAGTGATTGATATAAATTGTTTTGAATTTCAGAACTTTGCATATAGCAAGTCCGAAGAAGAATCAGAAAAATGGAAAGATCTCATCCAATTCGCCAATAAGAGTTTTGCCGATTCAATCAACCAAGCCTAAAATATTATTGTTTTAATGCACCAATTTAAGTACGTATTTCTTGTTTTATATTTTTTTCTCTTTTTTCAATCTTTTTTGAATATTTTTTTTCTAATGAACCAGTTGTTAATAAAAGTGCAGATGTTTAAGTAAAACAATATGTTAACAACGAAAAAAATATTTCTATTTATATTTTGGAACTTTTTTCTGAGCCTTCTTATGAGAAATATCTTGGTTTCAAATTTGATGCAAGATTTTCTTGTTCAAAAAAATTGATTAAAGGCGCTCAAAATTTTTGAAAGTAAAATCCTGCAAATATCCATGTTCTGTGTACTTCTCTCGAAAAATAGAACATTCATTTTTGCTACTTACTTAGGGTAACTAACTACTACGTAAATACTAAGACACTGTGTTCCCCTCATTCCTCATGTGAATAGTAATGTCTGCGTCTCTCATTTTCTCCCCCACGCTCTCTCTCGTCGTCTCTACTCTCTCTCTTTTTTCTCTCTCCTTTTATTCACAGCTGTTGTAAGTTATTTTTTGTTCTGATTTTTCATTTTTCTGTCTTGCCAAAGGAAATTCGAACTTTCCGATGTGAAATTCGATATTTCATGTGACAAAGTTTGTTTTTGTTCCAAATTTCGTGATACATTCTAAATATGTTGATATTTTATTTGAAAAGTCGAGATTTTTTGTTGTGCAACGTCGCGTTGCGTTTTTAATTTCGAAATGTTCACATTCATAAATATAGTTTTCGAATTGTTTCGTCGCGTTTTTCGCTCTAAAAACTCGATTTTTCTCCGAACTTTGCGCTTCAAAAAATAAATTCAGACGAATTTCGATTTTAATCGTGAACTTACCTCGGATAAGATCTCTTAATTTTCAAAAAAAAAAAACAATCGATTCTCCTATTTTTCATTTTCATTATTCTCGATCGAGAAAAGAGACATATGTCTCTCTTTGTCCTCTTCAATTAGTCGTAAATTTTATTTTACAAACTTTGCCCCCGAAAATATGTATTTCGCATTTTTTTCATGTGACTTCCTCTTCTTCTAATTTTTTAGAACCCTTTTTTATAACCATGTTTTTAGATTTTTTGAATGGAAAAAAAATGATAAGAGGACAAAGTACAACATTCTGGTTTTTCATCTATCGAAAAAAAATCTGATTTTTCTGCCACTTGTCATTAATTTTTCAGATTGGAACGAAGAAAAACAAAACAAAAAATAGATAGGAAAAACAAATAAAACATATTGATTTTCAGCCTAATTTTCATTTAACAGTTTTGCTAAAAATTTTGGACTTTCCCCTTGAAAAAAATGATACGCTAATAAATCAAAACTCTCGTCTTCATCAATCATTTTTTCATTGTCTCTATATATATTTATTTGGGTCGTTCACACATTCTGCAAAAAAAGTGATAAAATCTGCACTTTTTGACCCAATAGAGTTTCTTCAATTCTCTATTTGTTTTAAATTCTTTTTTTTTTATTGCTGAATTGGAGAAAAAGAATTGAACTGTCATGTGATCATTAATATTTACTCAAGAAAATAAAATTGAATAGAAAACCATCTGCTGCAGGTGTTTCTTCCGTTTTTCGAGATTTTTTCAAATTCTTGAGAAGTCTTCTAATCATTTTTCTTTTTATTTTCGAAATCAATTTATATTAGGAGTTTAGTTTGGAACATTTTAACTAAAGTTCGTTTTTTATATTTTTCTTGTCCTCATTCTCAACAAATCCGCCTTCTCCAATTAATCAAGATAATCTACAAATTCCAGACACACACGCACAAAAATACCACACGAATTGCTATCAAAATACACGGCCAGTTGGCTTGCCGATGTGGCAAGTTCGCTGGCAGAAGCGCCGCGGAAAATGTGGCAATTAACCGCGTGGACTTATCAAATATTCACAGATGACGATGTCGAATTACCCGAAATGTCGTCAACTATGAGACAATTATCGAAAAATAATCGAGAACAGGAATTTCATGATTTTGTGCGACAACAGATTGTAAGTTTTGATGAATGAAGAGTTTTTTTTCGGAAATTACCTGAACATTTTTTCAGATTTGCTTGTGGATTTTTATGGCATTCTATTTGTTTGCATATTGGCTGATATCAAAACTAAAACGAAAAACGGAACGAGAAGCATTATATGCTGGAGAAGAGGATTATTTCGTATACAGAGTTTCGTGAGTATTTTTAAATGTTATTTCAAACTGCGACGGATTCATAAAAATCGGACAAAGTTTGAAAAATATTACTTGATTCATATTTCAAATCTGGAATCCGTTTCGGCTGAAATCTTAATTCCAAAAAATCCAAACCATTATTTTTCTTAAGAGTTTGGATGTGCAGTATATCAATGTCAGTTTCAATCGGAAGTTTAACCCTTTTACCATTTTCTGTAATCGGTGTTGAATTATTACAATTATACAAAGAAGGACACGATAATAATTATTATATTCAATGGTTATCATATTCACTTATTGGTTCGCTCTGGAATTATGTATTTATTCTATCGAATTTATCACTTTTTGTTCTTCTTCCTTTTTCCTATTTTTTCATCGAATCTCAAGGATTTTCAACAACAAGAAATAGGAATGGAATAACTCAGCGAGTCTACGAAACATTGGCCATTTCTGCACTTTTTATCGTTGTTCTTCTATGTTTGGCTGAAATTGTATTGACGATTTTCAAATATCCCGTCACATTTTTATCAATATCTTCTGTAAATCTACCACTGATTTATTCATGTGTCTCACTTTTTGGTGCACTTTTATTGCTCATTTCGACGCCTTATGGATTTGCGAGAATGTTTTCTGTTGTTAGAGAATATTTTTGTGCTTCTGAAAATGAGAATGCGAATGGAAATATTGAAGAAGTAAGTATTTTGGGGGAAATTTTGAAAAAAATCGATAATTTTTGAATACCGAATGGGATCCCATGGGTTTTGCAAAAGTTAAAATTCTATTGTATAAATGGGAACCGAAATTTTTTTTTTAAATAATCGTTCACTACGTCATAACTTGACTTCAATTCAGAAGATCTAATCAAAACGTAAAAATTGTTTTCAGCTTCAACTCGAAAAATCAAGAGAAGAATCTCAAGCTGCTGAATTAGTTCTACCCTTCTTTGAAGATGAAAATCGGAAAGATTCAGATAGTGGAATCGAAACAGGATCAGTTGAAGAAGGTGGAGCTGGCGATTTTTTGGCCCAAAAATCGAGAAAAAGATGGAAAAAGAAACATGATTATGCAGAGGATAGTGAAGAAAATAAGAATATGGAAATACACAAAAAACGAGAGAATAAAAGTATTGAGAGAAGGGATCCACCGAAAACACCAAGACAACGACATTTTTCGGAATCTGGTGATTTTGCCGATTTTTCGCCGGAACATTTTTATGTGGCGAGTCCGGAACAGAATCAGTATAGAAAGAATTATAAAAGTGAATTGAATTTGCCAAGATTCTTTTCGGATTTGACGATTGCGAGTCCGATTTTTGCATCAACACCGCTCGGGTGAGTTTTTTTTGTGATTAGTTATGGCGTGGCATTTTTTGATCATATTTGGTTGAAAGTCTAAATTTTCCCATTTGAAAAATAAAGTTTATTTTTCTTCAGATTATTCAACGTCCAAACCCGAAAAAATCGATCGCGATCCGAAGAAGCACTTTGGCGACCATCCTCTTCAGCCCTTTGCACTCCTCTCAAAATTCCACGTCGAAGTGTTTTTCGTCGTGTCGCTGAACGATTATTTTTGAGATTTGGCGAAAATTCACGACGAGGAAGAATTTATGGATTATTAATGAGACTTCGATTTCCAACAATTGTTGCTATTTTATTGGTTTTGACCACAATTGCTTTAATGATGGTTGCAATTAATTCATTGAAATTGTTATTTGGATTTCGAAGTTTACCAGAATATGCACAGATAATTGAAGTATCAACACGTCATTCTTTTGGTTTATTTGGTGCATTTATTGAAACTTTAATTATAATATATGTGATGTTAACATCATTTATTGGTTTATATTCTCTTCCATTATTACGACAATTTCGACCAATTCAAAAAGATACATCAATGACCGCGATTATTATTAACTCATCATTGGTTTTAGTTGTTAGTTCAGCTCTTCCAGTCATTGTAAATACTTTAGGTAAGATTTTTTGTTGAAAAAACCTATGGGAATATAGTGGAGACAAGAGCTCCGAAGCCTTTTAAAATTTTGAAAATTCAATTTTTGAACCTAAATCTCCATTTTTCCAGGAATGACAACATTTGATCTACTCGGTGCTTATTCATCTCTTCAATGGCTCTCCTCATTTCGTGTGGTTTTAGCCTACAATTTAGTCTTCTTCATAATTTCCATCGCATTTTTATTCAATCAATTGACGGCTTCAATGCGAATGGAAATTGTGCGAAGAATTCGACAACTTCGCCAAAAAATTCGAACCAAAATTGAATAGATTTCTTTTTGCTCTTTACCCTCTCGTCAAATATATGAACCGCCCCCGAGTATTTTTCTCCTGGTTTTTTCACGGATGATCTCAAGTTCACTTTGATTTTTCGCGGGTTTTTTTGCACTTGCCACGTGGATTTTTTTGTCTGTAAAATAGCTAATAATAATAAAGTTTTCGAGATTTTTTTCTGCTTTTTTTGAAGTTTCAGGAAAAATGTCTTCATTTCAAAAAAATGTGATCTGAAATTTTGTGAACGCCGATACAGGAAAATCCGGGATTTAGCAACTTCTCAAAAACCACACAAAATTCGGTAAAATCCTCAAAAAACAATTTCAAACTACCGCCCGCCCGCTAACAAACACATCTCACGACACACATTCGCAATGGAGCGCACTTTCCTCTCTCACTCTACACATTTTTATTTTCTGCGATTTTTATCATTTTTCGACGCGATTTCTGCGCTCTCCATGATTTTTATTATGTTTTTGTGTTGAGCGGAACAGAAAAACTTGATTTTTGCCATCTTCTACCAATTTTTTTCGATGAAATTCGGATTTTTTGAAGGCAAAATCCATTGTCATCATTTTTCAGATGTACTCTCTAAAACCGAAACCAGTCGATTTTGAGAATGTTTGGTCGTCTTTACGTCCATCTGTTGTAGATATTATGAATATGAAACCGATTTCAAGTATTCAATGGCATCATAAGTTCAGCGATGTTTATGATATTTGTGTCTCGATTCCAAATCCATTGAGCGAAAAATTATATAACGAGGTAAGCAATTTTGAGAAGTTCAGAAAGGAAAAAAAGAAAATCTTTAGGTTAAAACTTGCATCAAAGACCATGTAAAATTGCAAAGAAAAATCATCGAAAATGTTGAAGCTGAACAACTTCTTCAAGAATATTTTCGAATGTGGACAGTTTTTCACGAAGGCGCTGTTTATGTTCATCAATTATTTGGATATTTGAACAAGCAATTTGTGAAGCAGAAAAGATGCACGGATTTGGAGAATTATCAAAATTATGCGCCGTTTTTGCAAGCGCCTGATGTCAAAGAAATTGGATGTGTAAGCAATTTTGATATTGAAATATTGGAAAAAATTCGAGACCTTTGACATATATTTTTCTGGTAGATTTAGAGCCGCTGATCAAGGTCTCGTTGACAACGAACAAGTCGTTGTCAAAAACTTTGAATTTGGGGCCGAAATTTAAGTAATAGACATTCGAATATTCGCTCTAAAAACACCCTAATCAATTTGTTCCTAATTAATTATTTTCAGCTTGCTCTTGAAATTTGGCGTGAAGATCTTGTTAATTCGATTCAATCTCGTCTTGTTCAACTTCTTCTTATTGCAATTGATGAAGATCGACGTGGAAATACTCCAGCATATTCAGATGTTGTTGCCGGTGTTATAAAATCCTTTGTTCAAATGGAAGATCATGATTTCGACATGAAAGAATCGACAAATAAAGAATCATCACCAAACAAATCGAAAAAAACAATGGAATGCACACAATTCTATAAAACTAACTTTGAAGCAAGTTTCTTAAAAGACACCGAAATGTATTATTCAAATTTGGCGCAAAAAATGTTGGTTGAATTGTCTTGTAGCGAATATATGGAAGCTGTTATACAGCAATTAGAACAAGAAGAAATGCGAGCGAAAAAATATTTGACTGAGGCAAGTGTGAGAAAAGTTATCGAATTATGCCAAAAAGTTATGATCAAAGCACATAAAGAGAAATTGCATGCTGTTTGTCACGATTTGATTACAAATGAGGAAAATAAGGATTTGAGAAACATGTATCGACTTTTGAAACCAATTCAAGCTGGATTATCAGTTATGGTTAAAGAATTTGAAGATTATGTCAAACAAAAAGGTCTTGAAGCGATTTCTCGACTTTCCGGAGAAAATGTCCCTCAACAGTTTGTTGAAAATGTTTTGAAAGTTTACAATAAATTCAACGATATGAAAACTGCTGTTTTTATGGATGATGGAGAATTTTCGAGTGGTTTGGATAAAGCATTACAAGGTGTTGTGAATGCAAAAGAAGTTGGATTGGGAAATGTTGCAGCAAAAGCAAGTGAAAGATTGGCAAGATATACAGATGGATTATTGAAGAAAACATCAAAAGGAATATCGGATACTGATTTGGAAACAAAATTAACAAGTGCTATTGTTATTTTCAGATACATTGAGGATAAAGATATTTTCCAGAAGGTAAGCATTTTTTGTTGAATAAAATAATTAGGAAATTATAGTTTTACTCAAAAATGTTGGCCAATCGATTGATTACAAATACATCAATTTCAATGGATTCTGAAGAAAACATGATCAATAAATTGAAACAAGCTTGTGGATATGAATTTACGAGCAAATTATCGAGAATGTTTTTGGATATTGGATTGAGTCATGAATTGTCGACGCAATTTGAAGCGGTTAGGATTTTGAGATTTTTTTTTGAAAATTAGAGATTTCCCTCTTATTGTGAGAAAATTTAGTTTTCCCCTGAATTTTCCTATTCAAACTTTAGATTTTTCTTACGGTAGATCGCTTCAGAACCCATTTTTTAGAAATAAAATCAAAAGAATCATTTTGTATCCGTCAAAAACTACTGTATTTCCAACAATAATTCATTTTTTCCAGCATCTCACCGAAGTGAAAAAGAAAGATCCAAAACTCGAATTTGTTTCGACACAAACATTGATTCTCCAAGCTGGAAGTTGGCCATTGAGTGCACCACAACTTGGTTAGTCTTTTCTCTTTCAAAGTTCCACCTCAAAAATATTTTTCAAATCATTCCAGCAAGCGGAAGTAATACAAGTCAAACCGCCCAAGAATTGGCCGATTTCCGACTTCCACGTGTTCTTCAACCTTGTATTCAAGAATTTGAAGAGTTTTATACATCAAAACACAGTGGAAGAAAATTGACATGGTTATGGAATATGTCACAAGGTAAAAAATCAACTAAAATATAAATCTAACGAGATTTGGTTTGTTTTTCAGGTGATATTCGATTTTCGTATCTTGACAAGCAATATGTTGTCACAATGTATTGTCATCAAATTGCAGTTCTGATGTGTTTTGAGAGATCTGATTTGATTAGTGTAAGTAGGGAATTTTAAACATGGGAAAGGAAAATATTTTGGAAATATTCTTCGCTGTTTTTTTCTTTGAGAAGTTAGAGATTCAAAGGAAAATAAGTATTTTTTCTGAAAAAAAAGAGTTTTGAAAAACAGTCACAAATACGTTTCAAACCTGGAATAACGGAGATAAAAATGACTTCAGGTAATAAAACTTTGAGATTCTTTTTTTATTCTAAAAAGTTACAGCATATTTTTCCTGTTCTCAAAAAGCTCCGAAATTCTTCAATTTTTGAAATTGATCACAAAGTTTTCCGAGAATTTTTGAAAAATAAAAGAAACTTTCTAGTTGTCATTTTCGATATGAAAATTTAAGCGGAAATTGAATTTTTTGTTCTGGTGAAGTTTGTGAGTTTCAGACAAATTCAAACTTCGAAATTGGCTGAGATGCAGAAACTCAATTTCTCACGATCAGTTTTCGAAAAAAATTCAAATTGTTATAGAAAATTTAAACTTTTCTGAAAAATTCCTGTAAATTCATATAATTCTTCTGCTATTTTCAGGTCAAACAAATCAGTGAATCAATTGGAATCACCGGTGATTATTTATTGAAAGTTCTCAAAACAATAGTCGATGCCTCGATTCTTTTATCCGATTCCACAACAATTTCACAATCCTCAAATCTTCGCCTCAATTTACAAATGACATCTCGTCGTATTAAATTCCGCCTCCAAATGCCACAAATCAATAAAACTGTGGAAAAAGAAGGACAAGAAGCGGTTGCAAATACAGTATCACAAGATCGAAAATATTATATGGAATGTGCAATTGTTCGGATAATGAAAACACGAAAAGTATTGAAACACAATGCATTGGTCACTGAAATTATGGATCAAACAAAAGGTCGTTTTATGCCTGATATACCATTTATCAAGAAATCAATTGAGGATTTGATTGAGAAAATGTATATTCAGAGAACTGATCAAAATGACGAGTATCAATATTTGGCCTAAATTTATTCATTTTTCTATATTCCTCAATTGGAATTACTTTTTTACTGAAAGTGGCTGGGAATTTGTATCGTTGAGAAAATTACCAAAAAAATTTAAAGAACCAAAATGAAACTGTGAACAAAAATTAGGAGAATTTTGAAATTTTCAAAAATAAATTTCTCGAACATGTTTCTGAAAATTTTAGAGCTCTATTTTTGTTCATAAGTTCATTTATGCTCTGATTTTTTTGCATTATTTTCTCCACGATTTGAATTTCCATCCAGTTTTTTTGAAAAAGTTTCCTCCTCCCAAAAATCGCTCTATTTTTTGTCCTCATTTTTGTATCATAATAGAATATTTAACACTAAAAATCTACACTGAACCCCACACAAATTTTTATTTTTTATGTACAATACTTATTTCTCAACGTTCATTTTGTTTCGTTATGTGTGTTTTTTGAACGCGGTATGAATATTTTTCAAAAAAAAGTACATTTTTGTACGTTTTCTGTTGAACTTTTTGCCCTATGGAGATTAATTTTTCAGGCCCAGGTCTATTTTTTCTCGCTTATTTTTCTCTCTTAATTTCTTCAATCTCTCGCATTTTTCGCGACAAAAAAACAGTTTCTCTTCTTTTTTTCACTGCGTCTCTCTTTCTCTCTACTTTTCGCGTTTCGTTTCGTTTTCCGTTTTTATCAATAATAACACGACCAGACCAGTCAATTTCAAATAGCAGCACCCAACCACATATACTTTTTTGAAACACATTTTTTCCCGCGCAATTTGGATTTTTTTGCTGGCCTCTCATATTTATTACCTCTTTGTGTATTTCTCGAGGACGAGAAGAAGCAGAAAAAACAAGTTTTATAGCTATACGAAAATTTCTAGCAAAGATGAAAATAAATAGCACGTTTTTTGTCGCGCTGGAATTTTTTTTTAGAACGTGGATTTTTATTGATTTTTTAAATAGATTCGATCATTTCTTGATTACTACTTTTTGCAAATGTTCGAATTCCGTGAAGTTTGGAAAAATTTTCTTGAAAGCCGGAAATGATATAGTGAGTTTCGGGGAATTATTTCATGCTCTGAAATTCTGAGCTCTGTAATTTTGACTGGATTTCTTTCAAAAGTTGAATTCTCATAACACCTTGGGCTAACACTGTAAATATGTATATAGATTATCTTCTGACTCTTAAAATTAAGTTTCTGGAACTTTTTTCGACCCATCTCAATCTAATAATCTGAAAATCTGTGTTCTGAATTTTCCTGGTCCTTCAATTTTTTCAGGAAAATAAATAATAAAAATCAAAATAAATTTCACGTTTTTTGTCGCGCTGGAATTTTTTTGAACGTGGATTTTTATTGACTTTTTGAAATAATTTCGATCATTTCTTGATTTCTATTATTTTTGAAAATGTTCGTAATATTTCGAAAAATCTATGGAAGCCGGAAGTTATTGTGAGTTTTGGGGAATTACTTTGGGTTATGAAAATCTGAGCTCTAAAGTTTCACTGGATTTTTGAAAGTTCTGAAAATTGAGGGCTTGAAACTTTTTCTGAACTATAGTTCTGAAAAATGCCAACATCTAATGTAAAAATACATTAAAATGTTAAAAAAATATACTTCTGAAATCTAATAGAAATATTTGAAATCTTTTTCCGAATCCAGACTTTCTTTGAGACTTTTTGAAAATGTCAGAAATTGTATAGTCTAGGCCCCTCTTCTCTAAAAATTCTGTCAAAAAATTCTGCAAAAATGTCTCTCTGTGTATTGCGTGGTCACAAAAAAGTATACCTATATAGTTGTTATATCATATTTCAGTGTCCATTTGTCAGTTGTTCAAAAAACCCAAAAAAAAAACACAGCAAAAAACAAGAAGAAGCGTTCATTTTTCTTTCTCTCGTGTGTTGTTTTGTCCATTTTTTTCCTTTTGGCCATTTCTTTTTTTTCGTTGTTTTTCTGTGCCAGCTTCGTTTCTCTCCCCGTCTGTGAGCCTTTTTTTCGTGGAGAAAACGAGGAGCAAGTGAGTGAGGAGCATTTTTGGGGCGCCAAATTCCGGATTTTTCTCGAATGTTTTGTTTTGATTAAAAATCTATTGGACTTGTTAGTTAGGGTTTTGGTTTTAAGTTTTATTTTTTCGAAATTTCTCGACTTTTTAATGGCAAGCGCGGCACAGTTCTGTGGGCGTGGCTTAGGTGATGAATTCAGTGCTTTTGTTGTATCTATGTTTCAGGTCATCTGTGTTCTGAAATCAAACTTTGCAGATTTCGACTAAAATTGAATTTTGGACTTTAATTTTCAAATGAAATTAGGCCACGCCCACAAAACCGTGCGAGACTTCAAAATTTTGCTTAAATCCAAAATATCTGTAAAAGAAAACATTTGAGGTTCAGAGAAATTGTGATTTTGTAATTAACTGTTCCAAAAATGCTTTCTTGACCTGCAAAAATTGTTTCTGATCTATATTTCTCGGAAAAATTGAACTGTTGCTTATTTCGTCCAAAAAATTATGTTCCAAATTTTTTTCATTGGAAATCTCAAAAATTCTCGATTGTTTTTATTTTTTAACGAATCTGGCGATTTTTTAGGCGAAACTTCTTTCTTCGAAATGATTTTATTATATTTTCGAGATTTCTTTCTCAGACCCCCCTAATAGGTCAACATTTTCCCCGATGACTAAAAAAACTAGACTTTTTCGTCATTCAAAGTCAGAAATATCATCTTTGACTCATATTTTTTGAAATGATAGAATAATTCTGTGTCTAGTGTGATTTTTCAGAATCCTAGAACTTTTTTAAAAACAGGCCTGAAAGCCCTTTATTGTTCTGGAATGGTTTTCAGACAAGTATTCAAAATTTTTCAAATTTTTTTCTGAATCTTTTAGTATTTCCAAATTCTTGTGCGCTTGCTCAAAATTTTCTACAGTTCAAGTTTTTTTTTCCCAAAAAGTCCCATAGAAGTTCTGCTCTGCTGAAATTCCAAACACTTTGCGATGACTAAAAGCTATTTGTTTTTTTTCATTCCAAATTCCGACTTGTTCGAAATTTTTTAAAAACCTCGACTGTAAGATTCCAACCAAAAATTCTATGAAAAAATTTTCCGAGTATTTTTCTAGGTCATCTCGAATATTTTTGTCCAGGCTTCTAAGACCACCGCTAGAACTAGCTTTTCATTTATTTTTTTTCAGTTAAAGTCATTCAGTCAGTAATATCATCTTTATTTTTATTTTTATTTTCTTTTTTTCATAATAATAATAATAATAGTATACATATAATTTTTCATCCATTTTTCTTCTTTTGCGAGAAAGAAGAAGAAAATAAGAACCAAAAAAATTGTGAACGCGCTTTTCTTCTTCTTCTCTTTTTCTTCTTTCGTTTTTCGTTTTCACATTCATTCCCTTTGCTTTACGTTTGGGAATTTCCAGAGAATTTAGAATTTTGGTGGATCTCTTGGCGCATTTTTCACATTAATTTTTGATAGAAGCCAAGAAATTAGTCTCAAGTTTTTCTAGAAAAAAAAGAAAAGAGCAAAAATAAATTCTCTTTGAACCCCCAAAATTTTTTTGCTCTCTGTGATCCGAAAAGGTCATTTGCCCTTTTTTTTGTGTTGCTCTCGCGGTCCAAAAATGTCTCCAACTCTCTCAATTTTTCACAATGTTTCATCACTCTCTTCTTCTTTTTTATTTTATTTTTTTTTGAAGATTCTTCCCTCCAAAAATGTATTTTTTTGTCTTCTCGACACAACACAAAAATCGAATCGTTTTCTCTATCCGTTTTGGTTGGAAAAAATCGATATGCGTTTTTTTTTTGCAGATTCGGGTCAATTCCAAGCCAAAAACATCGTTTGAAGTCTTTCGTTTTTTTCATTAGTTCAGGTAAGGGTTTTGGGAAAGGTTTAAAATTAGGATGAAAAACGTGAACCTGAAATTAATTTTTGAAAAAAAAAATTAGGCAAGGAAACATTTTTACGGCTGAATTTTTTTTACGAAAAACTTAAAAAGCTGAAATTAATTTTGAGGAACTTCACTTTCAGAACCAGCTGAATATTTTTGAGAATAATTTCACAAAAAGATCGAGACATCGGCTATAGACGAAATTATATCTGAAATATCTAAAATTAATTCTGGAACTCTTTATTTTCAGAGTTCTGATTTTCTGTAAAAAAAAAACTTCGAGTTTGAACATAATTTGAATCTTAAAATTTTCTCAGAAATTTTGAAAGCAATTATAGCGTATGCCCAAAAAGTGTCCAAATTTAAATGTTTCGACTTGAAAACCATTCCAATGTGGGTCCTTGAATTTTCAGCCGATACTGCAAAAGTAACCCCATCTAAAACTGTTCATCAAATCTTCAGAGTTCCTTTTTTCCAGATTATCTTGTTCTACTTACAATAAATAAAAATGGTTCGTAATCACCAACAACAAGTTGAAGGAAATTCGGAATCAGCAGGTTAGTTAGTTTCCTCAATTTTTTCTCCATATATTTTTTCGTAAAAATTTTTGCGCCGTTACATACGTTACGTAATATGTATTTGTACAGGACAAACAATAATGAAAATGAAAAATTTGCTGTGTGTGTGTGTATGCAAAAAGCGTTATTATTATAGTTTTTTTTCGAAAAATGTTTTGTTGCTGAAAACGCTTTCAGTTTCACTCTTCTCTCAGTTAGTATTAGTAGTAGTAAAAAAAGCAAAAAATGAGAAAAACCAGTTCAATCATCTTTTTTTTCGCCTCGTGTTTACTATTATTATTTATATATGACTAGCTAGATAATATTAGATTTGAGTGTATTGTTCTTTTTTTTGGACTGATGTTTTTTGTTGTCTGCAAAGACTGTGACTGAATATCGTTGGAATTATTTTCAAAGGGACTTCCTTTTTTAAATATCCGAATTCGAGCATTTTAGAGGTCCAAAAACTGAAAACATACAGAATTAGCACGGAAAAAGTTATTGTACAATAATGATTTTTGCGAATCACGAATTTGTCCGAAGTGTGGCGCTGATCCTTGACAATCTAATCTAGACTATCTGTACTCAGCTATTTGGAAAAAATGACACTTTTACTTCTTCATAGCTTAATTTTCAGAAAGTAGAATTATTGAAATAACTATTTCGTGGTCTGTTCCTTCAACTTCCAAAATTAAATTTCCCGAAAATATTTATTTTATGACCTTGCCTTCTGTTTCGTTGTCAGTCACTCACAGATTTCTCATCATTACGCAATCAAAACCTGAATGTCCGATGTTATTGGTCAACTAGCGAATAGCCCTAGAAAAAGTGCATTCAATTAAGCTCGAAACCGGATTTCTTGCCGCTGACGCGGAAAAAAAATGGTATTCGACTGCTTGCGCGCGCCGCCGCTCGCATTCTTGAGAACACTTTTTTCTTCCATTCATCTGTTCGTTGTCGTTCATTTTTTCATATTATTATTATTACTTTTTCGGATTGGGAGAGGGATTGAAAGAAACTAGAATTCTTGCATTAGAATTAGAGGGAGATGGGACATGTTTCGAATTTTGGTGCAAAAATAATGTGATATGATCAACTCTGAAATTTCGACCTGAGATTTACGATGCATTTAATTTTTATTATAGTTTTGAAATTAGAATTCCACGTGGTAATTTTAAAATTTCACTGTTGAAATGCCACGCGGCAACAATTATTATGAGAGTCCATTCTCACCTTAATGTTTTTTAAACTTCAGCGCCGATAAATTTGAAAATTCATATATCTGACCTGAAATTTGCGTGGATTTTCGTTACATTTTTGCTCCAATAATTCCATTATCATATTGATGCTCAAAAATCCAAAAATGTTCGGTTTTCTTGATATTTAAGCTCTCTGACAGCTGCAACTAGGATTTCCAAGCTTTACTGCTGGACTAGAAGCTCTTTAGGCTCCGCACCTAATCACAGTACTGTTCAAGGTGCAGATCCTTGTCCAAGAGGATTTCTAGACAGCGGTTTAGACAATGAACTTTTCTAGGCTCGGTAACTTGACAACTATGTACGCTTTCAAGGCTTCACTATTTGACCCATAGCTCTAAAATTTTGTCACTGTTATTTTGTTCTGGGGTTCATAGCTCACTTTTCTCCAGAACTTATTCAATATTTCATTCATTCGATTTCCCGCGCGCTTAAACAAACATCAAAAATTGTCCCTCTTGCGCCAACTTTTCCTCTTCTTCTTCCTCTTGGTCAGTCATTTTTTCCGCATTTGCCGCGCGCGCGCGCTAAAATGACCAGTTTATGACGCGACTGACTTTCCGAAACAATCCGGACCGGATTGTTTCGCCGCAATTTTCTTTTTGCTTCTTTTTATTTTTTACTCTGCTTTGGTATATGCTTTTGATGTGTCAAAATTTTTTTTTGAGTTACTGTAGATCAGGAGGCACAATTTTTACCCTGGGTTACTGTATAACCGTAGATATAACTCTAGATCTTCAAAAAAAATCCACGTGCTTCACAATATTCAACCCAAAACGTTGAGTTACTGTAGATCCTTTGAAAATATTCTGGAAGCCTGAAGCCAATGATTTTCTGAAAGACCACATTACCAAAAAACCAACTAGTTTTAGTTTTTGAAGCAAAACATGCACTTGAGAAGAAGCTGTTCTTCTTCTTTTTTTAGTCGAATTCAAATTTGAATTAAATTTAGGTCAAGATGACTGGTTATTTACAAAAAAAGACAGGTTCTCTTTCTGTTCTCAGCTGATTGATTCGAGGAAAAAATCGAAAATCGTCATCATGTGATCGCCAAATAGAAAAAAAGAAAAGAAAAAGTTTTTCTAGCTGCTGCGCAATCGCTTCTTTTTTTTGTCTTTTCTCAAACCGAACCGAACAACAATTTGATTTCAAGTCGGAAGTTTTTTCACTTTCAGCAGCCAGAAGCACTTATTAATTCTTTCATTATATTCTCATCGTATTATGTAATCGCCTTCTTTTTTTTTGTTTCACTTTCGATTTGATTTGAATTCCTTGAAATTATTACGGTATGCTGCTATGATTTTTGATGCTGAAATTGTAACTGGAAATCTTGTGAGAAAATTTCAGAGGTTGCTATAGGGTTACTGTAGGTCAAAATTCCGCGGTAAAATTCTCCATTTTTGATTTTCAATAGTTTCGAAATCATTATCATTTTGATTATTTCTCATGAAATTTCGAATTACTGTAGCTCTTTTGAATAGGATTGGTAAGGGAAAATCGGATTATTCCCAGACCAGAAAAAAAGTGGTCCGATTTATTTTTTTCCAAAATCCGATTTTTCTATTGGCCTTATTCAAAATCTCTGAAGTTGAGTTAAATTCTGAAATTAACAATTTAGAGCTTTGTATACACTTTTCAATAATTAAAAAAGGTTCCATTTCAAAATTTTCCTGATAATTGATGTACATTTCAAAACTTATCATAAATATTTCAAAATATTTCCAATCCCTCCCGAATTTTCACAACAATTTCACATCAAAAACCGTCCTCGTTGTCTTTTTCTTTCATTTTTTCCGCTCACCTCCTTACCGCGCAGCCGCCGCCGCCGGTTTCTATTTTCGGAACATGACCAGCACAAAAATACACACAGCCTCACGCACCGCCATCTAAAAATAGCATCTCCCATCGAGTGCACGACTGTGCAAATAGTGTGACCTCTCCCCCCACGGGCAACAACGGGTCACTTCTTCTTCTTCTTTTCGAAATATTTTTGGATGAAATTGCGCTATTTTTAGATCTGGTTTTGTGTTTGGTTTTTGTTGTTCTTTACTTTTATACAGTGTGTTATTCTATTTTTCTAACAGATCAAAAATACTTTTTTCTTAGCTGCAGGTACTAGAAAATTAGGCTCTGTTGTTTCACGCACAGACTCTAAAAGCTTCAAAGTTTAGGGTTAAAATTTTAAACTACCCTGTATGTTTTTGTTAGTTTTTCTAGAAGTCCCCCTTTTATCTCAAAAATCTGTGTGTAAAAATCTACAATCTTGTGACATAATCCAAGTTGACAAATCAAATGATAAGAAATATCAAAATCAAGGTTGAATATTTACTTTTTTGGGCGCCAAAAATTTTTGTCTATTTTTTTCAAAAAAAAAAAGAGAAATTTTTGTTTTGTTTTCGTCAACAACAACAACAAAGGTTCTTTTTTTGAAGACTAGTATAGTTTTTTTTTACTTTGCCTTTGTCATATAAAAAAGTATTTCAATTTTTTGAATTCTCAAATAATTTCTGAATGTTTCAGTGGAGCGCATTTACGATATGACATAAGTTGTGGTGTTCTTTTTCTTCTTCTTCTTCATATTTTTGTTTTTGTTTTTGTTTTCTTCTTCCCAATTCCATTCCATGCTCGTTTTTTCTTGTTTACTTCTTTGCTTCTTCTTTGCGAAGAAAAAGACGAAGGAAAAATCTTGTTTTACGATTTTGGATATATTTTCGTGCGTGTTGATGCCAAAAGAGTTTCGCGCGAAAAGTTCGAGAAACTTGTTGTTATTGATTTTTCTAGATTGAGAACAGCCAGGAATTTTTTTTCGGAATTTGCTTATTGAATAAAATTTTTTGAATTTCACAAAACTATTTTTGGCACCAAGAAATCAGTTTGCAAATTTAGTCCTCAATAAATTTGTCAACATTTTTTTTGCGAAGTTCAAAAAATTTCTGAAATGTTCGGTCAATTTTTTACTACTGTGGAACTCTATAACTTGGCTCACTGATGGTAATTTCTGTAAAACATGTTCCGATCTGAAATCCTTCGCAGTTTCATATTTTTCTCACCCATCCCATTTTCTTCATCTTGTTTCTAGCTTCTTCTTCTTCTTCCCATTCATTTCTTCCATTTTTTCCTTCATTCGTTCAAATCCATCCCTCCTTTCCTTCTTCCCAATCGCATCCCACGAAATAAATAAATACATACACATACACATTCACATTTTACACAAAAATTATGTGAAATGCGAAAAATTTCACTTTTCTTTCGCTTTTTCTGCGTTTTGCTTGCTTGCTTCTTCTTTCTTTCACTTTTTACATTTTCGATCATTTTTCATATTAATAATAATTTTCTTCTTCCTTGTTAAATGACTTGAGATTTTTTTCGGATTAAAAATATTCCTGATATTTTGGGTTAGGCTGAACATTTTCTAGAAAAATTAAGCATTTTGTATTTTTTCAAAAAAAAAACGACACGTTCTAATCTCAAGAATTCCTAAATTTTGAATTTTTTTGGAAAAAAATGACACGTTTTAATTTCAAGAAATTCCTAAATTTTGAATTTTTTGGAAAAAAATAGCATTGCTCATTTTAGGTATTTTCTGAAATTTTTTGGATACGGCTTAGAATTAGTCTAGCTGGTTAGGCTTCGGAAGATCAGAATTTTGTTTCTCGAAACCAAAAAAAACAAAAAATTCCATTGCTCATATTTCGGAAGATTAGTATTAGCCTCAAGCTTAGGCCTAAATATTCATACAGTCTGGAAACACGGAAGGTTACTTTTACTTCTGGAATCCAGAAAACACCTTTTATCTTTTTATTTGAAAAAATTTGAATTTTCAAAATTTTCTGAAAAAACGTTCCAGTTTTCCACGTGGCAATAAGTCTCTGGAGACCGAAACTGAGCTATCTAAATATATATTCTCTAAAAGTTGTCCAATCTCATTTTCTTGATCAACATTTTGAAGATGAAATTAAGTAATTCAAATGTCTTCTCCCCTTCCAATTTCCCCTTATTTCATTTTTCACATTTTTCCCTGTTTCACCCATCCATTAAATCATTCCTCTTCTCTCTTTTTTCCATCTCAAAAATGTTTTGCACCCAATTGGTGCAAAAATAGCAAAGAGAATCAGAGAAAAATAGAAAAACAACAAGAATAATGTCTGTGGTCTCTTCTAATCTGACCAATGTCTCGTTGTTTTGTCTGTCTGTCTCAAGTCTCTTCTATACTGACCACTCTCTTATTTTTTGCTATATACAAACACGGGGAGAAGGAGAAGAAGAAGACTACTACGAATACTACTATTTTTATTCTTATTTTACTCCTCTTCTTTTTTGGGTGGGGCTTTTTGGAATCATTTTTGAGAACTATTTTTACACTGTTGTTTTTTGAGATTGACTTTGTGAGCTATTTTTAAAACTGGGAGGAGCAGAGATTTTTTGGTTTTTGAGATTTTTTTTTGGAAAAGTCTGAGCTTCGGAATTCTATGAGATTTTTTGAGATTTTTTTTCGGAATTAAAGACTATTGAAATTTGAAAAGTATTTTTTGAAATCTCGATAGGAAACATTTCTTTAAAATTCCGAAATATTTCGAACTACAGTATTTTTTTCAGAATTTTCTTGATATTTTCAAAATTTTTGATAAATCAAAAGCTTACCTAAAATGAGCAATGTCATTGAAAAAAATCTACAAAATCTCATGACACACTGCTTTCAAAAATTCAATTTTTCCAATAAAATGTCAAGAAACAGACATTTTCCTACGCCTACCATGTTTATCAAAATCATTCGAACCCCCGCCCAGAATTTGAGCGTGTAGATTGTTTGGTAGACCTCTAACTACAGTAATTGTTCGAGATTTTTTTGATTTACACACAGATATCGATAGATCAAAAACTTTAGCTGACTTGTTCCTAGATTCCGAGATTCTTTCCAAGCATCTCAATTCCACCCTACAGTAAATTAAGAATTTTAGCTGATCTACCAAAAGCTTTTCAACTTTGGCTAACTATTCCAATTCCCAGGCTCCTTTTCCAAAAATTCTCAATCTCGAAAATCCTTATTCCCTTGATCTCTATTTTATTTTTTTTTCCGTTCCCATGTCTCTATTTTTGTGTGTGCGCCCGTCCGGATCCTTGTCCCGACTTCCCACCAAGGCCATCATTTTCTTTCTTCCTATTTTTCGGTGTATGTCTCTTCTTGTTCTTTCATTCATTTTTTTTCTTTATTTTCTCATTGCATTCTCGACCTGTGTTTGTACCAGCTGATACCTTTACCCTCTGACCGTCTGCGTCTCTTTGTATGTCTAGTACTCTCTCGTAGTTTGCTGGCACGATGCCACCCGGTTTTTGAACACACACGGGAACGACGGGACGGGGAATGACTTTTGATGATGATTAATTTTATTTAGGTGTAGGTACCGTGTTGTGTACTTTGAATGATGACATTGCTCATATTAGGCAGTTTTTTTGGGTTGGGTTTCAATTTGAAGCTCTGATTAATTAGACCTAGATAGTTTGAATCTTAGTCTAGAACCTGAAAAAAAAGCATTGCTCATGTTAGGTTATAATTCTGGAAGATTAGGCTTATCCTCAAGCTTAGTCCAGGATATTTCTAAAGTGAAAAAGATTAAGGATTTTTAATCCTAAATTCAGCCTACCTGTATTAGGAAACTTCTGAAATTCTGAATTTCTCTGAAACTTCAGATTTTTCAGAAGACGGAATTTTGAAAAATCGTTTTTCAAGTTCTGAAAGCCTGAAAGGGTTTGAATTAAGCTTAGATTAAGCTTTCCAAATTTAATCTGGTTGAACCTTTGAATTCGAGAAGGCCTAATATGGCATTGCTCATTTTTGAAGTATTTTTTAAGTCAATTTGAAACTTCAGGAGTTCTTCTAGAGGTTATTTTTATTGTGAAATGTTTCAAGTCTACAAACTTTTAGGATTCCCCTACCTTGTACGAGACTTCCCCGCTCGCTGTAACCTTCACCCCAAGCATCACAAACACGTCAAATCAAAATTGAATTATTTCATAATACCCACATACAGCCACACACACACATAACTAACAAAATGACCTTTATTGACCTTATGGGACTGTCTTCGCTCGTTCTTCTTGTGTCTTTTTTTTCACTATGTTTATATGTGGTTGGGATGGTGCGTAGTACCGCGCAGTATATGTGTTGTGTTGTGTGAGAGGTGGTACACACAGGCAGACACTTTCTCGCTGTCTGCATCTCTTGTCAGCGTTCTCACTCTCTCATATATTTCGCGCGGGATGGATGGATATCTTTTTTTGTTGTGTTGCTTTGGTTTTTTTTTTGACTGATTTGGGTGTGGTGGTGATTTTTTGAGAGAGGTTTTCGAAGTTTTTTTTCTTTGTTACTGTAGAATTTTTGTTCAGAGTTTGGTAGAATTTGACCCAGGCGACCTCTGAAATAGATTCTGAAATAACTTTCGGAACAAATAAAATCTTACTTTATTTCGAACTTCCCTTCAGTTTTCGTGCAAACTTTCCAAACTTCTAACAATTCCTGAGAACCTTTATCTTATTTTTTGTAGAAAAATTTCTGAATCTGAAAACTTTTTTTTTTGTGTCTTGATTTTGATTCGGACCAAATTCGAAAATACTTTATCTTGTTTCCTCTCTCTTTCAAATTCTCAAAAATGTTTTGTTTCAGGTTCGAGCAGTTCATCGGGTTGTAGTTCTTCATCAACTGAACTCTACGATCTAATTCGTCATCAAAATCAACAACTTCCAACATCACAACAAGTTCAAAGTGCTACCGCTGCTTCTGTAACTGCTTCCACCATCCCACACCATCATCATCATCCATATCTTCATCCTCAAATTTTACACAATCATCAGTTGAACAATTTTCAACATCAGCAACAACAAGCAGACGGTTAGTGAATTATTTGAATTTGACGGGGAAAAATCTGAAAAATGTTTTGAGTTGAAATTATTCTTGTGAAACAGTAAAAATTCTTAAAAGCATTTCTACGTTGAATTTTTCACTGAAAATAAAGTACTAATTCATTTAGTTAAATCTTTGTGGAATTCAAGCTTGAAAATTTCTGAATGAAAAAATCTGAATTTCGAATCAATTTGCAATGAAAAAGTTGCTCATTTCGTTGAGTGATTTCCGAAAAAAAAGAATGATTCTCGTGACCCTTGAACTGCATAATAATCACAAGAGACTCTGATCGACATGATCTTTTTTTTTCGTCCTGCCTATGTCATTTTATCTCTGCGTCTCCATTGTTTCCCTATCATCACACACAGTCTTTTTTTTCAAAAAAAAATTGGGATGCGTAGAAAAAAACATTGATTGATTTTTTGTCGACGATTTGATTTGACAATTTTTTTCTCTAACTGTCTGTCTAGAAAAATTTTTTTTTTTCGAAAATTAAAAATTGTTTAAAATTGCAGTGGCCGCCGCTCAACACCAATTCTCAACCACAGCTCTGCATCACCAATTGCAGAATCTTGTGCACCAACAACAACATCTTCACCATCATCATATTCCGATAGTTGGTGAGTTTTTTGGGGGATATTTCGGTGGAAAATTTGAAATTATGAAAATTATGTTGAAAAAATTGCGAAAATTTGAAGACTTTTATGAAAATTTGCTTCAAATTTAAAAAAATTTGGAAAATTTCGACCTAACTTTCAAGTCAAGTCTGAATTGTTAAACCTAAGTCTAACATTTTGGTTAGATTAAGCCTAGGATACGTAAATTTATAGTTTTCTGTACAAATTTTTGAAAAATCTGAAATTTCACAATAATTCTCACTAGAATTTCCTTTCTTCTTCAAAAAATTACACAAAATCTTTTTTTCTCCAAAAAACCTAAATATGAGCAATAATCCCTTATCCTTTTAGTTCATCTTTCTCTCTGCAAAAAACCCGAAATTCCTTGCTGTTCCAGTTTTATACTTTTTGTTGTTTTGGAGCACACATCAAACTGAACTTGCTCTTTTAGCGTTTTGTTTTTTTCTATCCGCTCATGTATTTTTTGTTTTGTTTACCACAAAAATTGTGCTCTTTTCTCTCTTCAATTATTTTTTTCTTCTGTGTTCTGAAAAAAGTTCAAAATAACAAAAAATCAACGTGTCGCGGTTTTCAAGAATTATGTGAATATCTTATTTATGCAAAACAAAAAATTCTACCAAAAATCACCGGTTTTGCGTGCGTCATTTTGTATCTTCCAAATGACGAAAATTTTCCCCGAAACAACTTTTTTTCTCGAGAAAAAAGGAAATGTCTGGAATTTTCTTCTTTTTCCTTTTTCGTTTTTACCTTTTTTTCTTCCTAGAAAAAAAGAACGTGTTCCGAATGAATCAGCTGAGCCAAGCCGGCTATCTATGACTTCTCTGCGTCTCTCTCTCTCTTTCTCTCTCTTACTTCCTTTTTTGATCTCTCTTCCTTTTTCTAGCTGAAAACCAAAAGGTGATTCAGAGGAATGAACTTTTATTTCTGAGAGCAAAAAAAGTTCAGAGAGAATATAAAATGAAAAAAAAGGACACGTAATCTTTGGAATACGAATGAATTAATTTGAAAATTGAATATTTAGAGGATTAAAAAGCCTTACTGGAAAATTGTGAAGATTTCTGATTAGAAATTAGGAGATTTAAAAAATCGAATTGGAAAATTTGATATTTGGGATCAGAAAGAGATACCAATTACTCTAATCCATCCATTTTTCACATCATAATTCACATCAGCTCGAAAGCTCTTTTGACTTGGTCAGTCAGTACCCAAATTTTTTTTTCAAAATTTCAATTTAATTCATTTAACATCTAGAAATCCTACAACCAGATAAACTTTGAAAAAAAAACTGAATTTCCAAGAAAACCCCGTAATAGAATTTCTATGATGTCAGATGATGACGAAATCCACCCCCATCATTTTTTCCGAACAAAATCTTCTGAAAACTTTTGAATCCTAACTTCCTACAAAATTCGATTATCCGGATCAAAGTTATCCTAAAAGTTCACCAAAAAAACGTCGTTCTCGTCAAAATTTCACTTCCCAAAAACTGGCTACTCGTTCTCTGTGTCTTATCTCGCGCATCTCTTCATTTCTCACAATCTCTCGTCGTTTCTTGTGCCAAGAAATATTCATCATCAGCTGTGTGCTCTTCTCTCAACTCACTCTCCGTCTCTTACTCTCTCGCCACCCTCTTCCTTTTCCAAAACGAAAAAAGTGCAAAAAGAGGCGTGGTGGTGGCTTTTTTTCTTCCTTCGTCGCGTTTTTTTTCGGTGCCTGGCATTCAAGGTTATAGTATATATATACTACGACTACAATCTTTTTTTATTTTGACTAAACACTCTCTGATACATTTTTGAGAATATCTACCTCTTCTTGAACATTATAAAGTTCTGAAACATGCGGGACATGTTATATGGTTAGTTTTTTTCTGTCGGGGAAAAACATTTAAATCAAATGGAAAATTTTTTAGTGATAAGAAAATTTGTTCTTTGAAGTTTAAATTAAAGTTTTGAAAATTCAAAAATTGCTCGTTTTATATTTGAAATTGCTCATTGTATATCAAATATTCAAATTTTCGGCGGAAAAAATTTAAATCGAAAATATTACATGAAAAATAATGCGCCAAGAAATTGTCGACTTCTTTTCTTTTTAAATCCATTTTTTGTTTCAGGTGACATGGCTTTGGTGTCATCTCACACCCATCCATCAGCCGTTGGTGGATCAACAACAACTTGTTACGAGAAATCGGCTGCTCAACCCTCAGGAGCATCTCAACAACAAAAATCACAACAACAGCAACAACTTTTGCAACAACCATCGACAGCTCAACAACAGCCACAGGTAGGCTTTTTTCATTTTTTTGAAAATATTCTGAAAATTTGAAAAAAAAACCAAGATCAAAAATAAATCCACTCTCTTCTGTTTGCACAAACTTTTGCGGTGGTCTCGAACAGAAAAAGTGCAAAACGCCGTGTACTTTAAGGACATTTCTCATCTCATTCGATGACTAAAAATGACCAATAATTTTTGTACTTTTTTTTCTGAATGCGGGAATAAAATCGGATTAATTTTTGAACCGATGAAAAAAATGAAGAAAATGGAAAATTCCTGGAAATTGTTGTTGTTTTCCATGTTTTTCTTTTTTTTGGTGACGTTATTTTTTGAGAAATAGAAAAAGGGAAAAACAAGAAATGTTCAAGAGATTTTTTTCGCTGAAAAAGGTCAGTAAACAGAAAACACACGGACTTTTGAACTTGAACTTGAGCTCTTGAGAACTTTAAGGACAAAATTAATTGAAATTGAAAAATAAAAAAAATCTTTTGGTAAATGAAGTTTTTGATCTAAATTTCCAAAACTTTGAAATTTTTAAACGAGTTTTCGAAAAAAATTCCAAACTACCCAAACCCCTTCTCCAAATTAGTATATCATAATTTTCTCATTTCAAAAATCGTACACTTGAAAACCAAGCCCCGAAAAAACAAATAAACCCAGGAACATGTGTACTTTTTCACCGCTATCGATTATTTTGTCAACTACGAATCACCCGATGGCGCCATTTTAAACTAAAAAAAGAGATATTTATGGGGAAAAGAGAGAACAGCGAGACGCTGAGAAATCGAATTTTTCATTTCATTTCATTTTGTGTCTCTATTTTTTCAACCTCACCACGTGACAACTTTCTCTCCTCACATGTAGAAACAAAATCAGAAAATCATTCCAACCACGTGGGGCAGCCAGTGTACATTTTCAAGTGTAAATATCAAAAAGTGTACTATTTTTCTCTCTAATATTTATTATTTTCCCTATGATTCTGATTGCTATTTTTGAATCGGTTATTGAATATTTTAGACAGTTTATATGGGTAAATTTGACATTTTTTTTGAAGATTGGGAATTATTTCGGAAGTCTCGGCCGAAATCATAGAAAAAAAGAAAATTTCAAAAAAATCATTTTTTAAATTTCAAACATTTTATTGCAGGCTGCTCACATCTCATCAAATGCAATTCTCGCCGCCGCTCAACCATTCTATCCACCACCAGTTCAAGACACTCAACCCGATCGACCAATCGGTTATGGTGCATTCGGTGTTGTGTGGTCGGTGACTGATCCGAGAAGCGGAAAACGTGTAGCCCTCAAAAAAATGCCCAACGTATTTCAAAATTTGGCATCGTGTAAACGAGTGTTTCGAGAAATCAAAATGCTCTCCAGTTTTCGACACGACAATGTTTTATCGCTTTTGGACATTTTACAACCGGCAAATCCGCATTTTTTCCAAGAATTGTGAGTTTTTCTCTTTTTTGGGTGGTTTTGAGAAAGAGGGATTTTAAAAAAAAATTTAATCGGAAAACACTCCAAAATTGAGCTCTGAAGCTTTCAAAAACGCAATTTTATGATGAATTGCTAACAGCTGACATTTAGTCTCTTTAATATCCTTTTCTCCTATCGGTCAGCAGGAAGAAAAGGGAAAATATTAGTAGTGAAAGTGGGACAAGGACAGTGAAAGTAGCCAGCAGCGAATCGGGAAGGAATTTCGGATTTTTTGCTGTGTTTCTGGTCGAGAATTTTTGGTCGGGAATTAGGGATCTGATCATTTTGAAGACTTCTGGTTACAGGAGTTTTCACCAAGGCTTTTATCCCCTTATGACCAAATTAAGGATACCAAAAAAATGGGTTTATATCCAAGGTGCACCAAAATTTTTCACACATTTTTCTCTCTCTCATTTCTTTTCTTGCTCTAAAAAAACAGCCGGATTCTAATCACCATATGTCGTCGTCGACACCTTCTTCCTTCCACCCAACACCCATTCTCCCCCTTCCCACCAAAAAAACAAACATGGTACATACCAGCACCAACCCACGAGAGCCAGTTGTTTTTTTTTTCCCGTTCTTGCCTGCGCAAGTGACCTTTGTGTCTGCGTCTATCTATCTTTATATTGTTATTATTCATCTTATTATTATTAGTAGTAGTTATATTGGGGTGGACGAGAAGAGAGAACACACGGCCGGCCGGCCACCCTGTACCACCCACCACCAATAACCAAAATATATACCTGACCTTTTGATTGATTTGAAGAAAATATTTGAATCACTAAAAAAATTGGGGAAATTTTTTTTCTTTGGTTTTGGCTTGCCAAAATGTGAACCAGAAGGTCGTTCAAGTGTTGGTGACATGGGTGTTGGCTAACACCAAAATGCCATTTGGTGTGGTTGGGTGAATGGCATTAAGGTTTTTTGACAAGGAAAAGGGGGTCTATAAATTTTTTAAAGGAAAAGTTAGCTCATGAGAGAGAACAATCCAAATTTTTCAAAAAATCACTAAACTTGAATTTCTTACAGATATGTGTTGACTGAATTGATGCAAAGTGATCTTCACAAAATCATCGTATCTCCTCAACCTCTCACAATTGATCATGTAAAAGTATTTGTATATCAAATTCTTCGTGGTCTCAAATACCTCCATACCGCTAATATCCTTCATCGAGACATCAAACCCGGAAATCTTCTAGTGAACAGTAATTGTATTTTGAAAATTTGCGATTTTGGATTAGCCCGAACATGGGATAGTCGAGAAAGACAGAATATGACACATGAAGTTGTTACACAATATTATCGAGCACCTGAATTATTAATGGGTGCTCGTCGATATACAGGAGCTGTTGATATTTGGTCGGTTGGATGTATATTTGCTGAATTATTACAAAGAAAAATATTATTCCAAGCGGCTGGACCAATTGAACAACTTCAAATGATTGTTGATTTATTGGGAACACCAAGTCAAGAAGCAATGAAATATGCATGTGATGGAGCTAGAAATCATGTTATGCGAGCTGGACCTCGACCATCAAATCTTCAAACTTTATATCGATTATCACAACAAACAACTGATGATGCAGTTGATTTGTTGGTTAAATTATTGCAATTTGATCCGGATAAGAGAGCATCTGTGCAAGAAGCATTGGATCATTCATATTTGGAAGAAGGAAGACTTCGATTCCATAGTTGTATGTGCTCGTGTTGTTATACAAAACCTAATTCGGGTAATCATCGCAGTTTCGCACAAGATTTGGATCCATATGTAAGTTTTTTCTGGTAACCGGGGGAGGGTGGAATTTGATTTGAATAATTTTTGGAAAAATCTAAACAGAAAATTATTGAAAAAATAAAATTCCAAAATTCCGAATGAAAAAATACAGTAAAAATTATCTGAAAATTCTTATTTTCACTGAAAAAATGATTGAAAATTTTTTTCTTCAAATTTTCGCGTCAAAAATTAAAATTCCGAGAAAAATTGTAAAGATAATTCATAATTTTTTGTTGCAGCACGAGGTTCCATTTGATCCAAAATGGGAAAAAGATATGTCACGATTATCAATGTTTGAACTCCGCGATAAAATGTATCAATTTGTGATGGATCGATCGCCTTTATATGGAGTTGCACTATGTATAAATCCACAATCTGCAGCTTATAAAAATTTTGCAAGGTTTGTTATTTATTTCATTTTTTCTCAATTTTTTTCTGAAACAATTCCTAATCAATAAATTTTGCAGCTCATCTGTGGCGCAAGCTTCCGAACTTCCACCATCGCCAAATGCGTGGTGATCAACATCATCATCATACTTACTCATTTTGCCCCCGCCCAAAAATCGCTGAACATATTTTTTTCATAAATTTCTAACCCCCAACTAAAAAATAATTCTACAAATGTGTATGTATTTATTCAGAGCTTGTCATGTGATTTTCTCTTTTCCCCAAGATTTTTGAATCAAAAATCTATTTTTTTCCCTGGCGGATTTAAATGTCTTTCAATTTTTGGAATTTGAAATTTTTATTAATTTTTTTCTTATTTAAAAATACCAAATGTCTTTCAAAACCCCCACACATTGTTTGTTTTTTTCTTTTTCATCAGCTAAAAATTAATTTTTAAGTGCCAAGAGATCTACCAAGTTCTTTCAAACAACAAAAAATCCTTCTTTTTTCTCCAAATAAAACAACATTACGATTTTTCTAACCTATATTTTTTTCTTGTATAAAACCCTGCTCACACCCCCCAACTACACTTTTTTTTCGTTAGAAATGAGGATTAGAAAATTTTGATGTTCTTTTTTTTTGAGGAATTTTTCAGACATAATACTGTATTTTTTGTACCCTTTTTGTGCTACCGTGTTTTTATTTTGGATATTTCTACGATTTTTAATAAATTTATTTTTAAAAAAAATTATTTGAATATTATTTACACATGCAAAATTTATTTTTCAGGAATAATAATTCAACGAAAATTTTGAAAAATTATTTTACGTTCAAGTTTATCTACAAGAAAAATACATATTTTTACTTTAAAAATCCACGTGGATATGATATATAATTTTCTTTTACTTATCGAATTTTTAAATTTTTATTCGAATCATAGGAATTTGAGTTTTTTCTGTGATGAAAAATGAGAAAAAAACTGAATTTTTAGAGCAATTTTTGAATTGAAATAATATTTTATTTATTCGATGTAATTGATTTTTTCAAGAATTCCAACTTGAAATATTTAAGATCTTCAAAATTATATATTTTTCAAATTTTTTATTCCAACAAAGTTAAAAATTAAAAATTCAACAAAAAACGTCAAATTTATTGCGTGTTCCTGAAAACGACGAAACCCCCATTTTTATATATTTTTCTATTCTAAAAATGTTGCTTATTTCAATTATAATCTTTTTCATCAAAGTTTCGGATCAAGTCGAAATCGAAATATATCATCCTAATGGAACTTATGCTACGATTGATGTGGAAATTAATTTCAAAAATTTGGAAGCCGAGAATTGCACATCTTCGGATTTAGTAATTTCTTGGGGAAATCAAAAAATCAATTGCTCATTGCCAAATTACAAAATTCATCCGAAAAATCATAATTTAACAATAATTTGCCCATCGGATTGTCAATTATGCAAAAATCTTCAAAAATGTCGGATTGAAAAACAAGAAAATATATATTTCTTCAACATTGATAAATCGAGAATTGATATTAAACATGTTTCTGAACACGGTGCTCAAGTATTTCATATGAATAATGAGGAAAGAAATAATAAATTGACTTTTCGAATCACAATTGTCATTCTTTTTGTTGTTGCTCTACTGTTTTTTGGTTTTGTTTATGGAAGTGAAGAATAAAGATTTCATTCACAGCCTGTGACTATAAATATAATTTAATTTTAAGAAAATACATACTTCTCAGAAATCGGTGGAGTAATTATACTGGAAGCATACGCTCGTTCCCCCTTTTTTACAGTGAACCTACACACAATGTTCGGTGTAATTACATAACTGCAAATTTTTGAGGGTTGAGCACGTTTTTGCAAAAGTGTAATTATATTGTATATACAATTTAATTACACTTTTTCAGATGCATCCGTGTATTTACAAGAAAACATCAATGTAATTACAAATTGCTTCAAGTTACACTGTAAATACTCCACCAATTGCTGAGTTATGCATATGGTTTGTGGACATTTGAGTTGGCAAAAGTGGTTGGCATCTCGAAAAATACAAGTTTTTTCGGCAAACTTTCGGGAGTTCGATGGAAAATCATTGAAATTGTTGTCCATAATCTGGAAGTATGTTGAGAATATTTGAGGAGAAATTGAAATTGAGAAAATAGATATTTACGTTCGATTTTCGGCTTCGCTTTCATCGTCGCTGTCCAAGGAGAATTGTAAATCACGATCCAGGCTTTTTCTCTAAAAAATACAATTCTAATATTCTGGCTCGAATTTTTTCAACCGTTTTTTCTATCCAAAATACCCCCCCCCATCAAAAATCCTCACCATTCTCCAAAATTGTCGAAAAACCGCAACATTGCAATAAATTACATATGCCAGAATAAAAACAAACGGAAAATTGCCAGTCTTTGGTAAAAGTATCAAATTTGAGATGAAAGTGAGTATTTCGATAAGTAGAATTGGTGTAAGCAATAGTGGTTTTTGATGAGATGTTCCAAATGCGGCAAGAATTGCAGATAGCAAAAATATAACTTCAAATGTTATGATGTATAAATAGCGATGGAAATCGATGAAAAATGAGTCGATTTCATAGATTTCTGAACTCGACAGATTTATGAATCGAAATGTTGTGTAGATTAATGGAATAAGTTGCTTCGTTTCGATTTTCCCTAGCTGAAATATGTTAAATCATTTGAAGATTTAATTTTGCCATTTACCTGAGCTTTCCAGGAATTTTTGGAGCTTCTTCTTGGAGCTGGTGGCTTTGGAGTGGTTAGAAACTTCATTGAAATGTGTTCAAATATAGCTTTTACGATAGAAAACAGTGAAGAAAAAAAAAGAAAATATATTTTTTCCTCACAAGAAAAATCCCTTATTTGAATTGCCTCCGAATCAAATGTAAATCTACCTCTCTTCGTCTCGAGACACAAACAGCTGCGCGACACGCTCGCGCGCTAAAACACTCATTTTGAGTGAAAAAAGCGAGAGAAAAAGAGAGAAATGGACACCCGGCGTGCACTATTTGTCTCTTTTTCTCTGTGTTTCTGCTTCTCTCAACAGGCCAGCCATTTTCGAAATAGCCTCCCTCCTTCACTTGGTTTTTTCTTCTTTTCGAAATGTTCGCCGTTTGTTTTGTGCGCCTTTAATCGATTTTGAATTTTTTTCCACTGGAAATTCACGAATTTCGCAATTATCGACACTTTTCTTCACATTTTTTAGATTTTTAAACTGAAATGATGCAAATTTTTATTTTTAGATCCGAACTTTGCCGAAAAACCGGAATAATCGATTGTTTTTGATGGTTCGACCATCAAATAATGTATGAATTTGGACAGCGACAAAGTAAGTTCAAAAGAATATTTTTCGACAACCGAAAAAATAATTAATTTTCAGGAAAACATAAAAAATCCAAGCTTGGCACACGAATCTTCATCATTTATGTCACACCTGCGATTGTCGGGTATGGAATATGAAAAATCGACGCTCAATGGAATTTACGACGATGTCGATGAAGCGGAACTCGATGCGGCTGCAAAACAATCCGAACTTTCACGACCAACGAATATGACACCACTTCATGTTCAAGTCAACGGATTTAATGGCAGCGGAGTGAGTTGATTGAAAATTGCATCATTTTTTTTGAAAAAAATAGAAAAAAAAATTTGATTTTTTAGTCCGAGCCATCTTCAATATCCAGTGGTCAACGTGGAATTTCAGCAGAATCTTCTTCGTATCTCGCCGCGATGAAGCAAAAAGCATTCAACAAAAGCAGTGAGTTATACTTTTATTGAAAAAAATCTAAGAGTTCAATTTCTAGAAGAATATCAATTCCAAAGGCCGAGCACATCAACAGCTCCAATTATGGGACCACCAAGTTCGTCATCTTCAGTTATGCTAAGTCCGGCAGGAGCATTGAATGGAAATGGATTCTCGTGAGTTCTACTAGGTTGTGAGATATATTTTTGAATCACAAATTTTTGCAGGAGAAATTCTGGCGATTCTTCACCAAATCCTGCATTTCAACAACCATCAAGGCAGTATTTGAAAAGGTTTCGTTTAGAAAATTGAAACAAAACAACCTCATACTTTTAGACCACCACAATATCAGCCTGCACCTTCAACTCCTTCACCATCAAGTGGCCAATCTTCTTCTGGCTCTATTCCAAAATCACCGGCAACTCAAAGAATGGGAAATATACCAAAAGAGACTGTTCGGAAAGATATTGAAGTAGGCCAAAGAAAAGCACTTTGTGATGCTATCCGAAAACTGCGGGACGAAAAACAAATCAATACTTTTATACCACAAATTGATGGGCAAACCGAAACTCAATGCGCGATTATGATGCGAAGAAATCGAACGGAAATCGGTAAAACCATGCCAACAGTCATCAAAAATGAAGTTTTTGGCGAGAAAGGCGACGAATTCGCCGATTCACGTAAAACTGCAGCGCTTTTGCGAGAAAACGCGGTTCTTCGATTTCGTGTATGTGAACCGGATGATTTGACAGATATTTCGGAAGATGAAGAAGATGAATCTGTTATTTCGAAAGCGAGGCGAAAAGAATTGATGGCGATGAAAATTCCGCAAAATAAACTGATTTGGAATGAGAACAAATTGAGGTTGAGTGGACAAATGGCCAAAACATCGCTTTTAATTCAGGAGAAATTGGCAAAACTCGAATTGTTGGAAATGGAGGTTTGTAAAAATTATTAGATATTGGGGAAAAGGACAAGTTCATGTTTTAGTTAGGGGCAACAAGCTTTTTGATTTAGCTCAAATTTTCACAGAATTCAAAGAAATATCTTTTCATCCATTTTTGAATTCTGTTTTCGAAAAATATGGCACAATGTATATTTTAATATTTTACATCTTCAAGAAAAACAACATCAAGTCATTCAAAATTTTCCAGATTTCTGCCATGAATATGTCATCTGGTGTTCGATTTGAAGGCGAAGAATTGATTCCTAGAAAAAGACGACTAATCGATGGAAAAATCCATCTTTTCGATAAAAAGAATAGTCTTGATCGTGGAACGGATTCGGAAAAATATGGATGTTCGAGAGCGCGGCCGATTATTTCGTGGACAAAAAATGCGTTGACCAAAAATGTTTTTGAGTGAGTTTTTTGGGAAAAAACTTATTCTGAATTAAAGCTGTATCAAAAAATTAATTTCCTGATTGAGAATTGATAGGAAACTCTGTAATTATTTGAAGTAATTAGTCGAACACCTTCGATTTCGACAAAAACAGAGCTTCCAATAGAAAAAAGACATGAAAGGTACCAGATTATTTTTTGGGATTGTTTCCAGCCAAAATTTCGTTCAAAAAAAACTTGTCCCGCTTTCCTGTCTAAAACCAAGCATCAAATCTAATTTTTTGCAGACCTGAAAAATGCGATTATAACAAACCATGTGGTTCAAACTGGTCATCATTACAACAACTTCCTCAACATTATCATAATCAAGTAACTGTTGGCGCAAGAAATGTGATAACAAAGTTAACCTCTGGAAATACTGATCAACGGGAAACTCGAGAATTTGAATATGAATCACATGAAGAAGGAAAAGGAGCGGTTGGAGTGAAAGCTGTGACAGAATTGGATGTTATGGATTATGTTGTGCCGAAAGATTGTTAGTTTTTAAAAATAAACATTTTATAAAAATCAATATTTTCAGTCCAATCTCTGGAAACTCGTCTCTTGTCATATTTTTACAATTTGTCATGTACTCCAAGCCTTGTTTATCGTCGATCGAGAGATCGATCGATTTATTTTAGTGCTGGAGCTGAGGAAAAACATCGAAATGGTGTTGATCGGAGTGCGGCTGGACAAAAAGGAGATCGAGTAAAAGAAATACGAGATCGAGATAGAAAACGAAAAAATGATGATGATTTGAGTGATGAAGATGATGAAAAAGATGGAAATTTGAATGGAAAAAATGGACAGAATAAGAAGAATGGACAGAAAAATAAGAGAAGACCAGCGAATAGAGTTGGAAAGAAAACTGTGAGTTTGGGATTCTTGGGAATCAGAAATATTGGCTCGGGAAAGAGATTTTTTGAAACAAAATCAGACCTCTAATTGTTAGTTTGAGCTTTTAATTATTCTACAGTATATTTGAGCCTGATATTCGAGAAATAAGACATTTTGACCACAAAAAAAGCACATTACTAGAAAAATATCAATTAAAAATGTATTAAAACTCAAATTATCATGATTCACTTTGAAAAATCTGAATTTCGTTTTTTTCAGATTCGAAATCGCCCGGCTGGTGTTTCAAGCCGTCAATCAACAAGTACAACACGGTCTCGACCTGATTTTGACGACTATTATTTCGATGAACCATTCAGTGCACCACTTCCTCCCAAAATTGCATATGCTCGAATTTATATTCCAAAATGGGAAGAAGTTGCACCAGATTATTGGTTGAAATTTCCGCAAAAACCATCAGAATCAGCTGCGTCTGCCGCCACAACACCTTGTTCAAGTTCAACGAATTCGCCGGCAATAAAAGAACCAATGTGGATGACTGTTGCACAAGATCATCATAAATTGATGTATGTTGAAAGAGAAAGAGTTAAACGAGAATTGGCGAAAAAGAATCGACAATTTGGAACGAGACAACGACTTGTTGGATCTCTCACACCTTGCGAAAAACCGTCGGATGATGTTTTTTCGATGGAAGAAGATGTTATTCTACAGAATCTTCCGCCATTCGATCCGAAAATTTTTGCAAATGAGGAGGTTGGTTTTTTAGAAGGGATATAAAATTGACATTTTTTCCATAATCTGTTGGATAATTTCAAATTACAATCTTGGAAAAAAAGCCATGTAGAAATTCAAATATTTCCGAAAAGTCTATGTATCAAATGCTTCACTTTAAAATGTTGACCCATAAATTTGTTGCAATATTTGAATTCAAATTTTTCAAGAGAAAATCAAGTTGAAATTTTTAATGTGTCTGTTCGGAATAATCGATAATTTAAGTTAGCTTTTTAACACTGAAATCCACGTGTTACATTCGAAACACATTTTGATGCCAAAAACTACGTGGTGTTTTAAATTTAATTGTTTTTTTTTTAATAAAATCCAAATTTCAGCTATCTCCAACACGTCGCCGTTTTGCTAACAAAGAAAGTCCATTCGAAAAACGCACGTTCTCCTTAATTTCAAACGGTAAAAAACCATGAGCGATTTTGTTTTACTATATAAGGTATACTTTTTTATTCAATTAATTAATTTATTCCTTTTCTAATTTAATTCTCATATATAATTATTATGGTTATTTTTTGAATTCTTTCCCCATGTGTAAATCTAACTTTTTCCCCCTTATTATTATTTTCTCATTTTCAATTTTTGCCCCATTCCCAGTTCATTTCTTTATCCAATCGTATCTCTTTTGCATATTAAATCGATCTCCACCTATTTTTTTTCTTAAACCTATTTTCCTCTTCCAGTTTATTTAATCCCGTGCCTTTTGATCTTTTCATTATCCCAAAACTTTCTTCTCCTTTCTCTTCCCGGTAGCCTCTCATTTTCATTAGCTCTGTTTCTCTCGATTTCATTTATTGTATCATTTTATTTTTGAGTCCATTCATGACCAACGCGCCAAATCTTGTTGTTGTTATTGTTTTTTTTTCTTGGCGGGACTTTTTCTCTTAAAACTTTTTTGTCATATATTTTTTATTTTTGAAAAGTTTTTGCAAAATATATACAAACAAGTGAGCATTTTTGGAAAAAGGAATCTGTTGAAAACAGCGGAAAATTTGATTTTTTGTGAAATTTTAAAACAAAAACCTTCGATTTTCCTGCCGATTCCAAACAGTTCCCTCATCCTGAGATCATTCAACTATATTTAAACATCTTCAAAATACTTCAATCTCGATTTATTTCGTTGTATTTCATCATTTTCTCGTTCTTCTTGCATTCTTCTTCTCATTTCAATTGGCATATTCGGCAAATCTTCTGGCCAATGTTGATAATACAATGTTTTGATTTTATTCGCTTGTGTTTTTCGTCTTTCGTGATAATTTTCTTCTAAAGTTTTCATTTTCCATGGAAATTGTGCATCGCCAGCTTCAGGCGCATAGAAGTCTATTCTGAACAAAAAATAAATTTCACAAGTGTAACCCAACTATCAAACAACTCACGTATTTCCTTGTACTCCTTGTGCTCCTCCAGCTCCAAATGCCACGTCATAACCATCTCTGCGTCTCTCCTCTTTCCTTCTTCTCTTCATTTTTTTCTGCAATTCAACATCTGGCAAACTTGGCCATTCTCTTCTCCAATCTGGCAAATTCGAAGGTGGCGGACCGTCGCCACGTGGCTTTGGCGAGAATAATTCGCCTGTATCGATTTCGAGATATGGAGCCGCATGTGATGTGTTATGACGTGGATTATAATGATTGGGATCCAAATAGACACGTTGCACATGTTTTCGTTTTCGACGTCGAGAATGTTTTGGACGAGTTGAGAGAAGACTTCCGTTTAAACGAGAGAAAAATACGATGACTACGATTATTGTGATGCTCTGCAAAAATATTATATTTGAAAAACTTGAAATTAGAATTGCCTTTTCAAAATGTTATGATCTCGAAAAAAATATTAAAAAGTTTAACACTAAAATTTTTTGTGAATATTTTTAAACCGCGAGTAACATTTTCTCAATAAACTCCCCCCTCCACCGTTTCTCTCCAAACTTACATTAACAGCAACAGACATAACAAACTCAAAAATCGAAAAACTCAATTGTTCATTAAATACATCTCCACTCCACCATAATACAGCATAAACAGTTGTCATAATACAAAGTGGAATTGAAGTGGCAAACCATGGCCAAATTAGAACTTTTAAATATTTTATAGCAGCGTAGAGTAGAGTTACTGATGTTAGAAGATTTCCGATTGCAAGAATTATTGCCACTATTATTATTACGTACATTGCTGGAAAAAGTTGGAATTAAGGATTTTTCTTTTAATTGCAGGAAACATTTCAGAGTTTGATTAAAATTAAAATGATAGGCTTGGATCAATTCTACAATTTTTATTTGGAACTGAATTGGATGAAAATCAAATAAGCTGTTAGTTATGTACGGTACTCTAAAAGAGTTGAAAACAAAATGATCCTCCTTTGATCTACAAAAATTAAAAGAGAATTGGATTACTGTAGATCTCATATAATCTACTGTGGCTCTGACCACGAGGCAAAGTTTGAAAGTTTTAAGTCGGTGTTTTCCCTCGACAAAAATTTACCATTAGCTCTCCTCCTTTCCGGTGTTTCTGTATAAATCTGATATAATCCAGGAAATCTAGCTTGAAATCCATCAATAGCTCCAGTCGCTGGTAATTGTCGATTCTCATATTCCGCCAGAATATCTTTAACAACTTGAAATTGCCAACCCAACAGACCAAATTGAATAAAACAATAAATAATATTCCAAATTGCGATTGAAATTGTGGCAGCTCGAAGACATCCCAAAGGATCTGCCATTACTCGTTGAGTAATAAAACTTGAATTTTGAAAAGAGCAAGTGTAGGAAAAGCAAAAAAACAATAGGAGTCACACTATTTACTCAAAAATACACATATGCATGTATGAATGAAGAATATATATATTTTGCCCCGAATGAGAGAGAAATTTTACTATTATTTGTTTAGTTAGCAAGCAAGAAAGCAGGAAAAAAAAGAAGAATATCGATTTATTGAACAAAAATTTGAAAATAAAAAGTGACTCATAGAAAAAAGTTTTTTTTGATTTTAGATTTAATTTTGATTGAAATTTAAAAAAATATAAAGAAATCTAAAAAAATCAGAAAAACAGTTATTTTCTACTAGCCAATCATTTCACCAATACATAATCATCTCTAACTTTCAAATCAATATTCATCGGATCTCTTGGTCTCATAATAACTCCATTACAATCCGGTGCAACATCAGTTCCATCAACTGGAAATTTCATCTCAAATTTCTCAATAATTCTTGCCAACGCAGTTTTGAATTCCATTTCAGCAAATCGATATCCGGTGCAATTTCGAGGTCCAACTCCAAATGGAATCCATTTTAATGAATTGATATTTGCCTCTTTTGAATCGATAAATCTTTCTGGATCGAATTTGAACGAATTTGGCCAATTTTTTTCGTTGTGATGGACGGAATGAGGGACTATTGAGACAATTGCACCTTTTGGGATAAGTTGTCCACGAACATAAGTGTCATTTAGGGTTGTTCGAGTCAGCAAACTGAAAAATATTGTAGTTTTGTTAAACATTGATTAGGGTTACTGTAATTTCTAAAACTCACTGAATAACTGGTGGATACATTCTCAATGTTTCTCTATAAACTGCATCCAAATATTTCATTTCATGAATTGTATCATAATTCAAACCAACAGAATCTCTTGTCAAAATAATTTCATCATACAATTTCTGCTGAACTTCCAAATCTCTTGATAATAAATAAGCACAATATGTCAATGAAATACTTGTTGTTTCAAAACCAGCCAATAAAAAACCAAAGGAATTCTGAAGAATTTCTCGTTTTCCAAAACCTTTGAATTTTCCTTCATTATCGATCATCATTTTTAGAATATCTACACTTTCGGATGCTTCTCCAGCTTTTCTTCTATCATAAACTTCAGTCAATGCTTTCATAATTGGGAATTCGCAAGCATAGGTTTTCGAAAATCGATAGATTGTTTTCCAAAGGAATTGTAATTCGGGAAGAAGAAATGTGTAAGCAATTAAAGGAGTATCACGGAAATGTAATTCTCTCATATATTCACGAGTTTCTTTGTAGAAAAGCTGGAAGAAAATTGGAAAGTTGAGGAAAGAATGAGAAACTGTGTGAAGGAAATTCACATACATCATCTCGATTTCGCTGACAATCACATTCAACAGCAAATGCAGCTGCAGCCATAACATCAAGAGTGAGAGCTTGGAAATCTCTGGGAAAAACTTTTGAATTAAAAAAAAGTGTTTCAGAACGTTTATCTTCTATTCAGTTTTTTAAAGCTATGAATATTGAGAACTTGAAAAAATTAAAAAGTTAAAACCTACTCATAAATATCAAACTTGGTTCCAACCTTCGTCTCCAAAATTTCAAGCATAAGTGCCACTTTTTTCTCAATCGTAGGAAAAAGTTGTTTCATTTTTCCAGATGAAAATACTGGCAAAACACTGTTTCGCGCACTTTTCCAACCATTTTCATATGTCAAACACATCATGCTTTGAGATAAGTCTGAAAAATATACGTTTCAATAATTTTAAAAATTAGGCTACACTATCAAAAAATCTAATTATTTAGGATTGTTTACCTAGTAAATGTACGTTTCAAAATATTAATATTTATCAATTTCAGATTAGTTTATTGCTCTGAATACTCTTTCTACTTCAGAAATTAAAATTTACTTATTTTTCTTTAGTTCAGTTTCCACTTACTTCCAGCATCAAAAAATGGAGCAAGACTTCGATCGGAAAAATTGCGGAATTGTTTGATGTAAACTTCTTTGATATCTTCTTCATCAGATAAATTTATGAAAAAGTTTGTGCCGAAATATATTCTGAAAAAAAAAGAAAATCATTGCTCACATTTGATGTAACAAAAAACTAAGCGCGCTCCATGGATATCTCGCATTTTATTTTCTCCCCAATGCTCACCCAAATTTATCGCCATATTTCTTATGCAATTCCAAATGCCACATATTCGAATCATCCAATCCACCATTCTTTTTTTGCCTCTCCAAAATATCCAACAAACTTCCAAAAAACCAATGAGCCGGTGGTCCTTTCAATCCAATTTTGTCTCGAAGTCCAAAAACAATCCATCGTTGGCGAAGTCGAATTATCAAATAAATTAGGAATATTATTAAAAATGCTGAAATTATAAGCATTTTTTGTTGATTTGAAAGCTGAAATTGAAGTAGGGAATGGGCTTTTATGGAAATTTTTTGAAGTTATCTTTATGAACCCAATAAATGAAAATAAAAATAAAAACTGAAAATTTATTTTACAATTGCTGGTCCTAAAAATGGTCAGATGTTTTCTGCGATAAAATAAAATGGGAGCAAAAAAAAGTGGTGTCTTTCAGTTGTTGCGCCTTTAAAAGTCCCCTCTTTAGCTTTCACATAAGTACCAAAAGTTCATAAATCTCTCTGAAAAATTGAAAATTAGTATATATTTTTACTAGTACTAGTAAAAAAAATACCATGACTCATAATACTAATTTGAAAGCGAAAACTGATTGGATTTTTTTACAACCAACCAGGAAAAAAATTGTAGTACAAAAATAAACACAAATATTTGACCGCACCCCATTTTGCACGGCTTCTTCTTCAACAAGAAAAAAAAACGAAAATGAATATTATGATTATTATTGTTGTGGTGTTTATTCTGGAGACTGTGAATGGGTGTCCACCACAGCCACCGGGAAATTGTTATTCAGGTTTGAAAATTTCAGAAATATTTTAAAGGCACACTGGTAGTTTTTAAAACGAAATTATGAATAATTTAAAAAAAAATCAATTTTTATATTTATCAAATCTCCTATATTCTATGGTATTTTTTTTAAAGGCACATACACATTGGCGGCGAGTTCTGGAGGCTTCCAGAATCAAGCATGTGGAAATGTGATAAATCGAGAATGGTGCGCCGTTTCGTAAGTCTCTTTTCTTCTATTTTTAGAGCAGGTGTAAATGCGGAGTGTAGTTTACAAACAAATACTTGTAGAACTAGTAGTACTTGAAAATACTTGACATTCATTCATTTTTGGAAATTTAATTTACACTCTATTTGAGTATTTTAATTTTTGGTGAAAATGTTTGCTCCGAGGAATTTTAATAACTATGGTTATAATGGCTATAATAGTTATTATCAAAATTATCCAAGAATGTCGAATGCAGAATATTCAAGGTTTGAATTATTAGTTCCGATGTAAAGTTAGATTTTGAAGTCAGATTCTGTGGCTCAAATTAGTTTTTTGAAAAAAAAACAAAATTCTGAATAAAAACTTGGGAACATTTTATTGTATAAAAATGTTCAATAATTCCCAATATATTCCAGATACATGCCCGCAACTCAGCAGGCGAATTTCGGTTGTGCCAACAATTTTCAGCAACAAATTGGTGGCCCAATTTGTGGTGATGGGCCAAATTTTATCAATCAACAAGGATGTAGTATGGTGAACACTGAAAATGGACCCTGCTATTTTTGTTGTTGTAAAGGTGGAAGTTGCAATGATCCAAGGGTAAGAAAAATCAAGTTTCATTAACTGTGCCACGTGGCATTTTTAGACTCAAATTCTATAATTTAAAGCAGACTAGAAGGGCTTCGCTGGCTAACGCCATCTACAGTAGTTTGACTTACTTTTTACTGATTAATTTTCCGGTCAGGAAAAGAGAAACATTGAGAAATGCCCAAAATTGTTGACTTTTTCAGAGAATAGAACGATCAGATAAGAAACGTGTCCTAATATTTTTTTCGAATAAAAACGTGATCATTCTTTTTTACATGAAAAAAGTTTTGAATTTTCACGTGAAAACTCGCGCATTTTTTGAAAAATTGAATATTAGCGCATCGATGGGAAAGAATTTATGATAGAATAGTGAAGGTCCCATCAAAAATGGTCTTCTGGAAATTGAGAAAAGTCGAGCGACACATTTTAAAATCGAAAAATACATTGGAGTTTTCAAACTTTTCACTCTCCGCGCACCCACAGACATTTTGATGGAGAATTTTTGAAACGCGCATCATTGTGCCACCATTTAGAAACTTTTTCTTTTTTTGATCATCAATTTTTATGCGCACAGTTTTGAGAACGGACCGCGGACAGACTCTTGCCAAAAAATTTTCCCAATTAGTATATAGTAGAGTATATAGTAGATACTTCATTATCAACTTTTTGATTGAAGATTTCAACTTCCCTATAATTTTCTATTATCTATAAAATTACAGGTATTTGCTCGAGAAGCTGCAAAACTTCCGATAAATTCCGGAGGTCAAATGATTGGAGGAGGTGGTGGATATATAAATCAACCATCATATCCAAATTCACCATTATATTCTATGCCATGGTATAATAGTTCGAATTCTCTTTCACCATTTTTAACCCTTCTTATTCTTCTTTTTCTAGGTTTTCGAGCAGTTTTTTAATTTGTACGTATTCTTAAAATGTTTATCTTATTTTAGAAGCTAAATGTTAATTTTGTTTTCACTTACAAATAGTCGATTTATTTTTGAAAATAATTGGTGCAATTTTATGGAAAAAAGGAATAAATCAGTTATATAATGACAACTTTTTTATATGTAAACTGTTGGAATTTTCTACCATTCAATAAAATCGCCAATAGAAAAAAAAATAAAAATCGTCGTATAGAAATATTTTTCCGAATTTTTGTGACAACGGCGGATATTTTTTTCCAAAAATATGCGTTACCGGATATGGGGACAAAACAGCGGGCCGTGGGACTCGAACCCACAAAATTAGGCAGGTTGAATAGAAGACAGAGCTTCCCCACTACACCACGCGTGAAGATAAGAAATAAGGCACTTTTGATAAATATATATTTATTAGAATTTCACGTGACCCAGATAATCAGGAATAGAAAAAATCTTTCTATTTACCTATGAAATACTTAATAGTTTGTTTTTCAATAAAATCCGGAAGCTGATCCTATAGCTTCAAGTGTAATTCAGAGCTCCATCTAATCATTTAAACATAGTAATTTATAAACAACTTTCCTTTAACATCAATAGTAATTATGAATTGAAAACTTTACCCAATTTTTTTAAATGAAGCTCAAATCTCACCTGTTAGTTTTGTTCCTTTCCCTCCTCCCCCCCAAATCTGAAAATAAACTAACTTGACTTGCCCGTTCCGTGAGAAGTTGTTGATCTTTTCGAATGTCCTGTCCAAACGAACCATCTTCTTGTTCGGAAGCCTGAAACTTCTACATTCTTTTTCTCAAAATTTTTGTCTATTCTTGAACTTACATCAGAAAATGCCAATTGTGGACTTGATGGGACCGCTGCATTTTGTGACTGTTGTCTCTAAAAAAAATAAGAAAATTAAAAAAATGTACCAAATCACCCCATTAATAACACTTTCTGCGCTGAAAAAAACCACTCAAAAAACAGAAAAATTATTATTCAGTTTCAAAAAAAAACGTTCAATCAATAATTTCTTTTTAAATAAAAAGATCTCTCTCTCTCTCTCTCTCTCTAACTCTCTCTCCATTTCCCACACTCTCTCGTCTACCCTGCAAAAAACAACAAAATAAACACGCTGAACAACGGGCACTCGGAGTATCGTTGTTTTGCTTTTTTGCACGTCATTTTTATTTTTTGTTTTTTTCTGGTTTTTGAGTGGTTTTTTTCAGAGCAAAAAATGTTATTAATGGGGTGATTTGGTACATTTTTTAATTTTCTTATTTTTTTAGAGACAACCGTCACAGAATGCAGGGATCCCATAATATCGACAATTGTCATTTTTTGATGTAAGTTCAAGAATAGGCGAAAATTTTGAGAAAAAGAATGTCGAAGTTTCAGGCTTTCGAAAAAGAAGATGTATCATTTGGACAGGACATTCGAAGGTATAAACAACTTTTCACGGAACGGGCAAGTCAAGTTAGTTCATTTTGAGATTTGGGGGGAGGAGGGGAAGGAACAAAACTAACAGGTGAGATTTGAGCTTCATTTTAAAAAATTGGGTAAAGTTTTTAACTATTGATGTTAAAGAAAAGTTGGGCTATAACGCAGAATGATTAGATGGAGCTCTGAATTACACTTGAAGCTATAGGATCAGCTTCCAGATTTTATTGAAAAACAAACTATTAAATATTTCATAGGTAGATTAATTTTTTCATAGTTTTATGCACGCGATTTCCAGTTTGTTTTGAATTTATTTATTTTCTTTTATAATCTATGTCTCATTAAACTTCACAATTTGTATTCCCATGCGTAAGTTTTTTAAAAGAAATATTTTTTCTCACGTCAGCTTAGCTGCGAAAAATAAGGTTTTCTTTAAAATTCAGAATTTTTGAGGATTTTCTGACTGTTTCGCCTAAGGGCACCGCCCCTAGTCTAGATAAAATTTTATTTTCACAACAAAAATTCATCAAATCTTAAGTTCAATTAAATTTCATCTATCGTGTATACATATTTTCTCGAACAGCTTTAAAAAAATTAATAATCGGAAATGGTTTTCGCTTATTTTTCTGATTTCGAATATTATTTCCGATTGCACCACACGAGAAACACATAAGAAGCATTCCAAGAATAATAAAAGTTATAAGTATGACTCGCATTAATTCTAGTTTCATTTCGGAAGTTTTCAATTCTCGAATTTCTTTGCTATCGGTTACTTTTACACTTATGTTTAGACACGCATTTGTTAATCCCACAGATTGTTCAAGGTCTGAAAAAAATCACATTTCGAGATTAATTTAAAAAAAAAACTCACAATGCATATACTTAATATTCTTCTTATTTTTTTGTAAATTGAACACATATCCATCGTCAACAAAATCAATAGATCCGCCAATTTCAGTCAAGTTCGGGAATAAAAATCCTTCCAGTTTTGGGTTTCTTTCGAATATCAAGTTTTCCTCAATGATTTCTAATGCTGGGAAAAAATCGATGATTTTTCCGATGTAGTTGGAAATTGTTAATTGGTTGATTTGAGTTATAGTTTGTAATCTGTCAATAACCCAATCTCGCTCTGCAATTTGATATTTTTAGTTTTGAAAAAACACTGAAAAATTTGGGTGATCAAATCCCCACAGATTTTTATGAATCGATGACTATTTTCCCATTCAGAACCAAAAATGAATACCTTTATTCTTCATATCAAGAATTAGATGTGTTGGAACTTCAGTGCAATTATCTATCAAATCAGAATATTTTGTCGCAAAACACATCTTTCCATCCACACTATTCATAGTCATATTTGATAATAAGAATACTGATAAAAATATTGCAATTCCTTTAGTCATCATTATAATTTTTGAAATTATTTAAAAATGATTTATATATTTCTATGATTTTTTAAAAATTATTTGGGAAAAATATAGGCCACGTTTGATATTTATTTATTGAAAACCTCTTGAAAACCCTTTTTCTAAAAAATATTAAATTTATAGAGAAAATATTCAAACCAATACATCATTTCTGGAGTTGTGTAATGAAATGAGATTGCAGAATCTGAAAATTAAAAAAAAACTTTTACCAAAGTTCGGATAACTCTTACGATACCAGATGGATTTTTGTCAATAGGAAAAAATGAGATGTTCCAAATCCAGAAATTCCAATCAATTTCAGTTGATTTATCCACGTGGAATGAAACATTGAAGGGATGAAATCTATGAAGATTTTGAGAATCGCGAGTGTCCAAATTTCTAATTTTCAAGTTATCAAGGCAGTTCCCAAGTTCAAGATCTTCATCGCCAAATGGACCAGGATTGCAGATATCTGGATTTGGAAGAGCAGAATTTACAAAGCTGTGAGAAATATATATTTTTGATTGGATAACAATTTTAATTGAGTTCAATTTTTCAATCAGATAATGCTCACCGTTTAACTGTTTCCCGACTCAAAACATATCCAGCTCCTCCACTATTCCAACTTCTTTCCTTTTCCAATCTCAATTTACATCCAAAATGAATTGGATCATTTGCTGAATAATTCGATAGAAAATTTCTTAGATTTTCAACAACAACATAAGTATCATCATCAGCTTTCAAAAACCAATCAAATTCATCAATCAATTTTTGCTCATAAATCCATTTGAAAGCTGCTCGAGTTTTTGCCCATAAAAAATTACGACCTTCTCGAACACCGAGATCTATTGATGGTAGTTCTGGATCAGATTGTGAAGACATGAAAACATATCTGGAAGGTTTGGATTAAAAATTTTACAACCCCTGATCATCCTATTAAAAAAAAATCCTAAAAATTTCACAACTTTTGGGATACTTTTTTGCTAATTTCAATTAAAAAATTCAGAATTCCTTAATACATATTCTGGATATTAAAGTTGAACTTGAAATATTTTAAAAAGTCAAAAAACTCACCCATCACATCGTTTCAGCCAAGTGTTCTTCACATGCTTCGCTTTTGTCTCGTGATTTTGGTTTCCAGTCAAAATCCAACAAAAAATCTTGGGACTTCTATTATTTTCTGTGAATTCAACTTGATTAGAGTTATTAGTCAAAATTATATCACCGATATAAAATCCTACAAATATTCCAATCGATAAATATATTAATTTTTGAAACATGACAATGACAATTTTTTAATAAAAATGAAAATGGATATTTTTTGACTCTCAAAATGAAAAAAAAATAATAGAAATCTTTGTTTATATAAAATAAAATCTACACAAAATACAGTAAGTAAATGGCTGAAAAATGCAAGTCTGAAATTAAAGCATGATATCAGAATGTGGCTGAGTTGTCGGAATTGGAATATATTCAGTTTGATCTGGTCGTTTTCGATATGGCATTGTGACACGTCGCCATTTCTAGAAAATTTTGTTTCACATTCAAAAAATTCAGATTTTTTGAATTTACTGTAAAAGTGGGTTGCTGTTGGCATCAACCTTTTGAAAAAAAATTAGGTAAAAAGGGTTTTTGCTCACCTCTTTAATACCATTTCCTCTAGCTTTGGTGAATTTGTAAATGCCTACAATTGGAATAAAAGAGGCGCCAGACAGCGCAAACATAACACCTAAAATATTTGCAGTTCGTGGATAAACATAATTTTGATAAGAAAGTGGTTGAAAATTGAAGACATTTGAACAAATCATTGAAAATAAAATGAATGGAGCAGCAAAACACCAACAGAATTTCCAATAATATCCTGGGCGGAAACCCATCATTTCTTTGACATCTCGAACAAATTGACGAATTCCGTAGATGTAGGAAATTACAATTGCTTCACAAAGAACTGCTGTTAAAAGACCCCAAGTTGTACCATACACAATTAACCATTCCATAACAAGGATACCACCCTAAAATATAAAAATTTAGATTTTTTAAAGTATGAGACTAGTCTATTGTTTCAGTGAAGTTAAGCCTGAAACTCACATCTGTACACATTGATAATCCAATAATCATATAAAGTGAGAAAAGAGCACCAACGAAAATCTCTCGATGTCTTTTCAAAATTGGAAACTCATCAGATAATCCAGTGATAATTGCTTCCGATCCGCCAAACTACAAAACTTCAGAATTTATTACCAACTACAAGAGAAAAATCTTACCGAACTATCCAATCCAAGTGTCATCAACATCAGAAAAAATAAAATGGACCAAAATGGAGCATAAGGCATTGTGCTCAATGCTTCGGGATAAACAACAAAAACTAGGCCGGGACCTTCTTGTGCAACACTATCGATTGGTTTTCCGGATTTACAAGACATGTAGCCGAGAACTGAGAAAATTACAAAACCGGAAAGGAATGATGTGGCACAATTGACGAAAGATGTGAAAAGGGCATCACTGGAAAAACAGGAGGATATGAATATGAGGAGAAAAAAAGATGAGAGAGAATTCACGTGAATATAATTATTTACGTGAACGAAATGGTTTGAAATTCATTTTCATTTTGATTTTTGTGCGCTAAAAATATCAATATTTTTGGAATAGAAAATTGCAGAATCTAGCTGGCTTGGTTCAAACGATGCTCCGCAGTTATTTCGTAAAGCGGAGCATCGTTGTTTTCCCCACCCAACTCACACATAAACATTGTTATGAAAATCATTATAACTTGAAAACGCCATCAAAACTCCAAAACCAGGTCCAAGAGAAAAGAAAACTTGAGTTGCAGCATCTTGCCAAACTCCAGGCTCTTTCAATTTCTCGAAATTCGGTCGCAAATAATATTCGATACCCTTTTGCCAACCAGGAAGTGTAACTCCTCGAATAAAAAGAACACCCAAAACCAAATATGGAAACAAGGCGGTGAACCAAACAACTTTTCCACTCATCTGAATTCCTTTCCACATTGAAAAATAACAAATCAAATAGACCACCAAAAGTGAGAGCTACAAAAAATTTTTTTGAAATTTGAATTTGATTCGTGAGTTACCGCAATATCCCAATGAATTGATCCTAGATTATCGATGCCACGAATAATATTTGAATTCGGCTCGCCTGATCCATGAAGTCCCAAAAAACCCTTGCTGAAAAATATTGATTGAAAAGAGCCCGGTAAAGAGAGGCTCACTAGAAATATTCTTCGGCTGCTGAAATTTTGGCGACAGATTCTTCGATTTGATGATCACGACAAACTGCGCTGCCATCTTCGGACCAACTGAAAATTATTTTGGATTTTTGAATCTAGTTATGACGTGGCAATTTGTGGTTTTGAAATTTCCAAATATCAGAAAATCACAAGTTTTCTGAAGTCAGAAAAAAATCGAAAAAAATACGGCGGCAACACACCGTGTCTCTAGCGCCAACACACTGTGAAAACGCATACACACAAAATATATGAGTAGGCAAAGCCTGTGAATTGTCGGCGACTCGTTTCGCTTATATTTTTGTGATTCGTATAGTGAGTGTTCAGAAGAGTGTTGATAATGATATAAACTTACTACGAGGATTTTTGAGAGTGTACCCGCTCTGATTATTTCAAAGCAGGAGCTTTTGATTTTCTTTGAATTTTTGAAAAGGCAGAAATGCCTAGAATATTGAAAACAGGTCATTTCAAATAGTTGAACCCTTGAGTTTTTCTAAAATCTTCCCAAACTTACTGTGGTTCATAACAGGCGGGTGAATTATAAGAGTTATTACAACTCGCCCATGGTAAATTCATTTGAAACGAAGTATACAAATAATGCAATCCCCACGCCAAAATAACATTATAGAAAAAATCGACATAAAACGCCGTCAAAATCACACAATATCCAATTCCTTTAAATAGCGGACAAATTCTTCCCCAAGTCGTAATCGCACCTTTTCGATAATATTGTCCCAAACACAATTCCATATAAAATAATGGAACACCAGTCATCAAAACCATAATTGTATATGGGATAAGAAATACACCACCACCATTTTTAAAACATAAATATGGAAAACGCCAAATATTTCCGAGATCAACTGCGAAACCAACAACTGATAGAAGAAAATCTAGTTTTCCGGACCATTGTTCACGCGGTGCACTTTTTATTTCATGTTGTTGTACTTGTTGTGATTGTTGTTGAATTACTGTATCTACAGTATTCCCATTTGATGAACCTCGCTTCTCATCAGGATCATCTTAATTTAAATTCAGATAATATTATGATACGGCTGGGAGGGGTTTTTAACTTACCAGTTGGTACCAACTGCATTTAAAAAGTTTTCGGAATTTATTTGTCGACGTTGAATTTTTTCTGGAATTTATATACGTATCCGTTGGAGAAAAAATGATCTTATGTTTTAAAAAGTCATAAAAAGTCTGAAAAACGTTGCGGGACAATGTTTTGATTTTGAGAATTATGGTATCGCGATGAAACTCTGGCTAGGTACGGTTTTTTGATAGAATTTATTTTTGGTGATCTGAAAATTGAAACAGTTTCAGGCATCGTGATTTTTAAAAACTAGATCCATAGGTCAACAATTTTCATCCCAAATCTTTATTCTAAGAAAAAAGCAACATATCGAAAACCAACAAAAAAGAAAGAACAAAGATATAAATGTGAAACTACGGTCCGTCGCAGTGTAGATATGTATGTATAAAATATATGTGTATAATAATTGCCGGAAAACATCTATCCACTTTCTTATATTCTACATTTTTTGTTCTTCCATTCTTTTTTTTTGTCGATTATAGGAAAAAAGAGGAAAATGATGATGATGGAGGAAAACGAAACGAGCATGATCTGAAACTTTTTTATGAACGAAAAAAGGCAGATTCGAGTTTTTTTGGATTGGAATTGGAATCGGGAGAGCTGAACAGCAGGGAAAACATTTCCGGAAAAAGCTCTTCGGAGTTTTTTTTATAAATGACTAAAAAGAGCATGATTTGAAAACTGGAACTGTTAATTCTTAGCTTCCACTTATCCTAAACGTAACAAAAATAAATCGTTTTATTATTTTCAAATCAGTATGTAATTATGAATATATACAATTTCAAAAAAACCGGGATACAAGAATAAAAATATTTCAATTTGAGGTAGATAATTCATATTCACATAAAAGTTGGTCCTCCATTCGTTCCTCCTCCAAATTGTTGTGAAGTTCCATTTCGCAAAAAGTTACTGTATTTTTCGAAAGTTGTGGCCGATTTTTGACGGATTTTCAGCAAAAGTTGCTCATTCAGCATGAATGAACAATTGAGAATTTCTTGGCTGAAAAATTGAGATTTTTTGAGAGCGGAAACGCGCGGTTAGACGATTCGATGAAGCGGATTGTTTTAATGGGCCGATTTTTGAAGAGGAAAAATTGAAAATTGAAAGAAAAAAAGAAGAAAGAATAAGAAAAAGAATAGAAGAATATGTCGGAAACTTACAGAAAATGTGGAGCAACAAGTTGTTTAGCGTCATCAAAAATTAAAAGATAACATCTTCCAGCAGCGCGGATTTCGTGAAGTTGAGATTTGTCTTCTTCATCACATGAATACTGAAAAATGAATATTTTGTAGAGATTCGGAAAATTGAAAAAAGTTTCATAAAATCAATTTTCAATGAGGAGATTCCAGATATTGAAAAGGCAGAAAAGTTATGTGGAAAAGAATATTTTTAAGCAAAATAATTCAAATTCTCAAAAAACTAAAGCTTGTGCAAGTTCTGGTACCGATTAATTTTTGTGAGCCACGATTGAGCCTTTTTTGATCAAACATTCTAAAACTTTTCACTAACCCTAAACATTCTCGGATGTTTATTAAAGAGCATCGAAACAGGCCAATTCAAAATATTCGAAACTTTAGAAGCTGTCACAAATCGTGTCTGATAATTAATTCGTTCCGGATTCCACATCATAACCTCATTCAAAGTTGGCGGTGACATTTCCAATCTCTGAGTTTCTTCATCTTTTCTTGGTCGGCCACGTCTTCTTTTTGCATCTGAACAATGACTGATTCCACTCACATCTGAACTGTCTGATTCATAACCACGCTGTAAATTTGAATGATATTTTTTAAATGAGGAAAGTTTGTGCTCAAGACAACTCAATTTTAGATTGATACCAACAAGAGTTCCGACCATGTGAAGGCCCAATTAAAAAGTGGGGAATTCAAATAATATTGGTGACCACCTTTCTGAATTTAATTATTTACCTTCAAATTATTCTCAGCTTCGATCGCATCAATCATCGAAAATCCTCCACCAAATCCGCTCGCAGGTGGTTCGGGTTCAACTTTTGCGATAAACGGTTTTTTGGCCGCATCCAAAATATTACAGTATAATTGATTCAGAATTGTTTCATCAACAATATGTCCATTTTGACGAAGATTTTCGATGGCTGGCAAAAATGTTGTTCGAGTGTGTCGGTCGAGGATTTGATGGATTTCTTGAGTCATTGCGTTTTGGAAAATTCTTCTCATGAGATCTAATGAAGACGGCGCATCATCTGCCATATCGGTTTTGTTCTTTTTTATTACTTGTTTCAATGAGTTGACCTGGAAAATATGTAAATTATTTTCTGAAAAAAAACGAATCTATTTAAAAAATTTTGTTGGGTTTTAACTTCAATTTTTTAGGAATAAGAATAAATAAATCAACTAAACCAATTATGCTTCAAAAAAACGGGAGAAATATCAATTTTCTCAGAAACCTAAAAGTGCATGTGAACTTGAGTGGGTTCAAAATATATATTTTTTTAAATGTTCATGATCCTTTGAAATTCCTGATCTACAGTAAGAGAAAAGCATTATTGTAGTAGATATATTTAAAATACAGTTTCAAAACTTACTCTTGCTGAACTTCCATCACTGCTACTTTCCATTTCTCGACTCAAAAGTGCATCCAAAATTGAGATTCTCATATTCATTTTATTTCCATTACCATTTCCAGTATGTTTATCCAACATTTTGTATTTTTTTCGTTTTTTTTTGATAAATAATCAGAATACAAAAAATATAGACACAACAAAAAAATAAGAAAAAATCGACTGAATGTGGCAGCCGTTTTCTCTCTTTTCTTCTCTTTTTCTCTAACCTCTCCATTTTTCCAATTCTCTTTTGTTGTCACATTTTTCTCTGCATCTCTCAACATTTTTTAATATTATTTTTTATTTTTAGACAGACTGGCGTGAAAAACAAGTGAATTTTAAAAAGCAACAACAAAATTTAGGTACACGCATCGCGGAAATTTGTGACTCCGATTTGTTGAAAATAGTTTTCGGGTTTCATGAAATTTTCGAACGCTGAAGCACGACACATTCCAAACTTCAAGTCGGAGTTCTGAAAAAATAGGGAAATTTTTCATGGGAACTTTTTGGAAAGAAAAGATTTAAATGAGAAATACGAAGTTATTAAGCTGAAAACAATCCAAATTTCATAAATCTTTTAATAAATCTTGAGTTTGCTCAAAATTTAAAATTCAAAATTTTTCGAAAAACTTTTTTTTTACAAATTTTCGATTCTAACGATTTCTAGCAGCAAAAACCTTAGGATCATTTTCCAAGCAAAAAAAAACTCGATTACAAACCATTTCCCAAATTTCCCATTTTTCTTCAAATTCTCACCTTACAAAACTTGACATCACTTGATCGATTATAACCGTTATACATAACCCGTATAAAAATACCATCATTCAAATGTTCATAAATTTCGAAAATAATCCTAGAAGTATAATGTGGAGGATCGACGAATGGAATGCCGAGAACTCGGAGAATTGGAGCAATTAAAACATCGTGGCCAGAGAAAATCTGAAAAATGTAACTTTTCTAATTATAAAAAAAGTATTCAACAAACCCTGATATAATTTGTGTGCGGAAATTTGCGAATTTTAGCAATTGAATCTCTGACATATGATAAAACTGGCCAAGCTTCTAAAACATGCAATTTTCTTGAAATTCCTGATTTCCGATTTTCAAACATTTCTTCTCCTCGAATTGTTGAAATATTAATCATTTCATTGAGGAATCCATAATCTAAACAATCTTCTCCATTACACGGTAATTTTTTGCGTCGACAAATGAATTTTCCAAGTGATACATCAATTATTTTCAGTGGATCATCGGATTCAGAAAAATCGGCAAAGTTGTGTCGAATTTTCGCGACTTCTTCAGAAAGATGTTTATTTTTCGATAACTCGAGCATATTTGCAAAATACTCCGCGTGTTCTTTTTCATAATCTTTTCGCATTTTTCTAGCAAGTTTACAATCACAAAAATCATCAACACATTGAAAAGTGTGATCAGAAGCTCGAATCTCAACTGGTGTTAGGAAATTTCGTTTTTTGAATAGGAATTCGGATGAAAATGCGAGAAGTGATTGAAGAGTTCGAGGATATTTAGAAGTTATCACATCTGTTACAATTCTTTGGGAATCATCTTCGAATAATTTTGTTTTTGAGTATCTTTCGCGTAAGAATTTTCCAAGTTTCACGTGTTGAAGAGCACCTTCAGCAGTTAGAAGACCACTTGAACATTTTGAACTGGAACAATATATTCTTGTTTATAACAAATATGAAGCTTGAAATGCTTGCACAATTAAAAATACACGTTCAAAATATTATTAAATAGTTCACGCTATAAAAAAAATTTGCTAAAATTTAAGAAGCATTTCATTATTAAAAAATAAAAATGTTGCATTTGGGCACAATTTAAAAACGTGAGTTACATTTGGGGTGGTTAATTTTTTCATCTCATTTCTAAAAGTCTCATAATTGCAAATTTTGCTACCCCATATAATTATATTTTTAAAATTAACTCACTCGTCCGGAACTCTTGGATAAGTTTCAATCGATTTATCAACTCGTAAAAATTCGACCACATCCTCAGACAATGCTAATTCTTTATATTTTTGAAAATTCTTCCGATCAATATCTCTTTGTGGAATACAATCTGTATTATCATCACCAGTTGCTGTAAGAGGTGATCTTTCACCATGTCGAAATGCCACGTGGATTCCTCGAAGTTTCAATTCATTTTCATAATCATTTCCTTTCAACCATTGATCTCCTTCATCTCCGCGTATTTCGTGTTCCAAAAATTGGCACATTTCTCGAATATCTTCGTATAAATAATTGGGTGCTATTTGGCCACCATATTCATCGAAAATTTCATCTTTTGGAGCTACAAAAATTTTCTTGGTCGTGATTTTTTCACAAATTCAGAGAAAACTTACATCCACCAAATGATATTGTATAGATGAAGAATATAACAACAACCAGTAATGTGCAGTCCTTAAAACCCAAGTTATTTTACAAAAAAATAATAAAAAACACCTACCACAATGCGAAACCTCGCCATCATTGACAATATTTACATTTGTTCGGCGTACCCCTGCAACAACACAAAAATTGGTTTTGGCACCTTCCCAAATCATTTTATTATTGATTTTATTTGCTTTGTGTAGTCCTCGAGGAGGATTTTCCAAACCATATGCTTTTCAAAAGCAAATTCAACACCTTTCTATTATGTAAATTTTTCCATGATCAAACACGTAAAATGACGGGAAAATGCAGACTTTCACTTGTATTTTTCTCTCGACTCTCCGTGCTTCACTCACTATTTCGAAGCCATCATGTGTGAGATGCCATTTTTTACACACACACTTTTGCTTTTCTTTCTCGACGCAATTTTTTTGCTGTGTTATCTTTGGTTTTAACTAATTTCGATAACGAATGAAATAATGGAATACTCGTTTTGTTTTTGTGACATGAAAATGAACAACCAAAAAAATAAATAAATAAAAATCGTCCAAGAGAAGTTCAAAATTGCATATCGTGGCGAGATATTTGAAATATATTCGTGCGCCTTTAACACCTTTTGTACTTTTCTCGGAATATTTTTCCCAATTTTTTTTTCGAGTTCAAACATTTCTCCCTCTGCCTCCCTGACCAAAATCAAAATAATCTGTATTATATTGTTTGACGAGCCTAGTTCAAACAGAAAAGACACCCAAAATCTTCTTGTTCTTCGTTTTCTTTGTTTTATTAGTGATAGTAACATTTATGCTCTTTGAAAGTTTTTTTCTCTATTTTTGTCTCGTTTACTATTTTTTGTATTGAAAAATATGTCGACCTTTTCACACACTAAAACATGCAATTTTCTCGCGATTCAAGGACAAAATCCAATTGTTTTTGTCAAATTATTTTTGATTCATGTTTTTTTCAGCGACAAATGGCGGACGAAGGTGGCGGAGGAGATGGAGGCGCAAAAACTGCGGCGAAAAAATCACTCCGTCCAGAAATACAACTATACCGACCAGGTGAGTGAACTTTTTAAGAAAATGGAAGAAACATGTGATAGATTTTCTTTTCGATTTTCTTTCTATTTACTATCATTTTCATTTCATTACATGAAATTACATAAGATTGGTTAAATGGGCAAATATTTGATATAGATTTGTTCTTTCATGAGTTTATCAAGATTGTTTCCAGGAATGCTTCGAAAAGGCGATAGCACAAAAAGTCTGGCCACCGACGAACGACCACCAAGACCAGAAAACTTGAGTGGAGCTGGTGGAACTCATTATGTCGCTTCAAATTCTTCAAGAAGAAGATCGAATGATGCAGATAGTATTACATCTAGTGGGTTTTCTCGATTTTTGAAGAAAAAACTGTAAGTTCACAATTTTGTTCAGGAAATGGTTCTGGAAGTACAACTCCTGATGCGAATGCGATTAACGAGCAACGAAAATATCCGAATCCTCGAGATCAAAATCGACGAAATGGTGAATCTTCGTCTTATGTAAGTGTTTTTTTTCTATTACGAGAATGTTTTTTATTTAAAAAAAACAAAAGTTATTTTCTAGAACTCAACTCAATCTTTATATGATTCTCGACAAAGTGGAGGATATGTTCGAGGTGGAAATTCATCGGGTTATCAGAATCGACAAAATCCCAATCGACGAAGTTATCCATCTCAGAACTTTGAAAGGAATTTTGTGAGTTTTTTTTTGAGTCAAAACTGGGCTACTGAAAAAAGTCTTTAAAAATAGTATATTGATTATCCAGTGATGTTTTTCTAGTTTAAAATTTATCAAACATTTTATTTAGAATCGCCCAAATTACCACCATAATCATCAAAATGGCGGATCTGGCTTCAATGATCGAGCATCGATGCGAGGAGATGGTGCAATTACCAAAAGAAATGATCATCAAGGAGGAAGAAGACGGCGAAATGATTCGATAAATAGTACGCAAAGTGAAATGCCACAATCAAATGTAAGTGAAGAACGGGTTTTTTAAACTTTTTAGTGTTTTTTATATTGTTTGAAACACAGCAAATTAAATTAGCTCATATTATTCAAAAATTCTTTTTTGTTTGCTTCCTGAAAATTTTTTTGACCTTATCTGAAACTCTGAAAATTCAAATTGTTAACATCAAAAAACATTCCGAAGAATGTACGCTTCAAAATTTTTTGATATTTTTAGAGGGTTTTGAAATTTTTGCTTCGTTTCCCGATGTATCATAAAACTTAAATAATAAGGAAATTTCAGATTTATTCTGAAATTGAAAAAACATTAGATTTCTGGTGTGAACCTTGACGTAGTATTTTTTCATTTGAAAAAAATTAAGCTCCGCAGATTCACACCATTTTTCTTATAAATAAATTTTACAGAATGATCAATTACATATCGATACATCTTATGATTCTGTATCACAATGCGGTGCATCTTCTGCATTTTCAATGGATTCACTTGGAGAAGCAATGTCTTTTGAAGAAATGTGTGCATCGATGCAATCATTTGGTTCTCTTGATTGGAGTAAAGAAGTTGAAAATGAATTTGCATTGAAATTAGAAAGAGAAGAACAAGAAGCTAAAAGATTGGCTGAAATTCAACAACAACAACAACAACAACAGGTTGCTCCAAAGATATTAACGAGACCAAATACAAATCGAACTAACAATAAAAGTGAGCCAATGAAAAGATCACCAAGAAATCATCGAAGAAGAAATCAACGAGGATTTGCTGATGAATCAGATCGAGAATCTTCATTTGGTGGAAGTATTGCTGAAGAAGAAGGTGAAGATTTGGAAGGAGGTGAACAAGAAGAATTGAAGAGTGGAGAGAGAACACCAACTTCGACTAGAGATAATTATATTTATCAACCAAGAGCAAGAAATAATGAGAATAAACGAGAGACGCAGAGACAAAGAAGAAATAATCAAGAGGAGAAAAGGTGGGGGTTTGAGCAAAATTTTAACGTGATTTTTTGAAATGTCATGTTTTGGGACTTCAAAATTTGAATTTTGCGCTAAAATTGATTTGAAAAATAGATGAAAGTCTCAAAAGCACAAAAAAAATTTCAATTGAAAAATTTGAAAAAATTCTGCACGGTTTTCTTTCAACTAACTCTGGGAGAAATGTTCAGTTTTCATTTATTTTCTCTGAGTTTCTACTATTTTTTTCCTCAAAACTCGGCCCATTTCAGATATCGAGGTGAACACGATGATCGCGAAGATGAATCGACAAAATACGACGCTTTTTCACATATGACAAGTGGAAGACTTGCCGGAAGAATTTCGATTGTTAAAAAAGAACCAGTTGAAACAACATCTTCAACTTCTCCAATAAATAATAAAACGAATACAAAATACAGGTGATCTCAAGATTATTTTTTGTGTTTTTTTTTTGAATTTTAAAAGCTTTGGAAAAGACCTAGGAATACTTTACGGTTTTTGAAAATGTTTTTTTCTCGAACAATAATTATTTTTGATACCGTAAGCATTCCCAGGTCTCGTTTGGATCTCCTTTTTCTTTTTTCCATGTTCGTTTTACTTCTTCTAACTTTATTTTCTAAAATTGCAAAAAACTAATTTGTTCCTTTTCCTGTACTCAGAAAGTGTCCTGACAGCCGTCGGCGAGAAAATCTCGCCAGCTAGCACGCGAGCCGGCAGACGGCCGTCCATTTCTCGCATTTTTCTGGCGAGACCTCGCCAGTTCTCGCTGCTAGCTAGCGCTTGTCTGTTGTTTTTGCAGTTCATAGAGCTTGTTTTGAAAGAATTTATTAAACAAAAAACACTTCATTTATCGGAATCCTGTGGATGTCGAAGTGTGGAGGGTGATGTGTTGTTTTCCAGGCTGCGAAGAGTTGGTTGATGATTGTAGAATCTGAAATGTTCAATCATGTTTAAAACTTCGTTTGAAAAATATAGGGCATTGGGAAATGAGAAATAATCTAATCATTTTTGAAGTTTTTCAAGTTTCATATTCAGGTATATCTCATTATCTGCAAAATGAAAAAAACACTGCAGAGGGAGCGTTCAATGTCTATAGACTTTCTATAGAAAACACAACAAGCCAAAATTACGAGGTTTTCGTAGAAATTGAGTCAGTGCTGACAAGCGATTTAGGAGCTTGACTTGACAATGACATGGCAACTACTTATTCCTATCACTATCAATTTTCTAAAAGTAATGATTTTCTAATTTATCAAGCACTGATGGAAAAATACAATCAAATACATTTCTAGATGAATAAGAGTAACAAACATGAATATAGAATTTTCCATTCGAAGTTCATATAGAATGAGTTCTTTTCTCATGAAATCGATTTGTTCCTACACTAGAGCATGATTTTAAAACTACTGGGACTTAGGAAACAAAGCTTTCATTCAAACCACCTTACCTTACAAATTTTATCAAAAATATTGTTGTGCTGCTCGTCCATCCCGCCATTTCAGTCGAAAACATCGCTTCAAACATCGAGAGCCCTGTAAAATAGGTTTACACTAATTTACTGAATCAAAAATCATCTGCACTCACCAAAAACACATTTTCATGTCACGAAGGTGCCTGGCGATGTGCACCGTCTCCATTCCAACACTTTGCGACGTTGCTTGCATGTTTTCTGTGAAAATTTTCGATGAAAAAGGCATAAAAAGATTTTAGGCCAAAAAATTCGAAAAAAAAAATGAAAAAGGAAATAGACGAGCAAATCTGCTCCAGTCGCAATTTTTTCTGTCCGCTAGCTGGCGGCGAGAAGATGCGCTCGATCCTCCCCTTTTTATGAGAATGCGAGCTGGCGGACAGCCTCTGCTAGCTTTCGACAGCTCGCAACCTCGCGGACGGCTGTCAGGACACTTTCTGAGTATATATTTACATTCCACTAACCCATTTTTCATTCCACTCCAAATAACAAAAATTAATAAATGTTTCCCTTTGTTCAACGGTTTTTATGGTTTTTTGACGCGCAATCGCTTTAACCTTGCTTATTTTTATATGTCAATCTAACGTGGAAACGTGCATTTTTTGAAATTCTACACATTTTCAATCCAAAAAAATTCAGCGAACCGCCGATGATAAAAAGGCGAAATGGCGAAGAAACGGAGACGAAAGATGTTTTATTCGAGCGAATCTCAAAACTCGCGCCAAATGTGGCGAAAAAGAAGGATTTAGATGCAGCGAAACAAATGGTGGAATTGAGTGCGAAATTATCGAAAGCCTATTCGGAGACGATTTTTGCAAGTGATATTGTTCAAGTTTTTACGAATGGATTGGAATTGAATCTTTTCAAACAAGCTTTTCATAAGGTTAGTGGCTAAAAGGAAAAGGTGGAAATGAAATCGACAAAAATAGGTCATTTATTATTTTAATTTTTTCCACGTGAATTCATTTTTTGTTCATTTCAGCCAATTGAATGTTTCCGAACTGGTTCAAATTCCGCCTCTCCACAATCCAAATTAATTCGAGCTGCTTTCCAACGACTTCTTCTTGATGGAATTGATTTCTATGAAAAATTGATTGAAAAATATGAAAAAGAATTCGATTTCCGCCTTGATAATATTTTGATTTGGCCCGATGGTTTAATTGAGGAAATTCAATTGATCCACGAATTTGTTGATTTGCCTGCTGGAGTTCAAAAATTGGAAACGAGTCGACAAAAAACGGCGTTGAAATCATTGGCACGGCATTTGATATCTTTGGGAGATTTGCATCGATATAAAACACTTGTTGATGGATCGGAGAATTATCAGATTTCTCAAAGGTTTGTGAAATTTATATTGGGAAAAAGTGGGGATTTGAATTTTTCAAACATTTCGATCCTAAACATTATCCAAAAATCCCCAATTTTTCCAGTTACTATCTGAAATCAGCTCAACTTTGGCCAACAACTGGACACACTTATAATCAACTCGGAGTTGTTGCATATTATTCGGTAAGTTCTTTTCCTCTCCTGGGCGGCCCCAAAGATATAATTCTTCTCTTTTTTCTCTTCCTATTCATTTTGTGAGAGTTGTAGATGCTCTACCGTAGTTCACGGCGTGTTCGACTCATCCCGCTCGAAATTTTATCGAGGCAAAGACAGGTAGCTTATGTTTTTTGAATGCCTCACGTATTATCTGCTTTTTTCCGGGGTTTTCTCCACTTTCCGGTGTTGCTTTTACTTATTTAATACTAATCCTGTCTTTACCTCCTCTACTTTTTTTTACCTTCTAACCATTCCTTTTTTGCACTTTTTTCTTTTTTCTTCAAATATCATCTCGAATTTCCACATATTTTTTTTCAGACTCGTGTAATTGATGAGATCTTCTTTCTAACTCGTGCACTTGCTTGTTCTCATCCATATGCAGCCGCAAAAGAAAGACTTGCTCAAAGACTTGGAGCAATGAGAGCAAAAGTTGCAAAATATGAACCACTTTTGGATTCGGAATGTGGAAAAAAATCGGAAAATGAGATGGAAAAAACGAGAGAAATATGGATAAATGTTGAAAATGGAGAGATTTCTGATGATTTTGGGCAGAAAATTATCAAGGATATTTTGAGCCAATTTATGTCGCATAGTGTGGATAAGGTTGGGTTTTTTTTGGGAGGATTTAGAGATTGTAGAAAATTCTGAAATTTTCAGCTCCATCGTCGCGCTGTTTCCTATCTTATTGATACATTTGGAATACTTGTCACAAAAATTGGAATGGATCATTTTGAAAGTGTTTCGGAAAGAGCATTTGCACTTCTTCATGCTTCACTTGCAAAATCGAGCACAGATTCTGGTGAATTTACTGCGAGACAACTTGCTCAACTCGCTGCTCTTTTTATTTATTCTGCTCAAGCTTCTGAAGGTAAGTCTTTTCCAAACATCCCTAAAAATTCACCTCCATAATCAAATATTTTTCCAGCATCCACGTCATCACATCTCACTTGCTCTTTGAATACGATTCTCACATTTTTCACAATTTTGGCACATAATTTTTTTTTTCCCAACGAATATCGAAAATCCTGCGATTCTTCCGGCACTTAATATTATTGCCACGTGGATCTCTAAGAATTTCAAGATTTTTACAAATTCTGAACATTTGAGTGGATTGGAATCGACGATTTTGGAAGGAAAAATAACTGCAAGAAAAACGATATCAGAAATTTTGAAGAATTCGAAAAAAATGGAAAAATCAGAAAGTGTTTCTATGAAAATTGAACCGGAGATTTTGTATTTGGCATCGTTTTGTGGAATTTTTGAGCCTTATCCGAAAAATGGAGAAATTTATGGAGATGGAGATGAGGTATAGACTTTTGGAGGGGTTTCTGAAAAATTTTGAGCAAGATTTTTGTTTTCAAAAGTTCGTAAAAACTTAATTTTTCAGCCTCAAACAACTCGACTTCAAAATATCTACGAAACAGCTGAACTTCTCGATAAAATTCTCACAGATTTCAATTCAACAACAACTTCAAATGATTCAAGAGATTCATCAAATTCTCCTCAAAAATCACATCGTGAATCACTTTTGGATGCTGAACGAAAAAAACATGCTGAAATTGAAATAGTTGTGAAACCCGAACAAATTGTTATTGATTCGAATATTCTGATCGATCATTTGGAACTTGTTCAAAAAATCTATGAATCGAAAAAATTCCAAATTTTAATTCCAACAATTGTTTTGTCTGAAATTGGTGGATTATCTCACGAGAATTCGAGAGTCGCGGAATCGGCCAAAAATGCATTGGGATGGTTGAGAGAATTGGCGAAATTGAGGGTGGAAACAGTTTCGACATTGACGAGTCAGGGAAATAAAATACGATTTGTTATTGCGTTTGAAGATCATACAAGAGAGCAGAGGAGACAGCATACGGTAGGGCATTTTTTGGGAACGGAAAAAGCATTTATTAATTTCATAAAAATTGTACAGAGAATCTGAAATTTCTAAAAAACTCAACAAAAAGTATATATTTTATTTTTTGCAAATTTTATCACTTCATAAATCAAGATTTCTAATTTTGCAGGTCAACGATGATACAATTCTCGAAAGTTGTCTAAAACTCATCCAACCTTCAAAAATTCCCCAATTTTCAAATCTTCCTCCAATAAAAGATGAACAAAACGCGCTCTATCGAACTACAGTACTCTTGACAGAAGATCGCGGTTTGGCAATCAAAGCAACAAGTCGACAAATGCCTTGTCGTGATATTTTCAGGTTTATTAAATGGGCCAAAATATAATTTTTTGCATTTTTTTTTTGGTTTTTTGTTGTTGTGAACAGACTGTAATAAATTTCTCTGTTTTCTCTTTTTTTCGAAAAAAATTTGAAGAGTTTTTTTTTGGATTTTCATATATAATAAATCAGAAAAAAGACCAGATGGTCACCATAAATTCCGCCCGCTCGGCCCCCTTTTTTTTTGAAAAAAAAGAAGCTGTGAAAAAATTAAAATTCCAAGAAAAAGTTGTCCCTTGAGATTTGGTGGCCAGAAAAAAATCATAGGGAAAACGTTTTCAGATTTTTTTGGAATTCTGAAATTTCGTGAGTTTGGTTTGAATTTTGAATTCTGTATGTTTTCATTTGAAACCACACAACTTTTGTTTTCTTTTTTTATTTGGCTTTATTTTTAAAAATAAAAAAAAGTGAAAACTGAGTACTGTAGAGTTTTCTGGAGGAAATTTTGACAATAACATTTTTAGTCTCTTTGTACAGGGAAAATTCAAGTATAAATTCTCAAAAATCAATCTGAAGCCTGTTTCTAAATTTAACAAATCCTAGACCCGCAAAATTTTTTAAAACAAATCCTAGACTCGCTGTAGATCACGCGGGATTTAAATATCTTTTCGTCTCTTTCACTCTCACCGATTGCTTTTTGACATGTTCTGTCTGAATTAAGAATAAACATTTTTTGCAAAGTTTAACCTCATTTTTTTTTCACCAAAATGTAGTTTTCTTCTTCTTTAAAAAAATGTAAAAAATTAAGATTCCAAGAGAAATTCGTCCCTCGAGATTTGACCCTTCAAAAAATTCATAAAGAAAAGTTTTTTCTAATTTTTGTCTTCTGTAGTTGAAAATCGATAATTCTAAAAAAACAAGAAACTTAATTTTATTTTTAATTTTTGTTGAAAATGTTTCAGTTCTGAGCCAATTTTGCAAATAAAAACTTTTGAAAAGATTTCCCTTGAGATTTGAACCTTCACAAAGCATATATTCAAAAATTTTTGTAAAAAAAACTCAATTTTTCTTAAATATTTCAAATATTCAACCCACCCACCAATTTTTATTTATTTCTATTGTTTCGCCAATTTTTCTTATTATTATTATTTCTTTTGTAAATATTCGAACCAACTCGCCCAACAAATTGACCTTTTTGTCTAACCTCTCTTTTTCTTCTAATAATAATCCTATATTCTTTTTTTCCTTCTAATAATATTTTTTTGTCTCTGTCGTCTCTTCATATCTCATACTATTTTCGTCGGTTTTTGTATGCGTTCACCCAATGGGTGACTGACTTGAGATGAGGAAAAAAAGAAAGAAAAGGCTGGCTGTGGGTGGGTGGGATGTCCTCCCATCTTATTTTTTTATTTGAAAATTTTTGGCGTCTGTGGATTTATTGATTGGTAATTTTTTGGCAGGGGGTACTGTAGGTTTAGATTGATGCTTAGAAGCTAGAAGAGTACTGTTGTGAAATTTTAGTAAAATTGACTATTTTTTTTCGAAAAAAAATCATCTGTGATGTTCCTTATCCAATTCTTCTGACCTTCATTTTTCTTATTATTATTTTTTGACTTCTTGAAGTTTCTGGAACATGCACTCTCTGAGTTATTTCTGGGTTACTGTAGTGATTCAGGTTTTGATTTCTTTTTAAAAAAATTACAGTAAGTCTGAAACTCAAATCTGAAAAGTGCTAAACCCAATTATTCTTACTGTGGATTTTGTGAAATTAGATATTCCCTTCCAATTTTTCTTCCTTCATTTTCTGACCTTCATTTTTTTCCTAATATTTTTCCGACTTCTCTTTTTTTTTTCAAACACACACACATCAGCCAGTCAGCCCAGCCAACCACACATTATTTTTCGACATTTGTGTGCGCGTACAAAAATTGAGGTCATTTTGAAGCGAAAAAAATGGGGGGAAGAAATGAAAAAAGAAAAAGACGCGGCCAGCCGCCACAAGAAACAGCAGCCTTTTTTTCGACCCAACAAAACATTTTTGCGCACGCAAAAAAAAAGAAGAAGAAAAAGAAAATGTCAAAAAATTTGGGTTGATGCTTGTTAACACACAAATGAAATGAAATAACATGAAATGAATTTGTGTTTTCATTTTTTTTTTGAATTCGGCCTGGATTTTTGAGAATCTGATAAAAGTGCAATATTTTCTATTTTGAACTTGAGATCCGATTTTTTATAAGAAGGTTTTAGTATAAGGTTACTGTAGATCTTAAATATTCTCTAGGATATCTTAAACTTCATATAAACTTCTTTAATTCTTTTTTTTTTGATAAACATTTCTAATTTACCCGAACTCTTTTCATTTTCTCTGTTTTTTTCGAGAATTATTTTTGATCTGATAAAAAGTACAACTTTTTGTTGAACTTGAGAATTTTTAGAGAAAAGTTTTTGCAAAAAAATACTCAAGGTTACTGTAGATTGAACATTTTTATCAACTTTTTTTTCGAATTTCAAATCCAAGTTTTTTGAAGCTCAAACAAAAATTTCGAAATTTTATTTCATCATTGAATTTTAGAAAAGTGAAATTATAAAAAAGGTTTCTGAATCCAAGTTTCTGTAGATCAAAAAAATATTTTTACAAATTACTTGAATTTTTGGCGCCAACGTTTATTATTTCGATTTTTTCTAAATATTTCCAAATATTTTCCCAACAACATTTTCCATTTCCCATTTTCTCCAATTTTTTTTTCAGTCACAAAAAATCCGGATTCCTATTTTTTCCCCACATTTTTCGTCTTTTCTTCGCTTAGCGCGCGCCCAATTTATAACTATCTATCTATAACTATAATTTAAAAACGTCTCCGAAAACCACTTTTTTATTTTGCATTTTCGAAATCGCGCGTTTTTCGAAAAAAAACTTTCAATTCTTTCGGATATTTGTACTACTATTCTTTTCTTTTTCACAAAAAATTTCTGATCGAAAAAAGAAAATACCATTAAAATTTTTGACAGCGGCCCGCGCGCAAAAAAAAACAACTACAGTATTCCTAGAAAAAATGAATGCGAAAAACGAAAAAATGAACGGTTTTTGAGGTCATATTTTATTGGTATTTTATGAGATTTGAAGGTCCTGCTGGCGAATTTTTAACTACTTTTTCTTTTTTTTTTTATTTTAGCTGGGCCACAAAAATTTCATTTCCAAATTTTACTCGAGTTATACAGCTTCAGCAAAACTCTTAAGACTTTGTAGTTTCAGAGCTCAAAATTTGAGAAAGAAATAGAACACGTTTTCCACGTGGCAATTGAGTTCGCGGAAGATTGCAGCTTTTGCACGAGTTTCCGGCTTACACACAATTTTTAACTCCTTCTTACTACTGCCCTCAAACAATTTCAATTTCCCAATTTTTTCCCATAATAATTTCTACCTCCTCTTTTTTCTTCTCGTCTTCAGAAAAATTTTCCCATAAATTTTTTGCGAAAAAAAATCTAATTTATTTTTTTCCAGGCGAATTTTCAACGAGGTCATTTCTTTTTTTGGTGTGCTGCTGGTTTTTTGTGGCTGTCCGTTTTTTTTCGAGGTCAGATTTTAATGATTTTTTTCCTTTTTCTTACTTTGATTTCAAAAAATTTCGAAGTTTTTTTTCGCAAAACGTAGATTTTTGGCGCCATGCCACGTGGCATTTTTTATTGAATTTTTAAAAGCGTAAAAATTGTGTTCAAATAATTTCAACAATTTTTGAGCTACACAAAATTACTCGAAAATCGTATAACTCGAATTTTTTCCCCAAAAAATGCCACGTGGATTTTTAACGTTAAAATTTCATCTAAACCAAACTTTTTTTTGTTTGCTGAAAAAAAGTTTGAATTGAAAAAGCTATATATTCCCCTAGATCACCAAATCCAGTTTTCCCATTCTATTTTTTTTCTCTGGCTGATTTTATTTATTTTTATTTTCACATTTTACAATTAGTAGAAAAAAGACATGTTTTATAAGAAATGAAATTGAATGAAATGAGATTTTATCTGGAAGTCGCCCAAAAAAATCGTTGAAATTTTTTGCGCGCGCCAGCGATAAAAAAATAGTTGGTTTTGTTGTGTTGAGGTTTTTTTTCGGAAAAAAAGTAGAGCTGAAAATGTGAGGCCGAGCACCGAAATTTGAGCTTATTATAAATAGAATTTTTACTCAAAAAATTTTCCAAGTGATTAGATTATTTTTGATCCCAAATTCCAAGGTTTTTAGAATCAAAGAAAATGTTTCCGAGAAAAAGTAAAATTTATTATTATCATCTACTGTAGAGACTTCTAAAATTTCCCACTTTCATTTTTTCTCAAATTTCCAATCCCGAATCCCCAATTCGAAAATTTGATTTTCATTTTCAAACAAATTTTTTTGTCTCGGAAATTTCCGGTTAACTGAAAGTGAGGTTTTTTCCATCGCCTATTTTCCTTTTTTTTTTTTGCTCGTGAGCCGACGACCGAATGAGCGCGCGAGAAAAATAAATTCGATGTTTGTTTTTGTCCAGTTGAAAATCGCGCCCGATTTTTTTCGCTTTCACAAAAATTTTGTGCTCAATACACACAGTTTTTTCCAAAAAAAACCTAAATGCACTTTTTTCGTGACATTTTTTCAATTCATATTTTTTTTGGATACTGTGAATATATTTTAGTGTTAGAGTACTGTATTTTTTTCTGTCAAAAAACGTCATAAAATTTTCTGCACAGCTGTGAAAAGAAATTTTTAGTATACTCTTTTTGAGTCCCATTTTGTACCATTTATAGTTTTTTTTTTTCAAAAAGAAGTTACAGTAACCCTGCAGTAACAAAAACGTACATTATTTCTCATTTTAGCGATATTTTTCTGTTGAACTTTCAGGATTACTGTAGAGTACTGTAGTTTGTTTTCTAAATTTTCTACCGAACTTTAGTCAGCTTCTTTAATCATTTTTTAACCCACAGTAACCAGAAATTTTATAATGGAATTTTTTTGATTACTGTGGAGTACTGTAGAAATTTCATGAATCGAAATGTGTTCATCATAAAAATTTTGCAGCTGCGAAGAAAAAAAATTATAACACTTTTTAGTACATTTTTGTAAGTACTATTTTATGGTTCCCTACAATTTCCAAAAAATAAAGATATTGGTTACTGTAGAATACTGTACTCATTTTCACCAAGAAAGTTGTTTGCAACTGTTCCGACACTTTCTAATTTTTTCCGAAAAAAATCTACAAATACAGTACCCTTCAATTTTTTCTATTTTGAAAGAGGAAGTTGATTTTTTTTTGTTACCCACGATTTTTGTGAGCGCCGAATAGCGAGCGAGCAAAAAAAGGTCAATTTGGTAAGAATTTTTGCTCGACCGGCGAAAAATGAAAACAAACAAAACAAACAGTCTTTTTCCTTCTTTTTCTTCTAAAAAATAGTGGACATTTCGGGCGCCAAAAAAAAAGAACCGCAAGAAAAATAATACGACCATTTTGAGCAAACGAAAAACGAAAAACGAAAGGTGCGCAGGATGACACCCGATTTTGGACGCTGCACACTGTATTTCGAAACTTTTTCGATTCGAAAATCAAATTTACCTCTTTTTTTTGAAGAGTTTAGGGTTTTTTTCAATTTGTCTAATAACGTGGCAATTTTTTTCAAAATTGTTGATCTAAAAAGAACTGAAATTTCTCAGATGCCAATTTGAATTTTGCCCCATTCTTGTAAATATATATCTGTGTGAGTCATTTTTTTAAGAGTCTGGAGCTTTTTCAATGCTTCTGATAACGTGGAAATTTATTTTTGAATTTTTTTGATTCTGAATTTAATTTTGTTCTAAACTCGACTTTTGAAATATTATTTTGAATCCATTGAGCTTCTAAAAAAATCCAAAACCTTTCAGTGATTTCTAAAGTTCTGAAATTTATCAAAAGTTATGAAATTTTCAATTTCATATTTTTTCAGAGTTTTTTATTCCTGCCTATTAAATTTTCTGATTATTTCTTCATCCCTATTTCTACAGTACCCATATTAATTTCAAATTTCAATGTTTTCAAACATTTTTTTCATATCTTCTTCCGCTTTCTTCTCGAAAATATGAGTATTTTATTTCATTATTATTTTTCACAAAACAAGTCATAAAAACTTTTTTTTAGCTTCCAAATTTTTTCCTTTTTATTATATTATATCCATCTACAGTACTTTTTCGCTTTTCCCAAATTATGGTCATTTATGTAGAATCGTATAATAATAATATTTAATTTAATAGTTTTATTATGAGGAAAAAACGAACGAAGAGGGTAAGGGAAAAGCTGGCGAAGCTCCGCCCACCCCGAGAAAATTTTGATGGTTTTGGGAAAATTGGCTGAAAAAAGAAATAGAATAAAAATATCGTATTTATCTATTAATCTACAGTATTGTGAAAACACTCATTATTTACTGATTGATAACGAATTTCATCTTTAGATGAGAAGATGAGTCACTCTTGTCTTACTGTAATCCCCATTTTTATATATTTTTAGTTCTGTAGCTTGAATTTTTTCTTCTGAAAATTTTTTAAACTTCATCCTTCTTTTCCAAACATAATTTCGAAATTATTTATTTACTTATCTACAGTATTTCATTGTTTTCTGATTGATATGAGTCATTTTGATATTACTTCATCTGAATTTCTTGTCATTTTTTGTCGCATTTGGAGTTCTTTAACCAAAACTTTCTACTTTTATTTGCACCTCGATTCACACCTCGCTCTCAAGTAGCCACACCTAGAGAACCTAATTGTCCAGTACACGCTTCGAGAATTCATTCCTGACAAGTAGCCGCGCCTTGAGAGTTTCTATGCCAAGTAGCCTGACCCTACAAATCCTAATTATATTTTTCTACAGTATTTTTATTCAAATATATATTTTTACATTATTTTCAAAATCCCAAACAAGCTTTTCTTCCTCATAGATTGTTGTCTCTAAGCGAATTTTTTTGGTATGTTTTTGTAGGCGAAAAAAAGGAAAAAGTATGTATGTATGTGTTCAACTAGATCTTTTTTTTAGTTGTGGAAAAAAGAAAATGGAGGGCAAAATTAGACTTGTTTTTTTTATTTAGATTTTTTTCGTTGATTTTTTTCGCATTCTTATTTATTATTATTACACAAAAATTGGTTTTTTGTCTAATTTTTTGGTGATTTTTTCAGAATATGACGTCATTATTAGATGGTTCTAGTATTATGCATTTGGCGAGTCAATTGGTGCAACAACAGCAGAAAAATGGGCAAGGTTGGTGGGGAATAACGCAAAAAACTGCGCGCAGGGAGGTGGGCTCGAACCCAGGTTTGAGGAATGGTGTGCAAAATTGCATACCACTTGACCACGCGATTATTTTTTGAAGTACAGAAAATGACATATTTTTGATGGCTCATTTTTTGTCGCGCACGTGAAAATTTTTCTTCGTTCCGGGACCTCACACTTGTCAAATTTATTCAAATATTTATAGATTCCGCCTCACCTTCTTATACAAATGCACAACAATTGACACTGGAAATGTTCAAAAATTCGGGACTTTTTTCGTGTCTTCAAAATCAGAGTGTAGGAATGATTGAGGAGACGCAGACGAGTAGTCAGAATTCGGATACGGCGAGCTCGGAATCACCCGAACCACCAATTATTATGCAACATCATGAAAATGAGGAACAGGTGAGCAGCGAGGAAAAAAAACTAGAAATGAAAAAATAGTAAAAAAAAATAGAAATATTTTTTGACGTGGAAATGTTTGATAAGGAAAAAAAAGAAAAAATTTGTGGGCCACGGTTATTTTTAGTTTTTTGAATTATTAGAATGATGGACACTGATTGACTCAGGTTGGTGAGAATTTGCAATATTTTTGAAAAATCTGGGGAAAAACTCAAACTCATTTTTTGAACTGAAAAAAAGTTCTAGAAAATTGAAACTCACAAAGTCTGGAATCAAGTGATTAAAAAAGTTTTTGAAAATTAGCTGTAATTTACAATTACGTCCAAGTCTGAATTTTTTAAACAAAAATTAAGCAATTTTCAAAAAGAACTTATATCCATTCTAAATAGTTCAAAATTAATAAACGACAAACCATTCTAAACAATCGTGCCAAAATTCCTCCACTGGTCCCAAAAAACCTCCTTTTTCCAGCAACTAGCACTAATGCGATCTTTGGGTCAAACAATAGATATGGTTTCGTCTGGTGATGAAAATAGCACCGAAGCAACGATGCGAGATTTAATGCCAGTTTTAGCAGCTGCTAATCAAGTTTGCACAAATGCCGAACAACAATCACAGAGTGCTTGGGCAAGAAATGCGGGAAGAAAGAAGTCGCATCCAGTTTGGGAGTTTTTTCGCGATTTGAAAGATTCAAGTTAGTTAAATTAAGAAGATTTTTGAATACCTTTTTTTGTTTAAGCGTTTTTTACAAGTTGAAGTTTTGAAGTCCAGGCTGTCCTACTCGCTTCTTTAAACTCCGCCCCCCTCCCCCATACATCCAAAACAAAAAATTCTTTCAGCTGGAGCCGGCGGTGTTATTTGCCTACACTGTAGTTGGTGTGGAGATGATCGAAGTCCGAACAATTTGCGAACACATTTAAAGAAATTCCACACGGATGATGGGATTTTTACGAGATTCAGTCAAAAGTTAGCATCGGTTAGTTTTGGGGAAGGGATTTTTGGGGCAGAAATATTTGGGATTGGGTGGGAGTGAAATATTTGGATTAGAAAAAAAACTTATTGGGTATCATCAATATTGTGAAAATGTAATTTTTAAAAATAGGTGGAAGGAAGTTTAGTAAACTCAGATAAAACGGGACCAAAAGGTTAATCTCGGTAATCTGTCAAAAAATCTGGAACACCCAAAATTATTTGGATTTTTTTCCTGGTAGAACTCCATCTCTGATTTATTTTTGGAGCTCTGATGGATTGTTGAATCTTCTTTATTTTTGTCATAAAAATAGAAGACAATTCGTATTTCTCTTTCGTGTGCTCTAGAGTTCGCCAAGCTGATTTATTTCCTCGCGGTTCTTAGAACTCTCCAAAAAAAGTTCCTCGAATTTCCCAAGCCCAGTCAAAACACAAATTTTCTCGACCCCTTTCTGTTTTCTAATTTCATTCACCTCCTCCTCCTCGAAATTCCCCCGTCAATTCATTTTCGACCGACCGATCGCCGCAAAAACCCCCGACCTTGGTATATAGAACAGGATCCCCCATTCTTTTCTTCTTCTTCTTCTATTTTTATTATTAGCAAGCACACACAAAACACGGCGAGAGGAGAAAAAAGGGAATGAGGTACTGTATTCTTCTCCTCTCCTCCTTCTATTTTTCCCCCGCGCGCGCACAGGCAAAATGCGCGCACTGACTGACCAATTCAACCGGTCTATTTATTCGCAAAAAGGAGAAAAACGAGGAGGGGAAAAGGAAGGGGGGAGACCAAGACCAATACAATAATAACACACACAGACCGTCCTCTCAAAATATCTATACTTGATCGAGAATAGAATATTCTCGTTTTTTTGGCTCCCTGAGGCCTATATCTGCTTTTTCGAACTTTTTCTGGTTTCTCCAAATAGGTATTACAGTTTTAAAAGTTTCGAATCCCCCTCCTCGTATTTTTATTTTTAAAAACTCATGGAATTGCGGAGTGTCGTACTAAATTATTTTCATTCTCGCTCTATTTTTCTTGAAAGCCTTGTATTATTTTTAAAACTTGTACATAAACGATGCTCCTGGTTTACGCGTGGAATTGTCGTGTCAACTGAGAATGTGTTAGTCTCTGATGAGCCCAAAGTTTTTCCGATGTGTCCTAGAAATTTCAAGGACTTGTCGGGGTCATTCTTCCCTCCCAACACATCAAAATCTTTTGTAAATCCCCCGTCCAACCAGTTCTTTCTCATTTTCTCGCCCCCGTCAAAATGTGTGACGAGGCGACGCAAAAAAAAGAGAAAGAGATCCAATCTTCTCCCCCCCCCCCGGCCCGTCTCCGCCCGCCCGCTTTTTATCTCTAACCCGGACCCCCGCTCTCTTCATTTGTTATACTCTCTCCGGGCGAAAAGAAGACACTCCCCTCCCCCGTGTGTTTTTGGAGAAAAAAGACCGCGGCCATTATTATTTGCCCACCCCCCGTCAGCCAACCAACCAACTACGACCAAAAACCCCCCGAATATAATACTTCACTCGCCTATTTTTCGCTTTTCGAACTGTAGTTAGAACGGTTTTTGTATAGTTTATTGAAAACTTTGGGTAGTTCTCTCTGATAATTGTTTTTTTTTTTCAAAAATTCTCGAAATTTATACTTGAAAATTAATTTTTTGGTTGAAATTGTGTGTACTTCTTGTGGACAAGTTGTGTAGTTCTCTTGGACAATATTTCAAATTTTTTGTTTTTTTGTTCAAATTAAAAACAACTAATTTTTTTGAATCTTGGACTTAAATTTGTAATTTTCTTTATTGAATTCATTTAAAATATAATTATGTTAGTTTCGCCCCGTTTTTCTTTAGTATCTTATAATTTATGTTGGATTTTCAACACTCTCCGCATTTTTTTTGCATCCAACCCACTCATTTTTCCCCTTTTATTTTTTTGGGGGAATTTTTTAAGCCCCGCCACGGCCCCCGCTTTTCTTCTTCTTCTTCTTCATCTTCGCATTTTTCTCCACCTCCTTCTTTCCCCCATTTTTCTTCTCTTTTTTTCCCCCGTCAACCAAAATATATATGTGAGATGTTAGATAGTGTGGTAGAATGAGAGAGTGTGGTGATGTATTGATTTGCCCCGGGTTTTCAGTCGTATAGTGCCCGCTATGTATTTTTATTTTTACGGGAAGGGGGGAGGGTTACATTTTTTCCTCTTGAAAAAAGTGATGGAATCACAAAAATTTTCATCTAACTTTGCCACGTAATGACTTTTTCTCAAGAGAAAATTTTTTTATAATTTTTTTAGCCCAAAATCCTTTTCTGTAAATTTTTCTGATTTGTATTTCTCTTGTATCTTCAAATTTCTCGATGTCTTTTAATTCCATCTCTATCATTTTTATAAATCTCAGAATAATGACTCGAACTAAACAACAACCAAATGTTGTCAAAACTGAACCAATCGATATCTCAACTTCTGACACTCTTGATACCAATCAAATCCTCGCACTTCTCGAACAAAATTTGCCAGCTGGTCTAATCGCCGCAAAATCCACGGCATCAAATCAACAACCAGAACAAGAAGTTCATCTAACTCCAGGCAAAGCTTCGGAAATACTTTTCGCTGCTGGTGTCAGACCGCATAAGAAAACATCGGAAATTTGGGAACATTACAAATGTTTGAATGAAAAACAGAATGTTGAGTGTATTTATTGTTGGAAGGTGTTGAAAAGAAATGATAGTAGTACGAAAAGTATGTGGGGACATATGAATGCCTATCATCAAGATATTTTGAAAGAAGGGTCGACGAAAAAAAAGTTGAAAAGAAATGCGGCACTTTGGGATATGGATGAGGTAAAAACAATGAATGATGAGAAAGGGAGTGGGGTGATAGAAAAATATGGGTTAAAATTTGGGAGAAGTATTATAAATCATATCAATAAAATCCAAAAAGTTTAATTATTTCAGACACCAACTCAACCGTATGTGAAACGAGTACGCGGGGCCAATGGTGGTCATAATCATCACAGTTCAAACAATTCGATGTCGGATCAAAAACCATCGATGATTGATTCGATGGCTTTTGCATTGCAACAATTACAACAAAGTGGAAGTTTAGGAGATGTGAGTTTTTTTGGATTTTATTCAGAGGAGGGACCTTTTAAATTTTGAGAATTTTTAAAGCAAAAATTTAGTTTTTTTTTTACTCGATTGATTTTTTTGATATTATTTAAAACAATTAAAAATCGAACTAAAATTTAGCATAAGTTAAATTTCATGTTTTTTGAAACATAATTAAATTGAAATTTCAAATTCCATGTGGAATTTTGGCTAAAATTCAAAAATTTTCTCAAAAATTCAGAAAAATCTCCAAAAGGTTACAGTACTCGAAAATCGACGTCATAACTTTTTTTGGGAGCCATAAAAATTTTTTAAATTAAATTTTTTAATAACCTTGAGAGCGTCTTAAAAAATCAAATTTATTAATTTTTTTTGCAGTTCAACACATCGTTCAACTTCCTCGATTCCCTTCCAAAATCATCAGAAATCATAAACATCAGTGGCGGATTCAATGGCCCAACCTCAACAAATTCCCAACAAAATGATAACGATGAAGATGATAATGAAAATCACGCAGAAGCTGCATCTTCATCTTCAGCTTCAGCTGATAATGAACCACATACACGAAATACAGATACACCAGATGCAGCAACTCCTCAAACACCAACTTCTTCGAATGGAGGAACAAGTTTTGAAAATGGAAGTGATTTAGCTGCATTAGTTAGTAATTTGGCATCAACAAATCCAATGATGTTAGCAATGTTAAATGCAGCAAATGGAACTGGATCAGGATCAGCAGATAATCATACATCAACTGATAAATCTTCAGCTGAATCACCAGATCTTGAAAAAGATCCATCCTCATTTTCACTTTCTGATGGACCATGTGCTGCTGTTTTAATGTCAATGGCACTTGATTTAGATATGACAATGTCATATCATCGAAGAAGAGTTGATATTGAATTATGTTTTGAGAGTAATCGAACGGCTGAAAAATCGGGTGGACGTGGAAAAGTGATTTGTTTAACTGATATGGGAAAAGAAATTAAGTGAGTTTTTGTGAATTATTGGAAACATTGTTTTTTGGAGGAGTTTATCACAAAATTCAAAACAAACGCCTGTTTTTTTTTCTTATTTCTATAAACTAATTTTTTTCAGAATCGTTGAACGTGTAAATGGTGCAGTTAGCGGAACTGAACTTTGGACCAAAACCGATTTCAATCAATTTCATTGGGCAATTCGAGGAAAGTGTCAAAAATGCTTCAACAAGCCATAAATCCTACAGTACCCCATCTACAGTATCCCAACAAATTCTCACAATTTTTTGTGTCTTTCGGCATTTTTCTCTTACGCTTTACGAATTTTTTACTTTGTGAAAACAAAAAACGCTGGACGTTTTTCTACGGAAACCAACTTTTCATATCTTTTGGATTTTACTTACTTATTTCCTTTTTATCTACTTTTTAAATTGTGCCTGGTATTAAATAATGTTAATATAATTATCCCAAATAAATTATTTTTTGTTTGAAAACGTGAAAAAATGGGGACAGTTTTTATAAATACAGAAAAAATAATAAGTCATTCTTGATTTTTTCAAAATGATAAACTACGTCAACATTTTTGTGGTTATCGGGATTCTTGAAAATGTTGCAGGTTGGTTTTTCTAGTAAGAGTTCGAGCATTCAGAACTTGAAAATGATGGAATATAAAAATCCAAAAAAAATCTTTGGAATATAGAAAAATCGCCAAATTCCCGAAATTTTCAGCTATAAAGTGTCCGACATCCCTCAAAGCAATAGAAACTGACATGCCAATGACACGTGTCCAATTGGATATACAAAATTCCGTGATTTTGTTGATTTTATTTGTTGCGATACTTCTGAATGGTGTAAGCATCGAATGCATTCTGGATGTAAATATGATCCCAAATCAAAATCTTTTGAATATCGCGATTGTAAGAATGTCAGATTTGAATCGTGGTTTTGTCCGATTGTCGCTCCGGATTTGGTTAGAAAACCATTCATAATGTATACTTATTGTAAGATTTTTTAAAGGGAAGCTTTTTTTTCTCAGCAGTAGAATTTTCAGTTGAAAATGGGCGTCCTAAAGAATGCGAATCAAATTCCGAATGTCCAATCAATCATTTTTGCCATGCAGCTTATAATCAAGCTTATGAAGGAAGAGATCAATCTGGACCAAATGGAACTGCCCTCAAATATTGTTTTGAATGTAATATAATTTTCAACATTTCTAGATATTTATAACTTTCCAATCTGAAAATGAAACTACGATTTTCAGGGTATGATTACATCGATTATTTCTATCCTGATCCAAAACCTTGTGATGTGGACAATGATTGTTTCGAAGGAGAATGTGTTCCATTTTTGTCTTCCCAAATAATTGATGATTCGGGAAAAGAAAGACAAGGAATTTGTCGATATAAAGTATGGTATTATAAGAAATGGGATCATGGTGATTGTTTTTGGTATTTTTCACGGATTCTAAAACCTTTTATTTTTTTCCAGTCGAAAGATGCCCCGAAAATGCTGGTCTAACATCAAATCCAGTAACAAAATGCAATACAACAAGTCAATGTTATGGAGACAATTATGATTTGAATAATCGACTTTATAAATGGTGTGATATCAAGATTGGAGAATGTTGTCAAGGTAATCTCTTTTTATTAAAAATACTCCAAGTTTCCATATTTTTTTCTAGAAAATATTGAGAAACCTGAGGAAATCACAATGTGTCCGGATGGCCAAACTCCATTATATTCCCAAAATCAATGTGAAGAATCAGAAGAATTTTGTAGTTCAACTGATTTTTCGAATGGAAAATGTTTCAAGGGACATTGTTGTCCAAAATCAGGATATCTTCCAAATGGCAAATTTTCAATTTCAAAAAAAGATGATTTTCGAACAAATGTGGAATGTGATTCGAAAATCAAATTAGCGCCAAGAATGGAATATAGTTTCTGTAAACATGGTTTTGTTTGGTCGATGTCTGAAAATATGAAAACAACGGGAATAAATTGTACTTTGAATATGGATTGTGAGACGAATCAAGTTTGCGCGAATTTGAAATTTGGAGAGGAATCGAAATGTTTTGCAAATCCGGAAGCTGGTAAAATGGTTCAAGTTTTAGAATATGCTTTTAAATTGGTTTTGGATATTGTGAAAAATATGGAATTCTAACAAGAGAAGAAAAGAAAGGTTTGGGATTGGAAAATGAAGATTTTTGTTTGAAAGCATTTTCTGAAAACTTACTGAACGAAAAATGAGATTAATTTTTTATTCCATCAAAAATCAAGAGAAAATCATGTTAAAAATTTTGAAATTCACGTGGCACTTTCAAATTTTTTCCAAAAACATTTCAAATTTCTAAATATAAACCTTCGTATTTACCGTATATTTCTATAGACTCTGTAGAAAATTAATTGTTCGAAATGAATAATAATTACTATAATTAATAATAACCTGAAATTAAACTAATTATATCTACAGCAACCCAGGACGTTTTTGGTGTGAAAATCTCAATATGAAATTCTAAAAACTAATTTCCACGTGGCACATTTTGAATAAAATATTTGTCAAAAATTTATTCGACAATAAGTTTGCCAATAAAACTTTGAGAACATTTTCATAGCAGTACTTCACATAGTCGTTTAAATTCAATTATATACAAAAATAATTACTATAATTTAAAAATTTTTGAAACCTGAAATTAAACTAATTCAATGTCTCATTCCAGTTTTCCTTTTTTTCAAAGTGCATTTCAATTCGTCAGATCTTAGAAAAATTATATATATTTTTAGGCATCAAAAACCGGAAAAATACTTGAGCGCAATAAAATTCCAGTCGGCATCTTTTTTTTTGTTCTTTAAAGTAAGTAGATCAAAAACTTTCTCTTCCCAAGAGAAAACTGGGTTATTTAAAACAAAATTTTGTTTATTTTTATTTTTGTTAAAGTTTTTTTTTTGAAGTTTTTTAACTGAAAAAAACTTGATATTCTGTTGTAAAATGTTCTTTCTTTCTGTCTTATCAAATAAAAAAAAACTTCCAATAAATTTTTTTCGAAACTTTTTTTCACATTTTTTAAATGGCACTTTATTCGTGGCTCCTCCGATAACACCTTTTTATGATAATGATTTTTGAAATTGCGTTTTTTTTTTCGCGAAACGCACTTTTATTTATTTTCAAACGAGGGTTTTCGGTTTTTTTTTGAGTTGTGTTGTGTTGACATTTGTGATAAGCTTTGAAATTTTGTGTGTGTTGAAATTTGATATTTTTCTGTTTTACAAGTCGCAATAACTAGAACTAGAACTCGAAATTTGTTTTTAGAATTTCAAAAACGTTCCAGAGTCTGATTTTTTCTATAGAAAACAATTATGCCAGATGTTATGACGAAAAAAATTTTAATTTGAAAACCAATTTTTTCGTTTAATTTCTGACACGAAAATAATTTTTCAGACTCGACTTGGCCACGAAAAATCTACGTGGCATTTCAGTTTTCAAACTTTCATATCTCTCTGAAAAATCTGAGTTCCAAAAAAATTCGCATTTAACGGACCCCTATTTTTTGAAACTCTTCTATCATTCTGAAAAAAACGGAATTTCAAAAAAGTGTAATTTCGTTCCAGAATATTAGTGTCGAATCCACCTATTCAGCTCGTCCTCCATCCTCATTTTTTCCCTCCTCGTTTCTCGTTTTTTCCACACATTCCCTCCCATCAATACATGTCCAAAATCGAGTCCGTGACGAGAGAGCACAGAAGATGAAGAGACGCCGACACATTCAGACACACTGCGCACACTCGCCGTTTTTTCTCTAACCGTCTCTCACTCTCTCACACTGGATTTTTTTTTGGTTTTTTTGCCATGTTATTTGTGTGTTGTGTGTGTGTGTGAGAGGAGAGAAAAAGATCTGTTTCAGATTTTTTTCCAGAATTTTTAATTTCTCTTTTATTCAGGCGGCCAATTGTTTTTTATTGTTGTTTTTTGTTGAATAATATTTTTCCCACGTTTTATTTATTTTTTATTTGAATTCAACCAAATTTCTATTTATCATCAACAAATTTTGATTTTCTTCCACTTCTTCCTCCCAAAAATCATATGCCTCTTTTTTTCAGCTGACTCTTTTTTTTTCGCGCCCAAAAAATAAAAATATTCAATCAAATCCAAGATAATCTCCTTAGTAACTAAAAAAGGGAGAGATTTGATTGAAACGTTTTTTTTTGCAGATTCGGAAAAATATGTCGAGGTGAAAGCAAAAATTGAAATTGAGAAAAATGCTCATCAAAGAATATCGGATTCTTCTTCCGATGACCGTTGATGAGTATCGAATTGCACAATTGTATATGATACAAGTGAGTTTCAGACTAAAAACATCTGAGTTTTCAGTTTTCTGGGAGTCTTGCAATTTTTTAGATCTTAAAATTAATTTCAATTCCATTGTTAGAAATTGCGATTTTTCCAGACTGTTATAATTTACTAACGTATTTTTTTCGGGAAAAATTTCTGGAGTGTTTTTTTTGAAAATCACATTTTGAAAAATTTATCATTGTAATTTTATTTTTTTATGTGCTTTTCCAAATTTAGATTAATTTTTCCCTAGTTTTTTTTTCAGTTTTGTAGATTTTCAGAATTCTTTCTCAATTTTGATTTACATTTTTAGGAAAAAATAATTAGACAAACTTCAATTCAAAATTTTGATACGTATTTTTTGACCCTCTTCAAATTTCAGAAAAAAATTTCAAGTTTTCTTCTCCGTTTCAAGTTTTCTCAAATTTTCAGAGAATTTATTTTTAATCATCCCCTGACTTTCTCAGAAATCACTTTCACAACAAATGTTGATCTTGGATTTTCTTTTTTTCTTCATTTCCTGTTTTCCTGCCTCAATTTTCCCCTCTTGATTCCATCGAAAAAACCAAACAACAATAAAATTGCTGAAATTTTAGCCAGACATAATCACCATCAATTATTCTCTCGATTTGTTTTGTTTTTTCTAGTCGCGCTGGGAAATTTGGACTTTTTTCCTAGAAAATTGAATTTTTCCTTTTTTTTCTGTATGTTGCCAGCCAGCCGTTTCCGTCCAATTAACTTTGATTTGAGCTTTTTTGCAATAGGCAAAGCAAAAAAAAAAGAAAAGAAGAGCAACACAACAAAAAAGCTTTTAAGCCACCACTTTTCCAAACTAATCATGTGTGAAAATTGCGAAAAATTCACATTATTAGTTAGCCAATGTTGCTATTTTTGCTCACTCAAAAGGGAAGAATAGGAGAAGTCTCCGGATATTGGCACATACAGTTTGGAACGCTGATCAAGACTGTACTTTTTCTGAGCTCGCCTGTGAGCTCCAAAGAAATTGAGCTCTACTTTTTAACCGAAGAAAAAAGTGCAGATTCGATGCAGCCGGGTAGTGCAGCGTCTTTTAATTTCATACTTTCTGGTTCAAACCCCTGTCGGAACTTTTTCTAGTATTTTCGTCAGGAAAAAATCATTTTACTAATGGATAGGGAAAAAATGAAATGAAATAATCATAATGAGCAAAAGGACATGATGAATATTTCAAAAGTTGGTTGGTTGGAGACACGAGTTTTTTCACGACTCATAAATATTTTCGCCGCGGATAATTTTTCGAGCTTGGTTGGGGCTCAAAAATTTTTTGTTCGAAAAAACACGTTTTCCTGGAACAAAAAGACAAAACAAATTGAGGAAATAGAATTTTTGAACTGACACGTCATAGAATTATTTGAGAGAAGAAGGAAGATTTGAGATAAAGTCTGGACGAATTGAAAAACAAGTCTAGAGTATTTCAAGGCATATCTCTAGGCGTGGGTCATAGATGATCAGGTGCTTAAGCTCCGCTTCAGCCATGCCATTACAATAAAAATCCAACCATCTTCTTTTTTTCAGAAAAAGAGTCGACTTGATTCGCATGGAAAAGATTCGGGTGTCGAAATAATTAGCAATAAACCATATTCAGATGGACCTGGAAAATCTGGACAATATACTTTCAAAATTTATCATGTCGGAAGTCGAATACCTGGTAAGATTACATAAATATGGTCTAAAAAATCTTACAATTAGTTATGTGATCTATACTACCTTAGAACCTTCTAAAACCTCTCAAGAGCATCAAAAAAAGCCTTTTTCTATTCTTGCACTCATTAAAAATCCTATCAATTCTAAATACCTAATTACCAATTAGTTTTAATTGTTTTTCTAGCAAGCAGCTGAACCGTGTGTCCATATTTTTTTATACATTTTACTAACAAGAAAATGAATTTTTTTCCGCGATTGGCACGTATCAAATTACATCGTGTATCTCGTTAACATAAATTTACATGAATTTCTAACGAAATTTTTTCATACAAAGCGCCTCGCAAAATAACTGACCAGGGGATCTCTCAAAACAATTTATTTAAATTTCTTATTTTTAGCGTGGATTCGAACTGTGTTACCGACGAATGCTTTGGAAGCACACGAAGAAGCATGGAATGCGTATCCACAAACAAAGACAAGATATTCGACTCCAATGATGGATAGATTTAGTTTGGAAGTTGAAACATTGTATTTTGATGATGATGGAAGACAGGAAAATGTATTTAATTTGAAAGATTCTGAACTTCGGAGTCGAGTTGTAGATTATATGGATTTTGTAAAAGATCCGATTTCAAATCATGATTACGCAACAGATGAAGATCCCAAACTCTTTAAAAGTACCAAAACTGGAAGAGGACCTTTATCTGAAGATTGGGTTGAAGAACATCGACGAAAAGGGCTCACAATTATGTGTGCTTATAAATTATGTCGAGTTGAATTTCGATATTGGGGAATGCAAACAAGAGCTGAAAGATGGATACATGATTTGGCATTGAGGAATACAATGTTGAGAGCACATCGACAAGCATGGGCTTGGCAGGATGAATGGGATGGATTAACTATGGATGATATTAGAAAATTAGAAGATGAAGCTGCTGTACATTTGAGCAAAGTTATGGCTGATAAGTAAGTTTCTAAATTACCATATTAAGATTCTCATATTTGTCATATTTTTATAGAGAGGGAAGTCCGGATGGCGATTCAGAAGAGGATGATGGAGCTGATGCTGTTTCTGACGATCTTTATTTTGATTGCACAGATGGTTCACCTCCTCCTACTCAAAAACCATCAATTATTCGATGGAGTAGTGAATTAGAACTTGAGATTCAGGGAGATGGTGAAATGTCTCCACCATTAACACCAGCCAATGCTGTCAAAGATGCTGCCCTTCTGATTATCGTATTTCATGGTGATTTTGCACCAGAAAATCCAGCTGATTCGAAAACTACTGATACAAATACATTTGGATCAACGATTGAAACATGTGTACAAAGACATTATCCTCAATTGAAAGGTCGACTTCATATTTTGAATGTATCTTGTGGTAGTGAAATGTCAGCAACTATTCGAAATTTGACAAATGTTTCACCGAGTTTTGGAGTTCTTCATCCATCTCTAGCTTTGATGCTTCCATCAGCTTCACATTTATATAATGAGGCTGTTGAAGGAACAATTCGACGAGCAAATGAGACTTATGCAGAGTTCATAAATACTCAGCCGAATTTTAATGGAGAAGTATTTTTGGTTGGTGATTGTGTTGGGGGAATATTTCTATATGAAGCGATGACAAAGAAATGTGATTTTTTGAAACGTCATTCATCAACAAATATTGCTGCAAGAATAATCAAAGAACATCAAGAATCGGTAACATATTTCTTAAAATCACAAACAAAATTGTATTCATTCCAGAGTCCTAACGGTTCCCTAATCGATTTATCAGATAATATCTCTGCTGCATCACTACCAGCCAATAATTCCACATCATCACATCAAAATGGGAATTCAGTGCGGCGATCGTGTCGAAATTATTCGGCACCGCCGTCCGCGTCGTACGTGCGTAAAAAAATTTCGCTTGTTTCTGTTGATTCTGTTACTGTGAGTAGTTTAATCTAACCTCTCTTTATTGTGTTCGAAATATTTCATCCCGTTAGATGTTTTTTAAAATAGAATTCTAAGTTTTCTAACTCGTCCACCCCTTGGTTCATAATTCGCCAAACACTTCTTAGGTTAGGAGAAAATATGTTTCAGTTTCCGTCTTCTCGTCTGAATTTCCAACCTTCTACAGTTTTCTTACTTGGATGCCCACTTGGCCTCGCACTAATGCAGAAGAAACTCGAAGCTCAAGATATAGAAACCTTGGATTCATGCCAACTTTTCAATTTGTATTATCCACTTGATCCATGTGGAGCTAGAATTGAGCCAGTTCTCAATTCTCAATTGGCTTATCATCAACCACACGCAGTTCCAAAATATCAAAGATATCCATTAGGAGATGGAAAATCACAACATTATGATTCAACTATTGATCGAACATGTTTATGGGGATCAAAGAGAATCGATAATCTTTTATATTGTCCAAATGCAATGATTGCTTTGCCATCAACAGCTCTTCCAAATATTCTACATGCTTCATATTGGGAATCTTGCGATGTTGCTGCTTTTCTTTTACGACAATTTGTTCGAAGTGGCGGTGATGATGATTTATCACTTATGCCAACATTATCATCAAGTATGAATAATATTCCACTAAATATTGATCTTCCACAAATGCATTGGAAAAGAAGACGAACAAGATTCAAGATTGCGAATTTGGCTGCAAATCATCGAGCAAATGATTTGTTGGTGACAGCTGGAATGGATATAAATATATCAGCAAAGTTTTGTTATGGTCCAATGGATCTAGTTGCATTATCTCGAGAAGCAGTTAGTGTATTTGTATGTCCTCAACGTGGTGAATGGTATCTTCACGGTGTTGCTGATACTGATTCTCATGGTCGATTACAAGTTCAACTTGCTAAAAGTCTTCCATGTGGTATTCATTCCATCAAAATTGTTGTTCACGGTGATCGAAGTTATCTGGATACTTTTGTCGCCGTTGTTCCACCAGCCACGAAATGCGCAGTTTTCTCCGTGGATGGATCACTAACTGCTTCGGTTTCGGTGAGCGGAAAAGATCCACGTGTTCGAGCGGGAGCTGTTGATGTAGTAAGATATTGGCAAGAACAAGGATATTTGATAATTTATATGACAGCGAGACCAGATATGCAACAACGAGTTGTTTCAGCGTGGTTAGCACAGGTAATTTGAAAAATTATTCAGTTTCAATGGAATATTTAAATTTTCAGCATAACTTTCCTCATGCTTTATTGTTTTTCAACAATTCTATTTCAACTGAACCGCTTAAGCAAAAAACTTTACTCTTACGACATCTTATTGATATGGGTGTTCAAATACACGTCGCATATGGAAGTTCAAAAGATGTTTCAGTTTATACATCAGCTGGAATTGAACCAGAACATGTTATTTCAGTATCAGGCGGTTCAAGGAGAAGAATTTGTGTTCATATTGGTAAGATATCTAACAATTTGTCAGTATCAAATAGAATTTCAATTTTCAGACAATTATTCATCTCATTTATTAGATCTTCAAACGGGTCATTGTGTATTAGGCCAACGAATTGAGCAAGAAAATAATAGTTTACAGTTACACAGGTTTGTTTATATTATCTCACAATTTATCAATCAATCAATATTGATTTTTCAGAAATGTACAACGAACACCTTCTTTCACACCACGTGGCGGGAAATTTGAAAATGAAAAAGAGCTTCGAAAATAAGAAACAAATCCATCGAAAAAATACGGTTTTATCAATCAAAATTAAAAATTGTACGTTTTTCATTCTACTTTGAAACATTCCTGAGATTTTTATTAGTTTATTTGATTTTCCCGGTGTTCTCAGGGGTACAGATTTTTATTTATTAATGTTTAGGTTTTGATTTTTTGAATTTTCCGGTTTTGAAAGTTGAATAAAGTTTTATTGATTTCTCTTCTTTTTTTAGAACTTTCAAAAAAAATGTGTGAACTATACCGAAAAAATGCATTCCCCATTCTCCCAAAAATGTATTCTCCCATGGGAGAAAAACCCAAAAAAAGAACTTATCTTGATTTTTTTATCTCTTCGATTTCCACTTGGCTACCAGAACATGAAAATCCCCGATTCGCGTGAGCATTTCTTTTTTCTGTGACTGCCATTTCTGCAAAAAATTATATGGAATTTATGCTTGGATATGCAAAACTCGGGAAAAATAAAAAAGAAAATATATTATTTCGAACTGGTTACTGTGCGTGCATATTTCTGCAAACACCACACACAGCACACATTTTATTTTACGACATTTTTTTTGTGTTTTTTCTTTTTTTTCGGCTCTCCGCTTCAAAGATCAAGATCTGTGAAGCAGAGGGATGGTAATAGTACCTTTCTATAGATAAACGTTTATTTAGGTATGCCTCCAGTTTTGCGAAAAAGAAAACAGGTGCCTGAACCAGGGGAAGAAGAAACTTGTGAAAAGAAACCAAAAAATGAGGTAATTTTAAAGTTTAGCCGATTCGAATGAAAATATTAATTTTCTCAAAGTTGCAGCCAGAATCGACTTCGTGGTTTGATATTCCATTGGAAATGCGCGAAATGGTTATTGATAAAATGGATGCAAAAACACGTTGTGAATTTACAAGATGTTCGACAAAATGCGAAGATGAAGTAAAAGCATCGAAAAATCATTTATACAGTTTGCATGTTTTCGATTGTGAAACAAGTGTTTATATCAGTTTCAAATTCGAAAAAGAAGCACGTTTTCATGATTTTTGTATGAAATTCAGAAAGTCATACGAAAAAGAGACGAAAATTTGGTATAGAGTATGTATGTTTGATGATTGGGATGATGAAGATGAAGATTGGGAACCGGATGCACAAAGATATTTTGGTGATTTTGGACATTCGAAATGGAGAAAAAAAGAGGAAGGAAAATGGCAAACTGTTGTCTTGAAATATTTGAAAAATTATCTAGAAGTTTATAAAAATTCCATTAGAGAATTAGAAATTTTTGTAAGTTTTTTTTTTCCGGATGATATTCCTCGAGTGAACGCTAAAAGGATTAATAAAATAATTTTCAGCATTATTCCATGCCGCTCAAAAACATTGATATCAAAAATTTGAAACGGCTCGAGCATCTCGATGTCAGATTTGAAAAACCGAGATGCAAAAAGATCTTCTCAAAATTGGTTTTCTCGATCTCCGTCAGGTATTTTTTAGCTAACACTATTAATTTTTTTGTCTTCTAATTAATTTTTGTTCAGATTTCAAATCTTCGAACATGCTTCATACCTGACACAAACTTCACATTCGAACAAATTTGCCATTTCAAAGGAAAAGTTTTGTATGTAAAAAGCGATGATTTTAATGCCGAAACTATCAAAAATTACTTGGAAATGTGGAAACGTGACGAAATAATCAATAATAATTTGAATGTTCTCTTCGTAAAAACTCCAAAAAATCGAAATTTGAACATTGATTATTATACAGAGAATTTGAACAATGAAATGAATAATAGTTCGATTGATGGGTTGATTAGGCAAATCGCATTAATTCATTTACAACATTCATATAATTCATATCATCCAAACTCCACTGGTTTCACTTACGAAAGTTCATCTCGTATTGGAGCTGTTAGCTTTAATATAAATCAAGATGAGTTTCGTATTTGTTCACCATAATTTCTCATGTTTTTTTCTTAATTGATTGTTTTTTGAAATGAATTTGTTGTTGTTAAACACTAGATTTTTCACTGTATTTCGCGAAAATCCGAGATTACAAAATTTTCAAAGAGAACAAACAAGCATGTGCGCCCCATCGATAACGCATTTTTTGTTTTCGAATTATTTTTATTTTTAGCGTTCTCGTTTGTTTTACCTGTTTTCCCTCTAAAAGAATTCTAATTTTCAGAAAAACAATGTCTGGAGAATATAGCGCAGTTCGAGGTGGTGGTATAAAACTGAAAGGAAAAAAGAAATCGTTGTTCAAAGTCGACAAAAACAAGGCGGATAAGAAACGAAATAAAAATGATGACAAAGATAAAGTGGATCCAGACACAAAAAGCAATGGTGGATGGCGACAAATTGAAAATGAATTTGATATGAAAGGAGGAATCAGTGTTGCTTTCGAAGCGGGTTCGAGTAGATGTTATATTTCTGCAATGGATAATGGAAAATTCACATTGGGTGGACCGCATGCAGAAGGAGAAGGACCGAATCCGGAAGAGATTTTTGCACTTGTCAAAACTCCCGATGATAGTAAAGTCAGTTTAAAAACAGGATATGGAAGATATGTTGGAGTTGACAGTGAATATCAATTAATTGCTATGGCTGAAGCAATCGGAGTTCGCGAACAATTTCAATTTGTATTCCAAGATGGAAAATCAGCAATTCAAGCTGTTGCGTCTCCTCTTTTCCTATCCGCGCAGCCAAGCAAAGAAGGTTATATTTATGTAGCAAGTCGAACTGCTAGTCAAAATGAGATGATTCAAATTCGAACAGATGCAATTAAAGAGGGTCCTGCAGATTGGAGATCTGAAGAAGATCGAAAAAATGCGAAGGATTGTGAAACTGCTTATGTGTGAGTTTTTTGTTGAAATGTTTTTTTCTTTAAAGAAATGGGTTTAGGAAATGTCACGTTTTCTTAAATTCATAATCCATAATCGTTATGATTTTTAAAAAGTTTTAAAAAACAAGAGTCTTAATTTTCCAGAAAAATGTTCCAACACTCGAAAGTTGACCTGAAGGGTCGACACATTTCGGTTGATCTCAAAGATCGAAAATCAGTCAAAAAGGCCCAAGCAGAAGGAAATGCTCACGAACTTTTGTTGAATCGAAGAGTTAAAACAAAATCCGATCGATATTGCTAAACATTTATGTAATGAAAGACATTTTTGTATACTCAAAAGGTCAAAAATAATAAATATATAATTGGAAAGTTTTCAAAGGAAAACTTATTTACGAATTCCAAATTGTTTCTCAGCTTTTGTCTTGATCTCATTATAGAAGCATTGTTTCATATTCTCAAATCTATCATAACATGGAACATATGAATAATCCAATTTGGTAACACGATCCGGACGTTGATCACAGAAAGTCAAACACTTTGCACCGGCTAAAGTTGTGGCAACTCCATTTCTAGCACAACATTGTGTATGATCCCTTCCTTGTGCAGCACAGAAATGCATGTCAGCAGCAGCTTCCAAAGGACAACCATCAGTTTTGAAGTACATTCCTTGGAGCTTAAAAGTCAGTTTTGAGATTTTTTTCTTGAGGAGATTTAGAATAACTCACCGCATCCTTTGTGTAGGCATTGAAATGACATTTATTCAAACAAGCATCTGGAAGTCCTCTTTGTTCACAGCATTGACGGAAAATGAAATTTGGATTCTAGAAAAAATTGATAACTTTTTTTTCAGTTTTACTTTTTGTTGGGTTCTTCTCGCCGTTCCAGTTCAACCAACACAAAAAGTGAAAATCGACAATTATTCAATCTCTCTCTCTGTATATAGTAGAATAATAATAAAAATCATAATAATTGCAGAACCGGATATAATATCTATATAGAACAAAAGAAATAGGCTTTGACTAAAAATAATTGGGAAAAGCTCAAAATATTGATTTTATTAATAGAAACATAATGGAAATTCAAATTAAATTCTGTAACATTTTTTAAAACCCCATTTGAGCTCCAAAAAAGTCCAAAGCCGTAATTTTGGAAAAAAAATCGTGAAACACACATGGTCTCGTGGATTTTGATTTTCAGAAAACTCACGGTGTATTGTGTGTTATTAGCATATTGAAGATTCTGATGTTGTTCAGCAGATTCTCCAGATTGTCCAACTTTTTCTCTTCTCAATCCGAAAATATTATTCTTGGTTGGCTTCAGTCTTGGAAGTTCAGCAGATTTGTGTTCGTGGGATGAATCGTCGATGAAAATTCCTTCCTAAAATTTATTTTTATTTTGGGGCATGTGGGAATTCAAAGTAAACAATTTTGGTGCCAAATTCATATTTCTCGATATTTTTTCCAAAAAAATTGTAGCTCGCAATAAGCTTTACAATTAGATTGAGAGTAGCACAATTTTTTCCAAAAAAATAAACTCACAACTTTCTTGGTTAGCGAACTTCTTGCTCGATTTCTAGCACATCCATATTGTCCACACGAATAACCCGGTTGACAAGATGAAGCAGAACATGAAATTGCTGGTGGAGCAGCACAATATGAGCTGCCACAAACACCCGAACTAACACAACTTGCACCAAATTGCACCATAATTGCAAAAACCGAAAAACCAAGAACAAGAGAAGTTTGCATTATTGTTTAGATATTTATTTGTTATGCAATACAATACAGTAATATAGAAAAGTAGCAGGAAGCGAGGATTATATATAGTTTCATTGGTGGGTGGACGAGAAAAATCCGGATTTTGTCTTTTGGAAATACTTCTACTACTTGTGGCAAGGACATTTTTTTCCACACTTTTTTTCAATTTCATTTGTGAGAATTTGGGTTTGGTTTGACCTTGCAGTTGGTATAGATATTTGGTATTTGCCAGCAACGAAACCGGAAGTTCCAAGGGCAATGGTTTTTGATGGGCAAGATTTTTGAAATACTTCTCAAAGCTTCTGGAAGACTTCTGGTTGTAAACAATAAAACTTTTCTGTTTTTGAAAATCACATTTCAGACAAATTATTGAAAAAAAAAACCATAATTAAAATTTTTCAATGAATATTTAACAATGGAAAAAATGTTATTAAAAATTTCTCACGTGACCTTATTCTTTCTCAACTTCGATGATCACATTATTCATTTCCAGACTTTTTTATTCTCAAATATTTCAGTCTTTTCAAAAATCATCACCTAACTTCTGAATTCAATAATAAAAATAAACTACTGCACTGCAAATCTGAAAATTGAAATTCAAAAGATTCCTGATAAAAACAATTCGTATGATCCCAAAAATATTCACATGAACTTTTTCCAAATTTTTTCGAAGATCATAAAAACAAAGTGCAATTTTATAATCTTCTTCTCCTAACTTTTTAAGTCAATCAAAAATTCGACCAGGTCCTAGTCAGAGATTTTTTGTGTCCTCATCAATATTATTGTTTCACCGCATCAAAATAATCCGATTTTGCGATGATGATTGTTGCACGTTTTATGGAAATCTCTGTTTCATTTTTGTCAAAAACCGATTCATTTTCAGACATCATTTTCCTTTTTCATTCAATTTTGATTCTAAATTCTTTTTTATATCAAAAATAATTTCCCCAATCAGTTAATTTTCTGCAGCTCGGGTAATTCGCCTACAAAAATAATGAGCAAGTGGCTGGATGATTTTCGCACATATTTTCCAACAATTTGGCTAGTTTTAGCGCCTGCCATTCTCTCGCCTTTGGCATTTTTGGGAACCGAGGGAAAATGTTGTTTTGTGATTTTGACAATGTCGTGTTATTGGGTTGCTGAAGTTCTTCCGCTTGCTGTTACTTCGCTACTTCCAATGATATTTTTGCCAATTTTAGGAATTTTGAGTATTCGAGATGTTGCGCCCAAATATTTTAGTGTTAGTTTTGAATTTCTAAGTTATGTTAACTAATGAAATTTTTTAGGATACAAATATAGTGTTTTTCAATAGTTTGATGTTATCACTGGCTGTTGAAGAATGTCAACTTCATAAAAGAATCGCGTTGAAAATGTTGACCTATGTTGGAACAAGAGCACATTGGTGGGTTACTGTGGTTATTTGGGCTCGAAAAGTGTTAGAAAAAATTATAATTTTCAAAATCTTGAAAACTATTCTTTGATTTTTTTTTTTTTGAGTTCAAACTTTGTATGTTTTTTTTTTCAATATCAGGCTTAGGCTTAGGCTTAATTTAATACTCAAAACAATTTTTATTTAAACTACAGTAATACAAAACTAACTGCAGTAGTCTAGAAAAATATTTAGCACTGAAATAATTTAAATTTTGAGCTACAGTGATCTAGAAAAAACAAATAATCTGTAGAATGTTCAATTCAAGTACTTCTAAAACCATTTTTCATAGGGCTTACCTATTTTTGGATAAATTTTCAATTTTATTTCCAGGTTAATGGCTGGATTTATGATCATCACAAGTTTCATGTGAGTCCAATTTCTTATTCTCCTTCCCCCTCATTTTCCATATTCCAGATCCCTTTGGATTTCTGACACTGCATGTTGTGCTCTGATGGCCCCGATCGCTTATGCGCTTCTCGAAGAAATCATGATTCCAAAAATGAAAATTGACCCAGAAGAATTGGAGGAACTCGAAAGAGAAACTGGTAGAAAATTGGACACTTCAAAATTATCGAAAAGAGATCGAGGAATTTGTAAATGTATGATGCTTTTAGTTGCACATGCTTCATTGATTGGTGGAACTGGAACTATTAATTCGACTGGACCAAATTTGATTTTTAGGGATACTTTGGAGAAGTTAGTGAAACTATAAATACAGCTAGTTTGTTTTTTAAAAAAATTCCAGAAATTTCCCTGGAGAGGATACGGGAATCTCATATTTATCTTGGATGGCATTTGCAATTCCACCAATGATTTTTTATATGTTCAGTTCTTGGTTTATTGTCCAACTTCAATTTTTAGGATTCAAACACCTTTTGGGAATATTCAAGAAACCAACAGAAGAAGAAAAATTAGAAGAATCAGTTGCTCGAAAAGCAGTTTTGAAATCATATGAAGAATTAGGTCCAATGAAATGGTCCGAAAAATCAACTCTCATCATTTTCATTCTCGCCGTTTTCAGTTGGATTTCAAGTGATCCGAAAGTTGTTCCAGGCTGGTCTTCATTGTTTTTACCGGGATTTGTGACTGATTCTGTTTCTGGACTTATTGCAGTTCTATTTTTATTCATTTGGCCGAAAGAGAAACCAGATTTCAGATTTTTAAGAGAAGATAAAATGAGAAAATGTGTTAGAAGAGAGGCTTTGATTGATTGGGATACTGTAAGAAGACGATTTCCTTGGTCGATTATTTTGTTGCTTGGTGCTGGATTTGCGATTTCTGATGCTGTTAAGGTGAGATCTCAACTTCTGATCGAAAAAATTCGAGAATATTTTCAGAGAAGTGGTCTATCAGCTCTAATCGCTTGTTATCTCAATTCCTCAATTTCATCTCTACCATTTCCAGTAATGCAAATAATTATCTCAATAGTTGTTGTTGTAATGACAGAATTCTCAACAAATTCAGCGACCGCCTCAATTTTCTTGCCAATTTCTTTCAAAATGGCTGAAAATGTTCGAGCTCATCCATTATATTTTTCAATTCCAACTGCAATTGGACCAAGTTTCTCATTTATGCTTCCGATGGCAACTCCAGCAAATGCGATTGTTTATGAGACAAAAACTATTCGGATGATTGATATGGTATTTTTTTTTGTGGTTTTAGAGAAGTTTTCAGACAAAAAAGCTGGAAAAAATGATAGGAACTCCTTTTCAGAGCTCTAAAAGTAAGCTCATCGTCAAATTTTCTAAATTCCAGGTTTCGTGTGGAATTTTCCTCAATATATTTTGTATAATCATAACCGTAATCAATATGAATACATGGACATATTGGCTTTTCAACATGGGAACTTATCCAGATTTTGCAATTCGACATTCTTCAAATTCCACCTCTACGCAATGTTTCTAAACTGTACTTTTACCTTCGTGTATATTTTTCTAGAACAATAAATATATAAAAACCTTGCCAAAAATCTGATACTTTTTATTTTATGATCCAAGTACCCCTACTTACATATTCGAAAAATCAGTTGACAGTACCCCCTTTTTCTCTTCTCATATTTCCCGCTTCCAAGGGCTCTTCATTTTGCATCAGAGAGAGACCCAATGAGAGACGCAGAGAAGATAAAGGTGATCTGGCGAAAAAAGTTTTTATGTTGCATAGGCCACGCCCACTTTTTTTCGAGGGACCCTTCCTTCTCACTTTTGATTAGTTAGATATATCTTTTGCTTTGTGTTATTTTCTATATTTTTTCTCTAAATGACTCCACCCGCTAAAAAACCCGCCAAATCTTGGCTTCTCTATCTTTTGGCGATTGTTTTGGTGGCGATTGGTGTCTGTGCGGCTTTAATTATTTATTTAACACTAATTCGAGGACCCGAGGAAGTTCAGGATATTTCGGATTCTGAACTTTTGCTGAGCGGATTGAATTCAACGACTTCTATACCTGTGACAACAACATCTACAGTACTCATAACTTCTACCGTAGCTGGAACTACAACTGGAAAAATCGAAGATGAGGAAACATCAAGTACAGAAGCTTCAACTACTACTACAACAACAACAGAGGAACCATCGACAACAACTGAAGTTGAAGAAATTGCTGTTCCTCTTGATGTTTCATCAATTTTGAAGGAGAAAACCAAAGATTTCGAGGTACGGTGTTTTCAGAAGACTTTTAGGGATTTCTTGAAGTTCTGAAAAATCCTATGAAAAATTTTAGTTATTAATTTTGTCATATCATAGCCCATAGTAATCTCGTTATCAGCGACTCAAAATAGAGCAAGAAGTTATTTTCTGTAGTCCACTAATTCCTCGCTTTTCCAACATTTCAAAAAAAACTTCTCATTCTTCGTTTCCCCAAAAAAAAACAGCTGTCACCACATAGTACATAAATATTATGACTTTATATTCTGACTCACATATGTTCCTTCCATCTTCCATCATTTCACTTATACTTCAACAAAAACACAAAGTGATATTTTTCAGGTCGTTGAAAAGTGTGCTGACATTGATGTTCTTCCCGTTTCTTGTCAACATCAATCATCGTCGAATTATCAGTGAGTTTTGAAAAAGGGGGAAAAATGAAAAGAAGAGAGAGGGATTTTGAAAGAGGGAGTGAAAATGAATGAAATATTGATGGTGGGCTTGAAAAAGTATTTCCTACAGTAGTTTATCTATTCGCAGAAAAAACGTTTTCACCGATGCGTCTTTGATAAAAATTCACAAAGTCTCGAAAGCCATGCCAAATAAACTGACTAGACTCAACTCAACCTTGTTCTTTTGCAGAAACGCGGCACCTTCCCAATTCCAACCACTTCATTACAATCTGAATCTAACACTCCGTGATGTCCGAAACACTGTGTTCGAAGGAAATGCAAAACTTTTCGCACAAACTCTGGAAACTACAAATGGAATTGCGATTCATGCGACAAGAATTCGAAATTTGGATACAAATCATATTCGAGTTGTCAATTGTGATTCGGGTTAGTTATTTTTGTTCTTCTCAAACATTTTTGTTACACCAAAAGAAAGATAGATACATGTTTATTTATCGACATACCGCAATGACATAAGAAAATATGATTTTTTTTTGTTTCTTTAGAGATTCCTGGAGTTTCAGAGGTTCAATAGTTATTTTAAAATCAGAAACCATTTGTAAAATCCGCACATTTTTCAAAAAGTAATTAACAACACGTCTTGAGCTAAGCAGCTGTCAAAAAAGTTTCAAAAATATGTGTTTTTGCACCGATGCGTCGGAGAAAAAAACGAAACAAAAACAGGTGTGGGCTAGAGGCTCAGGGCTCGCGGAGCAACAGAAAAAAGAGATGAGTCACTCACTTTGAGGGGGCCATCACAACAACAGCACACCAATTTGTCACCACAAAACCTGAAGAGTTATCTTTTTGGCGGCGGGTGTCTGGCGAACGGGCGGGAATAAATTATATGATAGTACTATATAGTGGATTTATGAATTTATTAGTGGTGCTAGATGCCGATAGGATGCTAACACTTGTGATCGAAAAAAAGGAAGCAGAAGGGAGAGGGGTTGACAAAAACCTAGACCTGTGAAAATAATAAATTTCAGCAAATGTATTTCACACATTTTTCAAAGTATTCATTTTTTAATGAAAAAAGATGACTCATTTTTAAGAAATCATTTTCAAAATGAAGTTTCGAAATTCAAAAAATACTTGATGAATCCATGACTAATTTTTTGAAATTGATTTTCAAAAAAAATTGGATTATCAATATTCGGAATAACATCTCGGCTTTTAAGAATTTGGAAAATTTTCCAAAAAAGTTGTGACGTGGCGAAAGTGTGAAAATTTGATACGTCATAAATTCTCAGTTTACAAAAAAATTTTAGTAAATTATCACATATTCAACTAAAATAATTGTTTTCAACCCAAAATAACCTCATATTTTTAGGTGAAACTCTCTGCGTCACAAATGTTCGACAAGTTGATGAAGTAGTCGTCATTGAAACCGCTCAAAAAATCGATGCCAAAACAAACTTGCGACTTGATATCAACGGATTCATTTCAAGTGATTCAACTCCTCATCTTTATAAACAAATTCCAACTGGAAAATGGAGAGTTCCAGTGATGATTGGAAGTGTTTTCGAGCCAACATCAGCTCGCCATGTTTTCCCAGCTTTTGATAATCACAATCAAAAATCCACTTTCTCTGTCTGCGTCTCTCATCCTCCACAATTCTCTGTTATTTCGAATTCCGAAGTTCTATCAAATCAAACATCAACAACGTGTTTCACAAAAACTGTTCCTCTTACTGCTCAACAACTTTCAATTGTTGCTTTCGACGAAACCGCGCATCTCAATTACAACAAATCATCATCAGATGGAACATTTTTGCCAGAATTCAATATTGTTTTCAATCTCAAGTCAAATTTCCGATCAGCTCAATATGAATGGATTTACGGAGAGGTTTCGAAAGTTATGAATTTGATGTCAAAATGGTCGAAGTTCTCTTATCCTTTGGATAAATTGAATATTGTTGTTGCACCAGTTGCAACAGGACACAGTGCTTTAGGAGTTATGACACTTCCCGTAAGTTACTTTGTGTTTTCGAGAAATGATGACGCTTCCGTAAAATTTCTAGAATTATCTCTAAAACTCATAAATTTTTAGTACCTTGATAATAACAAAATGATTTTTGAGAATCCAGTTTTCGGTGATTCTTAAAAATGTTCAAATTTTCTGTAAGTTCTCATAATATTTTTATAGGCTCAAGCAGTCGCATATCAAAAACATACATCAACCCACGAAACATTAATCAAAGAAGTGATCGGACAATGGATGGAAGGAATTGTAACGACAGAACACACGTGTTTTGAGGTTAGCCTTGCTTATTTTATTCATAAACAAGAGAAATTCGATATTATTATTTTGAGATAGTGCTGAAGGGCAGTTTGAACATATGTTTGAATGCATCTTTTTTCCAATACGTGCGCACGAAAGATAATCCATCATAAAATCACCGAAAAATTGTAATAATAAAAATAATAAGATGCGCTGTGACCCGGGACTTTTTTATTACCGAAATTTCCGAAAAAAAATCTTTCAAGTGCTCACAATTATACTTTTTCCTGATGAAGCTTATTAGCACCTCTGTTTTCCTCTTTTACTTTTTGGATACTTTACACTTGTTATTTGAAACAAAAAACTTGTCACATAACACCGCCAGACGATACGATAAGAGAGTATTGAAAATAGGGAGAGAGGCAGAGAAAGATTGCGCAATTCAGGGATTCTGGCGTGTAAAAAATAACAAAGATATAAAAAAATAACAAATGTATTGAACAGTTTTGTTTTAGAAAGCACTTGTCCAATATTTGGAATGGAAAATCAACGAAGAATTGCAAATTGTGAAAAAGACAAGAAAATTGGAAATCGCTAAAATTCGACCAAGAAATTTAAATGAAACTAGCGATCAATTGCGAGTTATTCGAAGTGTACAACAAAATGATAAAATCTTGTGTTCACCAAGATTTGTTGAAGTTTTCTATACTTTGGATGAAACTTATGGAGAGAATACTGTTGTTGGAATTATTCGAGTGATTTTTGAAAAGTTTGCATTTTCAACAGCAACTATTTCGGATTGGCAAAATGCGGCTGAAACTGCGACTGGAAGATCGGAAGCTGGCAAATTGATTGGGGAATGGTTTGCGAGACCAACGAAGAGACCGATTCTTCAAGCTGTTGTTCAACCACAACATGTTGAATTTACAGTAAGTTATCTCAATAGAAAAAATTCCACGTCCATTTAAACACATGGCGTTTTTTGAAGAGTCATTTGTATTTTAATTAAATAAATGCCACGTGGAATTTGCAGACATTAGGCTCACCTTAACCCTTTCAAAATCACTAATAAAAACCCTCTTTACAGCAACTCACTGATGAATTATGGTCCGTTCCATTGGAAATCAGTGGTTCAAATGGTTTGCATTTGGCAGTTATCCAAGACAAAACTCAATCAATTCCATTTGTATCAACTGATTATGTCGTCATCGATCCATCTCGAAAATCTCACGCTTTCGTAGTTTATGATGCTGAAACATATCTTCGACTAATTCGATGCTTCGGAGATGCTTCAAGATGTCCATCAAAAGAAATTGGTGGAGCATTTTCTGATTTGGCAGCTGCTCTTATTGCCAACATTCTTCCTGTCCCTGAAACTCAAGATATTCCGAAATGGAAATCGGTGTTCAAATTTATGGCGCAACAAAATCTTGTTGAAGGAACTGCTGCGTGTTGTGTTGAACATGCGATTCAAGAAATGAGAAAATGTAGTTATTGGGATATTCAAGATTTTTGCACAAAAATCGCCTTTAATTCGGTTTTAACGCGCACCCGACTGTAATTTCTACCTAATTTTTGTTTTTTTTTGTATGTACGTTTCCTGATACTCATAATATTATATTTTTCTCCGATTCCCTGTGGATCTTTCTTGAAATTGCTTTTGAGCTTACAAAAATAAAAATTGAAACTCACTTTGTATTTTGAATTTGTGCATATCCGCGTGAAAAAGCCGCATCAGTCGAATTGTTTCTTGTTTTAAAAAAAACCTGTACGAATACTGCAGGAAAGACGCAATGAACAAAACACACAGTTGGGTCTTCACGCGAAATGTTTTGTGTAGTTCACGCGGGCAATTTTTATTTGTTTTTTTTTCATTTTCTGTTTTTGCGCGCGCAGTATTTCTCCAAGGAAAAATCAATGGAGAATAACCTGGTCTCACTTGATAAGAGTTTCAATGATTTATAAGATCGTCTCTCTTCCGCCTCACCCACTTAATGAAAAAAAGTAACTTTTTCGACGCGAGAAAATACAAATACTTGTATTGTAGATACTTATTTTTTCATAATGCATGGTTAATTGAATCATCATGACACAAACCAGTCATATAAAATTGGTATTCGTGCGCCTTTTTTCCTTTTTCTCCTTCTATTTCTCTTTTTTATTCTTGTCCACCAACTATAGTGTTGTTGTTTTGTACATATTGTATCGATTCGTTATTTCAACGCGCGGCGCTCCCTTGTTTTCGATTTCATTCTTGCGCTTTAGTCTCTCGTCTTCGAAAAACCACGAGGATTTCGAGAAATTTCTTTTTTCACACTTTTTTTTGATTTCAATTCAATCAAACCAGATTCGGTTTCACAATGATCGGATGACGTGCGTTTGATTGCGAAACCGAAATCATCAATTTTCTCTTCGTAACAACATTTAGTACGTGGCAGGAAGTTCCTCATGAAATATATTTTATTTGTTTTTTCAAAGAAAAATGTATTTTTTTTATTATATTTCTGGCAAAAGAACTGTTCTAACTTTCACTTGAGATTTTTGATAAAATATGTTTTCTAGTAGTTTTCGAGACGCTGATCACGTAATCAACAGTTGCAGAAATCAGCTTCTAATAGGAGTTATGACGTGGCGAAGTTCAAAAATTTCTAAAAACCGGGGTGAAGTCGAAAACGATTATTTAGAAAACATATATTTTATCAAAAATCTAGAAGGAAAGTTGAAACAGTTCCTTTGTAAAATCATTTCGAAAATTGATCATTTTTCACATCAGACATCATTGTTTTGACAATGTTTACATTATGATGATTATTTTAAGCATCCGAAATATTTTTTAAAATTTGTGATCGTTGTCTCTGCCCTTATCCAAATAATATATAGACTTCCCTCTTTTTATTTACTTTTCGTTTTTTTCCAATAATGCTCATTGTAAAAGCGTTTTTGTTTTACGCTCACCTCTCATATTTCAAAACACCCCCCGTTTTTCATGCGAAAATTAATCGGGCCGGAAGCTGACCTGACCCCTTGTTGCTAAGTAACAACCACAACTTTCCATTTTTTTTCTGACTTAAAAATAAAATAGATAGACAAAACACATTTTTGAAAACGACCTTGATTTTACCGACTTGGCCTTTTGATATGAATCATTATTTCGTTTTATTTAACAAACTTGGAAAACTTAATTTAATCAAACCTTTTTTTTTGCAGAATGTTTCAACATTTTTCCACATTTCTACTAACAGTTCTGATATTTTCACCTGGTTTCATTGAAGCCAGAAGATCAAGCAGTGGATCTGGAGGATTTTCAAGCAGAGGACAATCTGCAAGTCGAGGAAGTGTAGGACAAACTAATACTGGAGGTGGATTCAATAATAATCAAGGAGGATTCCATCAAAATACAAATAATGGTGGATTCAATAACAATAATGTTCGACCAAATACAAATCAAGGAAACTTCCATCCAAATACCAATCAAGGAAATTTCAATAATGGAAACAATTTCCGACCAAACACGAATACTGGGTAAGCATTCAGGCAAATTTTGGAAGATTTTGGGAGCTGTGAATAAACTCCAAGAGAAAATTTGAAAAAATTTTTAAAAAATGCAACTTCGGGTTTTCAAAAAGATCACGTTTTTTTTCTGAAAGATTTGATAATAAAATTCTCAGATATTACATTTTTCTACGTACAATGGTTTTTAAACTGAAAATTCAATTTTTTAACCTTTAGATTCCATTCTGGAAGTGGTCTCGGCTCATCATCAAGCAGTGGAACATTCAAAAAAGCATTAATTGGTGGAGCTCTCGGAGCAGCTGGTGGAATAATTGCATACGAAGCCGGAAAAGCCATCATCCGCTCAGCAACCGATCCATTTAATTACAATGGAAGAAGTTATCATTGGGATAATGCTCAAGTTAAACAAGGAGAATTCCAATGTTCGATGCCATTGAGTCAATTAACTGGACAATCTGGAACGACCACAACAACCACTACAACAACTGCTGCTCCAGGAGATGCAAATGCTTCATCAACTACAGTTGCACCAACATCCACAACTACACTTTCACCAGATCAAGTATTGCAAAATGTCAGTTTTTCTTTTGGAAAATCAAAAAAACATGGGGAATTTTAAAAATGTCTTCTTGTGTAAATATTAACAAAACACTACTACCTAACGAAAAGTTAGAAAATATCAAAAAAGATCAAAAATGTTCACTTATTGTTTGACAAGACGAAGAAAGATCAAAGGGTCGGAAAAATACGAAATTTTTGGTGATGAAAATTATGACGTTGCACTCTTGATCTTTGGTTACTAGATTTCGAGAAATACATTTTTAAGCAATTTTTCGGAATTTTCTAAGATCTTAATTTTGGTTCAAAAAATAAAATTTTTTGTTTTTTTTTCGGTCCCTATGTCTTTTCCAAATTGAATTTTTATACATTTTTCGAATAATTTTCTCTGAAAGTTCCAAAGAAAACATTTAACAAAAAATCGAAAACACTGAATTTTTCTTTTAAAAAAATCCTGAATTCAATTTAATTTTTTCAGGTTCAATACAGCAATGGAGAACGACCAAAAACAATTGTCTGGGGTTGTAAGGTAATTTTAAATACAATATTTTCGCTACAAGACCTCTGACAAAAATCTTCCAGGTCGGACGTGAAACATGTTGCGGAACCGATTGTTGTCCAGTTCAAAATCAAGCCTCAAATACTGGAAGAAGTGGAGGAGGATCAACAATTGGAACAGTTATTTTCATGTACATTTTTTGGTTTCATTTTTAACTAACCTTTTATTTATGTGTGAAAATTCTAGGATTTTTTTTCGATTTTGAAAAATCCTTAACGAAAACAGGGTATTTTGTAAATAAATTGCTAATTTTTGAAAAAGAAAAAAGCTAAATGTTTTGTCCGCGTCTTTTTTGGTGGTGGTGTTGTATTTGTCCGTGTCTTTGTATTTTTGTTAAAAAAAGGAGCTTGGGAGAATTTTTGATCAAAAATATAATTTCATAGGTAGAAAAGGATTTTTATGTCAAATTTGACTACGATTTTTCACAAAAAAAATTTATTTGAGAGATCACACAAAATCAAGAGACGCAGAATCCAAATGAAACTTGTTTGTCAGAAATAAAAAAGTTTCAAATATGTTCAACATCTCTCATTTTATGTGCTCTCTAGAAACAGTTGAAAAAAATTCAAACAGAATTTAGAATTCTAGAAAATCTCATTGATGATTTTATTTTTTCCTATGATTTTATTTTTATAACAAATTTTGAATTTCCCTTCAATTTCCCTCCAAAACTCCCTATGTTTCAGAATCTTCTTGATTTCATTGCTATTGTGTTGTGGATGTTGTATCGGTGCATATTGTTGTTGTCGTCAAGTTTTCGATTGTTTCCAAAGTGACAATAATGGACGAAAAGATGATGATTATCAAGAGGACTATCAAAATCAACAAAACTATCAAATGCAAAACTATGCTCAACCACAACAACAACAACCTTTCCAACAACCAAATTATCAACAAGGCGGATATCAACAACCACCAAATCAAGGATATCCACAAGGAGGAAACTATTATCCACCAGCACAATATCCATCGCAACCAAATTATTGATTCAACTCGATTTTAAATCTTGAAATCCTGAATAGATATTGATTTGCCATTTTATACGGGATATCTGTTGTTTTATCAAAAATTTCACATAAACTTCCATTTTTTTATTACAAACAAAATATTTGATCAGAATAATGAATCCATAGCTCCACGAGTTGCTTTGAATTGGAATTGTTGATTTCGCGAAGAGACTGTTGTTTCACGTTTTACACCATAAGCCGATGAACCATCTTGACTTGAACCCGTTGCATTTACACGTTTTAAACCCTGAAAGTTATTTCAGTTTATTTTTTGAAAACCAGAACAAAGTTGTGTTTTAGTAGATTTTGACCAACTAAACACAATCTTATCATTAAAATTTGCAAAAACTCTGAATATGGGTTATGACGTAGAAACGTTTCAAAATTATTTTACAAAAAAAACTGAATTTTTTCATTAAATTTTTTTTTAAATTTTGCCAGTTCATAACTCATCTTCAGATCTTGCAGTTTTCAGCGATAAATTTTCCAACATTCTCTACTTTTTCCATCTCTTTTTCTTTCTTTATTCCCTTGTCATCCTCACCTTCAATCCTTTTGCATTCGCTTTCAAATTGAATTTCTGCCAACTTTTCTTCTCATTATCCTTGACTTTATCGAGCTCTTTCTTTTTCTGCTCTTTTTTCAACGCTCGCTGTTTTCGTCGTTCTTTTTCAGCTTGCCACTCCTTTTTTCCGTGTCCGGAAGAACTTGCCGCATTCGATTTTGGATTGTCGAATGCGTAGGTTTTTCGTTGATTTTCTGGTGGCAATTCCAAATCGGATGGATCGACTATAGTTTTTTGACCACTTTCTGGAAAATGAAAATATTGTTTTTTTAGGATTAATAAAAAATTCGATCACGTCAAATATATTATTTAGGTTCACGTTATCTCAAATTTTCTCAACCAATCATTTCTCGATTTCCTAATTTTTCGAAATGATTACAAATTTAAAACTGAGTCTGAATATGGTGCCGAAATTATGAAATATGGTGTAATTACTATTCCAACAATGCTGAAACTTGGAAAATAAACGTGAGTTCGAGTTTGGATTTTTGGGGAATGGGGATTTTGAAAAGTGTAAGCCAGAAGAGATTTTTGTGAATGTTAGATTAATATTCTTCAAAACACATGGTACGCCCAACTTCGATCAAACTCGGATTAAATTTTGAAATTTATCGGCGAATTGGCACCAAGAAAATTCATTACTCTTGGCACTGTATACGTATGTCTAAAAACTCACTTGTGAATGTAATAGCAACTCCAGCCGGTGTTAAACTATCAATTCGTGCATAAACTTTCTTTCCATCTGGATGTGGTGCAAATACTCTTTCTCCAACTGTCCATTTATGTATTACTTTTGGCGCAATCACAACATCTTCAATTTCATCTGTATCTTTTGCTGTAATTTCTTCTTGCAATTCAATAATCTCTTGCAAATCGGCTTTCAATTTCAATAATTCGTCATTTTCCGGATCTCCAAGAAGGGCAGCTTCAACTTGTTGCAATTGTAATTTATAATTCGCTAGTTCTTCTTCCATTATTGTTTCTGTCTGAAAATTAAGGTTTTGCTGGAGAACGCTCCTGAAAAAGAAAGAAAACAAAAACGCTGAAAAAACGAAAAAATAAAAATCGATCGGTGTTTGCGGACAAACATTCGTATGATGCACACATTTCTCTGCGTCTCTCGTCATTTTCACACTAAAATTGAATCTTTATTTTAACTTTATAAAAAATTAATTTTCATTTTTAAATTTCAGAGGAAGGCAATAATAATATGAAAGAAAATGGTATTTAACAATCAGGGAAAAATCAAGAGGAATTTTAAAATCTTTCAAACCGTGGGGACATTTTCGTCTTTATCAAGCTTCAACACAAAAATATTTAATGATAAAGTAATTAAAACCAATAATGATACGGAGAATTTAGCATTTTTTGATAACTTTTTTGGCAACAAAAATTAACATTACAAATATGATTTTCGGAACCACGATTTGTTTCGGCACCACGATCCTCTTTTATTTCGTTGTTTATCAGAAGAACCAATTGATTTTTTGATTTAATAATATCCATATGATTATTTGGATTAACATCACTCATTGTTCGGAAAATTTGACGAGTTTCATCAAAAGTCGAGCGGAATCTGAATGAACAATAGACCTTCGAAACAAAAAAAAACATTATCCTACCGTCCGCAAGTATTATGAGCTCCAAGTTGAACAGAATCCAAGTCTGTGAGAATAGTATCCAAAGAAACATTCGATGGATCATGAAATACGCAAATTTCCAATTTCGAATCTGCAATCTTTCCACTTTTCCACAATTTTATGAAATCATTGATATGTTCTGCGGTGATCCATCCAAGTTTCAATCGCACTTCTCGAGCATTCAAACTTAGAAAATCGTCGTATTTCAGACACGTATGTTGCAGTGAGAATAACTTGCATCAAGAATCTAAAATCAACTTGTTTTGATTTTGAATTAAGATATTTGTATTCTTACCTGTGGAAAAACATTCAAAAATTTCGTGTTTTCATTAATTAATCCAAAAAATTCGCAAATCAAACTGAGTTTTTTAATAGTCTTCGGTATAGTCTTCATAAAAGTTGTTAATGTAAAAAATACTACACAAATGAAGGCTTTCCAATCGTGGAAATTGTTTGACTTTCAGCTTATGAACATCTCGAATAATTTCTGCTCTAATTTCAATAACGCCCACTGATTTTTGCCGTTTTTCAAGGAATTTTTTGATAAATTTCCAAACAACTTCCAACGGACGTCCTTCAACCATAATCATTTTTTTATTGAAATCGCTGACACTGAAATATTTTAAAATATAAGTGAGATTAAAACAACTCTGCAAAAAACTAACTGATGAACTCTTGTTAACACTGTATTTCGTCTTCTTTTCCACAATTCATCCTGTTGTTTTTTCTCTTCATTTTCATCTTTTACTTCTTCTATTTCATCTTCATCATCACTTTCTTCTTCTTTTTCCTCATCTTCGAATTCCTCTTCTTCATCTTCATTTTCTTCTTCATTCATTTCAACATCTCCTTCTGAATGTCTTTCCTCATTCTCTTCTTCCACATTTTCCATATCATCATCCGAATTCTCACGATGATCATCATCATCACTGTCAGATACATGACGTCTTCGAGGCAAATCGCTGAACGTAACATAATAATCTCCTGCAATTTGACAATCATCTAATTCACTATCAGTGTCTTCGTAGAAGAAATGAACATCATAAGATTCGTTATATCTCATATCGTCTTGCGTAACAACTATTTTGTGGAAAAAATCGGGTTTTTCAACAATAGTATTCCAAGTTCTTCTAGAGCACAATGACAAGTTCAGCCTGGAAAAATCGAAAAAATGTGCGATTTGAGTTTCTTGTCAATTTAATTTCAATTTTCCCTAATTTTCAGAACTTTCTAAAATAAAGTTTGCGTAGAAAATTGGCAGGTTGCTCATATTAAAATACAGTAGTTTCATCTCGTGAAAATCCAGATTTCACATAAATTTCTAGTAAATTGAATACGTTGGTTCACTTTTTTCTATTGCTTGATTATCCAAAAAATTATCCTTTTGTTTTCAAGTAAAAAATTAAAAATTTCGTTTCCAAAATTCTCAAATTATTCCAAACTTACTTCGAAACTGGATCGAGATATCCAAAAACTTTTTGCCGAATTACTTTCGGCAACTTATGCCAGTCATCTTTATCCCCTCTCCGATCATCGGTTTCGCACATTGTCTGTAAAAATTGTTTCGATACAATTTTCTTTCGGAAAATTGAGATATTTTTACTGGATGTTGACCAGAAAATTCATAAGTACTTATAAAATTAACAAATGATTTTCATAACAACTTCACAGACAAAATAAATAACAAAATTCAACAGATAACAAATAAAATAACAAAAGAAATAAACAAATCTAGAGTTCACCACCACATCGGTCCTTTGTTGTTCAGCAATTCCTTGTAACTTTTCTGACAACAAAAATTGACATTGCAAAGATGCTTCTTGTTTTCATATCCATCATTCACATCACTGTTTACACAAAGAATCAGAATATTTTCGAATTTTAGGACATCTATGAAATAGTTTGGATCGATTTTATGCACGATTCGATACATTTGACGTTTTTTCATTGAGAAATGATTATAACTGAAAATCAATTTTTAAAGACACAAGAAACACTGGAAAAAACAGATTTCCCGCATTTATTTTCAAATGACAAAACCAGCATGTGCGCTCTAGCGACACACTGTGTGCAAACACTTTCGAAATTTCCGTCGGCTGAGCGATTTCAAAAACAATTATTTTATTTTTTCACTTTTGCTAGACTCAAAATTTTTTCCAGATTTTCATGAATTTCGATTACTTGAAAGGTGTTGAGAATGAATAACAAACTCATTTTCTGCTCATTTCTAGGTGCTCTTGTGTCTTTAAATCAGCAGTTAACAATTTTTCTGTGTCATATCAGTTTCGCATCAAACATTTTAATTCAACTTACCGTTCACGTTTCACATGATTTCCAATCTCAACGTATTCCAAATCTTTGAGAATTTGATCCATTTTGATTTCAGAATGTTTATTGAATCGGCACATATCGAACTTTGTTTTCGATATTTTTCCATCAATCCATAATTTTATGAAATTGTTCACATCTTCATATTTAATTTCGTCTATTGGAACTTTGATTTTTCGAGCATTCAAACGAAGAAAACCATCATAAGAAATATTGACACATCTGATCGATAATGAATCAGTGACATTGAGAATCTGAAGTGAGACCCTTTTTGAACCAAAATTCCAATAAAAAACTAACCTTTGGGTAGGAATCAACAATACCAGATAAGTTTTGAATAATTCCTGTTAATCCGCCACTCAATTTCACGTTTTTGATTTTATCTGGAATTCTTTCCAAGAAAAATTTGAACATGTAAGATTCGCAAATATCCAGACGTTCCAATCGATCAAATTTTCTAACTTTGATTTTATTAATATCGAACATTTTTATAACATTCTTAATCTCAATAACACCAACTGATTTTTGTCGTTTCTCAAGAAATGTTCTGAAATAATTCCAAGCAACTTCTGGATAATAACCTTCGTAAGGTGTAAACTTTGCTGATTCGAATAATGAAAATTGCGCACGGCGACTTTGTTTTGCCAGCTCGCCTCTTCTGAAAAATAGAAAAAACATCACAAAACAACTTCAATCAATATTTAGGGCAGATATTTTTGAATACCTCAAAGCCTAAAACAGTAAGCACCCAATTTTTGTGGTCCAACCCCGTTCACTTTAAAATTTTCTTACACATAAGCTCGAGTCAGAGGAATTTCACCTCTCCTTTTCATTAACTCCTTGTGCCGTTTTTCCTCTTCGTCAAGAATTTTTTCTTCTTTTTCTTTTTGTTTTCCATTTTCATTCTCATCTGATGATGAATCCTCCTCTTCACTATCACTGTCATTATCAAAAAATGAACATCTTCTTAGTGGAAAATTTTTCCACTGGAAATGTATCAAAAAGAACTGAATAATCCGCCTCCTCATCACTATATTCATCATAATCATAATCACTTTCTTCTCCCTCTTCAGTTTCTGTTTTGTCTTCATAATACATTCTAATTTGATAATATTCATCTCCAGGTTTTTCAAAATGACTGAAAACAATTCGATGAAAAAAATCGGGTCTTTCCACAATATTATTCCATGTTCTTCTTGAGCACAATGAGAGATTTCATCTGTGATTTCAATTTTTTTTTTTGAAGAAAAAATCAACAACTCACTTTGAAACTGGATCCAAATAATTGAAAATCTTTTTTTCTAACAAGTTTCGGAATTTTATTCCAATCGTCGGTTTTCGATCCTTCCTCACTCATTCTGAAAAATATTCTTAATTAGGAAATTTTTTTTCTAAACAAATATTTTTACTGGATATGGTAAACCAGAAAATTACAGATATTCAAATAATCAGCAAAAGTTAACAAATTCATTTTTCCAACAACTTTTTTTGACAACAAAAATTAAGAGACATTATTTATAAAAATGTGAATTCCTATAGTATGCGTGGTACAAAAAATTTTCAAATTTGCTAATTTTTGGCTGGTTGGTAGCCCCTTAGCTATAGAACATATTCCCGGAGTAAAATAACAAAAAAATGTTTTTGGTGGATGGTGGACACCAATGTATGTCAAAACTTCAATAAATCATTACTTTACTCTCCGTGAATAATTTTTCGATGTATAAACGTCATTCTGCTCAGAATTTGAAGGGCTTCATTTTAGAAATACAAAAGAAAAAAATTCGACTTACCCTAACTTTTGAAAATTGAACAAAATTTTCAAAGTCAAAAATCGATATTAGGGGGACTTTGTTGCTCGCTGAATTTGGATTTATCGGATTCCTCGTCCCTTTTTACGTACCCTCCAATCATAAAATCAAAATTAACCCTCCCGCCTCATGGGTGCCCAGATCACTTTTTGCTCCCCACTCGCGTTTTTTCCCGAATTTTTTGGGTGGATTACTATCTGGCAGACTTTTTGCGCCCGTCACGACGGTCGGTGAACACAACATTTTTTTATTTTTGCTAATTTGAGTTTCTAAACATTTTTTCATCATTTAAAATGTATATTATCACAATTTATTCTTCACCCACTCATGTTGTCGCCAATGGTGACACCAAATATTGAACCATCACCAATTTGTTCGAAACTTGGTGTAATTGAACATTTTAAACAACATCCTATATTTTCATTTTGATAAAAGTTTTGTTACAATCGAATTTCTGACTATTCCATATTCTGCTACGTTGTTTCACGCAATTCGAGAAGTTTATCGCTCATTCGAAGTTTTTCGAGAAAGATTTGGTCTGAGGGCCACTTTTATCAGAAATAAAATATAGGATGTTGTTTAAAATGTTCAATTACATGAATACACCAAGTTTCGAACAAATTGGTGATGGTTCAATATTTGGTGTCACCATTGGCGACAACATGAGTGGGTGAAGAATAAATTGTGATAATATACATTTTAAATGATGAAAAAATGTTTAGAAACTCAAATTAGCAAAAATAAAAAAATGTTGTGTTCACCGACCGTCATGACGGGCGCAAAAAGTCTGCCAGATAGTAATCCACCCAAAAAATTCGGGAAAAAACGCGAGTGGGGAGCAAAAAGTGATCTGGGCACCCATGAGGCGGGAGGGTTAATTTTGATTTTATGATTGGAGGGTACGTAAAAAGGGACGAGGAATCCGATAAATCCAAATTTAGCGAGCAACAAAGTCCCCCTAATATCGATTTTTGACTTTGAAAATTTTGTTCAATTTTCAAAAGTTAGGGTAAGTCGAATTTTTTTCTTTTGTATTTCTAAATTGAAGCCCTTCAAATTCTGAGCAAAATGACGTTTATACATCGAAAAATTATTCACGGAGAGTAAAGTAATGATTTATTGAAGTTTTGACATACATTGGTGTCCACCATCCACCAAAAACATTTTTTTGTTATTTTACTCCGGGAATATGTTCTATAGCTAAGGGGCTACCAACCAGCCAAAAATTAGCAAATTTGAAAATTTTTTGTACCACAGGATTTTTCTTCTTACAAAAAACGTCTCTTAATATCACAAGCATGGCTTGGTTTTTCTTCCTTAGTTCGTAAATTCGATTTTTCATTATTCACAGCGAGAACAAAATCGTTGTTGGAATATACAATATCCATATAACTATTTTCATCAACATTATTGATTGTTCGAAAAACTTGTGTATTTTCAAGCGTATTGTATCTGAAAATTGATACAAATGTATAAAAAATGTTTAACTTCATAAATGGTTACTTTAAATGATAGACTTTTGAGTCTAATTCAATGTTTTCGACACCATTCAACACTTTTTCCAGCTCTAAATTCCGTGGCGACTCTAAAACCATGAACTTCATATTGTTTTTGATTTTGCCATTTTTCCAAGAATGAATATATTGGTTGATTTTTTCAGAAATCATGGATTTCTGGAAATGAATCACAACCATCTCTGCATTCAGACGGCTAAGCTCCTCATAAAGAAGCTCACCAAATGATACATGGAACCAATCGGATACCTCGTAAATCTTAGAAAAATTTTATTTACAAATCAATTCAATTCATATTACCTGTTGAAAGGACATCACGCTCCTCATAGATGTTTGCAACCATTTGTCTTGACCAGAATTTAAGGTTAAACTTTTCAGATTTTTCGAAGTTCTTGTAATAAAATAACAAAATGCGACCATATTACTAACATTCAAATCGTCCAAATATGGCAATCTCTCAATTTTCATATCGAATAAATCAATATTTGCAACATCGACCTTAATAGCTTGAATATGCCAATAATGTTTGGCAAGGATTCTTTTGAAATAATTAGATGCAACCGTTGCCATATCACCATCTTCAATTATTGGATTCCTTTTTACTTGCCAACCCACAACATTGTCATTACTGAACATTCATTTCGTATTAATTAAATATATTAGTGACATTTTTACCTTGAAACTTTTGTCTGCTTTTGAATTTTTCTTCTTTTCCACAATGCACCATTAGATTCTTCATCGGATTCAGAATCATTAAAAATATCAGATTCAGATTCAGACTCAGAATCACTTTCATATCTGTCTTCCTCTTCGTTATACCTCTTCTCGCGTTCTTCTGAATAGTCTACAAACCGAATATAGCTATCACAATCTTCATTATTTTCATAAGACATTTCAATTTCATAGAAATTATAATCCAATTGAATATACTTCAAAACAAGTGTTCCAAAATATTCCATTCTTCCGACCATTTCATTATAAGTTTTTCTTGAGCAAAGTGATAAATTGAGTCTGGAACGAGAAATTAGAAAACTACTAATTTTTTTTATTTCGAACATACTTAGTTGAAGGATCAAGATGAGCTCGGTTAAAGTGGTGCGCCATTTGGGGCGACGTCGCACGCTAAATTTCACAAAAATTTTTGATGCGACGTCGCTCGAAACAGCGCCTCATTTGATGCGCTGTTTGGGGCGACGGCGCGCATTCCGGCGCTATTTCGGGCGACGGCGCACACTCGCACTACGGTAGGAAACAAAGTGTGCAAGCATTTTATATGACGCGCACCCTTTTATTTTTCTTTTTTTTTTTTGGGCGGCCTCTCTTTTGCTTGTGTTTTTCGAGGGTTTTCAGTATTTTTTCAAAAGAAATTGTAGTAAAATGATGAAAACTACGTTGATTTTATCTATTTATATGTTATTTGCTGCCGAATAAGTAGAAAGCTCGGCTCTATTAGGGGGAATATGATTTTCAAAAAAGTTTTGTCATTTTTCGATGTATTTTTTCAAGCCGGAATATTTTAATTAAGTATTTAGATTTACGAGAAATTTTCTGGCAAGATTTCATTATTTTTACGTGAGCATGAGACGTGATTTCATTTTCAGTTAAATTCTTGATCCTAGAGTCAGTTTTTTGTTTCTCTTTCGACCCAATGGCATGTTCCTATTCGTCTGGCTTGTTTCTGCGATAAGATAGTTTTCAGATAACCGGAATTGGAAGTTCGACAATAAAAAACCAATACAACATATGGTGGCGTCACAGAAATCATTTTGTTTTGCGCGCTCCTCAGGTTTGATTTTTATGTATTGTCTTTCGAAAATTCAAAAAAAATCGTAGGTTAACTGATTAATTCTAGATTGGAACAATTGAAATATCATGAACAACATCGAGACGGTCGAAATGGAAACAGATCGAATGGCCAATCGACTAGGAAAACAAGAGATGGTAAGTGTTTTTCGATATGAATCTCGAAATACAGACAATCAAATACGTAAAAAGATAGCGAATCAGCTGATCTGGCATACCTTCCTGCCGTATATCAAAATTTGACGAGCTCAGGAGAACGACCGCGAAATCTGCGCGAAAAGCGGGGTCTCTGCGATTCGCTCAACCTTCGCGGGAGAATCACGCGTTTCGCATAAACCTCGCGCAATCTGGGACTCGGTCGACTGGACGTCGCGAAATTTGCGCGAATTGCGGGGAACTTCGCGTTTCGCGGGCTTCCTCGACCGAATTGGAGCGTTTCGCGACATTTTCGCGCAGTAGCATAGTATATAAAAAACATTTTCGCTATTCGCGTCACGCGCGCGCATGGTCAAGTGGGTAAAACAAATGTATTCGAGGTGAGAGGTTGTGGGTTCGAGGTTGGGTGAGTGTGATAAATACAAATGATGATCATCTGAATGTGAGGATCGATCATGATGACATTTTGTTTTGAAATTGAGAGGACACCGCGAAATTTACGCGAAACGCGATAATGAAACCGCGAAATTTACGCGAAACGCTGTAACAACACCGCTAAACCGCGGCGGATGCGCGGCGATTTAGCGGACTTCTGGGATTCGCGTTTCGCGCAGATCTCGCGGTCGTTCTCCTGAGAGGATTTGAATATCAACATTTGATTCAATTTCGAATTTTTCATTAAAAAAATTCCAATAGTTTTCGAGCTGAAATACATAAAATTCATGGTTTTCAGCTCGAAAACTAGCATTTTCTCTCGAAAATCCCTGAAAATCGCGATTTTTCAGCTGAAAATTGTGATTTCCAAGGATTTGGGTAGAAAATCTGAAATTTGGCTTGAAATTTGAAAGTTTGCCTTGAAATTCACGTTTTTTTGGAAGAAATCGCAACTTTCTAGGTGGTTACTAAGCCTAAGCCTGAAGTGATGTTGAAATTTTGAAATAATTCTTATACTTTCAACATCATGTTCAGGTTTTAGACTTAGACTTAGCAAACCCCCTAGAAAGTTGCGATATGTCCCGAAAAAACATGAATTCCAAGCCAAACTTTCAAATTTCAAGCAAATTTTCAGCTTTTCCCAGACCCGAGATCTTGAAATTTGATAATTCAAGGTTTCGAGCTAGGGAAAAGCTGGATTTTCAGCCAAATTTCTAGAAACATCCAAATTTTGGGCCAAATCAGGCCGTATTTTCAAGAAAATCTGTTATTTCGGGCCCTGAGTCCGGTTTTCAACAAAAATCGGAATTTTTGACAAAAAAATGGGAAAAATTTGAAATTTCAGTCACATTTCTAGAAAAATCCAAATTTTGGGCCACATTTCGATAAAAAGGCCAAATTTTTGAAAAAATCTGTAATTTCGGGTCCTGTGTCTGAAATTCATCAAAAAAGCCCAAATGTCAGATTCTGAACGTAGTATGTTTCACACCATGCCTATTGTTGCTGACGATTTAACTTTTTTCGAACATTATCGCAAAAATAGTGGACACGTTTTTGTTAACTTTTCCTCAATTTTCTTTCATTTCGAAATGGATTAAAAAATGAGCACCGAGTTTGAACCACGAGTCAACAAAGCTCAAATGAGTTCTTTTATTAGAAAATTAGCCTAGATAAGCCGAGTTTTACTGAAGTTATTAGAGTATAGGAAGATTATGAAAGTTCATATCTTACAATTCGCAGAAGTGCTTCGCTATGTTTATACCAATACCATTTTTCAGATTTGCTCCAATGCGACACGAGATTTTCAATCAACAACACGCTGCCGCAGAGCCAAAAATAATAATTATTATTATTATAACTTCTGTATTTAGAGTGAATAAATATCATTGTTTCAATATATGATGTTACTTCAGTATTCAATTCAGCTTTTCTAGCGCTTATCGAGCTTTTTCTGATCCAAAAACGCTTTTTGGAAGGTTTGCTGCGCTATTTCAAGCGACGGCGCGTCAATTGATGCGCTATTTCGGGCGACGGCGCGTCGTTCTGATGCGCCATTTCGGGCGACGGCGCATCATCTGAGGCGCTGTTTCGGGCGACGGCGCCCGGCTGTTTGATGCGCCTATCGCCCCAGATGGTAGCAACAGCGCCCCAGAAGTCAGCAAGTGGCGCATCACTTTATCCGAGAGATATGATCATTTTTCGCAATTTTATGCCCAGACGTTCCCATAATGTTCTTTTAAATCGATACATCTTCTAAAAACGGTTTCTGTTGGAATGGCTGATAAAATTGGGATATTCCTTTACGGAATTGTTTTTGAAAAAGACAAATATTTTTAAACTGGATGTGGTCAACCAGAAAAATTATAGATATTCAAACAATCAAGAAAATTAACAAATTCATTTTTTCAACAACTTTTTTTGACAACAAAAATTAATATTACAAGCATGGCTTGGTTTTTCTTTCAAATGTTTTGTTCGTAAATTCGATTTTTTGTTATTAACAGCGATAACAAATCGGTTATTGTTATAAACAATATCCATATAACTATTCGGGTTCGCATCATTCATTGTTCGATAAACTCGACCGTTTTTAATTGTACTGTATCTGAAAATCGATAAGAATATAAATATATCAAAATTTGAATTTTTATAAATGCTTACTTCAAATGATAGACTTTTGAGTCTAATTCAATGTTTTCGACTCCATCCAAAATGTTTTCTATACCCAAATATTTCACTCCATCAAAAATAATGAACTTCATATTGTTTTTGATTTCGCCATTTTTCCAAGAATGAATATATTGGTTGATATCAGCAACAGTCAAGTTGTCATGAAAATGAAGGCATACCATTTTTGCATTCAAACGAATAAACTCCTCATAAAATATTTCACCAAGGGGTGCAGTAAAATAGTCCGTGACTTCGTAAATCTTTGAAAAATAAAGTTTTCAAACCAATTAAATTTAATTTACGTTACGTTACCTGTTTAAATGACATGACACTTCTCATAGATGTATACAACCATCTGTCATTCAAAAAATCTAAAGTTAAACTTTTCAGCGGCTGCGAAGTTCTTGTGATTAAAAAGCAGAATGTGACCAAATTGCCAACAGTCAAATCATCCAAATATTTGAAATTATCGATTTTCATATCGAATAAGTCAATATTGGGTACAACGACTTCAATAGATTGAATATGCCAATAATGTTTGGCAAGGATTTTTTTGAAATAATTAGATGCAACAGTTGCCATATCACCATCTTCAATCATTGGTTTGGTTTTCACTCCCCAACCTACTACATCGCTATGACTGAAATGAATAGATTTTAAGACTTGAATCGAATTTCGAACTTTTCTCAACCACTAAGCCAGGTCTTATTCATCGGTGTTTCGGAACTATATTAAAATTTACCTTGTAACTTTAGTCTGCTCAAATATATTTCTTCGTTCGAACTGTCCCATTGAAAACTCCGATATTTCATCCGAGTCGGAAATTTCTTCTGATTCTGAATTACAATTATCCGATTCGGATTCACTTTCATATCTGTCTTCCTCTTCGATATACCTCTTCTCGCGTTCTTCTGAATAGTCTACAAACCGAATATAGCTATCACAATCTTCATGATTTTCGTAATTCATTTCAATTTCGTAGAAATTATAATCCCATTCATTATACTTGAAAACAAGCCTTCGAAAATATTCCATTCTTCCGACCATTTCATTATAAGTTTTTCTTGAGCAAAGTGATAAATTGAGCCTGGAACGAGAAATTAGTAAACTACTAATTGCATTATTTCGAACACACCTAGTTGGAGGATCAAGATGAGATATGATCTTTTCTCGTACTTTCCTACCAAACCGTTCCCACATCGTTTCTTTGGACGACATCTTTTACCACGACGTACTCAGGCAAACGAGCCGACTAATCGCCGGCCAATCAGTAGTTGGTCGGAAGTTGGTCGGCCTAGATCTGGAAAAGACAACGCAAAAAAAGGAGACGCAGACCGGCGACTAACTCACGACTAATCGCCGACCAATCAGTTAGCTCTGCGTCTCTCATTTTTGCATTATCTTTTTCGAGATTTCGGCCGACCAACTTTCGACCAACTACTGATTGGCCAGCGATTAGTCGGCCCAGAAAAGTTGGTCACCGATTCGTCGGCTCGTTTGCCTGAGTAAAAGCCAGAAAATGGATTTCAGTATGACTGAAAAAAAACGAAAAACATATGCCACCGTAGTCACTGCAAGGGACATATACGTTGTGTGTTGTGTCTCGCCACGATTCTAGCGCGCGCATTTGAACATTAGTTTTTTTTTTCAATTTTTTTTGCAAAAAATTTGTTTACAGCTTCCCTAGGCGATAATTATCCACCGGTGCCATCCCATCCCATCTGCTTTTTTGCTGGCACAATGGCGCGTTTTCGCGTGAATGAATTGAAAGAGCACAAAAAGCCTCCCGACCATCCACCCACCTGTCGATTACTGTAATTTTGAGGTAGAACACAATCCAAAAATATGTGCGAAGAGGAGGAAAACAATTATATTTTTGTTCATAATAATTCAGATGGTGTCAATGAGGTAAAATTAATCCCTGTGTAATTAGAAGATTAAGGTTTTAGACTTTCTTAATTTTATATTACACCAGGTTTGGCAGTTTATTCAATACCTCTTGCTTTTGCTCCCTTTTCATTTTACTCATTTTATTCATTTTCTTTTGCGGGTTCCCGAACAATAGTCATAATCAATCAAATAAAAACAATTACGTAATTGAGTCGACCCGTGTTGTTCCTTGAAACATAAAAGAGCGGTGCCCAAGTAATCACTGTCAACACATGTCAAAAAGCTGTTACAGTACATTTGGAGGGATACGGTTATCAATTATTTATGCATCTGAAGGAGGATCTTATTTAGAGGAAACACTTTTATTGGTATAGGTTTTTGGTGGATTTAGAATTAGGGAGGAAATAAAGGGAAAATGAGATTTTTGATGTTTTGACGTGAGGTAAGAATTTTCGAAATCATTTCTTTGAAAAAATATTTTTCAAAATTTTCAAATGAATAAAAAAAATATGCCAAGAAGCAAACTATATTTTTCTAACAACATTTCATTAAAAATTACGATTTCTTTTTAATTTCTAAATGAGTACTTACGGTTTTTTTCCGGAAACAAAAATCCGTTCCCAAATTTTTTTCTCTCCAAATCCTTTTCGCTACATTTTTTCCAAATTCCCGAAAGCCATTAATTTATAATAAAAACAAAACCGTCTCCATTTTCCTCATTTTTTCTTTTTTCCTTCCCCGTTTACCGTAATTGCTGCCCTTTTTCGGGCGGCAACACAGCCACATGTTGTAGTCACGCTATGAACATTTGTCATCTTCACCGCAAGCGCGCACATTCTATTTTATGATATAATGACATTAATTTTCTATCCCTCGAGGTTTTATGGTGTTCCTTAATACTTGGAAGAAGCTCGGCTCACAAATTAATCTACTCTTGTAATTTTTTAATTTACATAGTTACTAAAAAAAAGTAGATCACCTGGAAAAAAAAGTGAGAGATCGTGGGAGATGAGGAGATTTAGAGATGGTATATTTGTACAGGAATTAACAAAAAACATGTGTATCAATTACGCGCTGATCCCTAACACCCAGCTGTCTTGGTTTAGGATTACTGTAGTGTCTTAATTTTTAGAAAAGGCTAAGGACTACTGTATCTAGTACTAGTGAGGAGCAAACCAAACCTGGAGGTTAGATATGCAGGTGATACGGTTGTTTGTAATGTGTCTTTGATTCGAATTGATTAAAGATTGTGGTTTAAAATTGCGACTTTGTTGCTCGTAACTTTTGAAATTAATTTTTTATTTTCATTTTCATATTCCCTTTTTCATTCCCTATTTTTTCTACAGCCATCTGTCTTCTCGTCGAATAATTACTCTTACTCCTCTACTCTTGCTCATATTAATACATCTCTTTGCAGTTATGATGAGTAAATCTCTGGTGAAGCGTGAGAACATATTATTCTCTTGTTTTCCGGCTGCAAATACTTGACACCATATGAATTGGGTGTTGGTTTGGGTGGCAGAAGTAGTAGGAAAATATGATGTGATGGGTGGAAAGTGAAGGGTGTAATTAGGAATTGAAAAGTTAGTGAGGGAAATTGAGATTTTCGCAAAAATGGTAACTCTTCTGAATCTTATTTTCAAGTTCTAGAGGATTCTCTGAAATGTAAAGTTCTCAGTTTTCGCGAAACGTTTTGGAATCTTTGACAACTACAGTATCCCAAGGTTTTAGTGGTTTCAACCCAAAAAAGTTTTCTGAATCCGAAACCATTTGAAAAATTTTAATCTATCAGAAACTTTCCACTTTCCAAAAAATGAGCCTATGTTCTTTCAAATCCGTCTGAAATTTTGTCTAAAATTGTTTTTCGCCCAAACAAAAAGAAGAAGAACATTTTTATTTTCAAACAAAAAATATACAATCAAGGAACGGTATTTTCAACTTACAGTAATTCAAAGCATTTTTTCTCAGAAATCCCTTGTGATTCATGTTCTTCCCTCAAAAACTCATCGTATTTTCCGCCGGCTTTTTTCTTCCGAGCTCGTCCGTCGTTTATATTTTTCCTCCATTTTTGTTGTGTCTTTCTGTATGTTTTCTCTAATTCTCCTCTATCTCATCATACACTACCTTATTATTAATGTATGACTCTTCTGGCCGTCCGTCCCCCCGTTTCTTCTTTTTCTCGATCGAAAAAGCGAGCAAAAAATAGGCAAAGGATACTGTAGATGTTGTTCAGCACTAACTTACTAACTAACTTACTAATGATCGATTTTGGAATGAAAAAGAAGAAAGAAAAAATGGTGAACAAAAAAAAACAAAAATAGTGCATGAACATGAATATTTGATTCGGGTTTTGTTGTGTTTTTTTTGGGAGGCGAGAAAAATAGTTCTAATTGTAAAAATTAGAGCTGAATGTCAGAGGCGTGATGAAAAAATGAGGGGTCACGTGAAACGTGTATAATTAAAATTCATTTTCAGAAAAAATGGTAACGAAGGATGCGGATTCTTTGAATAAATTTTCAAGATTTTTGAGAAACTTGTTCTAAAAAATGATATTTTTTGGAAATTTTGAAAACTTTGATGAAACTTGAAAAATACACAAAATTCTATAACTTTGACAAATCTGTTATTTACTACAAAATTTTAAATTTCAATCAAAAACATTTTCAAACTTTCAAATGTTCACATCAAACGTTCAGATTTAAAGACACAAGAAACACTGGAAAAAACAGATTTCCCGCATTTATTTTCAAACGACAAAACAAGCATGTGCGCTCTAGCGACACACTGTGTGCACACACTTTCAAAATTTCCGTCGGCTGAGCGATTTCAAAAACAATTATTTTATTTTTTTCACTTTTGCTAGACTCAAAATTTTTTCTTGATTTTTATGAATTTCGATTACTTGAAAGGTGTTATGAATGAATAACAAACTCATGTTCTGCTCATTTCTAGGTGCTCTTGTGTCTTTAAAAAAAAAATCGGTTTTGGATCCAAAAATTACAATTCTGTATTTTCAGAAACTAAATTTGAAAATACTGAAAATCTCAAAATAAAAAAATTTTTAAATGTTTTTCGAAAAATTCAGAATGGAAATTTTCCAAAATAGAATATTTTTTATTTTCAATTCAAATTTTTAAAATATTTCAGATAACTGATTCTTTCAAGTGTTAGCCCAACTAAACTGTATTCAAAATTGAAATGATCGACAAAATCTTTAATTCAACATCTAGTAATTCTCAACCCAACCCCGAAAAAAAAATCAAAAAATTCAACAACAATTTTCAAAAACGCAAAAAAATACAGAAAAGGTAACTCAAAAACAAACGGTGTCACAAAAATTTGGGTGAAATACAAGTGTCGGTTTGGAATGGGGTGTGTCTCTTTTTTGTGGCTGTCTTTCTTCAGCTCTTTTTAATATTTCATTGATGTCAGTCGGGTCGTAGAGCCATATAATATTTATTTTAAATTTAAATATTTCATTCATTTTTCCTTTTCTCTCTCAACTTTTTCCTTTTTTTTTTTGCGGGGACCCCTAATAAAATTATTCATTAATATTATTATGGTCCCACTTCAAAAAAACACCTTTTATCATCTATTTATCTCTATCAAATCAATTTCTTCACAGCTTTTCCGTGGACCAAAAGCTTCCATCTTCCCAGAAGCTCCGCCTATTTCTCATCAAAAAGTGGGCGTGGCCAACGAATTGCGGCGGGTTCATAGAACCACGGTAGTTTGCGCAGGGAAAAAGGGCGTAAGGGCCATTTTACCCCAACCATAATCATGCAGACTGGTGCTGCCACTGGAACAACCAAAATGCAAACTGTGAGTTTTAATTTGAAATTTTGATTTGGAACTTTTTTGTGAGAAAAACAGAAGTTTTTGTTTTTCGGAAATTTTTTGGAGAGAAGAGAGTCATGAATAAAATAAAGTCTGAATTATTAAACAACACATTTTAATTATTCAACAAATATTTTTATTTTCTCCATTTTTTCGAGGTTCTAGAGACTGGTGACTGGAACTCGGTGAGCATATTGAATTTTTGAGGAACAGTTTTTCTTGTGTCATTTTTTCAAGTAGGATTAAAATTTTTTGTTTTCTCAATAGAAAATCAGGATTCTTAAATTTCTAAAAAATGTTCAAATTACTAAAAATGTAGTATAATCTCTCTGGAACATCTTAAAATTAGAAGATCAATTAAAATCGTGTCCTTTCTCTGGTCACATTCAGAATTTGCTTTTTTTCACCAAACATCTTCATTCGAAAAATTCTCCAGTTCACTCAAAATCAGGAATGAAAATTCGAGATCTCAAATTATCTCCAAGTTCTAAAAAATGTAAACAATTTATTTTGATCAGGTGAAAATTGTGTGCTTTGAACTTCAAATCAAAATTAATTCGAAATTTCAGAACAAAAATTCTGAATTCTTTAACCTGAAAATAAAAAAATCCTCGATTAATTTTTTTGCAAGTTTCGTTCTATAACGAAAGTTTTCCAAATTTAGCTCTGAAATTTCATTTTCTAAAAGAATTTTAGAAATTCATTTAGCTTGGGGCTATTTTCAGATCTCTTTTGATTTCATAATTCCTCAAGTTTTCTTCTCATTTCTCCGCAAATCCGCTTCCGGAAAACTTATTTTAGAACAGAACAGAACACGAAAACGTTTTTTGCAACACCTCCTCCGCGGCGCAGGTGAAAACGTATCTACGCAAATTGAAAATTTTTATCCCCTCCTTTTCACCAAAATAAAATTGTTTCATTCTAATTCCATTCTGGTTTCATTTCATTGTTTTGCAAAATGCGTTTACAGTTTAACAACTCACTATTTGGCTCATTCGATGATCCACTTTTACATGCTCGAGCTGCTCAAGTTGCTCTCGCTGATATTGATGTCAAAAATGTGCATCAACAATTGACGAATCCTCTAATGAGACCACATGATATGTTCAGGTTAGTCTGACAACAAAAAAAAGGGTATCCCTCTCTAGGCTACTAAATAATTAAAACCTATATAAATTTTTCAGTCAAAAACCTATGAAAAATTCAGTTCTTTTTCTGAACACTTCTTTTTTTCTGAAAAATTAATACTTTTTAATTTTGATTAGTTTTTAATCGGACTAAAAATGTCGCAACTGGGTACGATTTTTTTGAAATGTTAAGATCATCAAATATTTTAATATTTAGATTTGAGTTAGCTTTTTAGAACCAGGGTGACCAAATTTTTAATTGAAATCAGACTTTCAAAAAGGATTTGGTGTGTTTTTCTCCTATCAAAAAATGTTATAGCAACTACTTCTCAACTGGAATTCATGACACAGCTGCAAATATCTATCAAGGTCTTCCAAGTTCATCTGAACAACCATTTGATGCATCTGTAATTGTTCCAACATCTTCCGATGATCAAATGACTCCACTACAACAAGTTATGGCAATGCAAAGTTATGGTGCTCCACCGCCTTTTGCACAATATAACATGGCACATTCATTTTCAACAACTTCAATTTCAAATCCAACAAATATTGCAAGATATCCAATTGCTCCTCCAACTTCAGAATTGGAAACTGATCCACGAGAATTAGAAAGATTTGCAGAACATTTCAAACAACGCCGGATAAAACTTGGTGTAACTCAAGCAGATGTTGGAAAAGCATTAGCTCACTTAAAAATGCCTGGAGTTGGAAGTTTATCACAATCAACGATATGTAGATTTGAATCTCTCACTTTATCACATAATAATATGGTAGCACTAAAACCAATTCTTCATTCGTGGTTAGAAAAAGCTGAAGAAGCAATGAAACAAAAAGACAATATTGGAGATATTAATGGAATTTTGCCGAATACTGATAAAAAACGAAAGAGAACTAGTATTGCAGCACCAGAAAAACGATTACTTGAAGATTATTTCAAACAACAACCAAGGCCTTCTGGTGAAAGAATTGCGGCGATTGCGGATAGATTGGATTTGAAGAAAAATGTTGTGAGAGTTTGGTTTTGTAATCAACGACAGAAACAAAAACGGTAAGAGTTAGGGAGAAAAGAACTTTTAGTTTAAAAAAAGTATGATGGACCATGTTTCAAAATCAAAAATTCCCAAAATTTTGAAATTCTGTTATTTGTTTCAATAAAAACGGGATACGTTTAGGCGATTCTTGAATTTTGTCTAAATTGCTCGGGATCTAAGAAATTCGGAACTTTTACAAAACCTCAACTTAGTGATGCTCAAAATTTCTAGTTTGCAGAAATGTTTCACAAACTATAAATGAAAACTTACCAAAATATTTCCCGAAAATAACAAATTCCAATTTACAATTAGTTTCGATTTTTGAAAACTTTGAACACATGATGGATGGTCCCAGAAATTCCTATGTTTTTCTCAGAAAAATTTTAAAATGTTCCGTAAAAATTTATAGTTCCAAATGTCAGAGGTCAAAGGAATAACTAAATCCTGAAATTCCCGTCTCAACTTTCGATGTTTTCAGTGACTTTCGCTCCCAATTTCGTGCCCGTAATGCTGCCGCCGCTGTCATGGGACCCCGTGTAATGCCAACATCAACAAATTCCGCAGTCAAGTGTGGACCATTCGGAGCAATACCCTCGTTTTACGATTAATCAACCTCTTGGAAATATATTTTGATAAGTTTTATTTGATCTCGTTTTCACACATATTTTTTTTTTGAAAAATAAAAATAAAATGTTCGCGCACTTTTTTTTCCGTTTTTCTACCGTAATCGTTTTTTTCCGCTCGTCTCTTCTTTGTGGAAAAAAAGAAGAGAGAAAGAGGCGAGGAGCAGGTTAATGAATATTTCAGTATGTCAGCCTAGTCGAGTCTCTGTCTATTTTTCTCTGATCTCTCGATTTCCTATACTATTTCGCTGGTTTTAGCGTTGAGATTCGATTCGAAAAGCACGTCTTCTTTTTCTTCTTCTCTTTTCCTAGTTTTACTAACTACCATTTCCTTTTCGGATGGACACATTTTTTCGAGGGAAAGAGGAAGGGACCATTTTCCGCGATTGGAAATTCGATGAGATTTTTACGAGTCAGATTGGGGAAAATTAAAATTCTACAACATTTTCAAAATAAGTTGAAATATCATATTTTTGCCACAAGGATTTCGTAAAAACTACAGTATTCCTGGGTTTTCTAACCTCAAATATTTGCTGATTTTCCGACACCGAATTAGCCTAGGGTTACTGTAGATTTTGGTATCGAAAATTGATAGCTTCTATGCCGAAGTGTCCTACAGTGATTTTTTATAAAATTTCAAAAAATGAGAATAGTGGAATTGGGTTTTTTCTTGAAAACTGAACTTTGTCGGTTTATGGAAAAAAATGTCCAACATAATAAATTGAAAATGTTCTGTGAACAAAATAATCAATCAAATCACATCGAAAACAACTATGGAACTTCGTTAGAAAACTCATGGGCTATGAGAAAAGTCTATCTGGGACATACCTCATTTAGGAATCTATTATACTGGGCGATGATCTTATCCAGTGCAAGATTCAAACCGATTTGTATTTTACACCGTTTGAAAAAAAATCACATAACAAATACAAACTTCAAAAAACTATTAAAAAAAATAAAAATGTAAAACATAATTTCGGCTTTATTGTTACTATCAAGCAACTTTTTGATGAAATAACTTTTTTTTCAGTTATACCAAGATACTTGTCCATACCCACAAAAAAAACCCAACAATTCCCCGTTCTTGTCTCAAAGTTCTAACAACCTTTAGAAACAACACATGCCTAATTCATATTTGAAAAAAAAAAGAAATATTATTTCTCCGGACCTCAAAGTTTTTAAAAGATTCTAAAACTTCCTTTAACAAGCATCCTCGATTAAAATGCAAATCAGTGTAAAAATTTTCGAACTCTACAGAACTCCCTCCGACTAAAACTTCACTACTCAATCGAACCCAAAAAAAGAGCTAACCTTTGAAATTTCGACGGTTCCTCGATCATCTCATCGCGCACAATTGATGCATTGCTTCATGTTTTCCAACAAAAATCATCTCGAATATCCACGGCCAATCTGAAAAATATTTTCAATTAAATGAAACTTTTGGTTGTTTTTTTATTGATTCAAAACGCTATCTCAAAATATAGGCGTCCATACGAGAGAGAGAGAGAAGAAGAGACGAAAAGATAGTGAAATCGCGCGTGATCTACAGTGATTTTTAAAAAAAACTTGCGGGACTATGTTAGAAATTTTTTTTATTTAACAAAAAAAAATAATTTCGCGGTGACAAACATAAATAAAATGAAACACCTGATACAAAATAATTCATTAAAAATCCCAAAGCTATGCAGGCTGAAGCAAAATAGGAGCTATAGTGGTAGATGGACCTGAAACTGTTGTTTCAATTGATGTTTGAGTTGTCAATTCTGTAGTAGATACTGTAGTTGCTGGTTTCGCAGTTGTAGATTCTACAGTAGTTGCTTCAGTTGTCAATTTCCCTGTTGTTGTTGTTTTTTGAACTGTTGTAACAGTTACTGATTCTGTAGATCCTGTTGTTATTGGCAGTGATTTTGTTGTTATTTTTGGTGGAGTTGGTGGTGATGGTGGAATTTTCGCAGGTTCAGGTTCGGTTACAACAAGAAGAAACATAAAAATTCCCATTATAAGAGCAACACCAGCTGGAATACTAACCATTGTTGCATATTTTACAAATTTTGATGGCGGTTTGGCACGATTTTCTTTGACGGAAACTGCCAAATATTGCGTATTCTTTTCGGTTGAACTTAAAAAATTGTATGGATTGTTTTTTGGAAAGTTTAGGATAATGAAATTGCCCAAATTTTTTATCTAAAAAACCAATTCTCTAAAACTCACCTCATTGTTAAATATGTTTGTACAATCTGATTTTCCTAATTTATTTTCCAAACTGAATTTTTTTTCTCAATTCGGAAATATTTATGGGGAATTTTTTCCAGGTCACGCAACGCTTTTTAATTGGATAATGAAAAACTGAATTTTTTCGGAAGTGAACATTTTTAAAATTGGATCGTATCATCGATTCAAATACCTTAAAAAAAACCAAAAACATTTATTCATTTTTTGTCCAATTTTTTCGCTCTCACTGATTTCTTCACCTTCGTTCCCTTTCCTTCTTTTGCTTTTTCCATTTCTTTTTCTGATCCCAAATCCAAACTCAATCCACTTTTATTCATTTTCAAAGATGGCGCATCTTGAAATGTATCATCATCATCCTCATTTATCTCACAATTTTCAACAATTTCCTGTGTTCCATCCAAACTTATTCCATTTTCATTTTTCCGCTTTTTCTCATTTTTCGCTTTTCTAGATCGATTACTTCTTTTTGATTTTGTCAAACGTTTCAATGTTTTTCCTCCTCCAATTGTATCATCTTCTTGTGTTTGAGCTAATTCTAATTCAGGCGGTGAATTTTGAACCGATTTTGAATGAGCGATAGGTGAGAGTGGTTCTGCAGTTTTTTCGAGATTTTCAGAAATCAACCAGGAATTCGCATGCTCATCTTTTTCGATATGACTACTGTTTTTATCCATGTCGACCCTAAAAATATTTCGAATATTCAAATTTCAAAGTTTTCGCGCCAAAAACGGATGTAAACACGGAGTGTCGTAGTTATCCTCATTGTGAGCAATTTTTGAATTTTTAAATTTAGCAACAAAGATAGTTTTTTATTTTATTTTTAATACTCACCTAACAGAATCCTCACTTTTCGACGGTTTCGCATTTCTTGAACCTTTACAAGTGATAAAAACTGAAGCTGTTAAAATAATCAATAAAATTATCGTAAGTAACATATTTTTTCTTGAATTCGACCAGTTCGAAAAACAATAGAAATAGAAATGAAACACATATCTGGATTTTCACGCGTCACGTCGTTTTTTAAAATTTAATTCACCTTCAAAAATTCTTCATTCGTACATTTTGGTGTTTACACACATAAGCAAATACACGGCGACGCATAATTGCACACTTTTTTTCTGCTGGCGTGTCAAAATTTATTTGATTTTCGCCGGTTTGCTCTCGAATATACAACTTCTGGCTAGATGACGAATAATAAAGACCATCACGAAAATTCGCACGAACATCGGAGTGTAACCTCGGAAGCCGTTCATTTTCTGATTTGCGCTGGCGGAATTTTGACATGCTATTTTTATTTCGGAATTCAACAGGAAAGAATGTAAGTTTAACTTTTTATTGGGGGATTTGGAAAATAAAAAGAACAATTGCAGAGTTCAAGGAAAATATTCGGGAGGAGATAAATTCACATTCACTCAAGCGCTGGTATTTTTCCTCTGCACGGCTAACACGATTTTTGCCTATATTTTCCGGCGGAAAACCGATATTGATAATGTTCCAACAAAGTGAGTTTTTTCAACAAAAAAAATTTGAAAAATCAAAATGAAAGAAGTGATTCCGGGTCGAAATTTTGATGAAAATACTAATTTTACCATGTTTTAAACGGCTCGGAGTCAAAAATTATTAGAAAATAGTTGTGTGTAGCTCGAAAACGGTTTTTTTCTGATAAAATGAAAAAAAAAAAGTTGAAAAAAAAAATTGAAAGCTAAAAATCCTCAGAAAATTATAATTTTCTAGAATGTATGCCGCATGTGCTGGAAGTTATTTAGCAGCAATGATGTTCAGTAATCAAGCTTTATTATATCTCCCATATCCAACTCAAGTTCTCGCAAAATCCTGCAAACCCATCCCAGTTATGCTTTTCGGTGTTCTTTTTGCCCATAAAAGCTACAGTTGGAGAAAATATTGTTATGTTCTTCTGATCGTCGCCGGTGTTGCTCTTTTCCTTTACAAAGACAAAAAATCCGAAGAAAACAAGGATTTCGGATATGGAGAGATTCTTTTGGCACTTTCATTGATTATGGATGGAACAACAACTTCAATTCAAGATCGAATTAATCGAAGTTATCGAAGAACTTCGCTTTCTCTCATGTTTTATATCAATTTATATTCTAGTCTTTATCTTTCTGCGGGGTAAGCAACAAATATTATCGCTGACTATTTTACAACTTTATTTTTATTTCAGTCTTATCTTTACTGGTGAACTCTACTCGTTCTTTTATTTCGTTCAAAAACATCATCATGTTCTTTGGGATCTCGTATTTTTAGCGCTTTCTTCTTGCGGTGGACAATATTTCATTTTCAAAACTATTGCTGAATTTTCACCATTGACCTGTTCAATTGTGACAACTACTAGAAAATTATTCACAATTATCATTTCGGTAATTTAGAAAATAATTAGTGAATTTAAAAAAAACCAAAATTAAATTTCAGGTAATTTTCATGAATCATCCACTATCTTCTCGTCAAACTTTGGCTACTGGAATAGTTTTCGCCGGTTTGACAATGGATGCTGTTGATGGAAAATTACAAGCAGCTTCGAAACGAAAAATCGAACCAACTGAAAAAGTACCATTGAAGGGACAATGACTAAATGTGTGATTTTTTGTTGAATAGAGAGAGAGTTAATTATTTATTGCATTTTTCATTGGCTTTAATTAATCAGCCAAAAAACATATTTTGGGCCTAAAAACTTGTGATTTTTCTATTTCAGATTACTTTTTAGGGTTTTATCAATTAATATATTTTTCTAATAAATATTTATGAATGTCGAGATTGTTAGCGCAGAAATTCAAAAATCAAGGATTCGGCGCAAAAAAAGAAAAAAATTGTGGTTCGAGAGCATGTGCGCTCTGATGAACATAACGCGCCCTTTTGAATTTCCCTCCCTTCGAAATTTTATTTTTTTTTGTTTTTGTGAGTTTTTTCGTCTGTCATTTGATAAGTATGTTTTTTGGAGTTCCGTAGCTTTCCCCAATCGCATTGTTTTTTACTAATTCTGATTCTGCAAATCATTTATTTAGTTTTACAGCTGTTGTTGCCTTGGTAACCAACAATTTTTAATGAGTTCGCGAATTTATCCAATTCCACATTATATAATTCCACGAAGATGTGAAGAAACTAACAGACAACAAAGAGATTTCAATGAGCGAATATTAGCGATTTTCGAAGAAACCAGAGCTGGAGATTTTGCCGAACTTTTGAAGGAAACTGAACAATTCTCGATTTTATTGAAAGAAAATTCCAAAGATAATTTTATATCAATGCTCAAACTTCATTCGATTCTACAAAAATCTGCAAAATGTATTAAAGATATGTTTCCATTGGATATGGTTAAAATGCTGATAGCAATGACAAATTTCAATAACACGATGGATATTAATTTGATTGAAGAAATAATTAAAATCTATGTTCATTGTGAAAATCTTTATATCAAACTACTGCCATACGCAGAAAATAACAAAGAGATTTCAACTTATGTAAGTTACTTCTATTATGTTTTCAACAAAAACAAAGATTCAAAATTTAATTTCTAATTTTGTTTAGCAACTCCAAGAGTTCATCACCGCCAATTATATTCCTTTGATGAAAAAGAAGCCGGAAAAGTCTGAATATTATTCAGCGTATATTGTTGGAATTATGTTTTTCATCTTGGACGCGAGAAGAAAAGATTTCGCATTGATTCAGGATTTATTAACATCCACTTTGTTTTTCCATTTGGAAAGTTGCATTTTGTATGAAAATGAGGAAACCGATGAAGAACCACCGATTGAATTGTTAGTTTGAATAATTTTTGTTGAAAATTTTGAAAAATGAAAGAGGATTTTCAGTTTGTCACTGCGATTTTTTGAAAAAGCATTGAGAGAATTTAGAAGTTTGGATGTTGATCGAAATGGAGTATTGTCAGAATCAGAAATGCTAGTTTTTGGAGGGTAAGTAACTTTTTGAATTCATTAATGAAAACTAGATGAGGCGTACCGTTTCAAAAATCGTCTAGAAATAAAAATTTGAAGTTCCAAAAAGTTCTACTAGGAATTCCCGACAATTTTGACTCTTCATTTGATTCCTAACTTTAGCTTGACATTTTTCCAGTTCCTACTTCAACTCGATTTTCATCAAAAGAATATTCGAAATTTCGCAAACCTATGAGAAGGGTTCTTTGGATTTCAAAGGATTTGTTGATCTAATCAGCGCTATTGAATTCAGACATGTAAGTTCTATTTACATTTTCCCTTTGAAATTCAATTCTTCATTGACAATTTTAGACTCGCGCATCTGCAAAATATCACTTTGAAGCGTTTGATCTTAAAAACGACGGAGTTCTTGATGAACAAGAAATTCGAGAATTAGTGAGTCATATTTTTCTTCAAATGAAATATTCGCTGATTTTCAGTGCTTGATGTTGCCTGAATGTATTCCCGAAGAAGGTGTTGCAAGTCCTGATGTTTTGGTCTACGAAATTATGGATATGATAAAAACCAAGAAATTGTAAGGATCTTGATTTTCTCGAAAAATGTAAGAATGTTTTAAATTTCAGTTTGACATTGGAGGATGTGATATCCAGCAACATGTTTCCAACATTCACTGGATTTGTATCGAATTACAATGACTGGAACAGATATGAAAAGAGGGAACAATAATAATTTTTTTGAATATTTTATTATTTTTATGTATAAATTGGGTTTCTGTACTTGTTTTCTTTTGAAAAATTTAGATTTCTCTCTCCAAAACGCTCTAAAAATCGCTCCAAAAACGACCCATTTCAAATTCCCTCCCCGTTTTCAATGGAGCGCACATGCTGCCTGGCCACCCTGCATCAAACAAAAAAATGCTGCCCACTCGTCTGTCCTTCTCATTTTCACACACTCTCTCGCCACCCGCGACGCGTTGTGTCAAGCGTTGCGTAATCTCATTCGTTTCAAAATTTTGCCGCGCACACTATTTTTTGAATGTGTTTGTGTTGGGTGACCGTTCTTCGTGGCGCTTTCTTGATGAGAAAAATTTTGGGGTTTTTTCCCAATATTTTTTCAAAGCTTTGTGAAATTTGGGACGGTTCCTGGCAAATTTTTTTCGAAAATTATTTCGCAATCCTAATCTGATTTTGTAGTCAAAAATACAATTTTGAATATCCTAGCAACGAAAGAACACTTGAAATTGATACCTCTGATTTTCTAAATTCAGAAAAATGCTCCCTGAGCTGTGAGAAATTAGAGAACATTCAAATTTCATAGGGACGAGGAAAACACCTCTCTAGTCCCTCTTTTTATGCTCACCGAGCATTTTTCTGAATTTTGAAAGTGACAACTATTTTTCTAGTTTTATGATTTTCCTCCACTGCCGGAAGCTATTCAAATTATGAATTTGTTAAAAATTTAGTTACAGCAACTTTCGCAAATCTCTAATTAATTAATTTTTATTAATATATATTCTCAAGTTTCTAAAAAGTCTTTTACAGATAGCTCAGACGAACTTGTAAACCAAAACAAAGTTCGAACTGAATCATGCCGGCCGCTGTGACTCCGGTCGCCGCCGGCAGAGCAATCTCAACAAGAGCCAGAAAATCATCGAGAGTTGATGAACCATCGACTTCAACAGCTGGAGAAGATGAATCAGAAACGGGTACAGAAGTAGAAATATCGAAACGGGATGAATTGAGAGCTTTGCTCATTGGACGACTTTTTGCTATTATGCGAGAGCAAAGAGATAAAACGTAAGTTAACTTGTGATTGACAAAAATTATTGCCGTGATGCAACTCACACTTTTCAAAACATAATTTAGGAAATGAGCCATGCATGATTTCAATAATTTTTTATTAGAAATGCATTGCTTCCTAATTTTTTGAAAAAATAATTTTATAGCGTGAACTAAAAAATTGTATACGTGTATAACCAGGTGAACATTTCAAAATTGCATTTTGATTTTTTTCCAGAGAAGCCACAATTCATCCTCGCGAAGTTTCCGTGGAAGAAGTTGTAACTGAAAATGATTTGAAGTTGGCACCAATAAATGATCACATTCTGCAAATGGAGCAGACTTCTTGTGGAATGACACTTGAAGATATGCTGAAAGATGCGAAATATGCAACATATTCAGCAACTTCGATGAATATTAATGAAGTCGAAAAAGATATTCGAAAAGGTAAATTTTAATAAAACAAAAGCTTCAAATTGGATCAATAAATATATAATTTTTCAGTCGGATCGAATCGAACATTAGAACCGATTGAAGTGAAAATCGAAGATTCGGATTTGTTAACAACTGCATCAAGTTCAGTTTTACCCTCAGCGTCACAGGAAACAAATGTGGAAAGAGCTGCGAAAAGAGAAGCACATGTTCTCAGCAGAATTGCAGAACTTCGTCGATCTGGTCTTTGGTCAAACAGTCGACTGCCTAAATGTGTTGAACCAGAAAGAAATAAAACACATTGGGACTATGTTTTGGAAGAAGTCAAATGGATGGCTGTTGATTTCCACAAAGAGACAAAAACCAAAATGATTGTCGCGAAAAAACTTGCGCAACAAATCGCTCGAATTCATCGAGAAAAAGAGATTGAAGTTGAAAAAGCTGTTGAAAGAGAACTTCGAGAGAAAAAGAAATTGTGTGCGAATGTTGCTAAAATGGTCAGGGATTTCTGGCAAGGTGTTGATAAAGTTGTTGATATTCGAGCAAAGGAGATTTTGGAGGCAAGAGTAAGGAAGGCAAGAAATGATCATTTGATGTTTGTTATTGGACAAGTTAATGAAATGAGTAATATTGTGCAAGAAGGACTTGTTTCATCAAAATCACCATCAATATCAAGTCGAGGTAACGAATTCATATAATTTGAAAAAAATAACATTTTCCCAGTATTTTTGACATTTCCTAAATCGAATAATATTTTAAACCTTTTCAACCTTAATTGGAAAACTTCAAAGTTTTAGTGTTTTTTTTCAAACGTGAACTGGCAGTTTTGCAACCCTCCAAAATATTCAAATATTTTTCAGCTGATGATGATAAAGAATTCGACGCTGGAGATGAATCAGAATCAGATGATGAAAGAACCATCGCAAATGCTGAAAAATCACTGAAAACTGAAGAAGTTAAAGATGAAGTTGATGCATTGAACACTGAAGCAAACGCTGGAATGGATGATTTTTTGGCATCACTTCCTCCAGAATATTTAGCTGCTTATGGATTAACAAAAGATGATCTTGATGATATAAGAAAAGAAAATAATATGACAGCAAAAGTTGAGGAAATAAATGAGGAAGAAGAAGATATGGAAGTGACAGGTGATGGTGAAAAAGAAGATGGAGAAATGGAGGCTGGAACATCTGCTGAAGATGAAACTGGAAAGAAAGATAATGAAAAGAGTCAAGATGTTTCGGCTGAAGATGGAAATGGAGATGGAAGAGGGGTTTTGGAGAATGTTGATTATTTGAAATTGAAGAGTGTGAACAGTGATGAAAGACAGGAAGAACTTGCGCATATTGCAGAAGAAGCTTTGAAATTCCAACCAAAAGGATATACACTTGAAACAACACAAGTTAAAACACCAGTTCCATTTTTGATAAAAGGACAATTACGTGAATATCAAATGGTTGGTTTGGATTGGATGGTTACTCTTTATGAGAAGAATTTGAATGGAATTCTTGCCGATGAAATGGGATTGGGAAAAACGATTCAAACAATTTCATTGTTGGCACATTTGGCGTGTAGCGAATCGATTTGGGGACCACATTTGATTGTTGTTCCGACGTCGGTTATTTTGAATTGGGAAATGGAATTCAAAAAATGGTGTCCGGCTTTGAAGATATTGACGTATTTTGGAAGTGCGAAAGATCGAGCAGAAAAACGGAAAGGATGGACGAAACCGAATGCTTTTCATGTTTGTATCACTTCTTATAAAACTGTTACACAGGATATTCGATCATTCAAACAAAGGGTACGTTGAAAGTTTTATTTTTAAAATATCAACAATTCCAATATTTTGGATTTTAAAAGCATCTGTTTTTTTCCAGGCTTGGCAATATCTGATTCTTGACGAGGCCCAAAACATAAAAAATTGGAAATCTCAAAGATGGCAAGCTCTTTTAAATGTTCGAGCCAGAAGACGACTTCTTCTAACTGGAACTCCTCTTCAAAATTCACTAATGGAACTCTGGTCTTTGATGCATTTTCTTATGCCAACAATTTTCTCATCTCATGATGATTTCAAAGATTGGTTTAGCACACCAATGACTGGAATGATGGAAGGAAATATTGAATATGATGGACCACTTATTCAACGACTTCATAAAGTATTGAGACCATTTATTTTGAGAAGATTGAAAAAAGAAGTGGAAAAACAATTGCCGGAGAAAACAGAACATGTTGTGAAATGTGCACTTTCGAAAAGACAACGATATTTGTATGATGATTTTATGAGTAGAAGATCGACAAAAGAGAATTTAAAGTCTGGAAATATGATGTCGGTTTTGAATATTGTTATGCAACTCAGAAAATGTTGCAATCATCCAAATCTTTTCGAACAAAGACCCGTTGTTTCGCCATTTGTTGTTCCGAAAGCTCAACTCGATTTACCTGCAAAATTATTCGGAATTCAAGAACGAGAAGATGAGAGAGTACCGGCGATTTTTGATTTGACACAAAGAGTTGGAGTTTGGCAAACAAGTTGTGAAACACAGAAAAAACCGTTGATTGAAGAAATTGAAAATAGTGAGCAAGTTATTGATGAAACGAATTTGAGACCACCGATTGTTGAAGGATTTCGATTCAGTAGAAGTGGTTATGTTAGTTTGGTAAGTTTTTTTTGAATTAAAAAAAAGCACTGGGTTGATTTCATCATTAATTAAGTTAGAAAATACCAGGAAAGGAACTTTCAGAAAACCTCCGAAATTACCCTCAAAAATTCCCCTTATATTTATGTTCAATTCCAATTTTCCAGCCAACTCATGATAATGCTCCTTCTGATATTCAAGAATCAAATAATTCCGAAGAAGAAGTCAAAACGAATGGGAGAATTGATATTCCGTCTTCATCATCATCATCCCAAAATCCATCACAAAATCGTCAAATTGCTCATATTCGTACACGAACTGTTGTAAACACTGCTCCACTTACAATTGCAACTGAAAGATGTGGTTTTAATTATACGATGGCAAACAGCGGAAGTCGGCAAATTCTTGATCAAAATGCTCGATTCAGTCCGCCACTCAAAAAACCGAAACTAACCGGTTCAGCTCTCAATTTCTCTGATTATGTTCCTGATCGTGTTATTGAAAGAATAGATGCGGCAAGAAGATTGCAATTGGAAATTTTGAGAAGAAGATGCGGAAAATTCAGCATTCCTATTTTGTCAAATGAATTGATTGGTTTATTGAGATCGGAAATTGGAATTGATTCGAAAACGAAAAGAGATGAAAAAGTTCGAATTTTGTTGAATGATTATATTGAGATGTTGGGAAATAGGTTAGTCATTTCATAAAGGAGGATTGGACGCTTTTTTTTAATAATTAATCATTACATTTTTTTAGATTTGGAATGTATGTTGAACCTGTTTTGAGTGATGCTTGGCAATGTCGACCTTCATCTTCTGGACTTCCATCTTATATTCGAAATAATCTTGTGAATGTCGAAACTTGTTCTCGAACTCTTCTTCTTGAATCACAACCCAATTTAGACGAGCAAATGATTCTTTCTCGACGTCTTCAATTCCCTGAACTTCGTCTCATCGAATATGATTGTGGAAAATTGCAAACTCTTGCGATTCTTCTCCGTCAATTATATGTTCATAAACATCGTTGTTTGATTTTCACTCAAATGTCAAAAATGTTGGATGTTCTTCAAACATTTTTATCTCATCACGGATATCAATATTTCCGATTGGATGGTTCGACTGGAGTTGAACAAAGGCAAGCAATGATGGAACGGTTTAATGCGGATCCAAAGGTTTTTTGCTTTATTCTTTCGACGCGGTCTGGTGGAGTTGGTATTAATTTGACTGGAGCGGATACTGTTATTTTCTATGATTCGGATTGGAATCCGACAATGGATGCACAAGCACAAGATAGATGTCATAGAGTTAGTTTTTTTTTCAATTTTAAATTTGGACAGTTGGTAAAAATTTGTTTTTTCCAGATTGGTCAAACCAGAAATGTATCAATTTATCGATTGATTAGCGAGCGAACCATTGAAGAAAACATTTTGAAAAAAGCGATGCAAAAACGAAGATTGGGTGAATTGGCTATTGATGAAGCTGGTTTCACACCAGACTTTTTTCAAGCAATCGGATAATATCCGGTGAGTTTTTTCTTCTTTTCCAGCATTTCCGTAACCCCTTTATTTTCAGTGATTTGTTTGATGGTGAAGATGTTGATATTGGAGCACCGGCTGATGTTCCAACAAACGAAAAAGAAATGGAAAAAGCATTGGCAAAATGTGAAGACGAAGCTGATGTAAATGCTGCGAAACTCGCAAAAGCTGAAGCTCGTGTTGATGTTGCTGAATTTGATGAATCGGCAAAATTAGTGACTAGTAATTTGGCTGCTCCACCGGGAGATGAAGAAGCTGATGATAAATATATGGAATTGATTAGCCAGTTGAAACCGATTGAAAGATATGCTATTAATTTCTTGGAAGAAGAATATAAACCAGAGTTTGAGGAAGAAGTTAAAGAGGCTGAGGTTAGTTGGAATTTTTGGCGAGTAAATATTCTCGGATATTTTGCTGCATAAGGTGCAGCTACAGTAATGAGACCTACAGTAATTTTTGAAATTTGCACTACAAAAAAATAATTTTTCAGGCAATGATCGAACAAAAACGCGAGGAATGGAATGAAAAAATGAACGAATCATCGCAATCCGAAGAAGACTTGAAAAACATCGAAAACGACGACAACGAGATTTTCGGCGAAGACTTCTATTTAGGCGGCCCCAATTTGCTAGATGAGGTTAGAAAAAATAGACGTAGTAGTAATAATGTAGGGCCCACCAAAAAACCACCAACAAAAATGCCGATTTCCCAAATTAAATCTCGTTCTCCCTCAAAACGTAAGACAATAACACGTTCCCTAAATCCTTATATATCCTCTGCTCATCATGCTTATGGTTCTCCGCCTCCATCTCCAATCAAGAAAAAACGAATTATTCGAAAATTTGTGGAGACAAAACAGGAAAAGGAGAAGGAAAGAGAGAAAACACCTCCGCCACCAAAAATTGTGACGCCAAAAGTTGTTGCGCCAAAACCAACAACATCTTCTTCTTCTACTTCTACTGTAGCACCTAAAATAGTGCCGAAGAAAGTTCGGATAATTGAGCCTGTAAAAGTTCATTTGGACACAAAACCAGTTCCAATTCGACATCTTCCACAACCACGTCCACAAATTCCACAAATTCCACAAAGAAGTCAAATTGTTTCACCAAGAATTGCGCCACGAATCCAACCAATAATCTCTGGAGGTTCACCACAACGAAGACTTGTTGTTGTGTCGGGATCAATGAAATTGACAACATCACATCAATCACCAACACTTTTACCAGTTCGTGTTGTTCCACGTGTTGTTGTTCAACCGACTTCTTCTTCTTCTTCTTCGTCTAATTCGTTGCCACGTGTCGCACCGCCTGGATTGGGAATATATCAGAGACCAAGATTGAGTTTGAGAGCAAGAGGAGGAAGTGAATCTGGAGGAGGCGGAGCTGGAGCTGGAGCAGATATGAGCCAAAAATGATTTTTTTCTACTTTGTCTAAGTTAGACAGTCTAACTCACTTTTATCATTTCATTTTCATGTTTCTCGAAAAGGGACCTTTTTATGGGAGAGGAGAGTATATTTTTAAAACATAAGGTTCCGAATCCTGAAAATTCAAAAAAAAAACGTTTCCATTTAAAAATTTCACCAATTATTATCCTTTTTCCCCCAAAAAAGGCTCCTTTTCATATTTTCATAGTAAATTCTTAAGCTTTAAAAGATCTACATTAGGTGTTCCCTAAACCAGTGTTTGTAAATATCCGGTTTATTCATTTTTTTTTCACACATTTCACATTTCAATTATTTTGCCTTTCTTGTTGTTAAATTTTGAACCAGTTTCTTTCTTTCTTTTATTTTTTTGGATAAATTTTTGTTTCCTTTTTTTCAATTTTTGCACATTGTTTTCTGTCCAATTCTCTCATCGAATTTTCTCCGGAAAAACGAGATGATTTGAACTGGATTAATACTTTTTCGGGGAACCATCCCATTCCGTTTCGTTTTTCGTCATTTTTGTTCCCCAATCCATATCCCCGGACAGCAATTATTTCTTCGAGAAGAGCGCGCCTGCCGCCGCCACTCCCCAAAAATTTGCTGATTCGGGGAGGGTTGGCGGTGGCGAAAACGGCGCGGTATGTGGTGTGGACTCTGTTTTGGTGTTATTCTGGTTCGAGAGATGCGGTGGAAAATATGGCAAAAATTGGAGAGGAAATGAAAAAAAGGTGAGATTCTTTGAAAGATTTCAAATTTAAAAAAAAACATAAAATTCTCAAGCTTTGGCAATACCTTAGGACTCTGTAGCAGAAAAGTTTCGCTCCGCAATTTTTTCTAGAAAGTGGTCGAAATCTTTTTTAAAAATCTAATAGGGAACTTTTGTAAACTTGAAATTTTGGGAAAATTCCCTTTTTTGATACGAAAACTCAATTTTTGTTTTCCAGATTCTCGCAATTGGTTTCAATGATGAATATATGCCATCTTGGCTTCCACCATCTCCACCAATGTCTGATAATGAATTCGATTTGAAAATGGAAGATGATACTTTTGATCTAATTTATGAAATTGATCCAATGAATGAAGCAAGATTACCATCACATATTGAAGAATTAAGAAGACCATTGAGAGAAAAGCAAAAACAAAATGAAGATGTTATGTTGGGTATGTTACTTTTTATTGATTTATTGATGACGAAGGATAGATGGTCTAACTTCTCTGACACAGAAAGTCAAAATAATTTCCCAACTGATTTTAATTATGAGAAATGTAATTTTACTATTTTAGGTTCAAATATCATCAATAATAAGGATAAGGACTTATTACATGATTTTTCGAAAAGACTTGGTTTCCCTTCAAATTCTTCGAATTCTGCAAATGCTGCTGCTTCATCACCTGGATATTCAGAAAATTCATTTTCAATGGATGACAGTAGTCAAGAATCAAAACCCGATGTTTTTGCATCTCGAATGGCTGCTTTATCTGGACAACAAACACAACAACAGAAACAGGCGAAAAAACGAACAAATAAATCGCATAGAAGTTCGGAAGTTGATGCACTTCGATCTTTTACACCTCCACCTGCGATAAAAGAAGAAATTGATTATGATGGAGCTGAATGGAGTTTGGTTGAAGATTATACACTTTTACAAGCTGTTCAAAATGAGATAGCAAATCTTCATGAATTTGAAACACCGAGAAAAAATGAGGGAATGGTATTCAATTGGGAATATGTTGCAATAAGTGTGAATAAAGTGACAAGATTCTATCGATCTGCAAGACAATGTTCAATTCGATATCAAATGTATGTGAGACCAAAAGAATCGGGTGTTATGTATGCTTGTGATCCGGTGACTAAAAATCGAATGAAAATTGAAATGGGACCGGCAGAAGTTGGTGAGTTATTTGAAGTTTGGGGTCATTTTTTGATTCGAAATGAGAATTTCAAAATTTCGGAGAAAAATCAAAATTTCAGTTCAGAATTCAATTTCAAATCCAATCATTTCAGCTCACATTCGAAAAGGCCGTGCAAAAACCGAAAGTCAATATCAACATGAAGGTGGCTCGATTATGGATAAAAAACACCTCAATCGCTTCAAAGCTGTCAAAACTTTGGCTGACAAAAAACCAGCAATATTCTGGAGAGGACCGAAAGAATTGAGAAAAATCGAGGCGTTGGAAAATCGGCTCCCACTCAAACACGAAACAAAGTTACGCGAATTCGATGTGAAAGTTGGCACACTTTCGGATGCTGAACAGATTTCGACAATTGAAGAGGATAAAATGGTGACAAATGAACCGAAAAAGAAGGTTGGAATTATTGATCGAAGTCGAGCAAATTCACCGCCTCCAAGAAGAAATATATTGTTATTGAGACCACATGCAATGCCTGTTTCAAAGAATAAGGAATTATTGCCTGTTCGAAGTAATATGACAATTGAAGTTCCACAATTAAGAGATCCACAATTACATATTGCACAACAACAACAGCAATTACAACAACAGCAAAATCAGCAGCCAACAAGAATACCACATGTTATACCTTCTATGGATCATTCTTCACAATCACAAATAATTCAATCTCAACAACATCCACAACATCCACAAAGAAGAATTGCACAAACACATTATATTCAACAAACACAAGGCAATTATGTTATGGTGAATAGTCAGAATTCTGAACAAACTGTTCAATCTGTTGTTCAACAACAACATCTTCAACAACAGCAACAACAATCACAAAATGTGCAGCAACAGCAACAACAACCACAAATGCAACCACAACAAAGAATGACACAATATGTGACACCGCAACAGATTCAATCGCAACGTGGATTACCGATGTATACTTCGTCGCCGCAAGTTGTTGTAACTCGAGGAGCACCGAGGGTTATGAGAGTGAGTTTTTTTTTTGAATTGGAAACGGGTTGCGAAAAATCCTAGAAACAAAGAATCCGAACATACATAAAATGGGTCCCCAGCATACATCAGTTTCTCCCGGTCAGGGCTTCAAAATTAGCCACCCCCGAAATGTGAAAATACAAAAATTAGCCAGACCCCCTCAAAAAATAGAGAGAAAAACTTGGTTTTTGGGGTGTAAATTGTTATTTTTTCAAATAGTTAGCCGCTCCCCACCCCTTTTTTCCAAAGTTAGCCAGGCCCCTCCGGACGAAAATCCGGGGATACTGATGTATGGTCCCCAGAATCGGGGTGAGGGGCTTAACTTTTTTCAAAAATCTGAAGGGAAAGGTGCCTAACTTGGTCAATTTTCTGCTGATAATTTACAAAAATTCCCAGATTTGTCCAAAATTCGCTCAAAAATGTGAGGAAGGTGTTTAACTTTGGAAAATATTCAAGGAGGGACCTTAACTTTGAAAACTGACTCGGGGGACCTATTTTATGTATGAATCCGAAAATAATCTAAAAAGTATTTACCCATTAAAAAATAACTTTTTTTTTCGAAAAATTGCATTTTCAATAAAAATTCAGATTTAAAAGTTAAGGTAAAGGTAAAGGTAGATCCGTATTCGAGCGCCTATTAGGACACTGCGGATCAGACGATTCGGACACGGAGTACGGGTGGTGTACGTCTATAGGCCATTTTGGAGAATTTAAGTCACCCTGTTGCCGCAGGGGACCGATTTACCTTGCGTAGCGAACTACTACCCACTTACGACTGGGTGGATCGAGGAGGAGCGGGCACCGGGGATCGAACCCGTGACCCTGAGATCGCCAGCAGCCAACCACTACCACTGAGCTACCTCATCCCAATTTTCACTCAAAATCCCTTCAATCTTCCATTTTTCAGGGAGGCGGAACAAGTCGAATGTATTTGCAACAAACCACAGCTGGTGGCCAATCATATGTAATGACAAATCATACTCAACCAGTTCGAGTTATGCCAGCAACACAACGAGTCATTCATACACAAGGAACAATGGGTGGACAACGAAGAACACAACCACCACAACCTGGAACTGTTGCATCAATGATTATGCCTGGAAGAGGTGGTGGAGTTGCACAAATGAGAACTATACAGTAAGAATTTTTTGGAAAAACTTTGGAAAATAATGAGTTCTAAATATTTTTTACTGTTTCAAAAGTTTCGTATCTGCTCAGGTTTTTGATGATAAAATTACGCTATATTTTCCCATAGAAAAAAATTCAAAAAATAAAGTTTAACTCATAATAACAACCCCTAACCAAATTCCATTTTCCAGACGTTCCTATCCAGCTCAACGCATCAATCTTGTCGTTCAAAATCAGCAACAACAAATGCGACAAGCTCCCGGCACAACAACTCATTTAATAACAACAACTGGACCTGGTGGACCAACTGTGAAAAGACAACTTGTTACTGGAAGACCGTTGCCAACATTGGGAAGACCTGTTGAACAAGTTGTAGTTCATCAGCAAATGCAACATCAACAACAAGTTCAAGTTCAGCAACAACAATCTTCATCTTCTCAAGGACTTCCTCCAACTTCTTCCTCTTCCTCCCAATCTCAACCAGTTGCTCAAGTTGTATTAGCTCCGCCAACTTCTTCTACTAATTCTCATGTACAATCTCAACCACCTCAACGTCCTCCTCCTCCTCCTCAACAGCAACCGCAGCAACAGTCAAACGACACTCCGTCGATTCCACCGCCGCCACCCCAATCATAGTTAAAACGTGTGTATTTTATAAGCTTTGACTTTTCTTCTTTTTTTTGAATTCTCTGCCGGTTCAGATTTTTTTAATTGTTATTTTTTGTTGGAACCTATGAATAAATTTCACATATTTTTAATTATTTTATTTTCGGAATGAACAGGACAATTTTATGGGCGTGGCTTCGTAAAGATCACAGGGTTTTTTGTGAGACGAGAGAAAAGAGAGACTGTGAAAAAAAAAACATGGTAAGTACAGAAAAATGCCTAACAATAAGCTGACTGAAAAAAAACAAGAAAATAGCTATTTATTTTTTATTTATTTGATTACCAGTAGAATATAAAATTTGTGAAGAAAATCTGAAAAATGTTATTTTGAATTTCAAAATTTTTTCGAAAAGAAAACTCACTTGTTATTTTTATTTTTACAAATCCAATTGATGTACACGAATCGAGTCACCAACAGCAACAACAACAGCTGAATTGCCAGCTTTTCCACCCCAAGAATCCGAATAAACGACACGTGGAAAATCGATTTGTTGAAAGGTTTCGGGGCGAGGAGATCGAATTGAGCACAGCATATCACCAGACATCAGAGACCAACCGCGAGTTACACCATCATCGCCAACTGCAAAAAATATATAGGTGATTTTTGAATGGGAGGGGTTGAATTAGATTTTTTGAAACATTTTAATATATTGAAAATTAACTTGGAAACAGAAGAGTTCAATTAAAATTTTTCATTTTTTTTTCACTTTTTCATTTCCAAATCTTATTTTTCGATTACTTTCAAATTAATTTTTGTCATTTTTTAGAGTTAATTTATAAAGATTGGATGAAAACCTAGTTCTTTAACAGTTGAATTTTCAAACCAGAAATTTCAATAATAATTGAAACAGTGAGAAAAAACATGAAAATTGATTTTTTTTTTCTAACCGAGTTGCGAGCGGGAATTTATCTGCTCCTAACCAATTTCCAAACCACTAAAAAACTTACCAGCAAAGAAGAATCGCTCCTTCGGATCAACAAAACACGACATTCGATAATGTTGATTTCGATGTCCTTTGAATGATAAAAGCGGACGATTTGTGAAACGAAGATCCCATAATCCAGCCTGCAATAATCATTTAATTTTCAATTTCAATCTAAAATTAAAAAATAAAATAAAACTAACCCGATTATCAAAACCTTCAGCAACAAAACAATCAGGATGTGCTGTTTTCAACATTTTAACAAACGACGTCGATCTTGTTCCTCTCAATGATCCAGTAATATGATGACTTCTCAATCGCAAATCAGATCTTATCAAATCATCGCTTCTCAATCCCATTATCACCAAATTTCCATCTGCAGAATAATCATGTGAAATGACATTTTTCTTTTTGCTCGAAATACTAAATCCTTTATCCGCAACAATATCATGAATCCGAAAATGATCCTCCAAACCAAAACTGACTCCCATCATTTTTTCGTTGAATCCAAGACTCCAAATTTGGCCGGTGTTTCGCCAGCGAGTATTATAAATTGGGCATGATTTAGATAATGTGCTGAATAGGCTGCAAAAAAATAAATGGTGAAATTTATGGGGGAAACTTGTTGGATTATTTCAAAAATCCTATTCCAAAGTTACAAAGAGTTCCGAAGCCTAACTTCTCTAAATTTTCCAATTTCAAAAAAAAATACGCACCAGTTTGGATTACTAATATCAACAAGTGGATTAGCATGAAAATTTGATTGTGAAGTAACAGCATTCGTTATTGGATCCATTATATCTTGTGCTGTCACAGTCAACAAACAAGTCACATCTTTGTCTATTTTTGCAAGCGTTTGATCGACAATGAAATCTTCAAATTGAAATGCTGCATAATTTCTATTATTATGGTTGATTCTTTGAGTATTTACAGGTTGGATGACGAGACCTACAAATATAATACAGTTTAAGGTGTAGGAGATGGTTCAGACATTTTTGTACCAAAAACTCATTCACGAGGTCCCGGAATGAACTTTTGATAAAAAATAGTGAAATTTACTGAATCGACCACACAAATCACGGTCCTGAAGTCAAAAATTGGTCGTTTCAAAAGCTGACTCCGGGACCTCATGCATGAATTTCCCTTGTGAGAAGTTTTTAACGCTTTCAAAAATTTCCTGTTTTCCCACCAAGAAAAAATCAAAACTCGAAAATTCCCTTACTCTTCGTTTTTTTCTCTTATCAAAAAATATGTGTAAAAACAACTGATAACAAAAAAAAACACATGACCCTTCTCTTTTCAAAAAACACGAACCCATTGTATTATAGCCATTCGAATTGCAATCTCCTCTTGATTTCTTTCGACATTCTTCGCTGAAAAATGAACAAAATAAATGGATTTCAATTAAATCTAAATAAAATAGTATAATAAATAAGCTTACTCTGCCAATTTTTCATTTGTATCCACGTTGAACACATAAACCGATGAATATTGTCGTTTCGACATTCCACTGTATGGATCGCCGATTGGAAAACTGCCTGAAAAAAAGAGAAATCGAGGTGATTATTAGAAAGAAGATGAGGAATATACCAATTATCCGATTTCCTTCTTCATTGACTTCAAGAAACTCGCAACCAATCACATCTCCAGATTCTTTGATGGGATTCTGGAAAAATACGAGGTTTTAAAAATTGAAACAAGGTTCGAAATAAGATATCCCGTGGCAAATTGCAGAATTTTTGGGTGCTTTCGGGTTATCCAGCTCAAAAAATCCGGCCAACTCTGCCACGCGATCTTCCCTCTACCCGCAGAATCATATCTCAACTCACTTTCAATACGAAACTTGGTCTTGGTGTATGATTCAATAATCGCATCTCATCGATTTGACGTTGAATTTGAGGAATACGAGACCCACCGAGTTCCAGACCTAAAAACCAATCATAATTCAATTTTTCTCATCTCAAATCAAATGTTGTCTAACCTGCCATCAAACTATGCATCGGTTTGATAACCGGTCGTTGTATAAACGATCCAGAAATGAATCTCGGTCGATTTGTGGCGAATTTCTCATCTCGTTGTTGATTCCTTCGCTCCTGCACACTATTTGCATTGAATGAGGCGCCATTCCGAATTCCCGAAAGTTCATTCGTCATTTTGAAGTATTTTTTGGTTTTTGGATAATACAGATAACCGCGCATATTCATCGGGCCACCTTCATAAGCTCCATCCGCGTTTGGATCAGGCCTTTTTGGATGTCGTCGAGAGGCGGATGTGGTCCATTCATTGATTTCATCATTTCTATCGGGGATAATCTCTGAAACTCAATGATTTTGATAATTTCTCTTTGTAGAGAAAGCTAAAAAACAAACCATTATAAGGTGGTGGTCTCCATGAAGTGTTCATATTAAACTGTCTATCAACTATTGCAGATGGCATTCTTATCTAACCTGAAAATCATTCACATTTCATATATGTGTCTATCTAATAATAACAACGACAAATAGTAATATTAAATGAGACAAAAAATCAAGTGAAAATTCGATATTTGGACTGCAACAACACAAAAAACAACGGCAGTCATGCGACATAATATTTTTCAAGACAATTTCTTGTCTCGTCGTCTGCCGGCTCTCTTGTTTTACTATTGTCTCTCAACAATATGCCATTCGGTGCATGTTTTCGTCAAAGTGTTGGCAGACAAGAGGAAAATAACGAGGATACTCGATTTTCGGAGTTTTGAATTAAAAATCCCGTGAAAAAGCAAAAAAATTAAAATTTGGCGCAAGCGGTGTTTGCACACATTTAAATTTCTACAGTAACCAAATTGAAAATAATTTAATAAATAATTATTGCACACCTATGGGGTGATTCAGGTCGAAAAAAAAATAATAAAAAAACATTTTTTAACAAAAAAATTCGATTCAGCAAATGTCAAAAAACTATATTTTTTCTCTATTTTTTGAAATTTTTTTCCACACAAAAATGAAAAATATCTCGCAGCGAAAATGTTGCAATGTAAAAAAATGTCAAAAAATAGGAAAAAAATATAGTTTTTTGACATTTGCTGAATTGAATTTTTTTGGTAAAAAATGTTTTTTTATTATTTTTTTTTCGACCTGAATCACCCCACTAGAAAACGAAAATTTATCATTTTTGCTCAAATAAAATATTGCGCATTCGTAGTTATTCAAAAAAAAATATCTTTTGAAATATTTAATACAGATGCAACATTATTTGTTTGACCACAATAAAATGGAGCTGAAAATATAGTGACAAGACGGCGATCAGCAAAAAATTCATAACCATCTTGAACAACTTGATGTGCGCGAACAATTAGATCAAGATCAAAATTTTTGCAAAAATCTTCAACAGCTTTTGCACCAAATATATTTGCAGCACCACGTGGCGATGCTCAACGAATGATTTATATCAATTTCAGTCTGAAATAATGTGTAATAACTTGAAAAAAATTTGTAAAACTGAAAGCTCTTTCAGAAAAAAAAACCTTCAACTTTGAAAAAATTGAAAATTTTCAGAAAAAATAAATTCAACGTGAACCTCTTGAAATGATTAATCATCGATTCGTGGCAACACGTCATTAAAAGCATGTTTGGAAAAAAATGCACAAAAATATTCAGTTTCTGTATTTTTCGAAATCGAATTCGGTGAATTCCTCCCAACTCCTTAAAAATGGGTGTCGATGAATGGGATAAAAATATGAAAGCGGCTGGATCGGATGATCAGAAAAAGGTATTTCGAATTTCAAAATTCCAAAAAAACATTCATAGATAACATTTTTTGCAGATCGATAAATGGTTGGAAAACATAATCTTCCGTTATTTCCATGTTTGGTCGCCAGTAAATTGTCAAGCAATGTTGAAAAGATATGAAATCTATGAACTTTGTTTGAGAGCTCGCGAATTTTTCTGGGAAAAACCATTATATCGACATGTTGAAGTACCAGTTAGTATTGTTGGTGATATTCATGGACAATTTGAAGATCTTAAAACAATATTTGATATGAATGGATGGCCATTTAGTGATGATGAAGCTAAAGAAATGTGTACTAATTGGATAATGAGAAATCGAAAAGATGAAAAAGATCCAAAAAAAGTCCAGTCAGTTTTTTTTGGTTTTGGTGAGGGAAGAAGGGAAGAAGTGTGAAAAGATTCATGAAGTCAAACTGTTTTCTCGCCCCAAAATTTCCGGGCTATTTTCATACCCATTGTTCAACTTTAAAATTCAACAAAATCATCAATATATATATTCCAGGCTTCCAAAAATCCTTGGTACTGGATCAGATCGTCAACCTGGTCCAAAATCATATTTATTTCTCGGTGATTATGTTGATCGTGGTCCATATTCAATGGAAGTTGTAATACTTTTATTTGCAATGCAATTACGATGGCCTGATAGAATAACACTTCTTCGAGGAAATCATGAATCTCGACCTGTAAATCGACAATATGGTTTTTATAATGAATGTGCGCGAAGATATAATGAGAGAATTTATGAAGTATTTCAATTAACTTTTAATACAATGCCATTAACAGCAATTGTAAATAAAAGAATAATGTGTATGCATGGAGGAATATCACAAGATTTATATGATTTGAAACAATTAGATCTTGTTAAACGACCAATCGATATTCCTGATGTTGGTATTTTAGCTGATTTAACATGGGCAGATCCAGAACCTGAAATTGATTTGTATCAAGAATCGCCACGTGGTGCTGCAAATATATTTGGTGCAAAAGCTGTTGAAGATTTTTGCAAAAATTTTGATCTTGATCTAATTGTTCGCGCACATCAAGTTGTTCAAGATGGTTATGAATTTTTTGCTGATCGCCGTCTTGTCACTATATTTTCAGCTCCATTTTATTGTGGTCAAACAAATAATGTTGCATCTGTATTAAATATTTCAAAAGATATGGTTGCATCGTTTATGTTAGTTCGACCAGTTACTGAATTAGATGGCAAAAATGTGGCTGAAGATGATGAATAGATTGATCGATTTACTTGCTTTTTTCGAAGATTCATTTATTTTTATTTGAATAACTACAAATGCGCAATATTTTATTTGAGCAAAAATGATAACTTTTCGTTTTTAGATGTGCAATAAAGTCATTTTGAAATTTTTCAGATCTTTTTCGACCAAACATTTAAAAAGTTCAAATTGTTCTTTTTCTTTCTGCGATCTATTTCGTTTTCAAATAAAAAATCCGAAAATATATTTGCGACTTCTGACAAAATAGATAATTAAAGCTACACATTTAGATGTTTATCTTATTTTCAAAAACACGGAGGAGATCTTGAAATAAAACCGAAATTGACATCATTCTTTTCTTTGAAGTTTTTCGGAATTATTCTTTGAAACATAAACCTACACAAAAATCATTTTTTGGCAGCTTTCCAATTTTTGAAACAGTTGCAATTGCTCTGTTAAAAAATAAATTTGAAATAATTTTTTGGGAATCCAGAAACCTGTATTTTGATGAACCGAATTGTTTTGAGAGCTTTTTGGATTCCGGAGGTCTTTTTATTCTCTAGAAATTTCAGATGAATTTTATTCTGTGCCGTCTTTCTGCCTTGCTCACAGAATAACCATGTGCCGTATTGTTTCCAACACAAACACATGGTCTCCGAACAACATTGTACAAAAAACATAAGTGTATCTTCTCTCATTTCTTCGCAGTTTAGTCGTTTATATCGGTCCAGATTTTTTGTAAATATTTGATCGTATCTTTTTTAGACACGGCTAGTCAGAAACTTTAAAAAACTCGATATGATCGTGGCATTCTCAATTTCGGTCAGAATTCAATTTGGGCATATGGAATAATTATATCTTCGGGAAAAACCTATTCGACATAGAAATGAAAGCAGATTCAATCAAGCAAAAAATAATTATTGAGTTTCGGGATCTAGAAAAATGGATACATTTTTTAGTCACCGAAAAACAATTGACCTGTAATACAATTCAATTATCTCAATGTTGTCCTTTTCTAAAGAGATTTTTTGTAGTGAAATTTCATACAATTCTTTTTCCGAGAAAACATTTTTAGATAAAAGAAGAAACTTCGAAGTTGTTCAACAACTTTTTCAATCCATCTGTATTTTATTTATTATTATTATTCCAGTATTGCTTGAAGAAACACAATACAATTTTCAAAATTCAATTTCCTCGCTTCCATTAATTATTCTCTAATTATTCCGATGCAAATTTTGATTATATTATTATTTATCTATATATTTCTCTTCTCAATTATTCCGGAATGAACCTAAATTCTCTCTCAAAACAATCTCCTCATTGATCAGCGGAGGATGCAGAATATTTCATCTACATCGATTTGTAGCAATTATAACCTACCAATTTTCGATTTTCTCCGCCCAATTGAGGCGAATTGAAACGATATTCAGTTCAATTGTGAAATCTTCGGTTTTCCAAACAAAAATAAGAATGTCGGCTACAAAATTATTGAATTTACAAGGAATTCGTGGAATTGCAATTATAGCAGTTTTAGGATTTCATTTCTTTCCAAATTATTTTCCAAATGGATATTTGGGAGTTGATCAGTAAGTTTAAATTGTTGAAAATAATTTGAGAAATTTGAAAATATAATTGCAGGTTCTTTGTGTTATCTGGATTTTTGATGTGTATGTTATTGACAAAAAATGAAAAATTACCAAAATTTGAAATGATATCAAATTTTTATATTCGTCGATTTAAAAGAATTTTACCATTATATCAATTAATAATATTTATTTCATTAATTGCATTATATTTAATATTTCCTGATACAACAATTGAAATTAATATAAATTCAGCAAAAAGAGCAATAATATTTATATCAAATCAATTGAAAACATTAGAAGATGATTATTTTGAAAAATTAAATATGGCAATTGATATATTTACACATACTTGGTCACTTTCTGTTGAAATTCAATTTTATTTAATTGTTCCATTTTTATTTTTATTACCATTTCGAATAATATCATTAACAATTATATCAATTATAAGTTTATTTTATTTTTATATTTTACCATCTGATATTGCTTTTCTCAATGTTTTTGCAAGAATTTGGCAATTTTTAATTGGTATGATTGCTTTTATTATTCATCAAAATATATCAACTGACAAATATCAATCAGTAAAAAATTCGGATGAATGTGAAAAACAACAATTATTATCAGAAGACGAAAAACACGAGAGTGAAGAAAAAGAAATTGAAACAGAATTATTAAAAATTGAAGCTACGAAAATTTCTGAAATTATTATCAGAATGGTGATCATAAAAATGATAATTGCTTTATTCTTTCCAAAATCCATAATGGAAATTGTTGCAAGGTGATCTCTTGTTTCGGAATGATTTTAAAAAAACTCAGAATAAATTTCCAGACCATCCATAACATTAATTACGGGTATAATTTTAATATTTTCAAAAGGAGATGATATATTATTATCAAATAAAATATTAACATATATTGGTGATATTTCATATTCATTATATTTAATACATTGGCCAATATCTTCATATTGTAAAATAACTGGAATGCCACATCATAATTGTATTACTGTATTTTTATTTGTTTCTCTTATTCTTTCAATTTTAATTTATCATAGTTTTGAGAAATGGTATACAAAACAATCAAATATTATTGTATTTATTATATCAATCATATTGTTATCATTGAACCTCGGAATATTATATCATGAATTATTAATACCAAAAGAATATGAAGGTTCAATAGAGAATATGAAAAAAATAATTGGTAATGGAACTTTGGAGGATTCTAATAGATTAAATCGTAAATGGACCTTAGATGATCTGAAAAATTTGGAATTTCAATGTGATAAAATCTTCGGATGGTGTTCATACACTGGTTTAAATCCAAATAATACACTTCGAATAATGTCATTTGGAAATAGTTGGGCAGATAATCATGCAAAATTAATGTATGAAGAATGTGGATCGAAAGTGAGAGAATTTATGAAAGGATCAATTAGTGGTTGGTTTATTTACCAATAGATAGAAAATATGAGCATAAATAAGGTCATTAAGGTTGCGAACCAATTTACAAATTTCCAACTCAATTCAAACAATGTCCAGAATTTTTGGAAGAAGTTGTACATCATTTGGATGAATATAAACCGGATTATGCATTCTACTTAACACGAGCAATTAATATTGGTACCAATTATACAGATGATTTCAAGAATGATCCAATTTATCAATCAATTTTGAATGAAACACGTCACTTGGTTGATAAAATCAAATATAAATTATTCATTGTGAATTCAATTCCATCAGTTAATATAACTAAGATTGCAAGCTTATCAGATGATATAAAAAACAATATACCGAGAGATGAAATTGATGTGAGTATAGGCAAATGTTTGTAAGCTTTGTATAATCAAATTAAGAAATTCCAGAGAAAATTGATGATATATTATGAAGAGCATATGAATGCAAGAAAACGATATGCTCAATTAGAAAAAGATTGCGGGTCGAAGTGTGAAATTTTTGATTATTTCGATTTATTTCATCCAAATGGAACGGAAACTTTTAGATATTATGATGATAATGGATTTTCATATATGACTGGTTTGGCACATTTTTCACCGTATGGTTTAGAATATTTAAGACCATTTTGGAGAGATTTTTGTAATAAAAAGCTTGTATGAATTGGAAATACTCTTTTTGTTGTTATAAATACATTTTTGTTTTTTTTTTCGAATCACTTTTGTTGTAAAATATATTAATTCTGAACTATTGATCGAGATTTGGAAGAAGTTATCTAATTTTCCGATCATTCGTTCATTTTATGCAAATGAAAGATTTCATTTGATGATTTCTGAAAAGATATACTACAATTAATAAAGATACAAATGACACAAACATGAGAATCAATCATTATTTATGGTTCAAAATCAGGATTTTCATGAAGTCGAGATTGAAAAACTTCGAATATTATTAACATAACTAAATATTTTTGATCGACTGTTTCAATTTTTTAAAAAGGATATTTCTTACAATTAGGATTTAAGATTTCAAATTGAAAAAACAAAAACAGAAATATTCTGTTAGGAATTTTGGAGATTATTTAGATGTGATCAGAATTCTTCTTTCTTTTAAAGTCATCAAAAACAAGTTTCTATTTGAATCAGAACAACGAATCAATTCGATGGTTCTTTAAGATAATAATAAACTGTGTTTTTTTTTTAATTTAACCCCAATTTGTTCTAGTTTCAGCGACCACGAAGATGAGTAATTTTTTATTTTCAAAAAACAACTCTTAAAAGTGTTCTGAAGAAATTCTGAAAATCAGAAAATGCAATATCAGTTTGTGATTAACTGTCTCAGTCTTTTGTTTTCATGACATTACATGTACAATCTACATATTGAAATTTAATAGATCAATCATTTTGATTTTTCGGAATCGAGAAGTTCAAACTAATTAGGAAAAAAACTAATGAATCGAGAAATATTTATCAAGATATTTATGTCCAAAACATGAATTGTAATACAGTTCGACGTTTCCGAAGTCCTTTTAATTATTGTAAATATTGTGCGTGGGAATTTGTTTGACTTATTGAAATTTGTTTGACTTATTTGTGAGGCTTATTGAAACTATAAACAATAGATATTGTCAGATCGAAATCAGTTTTTTGTTTTTGATTTCATAGTGCGCACACGGAAAAAATAATTAGTATAAAATTGAGAACATGAATTTTTCGATGGGTTTCGAGAAAATTTGCTGTTGACCCTAAATTTCAATTATCTCCGCGAAACAAACCATTTTCCGATAGAATTTTTCCACAAGAATGATTTTTAAATTTGTTATCTGAAATTACAACGTATTGTTCATCTATCCCGAAATGAAACAAGCATGATTCGAAAAAATACTAATTGCTGATATTATCAGAGTCAGATCCATGTATATAAAGACAAAAAACATACAAATTCTAAAAAAAAATCGAGCTAAAATTAGAGCTATAAGCTATAACATGTCCACGAAAAAATTATTGAATTTACAAGGAATTCGTGGAATTGCAATTCTAGCAGTTTTAGGATTTCATTTCTTTCCAAATTATTTTCCAAATGGATATTTGGGAGTTGATCAGTAAGTTTATTTTAAAAAATGATAATTTGAGAAATTTGAAAATAATTCCAGGTTTTTTGTGTTATCTGGATTTTTGATGTGTATGTTATTGACAAAAACTGAAAAATTACCAAAATTTGAAATGATATCAAATTTTTATATTCGTCGATTTAAAAGAATTTTACCATTATATCAATTAATAATATTTGTTTCATTAATTGCATTATATTTAATATTTCCTGATACAACAATTGAAATTAATATAAATTCAGCAAAAAGAGCAATAATATTTATATCAAATCAGTTAAAAACATTAGAAGATGATTATTTTGAAAAATTAAATATGGCAATTGATATATTTACACATACTTGGTCACTTTCTGTTGAAATTCAATTTTATTTAATTGTTCCATTTTTATTTTTATTACCATTTCGAATAATATCATTAACAATTATATCAATTATAAGTTTATTTTATTTTTATATTTTACCATCTGATATTGCTTTTCTCAATGTTTTTGCAAGAATTTGGCAATTTTTAATTGGTATGATTGCTTTTATTATTCATCAAAATATATCAACTAATTATGAATCAGTAAAAAATTCGGATCAATTGGAAAAACAACAATTATTATCAGAAGATGAAGAAACAGAACAATCAAAAGTCGAAATGTCAACTAGTTATGGAATTTTGATAAAATTAATGATTTCAACGATGCTATTGGCTATTTGCTTCCCAATAGCTTTTATTGAAACTGTGATAAGGTAAAAAAAAACTATTTTTCAAAAAGTTCCACGATTATGTGATATTTCTTTCAGACCATTAATTACATTAATTACGGGTATAATTTTAATGTTTTCAAAAGGAGATGATATATTATTATCAAATAAAATATTAACATATATTGGTGATATTTCATATTCATTATATTTAATACATTGGCCAATATCTTCATATTGTAAAATAACTGGAATGTCTAATTATGCTATATTATTTTTATCATTTTCTGTTCTTTTTTCAATTTTGGTTTATCATAGTTTCGAAACGTTTTATACTAAACAAACGAATATTATTGTTGTTTTCATAACTATTTTATTATTTTCTCTGAATCTTGGAATAATACATAATCAATTATTCATCACAAAAAAATATGATGGAGCAGTAACAGCTGAAATTAAAAAAATAAGCGTTGATGGAACATTGGAAGATGCGAAAAGAAAGAATCATATTTGGGAGATTATGGAATCGTCAAACTTGCAATTTAAATGTGGAGGAAGTGGTGTTGGTTGGTGTTCGTACGATGGATTGAATCAGAATAATACACTCAGAATAATGTCATTCGGGAATAGTTGGACAATAAATCATGCACAAATAATGTATGAAGAATGTGGACCAAGAGTGAAAGAATTTCTTAGAGGATCTTATGGAGGTTTACTATTTAATCGAAATTAATACTTGAAAATCAACAATTTCAGGTTGTGAGCCATTATATAAATTTTCAACAAGATTTAAAATTTGCCCCGAATTTGTGACCGAAATTGAACAACATTTGAAGGAATTCAAACCAGATTATGCATTTCATGTAACTCGAGTCCTTTCATTTGGAACAAATTATACAGATGATTTTGAAAATGACCCAATTTATCAATCGATTCTGAATCAGACGAAACGTTTTATAAAACATATAAAATACAAATTATTCATTCTTAACTCAATTCCATCAATTCGTCGAAAAGCTGTTGAAAATTTATCAGATGATATTAAAAATAATGTATCGAAAGTTGAAATTGATGTAAGTTTAGAAAATGTGAAAATTGTGAAGAATAACTATTTCAGAAAAACATGATATGTTCCTATGAAATGAATTTAGCGGCAAGAAAACGATATGCACAATTAATAAAAGATTGCGGATCAAAATGTGAACTCATTGATTACTTTGATTTATTTTACAAGAATGATACAAAAACGTTCAGATATTATGATAGAAATGGATATACATATATGTCTGCAGGAAATCATCTGTCTCCATATGGTTTAGAATATATTCGACCGTTATGGAGAGATTTTTGTAATAAAAAACTTGTATAAATTTATCAGATTCCATTTTTTTTCTAGAAATAAAGATTTATATTTTATTAGAATTATTAATTCTAATTTCACACTTTGCAAATCTCACAAGACCTTCGAAATTTTTTTCATCATTGAAAAATATTCATCGGAAGCTAACTAATCAAATTTTGAAAAGATACCCGTAAATATTACTATCCACCAAAACGGTAAAAAGGTTTCAGGAAAATATGGAACGATTTAAAAATAAATTAAAAAAAAATACCGATGAACTCCATTGAATTTTTTCAATACCGTTTCTTACAAATGTTACACATGTTGATTTTCTATAAAGTTAAGTTCAGGAGTTCATGATTTCTTAAACTTGATATCAATAATTTTACGATATAAAAATCATCTTCCCATAATAATATTAATCTTCACTGTTCCAGAAACAAAAGAAATAACAATCAGCTCTGTTTTAGAATGATTTCAAGAGAACTATGACTAGATTTTACTATATACATTTTCGTTTAAAATTTAAAAAAAAGTCAGGTGATATACAAAAAGATACTGGATTCACGCGTGATTTACACATTTCACAAATTGTTGAATTTGCAGTTGATGATTTTCGAAAATGAAAAATCGTGCTGATTTTTGAGAAATAGCGTATGAAAATCATTTCTGAATAGTTTTATTCCCGAACGCCGAATGAAAAAAAACCTGAAGAAGAATATTTTCCGTCAGAATCATACACACAATTTTGTGATCAACTGTCTAAACCAGTATTCAATGTTGAAACAATGAACATTTGGTCGATCGGACAATACATTTCTTTCTCTTTTTTTTTAAATCTTTTCGATTTGTCCAGTTTCTAATCTTTGTAAAATCTTTTGTAGTTTCATTTTGAAAAATAACGTACGTTATTCTTCTTCAGGTTTTTTTTCATTCGGCGTTCGGGAATAAAACTATTCAGAAATGATTTTCATACGCTATTTCTCAAAAATCAGCACGATTTTTCATTTTCGAAAATTTCGTAAACCTCAGACGCGCAAATTTAAACTTCAAACATTATGAAACAAGTTGGAATGTCGTGCTCACAATTGGAACAAATCTGAAAATAGAATGAAAAGAATAGAACAAGTTATACATTCACATATTTTTTCTTCAGTCGAGCTTGGAACATCAAATAAAAAATACCATCAATAAAAATTATCGACTCAGAGATTCGCTGGCCAGCTCGCGACCAGGTGGAGAGGCTGGCTGACCTGGAAACCACATGGAAACCATGTCGCCCGGTTTTTTTTGCTGGCAGGGTGGCCAAGCCCTGGCTAGGTCACGGCCACATGGCTACCACGTGGTGGCCACTTCGCCTCGTCGAAATTAATTTTCATGAAAATCTCTGAAAAACTTGTGAAATGAGGCATTCTCGAAAAATTTGGCTCATTTTCTGTTTTTTCGCAGCACTTGAAACCTTAGGAAGTGAAAAAAACAGTAGAAAATGCAGTGTTTTGAGTACAAACCACTGTCTTGCCAGCTTTCCAGGATTTCAAACACACAGGCCACGTCGCCGGAAAACTCGAGGCGAGCTGGCGGCCATGCGGTTACCAGGTGGCCGCAGCGATCTGATGGCGAGCTGGCCAGCGAATCTCTGAGGAGTGTCAAGAATAGGGTATAATTTCAAAAAGCAACTCTGAAATGGAGATGGTAAACTTATTTGAAGAAAAAAGCAAATGTATCTTTAGTCGAAAACTCATTATATCATGAGCTGAGTAAAACAACTCAAACTATAAAAATATGAAGGGCGTAGATGAAAAAACTAGATAAATGGGCACTGTAAAACATTCCGATTTATTTTCGGACAATGCTTTAGATTAATCAGTAAACCCATCAACCAGATTCTCAGATAATATGAGAATGATCCAGGAATATATAAGTACACTTGAATTTCGATACAATTGGAGTTTCCATTGTAAATTCAAAATGTCTGTCAAAAAACAATTGAATTTACAAGGAATACGCGGAATTGCAATTCTAGCAGTCTTGGGATTTCATTTCTTTCCAAATTATTTTCCAAATGGATATTTGGGAGTTGATCAGTAAGTTTACATTTTTGAAGATTATTTGAAAAAAACAAAAAATAATTTCAGGTTTTTTGTGTTATCTGGATTTTTGATGTGTATGTTGTTGACAAAAACTGAAAAATTACCAAAATTTGAAATGATATCAAATTTTTATATTCGTCGATTTAAAAGAATTTTACCATTATATCAATTAATAATATTTGTTTCATTAATTGCATTATATTTAATATTTCCTGATACAACAATTGAAATTAATATAAATTCAGCAAAAAGAGCAATAATATTTATATCAAATCAGTTAAAAACATTAGAAGATGATTATTTTGAAAAATTAAATATGGCAATTGATATATTTACACATACTTGGTCACTTTCTGTTGAAATTCAATTTTATTTAATTGTTCCATTTTTATTTTTATTACCATTTCGAATAATATCATTAACAATTATATCAATTATAAGTTTATTTTATTTTTATATTTTACCATCTGATATTGCTTTTCTCAATGTTTTTGCAAGAATTTGGCAATTTTTAATTGGTATGATTGCTTTTATTATTCATCAAAATATATCAACTGAATATCAATTGGAAAAACGACAATCATTATCGGTTTATGTAAACGAATCAGAACAATTAAAATGTAGCACTAATTATGCAATTTTTATTAGAATGATGATTATACAAATGATATTGGTTGTATCTTTCCCAATCACGATTAGAGCTGTTATTTCAAGGTGAATTATTTTGTGATAGTTAAAAAATCTAAAAATAATTTTTCAGACCATTAATTACAGTAATGACTGGAATAATTTTGATATTTTCTAAAAGAGATGATATAATATTATCAAATAAAATATTAGCATATATTGGTGATATTTCATATTCATTATATTTAATACATTGGCCAATATCTTCATATTGTAAAATAACTGGAATGTCTAATTATGCTATATTATTTTTATTTCTCGCTGTTGTTGTTTCAATGTTAATTTATGAGAGTTTTGAGAAATGGTATACAAAAGAGTCAAATATTGTTATACTTATTTTAACTATTTCCTTATTCTTTATGAATCTCGGAATATTAAATAATCAATTATTCATTGAAAATAATTCTGAAGGATCAGTAACAAATATTTCGGAATTGGCCGGTTCTGCAACACAGGAAGATATTGCAAGATTGAACCATCAATGGGAATTAGATGATCAGAAAAATTTAAAATTTCAATTTGACAACATTTTTGGATGGTTTCCGTACACAGGATTGAATCAGAACAACACTTTGAGAATATTTTCATTTGGGAATAGCTGGACAGTAAATCATGCAAAAGTTATGTATTCCGAATGTGGACCGAGAGTGAAAGAGTTTATGAGAGGTGCAATAAGTGGTAAGTCGTTTTTCGAAAAGATGAAAATAATCAATGTGAATAATTTGAGGTTGCGAACCGTTATATAAGTTTCCAACTGAATACAGAAAATGTCCCGAATTTTTGATAGAAGTTCAACAACATTTGGGAGTATTTAAACCAGATTATGCATTTCATATAACACGATCAATTAATATCGGTAACAATTATACAGATGATTTTGAAAATGATCCAGTTTATCAATCAATTTTAAACGAAACGAGATATTTGGTCAAAAACATCAAAAAAAAATTATTCATTTTGAATTCAATTCCATCAATTGATCGGGAAGCTCTAGACCATTTGTCAGAAAACTTAATGAATAATGTACCAAAAGAGGAAATCGATGTAAGTTTTTCAATACCGATATTTGGAAAACAATTCATATACTTCAGAAAAAACTGTACATGGGTTATGATCAACACGTGGCAGCCTCTAAAAGATATACGCAATTAGTGAAAGATTGTGGTTCAAAATGCGAACTTATCGATTATTATGATTTGTTTCATCCAAATGGTATAAAAACCTATAGATATTATGACGATAATGGTCTTTCATATTTGACTGGTGGAACTCACTTGACTCCTTGGGGTTACGAATTTGTTAAACCGTTTTGGAGAGATTTTTGTAATAAAAACCTCGTATAAATAAAGGATTATTCGGTTTTTTTTAAGTCCACTGTAAAAAATGAAGTTTGAGTTATAGAGTCCATCTAGGTTTAATAATTTTTGGTGATTACTCATAAGTATATGAGCTCATGCGCACTACGAGAACAATATTTGACAGTACCCCACTTTGTGAACGTTTTCCTTGCCAAACCATGAAGTTTTACAGATATTTTTTCAGATTAGAGATATGATAAGGAACTGTTTTAAGATTTTCAATTTTCTCTGTAAATAAAAAACTATCATACGTTATTCTAGTTAAGCGTAATTTATTCAAGTTTTTCTCGGCAAAAATGTTTCCAAAATGGTCTCAAATATTCTGAACCAAGAGGAGTGAAATGATTTCCCGCAGACATATATGTATATCCATTATTATCATAATATCTGAATGTTTTCGTATCATTCCGATAAAATAAACCATGATAATCAATAAGTTCGCACTTTGAGCCACAATCTTTTATCAATTGCGCATATCTTTTGGTCGCAAACACGTGTTCGTCATAATTTATTATGAGGTTTTTCTGAAATAATTTATGTTTTTCTTTTCGGCCGCTTCTCAAACTAACATCAATTTTATCTTTCGATACATTATTTATCAAATTATCTGCTATGTTATCCACTTCTTTCCAATTTACAGGTGGAATTGAGTTAAGGATGAACAATTTGTATTTTATATTTTTTACAAATCGTCTTGTTTGATTCAGAATCGATTGATAAATTGGGTCATTTTCAAAATCTTCTGTATAATTCGTTCCAATTGCCATTGTTCTTGTAATATGAAATGCATAATCTGGTTTGAATTCTTCCAGATGTTTTTCAACTTCTACCAAAAAATCAGGACATCCGTTGAATTCCGTTGGGAATTTATACAACGGTTCACAGGCTGTAATTAGCTGGTGAGATGATTTCTGACTCGACTGTCAAAACTGACCACTGATTGCTCCTCTCAATATTTCTTTGACTTTAGGCCCACACTCTTCATATAATAGTTTTGCATGATTTGATGTCCAGCTATTTCCAAATGCAAATATTCTTAATGTGTTGTTTTTATTTAATCCATCATAGGAACACCATCCGTGAGGTCTCCCATTACATCTGAATGTTATAGATTCTTTATCTTTAAGATTCCATTCGTGATTCATTCGTTTAGCCTCTTCAAAAGTTTTATCATCAGTCAATTTCAAATTATATGAAACTGATTCTTCGTTTTTAATAAATAATTGATGATATAATATCCCAAGATTAACAATAACTAATGAAATAGATAAAATAAATATGAAAATATTTGATTGTTTTGTATACCATTTTTCGAAACTATGATAAATTAACATTGAAACAACAACAGCGAGAAATAAAAATAGTAAAGCATAATTAGACATTCCAGTTATTTTACAATATGAAGATATTGGCCAATGTATTAAATATAATGAATATGAAATATCACCAATATATGCTAATATTTTATTTGATAATAATATATCATCTCCTTTTGAAAATATTAAAATTATTCCAGTCATTATTGTTATTGAAGGTCTACAAATATGTTTAATCATTTTAAGATAAATGAAAAAAGTGAACCTTGAGATAATTTCGATAATAGTGTTTGGGAAAAATATAACCAGAATAACTTTTATAATCATCATTCTAATCATAATATCATAATTGATCGTACTTTTAGTTTTTAACGTTCCAGCTTCTTTACCTTCTCCATCTTCGTTTCCTTCATCTTCTGATAATAATTGTTGTTTTTCACACTCATCCGAATTTTTTACTGATCGATATTCAGTTGATATATTTTGATGAATAATAAAAGCAATCATACCAATTAAAAATTGCCAAATTCTTGCAAAAACATTGAGAAAAGCAATATCAGATGGTAAAATATAAAAATAAAATAAACTTATAATTGATATAATTGTTAATGATATTATTCGAAATGGTAATAAAAATAAAAATGGAACAATTAAATAAAATTGAATTTCAACAGAAAGTGACCAAGTATGTGTAAATATATCAATTGCCATATTTAATTTTTCAAAATAATCATCTTCTAATGTTTTCAACTGATTTGATATAAATATTATTGCTCTTTTTGCTGAATTTATATTAATTTCAATTGTTGTATCAGGAAATATTAAATATAATGCAATTAATGAAACAAATATTATTAATTGATATAATGGTAAAATTCTTTTAAATCGACGAATATAAAAATTTGATATCATTTCAAATTTTGATAATTTTTCAGTTTTTGTCAATAACATACACATCAAAAATCCAGATAACACAAAAAACCTGCAATTATTTTCAAATTTCTCAAATTATTTTCAGAAATGTAAACTTACTGATCAACTCCCAAATATCCATTTGGAAAATAATTTGGAAAGAAATGAAATCCCAAAACTCCTAGAATTGCAATTCCACGAATTCCTTGTAAATTTAATAATTTTGCAACGGACATTTTCAATCAAGAATAATTGCACTATGCTTCTAGGAATATATTATTATTATATATATATAGATCTTCCGATCTTGATTTTATCTACTCTTTTTGCCTTTGCGATTGTATGGATCCTGTTCAATTGAAAGCTTCCTCGAACAAAAAACATACAGTTTATATGAGATTGAAATCCGTGAAAAAAAATTTGAAAAAACCTCCTTCTCAAACATAATCATTACTACTTCAAAAAATTAAAGGGTTGGTGTTCTCCTGGTGAAAAAATCGTCTGCAAACACACGCACAAAAAATTCAAAAAACGAGCTGTGCGTTGGAGCGTATTTTCTTGTTTTATTTCGTAGGTTTCAACTCGCCTGTGTTTTAGAAAAAAACATGGACTTAATTGATACTAGATTTTTTAAAATAAAACTAGAACCTTCCAGGAGCACTTTATTCCTATCTAAACTAAGTACCTTGGCGGAGCACAAACTTTTTTATCCGAATTTTATTTGAAGGGAAATACCACGACAAATATTTTTTTCGAAAAATTATGTTAAATTTTGAAGGGCAAAACAGCCGAAATCATGATAATTATCGATGTATGAAAATAGTTCTTGTAATTTGTTTCCATAATTTTAGAGAAATTTTTTTTACTATTAATTACTTATTCATAAAGTCACAAAAAATCGATTTGTATCGAAATTTTTGTTTCTGTCTTGGAATATTCATTTATTGATAAAATCTCCTCGGTATATTTTGTGTCTAGCTTTCCGTTTTGTCTTTATTGAACATTTTCTGGAAAATCTCGTTTTTATCGAATGATCAATCTAATACACCTTCATAGGCACAATCGGAAGAACATTTGAATAATTCAGCAATTTCTACGAATCAGAGGGGACTCAGCCTTTCAAAGATTTTCTGATGTATCCAACTGAATTTAGAGAGTAGTATGATTTTTTGTTATTTATTTAGTTTCCTAAAAATACCAACGAATTGGGTACTGACGTGTGTATCAAAAAACATCTGCTCTCTAGTCAGTCACATTCTGTTCGGCCAAAATAAATACATAGCTCGACGCGATTCGCTACACATTTTTTAGGCTTGTTTTACGGCGAGTTCCACGATCGGACGACTCACCCACAGCTTGCCCGAAGTGCCTCGGGTCAGACGTCCGAACTGTGTAGCGACCTCGCCGTTTTCTGCCCGAGTGAGTAAAAAACACAGTCTGATTGAATATTATTTTGTTATTTCGAAATTTGTCGATCCTTGGAAGAGAACCGATATGATTCAGAAAACCAAACAAACGAGATCACATGTGCCGACAAAAGTCTATTGTAGGGATTTTCTCTTCTGCGACTCTAATTATTTCGGATTATAAAATCACATTCAGAAAAAAAATCGCTGAATGTTATTCTGACTTGACTCTAATTTTCAGACTGGTTTCATTTGAATTCTCTCTGTACATCTTGATTGCGAAAGACACACATATAATAATTTTCTCATATTTTCGCTTCTTATCTTGAAATTATATCTCATGTGTAGCTTGTCCCAAATTGCAATTTATTTTCAAATATCAAAAAAGATAAAAGAACCATTCCAAACAGCGAATTCACGCAACATGGTGAAAAAAATGTCGTACGATAAAAAAATATTTAAATTCGTAACAATGTTTTACTTGAAACTTTGAAATGTTCAGAAAACAATTGTGGATTTACATAATAGTTTTGATAACTCTTCGGTTTAATTTCGTGGATGAAATTAATGATTGTTCAAAACGTTTCAGGAAAAAATTTGGTTAGTTTTCGGAAATTTCAATTGTATTCTGCTTAAATACCGCACTGTGAAAATTTACAGAATTTCAGAAAATTTTCAGATTTTGAGTCACCAAGCAGTTGTGAGCCAGAGTAATTTTTTAAAAGAATCTAAGCTTGAGAACTTCAGAGATCCAAAAACTGAACATTTACAAAAAAGTAAGCGTATAATTTTGACTATTGAGAAGCACGACTTTGGTCGAGGTGTGTTTTGAGTACTGAAAATGTGGAAAACTACAGGACCTTGAGTTTTTCTAGAAGAGACTGAAATTTGAAGGATTCGTGGTATCAAGTTTATGGAATATTTAAATAGCATATTGATTGACAATGACAAGAAAATATATTCACACAGGTAGATCGTGAAATCAAATGAACTTTTACTGCATTTAGCTTTGAAAGTTAGAAAACACAACAAAAGAATTTGTGATTTCATAACTTTTTATGGACAAGGGTGTGATAATCAAAATCTAAAACTTCGAAAAGAATATTCCCATTTTTGGATAGAAAGTTGAGATTATGTAATCGGCCTGCTAAATAACTATAACCCTGTTATCTACCCTTGTGAAGTTTTGTCTCCGTTCATTTTCATTCACTTACTTTGTTTTCAAATTTATTGCAATTTATTGATATATGTTTTACAGAATAATTGTAAGTTAATGAAAATTAATAGGAAACAAATATGCGATAAATTTTCAACTATTGGGTCAGGAAACAAAAAGATGTGAGATACAACTACTGAAAATGAAGATGAATTACTCGTATTCAACTATTTGAATAAAACTGATTTCTTCAGGAAAACAACATGTCAGCAAACTATATGGTTTTCATGGTAAAAGAGAAAAACACTTCACAAGACTATTTTCCCAATTTTTTAAAGTAAACACTCAAGTAACTGTGAACCAGTTGGAGCTGGAAAATTTCGCCTTACATTGAACTTGAACTCAACTTTTCGAGATGGACAAACTAGAAATATTTCCCATGATTCAAAAATCATATAGATCATTCACGCGATTAAAACTAGATTTTTTCCCGGAGGATTTCCGATGCATAAACGACAACGATATAGATCAAAAGTATATCGCATTATTCCGATCAATTTTCAGAAACCATAAGTTGTTATGACTATTCAATTAATTGTAAGAAAAAACCAAGAATAAATTCCAAATAATTAAGATTGTCGTATGTGAGAAAACAAAAACAGTTCTGGAAGTCGGCCGGAGAGATCTGTTCGGCGGGCTTTGGACGATATATTTTCGCATTTTTTTGCTATATTTTTACTTTGGACATCACATAACAAAAATACGGAAAACATACTGAAAACTCAGGTATGAAATTTTGATTCTTGTTTGTCGTAAAAATAACCCCAGGTATATAGAAATATCAGAAATCTTTCAGTCTCAATAACTGATTCCAATCTCATATTTTAGATAGTACGATCTTTTGTTTCAAAAAGCTTGTAATTATTTGTAACACTTGAGAGATTAAATCAGAATCAAAAGATCTATATAAAGAGGAAATATGAGATTTCCGGAAAAAGTGTTGTTTCGATATGTCCGTTACAAAATTATTAAATTTACAAGGAATTCGTGGAATTGCAATTATAGCAGTTCTGGGATTTCATTTCTTTCCAAATTATTTTCCAAATGGATATTTGGGAGTTGATCAGTAAGTTTATTTTTTTTTAAAAATGATAATTTGAGAAATTTGAGAAATAATTTCAGGTTCTTTGTGTTATCTGGATTTTTGATGTGTATGTTATTGACAAAAACTGAAAAATTACCAAAATTTGAAATGATATCAAATTTTTATATTCGTAGATTTAAAAGAATCTTACCATTATATCAATTAATAATATTTATTTCATTAATTGCATTATATTTAATATTTCCTGATACAACAATTGAAATTAATATAAATTCAGCAAAAAGAGCAATAATATTTATATCAAATCAATTGAAAACATTAGAAGATGATTATTTTGAAAAATTAAATATGGCAATTGATATATTTACACATACTTGGTCACTTTCTGTTGAAATTCAATTTTATTTAATTGTTCCATTTTTATTTTTATTACCATTTCGAATAATATCATTAACAATTATATCAATTATAAGTTTATTTTATTTTTATATTTTACCATCTGATATTGCTTTTCCCAATGTTTTTGCAAGAATTTGGCAATTTTTAATTGGTATGATGGCTTTTATTATTCATCAAAATATATCAACTGAATATCGATCAGTAAAAAATTCGGATGAGTGTGAAAAACAACAAATGATTGCTAAAACTGAAAACGGACAATTCAAAAATGGAATGACTATTAATGATATTATTATCAGAAATATGACTATCACAATGATACTAGTTATATTATTTCCGAAAATCATTTTGGCTACTGTTGGGAGGTGAACCTCTTGAAGTTTTTCAAAAGTCATATATAATTTCCAGACCATTAATTACATTAATTACGGGTATAATTTTAATATTTTCAAAAGGAGATGATATATTATTATCAAATAAAATATTAACATATATTGGTGATATTTCATATTCATTATATTTAATACATTGGCCAATATCTTCATATTGTAAAATAACTGGAATGCCACATCATAATTGTATTACTGTATTTTTATTTGTTTCTCTTATTCTTTCAATTTTAATTTATCATAGTTTTGAGAAATGGTATACAAAACAATCAAACATGATCATATTTTTCATAACTATTTCCTTGTTTTCGGCCAATCTGATAATATTAAATGAGCAATTATTTACGTCAAAACAATTGGAATATGGATTGCCAAACAATTTGAATGAATTGATGGGTAATAGAACTTTGGACGATGCAAAAAGATTGAATCATCAATGGGACCTGGATGATTTGAAAAATTTACAATTCAAATGTGGAGGAAGTACTGGAGGATGGTGTTTACTGGATGGATTGAACCAGAATAATACATTGAGAATTATATCCTTCGGAAATAGTTGGTCAGTAAATCATGCAAAGTTAATGTATGAAGAATGTGGATCAAAGGCAAAAGAATTTCTACGAGGATCAACTGGTGGTAAGTGAATTTTTCATTGGAGAAAGGTCTCAAATTCTGTTTTCCAGGATGTGAACCATTATATCCTTTCGAAATCTACAAAAATTGTCCGGAATTTCTGGCAACAGTTGATAAAAAAGTTGAAGAATTCAAACCAGATTATGCATTTCATGTAACTCGAGCAATTTCATTTGCTGACAATTATACAGATGATTTTGAAAATGATCCAATTTACAAAACAATGTTAAATCGAACACGACAACTAGTGAAAAATATAAAACACAAACTATTCTTTTTGAATGCAATTCCATCCGTTAATAGTCAAGAAGTTGATAAAATAGCAGACGAATTAAAAAATAATATGTCAATGATTGAAATTGATGTAAGTTCAGAAGAAATTATCACAAATTGATATAAATAATTGTTTCAGAAAAAGGTATTAGTGAATAATAAAAGACATTTGTCGTCAAGAAAACGATATGCTCAATTAGTAAAAGATTGTGGATCGAAGTGTGAACTCATTGATTATCATCAATTATTTTATCGGCATGACACAAAAATGTATCGATATTATGATAATAATGGTTTTGCATATATGTCTGGTGGAAATCATCTAACTCCGTATGGTTGGGAATTTGTTAGACCGATTTGGAGAGATGTTTGTAGTAAACTTCAATAAATAAGTTACTGTTTGAAATAGTTTTGTTATAAAAACTCACATTCTAATTTTTAACAGTAGCATCTGAATGATTCTAACAAGAATATAGTATTCCCAGAAAATCGGATAAGAAAAATGGACAAAGCAGATATGATCTACAAATATCTCAATATCGGAGAGAATGAAAATAAGGAAAATAGGAGAACACATGAAAAACCAAAATAGAAATGGAAATTTGAAAAAAAAACTGAATTTAAAAACACAGCACTATGCAACATTGTTATTTGTTTAGAATAAAATTAGAAAAACCCCCAACAAAACTTACTATTTTCGAAAAACTTATAATTAATTACCTTGTAAACTTAGGGTAATTTGGTTGTCAGGACAACAACTTTATGTTACAAATAAACTTTATTTATTGTTAATTATCTGGCTCTACTAAAGTGGTCGAACTAGTGTATTTTTTTCTTGACAAAAGTCAATTTTTAAACTTCAATATTTGATTTAAAATAAAATAAACTAACTTGGAGGTGGCTGCGTTGATGTTCCTTTTCTGATATATAACCAATTTCGAGCTTTTGCACTTAATTTTGATTTATGATAACTTCATCCCATTTCACAGTCATTTTTCGAGCGAGCCGAGCAAATTTTCTGAAAGAATAACATTTTTTGGTAAATTATTAATGAATGTAGCTCAAAATTGATTAACTTCTTTAAAAAGTTGAAACAAAATAAAACTGACATTTGAAAATAACGTTGAAAAATTGTTGCGATTGCCGGGAAATATCAGCAATTCGGCCAAAACAATGCGCGCATTCTAATTTTTCAAATATTCTAATCATCGGCGCGCGTTTGTTGTCCTGGCCGAATTCCCAAAATTTCTCGGCCATCGGCACATTTTTTTCTTTTTTAATGAACTTTGCGAATTTTCTGGTGAAGTTAATCGTATTTTGAGTTGCACTAATGACAACTTGGTAATTTATGTTCCCACAAAAAGAAAAGAAAATAAAATTTACTTCGAGAGAAGGGCTCATTTCGAACTATTATCATTAATATCATTTTCTTCAATAGCTTCTTTAAAATCATCTTCCCAATCATAAGGATCATCCATTTTCTTATTTCCAATCAATATTTTCAATTCATCTTGTAATTTGGAATATGGTGGATCAATAGTTGGATCAAGTGAAAATACAAGTTTTGCAAAACCAATCAATTGACTATTTTCAAAATAATTCTTATTATTTCCAACTTTTTCTTCATTATTTTGCATTGCTTGTTTCAATTTCTTGATTTCATCTCCTCTTTCCAAACTTTTCCATGGTAATTCACCAATCATTAATTCATATCCAGTATATAAAAGTGAAATAATATCATCAGTTGATGATTGTTCAAGTTTTGAATGAACACGAACTGAAACATATCGATGAGTTCCACGAAATCCAGCTTTTGATCTCAGACTTCGAAATTCGCCATTTTCTTTTTTATATCGACGAATTAGGCCAAAATCAAGAAGAATCAAAGTGTGTCGATTTGTTTCGCCAATTCCAAAACACATATTTGCTGGTTTAACATCTCGATGAATATAACCAAATTGATGCATATCATGAAGTGCATCAATTGTTTGATGCAAAATTCGACCAGTTGTTGATTTTGATAATTTTCGACATGGACTTGATTTTCGAATTTCACCAATGTTTATACTCAATAATTGCATTACTGAAAAACAGTTATTTTATTTGTATATTAAATTTTTTAGGTTCAAAAAACTCACTGATGAAATTCAAATTTTCAGTATAACCCGAAGCATACAATCTTGGAACATGCGGTTTTCCTTGCATTTTCATCAAAGCTTTCTGCTCCAAAATCATCCGTTTTGCCAATTTTCCTCGACGAATTTTCGGTTCAACTTTGATCGCAACTTCTTCACCGCGTTTTGTATCACTTGCTAGATATATTTCACCATATCCACCTTTTCCAATCAAACCTTGAATTTGCCATCTTTTTTTGAAGACCTCATCGATTCCCAATAATGGCGATGCATCTGGATCCATTTTCTTCATTCGTGGCAAAACCAAATCCGGTATTTTCGAGACTTTTTCCATATTTGAACATGTTTTAGTATTTTGTTGTTGTTGTTGCTGTGCTGTTTCATCCTCTATTTTTGGGGAATCCATCGTTTTCGATCAGCAGAATACAAAAGAATGACTGGTTTTTCGTGGATTTCTCCTTTTTTCCTTCGAAAAAAAATTGGGTTACGTGTTTACGTTTTTAATTATTGAATTGTTAATTTATTACTTAAAAAATTTCAAAATTAAATAAATCAATCAATAATTTTCACCAACCATCCTCGCTTGAATCACTGCTGGAACTTGCCCTGTTGCGATGTCTTCTTACAAAAATCTCTTCTTCTTCTTCTTTTTCATCATTATTTTGTCTGTTTTGTATATGTTCCAATTTATGGCTAAGCAAGTTCATCTTAAAATTTTTCATTTAACTCTGATGATTCTCTAAACTAACCATGAAAACCAAGCCAGTCATATATTCTTTATCACATTTATCTTGAGGAATCGGGTCGATTTGGAACGTTTGACCACAGAAATCAGAAAGCGCTGTCTGAAACACGAATTATTTCCAGATTTTTTTGCAATACAAATATAATACATACCTCATAATCTTCTTTGCATAACATATTTGCTCTTTCATATGCCAAAATCACTCTTCCAATTAATTTTGGACAACAAGTTCGGTACATGTGATTCGCGAGATTATCTGACATTGGTAAGGATGTGTTGATGTTTGGAGTTGTTTCCTCTGCAAATTGAACTTTGTTGAGATCGAATTCATATTGAAACTCACCATTATATTCATTTGCCGCTTCATTCATCTTGAAAACGCACTTTGAAAAGTTTTGAAAAATTAGAAATAAAATTTTGTTTTACAGTACTTCAAGGCGCACACACAAAATCCTTTGGTCTCGCAGCGCACAAAAACTTTTGGAGACTGCTTTTTATTTATTTAAAATTTTCTGTTTTTTTTTTCCAGGAACTTCCGACTGGATACTGCAACAATTTCTCATTGTTTTTTGTTGTTTTCAAGGCCATTGTTTATTTTTGTGTTTTTTTTGCCCCCAAAAACATTTTTCATCGCATTTTTTCATTTAAAAAATCAATTTGTTCGCTCGAAATTTCATTTTTTCCACACTTTTTTTCAAATGATGTGTAAAACAAAACCGTCTGCGTCTCTCATTTTTGTTTATCTTTCATTTTCTTTATCATTTATCATCATGAACTTTTTTCTTGTTCAACAAATCACATTTGATTTGAATTTGTTGCGTGAAAAAATGAATTTTGGTTTTTCTTCCAAATTTAATTTTTTTTCAAAAAAAAACATTGAAAATATAAAACTCTGGTTCTTTTTTAATATGATAAAAATACAATTTTGATTCGATTTTTCATTTTTCCTTTTGCCATATTTTTTCCTATCAGACAGTCAAAAATGTACGAAATAATTCAACCCTACATTCCAACTGGCGCTTTCAAAGATGCTCTAATTTATTATTCTACAGTAATCCTTGTCTGCCAATTAGGAAGATATATTTGCGATAAAACACTATCCAAAAAATCGCGTTTTTATATTTTAGCCATCGAATTTTTCGGAACATTACAAGTCACTACAACTGTCTATGAAAATGGTGAGATTTTTTGGGTTCACAGTATTTTATTAATTGCTCATTTTAAAATTAGCCCTAAATAAATTGTGAACAATTTCGTAGAATTAAAAAAATCTAGAAATTCTTCGCAGTTTTTGGAAAGCCGGATATATATTTTTCATTTCTTGGTGGTCTATTTTCCGCGCTTGAAATTTCCACGTCAGCATGACGTGGCAATTATTCATATTTTCGGACCCGGAAAAAAATGACTCATGAAAATTTAAAAATTTCAGTTTCTGGAAAAAAATAACATTTTTCATTCGAAATGCAGAAAACTTTAAACTTTTAAAAAGAAAATTCCGTGGTTTATTGTATAACTCAATTTTATTTTTTGAAAATTTCGAAAAGTGGGTTCACTTTAACCTCCCGGCAAAGTGTCTAAATGTGATTCTGTTACTTTGTCCGTTTTAAACTAACGAAATAAACCCGTCAAAAAGGGTTTTCGAAAATAACTTTCCGGAAATCACCAATTCCAAAAATAAAGGCTCTCTTTGAACGAAAAAAATCGTGCGTGCCACAGTGACCCTCCACCGGCACACTTGAGCTGGTGGCAATGCTGTGAAGGTTGAAATGAGGTATTATTTATGTTCAAATCTTGTCATAACCACGTTCGGCTATGTTTGTGTCAAAAAATATTGAGTTTTGATCTTTTGAATTTCCCGGGGTGGACTGTGAAAGTTGTAACACTATTTATGAAACACCCTGTACAGTAATATTTTTTGGCTCAATTTTTGAAAAGTTTCAGAAGATTTTAACAAAGAATAATTGGGAGGTCTTCCTGAAATCCAAAAACTGCGAGAAATTTCGAAACCCCTTATTTTTTCTTTACCAATTTTCAGCCGTAATCGACATTTACTTGGGTCGAAAATGTTTTGCCCTAACACTTTTCATAATGGGTATCTTATTCGCTTATTATAATCGTGGAGCATATTGTGGACCATTTATGCCAATTGAACAATTCTATTACAATAAAATCAGTCTTTCACATTTCGTCCAACTTCTTGCCGCCCAATTTTCCGCTGGTTATATTTCATATCGATTTGCAAGAACAATTTGGCTCCAAGCCACAATTCAATCAGAACCACATATTAATATTGTTGGAATTTATGAACAATGTGCCTTTAATCATCCAGTAAGTTGGAGTACTGTAGGAAGAGTGATTTAGATTTGTTTGAAAATTTTTAGTATCACATCTACCTTCATCTTTTATTCGAACTTGTTGGAAGTTTTACAATTCGTCATGTTTTAACTCGCTCAACAAGTTCAACTTTTTCCGCATTTTTCATGGCTATGGTTTTCACTGGAGGTTTGTAATGGGATCTTTCCGATTCAAAAATGTGTTTTTTTCGATAAAAAAATAGTACGCTGTTGGTTTTGAGTTTCCCAATCTTCGAATTTTTAGCCTTATTTTAACAAAAATTATAATTCCCTTAAAACTAATTAGTTAATCAATTCAATTAATTTTCAGTAGTCACTTTCGTTGGTGACCAAGCTTTGGATCCATTAATTGCCACCACACTTTTCTACGGTTGTCGTGGATTAGACTTCCAACATTTCATTCTAGTTTATTGGGTGAGCCATTCACATAGTTGAATTGATTAATTCTTTTGTTTTTTTTCAGATTTCCCCTGTAATTGGATGGCTTTTGTCTGCTCACATCGATTCAAAAGCAGTTCAACCAAAGAAATCGAAAAAGAAGACTAACTAATAAAAATGCATGATTTTAAATAATAAATAAATAAATAATGTTTTAATTTTGAAAATATCAAAACGTGACCTCTTCCAATTTCTGCCATATAAAAACCGCCTGAAATCGCAAGAAAATCATAAATTCCTATAACTCGCCTTACAATTCGACGAACGAAAAAAACTAGCAAAACGAAATGAGCGACTCGACATCTGTATCAACTAGCGATTATTCGACAGCATCCGCAGATCAAACATCCAGATATTCGAGATCTGCTTCGAGTGAGTTTGAAAGTAGAGAGATAATCTAAGCTTGGATGTTTTGGGATTGAGCTCTTTAGATCTCATAGGAGTCTTTTGAAAATCGTGAGCCTTTGAGATTCTATTTTTTCAGGTGCATCTGGAAGATCGACTAATCCATCAAGATCATCATCTCGTCATCGAAGTCTGAAAAGAAAGAGATTATCGTGTCCAACTCGTTCTACCCGTTCTTCCCGCTCCCGCTCCCGCCCTCGTTCTCTTTCCCGTCCCCGTTCTTCGCGTTCTCGTCCACGTCTTCTTGTTTCCGCTTTCAAACCATGTCAAGATTCCGAAACCAACGATCAAATTCGCGGATTTTTGAATGGTTATTCAAGCTCAGAACAATTTGAATGTTTTACTGTCAAAATTGATGGAATGCCATTTGTTGCTGTTTCATTGATGAATGCTGACAAAGAATTGAGAGATAAATATTGGCAAATGCCACCGCCAACACCAATGAGACCATCCAGAAATTGTGAGTTGTGCTGGGATTTTTAGCTATGAACGGGAAATAACTACAGTAAAAAAGTGTTTTTTTTTTAAATCATATTGAAAAATTTCCGATCACGCCCAAACAAAAAAAAATAATTTTTCTTTAGCTGAAAATCGTCCACGCGACAAATCTTCAAGAATTTCAACTGGCGAAAAATCGCGAAAATCAGTTCGATTCCCTGATGAAAAAAGATTAAGCGACGAAGAAGTCGAACGAGTTTTGGATGGAATTGTTCAACAACGAAAAAGTTATTCGGATTTGTGGAAAGATCGAGAAAATGCACAATGAGCAAGAGAGATGATCGTATACCTGAATGAATACATTTTGAATTTTCTATTGTTCTCTGTGAAAATTTTCCGGGAGCAATTTGATAAAAAAACGTTGGGTTTTTGTGATAAAAAGGAAACAAGAGTATCATAAAATCATTATTATTTTTTTCAATGATGATTTTGCATGTTCTAATTTTTGCTCTTTTTGTGGTTTCATCATCGGCTGACAAATGTGCTGATTGTTTAGCTAATGGAAAACAGTGAGTCAGGAAAAAATATGGGGTTTCCAGATTTTTCGAAAAAAAACATAAAGGGGTTTAAACATTGGCCCAAAAACTTTGTGACATTTGGAAAGATTCAGTTTTTTTATTCCCAAATTAAAATACTCCAGAAAAACATTTCAAGAAAATTCAAAATTTCGAAACCTTCTTGTAAGAAAATAATTTCTCATCGTTATCTAATTTTTCTAGATTTTTCAAAATGAATTATTCTAAAATTGCCACATCAGAGGTCACAATTACGTGAAATATTACAACTTTTGAATTTCTCGAATAACATTTCTACAGTAATAATTGACTACAGTAATTCCTATCGGAGCAAAAATGAAACCCTTCTTATTTTCAGCTGGTGTGTTACAGTAGGCCAATGTGGTTTCTCTCCTTGTCTAACTACAATCACCAAAGCTCTCAACTGTCCTTCTCTTCCCGACAAAGCACATGCCTACAATGATACGTTTGCTCGAACAAAAATAATTGTGACAAATGCTGCCAGTTATACAATGACTCCACAAAAATGTTTTGAGTGAGTTTTGGGAACATTTTTGGGATTTTCAGAAAATCAAGCAAACATTTATGAAAATAATTTTTGAAAAAATTTGGGAAAAATGAATTTTCCTAATTTTTTAAAAATAAAAATGTTTCCCTCACAATCAAATCCTATTTTTCTCCATTTTCAGTAGCCAGATGTCAACAATGAAAGTGTCAAAAATCATCAACGTAAATTGCGATCGTTATGGTCCCGAAGCGAAATGTTTCAGCTTTACCGCAGTTGACACTGTTCAAAAAGTTCTTTTGATCACATTCCGTGGAACGATTGGAAATACACAACTAACAGAAGAGATTCTAGACTTTTTCCAGTAAGAGTTTCTCAAAATTTACATTTTCAAAGGTTTTTTCTAGCGGCAAAAAGCAATTCTTCGATTCTGGAAATGTTTTCGAGTATTTCTACGATGCTTTTCTTTTCCAATGGAATGGTGGAATGCAACAGGATTTGAGAAAATTGAAATATCAATATCCAGACTATGAATTATGGGTGGGTGTTACAGATTTACCCTAACTGGATTAATCTTCACCCAAACAATTTCCAGGTAACTGGTCATTCAATGGGCGGTGCAATAGCTTCAATCGCCGCTTCTTATGTTGTTAAAATCGGGCTTTTCAATGCGGATAATATCAAACTAATCACTTTAGGTCAACCAAGAACTGGAGATTATGAATATGCGAAATGGCATGATGCCACATTTAAATATTCCTTCCGTGTTGTTCATCATCGAGATATTGCTGCGCATATTCCACCAATGGAAGGACAGGATGAATTATTCCATCATCGGACTGAAGTTTGGTATGTTTAAGAGCAACAGTCATTTTCTGAAACTATTTTATAAAAAAAAACAACACATTTTTTTGGATGGTAAAGGACTTTGGAAAAAACTGTAGCAGATGAAAATTCAAACTTTCAAAATGATTCACGAAATAAAAAACGTTTTGTTATTTCATGAATCAACGCACAATTTTTAAATCAGAATTAGTTTCCGTTTAAAAATATGTTTTCCTCAGGTACAACAACAATATGACAATCGGTCAACCCTACGAACTTTGTGCCGAAGCTGATGGTTTATATTGCAGCAATCAACAAGTTGATCTAAGTCAAGAAGACCATTACTATTATTATGGAATTCATTTTGTTGATTGGGGATTGGCTGGATGCCCAAATATTTGATTTAATTTTATATAAAACTTTTATGGAAAAAAATACAACTAAAATTTGAAACAGGAAGCGAATATATCACAATTCTCTTGAAACTTCTTTTAAAAAACGCTTACTTACATTCATTATTTTTGGATTGTTCACGAATACTTTGCGGTTTACCATATTTAATAGTTCCCCATGTTTTTGGAATCGAAATCGGAGCAATAAGCCTGAAATTTATTATAATGTTTTTTTTGAAAATTCAAATTTAAAAACTTACTGTTTTGTGATAACTCCTTCATTGCTGAAAACATTCAAACTGTTTCTTTTGATCTCGAAATTTGGGCTTATAATTATTGGCATTTTCTTTTTCGGTGGAACAGTTTCGACTTCTTTGTTGGTTGATTCTGAGGAGAATACTCTTCTGGAAAAATACACTTTTGAGATTTAGATTTTTCCAAGAAAAAAAGCGTACGTTGAATTATATTTGATCTGTGCAGAAGAGGATCTATCCAAAACTCCTTCAACTTGTGATTTTTGAATTCTGAAAAAAAATTGACTTTTGAAAAATAATGAAAGTATTATTTTTGAGATATAATTCGAAATGTTCAAGTCAAATTTGAGAGAAAACATGCGGAACAAAATTTAGAGTTTCGGCTTCAACTCTTTCGAAAACATTTCGACAAAAGAATTGAAATTCACCCAAAAATTTATGAGGTAGCAAATTTATTTTTCAATAACTTCGAGAAAATAAATTCGATTTTTCGAAAGTTGAGATTTAATCTTGTTATTTCAAAATGTTTGACTTTTTGGAGTTATCAATCCTCCCAAAAACTTACGAAGCTTTGGAATCTTCTTCCTGATTTTGCGTATGATCGGAATCTTTACTAGAAGTTGATGGAATCGAAAAATCAGTCAATTCCGGCTTGATTTCAGATGGAACTTCGATAATTTCCTCTTTCACATTCGATGGCCTGAAAACCACAAAAATCAGAAAATTTCAAAATATTTTCAACTAACCCTGGTATATTATCTTCTTCCACATTCTCATTCTTGATTTCTGGTTGTTTTATCAAAAATGGGGTCAAATCAAGTTTCGCGTTCTCCTGGACTTCAAAATTATAACAATTTTCCTCCTCTTTATCAGTTTTTCTTTTTCTAAGCACTGGAATCGTAACAGTTCCCAATTCATTATAATTATTGTTATTTTTCAAATAATGTTTGGAGAATCCTCTTCCGCGAAAAACTTCCATTGGAGATGCAATCAAAAGTGTTCTATCAAACTCAGTTTTTGTCATTATATCATGATTTCTCATAAATCTTCCATGTTCTCCAAAATATTGTTGAGCATCAATTGAACAAGCAGGAATTGGCAGGAATAATCTGACGAGACGTGAAAGTATTTGAAACTGGAAATAATTGTCACTCCACCATGACACGGAATCCACGATAGATTTCCGATCTTCGAATGAGTTGATATAACGTGTGATTTCTTTGTGGATTAATGTGTGTTGTGATTCATTTGAATATCCCGAACTCATCAATTCTGAAAATATTTGGCATCGAAAAAATATTTAAAATCGAACATCAAAAAACGATCGTCGTTTTTTTTATTATTAGAAATTACTAAAACTTCTAGGCGCTTATTCTTAGGTTTTATCAAATTCAATTCAGTGCTATGAAAAAGTTCTTTTTTTCTTCAAAATTCAAACTCACTTCTTCCAACAGTTAGCACAGCCAATCTCCAAAAATCACTATCAAAAATTTCCAAATCAAAACAAAATCTCGGATCCAAAAAAGTCGCCATTGCATATTCTCCATTTTTGAAATCCTTTGTGAAAAAATCCAAATGTGTCGTAAACACTTTTTCAATTTTCATTCTTATCAAAAGATCAGGACAGCTTCTGAAATGTAAATAAATATATATTTCAGTCAATGATTTTGATTCAAAGAAAACTTACATTTTGATGACTTTTCGGATCTTTGAAATTTCCGGAAGAATTTGAGAAATTGAGCTGTTGAGTTTCGAAAGTTCTCCAACACTTTCGTACAAATGTTGAAGAATTTCTTGAAGAGTAATAAGTTGGTGATAGTGGAAATCGTTATTTTTGACATTTTGATATCTTTTGAGAAATTTTGATATATTCAAAATCAAGTGGTGCTGGAACAAGAAATATTGGTTATGACGTGGCAAATTTATAAATTTTCAGAAACCAACATTTCTCATAACATCCGCCAAAAATTCCGCAACATCAGTCCAAGTTTTCAACTCGAGGTTGACCGGAAAATCATAAGTCTTGCCATGCGACTTGAAAAACTTGTCAATCTTAAATCGATATTCTTTATCGTATTTCACAGCAAGATAAAACTTTTGCAAATATTCGACAGCGTTTTTGAATTCCAGAATATTTAGAATTGCGTCAGCGAAGAATGTGATATATGTGAAATAGCAAATATAAGTTCGATCTGATATATTCTTATTAATACAGTGTAGAGAAATATTGGGTTTTGATGTGATAATTGTTGGAAAGCGAATCAGTTCCGAATTGAATTGATTGGCCGCAGTTCGAATTACATTGAAAATTTCAGCGAGCCTGAATCTCATATATCACTGTGTTTTTTTCTAATAGAAAAATGCAATTTCGAGGAGACGCAGACACTCGCTGGTCTCGACGCGCTGTGTGTCTGCCACACACTATTTCTCTCCCTTTTTCGGCGAGAGATTTGTCTGCACACGTTAAAGTCTGCGTCTCCCTCGAATTGCAAAAAAAAATACAGTGATATTTGGGAAAGCTGCGAAAAATGAACCGCTGTGCTAACACCGTGACGCAAATGTGCACATTTGGCAGCTCTTCAAGTGCAGCAATGTTGCGCTAAGGCGGTGGGGCAGATTAGTTTCTCCCCCGGGAGAAATGGGGAGAAAGAGGAGAAAATTGGTGCAGCAACGCTGGGAGGAAGAGGAGTTCCTGCCTTTTCTCCTCCTACAGTATCCGGCTCATCGTGTCGAGACCATTTATCGATAAGACCGATATAGTTCCGTATTTCGACTCGATTAAAGGCGCAGAGATTTTCCAGGAAGGGTCTCGGCACGATACGGTTTGGGAGAAAAGGCAGAAACTCCTCTTTCTTCCCGCGTTTCTGCACCACTTTTCTCCTCTTTCTCCCCATTTCTCCCGGGGGAGAAACTAATCTGCCCCACCGCCTAAGGCTCTCTAGTATTTATAGAAAAATAGCTAACTTACTCCAAACCTTCAATCTTCTTCAAATGCACAACATGTGACTTTGTTCCCTTTTTTACAAAATAATGAAATGAGAAAGCTAGAAATGTATCTTGTCCATTTTCAACAGTATCAACAGTTACAGCAATCGGTTGAACACTTTTATTCTTATCGTCATCTTGTTTTTTGATCTGAAAAATTATATTTCTTTTTCTTACAAAAATCATGATCCAAATTAGAAACTGACGAGTTAACTCACCAAAATCATATTCGAAACATTGTTCAATGATCTTTCAATTTCAACCGGCGGCGGTGTTTTATAATTTTGATTTATTGTAAATATCATGTGTTGAAATGCTGGATCTCGAACTGTTTCAGCAGGTAATCCAAATTTCGTTAGAAACTTGCAAATCATCAAGTTCGAGTTCATCCTGGAATGGGCGGTGAAAAATAGAATTTTCGGGGGAAATTCGCAATAAAGTGGGCGGGGCTTAATCGCAATCCTGGCACACATTTCTAAAAACCGTGCCAGGCTTGCTAAAATTGTGTGCGCATGTTGCAAAATTTATTTTGCGGCACACATTTCCGAGCCTGAAATTTTGAAAAAAAATTATCGCGCTCTATTGAAAATTTCTGTATTTTCTAATTATCAATAGAGCGCATTTTCCATTAACAAAAAACAGGCAAAATTCTTATTTCCGAGTATAATAATACAATAAAAAGTGTGTGTCGAGAAATGTTGAATATTTCGAAGAAAAGAAAAAGTAAACTTGGGAAAGGGGAAAATTAAAGAAAAAAAGGGGAAGCGTGCTAAAAAACTGCCTGAGGAAGAAAAAAAACGAAAAGGAATTTTGAAATCGGGAGTGGGGATATAGAAAAAGAAGAGAGGAATAGAAGGTAATTTCGAAAAATATACATTGCACTCAATATGAGATATATTATACAATTTAACAAAAAAAAAGAAGAATTAGTTTTGAGAGTATGGTTGGGGAAATCAAGGGGAAAAAGAGGAAAATTGGAAAAATTGACACCTACCTCGGCAGAATAACAATCAAACCGTACTGTTCGTTTTTCAGCGAAGGAAACGCGCTCCAACTACATACCGTAGTTTGCTTTTTTTGCCGACCCAATTTTTTTCATTTTTTTTCCGTTTTTTCTTGTTTTTTCCTCTTTTTTCCCCAAAAAAGAAGCAATTTTGTAATTTTTCTGCTTTCAGAAGTTGGCAAAACTCGAATTATACTTATCTTCCAAGTTTGCCCGAACAAAATGGTTTTTGGTAGCGATTTATGGATTTTTTTCGATGGAATTCGATGTTTCGATCGAAAAAGTGTTATAAAATCGATTTTTGGAGTGTTTTGTAGTCGCAGTTCAATTCAAATCGAAGGTTAGTTGTTTAGTTATGTATTTTCTATGACAATGATGCAATTTTCAGGTTGTTGATTGAAAATTAGTGATTTTTGCGGTTTTCATCGCAATTTTGAAATGAATGGCGATATGTTATGGATAATTTGCTCAAAAATGCCTCAAATCAATCAATGTGCTATTCAAATGATGCAAGTGCACATTAGTGACAAAGAAAACAACTTCTCAACAAGATTTATGCGAAAAAGACATCGGTTCGCTCGGAGTTTTGATAGAAATGATGAGGAAGTCGGGTTTTTTTGGTCGAAAATTGTGATTTGTCACTAATTTAATCTATTTTCTTGATTAATTTTGTTGATAAACTGTTTAGTTTTTGTTTTCCAACTAGTTATATATCGTTTCCAACCGAAATAAGAAAATTTCACTTTTTCTATGCTCATTTCTGTCCAAATGCACCAATTTTAAGTGAAAATGGTCAGGTAAAACCTTTTCAACTCAGTAGTTTCCACAATAACCAATTTCCTCATTTTTCAATTAGTGGAAATGCCTTTTTTCGCATGAAAAACAGTAAAAGAATAAAAATTATTGTTTGAATGGCCGCACAAAAATGCGTTGTTTATCAATGGGGCGCGTTTGGCCGCGTTTCCTTCGCTGGCGAACGGACAGTATTTCAACTAAATATTTTTTGAAAAAAAATAAATAAAAATTGGAGGAAAAACGTGGATAATATAATACAACAAATTTTAAGAGGGAGGCGGGGCAAAAAGGCACTATAAGACTAAATTTTGAAAAAAAAAATGAAAAAACTCGGTTTAGTGATAAGTGTGACTAATTAGAAGAAATTCTGCGAACAAAAAAAATGGAAAAAAGTGGAAAAATAGAAAAAGGATTACTGTGGACAATTTAAAAGTGCCGAAAATTTGTTGTTTTGTAAATGTGTCAGCTCCTTCTGAAAATCGATGTTTCAAAATTTTTGAATTAAAAAAAATTGGGACATGTTTTTCAAGTGAACTTTTCGGAAAAAAATTCGAGAGCTTTAAACATTTTGATAAAAGTTTCCGACGATTTCAATCTTGGGAATTCACAATAAAACTTTCGAATACATTTTTTAAATCTGTAATTCTCGGGGCAAATGTTTAAAATTGTAATTTTATTGTTGACTACTGTCAAATTTCCATTAAAAAATTCGAGCAAACTCAAAATTCAAAAGAATGTTCCAAATTGTTTGTTTTAATAATCAAATTTTCCCCAAAACCTCTTTTCAAATTTCTCACCTTTCTTTCCTTTTTCTTATCCTTCTTTTTCTGATTTGTCGTACTTGGTGAAGCCGCGGCCGCCTGTGTGCTACTATTCTTCGAATTCTCCTCAACTTTCTGGCTTTCTGGAGCAGCGGTTTTCACAGTTTCCACTGGTGGTTCGGGAGCAGTTGAAATTGGCTCAGCCGGCGGACTTTTCACTTCTTCATTCTTTTTCGAATCATTTTTCGATGCAAGTCGTTGTTTTTGTGGGGCGGCTCCTCGATTTTGTGTTGCCGAATTACTATTTCCCGCTTTTTTCGGGACAATTGCTCCTCGATTTCCAGTCGGTGGTTTTCCATTTTCACTTCCCGAAAAACTCGGTCGCCGGTGGCCACCAGAATAATTCCGATGGAATTTTCTGAAAAATAAGTTCTTGGCAATTAATTGGTATATTTCTCTAATTTTCAGATTTTCTCCAAGAATAAATCGTGGCTTATGACGTGGAAATCAGTCAACAATTCCAAAAAAAAAAAAATAAAACTCACCCATCTTTCTGCCGCCGATTTTCTCCATCATTTTGACTTTGATTTTGGTCAATTTGTCCAACAGTCGCACTTTTTTGCAAAATTCCACCTTTTGGAACATATGGTTTGTTGTTTGGTCGAATTGGTTTTCCTCCAGTTTTTTGTTGTTGTGGAATAATTGTTGTTGGTGGTGGTGGAGGAGGTGTCGAATCATTGCTTGTATCTTGATTTGTTGGGGGATATTGATATGGATCAACTGGCGGAGTTGAACATTCGTCATCTCGTTGTTTATCAGTGTCAGTCGTTTCGCGTTTTTTGATTCTGAAAATATTCTATTGTTTTGGAAAAATTTCAGTCTTCAGCTCGATTTTTTCTTGAGAAAAAAAGCATTAGATTTCCGCCCAAACCAGATCTTCTCCAAAATAACTTACGTAACAGTTCCAGGAAGTGCTCCTTGATCAAACGACGGCCTTCTTTCTCCATCATTCTGACTTTGATTCGAATTCGAACTTGTTTTCTTCAACTTTTTCGAACTCCGACTATTACTACTATTTGTATGATTATGACTCGAAGTATTTTGTTCTTGATGTTGTTGTTCATCATTTTCATTCAAGTTCAAATTCGACTGTTTTGCCGCCTCTTTTTCAGCTCGTTCTTTTTCCGCTTGCCGTTTTTCAATTTCCAATAACTTGGTTTGTGTATCAACTGGTTTTGCATCTCCGAATGGATTTGCCGAGACTTTTCGTTGAATTGGTTTCGGAACACCGGCTTCGTCGATTGACATTCGAGAACTTGTTCGGGAGAATTGATCGAAATTCGTGGAATGTGATTCAGTTCGACTTCTTGCGCTGGAAAATTGAGATATTTGAGAATTTAATCTGTGACTTATTTTTTAAATGAAAACTAATAATTAAAAATCTTCAGGGATTCATTAAAAATCATATTTTCATCGAAATATCCAGATTGGAAATGCTTTCACTTCTTCACACGTTTTCCAAAAATTAAAAAATGCTATAAATTGAAAATTTTCAAGCATTGCTCATGTTAATTGGATATTTCACAAAATGTTGACTTACTTAATAGATTGTGGTTGTCGTTGTTGATAATCATTATTCCTACTGTTATTATTGCTGTGTTGATAACTTCCACTTCTTTGTATCGGACCTCCTTGATTCTCATATCGATTATCCCTATATTGATGTGGAACTGGTCCACTATTTTGTCGATCATAATTTGGATGTCGCGGAGCTTTGAAATTATTTCGATCATTGTGATAATTATTCTGATGTCCACCTCGATAATTATTATAGTTTTTTCGATCATTATGAATTCCACCAGCTGGAAGAGTTCCATAGTGATTTTGTTGATACCGATTGTCACGATAGCTGGAAAATTAAAGATAAAGATCTGACTGGCGTGGCAATGTTTTGAAAAAGTGAAACATTATAATGATAACTCATGTTTACAGTTAGATTTTAAAAATCTTTTCTAAACTTAAAATTTATAAAATTCCCGCTCCCGCTCATAAAACCCAAAAATTCACTCACTTCTTATCATAATTTCTCGGTAGTTTCTCGCTGTTCAAACTCGATTGACTATTATAATGACTTCCTCGATAATTATCATTTTGATACCTTCGATTTCCACCTCCATATTGATTCTGATTATTATATCGATTATGACTATCATGACTTCCATAATCACTTGATTGTCTTGCTGAAATCTTTCCAGCCATATGATTTCGTAATGGGAAAACTTTTAGTATCGATGCTTGGAATTCGGTGTCATTTCTCTCCAACGCTTCCAATAATCCGATTTTTGAATGAAATTCGAATTCGGCTCTCGCTTTTTCGGGTCGAAATGAGAAGGTTTTTATATTCGAATCGCCGCCGAAAAAGTAGAAAATTTCCTCTTTGTTATGATTTATTGAAATGTTGGTGACTTGTACTCTGAATGGTGGATCATCTGGAACAAATTTGCGCTTTTCAGGTGATCTTGAGCTCGATTCGCCGTTTCCTGCTCCATCAATTTCATCGGTTCCTTCATCTTCATCTGCACTGACTTCGATGAATTGCTGGAGAAAAGAATTATTTGAATTTGGGGTTTTTTAATTGATCAAAGGATTCGGAAATTTCTTTAGTTTCTGATTTGAACTGAGAGCTTCATTGAAAATCAAAAACTATTCTCGCCAAAAAAGTTACCTCTTCTTCATTTTCTTCTTCCATCAATTGAGCCCATGATCCAATTTGGTGATTCATATCAGCCAATTTTTGATCCACCTAAAAACAAAATGTTTTTTTTTCAAAATAAAAATAAAGATTTTCGAAAAATTTCAAGGTCACGTTCACGCGTGTTCCAAACCAAAAATGATTCAAATTCAAATGTTTACCTGCAGAGTCTGTTGTTGATCGGAGGGACCGCCAGAATCTGCAGGTTGTGTCACAGACATTGTAAATGCCTTTTTGTTTGATAAATGTATGTTTTGCGTAGAGTTCTGCAAAAGTAAAAATGAGGTGAAACAACGAGGAGGTAAACGAAAAAATGATAAGTTTTTCTGATAAAAAACTCAAAAGTCTAACTAAATCGACAAAAACGCCTATGAGTCAGCTGAAATATTCGAAATTTCAGACAAAAAAAATCGAATTTTCCAGAAAAAATGAAACTGATAGTATAAACTTTCGAAATTCACAATCTCTGTCAATTTTTTTTGCAGCCACCACCAAATGTCCGCAAAAAGTGGTCAGAGTGCAGAGGAAGAGTACACCAGAGAGTATGTAAATAAGAGAGGGTGGAGGAGATTGTCTGTTTGTCTGACGGGCTGTTGGCCAGCAGCCAATTTATATGATGAGAAGAAGAACGAGAAAAAAGAAGGAGAAGGAGGAAAAAAGAAAACGGAGGTCTTCTTATTCTTTGTTGTTTTGGTTATTGTTGTTGTTGTGTTGTTTTTGTTGTGAATGTAGAAGAAAAAGGGACATCGACAGAAAGCGGAATACCGCTAGGAAACAACTTTTGAAATCGAGAAACATTGATAAGTTCTAGAGAGAAAGGTGTTCGGAAGAAACTTATCAAAGTCCAAAATATCTTCTTAGATCGGACCACCTTCAGGTGTGTGAGATGTCACCGGAGAAGTACAATACCAGTTAATAGTTTTTCACGCGGAGTGAGATTCCGTGTTCAGTTTTTGCAGAACACCAATCCGAAGAGCACAATAATGAGCCAAAAGTCAAAAAAGTTCAAAACTCGTGTTGGAATAACTTTTATCAAAATTTGAAAATCTCCGGACACACACTTCCCTCCCTCGTGTGGTCCGTCATAATTATTGTTTGAGTCGGACAATCTTCGATTTTTGCAGAAAAATGTTGAATCCTTCCCAAAAAATCTGACCACCTTATGAAAGCATTAAATTCTTTGGTGAAACAGATACTTTCAGAAAGTGCTCTGATTTTTTCGGGTTTGATACTGAATTGTTCTTGAAAAATCAAAGCTTGTGCGATTCAATCAATGGTCCAATTCAGATATCTTGACAATAAATTTGAATTACGCATACTCGAAAGACTTACAGGGTTTGAAAAAAAAACAATTATTTTGAAACAGTGATTCTCGAATCCAATAAAACTTTGGTTTTATCACGGAATACATTATTTCTGCACAAAAAATTCGCAGGTGTCACTCAAAACAGATGGACATTTGAAAACGAACGATCATTTTGTATTCTACAAAAAACATGTGATCAATGGCAAAGTTTATATTTTTCGCGAGGCGACGGAAAACGAAATGAATAATTGTTTATTTTCAACAAAAATCTATTCGTTCAGAACGTTTGAAACAAAAAACAACTGTTAGTTGACCTGAGATAGTTGGAAATGATTTGGCTTTCAAGATATATCACATATTTTCGAAAAATGTATATTTTCCAACTCGCATTATTCTCAAAAATCCAGAAGTTAATTCCCGGTTGCGCATGATGAGTTTTGTCAGTGAAAGTCGAGAGAAAAAAACTTACTAAACCGGATACTCACCTCAACCAACTATAGAACATAATTCAACCAGTCAGGTCTCCTATTACTCCTACTCCTATTATTCATCATTTCTCTATATTTTATTGTACATAATATTCAATCCGCCTGTTACGCAATCGATTTTCCCTTTTCGAAATAAATATGATCAAAATCTCCTCGATAATCTCATTGATTTTTCTAATTTCCGGCGTTTCGCCAACTCCTTCAGTTTGGTCATGTCCACTTATGGGACAATTTGCTCTAGGAATGCCAGTTGGCGAAGAGTAAGCTTTTAAAAGGTTTCCACGTGAAAACCCATATTTTCAGCTGTCCTACCGATTCGTTCATTCATTATTATTCTTGTTGTGATGACAATCCATTTCAATGTTGTTTTCACTTTGAAACATGGGCAATGTAAGTCAGACTTTCCTAGGAACCTCAATAAACCGGAAGAAAAAAAAACGAAAAAAAAAGAAAAAAAATTAAAAATGAGAAATATTACTGTCGTCAAAAAAGTTCACGTGTTCGCGTGTTCGCGTGTTTTCACAACACACAAATTACCGTACTCCAAAATATATTTTTTTGTTCTTTTGAAACTATATCACGTTTCAGCGTGGTTTTCGGAATAACAGTATTGGTTGTGATTGTGGCAAGTATGTTCCTGGCTGGAAAATTGCTAATGAACTCAAATTTCGTCCAAAAAACAGAGCAACGACGATGAAAAACGAAATATTTATTGATTGACATAAATTTATTGTGTGCACCCGTAATTCAAATCTACATAAATCTATTCTACTCATATTCAAATTAAATATGTTTTAAGGTATTTCAAAATCTAATTAATTTCATCGGATTCAAATTAAATTAGAAGTGTCGTTTCAAATGAAGTGATAAATGATCACTGCGAGCAAAAGTCCGTGAACATTGAGCACATTTGAATGGCCGATCACCGGTATGTTTTCGATAATGACGTGTCAATTCATCAGATCTGGCAAATCGCCAACCACAAGTTGGCCAATCACATTCATATGGTTTTTCGCCTAGAAAAAAAAACAGTTTTCGTTGAAAGAAATTTTAATTTCGCGCCAAAGCACGAATTTTTCAAAACCTGAATAGGCTTCTCTCAACTAACCTGTATGAGTTCTAAAATGAGCTTTCAAATGACTACTTTTTGTATAAATCTTCTCACATCCTGGATGTGTACATTGATGTAATCTCTTATCTTTCGAAGATTCCGATTCGGTTGTTGAAGAACTCGGAGAAGGTTCACAATTAAGAATAGAATCATCAGGTGGTTCTAAAGTCATTCTTGAATGTTCATTCCTCGCTTCTTCTATCAAACTTTGAACTCCTTCCATTTTCGCTCTCACCGCACTTAATTGATCTCTTATTTTAGATGGATCTACTTTTCCATTTATATCTGGTTGAACAGCCAAACAACTTGCAGCTGTTAATTCATCAATTTGTCTTTGAACATCAATTGGATCAAATCGTGAACAACTATTTGGATGAAATATGAAAGAAGCTGCAGAAGAAGATATTGATGATGGCAAATCAGAAGTGGAAGATATTGATGAATCAACTCGAACAGTCAGTGGATCAATTGATTCTAGTCGAAAATCATTTCTCATTTGTTTTTTAATAACTGGACTTGATGTTGGACTATCCATATCAGCATCTTCTACAATTATTGCATCATCATCTTCTTCTTCATCATAATTTTGTTGATGTCCAGAATCGATAGAACTCGAAGATGCGATATCGAAATTTGATGCAGAATGAATTAATCGAATTGGAACATTTCGAACAGTTCCTGCTGATGATTTTCGTGAATCTGAATCCAGAATATTCGAAATAAGGTGAGAAGTGTGAGTTCTTTGAGTCACAGGGATGAAAGCACTTTTCACATCCAAATCTCGAAAAGCTGCACCGAGGGCAGTTGTGGGAGTATTGAAACCAGAGAATGAAGTGAACGGTTCTGGAAAAAGATTATATAATGATTTGTAGAAGATTTGGCCAATTTTCAATGGAACCAAGGTGACTTTTCAGTTTTGAAAATCAGGTCTAATTTTAAAACTTTCAACATTTTTATGATAAACTTTGAGTTGAACCAGTTTTTCATGTTGAAAAAATGTATGCTCCCGATTCAAAACTTCCCAAATTTCTGACTCACTTTGTGACTCGGCAAAAAAATCATTCTTGATTTTTTCGATTCTGTCAAGTGAGCTCAAAGTTGTGGTTGGTTGAAATAGTGATTGAGTTGACTGATGTCGCACTGTATACGGGGAAAATGCTGTTGGATGATGAGAATCAGAATGATTGAAAATTGAAGAAGATGATGTGGAGGAGGAAGCATCATCAGGGCCAAACTGAACAAAATGGATTTATTTTCTAATTTGCAATTTTGATATACATAGATCATTTTTTTGTTTCTGTTTATAACAAAATATTACCTAAAGGATTAGATAGGCAGAAAAATTCAAACTTTAATTTTTTGATCTGCATGTGAAACTTCCACATTTAACTTTCTCCTTTTACCTATTCCCAGCTAAAATCTGAACTATGACCCAGACTAATTCGATTCAAATCAATTTATGTTATTAATAACCACAATATCTCTTTTCCTACAGTAATCCACCTCATCATTCTATTTCTATTTCTCTCTCTATGTTTTTGGTTGGGTGTGGTCGACCGGGTCGTCGGCGAACATTTTTGGGCGTTGTCAATTTTGGTTAGATGTGAAGAAGAAAAAGAAAAAAGACATCTGATGATTAAAAAAATAATGATAAAAACTGCGGAAGAATATAGAAAGAGAGAAAGGAAACTCCTAGAAATATTGATTTTTTATGGAGAGAGAGATAGAAAGAGAGAAAGAGAGTACTGTAGAGGGTAGAGGAATTTGAGGAATTTCAGAGTGTACTTTAGGAAATCAGAAGACAGGTTCTGAAAAATATGATTTTTGAAACAGTTTCCCTAAAAGTACAATAAAAACCCAAAATTCACAGTTACTGTAATTATTTTCGATGAAGCCAAGATATTAGAGACATAGAGTAATACCGTACTTGAGAACAATATAAATTCTTGTCCTTTTTTTAATGGAACATTTTATAATTCATAAATTTTGTAACTCACCGTGTCCAACTTTCTCCTTGAAGAATTGACTCTCATCCGTTCATACGATCTTTGTGAATTTGATAAATCCAAAAAATTGTTATAAAATTCAGATCCAAATTGATTAAATGATTGTGTTGCTTCTCGAATTCGACGAGAAACATCCTCATTATTATCATCAATTTTTGAAGAAGAAGATGGTGAAGCGAAGTTATTGTCCTCGGATGTGAAAGATGAAGCTGAAAAAATCAAAGTCTTTGAAGTACTGTATGTTTTTGCGCGGGTATTTGTTTTGTTTTCTGATCAATCTTGATGTTCATGTGATTAGGTTTTCTGATCAGTGATCAAAATCTGGAAATATTTTCCAGGTGATGAAATATGTTTTCTTCTTTTTTGGAAACCGGGTTTGATGGAATTTCCTATCGAGAAAGTTGGAAATTTTTTGATAAATGGTTAACCAAAAGTTGTTTTTTTGGAATAGTGAGGCTTAGAAATCCCCCTCAAATTCCCAAAAACTTTTTTTACTTGACCTAATTGACTTACAAAAGTGAATTTCAAGTTTTTATTTTCTATTGATTTTGAAATCTAATTTGTACCGGAAACGTTTTGAAAATCTTATCAGTGATTTCAGAAAAATCAGTAATTTCGAAACATTTCAATTCAATTTTTTAAACAGAGACTGCTTTTAGGAAATTTTATAATATATAGAATATCGAGTTATTATTAATAAAAAAAATTAAACAACAACTTTTTTTTTCAAAATAAACACTTTGGTCATTTTTTCTATGAAAAATTCTGATTCAAAGCTGAAATTTCAAACCTCTACTCCAAAACCTCAATCCTTACCAGATTCCAAAAAATTTGGCGATAAATAAACATGCGATAATGCTCTTGCTGATGGATCAATCGATAACATTGGCTTATTTGGAATATGAAAAAGTCTCTCCCTCGAAGATCGAATTGAAGATGTTGATGTTGTTGTTGAGGAAGAGGACGAAGGTCCCCCTCCATACATTTTGAAACTGAAAAAATAAGAAAATTGAGAAAAGGAGTGTTAAAAATAGAAAAATAACGAATGAAAAAAATGGAAAATGGCAGATTTTTGTAGTTGAAAATACACTTTTTGTAGTATTCAGAATTGAAAGAACTCTAGTGAGTCTGTAGAAATTATGACGTGTGATAAAGAGGTTTTCAAATTTATGAAGAAATTGTAATTAATACAAATTAAATGCGAAAAAAACTTGAAGAAGAACTTCGGAAAAAAGATTGTAAAACAATATTTTTTTGGAAAATTCAGAACTTTATATTTTTTCAAATAAATTTTTTTTGTGTGAAAGCTTGTGAAAAATTAGTGCTGAGTTTTTATGGCTGGCTTGATCGAGTAAGAATATCTAACCACAAAAATTTTCAATAAAAAAAATCGGACTGAATTTTTTTGATACTACTTTTTGGCGCTAAAGCTACAATAGTCATGGATTATTTAGCGATGAGGCTCCTTTTTGTGATCCTATCCAGAAATCCGATAAATAGAAGTAAATAAAAATGGGTTTGGGGTTGTTATGTTAATTGAATACGGAAATGTGATAAGAAGAAAAAAGGAAAACCGAAATTTTATCATCACATGACTTATCGATTAGAGGAGAAAATGCAAAAAAAATAATGGGCAAAAAATCAATCAATTTTGGCGGAACAAAAGAAAAAAAAGAAAAAGTTTATGTGTGGAGAAGGAGGCAAAAAGGCAAAATCGTTCTTTCTTTTTTTTATTTTTTGCTGTCCTAAACCCGTTTTTTGTCTCCCTTTCTTACCCTTACCAAAAAAAAGAAATAAAACAAATTTTAATTTAAATTTTTTGAAAAAAATAATTTTAATGTTGATGGATTTCTAAAAAAAAGTTTTTCGAATTCGAAAAAAATATGTATAAATCTTTACAGAAAATCTGGGTTTTTGGAACCAAAACTACAGTATGCATGTCTCGCCACAAAACTTTTGAGAAAATTGAATAGAAATTATATTTTTGGTGTCCATGCTACAGTGAACCCTGAATCAATTGGCGCCAAAAAATTATTTTAAAAAATTTGGAGATCAAAAACATTTTCGAAAGTTTTTTTTTGTAAAATCGGAAACAGATCACACAAAAATTAGAAAAAAAAGAAAAGAGAAGAGGATTTTTACGATTTTTGTAATAAAATTTTATGTTTGACTGTAACACTATCAAATCAAATCAATACTTATTAGCCTTTCATACGTCGGTGCATCTCGCTCTATCGAACAAACACGCTCCGCATCGCACGCGACGCACCAAAAAAGCGCACGAGTTCAAACTCGAATTATTTTTCTTTTTTTTTAATTTTCAAAAAAAGGTGTCAAGAGTGAATTCGCTAGATTTTTCCTTAGAAATTCACTGAAATTTGTTCAAATGAAAGAAAAATACAAAGAGAAATATTATTTTATTCAACAATTCCCGTAAAAAAAACCGATTTCAACGACTCACCTGGAGAATCTGGAAAGAAAAACACATGATTTTGAAAATCTCACAATCAGAGCTTTATACATAAAAAATTAGAGAAAACACGAGACAAAAAGCGAAACTTCTGTATTTTTTAATCAATTTCAAACAGAAAATTATACAAAAACGACGTTTTCGAACCAAAATTCCACCACCTCGACAGAAAAATAGCAAATCATTCATATGGTCTTCTCAAATGTCATCATCATAATGTCGGAGCTTTTGCAATTGCATGCAATCGAATATTATCTTCTCGCAGCCTCATTCTCATTGTCAGCTCATTGTCGCAACTTTCTTTTATTTCTTCCCAATTCTCTTCGCTTTTCATCTTCCATCAAATTCATCTCAACTTCGCTTATTTATTTGCTTCCTATCTTCTCGAATCACTTCATCCACCAATGATGAACATCATCCACCAATATTAACAACTGAAATTCGAATTTTCGTTTTTCAATCGATCATTCCAGTCCAAACGCCAGATCTGTTCCTTGTTCTCACAATTCCTTGCGAATTTGCTTTTCAATTGCCATTATTTTCCTTCTTTTGTGCAATCCTCCCATTCCTTTTATCCACCAATCAAACATATCAATTGAAATTCATCCAATTGTTGCTAAAAACTCGCGAAATCGGCAAAAATCTTCGAATTTCTTTTTTTCCGTCGAAAATGGCCGAATTCCTGGAAAAAACCAACTAAAATTTATAGAAAAACTTAGTCTTACCTTCAAATATCACTTTCCAGCCAAATATCAACATTTTGGAGCTTGATTCAATGCAAACTCGTTCAGAAACAAACGAAAAACGTTTCGAAAAAAAGAAAAACAAAAAAGATGGCCGAGTGTGTCGGCTCCTAGGACGCGAAAAAAAACTTTTCTCTTCCATGGCGAGTGCGATAGAGCGAGGTGCACCGATTGGTAAAAGGCTAATAAAAAAGAACAGAAACTTTTCCTAGCTAAAAAATACCGCAAAAATTTCGCGCACTCCCTCCTCCAAGCCACAAAAAATGAGAGAGAAAATATATGTGAAGAAGGAGATGTTTTGGGTGTGGCCGAGAAAGAAAAAAGGCGGTCGCCCTTTTTTTGCCTTCTTCTTCTTCACATCATTATTTATTATCACAATTTCATAGATAGAATTTTATAAATATAAATTTATTTTGATAGCGAGAAATGATCTGAAATTGTTTTTGTTTTTAAATTTTCAGTCAAAAAAGTAGAATTTTTATAAAACAAAGATTTTTGATCATTTAGTTCAGGAAAAAATTTTTCAGTAGATCTTCTAGTTTTTCAATAGATCTGAAGTATTTAAAAGATTACTGTAGACTCACTTTGGATGTTCCTGACTACTGTAGGCTATGATAATTTTTTGTAAGTGAAAAGTATTACAAGGTAACTGTAGATTTCCCGGGTTACTGTAGAATACTGATAAATCTAATCAAAATATTTCAAAAGTTACTGTAGTCTTACTTTAAATTTGTATAGGCTAGATTCATTTTTGATCACCAAAAGTTTCGGTGAAAAATTTAAAAAAAAACGAATCAGTTTTATTTTCTTCAAAAATTATGATAATATATTTCTTATCGGGGAAAAAATCAGGGAAAATGTGACCCGAAAATTCCTCAAACACCTCGTGTCAAAAATTAATCATATTTTTTGGCAGCGACTGAAAAATCGGAAGTCTATGTATTATTTTTGAAAAGTTTTGAGTGATAGGGATTTTAAAGATTCCAAGGATTATTGTAGAGATGATAAAAAGGGTACGGTAGATTCTGAATAACTTTTCTGTAGATCAAAAATAGTTTTAAGAATTACTGTAAGTTCTGAATAAGTCAGTTCAAAAATTGATATTTTGGGCTACTGTAGATCCCTGATGACTTTCAGCAGAGTAAAAGTTATCTAAAAACTATTGTAAGTTTTTCTGCAGATCGAAAACAATTTTCAAAATAAAATAAAAATGTCACCAACACCACAAATAAAAAAGAACTCCCTATACCCAACAAAAAAACGAAGCACAAGAAAAAAAGAAGAAAAATCAAGGAGCCAAACCACTTGAGTGATTATTATATTTGTTGTGTTCTTGTTATCAGTTCAGCCCAGGACAGCCAGCAAAAAAAAAGAAAATATGAATTGAGGTCGGCGGTTTGAAGCGATTGTGGTTGTTTGTTTGAACACAACGTTTTTTTTTTGGATGGGCGGTACGGTACATATTAACACTGGGTGTTCTGGGAATTGCTTTTTTTTTGAAAAAAAAATGTTGGAATTTGAAAAGCACAGACTATTAAAATTTCAGGATAAACGACAGTTTTATGATTAAAGAATTTCGAGAAAATTGTTTGAACTTCTGAAAAATTGCAGTTCATTTTGATTTTTATTTCAATTTAGAATAGCTCCAAATTTTTTTTGAAATTTGAGACGAGCTTTCTGAAAATATGGTTTTCTAATACTAATTTTGGCACTCATGGAAATAGAAAAAAACAATGATTGAACTTTTTGGACTTTTAAAACCTTTGAGGTTTTCTTTATCAACTTTTTGCTCGCCACGGTTTTGAAAAATTATAAATGAAGTTCTAATTTTTTAAATTCCCGTAAAAATCCTTTTTCACAGGGAAAAATATCTACATTTTCAAAAAAAAGCGTTCTAAATTCAAAAATGATGTTCAAAGGGTGTGGCTGAACACATCAAATGATAAAAAATAATTCCACAAAAAATAAAAATAAATCATAGAAGATGTTGTCATTGATGGATTCATCCATTAATCCGAAATGATTTGATTCAAACTTGTAAACCACCCATCCAAACCCTAACTTTTCATTATTTGTTCCCCTAGAAAATGCGCTAATTCCATTCGATTTTTGATCATTCATTCATTATTTGGGCGCGGTTCAAACATAACAAATGCAGGACGAACACATTTTTGTTGTTTTTTCGAGGAAAAAATAAAGGAAATAGGGCTAATATAAAACAAAAGGTGGTCGATTAGCTAGAGATGATTTGATTCTTTGCTCTTCACTTTTTGATCGACGTTTTTGGGTGGAAGAAGGAGATGTGTGATTACGGTAGAGTGTTGTGGGGTACTGTAAGAATATTTTGATTTGAATATTTCAGAACATTTTGGCGAAATTCATTTTCGCAGAGATTATTCAAAAATTAATTACCTGATAAACAATATTTGGTTTTCCATTGGCCGTGTTTTGATGCGATTTCCAATGAGATTCATAACCTTTCAGATTTCGAAGCACACGATTTTCAGAACTCTCTTCCAATTTTTCATGTTGTTCGAATTCTTCCACAATTTCCAATGGAACATCTGGAGAATCGAAAATTAGAGGAGTTTCAGGCACTTCTGGATTTTCAGGATTAGTGTCAGGCTCAACAACTTCCGGAGTACCACTTTCAGGGTTATCTCTAATATCAGAAGGGGTTTCGGAAGAATTCCCATTTTCCAGTTTATTTAGATTCTGATCATCGGAAACTTCAGGATCAGAACTTTGAGGTTCGGGAACTTCAGGCACCACATTTACAGGATCATGAGTTTCTGAAGCAGATTTCTCCACCATGACTATTTTCTGCTTCAAAATTGGCTCCTGTTCCGGCTCAACTTCAGATCGATTTGTTCTTGGTTCAGGCGATTCTGGTCGAATTTCAGGAGAATCCGGAACATCTGAAGGTTCAGGAATATCAAGTTGAATTTCTGGAGATTCTTGAGGAATTGGAGAAGTCACAGATTCCGGAACTTCAGAATCTTCAACTGTAGATTCAACTTCTTCTATTATTTTTAAATCTTCCTCTCCAACTTCACTTTGAACTTCGGATGCTTCATTCACCAGAATCATTGGAGATCTTTTCTGCCGACTTCCAGTTTCCTCTGATTTTTCCTCTGTTGAAATATTTTTTGAGTTCTCATTCATCAAAAGTCTTTCCGAATTCTCTAGAAGTTCTTTCAATAACTTTTCACTGATCTGTACTTTCTTCTTCGACTCTTCAAATTGTTTCTCCGATGGTCCTCCTAATATCCCACATATTTTCTGATTCATAATCTCAACTTCTTCTGAATAATCTATGATCTTTTGAATTGGACCTGCAGTTTGTTCCTCCAGATTTTCTCTGCCATTTGAAATATCTTCTGGTGTCACTTCAAATGACATTATCGAATTTTTCGGTGAAATTCCGGCCATTTCCATCATTTTTCTATAATCTGATCCAAGATTTTCTACAAGATTTAAGAGTTTTGAAGCATCGGATTTATCGATTCTAGTTTCGAGATTTTTAATATGAAAAGACATTTCGTGTTGAATACTTTCGATTTGAGCAATATTTGATTGAGTATCAGTGGGAGTTTCTTGAATATGAAAATTTTTAGATTTTTCAAGTTCCAACGCGGCGAGGCGAAGGATTGGTGTGATACTTGGTGGCAACCAATGGCGACTCATCTGCAATTTAAATATGACATCCAGATTATTTTTTATCAACAAAATAACTTACATGAGCCTCTGAAAACTGCCTTTTTAGATCATCAATTGCTTGAAATAAAATTTCGGATGTCAAACCAGTCGAAGTTCGAATAATATCTCCAAATTGTCTACTCCATTGTGTAAAAACATTACAAACTTTAATATTTTCTCTGGCATTTGATGCTGCATCTCTAACAACAGGTATTATATTTTCCAATTCTTGAGTCAATTCCAAAATCTTTTCCCGTCGACTTTCTCGAATAAAATGATCTAATTTCGTGATCAATTCTTCATTTTCTTCAAAATCTGAATCAATCAAAACAATTTCACAATGTTTTTCGATTTCCATAATTCGAGTTTGAAGTGGAACATCGCAAGCTCGACACATTGCTGTAAATACTTCTGCGTATTCTCGTTGTGGATTTTTGAGAACTCGATCATTGAAACTTCGAAGTTGAGCTGAAATTGCAGAAAGGAATCCGCGATATGCACAAAGTTCGAAATTCGGTTGAATCGGTTGAATTGTTGAGGATTTTATGGATTCGAGACGCGGGCGAAGTGGAAAATATTGATTTGAGTAGGAAAATGAGGAAGGGGTTTGAATTGGAGGAACTGAAGTTTGGTAGAAGGTTGCAGACGGAATTTGACTGATTGATAATTGACGAATCTGGAAGAGAGGAATTAATATTTTTAATTGTGTAAACTTTTCAAGTTTATTTTTCAGATCTCCTTTTCCAAAATGTTTCCCTATTACCTTATCATCTCACCGATTCTCTCGAATTTGCTCTAGGAACTGAAGATTCAGTAGATGAAGCTGAAGATCTCAAAGAATTTTCAACCGATCTTTTTCGTTTCGAAATCGGTGTTATTCTTTTAGCAGTAATTGATGGTAAAATATTCATATTATTATTTTCATTTGGTTTCGAAGAGTTTGGTCTTGTTCCAATCATCCATTGATTTTCAAACACAAATGGATTATTAATCGGTCCGATTTGTATTAAATCTCCACTTTGTAATTCAATTTGTCCAACAACTTGTAGATCATTGACACGTGTGATTCCAGACAAAGAATGTTCTTTGAGCCAAAAACCGGTGGAATTTGATTCGATTGAGGCATGAAATTCGGATATTCCTCGACCCTAAAAATATATTTTGTTTTCAATGTTTGATGCTTTTTTTTCAAGAATTTCAGAAACCCTAGAAAAAATAAATATGTCTAAACATTCGTAAATGATTAACTAATTAATTCATACGTGTAATTAATTATTTTCATCTTCAAAAAATACCTTGACAATAATATCACAATTCGGCGAGCTTCCAATCGTAGTTTTCTTGTTTTTCAGCACAAAAGTATCCAAATTCGTTGAATTGTATCGTCTCAACATTTTTCGTAAAAGTGCAGGGCAAAAAAAAGTTGAATATGCAAAAAAATAAAAATGAACTGCGGGCGGCTGAGAAAAAATACTAATATGAATTGAATTGAATTGAAACCGGGTATCCAATGGTTACCACCGACAAAAAGTAGTTGTACCTTTTTGTTTTCTGTCCAGTCGATTTTTAATAAGAAAAGGTGATAAGAAAAAAGAAATGCTTGAGCTCCAGAAAAAACTAGGAGAGAAAATAATTTATGAACACTGGAAATGCGAGGAGGCAAAGTGATGAATATGTACACCTGGGAAAAATTGTAGAATAGAAAAATATCTAGAATTATATCAGAAAAATTGTAGTGTTTGAAGGAGGTAAATAAAAACAATAATAATTTTGTTTTTGTAGATTTTTTTGAGTTTCTTGATGAATTTCGATTTCAATGATCTTGGAAATCCTTGCAGATTCAAGAAAAAAATGATTCTTTGAATTTCATTTTTTTTTCTCTAAAAATGTTTGGATTAAAAATTTGAAACCTATAATTAGGTAACATTCTGAATTTCGACCTTTAAATTTTTTTGTGGGTGACTAATATTTTTTAGAACTTCAGGAGTTTTCAGGACCTCAAATTTATCAACATAAACTTCTAGAGTCTCCAGATTTTTTTTTCGAAAATATTTCTATGAAAATCAACCAACTTCAAACTCGAAACATCAATATCATCATAAATCACGTCATTCCCTTAATAAAAGGAACAAAATATAAAAAAAAAACAAAACAACCTGAAAAACTCTTCGCCAAATGAAAAGTGCAACATTTTTTCCCCAAAAAAATACAGTATAAAAAGGGGAGGGATTCTCAAATCAACCAACTCTACAAAACTTTCTGATTTACAAAAAAAAACATGAACGGATTTTATGTATTCCTTCTAATTTCCACCATTTTTATGGTGTCAATTTTTGGAGCACCAACTTCAACATCAAATTCTGCTCCATCGCAAACCCTTCTTCAAGAATCAGCCTCTCAAATTTCCGAACAACCTCGTTCAAATCGTGTTCGTCGTTGGTTCCCTGGTGGTTTTGGCGGCGGTTTTGGTGGCTACAGTAATTATGGTGGATACAGTAACTATGGGGGATATAATGGATTTGGAGGAGGATTCGGGCCTGGCGGATTTGGTGGATTCAATAATTATGGAGGAGGTGGCAGCTATGGGGGATATAGAAACTTTGGAGGATTCGGTGGATTTGGATGGGGAAAATAAACAGAAAACATTTACAAAAGCTTTTTTATTTAATGTGATATTTTCTGATTAAGCGTGTGATTTTTGCCATAAATAAATTATCTAATTCGAAAAATGTTATTCTAGAAATGAAATTTTAATTTTTAATCGACGAATTATGAATTGAAAAAAAAGGGCCAAAACTTCCCTATTCCCAAAAATTTCCCCTTTCCTGAAAAAAATCAAAATATCTTTGCAAAATGTAAGACTACAGTATTCGTTCAAAAAAAAAAATCAAAAAAAGTTGAAAATTTTCATTATTTCGCCTATATTACATACATTTCAATTAAAAAAAAACAAAAAATGGATTTTTCGTAAAAAATCACACAGAAAAACCCATGATAAAAAGGAGGACAAATTACAGATTTTTCAGCAAAAAAGGGGAAAAGACTAGAATTGAACTAATTCATTAAATTATTATATATGTTTGGGAGATAAAATATTTAAGGCAGATGATTTTGGCTTTTTCAAGGGGGCGTGAAAAAATGTGTGAGTTTATATTTTATTTTTAGAAATCTAGCGTTTTTGATATTCAGCAAGTGGTTTGATGATTCCATCATTATAGGCTTGAAGAATTGATTCACATACAAACGTGTATTGACCCTGAAATAATATGAAATTGGAATTTGAAACAAAAAATCATGTGGGGAAGATGTTGTAAACTCTGATTGCGGAGACTCGAAAATTAAAAATCCCGATTTTCCCAATTTTGCACAAAAAACCAGCATTGCTCATGTTAAGTTAAAAAACAAAAAATGACTCATTTTTTTATTTCCGCCTTTTGAAAAAAAAAATCATGTAAAACATTTCGAAAAGTCAATTTCTCCTGTTTCAGTCAAACTACAAACTTTATCTATTTCTCATCTCTAATCTAAAAGTGGAATTACAAACTACAAAAGGAAAAAACCAGTTTTTTGATCTTGAAATAAAATTGTGACTAATTTTTTCATTTGACGAAATTCAGAATATTTTGAAAATTTTTATTTTGTTTACCACAACAATTTAGAATTTTAGTTTTTGATTAGGGCCTAAGAAAGTTAGGGGCATTCCTAAAAATAAGAAAATTTTATAAATTTAATGAAAAATATAGCTATTTGACTTTTCTAGAATAGAACTTTGAATTCTTCCCCAAAAAAATCCTTCAAAAATGTTCTCACCGGTGTTTGTATCAACATAGCTCTTTGATCTCTCATAGTTCGAACAATATCCAATGGATAAACTGGTTCATTTGATTCAACTAAACAAGCGGCAGTTTCCATCAAAATCAAAACTCCAGTTCTTCCGATTCCAGCTGAACAATGAACAACAATCGGATCAACTGAGCCAATTCGAGCTTTTCGAACTTCATCAACAAATGAAATGAAATGTTTTGGATCATCTGGAACACCGTGATCTGGCCAAGCTGTGTATTGCATTTGAGTTACGCGGCGTTCTTCGTTTGTCTGAAACCAAGATTTTCTTTAAAATAAATAATCATGTTTATTTCATTTTTGAAAATCAAAAGCAAATTCAGTCAAAAATAATTTGTACGTAATTTTTCGAAACCACAGAACTCTACGTATCAAAAAATTTTCAAATTTTCAAAGGAAAGATTTCCAAAAATTCAAAAAAAAACAACTAACCGTTCGATCTCTAACAGTAAATTCTCGATAAGAACAATTTGGAGTCTGTCGATCTTTTATACATCGAACCATCAATTTGCCATATTCTTGTGTTTCATATAATCTTGGCCAATATTGATGACATTTGACTCTTCCTCTTTCACTTAATGTTGTTAACATCACAATTGTTGCACATGATTGTTCCCAAACCATTAACCAAAAATCAGCAGAAGTGTGTTGAAGTGGACCTTGACATGCGATATATCGATTGATTATTCCCGATGATGGGATTTCCATCTGTAAATTAATTTGAAGTTAGTCTTGCTTCTCAAAAATTAGTTTCTCAAACAATTATCGAGAGTTGTTGGAAAATTTACATTTAGATTGTTCATGATTTCAAGTTTCTAATTATTTTTTGTGAATTTCACAAATTTATTTAAAATTCTCGGACACACCTCGGCCAAGCCGTGGCTGGCCAGAGTACAATTTTTGGAAAAATCTGAATTTCAGTTTTTAGAGGTCAAAAATTGAAAAATCATAATTTTTAGAGGACAAAAACTGAAAAATTCACAATTTTTGTACTGTAAAAATATAGCGTACAATTTTTCATTGTGGAAACCACGATCTTGGCCGAGGTGTGTTCTCGGATTGAAAAACATGAACAATCAAGTGTTTCATTTCCTGGGGGGTTTTTTTTTGAAAATTCCGTGTTCTCAAACAAATTTTTGACACAATTTTACATGGATTTTGCAAAAAAAATGATTTTTTTTGAGAACTTTTGAATACTCAAAATCTTTTACTCGTCTCAACCCAATTTTTTTTTCGAAGCTCTCACACATCATATTTTCTTTATCCCATCCCCAAAAAAACTCACATTCACAAAATTGGCATTGATATAATCACCAGTGCTCGAACCTTGCAAACACACTCTTGTCTCATCATACGGACAAACATCTCGATATCGATTTTTCGCCAAATTCGTTCCAAGCCGACAAACATTTGTGTGCAGACCAGGCTTTTTTCGATACAACATTTCGAATAGAACAACAATTTTTCCCTCATTCAGTGAATCTGACAATAATCTCAAAGACTGTGATAATTTATCCGATCTTGGTACAGAATCTGCCACTCTAGCTGGTTCGGGAACACAAGAAACATCAGGCTCATCAACTTCTTCTCCCATTCGATAAACATTTGGTTTAATAGTCAAATGTAGTTCACCTTGTCCTTGTCTCGCAGATCGAATAAATTGAACAACTTGATCATGTGACATTATCGAAACATCTCTTCCATCAATAAATAATACTTGATCTCCCTCATTCAATCTTGGATGACATTTGTCTGCTGAACTTCCAGGTGCAACTCTTGAAACAATCACCGGATAATTCTGATCAGCTCCACCTTTCACATTGAATCCAAATCGACCATGTCTATCTGGTCGCATTTTCACAGTCACAATTTGATCTTCTCCAACTGGACTATTTGATTTATTTGATTGGGGAGATCTTCGAGATCTTGGGGGAGATCCTCCAATTCCAGCTGATGCAAAAGATGAATAACTTGCCACAGAATTTCGTGGACTTGAAGATGGATAATTTGATGGAGGAAGTCTTGCTTTATTATTCATTATTGCAGCACCAGATGATCGAGATATTGTTCCACTTCCATCTGAAAAAAAAGAATTTTGAACTAGTTTTGAAGATTCTTATTCAAATTTTTGCTGAATTTTCAGGTTCAATTATACCAAAAAAAACTGTCAAGAATTTTCAATTAAAAAAAACTTATTTCGAAAATAGCAAAAACAACTTTCCAGATTGACATAAAAACCTATCACTAAAATATTAACCAATTTTTTGTTGAAAGTTCACTTGACCCTCAAAAAACTAACTAATATATGGTGAATAATTTGCATTGTTAGCAGTATTTTGTGTCGAATTTGCTGTTGTTGTTGTTGTATAAGATCGTTCTCCACTTCCATTATAAGCTCCATATTGTTTTCGATTCGATCCATTTGGTGTGGAAATTGGGCGAGAATGAATAGCTGGTTGAGGTGGAAGAGGTTGAGATGATGAAGTGCATGCCTAGAAAAAAATTATTGAAATTTGGGTAATTTCAGAGAATTTTAAGGGCCTTCATTTTTATGGGAATTTTCGAAAATCAATTTTTTTTTCGAAAAAATTCTGAATTTGTAATTTTCAGTGTGGAAAATTTTAATCCGTACATCTAATTTTCGGCGAACCCAAAACATCCCCAATCAATCAATAAATATTTGTTTCCTCCACTGATTTTTCTATTTTTCCGTGTATCTGACGTACTTATCGGTCGGCACAGGACAAATAAAGTGTTTGAAGAGTGAACATACACATACTGTGTTCAGAAACACAAACTAGTTTCAATTGTATTTTTTGGGGATAAAAAATTGTTTCAGATTAATACTTTGTAACAAAATTCAGAAAAAATGTTCAAAACCGCTTTTGAACAAAAAATTTGTTCAGAAAATTTTGAAAAACTTTTTTGATACAACCTTTGAACAAATAGAAAAAAAGGGATTTTGACATTTCCTGGAACTAATTAAAGATATTTATTTAAAAATGAAAAAAGTTATGAAACTCACCATATTATAAATGTAAAAGGTTTTGGAACTATTTTTTCTTTGGTCAAAATCAGACCCCAAGGTCACCCAAAATTACAATTACAATTACAACAATTACATTTGGTTAAAAACTTTTTGAAAAAGAAAGAGAGAACTTTTTTTTGGTTCACTGAGTTTTTGCGAACTTACTTACTTTATTTGGTAATTAGTTTTGGAATTTGGAATACTTTTGCGAGGGTGGGTGAAAAATTGAGAGTTTTTGAGAATAAATCAAAAATCCAATGTTTCAGACTAGAAAAATTAGCCTACATTTGAATTTCAAGCTGAAAATTTGTAGATGTGACGTCAAGACCTTACATTAGGTTTTCACCAAATTTTCAATAAAAAATGAAACTGTTTTGATTCAAAATTTAAACATTTGTGACACTTTTCTACGTCATAACAAAATAGGAAAAAAAACAAATCAGACTAGAGGATCATAGTCAAAAACTACCAAAAATCTGATTTTTTCCAAAATTCTCCAACCTGTCGATTTAATCTTCTCACAGTTTCAGCAATATCAATTTTTCCTGGCGTCGTCGATCCATTTACTCGAAAAGATAAAGAACTGCCAATCGGCATAGATGACAAAAACAATAGAATTTTCAGCAAAAAAAATTGTGTCGTCGAAAAAAGATACTAGTAGATAGGTAGGTAAAATATGTACAAGAACTTCGTTGCGCGCGCAAAAAAAAACCACGAGAGAGAAAAAAAGACAGAGAGTTGAAGGTGCTTCTTTTTTCTTCTTCGCAGGCTGCGCAACACCGATTTGTATGCTTAACCGTACTTTTGGAAAAACGAGATAGTATTGGAGGATTGAGAGACGCAGAGATGAGACAAACCGGATTCGAGAAAAATGAGGGAAAAGAGGGGAATATACATAGCAAAACATCATACGCCGTAGATTTTTTCGAGCTGGAAAATGAGAGACGGAGAGAGAAAAACGGTAATTTTTGACAGATTTCGGAAGAAAATCGAAACTTACAAACATTTTATGAGTTTGAAATTGTTCAAGTCTTCTATTTTTGATTTTTTTTAATTTCAAAAATATGATTTTTTCGACAATTAAAAACCCCGAAAATATACGTGTCAAAGCTTTGGTAAATATAGAGACCGGAATTTCAAGCGTTAGTTTCAAAATTCAGTCCATTTCCAATTTTTTTTCGAAACTTTCATGAAAAATGAAAAACATCAGAGTCTTGAATTTTGACTCATTCTGGAAAATCCCGAAAATATACGTTTCAAAATTTTCTAAAATATGTTCGACCTAAATTATTTAAAAAGTAAATTAAAGGAAAAAAAAATAAAGTGGAGGCCAATTTTTATTTTGAAATTCTTGGATAAATCTCAAAAATTTTACCTTTGCCAGAATTCTAAAGAAACACGATTCAAATGAAAATTTTCTTCTTCATTGTTACACTTAAAAATTTCAATTTTGCCGTCAAATCATACAAGTTTCCTATTCCACCAAAAGTCCACAAACCTCACCCAAGAACCTGGAGAAATGGGAAAAAATTGCCCATCTGGGTTTATTTTCAAAAAAAGCCCACCTAGTAAAAAAAATTGCCCACCTGAGGCTCGCCTTGAAGACCCTTAAAAAATTTTGCCCGCCTGAGGCTCACCTTAAAGACCCTAAAAAAATTTTGCCCACCTAGGTTTTTCGAAAAAAAATTGCCCACCTGGAATTCCAGGTGTTGGGTGAGGTTTGAAAAGTCCAGAAGAAAATCGCAAAAATTGAATATTCAAAATCATACCATTTGAACTAACAAAACTATTCTTTCCAATAAAATTTCCCAAGTTTCCTAACTCAAAATTAATTTCCAAAAATATCAGAAAACTCTCAAATTTATTTTTTTTTCGAATCATTTTTGAAGGTCTACTGAAAATTCCCTCTAAATTCCGTCCCAAGTTCCTCTAACTCACCATACTCGGCGTCCAACTTTTCTCGTCGCAAGACTCTTGTGTTCCGTAGTAAGTTGAATCCTTGTTCAAGCGGGTTTGTCGCAAAGAAGGTGCCGAAGATTCGCTAAAAAAATTGAATTTTAAAATCAATTCATATGAAAATCAACCCTGTGACGCCACTCAAATGAAAAAATGAAATTTTTTTCTACAGCATTCATTGAATTGAATCGTTCAAATCAAGTCAGCTTAAAGAGTCAATTTTTGATTGTTTATTCTCTGTTTCTCTCAATTTTCCATACTATTTTCAGGTGCTCTTTTCTTTTCTTTTCAACACACAAATACTCACACAAAAATGCGTCAACCGGTTAATATTGTATTAAAAATTGGGATGGATAGATTGCGAAAAAAAGATAGATAGATCTATTAATTTAATGGCGAAAAATATCAAATTACCGGATGGATGATGACCGCATTTTTTTTTGTTTTTTTTTCAAGAGCCAAAAAACAATTTTTGCTACGATTTTCTCAAAATTCAGAAAGAAAAATAAACAGGTTTATAAATTTTATGAACTCATTTACAAGTTCTGAAAAATATTCCATATCCTGAAAATCTTATTCAGGACTGAAATTTTGTGCTGAAAACGCTGAAACTGTAAATTTACAGTATTTCCATCATTTTGAGCATAATATTTGAGTCTAGAACTAATTTTTCGGCTTCTGGAAGCTTTTTCAGGATGACCCTGAAAATCTTATAATTTTCCAAATATTTTTATTTCGATCATTTTTCCTGCTTCCCTCAATTAAAAATTAAATTTCAATTCAGCCAAGCGAAAATCATAAAACTTTTTTTTAAAGTCGTTATATACAAAAAAACATTTTCAAAAGAAAATTGAAAAATGAGTCATTTTGTACACTGTTTGTACGATTTCGCCATTTCGGAAAGTTTTTTGACAAAAAATAGGGAATTGCTCAATACTTACAATACAAGTGAGCTATGACGTGGCAAAATTTGAATCTGGAGGTTTATCAAAATCGGATTCAGTTTAGTCATTTCATAATTACTTTCATGAAAGATCAGATGAACTAAAAAAATCCGGAAAATTTTAAACGACAAAACTTTGAAGCGTATAATTTTCTAGATTTCATAGTAAATAAATATCTAGAAATACCCACCGAATTCTCCTTTGTCTCCCATTGTTATTATTCAAATTTTGAGTATTAGAGTAATTATTAGGAGTACCGTATTTATCAGCCACCCAGGGTCCCACAGCGAATTTCAACATTATCAATAAAATATTTAGAGGCTCATGAAATATAATAGTATATAATAAAAATAAATCAAATCTCTTGGGAGCAGCTGGCGGTGCAGAAAAAAAGAGGTCCGCAGTAGACAAAAAGAAGAGAAAAGGGGAGAAAAATGGGCGTGGCTTAAATGAAATTTGGGGCGTGGTCCCTTAAAAAAAGAGATTTTTTGGAAGAAGAAGAAGAAGAAGTCAATCAAGCAAAGACTTTTTGTGTTTTTGTTGAGGCAAAAAACGAGAAGAAAAACGGAGGAAACAACTGGTACTTTTTGCATGTTGTAAAGTTTTTCGGGAGGAAAAAAGAGAGAAAGGTTGAGGGAAAAGGAAAAAGAAAGTGCTGAAAGTGTAGGAGTTTTGATAAATGAGACTGAAATTGAGGAAGTTGATTAGTTTTTGACCTAAAATTCCTTGGTTTTTATATGAAAAATTTAACAATTTATAGTTTTAAACAACAAACTTTTAACTTTCTGGTACTGAAATACTCACATTTTTGAAAATTAGATTCCAATTTCAAATTCAGAATTTTGGTTAAAAAAAATCGAACTTATTTTTTGCTTTGAACATCCATGTGGATGCCACATTTTGAAAATCAAATCTGTTCCAAGTTTCTTATTTTTTTTTAATTCTTAAATTCTGAAACTCAAAAATCACATTTCTCTCTCTCTCTCTCTCAAGCTTTTTTTCAATATCAAATTTCCAGGTATGCCTTCCTTCCGAAACCGCTGTCAAAAATCCCATCAATCAAAAAATATCAAAAATTCATAACATTACTTTTTTGCCCCAATTTTTGACCATTTCATAAAAATAACAATATTATTTTTCAATGCGGGGGACCAACACAATTGAAAAGAGCAAGAGAAAGCAAGAGTGAGAGAGGAGATTATATTATAAATAGTATTTAATTACATATATATATATATATACGGACCACCCAAAATAATATGGGTTTTCGTTGTTTACCTGTCAAAAATTTGGAGAAAAGAGAGGATTAAATAAAGGAGGCAGCTGCGGGTTTTTTCTATTTCATGAAAAAATTCTTGTTCACAGAAAAATAGAGAATTTCTGGGAGCTTTTATCTAATTATTTAATTTAGCGAAAATCTAAATAATGGGTAATTTTTGAAAAATTTAGGGCGGTTCTATTTTTTGTAGGTCAGAATTGCATGAAATCTATGAATATACAGTAATTCTGAACTTTTTCAAGGTTACTGTAGATTCCGAATATGTCAATTTTTTAAATCTAAACTATATTTAATTTCAAATTTCATAGAATCGCATTTAAAAAATTCAGAATTTTCAAACGAAAAATTTTTCGAACCAAAGTTTAGATATTTGCACAAAATGTACGATTTTCAGAACTCTAGATATTTTTCAACGTAAAAAGGACCTTCTTGCTCAAAACTAAAAAAAAACTAATACTTTTTTGCTCTCTCATGATGCTCTCGGCATCAAAAAGTATCATTTTACAGAGAGCAAAAACTCTCGAGAATTACAAATTTTGTTTCATTTTCGATCAATATTATCTACCTAATTTCCCTGCCCGCGCAAAAATTCAATTTCTTCCCAATTTCCCATTTTTGCGGTGCTTTCTTTGCAACATGAAAAAAAGAGGGGCGAAAGCGAAAAAAGTTGAAAATGAATGTATATGTCCCAGGGGAACAATTTTTCGGAATAAGAATGAGAGTTTCAAAAACCAGGGTGCATAAAGTGCGTTTTTTGAGAAAAACATATCAAATGACAGATAAACAAGGGGTTTTTTGTGAAAAAAAAACATGAGAAAAATGATATAATTGAGGGGTTTTTGACATTTAGGTTAAAAAATTAGATGAAATCAACGAGTTCAAAAACTGAAGAATTTTACATTAAAATTTGAGATAATTTTTAATCTGAAAAAATTTGATACACAATTTCCAGTAAATCAAAGACAGTGATAATTTTCTTTTTCTCAAACTAACCGGCAAATTTTCAAATCTTCACAATTTCTCGCCTCATTTTCAGCCGCATTATTTTCATGACATCCAGCCAAAGTAACATACCAAACATTCACACATAATCCCTTGATTTTCAGACAAGCTTTTTCGACAAACGACAAATTTTCAGTCATTATGACAAAATTTCAGATCATCTGAATCAAAAAGAAATAATAAGAACGAAATTTCAGATTAAAAATATCCAAGGAGAAAGTAATAGGAAACAGATGTGACAAAAATTGAAAAACTTTGTAATTTTCCAGGAAAATACAAAATAAAAAAGAGGTCAAGATGATCCATTTGAGATTAAAATCTTCAAAAGAATATTTGCGGAATGAGCGGAAATTGATTTTTTTCTTTTTCGGAATGAATGAAGTGAGGTAGAAACAAAGAAGGATTTTTTTCTTGAAAAAAAAAATATTTTTCACCTATTTTCGTCTACCCAAGCCACCCAAAAAAGGACAAATCTAACAAGAATTACAGAAAAAAACCAGTTCTCTTTGAATGTTGAAAAAAAGAACCAACTAATTTAATAACATTAAAAATCAGAAACGGAGAAGACAAGAGGTTACAGTACTTGGGTTCAAAAATGCCGACTTTCTCGAAAAAAAGGAAAAAAAAACTAGAAATTTGTCTGGCAACTTCCGTTCTCCGAAAAAATGTCAAAAAATGAAATCAGCGCCCGCGTTTCTTTTTTTGCATTTCTGTGACAGGACAAAGCGATATAAATATATAGAAATAATATTAATTTGATATATCCGAAAGAGAGAGCAGGCAAAAATCGAGTAGACAAATATCGGAACAAAAATGAAGAGAAATCCGGTGGCCGGCAGAAAAAAAAGAAAGATCAGAAAAAATGAGTGCGCGGATTAATAGAAAATAAGCACTGTTAGTTCATTTTATCAGATAACATTAAACCAACAAAAAATATGTTGTTATAACGAAAAAATGACCGAAACCTTGATTTTTTGATTAAATTTCTTATTGAGCTATTCAGTTTTTGTAATAAAAACTTTGAAAAATCCAAATTTTTTATCGAAAAAAACGGAACTTGTAATAAAAATTGAAATAAAAGCTGGCATTTGATTAAATGTTCGAAAAGGTAAACTGATTTCGAAGCGAAAATTTTCAAAAAAAAAATGTCGTTCAAAAGTTGCTAATATTTCAAAAAATCACACTTTCATGAATTATTCAATTTTATTTTTCAGATAAATGTTCAAATTTCCACATTCTTCAAAAATTAATGTGGGAATTGAATTAAAAACTTAGCAATCTGAGCAAATAGGATATTCATAGAAAAATAGTCCATGAGATGGAAAAAAAAATTCTGATGAAAATTAAAGTTTTCAGTTTTCAGAAGATTTTATAAAAATGGAAAACAACTTTTTCAAAAACGAAGTGAAAATTTTCTCTTTTCGTCTAAAAATGACATGACTTAAAATTGTTTTAAACGGTATCTAAAAATAGTTTTTCTCTCAATTTTTCAAAAAATCTCAAATAAAACCGGCTTCAATGAGATTAGGCAACATTAACATAAAATGCCAGCAGAATTTCAAGAATAACAAATTTTCCAGGAAAAAAATCAAGAAAAATGCGGATTAAAAAATTCGGCGAGAAAAAAAGGGTATCGAAATTGAAGAATAGACAATTGAAAAGCATTGAATTAAAAATATTTGCTTGTTTACGCAGAAAGAAATAAAAATATATGACAACAAACACGAAAATATGACAAAACAAAACAAATACAACCCGATTGACCAACATTTTTCTGATTTCTGGACAAAAAATCCCTAGGAGGAAGAGGAAATACACCCTAGAATAGTTTTTTGTGTGAAAAAATATTTCAGTAGTGAACAGCAAGCCCCGTTAGCGGCTTTTTCATCTCGGAGATCTGGTCTCTTGGAGGCATAACTTCAAAAATGTAGGATTCAAAACTTTTAAATCACACCTCGTCCAAATTTTTTGCTTTGAAAATCTAGAGTGTCAAAACGTGTATCTGTATTTTGGCCGAAAAATAAAATGAACACTATTATTATTTCTATTCCTTTTATCAATCAGCGGGTGTAAAAATGATGATGATGATAACACAAAAAGAAGAAGATACATAACAAATCTTATTTCTAAATACAAAATTATCTTTCTCAAAGCGTGTATTTATTTACTACAGCAAACTTTTTGAAAAAAAAAACTTGGGGTAGTTCAAAAATAGTTGCATTCAATTTGGTAGATTTCAATCAGGTCTCAAAAAATAGAGAAAAAGTTTTGAGTGTCATATCTGTTTTCTGGCTACTGAATTACGGTCCTCATTTTTCCCTCCCATCAAAACCTCCAAAAACAACTAACCTATCAGTACAGTAATCCCTAATACTTCTCGGTGACAATGGTGTGGTAATTGGTGCACACACAACAGCACCATCTGAAGCATAGCCAAGAGTGTCGGAGGTTTCGGATTCGTGTCGAGTTGCGGCGTGGATTAGGCGACGAGCGAGGGCTTGGCCGTTTGAGCTGAAAAAAAAAACATGGGGATTTTAGGAAGTTTATGAGCCGAAGAACTTCAATTTAGTAAATCGGAAATTTTTGTAGAAAATACTCACTCAAAAATGTTTCTAAATCGAGACAAAAACTTCGCAAACTTATCAAATATATTTTCAAATTTGGGAAATTCATTTTTGTAACCCCCTCCCGCCCATAAAATTTCATCAACTAACCTTGGTGGTAATTCCGGTGATTCAGTAGTAGTTGTTGTATATCTCGATGAATCAATTGATGGTGTATTTGCACTGAAAGTCGATCGAATAAACGAGTTTTTCGACGAACTTCGATGAAAACTTCGATTGACCGGAGTGGATATTTTTCGATGTTCAGCCTCTTCCATTGTTTGATATTCAGTTCTTCCAGAATATCGAAAACGACTTCCAACCGAGAACAATAATGTCTTCTTTTGAATCACTTTTGGCGGTGATTTTAATCGAAAAAATGTGTGTTGTTCAATACAACATTTCCATAATTGTTTGCATGATTTTGGAGAGCAAATATTGAAAATAATCAATATTTCAGCTGATTCTTGATCGGATGCAACTTGAAGATAAAATTGCTTCTTTCGAAAGCTTAGCTTCATGATTCTTGACCAGCTGAATTCGTTCATTTTCAATCCTTCGTGGAATATTTTAATTCCGATGGATCCGACTCCAATTTCAATTGGTAATCCATTTGCATCTCGACCTTCATACACATCCATTCCATACATTTCTAAACGTCGAGCATGGTCGATGAAATTGAATTCGGCTTCAGCAGGAGATTGACCACTAGAAAACATTTTTTGGAAATTAAATTTCAGAAAACCCCAGATTTTTTCTCCCCAACTCTCTATTTTTTTTTCAAACCTACATATGCAACTGATGAAGTTCCGCAACTCGTTCACTAAAATCATCCGGTTGAATCGGTGCAAATTTCAATTTATAACATCCACAAGTTTTTGTATTTCCATGATCTTTTTCATCATAATCTCCACAATCCGCTAAAAATTTGTTTTTTTTTGAATGAGTTAGGATGAGTTTAGACTCACATTGTACTGTATAACTTGCCAATAATGCCAAAGAGCCTTCATTACAAGGAAGTTGTCCTTCGAATAAATTGAGGCGTATTTGAAGGAATAGGTGATATCTGTAAGATTTTTTATTAGAAAACTTGCTGAAATTTTTTTCCGAAAATCTTACATACCTCGTGTATTCTTCCCTTAATTTACTCGGATCGCTTACATAAAATTTGACTCGAAAAAACAAATGATATGGCGGACAAACCATTTGTTTCCTCACACATTTTTCCGGATCCAGCCATTTCTTTTGTTGCGAATCATCATCAACCGCCAAAAACAGCAAACCAAAATAATCCTTTTCAATGAGTTCCAAATAATTATAGACTTTTTCGAGGAGCACCAAACCTAACGCATTCTTTTCGAGATCGAAATTGAATTTGCTTCGATCGAGGAATGAGACTGTGCATCGAATATGATTTGGTGGAAGAAGTTGAGTTTTTGTGGAATCGGTTAGACTAACTGCTTCGTTTCGTTGAACATGATAACTTGAGGAGCCCAAGCGCATTTTCGAGATGTGATTTTACAAGAGAACAAGCATTTCGGGGAGGAGGACGGACCTGGAAATTTTGACTTTGAATTTTGAAATGACAATGAAGGGAACAATTACGAAGAAAAAATATTCAAAAATTTAAACACTTGAATTGTTTCCACTAATTTTCTCGGCCAATTTCGACTGAAAATTTGTTTGTTAAAGAAATAGACAACTTTTAAAACTGAGTTTCAGGCTGCCCCAATATTTTTATTTTTCTTACTTTTCTACACACTTTCCAATAAGAAATCATCCGAAATACGCCCGCTGAAATAAATGGCGCAGGGTTGAAAAAAAATAATTCGAATTTGAACGCCCGCCGAGTTCTAGATAATCTAGTGCATTTTTGGGCGACGGTGTGTATTTGAACGCGTGTTTGCAGACAATTTTTTTACTTTTATTTTTTTTTTCGTTTTTTTTCACGAAAAAAAGGAATTTCGCGATGAAAATTGGTTTTTGAGTATTACAGCACATCAGGAATTGTATTTGTTGATATTTCGGTGAGTTTTCATAAACATTTCATAGTTTTCATGTTCATTTTCAGGGAAAACTCGACTATTTACAAGTTGCGAAGGATTTTCGATGGAAATGGAAAATTCAAGCGGATTCTGATTTTTTGTGAGTTTTTTGTTCAACTTTGATGCTAGATGATAGTGACTCTAGGCAGAATCTAACAAAAAACAATTGGAATTGTTAGTTTTGCAACGATTTTGGCTGTGAGCCCATCAAATTTCAAATTTTTATTGAAAAATCAATCTGAAAGTGATTTAATTGTTGCTAATTTCAGAAAACGACGTCAATATTCGGTAATAATGAATGTGGAGGCTCAACAAAGTGATGATTCGCAAAATAATACTCGAATTTTGCGATTTTCAAGATCACTTTTTGAAGTTTCAAAGCCTATCCAAACATCTCTTTGCTCAAATGTTCACTCAAATGTTATGTAAACTGTTTCTTTCAATGAATTTGCTAGATTTTTCCATGTTTTTATCCGATTTCTTTAGGTTTCTTGATTTCGCCAAAAAACGAAGAATAAAAGTAAAACAACGAGACTCCGCGGGACACTGCGCTCACACAATCGCGGCAATTTTTTTATTTTCAAACGAGGGTTTTTTATTTTTTTTATTTTGCTCCAAAAAAGGTTTAGAGTGGGTTTTGAAAGTTCTCGCTTTGCAGATATGTTAAAAATAGTATGAAGAAAGTCATTTTGGGCTGCTTTGAACCGTAGCTTAAAAGTTGTCTATTTCTTTAAATGAATTTGAAAATGACACGTCAGAGATCACGTTTTTAATGGGAATTTGAAAATTTTAATAAGTTTTCTTTGAAAATGAAAATTTGAAAGCTCTATAACTTGATTCTTAATAATTCTTTACTAGATTTCGAAAAAAAATCCGCTTGTCAAACACAAATCAAACCACAAAAAATAGAACAAAAAAAGAAGAAAAAGCTTCTTATTTATGAACCTTTCTCCTTTTTTTGTTTGAACACCAAACCAATTTTCTTCATGTCAGCCAAAAATGGACATTGGGTGGAAAAAAGGAAAGACGGAAGTTTTTTGAGGGAAACTGGGAGAGAGAGAAAAGGAATATTCGAGAAATGACTGAAAATTTCAGCCAATTATAGATATATGGATAATTAGAAACATTTTGCACCAGGGCAAAAAAAGAAGAGGAACTTTTTTGCAAAAAAAAAGAAAAGAAGTTAATTTGTGAAACGAATGGAACTGGAAAAGAATAAGTTTTGAACTTTTTAGGAGAAAAAAGTTTCAAGTTCAAAAATTGTTTTCAAGGAAAACCAAGTTAGCCAAAATTGAGAGAAAATGTTAGGGTTTTATTCATTATTTTAATCAAGAGCCCTGACTCACCGAAATTAAATCCAGCATTTTTGAGAAATGATTAAATTTTTCGAAATAAAAAAAAGACACGTGAGAATTGATGACGTGGAAAAATCAATTTTCAAGCGTTGAAATTAAAAATGTTGGCTTAGTTTCCGCAACTCAACAATTCGAATAATTGTATTTTAGTGCAGTTAAATGTTTCGAGAAATGCAGACAAAAGAAAAAAGTTCAAAGTTCAAAAAGCTATAGAATTTTCTTTAGACATTCTGGCTTTGATTTTGTCTAATTAACAATGAGATTAAGATTATGTGGCAGATTGATTTAAAAAAAACAACCTAGAATTTTTCAAAATGTAGTAATGTTTCTTCATCTTGTGTGGTCTTCTCATCCGTCCAAAAAAGCAAAAAAGGAAGATGAGAAGTGTATTTTTCTGCTTGAGGGTTTAGTGTAAAACTGACCTCTCCTCCTGCTTTTTTCCCTTCACTTCTCAGCTTTTCCTTTTTCGGAGGGAGCGCGGATTATCGCGGGGAAGAAAAAGCAAAATCATGAGAAAAGAGTGGGCAGAATTGAGAGAGTACAGATAGACCCAAATATAACAATGAGGGAAAAAAAGAAGAGTTATGATATAATTGAATAAAGTGTTGAGAGAGGCATGAGAAGGGCAAAAAGTCACAATTAACTGGGTATTTTATGCATTTTTTTGGGAGCGGGAATGAGAAGTGGGGATTTTTAAGTGTAAGGGGAAACAGTTAACTAGAGAGTTATGACTCGTTTCTTTCTCAAAAATCAAGTTTTTCAGAATTTAATGTTCGTTATTAAAAATTGGAATTTTTTTTGCAAAAAAAATCGATTTCTTGTTCTGAAATTGATAAAGGAACATTGGAGGCATAAAACTATTTTTTACAAAATTTTTCTTCGAACGACTCTTAAAACTTCGAACGATAAAAATAACCAGGAAGTTTTGACTCAAACTTCTAACCAGATAAATAAATTTTGAAAATTCGTCAGAAATTTGATGAGAGAATTTTCTGCACTCTCAAATTTCTAATTAAAATTTCCTTAATTAGGATCCTTCAAAAATTCACAAGTTTTCAAAGCAAAATTTTATCTACTTATTTTGAAAATTTTCAATTTCTAGAAATTTTAACCTGATTTTGACTTTCAAGTCAAATTGAAGAACCTGGTTGCCTAGGATCCACGTCTAGAAAAATCAGTTTGGCTAGGAGTATAGCTATTTATTGCGTCTTTTCGAATTCCCCACGTCTAACTTATGTACAGAGTTGAGCTAACTAAAATTAACCTGGTGGATCAAAATCAACGGATTGGAAATTCATGAAAACTAATATCTTTGCTCACAAATCTTGGCCTCAAATGTTCATCCCACATCAAAATATGAATTCAAATCGCTCCTCATTCTCAACATCAAAAAAAAAAGCAAAATTGTGAGCATCCTCCGACGAAAAAAAGAAGAATACAAATTTCGAATAAAAAAGCCGACGAGATGGGTTTCGAGTTGCAAAATGATGTATTGGTCAGCTTTTTTTGGGCTCCGTTTTTCCACAACACAACACAAGAAAAAATGAAATAGAGTTTTTTTTCTCGTTTGTGAATTGCTATTATTTTGTTTTTGTTTAGTACTCGAGAAATGAAATGAAAAACAGACGTGGAAAATGAAAATGAGGGGAACAAAACTGAGAATAGTAGAATAGAATAAGAGAAAGAGGAGAGGAAGGACAAAAAATGAAAATATGTGCATTTTTTCTCTGGAGGACGATGTCCGAACGCTAGAAAAATTATGAAAACTGTTATTATGCAGATTAATATTTTGTAATAAAACTGAAGAAAATTATTATTTTTACAGAATTATTTTTTAATCTGTTATTTTTTTCAAGTTCGGATTCACGTGGTAATTTGATATTTCAAAAGTTTTGGTTGCAAAAAAACTGAACATTACAGATTTTCAAAATTTCGCTAAACAATTATCGAAAAAACAATCAACGGAAATTCCTAGGAAATGTTCTCAGTTAAAAAAAAAAACTAGGCTTCAAATTTCTGGGCCAATTTTTTACAAGCCCATAATAATTTGAAAACAAAAAAAAATAAAGTTCACAAGATTTTCTATACAACTTCAACTTGAGATTGTTTTATGTTGTTGTGTCCATTCAAAAAGTCATAAAATAATAACATTTGCTGTGATATGTGTTCACTTTTAAATTGATTCACATAAAATAAAATATGATGAAGCTTGCAAGTATTTTAGGCTTACTGTGTGTGAAAGTGAAATCGGATATTTGGGGAATAAAAAAGTTTACGCCATATTTTGGTGGTGACGTAAAATATGATTGAAGTGTTTTTGAAAATATCAACATTCAACTCGGAAAAAATCAAATAATTTATACAAAGTTTTTTCGGTGTTTCCTAGTTTTTTTCAATTATTTGAAAAATTTGGAAACCCTGAAAAACAGGAAAATTGTTCATGTTCATTTTTGGCGGTTTTTCACCTTGCAGAAAACCCTCAGGAATGATAAATTATCGAAAATGCTTCCAAAATTCTCCGAGTAAAAGTGTGAAACCGGAAAAATCCGAGAAAGTTGTAAAAAATGAAAAGTCGAGGAGCATGTGCTCTTCTGAGTTGGCCAGAAAATGAAACAAAAATCGGGGAAAATGAGAAGAGGCGGAGGTCAGAAAAAAAAGAGAAGACAATGTTTTTTTATGAGTTTCCTGATTTATTACAGATGCCTTTTTACAATTTTTAATGTGGCCTATTTGATTTTGTGAATGAACTGAATTTTGACAGAATGGCAAAAAAAAATGAAAAATAATATGTAATATAAAAATTTGGGGTTTGCTGACTGACTGAAAAACAAACCTTTAACGAGTAAATGAACCGAGTGAGTGACGAAAAAAAAAGGTTTTTTCAAGCAAAAATTTTGAAAGTCTCAAACCGCAAGTGGAAAACTATTTCGACTCGAAAATTCGAAAATTGTTTCAAAAAAGTGTCATCTGCTTGGCGCAACACCACACCAACCTCTCAACAATGAAAACATTGAATAATAGATTCATATATTTCATGTCTAATTCTCTCATCTTACAATACTCTCTCACCCTACCCATATGGTGCAAAAGAAGCGGAAAAAAAGTGATCTGTCAATTTTCCCACCATGTAAAGAAAAAGGGAATGTTGTTCTAAAAAAGCGGAAATATAGATAGATCACCCACGTTTTTTGAAAGTTAAGTGAGCTGGAAATTTCAAGCGGAAGTAAGGAAAGAGTTCTGAAAACTTACAGAGAAAATGAATATTTTTGAAAAACTCCTAAATCAATCTATCTACTACTAAATAGTCCAGTCAGCTGTGTGTTCCAAAAATAAGTGTAATAAATGAAGAAGAAGAAAACTGGGGTGATGAAAAGGGTGGAAGTTCACCCTAAAAATAAAAAGAAAGAGAAGATAGATCTATTGGCTGATCGGATTATTATTAAACTAACTCTTTTCTTTGTCTTGTTGTGATACTTTTTGTAAATAATTGGAGAGAGTTAATGCAAATGGAACATTTATGAAATTATTAGGTTGCGAAATAAAATATGCATTTTTTGCTTTTTTTTCATTTCGCAAGACTTTATGAATTTGGAGAATTTTCACAAAAAATTACATAGAGAAGCTTTTTTGCAAAAAAGTTCAAGAAATTTTTGTGTAAATACAAAATACGATACATTATTCAGTCAAAAATATAAATAGACTAAGAAAACTTTGCAAAACGAACAAATTTGGCGAAAAATTACAATAAAAGTAAGATTGCATGTTCGCTCTAATGCGAACAGTTTTCTCTGGCACACTCCGCAAAACACGTTGTCTTTTTCAATTCGAAAAATTTTCAAAAATTTCCAATGAAAAATTACCTTGTAAATTTCGAATCGAATCCTTGCCATAATCATGTTGGAAAAAACATCCACCAAATTATCTTGACTCGAGTACTCGGGGCTAATTATGATGTTGTCGTTGATGAGGCGATTTTCCTTGAATGATCTGAAAAGAAATTTTTTTTGAATGGAAATTTTCTTTCAACAGAGAAGAGAAAAATTCTATGTTTTCGTTTTTTAAAAAACGCGCTCGTGGGTGATTTTTTTTCTCAGAGATTCGCTGGCCAGCTCGCCACTAGATCAGGACCAGGTGGCCGGAAAGTTCAAAACGAGCTGAATTTGATTCGGCCACCAGGTCGCCTTGAGTTTTCCGGCGACGTGGCCTGTGTGTTTGAAATCCTGGAAAGCTAGCAAGACGGTGGTTTATACTCAAAATAGTGCATTTTTTACTGTTTTTTTCACTTCCTAAGGTTTCTAGTACTCCGAAAAAACAGAAAATGAGCCAATTTCTTCTAGAATGCTCGGATTCACAAGTTTTTTGGACTTTTTTCTCTTAAGCGAGGCGATCTGGGCGCGAGGTCGGGTCGATCTGGACAACCTGGGCGAGGTGGTCTGCATGAACTGAACCACCTCGCGACCAGGTCGTCTCGCAAAAAATACGGGCGATGTGGTTGTCCGTGTCAATTTCAGATGGGCAGTCGACCCCACCTAGTGACCAGCTCGCCAGCGAATCTCTGAGTTATACACGTGTATTTTCACACCGCAAACACGGCCACGAGCGATTGCACAAAAATGGGCGGAGCCAACAGCAGCGGATTTTTTCAAGGCGTATTTTTTCTTTGAAGGGAGTGGTTTCATTTTCAAAAACTAAAAAAAACGAAGATTTTCAGACACAAAAATGCACCGCGTTAAACGTGACACGTCAAAAAATCCACGTCATCAATCGATGCTATAAAATGCGAGCTTGACGAAGAAGAGCTCATTTTTTGAAGCTGGTATCAGAATAGAAGTCAAAGAAAAACACAATTTTCGCAAATTATGAACAAGAAATCTAACAACAAGCCGACAGCAAGCCAATCACAATTGAATCTTTGTCCAATTGTCGTAGCCGATCCTGCTCAACCCGCAACTCGATCAAAAATGGATGCTACTCAAACACCTCTACCTCCACCTCCTGTTCAACCTCCAACTCAAGTTCAACAACCAACAAAAATAAAGCTGACTGCTCGAATTGGACAATTACTTCGTGTTGGAAAGAAAGACAAAAATGGAAAACGGAAAGGAACATCAAAACAGGATAGACCATTGACAACACGAAAAAGTGACACAAAATTGGCACCAATCACTTTAGCCGAAGAGAAAACGTGTAAATCCTATCGAAAAACCAAACAACCCAACAAACGGTCGCCTTCAGCTTTGAGAACACAAAAAACTGAGCAAATTAAACCAAAATCTTGCGGTTCTCAAACATCACTTCATATTCGTAAGTATTCTTCTAAAAACCAGACATATTTCTTGAATCATTTACAGATCCTGTATCTCAACGTGAACTTCCTGATAAACCTGCTGAATTTCGCCCTGTTTCAGTAGAAAAAGTTGAAAAATCTTGTCAAAATCTACTGGAACAACTTGGTTCGAAATCGACAAATCTATTTGAAGATCAATGGGAATATATTGATGATGTGGATGTTGAGGTAACTTATTACTAAACCCACAGTTTTCTTCAACAAAAATTGTTTTTCAGGATGCAGATATTCAAGCTTTTCTTTCTCACATCGAAGATTATAATCAAGCTGAAGATGTTGAAGTTTTGGATGGAAATCGTGTAAAATTAGATAAAACCGAAACAAAACGCGATGATTATATTCACGCAAGTTATGTTGAAATCAAGGATATTTCTCGTAAATTTGTTTTGGCTCAACTTCCACTTTTAAATTCAAAAAGACTCGAAGATTTTTGGACAATGATTTATCAGGAAAAACTTCACAATATTTATTTGATTTGTCATCCTGAAGATTCTGCAAAATCAATCGATTCTGATAAATTCAGCGAATATTTTCCATTGACAAGTGGACATCATGAACATTATGAACAAATTTGGGTTCATAATCGAAAAGTTGAATCTGGAAGTTTGGATGGTGATTTAAATGATCAATTTATAATTGAAGTTTTGCCAAATGGTTGTGCCGAATCAATTTTGGTTACAATTCATTTATTGAATTATTGGCCAACTGGAGATATTCCTTTGAAACCTAAACGTATTCTAAATAGTGCTACAAATGTTTTTGGTGCTGCTGATGCTTATGAAGGTGATCCAATTGGAATTATAAGTAAAAGAGGAGCTGGAAGACCTGGAACATTTTTGGCAATTGTTTGTGCAATTCAAATGATGAAAAATGGCCAAAATTTGGATTTGAAGGAACTTTGTCGATCAATTAGAAAGCAAAGACCTGGAGGAATTGATACTTATTTCCAGGTATGTATATATTGATTGATTTGTTAACTCATAAAATATTCAATCGATAATTTTCAGTTTGTCTCAATCTACTCAACAATTCTTCAATTTGCTGCTCAATACGTCAACAAAGATATGAAGGCGGGAATTGAGAAAATTGAACGAGTTATTGATTTAATTATGAAACAAAAAGGAAAAGAGGATGATGATGGAAAATCGAAAGAGGAATTGAAGACTCAATCCATTGATAAAACTATCGATTAATAAAAGGTGGCTTTTTTAAACTATTGATTTCTGGGTGACATTTGGGGAAGTGGGAAAAAATTTTGACAAAAAATGGGGAAAATGACATTTAAAAAATAATTTAAAATTTCGAATTCAAGTATTCGTGAAAAACTTAACTACAGCAATAAAACAAACAAGAAAGACCGTGACCTTGGAATGCGGAAAGACACCTCGGGAAATAATATATAAGTAGATTTTTTTAAATTTAGTTCAATTTTAGAATAATTTGAATACTTTATTGACATAATCAAGATATACAACATTTATTTCTATGAATGAGCTCATTGCTAACATAAACTGAATTTTATCGTCGTTCAGTTATTTTAATTACTTTGAAACAATTGATTGCTTTGATTGTATAATCTCGATATGGTTTGTGAACCATCAAAGTAACAATTGATGATATTGCACCATGTGTTGCGAAAAATATTAGTGCCAAATTTGTAAAACCTTGATTAAAATATCGTGTGAAAAGTGAGAAGATAATGTAACAAGCAGGAATAACAATAAACAATATTGGAATAACAGCTTGCAAACAAAGTGCAAACATGAATTTCAATCCAAATTGATATGTGGCTCTAGAACTCGAGGTTTTATTTCTATAGATGCATCGAAATGAGCCAATGATATAAAATAATCCTTGTGGAATGACCATTAATATTGTTATCAAGATCAGAAGAACCGGAATTTTACCATTAAGAGTTAAACAGAAGAAATATGGGCTACTATAAGATCGAGAGTCCACACAAAAGAGATCTTTCGATATTGTTTCTATAGCTAATTTTGGTTCAGGAATATCTAAATATGCTGGACTAATGAAAGTGAATGCCCAAATAAATTGAAGAACTGTGATTGAATACCGACGAAGGTTTTGACGTCTTGAATCGGCTGTTGTTCTTGACAATTTATAGTAGCGACTTTCGAATAAATTTACGATTGAAATTCCAACTACTGAAAATTAGTAAAAACTTGATTTAATTCGTTGGGAAGTGAATCATTCGACTTTTGATGTAATGAACTTTGAAAAAGTGGTTCCAATCAGAATTTTCTTTCGAAAATTATTCCATAAAACTCCCGATCATTAAAATTAACAATTTAATTCCATTTTTTTATCGAAATCATTTAAATTTTTTTCAACTTCGTGAACTTCAAAGAAAATTTATGAGTAGGATATTTCAGCTGCTGATTAATTTCCCAGAATTTGTATTTTTTTGAGATCACCAAAAGATTCCCAAAAACGTATCTCCAATAAAAGTGACTCCAAAATAAACTTGAATTGATGTTGGAACTCCTAAATACTTAAATAACCCAAGTGGATATCCAGCTGCATACGGTAGAAAAATGAATGGACATGTTAAAAGACTCAGATATAAATCAAGTATTGTGCTTGTAAAATGCAAAATTATCATACTTGGAATAACTGATATCATATTTTTCGGAGTTTTGAAAAGGATACAGAAAGCGACGAATGAATTGATTAGGATTTCAAAAAATGTCAAAATGTGAAGAGTGTAACTGTAGAAGTTCTCAGTTTCAATAAATGTGTTGAAGTATTCACACATGTTAGAATTTTTGAAAAATGAGTTATGAATAAAGAATGTGATAATGAAACAGGTGAAATAATTCCCGGAAAAAACAACAAACACGTGTTTTCTCGCCGCGGCGAAAGCAGGCGAGGCGTGCTTTTTTATTTTTTCAAATTGCAGGCGAGGCGAAGCTCACCTGCACAAAACTTCACCGGGCGAAAAGCAGGAAGGCGAAATGAACATGCCTGTGAAATGATTTGTTTCATACTGTCGCGAAAAAACATTGACGCAAATAAAAACTTCTTGTGCTAGGGTAGCTCGCAAAGTACTTAAATATCTACGTAATTTTTCAAAAGTAATTTTCATATAATAATTTCCACGTGACCCATAAAACATCCACGTCTCAAATGGAATGTTTTCTCAATAACTCGCTCATTCCTAGTAATATTTTGATTATTATCGTTTCGGAACAAGAAATATTTTAAAAACGATGAAAATCCTGTTCATATGCGCTATTTTTTACGGTAACCTTAAATAAATTTCGGAAAAAAAATCGAATGACTTGTGAAATAATCGAACGACAATTCTGATTTTTTTTCCAGCAACTTATGTGAAAAGCCAATCTGAAGAAGAACATGCTTGTTACGAAGTAACAATGCAAAATGAAGTGAAAGAAGAAATGGGTTGGTTTTGGGCTACTTTGGCTTGTAATCTTATGCTTCTTGGACTCAATATCACTATAACTATTGTTATTTACAAATTTGTAAGTGTCAGAGAACTTCATTTTTTGTAAATTCCAATAATTCCAATTTCAGATAAACCCAGCTTACAAAAACATCCGATTGGTTCTTTTTTTCTTGATGGATCGAATTCTCCTATCTTATATGGCAAATTGTCTTCGACCAATTTTGGGATGTAAAAAACAAGTGGATTTGAAAGAATTGTTGCCAGCCGCGAAGGAAAAAGAAAAAAGAAAAAGTGGAAAATCGGGAAAAGCTGGAGATGAGGAAAGTGGAAAAAGTACAATTAAAGGATTGTCGACGAAAAAAGGAGCAATAACATCGAAAGCATCGAAAACATCGTTGAAATCATCTGCAAAATCAACAGCGAAATCTGATGTTTCCCAATCGAAATCTACTTCAAAACATGGAAAAGGTGGGAAGAAAGGTGGAAAAGGCGGAAAAGCAGCACCCGCTAGAAAAGGGAAAGGAAAAGGAGGAAAGAAGGGAGGAAAATAGAAATTAGTCGAAAAAATGAGAGTTAATAAAGTTTCGAAAAATTTAGGAACTACTGTTTTTGTGAAATTTTGAGAGAGGAAAAGTTATAGTAGTTGAAAGTAGGTCGATTTTTTTTTAGAAATAATCGATAGGAGATATATAGGGAGACTAGAAATGCAAGTCTCTAGCCAGATTAATTTTACTAATTTCATCAGAATCCAAAAAAAGGATGTCTATGGACTCTGCGCAAAAATTGTTATCAGTGTATCACGTCTTTGAAATTTGTCCCCAAAATCCAGATTCCCGGTTTCCCAAGAAAAACGCATTGTCTCAAAATTCATTTATTTTTGGAATCACTTAATTCTCTGATATTTCGCCTCATATTCTCTCATTTCTTTCTCCAAATTCTCTCTCGCCAATTTCTCATCTTGTTTATTGAATCCAATTTTTCGTCGAAACAACAAAATATGTTTCTCCGGATTATGTATCAAATAATGTTGCCATCCAAGACTTTGTTGTACACCAATTCGACGCCATTCGGCTTCAGATAAAAGACGACCAGGCAATGATTTGGCTATTGATTTTGGCAAAATGACGTGGCGATATTCGAAAGTGTCATCGTTGTATTTGTCAGAATAATAGATATCGTCCATTTTTGATAGGATTTTTGTGTTATATCACAATTTGATGAGAAATTCGAGAAGGGCACTCTTCGATGTGTGGTTTTATAGGCGTAGAATAGATTGGGATCTTTATGCCACTAGAACACGTGAATAATTTTAAAGCGCTTTTGACGCTAAAATTCGTATTTCTATTCTATCATTTACAAAAACGACTTTCCTCACAATCAGCTTTAAATGATTTTCGAAATAGAGTTTGCGAACACCTCATCAACTTTATTTCTTTTTCACAACAAAACAAAAATGTAAAATCAAAGTACATAATTATTCAAACAAACACATTTATTATATCGATCACAAACTCCCAAAACTGGTCGACAAAGTTGTGCACATTGAGCACGGCATGTGATTGGCGAACGGAATTGGAACATTTGTGGAGTTAGAATTCGTGGACGAAGAATGAGTGGCTCACGGAAGTCGGACTCAGCTGGGACTTCTTGAGCCTCAACTATTTGTTGAGTTTGGACATTTGGTTGATCTTGAGAGATTTCTTGAGCTGATGAGCAGAAAAGAATTGCCAAGATTATGAGACATGAGGAAGAAGCTGAAGACATCTGTAATTTATTTGTTAGTTAGAAAATTGAGGCTGAGAATAAGGGGATCTTTAAGTTGGTTACAGTGAAAATAGTGGAGAACCGCTATGGAATCAAATATTTTTTAGAGCAAAATGAAATGTGAATCTTTAAGATGAAAATTGAGAATCTGGAGCTCCACCCATTTTTAAGACAAAAAAAATGATGTGCTTTATTTTTATGGGTTTTTCCGAACACGAACACGAAAAAATGACATTTTTTGATGAATCGGTGTAATTTTTGGAGAAAAAAGAGGAGGAAAATGAAATCCTAGATTTTCTTATGAGAAAAAAACAAAAATAAATGAGTCCAGGTGAACCTAAAGGACAATATTTTGGCTCGGTATTTTGGAAAGTTTGGACTTTTTTTTTTGAAAAACTGATTGTGAGTTGGACTTGAAGAATTTCAGGCGGAGAACTAGACTTTGAATTTATTTATTTCTAAAACAGGCAATTCTGGAACCTTTTCTAGGGTGTTTCTGACTTCAGACCTGATAGATTATGCTGAATTGGTCCTGATTTTAGCTCATACTAGGCATATTTTTAAATTTCAAATTAACTTTTTTAACATGAGAAATCTAGGCCTAAAGTCAAAAATAAAATCTCATATAAATTTTTTTCCAACTGAAAAAAAAACATAAAATCCCACGAAAATATATAATTTTGACCGATCAACTTTATGCCTCAATAAAAAATTCTCATAAATCTTCTCCCCAAAAAAAAGATTAGTAGAGTATTTTTAGCCAAAAAGAGCACAAAAAGAAAACTTTCATAATCTCATTAGTCTAAAAAATCTGGAAAAGAGGAAGGACAAAAGAAATAATTTTGCTCGCGACAGCAAAAAAAAGGGAAAATATATGTACCCTACGATGGATTCAAAATTGAAAAATAAAAAAACGCATAAATTTTTTGCTCCACCAAAAAATGAAATAAGATGGACGGAAATTGTATCTATAGGATTAAGTATCAAACAAAAAAATGAAATTGAATTTGAATTTGAATTTTTTTTTTCTGGATGAGGATTAGGAAAATGTGTAGGAGTAGATTTTTTCGATTTAGAAAAAATTGAGGGAATTTGAATTCAAGATAATCTAATATTCTAGGACCAAATTCTGGGCTCGAATTATTGAACTTAATAGGAGCAATCTAAAAATTCACACCTAATTCCAAATCTATCTCATTTTGGACACTAAAAACAAAAAATTAAATCAATCTGAATTTCAATGAAATTAATAGGTGTAAATTTAATATCCGAAAAAAATTGAGAAAAATTCACTGAATATCAATTAGTTTTAATTAACTGAAAAATAAGGAAACCTCAAGAGTCTAGTAAAATAAAAAAAAAGTGAAAGAAAAAGTGCAAGGGTCCGTAATAATTTGAATTAAACTAATTGGAATCGAGTGTTTTTCATAGAACTGAAATACTTTAGCTATTGAGAAAACTAGAAGGGCTTCGCTGGCTAACGCCATCTACAGTAGTTTGACTTACTTTTTCTGATTAATTTTCCGGTTAGGGAAAGAGAAAAATTGAGAAATGCCCAAAAATTGTTGACTTTTTCAGAGAATAGAAAGATCAGATAAGAAACGTGTCCTTTAATTTTTTTGGAATAAAAACGTGATCATTCTTTTTTACATGAAAAAAGTGTTGATTTTTCACGTAAAAACTCGCGCATTTTTTGAAAAATCGAATATTAGCGCCTCGATGGGAAAGAATTTGATATCGAATGGTGAAAGTCCCATCAAAAATGGTCTTCTGGAAATTGAGAAAAGTCGAGCGACACATTTTAAATCCGAAAAATACATTGAGATTTTCAAACTTTACATTCTCCGCGCACTCACATACATTTTGAGAAAGAATGAATAGGAAGCGCACCAAGCTGCCAACATTTAGAAACTTTTTCTTTTTTTGATCATCAATTTTTATGCGCACAGTTTTGAGAACGGGTCCCGGACATACTATTGCCAAAAAAATTTTCCCAATTAGTATATAGTAGATGAAAAATGAAGTCTGAAAATATTCTGTACTTTTCTACGAAACCTACCAAGAAAACATATTATAGTGAATCAGAGATTGAAATTTTTTGAGGGATTTCAAATAACTTGTTTGGCTGTTCAAAGGTGTTTGATTGAGAAGTTTTTGCCTTTTGTTGGATTTTTGAAAAAAAAAAACGTTTCAACATAATAAAACTTAAAACAAAAATGTTCTAGATTAATTTTTAAATTTTCAAGCTTCAATAATTGAAACTAAAAAATATGTGTAAACAAAACGCTGAGCTGCAAAATCCAAAAATCTTCTCAAAGTACCTATTGTTTTTCCCATTGATTTTTATACTGTTTGAAATATTCCTCATTCTGCGATTTTGTATTATCAGCAATTTTGACACTCAAAATATTTCGAATCTAAATGTTTCTGTTTTGTATTATTCAAAAGTCTTCCAAATTACCTGTCCCTCTTCTTTTTTCTCAAAATCTCGTTCACATCCAAATCCAAAACAATATTTGTAACGTAAGCAAATCAAAAGTGGAGCCACAAAATTAAGCGAAGTTGTTTGCTGTGAGAATTTTTTTGATAATGAAAAATAGAAAAACATTCTTACCAGTAAAATTAAATAGAAAACTGGAATATAATAATGAAAATTTTGACATTGTGATAAATTAAAAACTGTATCAACGTTGAATAAAATTATAGCTGCGGATAGGAAAATTGCATTTATTGAAATTGCCATAATAAATGGGAGGAGGAGTCTGAAATTAATTTTTTGAAAAAGTCCCTTTCATAAAATTTTCCGAACCTCAAAGCTTTAACATTTTCCACTAATTGATATCTTTCTGATAATTTTGTTTTTGCATGTGATTTTATCATTAAAACTCGATTGCAAATAATCAAAATCACTGTGAAAAGTGTCATTATAAAACCATAGGTTACTGTAGTTATTTTTCGACCAACATCATTTGAGCCATTGTTTATGAATTCGAAACCAGTTACAAATATCTGAAATTTTAAATGGTTCCTGCTATGGGACTCTTTGAATCCTGTATTCAGATTTCCAAGTTCAAACTCACTGTCACACCAATCAAAACCAAAACAATTCCTCGTTTCTTCGAATTTTCATATGATTTCGCATAATACGTGGCATATCCTCTCTCAAAAATACAACCCAAAGCTGCAGATTGCGTGGAAAATTTAGCGATCCATAGGAGATCTGTGACATAATCAGGAACATTGCTATTCTTAGAAAATACCAAAATATAAATATAGCCATACGTTTTGACAGATGCACTTAAAATTCGTGTTAAAATCATTAAAAGATAGAATATTCTGAAAAAAATACGTTTTGAAGTCGGAAAAGTTAAATTTCGACTCACATGAAAAATGGGTGATAATTTTTAAAAATTCGAATCACAACAATTAGTGCAAATATATGAGAAATTGCTCCGAGAGCCCATAAAAATAGAGAAATTGCGCGGGACAAAGTTACGAGCCATGGGGAACATTCCATCTTTGCTCTGAAAAAAAATAAACCAGGAAAAATCTGAAATTCTCAGGGAAATGATTGCAAAGGAAAAACAATTTTTGTAGAATTTATTTGATTTTTTGAAGAATTCTCGAGAAGACAGATAAAAAATAATTGGTATTTTCATCATTTTTTTCTGAAAAAGTACAATTTTTTTAGATTTTTTCACCTGTAAAATTCAAAAATTATTAAATAACCGGAAAAAATTAAATAAATGTGTTTGCAACGTTGAAAAAAATTTAATAAATAATAATTTGACGCGTGGAAAAAATGTGGATGTCGCTCATTTTCTACCAGGTTTCTATTAGAAAATAGTCTAATTATGTCGGAAATTGAGACAAATGTGAGTGAAGGGTTTTGGATTATTTCGAATTCATGAAAAAAAAATATAAATCTAAGAACCACGGTTCCGAATTTTGTTAATTTTTCAAATTTTCAGATCGTAGATCAAGAAGAAGAAACTGATGATGAGACAGCAAGAATTGATTATTTGATTGGATTTGTTGGAAGATTATTAGCAGCACCACTCAAAAAGAAAGGGTATTTAAACAACATAAAAACTATCAAAAATCAAATCCTCAACTCTAATTTTCCAGAAAAAAAGAAACACCAGTTGTTGATGTAAAAATAACCACGGATGATATTCGAATTCTCACAATGTATGCATCTTTATCATTCAAAAATCAATCTTCACTTTTGAAAATCGATGAAGAAAGTCTGCCAATTCATATAGTTGGAGATTTGCACGGACAATTCCACGATCTTCGTTTGTTATTTTCTCGATGCGGTCATCCATCTCAAACAAATTATATTTTCCTTGGCGATTATGTTGATCGTGGACTTCAAGGAATTGAAACATCGTGTTTGCTAATGGCACTTCAATGTTTATATCCCAAAAATATTTTCATGGTTCGTGGAAATCACGAAGATTATAATACAACTTTGACATATGGATTTTATGATGAATGTTTGATGAAATATGCAAAATATGGAGAAATTGTTTGGTTGAGTATTATTAGTGCTTTTAATCATTTACCATTTGCTGCGCTGATTTTTGGCCGGATTTTGTGTATGCATGGAGGAATTTCACCGAATTTGAAAAGTTTGGCAGATATTGATAAGGTTAGTTCTGTTTTTGCAACTGATCAACATAATTTAGAAATTCGCGAAACTCGTGTTCAGAATTCATTTTGCCACGTCAAATCTATTTTCCCAGAAATTTCTTGAAAAATCTGAGTTCACCATATTTTCCAGAAGATCAAAATTAGTAGATTAGCACATTTGCAACAATTTTTATTTTGTGTCATGTTGAACTTCCCTTGTCATTCAGAATTCAGAAGTACGAGAACTTGAAATTTTGGAAAGCTGAAAATTCGTCAATTTGAACTTTTTAGCTTTTGGGAAATCTACGCACTTAATATAATAGGAAATTAAAAAAAAACAACCTATCCAAAATTTCCCGGGAGATTAATTAGACCTTTTTCAAAATAAAAAATGAAATCACATGCAAAATTTTTGATTGATCAAGGAAATATTGAGTACTTACAGTAGTAGAGTTTTGTACAGAGAATGTTTTGGAAGATTCATAATTATAGCATCTTCTGAAAAGATAACAGATAAATTTAAGTTTTTTAAAGTTATTGAGAAGCTATAAAAAAAATCAATAATGTGAATTACTTCAACATCACTCCCAGGTTCTGACAAACATATCTCCAAATTCATATATTTTCAGATAGTCCGGCCAACAATGATTCCAGCCTATGGTTTAGCTTGTGATCTTGTTTGGTCTGACCCCGAAAACACCCAAAATCCTGGATTCTCCCTTTCCAGTCGTGGAATTTCATTTTCATTTGACGATTCAGCAATTCAAGATTTTTGTCAGAAAAATGGACTTGATTTGATAATTCGTGCACATCAGATTTCTAGTGATGTAAGTTAGTCTAATTCAAAAATAATAATCAAGATTGAAATTTTCAGATGTATCGCGGAGGTCATAAATTCCACGCGGGTGGAAATATGGTCACTATTTTTTCAGCTCCAAATTACTTGAATATGGGAAATGATTCGTGTGTGGTAAGAGTTGAAAAATCGGTAAGTTCTGAAAATGTTTTTTTTCAAATTACACTTCGTCTGAAATTTTTCAGAAACTCGTCAGATTTATCGTTTTCCGCCCAACTATTTCGAAATGATTTTTTTTTCAGAAAATGAATTTATTTTTTGAAAATTCGATTTTTACGTGACCTTTTTGACCTCCAAGTGACCTCTGAAATGGTCTATAAAATTCCAATGAATTTTTCAGAATCTTTCTATTTTTCTAAAAATGTCAGATATTATACATCAGATAATTACAATACTCTGTTCATTCATCTTATTTCTAGGTAAGTTCGGACCATAAAAATTGGACAAGATTAAAGTTTTCTCCCGTCAATTCCTAGTAATATATCCAAACAATCTCAAATTTAATTTCAGTTATGTCTCTAACTTGTTCTCGCAAATCATCAACTCGAGAACAAGCAAAACCTCGTGGAAATAGATATCTAGAAGGAATTCAAAGTCCAGATTGTTGTGATAAGAAATTGAAAAATACACCGTGTATGCCGTGTAAGAATGAACCAAAAAGACCAGGAAAAATGTCGATTTCGATGAAGAAGATCAAATCGAAAAAGGTCCAACATACAGAAGTTCCCCACGAAAACAAGACAATTGTTTGCCCGAATCAAAGACCTGGTTATTCGAAAAGTACAATTGCAATTCAAGAAGCTGCGTTGTCACAGATTTTCAATAATACAACAAATACATCAGAATCTGATCGGGCAAATGAGAATGTTGAAAAGAAAGCGGAGAAAAATGAGGCGAAAAGGGGGGAATCAAAAGATGAGGAATTATTAGATTTGAAAGATACTCAATCGCCTCCAAGAAGTGAATAGTTCGAACTTTTTTTTTTGTTTTGGAGGGAAAAATGAATTAGTTTTTGATTTGATTTCTTTGGGAAAAAAATATTTTCAGTTTTTATGAAAACTATTTCTAAGATTTAAAAAAGGCTTTGAAATAAATTCTGAATGCTAATTATGAAGCAACTTTTGAATCGGATTTCAAGCTTCGAACAAATCAAGAGAGTTTTCGAATCCCCAAAATTTTCCCCAAAAATTGAAAAATTCTCATATGTCGGCAAAGTTTCTTTGACACTTCTGAAAACCCAGATGTTTTCTAATTTTTTGTTCAAAAATCATATGTTTTGTTGCCAATTCCGCCACATGTTTTCATTTTTAATTTGATTTGAATTTTCATAATTAAAAAAGAATCCAAAATTTTCCAGATTTTTGATTCCAGATAAATTATTCCCACAATTTTTTGCACACTTCAATTGTTTCGAACTTTCGTCTCTCTTTTTCTCAATTTCTAAATTCGTCACTGGCCAAAAACATTGAAACATATTATAATAATTCTGGAACATGGTTGAATAAGCACTTAAAAAAATAGTTGGCGAGCAACGAAAAAAAAAAGAAATGAGGAGGAGGCAAAAAAAAAACATTGACCCACGCATTTTTATTTTTCAAAGCTTTGAGCAAGTTTTGGAAGAAGATGAACACTTTTTAAATATACATTGACTTATATACATAACGATTTATCAACTGATTTTCTGTTAAATTTTCAAAGATGTAAACGCGGATCATCGTAGTTCACGCCTTTTTTAAATGGAAATTTGAAGAGACACCGAGAATGTTTCTTCGAATTCATATGAGAAAACAACAAAAAACAAGTGAATTTTAAACTTTTCGAAAAAAAACAAGAAAATAAAAGTAGAAATGGAAGTGCGCTCTATTGATAAAAATTGAACGTCTGGCACTCTCTCAAAAAAACGTGTGTTTCATCGTTGCACTAAAAGGGTGTGAGAAATCGAACTGCAACTTTTTTTTTCGCGCTACCATTATACGCATTTTCCATTTTCTTACATTTTTTTCTCGAATTAGACATTTTGCGGGAAACAAACAGAAAAATGTGAGAAAACCAGCAAAAAAAAGAAAAAATGGTAAATGTATATATTTTTGACTGGTATCGCAGCGCGAAAAAAAGTTTTGCAGTTCTGTTTTTCTGTTTTTCTCTGTCTCTCTCCAAATTTGCAATTATTTCGTGTTTTTTACAAGGAGTGAGTTTATTTGACATTTATTATTCAAACCGCGTTTACACCTTAATTTTTTTATTCAGAGTTAGAAATTCTTTAAAAAGTTGTTCCTTTTTTTCAGTCAACTTCTACAAGCTCCGATCAGTTGAAAATATTTGCAACTCGATATTTCATGAGTCAGGATCGTCGTAGGAAATCAATTAAAATGTGAGTTTTTTGGGAAAAAATTCTAAATTAACAATTTTTAAGTTATCATGAAAAAAATGGTTTAATTATTTTGTTCCTAGTAAAATTTGTGTTCTGAATCAAAAAAACACTCCAACATGCCTTATAATTTTCACGTTTTCAATAGTCCAAATCCAAATATTTTTGTCTTTTTTTCTATATCCGGATCGGATTAGCGAAATTCCGAAAAAGAAAAAAAGTGCGTTTTGACATTTTCAGACTACACTTGACTTAAAATCAAATCGCATCTTTGATTTGATAGATGTTCTATGTTGTTAATTCAAAATTGAATTTGAAATTTGCTTAGTTTCAAAAAATAATTGGATACATTTTAGCCTCATTTTTTCAGCTGTTCTTTTGTCTTTAATTGAAAATATGTGCTCTGAAAAGTCAAAAATTTTTGATTGGTTTCCAAATGTTTTGATATCAGAATTTGAACATTTTCCTTTTTTTTGAAAATGTTCATCTGCTCAAACTTTTGAATAAACACTTAAAGAAATTAATAAGCTCTGAACTTAAGCTTTGAAAGTTTTCAGAATTGTTTTGATAAACATTTTCAGCTACCAAATTTATTTTAGAAAGTTCTGAAAGATTCAACTTTTTTCTAATAGAATTTGTCATATTTCAAAACTCCAAAAAAAAAATCTGGATTATCGGATAAAAAATTTAAATAAATAGTTGAGATTCGAAAAATAGTCTAACTTTTACTGCAGATGAATATTCATTGGAATTTTTGAATGATACTGATTTTTCCATTGAACTTACTTTACTCTTGGAAGAAAAACATTTTATAAATTAAAATTCCGAAGTTGTATTTAAAACAAGTCGAATTTGAACAACTTAATGTTAGTAATTTTTTAGAAAAAAAAAGAATCTTATACTTTTGTAAATCATTTTTTGATCGATGAAATTGTGTTTTTTCTAAACAAATCCAACCTTTTCAGCTGTTCTTTGAAACCAACTTATTGTTCAAAATATCAAATATTTTTGATTGGCTTTCCAAAGTTGTTATATCAGATTTCAAACATTCCTCACATATTTTTCCGAAAAACTTTCACCTGCAAAAAACCTGTAAATGCCAAGAAATGATATTTGAAAATCTTTAAAAATTCATTTGAATTCCCTCCTCAAAAACTTCCCTACCAAAACTCTCGTTTTTTTCTTTTTTCTTCAATTCTCATGTATATTTTGAGCATGTCCATTATTTAATTGAATAAATAACGGGTTCCCCACATCTTCCTTTTTCTTTTTCTTCTTTTTAATTTTTTTGACGTAGTTAGTTGCTCATATTAAAGAGAAAGAGAGAGATAACTCGATCATCATCACGTCATTTCACGTTTCCAGTCAAACATTATAGGAAACATTGAAAATTAAAATTAAAAACAATAGTTTCTCTGAAAAATGACGCGTTCTTTATTAATTTGACCTACTGACGTCAATTAATTCTGCGTAGGTCATTTTCAAAAATTAAATAGACAAGTTCGAAAGTTCGATCACTCACCACAAAACACATATTTCTACAAATCAAAAATGAATGAAGCTTTTATTCACGTGCAAAAATAATTATCATCCTATAATTAAATCTTGTCTGATGGAAGAAAAAAATCATCATTTTTTCATTTTTAGAATTTTTTGGAACATCAAAGTCTAGGTGTGAATTGAAACTAAATATGTCTGCAAATTTTTTTGAATTGTAAAATTTGGAGAAAATCACATTACACTTCAGTTTTCGGTCTAAAAATTTCAGATTTTTTATCATACATTTTGGAAATGTCTAGGGCACAAAATCCGGAGCTAATCTAGATTTGTTTCAGGAAGCTCCATTTTAGGAATTTGTTCTGATTTGGCCAACAATTTAAAGAACATTTTGGGCTAAACTGAAGTCTGAGTTTTGTTCTCCTTTCAAGAATCCACAACATTTTCATCTAAATTATGAAAATGTCAAACAAAATCCAAAGCCTACAGATTAAGTCTATCATTTTACATCCAAAAATTCTAAATGCTGACTCGCTTTAAATTTTTTTTCTTAAATTTTGACTCTTTTGAAATTTTCTTACAAGGATCAATTCGGAAACTTGAAAACTTCAAATGCTAGCCAAAATCTGACGTCCAAAGTTCCCCTACTTTAAAATTCATCAAAAATTCTAGTTTGAACAAAAACTTCTTGATTTTCGAAAAAATGAATCTAGTTTGAACCTTAACTTTGTGTTTTATGCATGAAAATGGGAACTTTGATAGCTGAAGTTTTCAGACTTCAAGAAAAAACTTGTTGAAACTTTTCTGATCTTAAAAATCAGTGAATTAAAATCATTTTTCGTGATTTCCATTTTTTTTTTGAAATTTTTACAGCCAGCAAATCACTTAGAAAAAAAAATTACATTTGAGTCCATCCTAGACTAGACAAAAAATACCCAAAATATGAAACAAACAAAATCCTAACACAACAAAATATATATTTTAATAAAATTATGCCCAAATTTGTTCCGGGTTTTGCTGAGTCCATTCATAAAAACACAAAATTGAATCTCATATTTTTGTCCTAGTTTTCTTCTTCAAAAAAAATTCCCCAGTTTTCCTCAAAAATGATTCCATTAAAAAATTGTTTCAAAAAATGACCAACAAAAAACGAAATGTCATTATGTCACTCTATTTTTTTGCCGCAAAAGACACAACTTGTCATATGACGTGGATTTTGAGGGATATTTTTAGAAACTTGCAACTTTTTTATAGAAGACAATGTCAGTTTTTTATAGAACTGCGCGGGTTGAGAATCATATCATGACAATAATATCAATGATTAGATTGAAGAAGATGTTCATTTGAACAAGAAAAATAAGAAGAAGAAGAAGTTAGACAAAGTTGGAGATTTGGACCTGGAAGAAGAGAAGAAAGTTTTGAGAGGTGGGTTTATTTGGGGAGCGGGAAAAGGGATTTGGGATAAGAAAACTGGGATTGATGAGTTAAGAGGTAAGTTAGTTTTTTTTGAGCTTGGGATTTGGGATATTCAGACTTCTAGAAGAGCAAACATTTTTTTAGCCGAAAGAAGTGAAAGAAAGCTCGAACCTAATATTTGAAAATTTAAAGATTCGAAAATAATTCCTAGATTCATTTTGTCAGAAAATTTGAACAATTCTGAAATTTTTAGATTATTATTTTTCGGATGTTTTCCATATTTCCCATCTGGAACTCTTTCACCAGATTCATTTTTCGAAAGTTTCAATTACGTCCAATTTTTTTTCAAAAATTGAGATGGAAAATTTTCATCAAGCCATGTTTATCGATAAAAATTCCATGTTAAAAATATTCATTAAATTTTTGAAACGTAAAAATTTCCGGATCCCCTCCCACTGAATTATCTGCCCCAAGTTGTTTTTCCTTGTCAAGATCACGTCAGAATAATACCGTGACATCATAAAAAAACACAAACTAAAATAATAAAATGAAAATTTCAAATTCAACACAGCACAAAAAATTAGTGTGCTCATCAGGTCAAAAACAATTTGTTCTAATTTGACCTGCTCTCCTCTTTTTCATTGTCTCATTTTCTCTATTTCTCTTCGCCACCCACTCCTTTTTTGT